AGTTTCGGGAGGAGCGGCAGCGAGTGACAACCACGGCAGCGCCGTCGCAACGGCCCTCTGGAAGCGAAAGTTCGCCAAATGCCAAACCTGGGAAGCTCCAGGCCTGTGACCATTAGTCGCAGCGATACCCTAGTGAGGATATTGTCGGTGCGCATGCGCCGTCGTTGAGGATGGTCGAGGGTGAACGGCGTCTGTGCGTGGCAACTTTCGTCGTTAAGTCCGTGTACTATACTTTGGACCACACTATTTGACACCGTACCACGGCAAACGTTAAACCAGCGAGCCTCAGCCTCACAGGCCCAGTGAGTCTGCTGTGAGTTTCGCCCGGGAGGGGATAAGGGGACTGGGATGAGCTGCACATTTTGCGCAGGTCAAAAGTGTGGGCCTCTAAATGCTCGAACCGATCCGAGGCGGATGGGACATGTTAGTCCCATCGATTGGCCTTACACTGCAGTGCAGCCAGTACACCTGGGCAGTGGTACTCAACCTTGAAAAGTAATTGATGAGATGATGATTGGCGAGCAGTGGAGCCTGCGACTAATGGTCGGTCGGTGGCCCTCGAGACGGAGCTCAGGAGCTCAAGAACGGCGGTGCGTCGGCGCATCATGTCGGCTGAAATCTTGAAACGCAAAGCGCAGGATGTGATTGGAATGAAAATACAGACAAGGGAGAGCTTCTGTATGAGGAAGGCACGCGCTGCTGTGCAGTATCAGCATCAGCAATAGCATCAGCAGCAAGCACGCAGGCTAGTACCTAGGCCTCCAGGTCAGGAGGAAAGGTACCTGGGCCCCTGCGATATAGAAGCTACTAGCTGCTGACCTGCAGACATAGTAGCTTCCAAATAGTAAGTGAGGCACATGCAGCCAGCATGTAGCCGACAGAGTAGTCCAGCTGGGCATCATCGAGACTGGAAGCGAGCATGTACCGTAGTATTGAGTACAATACGGAGGGCTGTAGGAGAGTCACCGTACCATGCCGCACCGTACCGTACGGCGCAACTGCCAAGGACTGTGCTTCAAATCCGCCGAAGTGCAGCCTCGTGTGGACTCTGCTGAACAGCCAGCCATCGAGCCAGCCAGCCAGCCAGCCAGCCAACCGTCTCATCTTTTTCTCACCGGTGCGTGATCCGATACTGGACCAGGTCCAGGCCACCGCGCCCTGTCACGCCCTGTTTGGCCCGTCCCAATCCGTCGGGGAATGGTAATTGATGATGGATGGATGGATCGAAGGAACGAGGCAAGGTGATAAAAGCCGAGGAGGTCCAGGCTGGAAAGGCCCCAAATGAGCGATCTCCAGGCACGGCAGGGGGTTAAAGATTGGGTTGTAAGTGCCAGGTGCTATAGGCCGCGACCAAGATGGGCACGGGGCCTGGGCATCAGAACTGTCACATCTCGAATAAAAGAAATAAAAGTTGCCTGCTTCCTGGTCAGCCTGGTGATAGGATGCGCAGGAAGCTCGTTTCGATCGGGCACTGCTTACCTGGGGCCCGAGGCTCTCATTCTCTGCTGTCTGGTGTCTGCTGTCTGCTGTATACTGTCTACTGTGCTGTCATCCACGGATTCTTCCTCGGAAAGTCAGAGCGGCACGTTTGTATTCACAGACAATTATTTACGCTGATAAGTGTAGATGTTTTAAGGGCTACAAGTCGACGTACGCGACAGACATCATGGGTTTCGTAGTGGTGATATATAAATATGTATACATGTATAAATACACTGGTATGTGCCAATACAAAGGCACAATCAACTGTGGAAGGCCAACTCGAAGTGGAAGCGCGTCACCATCGTCGTATTCTTCCTGCGTGTAAGAGTCCTCCTCGCGTCCAGGCGGAAAAACGAGGTGGGTATCTGCCTCATTCTTACTAGTGTCACCTGCCTCGTCTTGCTTGCCTGCCTGCCTGCTTCCTTCAGGCGGTTCGCGTGCGTCCAGACGTGAGCACACACCCCTGGACGTTTCTCATGACTGCTTGACTACCTACCTGCAGGTCAGCAAGCATACTCTACTGTGCTGCTCATCACTATGGACATCCACCTGGCATATCTGATGAATAACAATTCAGGCCATGCCGAAACACAAGAGACGACAAGGTGGGCATCCGCTGTTGCCGCCGAAGGTCTTGTGTTGTCTGCCGGGCACGGAGCTCAAGCTTCATGTCTGCTACGCACACACCTCCATCTCTAGCACTTACTACTGTTTCGAGCCCGGCCTGAAGCTGGAGCTACTACAGGAATGATGCTACTCGTAAAGATTGGACCATGGGCATTCTTGCAGTACCAGGTAGCTGGTCCTGCCGGGGGGCGTCTTGGCCGAGTCGGACAGATGGCATGTTGAGCTAACCCGAAGGAGAAGTAAGTTGGGCGGAACCATGGGCTGCTTCTGGACTTGTCTGCAGCGGCGGCGCCATCAATGGCTGGCTGGGTCGCTCCCCATGGGATGGGTATCGGGACATTGCAGTCGCTGCCTCGTTCCAAGGTTCGCCACGCCACGGTTGGAGGATGTCCATGTCTACCTCTGTGCCTCTTTGCCCCAGTCAGAGATGACGAGAAGGCGCTGGTCATGACGTCCGCAAACAACCTCGGAAGACGCGAGCGTCAAGACCAAGAGTCTTGCTCCTCTTTGCAGTGAGTGCCTGCCCCGTCAAGTGCCTTGTGTTTGACCGGGGTGCAGGAGAAGGAGGAAGATGAGTTTCTCTTTCGCATGCCCACGCCGTCTGAGCCTTCCGCAAGCTTCAGCTGTACTGGGGTGATCCCGTACTGTGTGGGGTATCACGGACGGAGCACTCCTGCATGTACTGTGGTACTTTTCCCGCTGTACCTCCTGTATCGCGCAGACCCTGCTGCAGCATCATGCATCAGCTTTTACTTCAGGCTGGCGTAGACAGGGGGTCCCTTCCCATCCCGTCTTACAATGTGTGTGCGGTACTGTACCTGCCAGGCGTGCTCCTGCTCTTCACACACACATGCACACCTGCACACCTGCCTGCACATACACACACATTCACCCACACCCCCCCAGCCACCCACCCACCCCTCCCAGGATACTGGGTATGGCTGCTCACCTCGAGGCAGGAAGAAGGAAAGAATGGGAATGGAATACATGTACCCAACTACGTACCTGGGGTAGTGAATGAATGATTGAATGACTGAATGAATGCCTAGTGCCTAGCTGGCCTGACTGACACCATGGAAATAGGATACAGTAGTCCGGGCAGTCTGGAATCGCGTATGTGTTTTACCGCAGGGCTTCGTCTCCATTTCCAGTTCTAGTTCCACTTCCAGCTGCGCTTGTCATGATTTCGACATCCTGTCCGACAACGAGCGGCGTCTTTCATTTGTTTATCTCTCCTCCACCCCTTCTTTCTGCTGAACGTTGTTTGAGTAGTCGAGAGACTAGGCCGTCGCGCGGTATCTTGCAGTATCTCGCAGATTAGGATCTGAATCCAACCTTCTTCTTCATCTACATAGCGAAGCTTGCCCTGTCGTCGCGACCCGGATGCTCCACTCCATCATCGTCATCCGCTCACACGCATCGATTTAGTACCCTCACACTCACACACACCAGGCTCACACCCTCTGCCAATCTCTGCGCCACAGCAAGGATATTGCCAGTACATCACAGCACGTCGACGCCCAAATCTTCTCAGAGGCCTGAGAAGCCTCACCCCCAACTCCTGTCTCCTTCGAAATCTGGAGGCAGACCAGAGCAGCGCAGACCAGAGCATAGCAGAGCATAACATCCACAGCTGCTGCGCTCCAAGCTTCGCAGCTACCTCGAACACCACCCAACCCCCTGTGCCATTGCCGAAATCTCGGCTACACAGCGCCTGCAGCGCAGCCTCCACAGCCCTGAGCGCACACGCACACGCACACGCACATCGACTACACGCATTGAGCGAACGTCCTGCTCCACGCGTCTGCCATCCACCAGCGCGTTACGGGCCAGAGGCGTGGGTGTGAGAGACGCCATCGCGCCCAGCGGACCGGTGTCGACGACAAGACGGCCCGGAAAGCGGAAAAAGCACGACTCGACTCCAATACAGAACCTGGGCGCAAGCAGTCCGCCTTCGCCTGTTCCAAAAAGTCCCTCCGAATCCTATTAGTAACAGATGCGACTGCTGACTTACCGGGCCCCGATATTTTTGATTGCCGCCAATCCCATCATCATTCGTCAGGATTATTTCAAAAGGCCCCGATCGATCTACCTCTTCTCCTACCAGCTTCGACCCTGTATCCTGTCCAGCAACATCTGGCCAGACCACCACCATACTTACAGGCAGACATACATGCGTACACTCATCCATTCATAACCTACGATCGATACCGTGTTGAGTCTGCTTTTCACTGAATTAGTCGACCTCCACCACAGCGGGAAAGGAAGCCACCTTTGTTTGTTCCGCCCTGCAGCCCGCCCCACCAGCTTTCCCGCTCTTCGCGTGGTGGCCCTTGTCAACCGGCCACCTCTACAAAACCACACCCCCCCCCCTCTTCCCCCTACCACCGTCCCTGCTTGCCACCAAGCCAGCCCAAACGGGTTCGACCCAATTCATCGTCGTCACTACTACTGTACTTTGTTGGTAGCTTTCGGCGTGCAGCGTACAGCGGTCCAGTACCGTGACCCAGCATCGAGGTACCATTCTCCGGGAAGCGAAGCGAACGGTCCCCTTCCCTTCTTTTTTCCTCGCACCCACGGTCCCCAGACGCCCAGGACGGACTGACCAAATCCCCGTTCAGCGACGCCAGAAGGCAGCGAATGCCCTTTTTTCTTCTCATTATTCCTCAATAGTCGAGGCACCGGGGTTCCTGCCATCCATTAGGTACGCACACATGCCCTGCCCTTGCCCTGCCCTGCCCTGCCCTGCCCTGCATCAAACCGCTGTGCACACTCCCAAGTCAAGCTTCGCCGTCTTTGCATCCACTTCACATCTACCCTCCAACTATATCAAGACACGTCGTTTCGCCGACCCGTGGACTTGGTTGCAGACACTGTCGCTGCTGCGCTCAATGTACTCCGCACAGCCTAACGCTGCTGACAGTGCGACAATCAATCCTGCTGCTCTCGCATCGTCCGGTAAGTTGGCCGCCACCCTTTCAGTGTCATACATGAACCATCGCGACCCCTCCCGCTGAGCCGGGGCGCGCCCTGGCCCGCGCTTCGCTGCGCTGCGCTGCGCTGTGCTGCCCTGCCCTGTCCCAGCGTCGCTGGCAACCGCAACGCGACCTTCGCAATGCATCGCATCGCAGTACCTCGCTGCGCTACACTTCGCATTGCATTACGGTTGCAAAGACCTGCTCTCGGCTCTGTTTGCACATCCCATGCGCTGTCTTTATTTGTCTTGTCTCATGGCGCGCGGCGTGGCGGTGTTTTTCTGCTATCGCCACTGAATATACCCTCATGATGCTAATGCGCAGCCTCGCAGATTTGCTGAATCAGAGCTCCAGAGGTGTCAAGAGGAGCCGGTCGCCGGACACGTACGAAGCGCCGCCCCCTGGTTTGGCTGGGGATGAAGGTATGTCGTGGTCAATTTTGTGTAGCTGTGTCAGGTCGCCATCGACATGTCTCATGTTACATGTTCAGGGCAGTGCGACGCGGCGTGAGGAACTCGGACTGATGGCGTTGTCGCGCAAGCAGATCGAAACCCCAGGAAACGCGGCAAATCCATGAAAACAATCCCTCCCGGATCTATCTCTCAAAGTCCTACCAAGGCGCCAGCTCCGATGCAACAATCAATCCCACCCCAGACCCCCCAATCCCAAAATGCACCTCTTCCGGGGCCGCAACCCAGCTACACGCCATCCCAGGCGTCAGCATCCTCGCCACCCAAGCCAACTCCGACCAAGTCGACCTTAAAGGCATTGCCCACCGTGCGGGACCACACGACAGATCAGCTTGGCCCTGGAGGCGATGAGTACCTGCCCCGGGAAATCGACGAGAGCGGAGAGAAGAAGGTCATGCCCAACGGGCAGCTACTAGGGGGCCGCGAGTATCGCTGTAGGACATTTCTCGTACCAAACCGAGGAGACAAGCTCTTCATGTTAGCAACCGAGTGCGCGAGGGTTCTCGGATACCGGGACTCCTATCTGCTGTTCAACAAGAATCGGTCTCTGTTCAAGATCATCGCCAACCAAACGGAGAAGGACGACCTGGTCAGCCAGGAGATTCTTCCTTTTTCTTACAGGTCAAGGCAGATAGCGATTGTCACCGCGCGAAGCATGTTCCGCCAATTTGGCAGTCGAGTTATTGTGAACGGCCGGAGAGTCCGAGACGACTATTGGGAAACCAAGGCTAGAAAACAAGGCTTCACCGAGGCCGACCTGGCTGGAGAGAAGAGACCTGGTGCGTCCAAGGCTCGAGAAGCGGCGGCGGCGGCGGAGCAGAACGCGTCTTTGCTGGGTGGTCCCCAGGGAGAGATAGTCTACAGCAACAATCCAGCACAGTTTGGAGGGGCGCCGCATCCCCAGCTCATCCAACAAGGTACGTTTGGACGAAACTCGATTGTGGGAAGTGTGAGAATGCACGAACTAACACAGCCAGAATATCCTGATACCCGACGGACTGATTACTCGTCTATACTCAAGACCGGACCCCGCCAGGAGATTACGGGGCCACCCTACCAGGACCGATCTCAACCGACCGCAATACCCGAGATCCATGCGCAAGCACATCATGCCGCCGAGTACAATCGCTCGGTCACCCAACAGCGTGAGATGCGAACCGATTACATGAACAATATGTGGCGAAGGCCTCATGAGCAGCCAGTCTCCGCGGCCATGTCCCAGCCTGTCAGTGTCGGCACCGCGGACGCGAGTATCCCAACGTCCCGCGCCACACAGTCGCCTCATGCGACTTCGGCAGGAATGCCGCAGCAACATTCCGGGCTGGTCCCGAGCCAGAGCCCCCAACTGATGATGACTGCACCACCGTACTCGACTCCCATTCAGGCTCAGAATCCCATAAGTCAGTCATCGTCGATGAGAGGTATGGCCCAAGTTCCAAGCCAGCCGCAATCAAAGCCAACAAGCTTGTCTTCAGGGTCGGCGGCTAGCATGCCTCAGACGGCTCAGGGCTACGGGTACCAACCTTCAAGCCAGATGTGGCCTCCGACGCCACAGACACCTCAGTACGGATATACGCACAATCAGCAAGCGCAACAGTCCCCTCATCCTCCACAGAGCTCCACGTCTCAGATGCGACACTCGAGCACCTCTGGCTCGGTGCAGCCAGGCGCCATGCCCTACTCCGGCATGCCAGGAATGGCGCAAGGCTACCCTGCGCCCTCGCCGTACGACCACCAAACGCCACGCCAATACATGCACCAAGGCTCGACTCCGTCACCGGCTGTCACTCAGGCATGGTCAGGACAGCAGCAACAGCCGCAGCAGTGGTGGACTCAGCAACCTCAGTAGTATTGACCAAGCCATTGCTGTATGAAGCTCCGGGGTCTCACTAGGTGGGCGAGGCTGCGGACGGAAGGAAGGCGTCGCTATGTTGTCTCCTCGCCCTTTCCATCAACTCGCCCACCTTTGATGCGCGAGCGGTGGAGGAAGGTCCTCGCGAGGCGCTTTGTCCTTCGAAACATCTGGTCATTTCGCAAATCGAAAAGCACCGACGCGAACCCGAACCCCAAACGAAGCTACGGCCTAACTTGATCTTGACGCTTGGAATGTTTGAACGAGCTACGCATTCAACTATACTCTTTCCTAACCGACTTCTTCCCGAGTGTACATACGGTCTGGTCTTGTCACCTATGTGGATATGGGACCCAAACAAGTTGGCATGCGTCGAACTCCAACGCCCCAACTCCTTACCAGTCTCATGGTCCAGCTCCTTGGTTTACGTATAGTTCGAGCGACCCATACAGCGTGCATTTGGACTCGCTCATGTTGAAGATATACATGAATGATTTGTGGACGTGGCCTACATTTGGAGTCAGTGTTACGGGTTGATGCCCAGACCAGGGTCTGGGTCGCAGTTCTGTTGCTTAATACCCTGCTCTTATGTGGTGGTTAGCCCTGTGCTGTCGGCAGGATACTTGGTTTCTCTTCGGTGGTCAGGTGGTCATTTTCCAGTTTTTCTTAGTTTTTGTTCTGGCTTGGACATTGGATATCCTTGGGTCCTGCGGTTTATTCCCCCTGATTTCGCATACAACGCCGGCGGCATTGTGGGATGCTCTACTTCCATTCGAAATTTTCTACCATCGTTTTTCCTCGATGTGTTGATACCCGGCCCACGGGGCTTTGTGTTTACATGTCGAGATAGCAGATTTTGGACGGCTACATTCTTAGCATTGGAGGAGTTCATTTGTCATGCAGTTACTCCCTGCCGATTCTTTTTGAACTTGTTGTGTTAGTACACGTGGTTTACTTGTTTTCTGGCAGTTTTGCCTCGCGCAATCTCACTGGGTGGGAGTGGTCAGGCATTCCTCTTGTACTCGAGTTTGGCTTATTCTTTCTGCCAATGTCACCCAAGAAGATATTGATCTTAGGCATGGGCCCAGCGGGGGAGGCTATTCTTTTCTGCTACTGCCCTTGCGTTGATATCTCAAGAGCGATGCGCGTCAGGCGCTGCAAGGAGGACAGCAGTCTTGCTTTAATATACTTTGCCCCGTCTTTGGTTCTCTTCACCAGCACCAACAGCTACCATCGTCCCGCCAATTTACGGAAACGTGCCTTGTGTGCTACTTACCCATATATCCAGCCACGACATACAACGGGATACAATTAATACGGGCTACGGTAACTTCCTCGCCGCCAGAACCGGAGGCATGGCCTTGGTATCCGGGGGCAGCAAGGACTGAAACGCGAAGTGAGGAACGCTGGATGAATGCAGGAGTGATATCAATGTCCTTAAAAGGCCTCGAAACTGGACGAACCGTAATGAAAATATCAGAAACGGCACCAGTCGCGAAGCCAGCTCATGAATCGGAAATCGTCGTCGTCCAGCCTTGAAATTCGACACATGCCTTCCGCACATGACCGAGCTCCTGCGAAACCAATCTGTGGCCAGGTCCCTGTCTCACCCATTCGACTGCGAAGATTGCCCCAGGGGCTTGGCTTTTCTTGGAGCCGCTGCTTGGCGATCTGTCAAGTAGTGTGGCCGACCGGGACGCAACAGAGGGGACCGCCGGCGGCCATCTCCTCCCCACCCTCCCTCTGGGCCTCCCCCCGGCCCAAGCCACCCACCCACCTACCCTGCTGAACCTCATCAACGTGGACGCGGTCTGCGCTCAGGCGAGGCAGGGGCACTCGCTGCGGGTGTCAGTCTCGTAATTAATCCAGGATGAGCTGAATCCAGCAACGTGACCATAGGGGCCAGCTAGCTCAGGTGATAAAAGGGCGGCGGTTAGGCCCCCCCGGCGGGGAGAGGGGGTTTGGGATAGGCTCGACGACCGGCAGATTGATTCGTGCGTGATGTGCAGTCACGTCTCTGGGTTGGTGTGAGGCATCATCTCATCACCCGTAATCGAACTCTCCCTCTGGCCTGCTGTCTTGGACCATGGCTGCGCCTGGTAATCTACCTGAGCACGAGGTTTCCGCAGACAGCATGAGAAGTGCCTTCGATCCGGCGCACACCGCGGACTTGTAGAATTATCGACTAGTCACTGTTGTTCCCATCGTCTAGGGCTTCGTCATCGTCCGGCCTGCCCTGGCGCTCCTCCAGCTCATCGTCGTCTCCCTCCTCGTTGACCCCATCCTCCTCGTCCTGCGCTTCCTCGTCTTCCTCCTCCTCCTCCTCCTCGTCCCCTTCCTCGTCAGGCACGCTCTCCGGGTCGCTGGCATCGACTACCTCGTCGTCGACTTCCATCTGGTCCTCGCTGCGGTCCGTCCTGGCCTTCTTCGCCCGCGGCTGGCCCCCATCTGCCGCACCCGAGTCCGCGACCGAGTTCAGGGTTGTGTCGGCGCCTCCCATCGCCGTGTCTCCATCGGTTCCTGCCGCTAGTGTCTCTGCGCCTTCCTCGCCCGGCTCCTTGGTGGCCTTCTTGGCCGCGGCGACCTTCTTCCGGTAGGTCGACCGCTTGCTGGTCTGGACCTCGTTGAATTCTGCAGCAGGGGTTTGTCAGTGAATGCGGTGCACCGTGATGATGTGGGCATGGTTGTGAAGGGTGGGCTTGTGCGCACTTGCAAACTCGGCTTCTACGCGCTCGCGCATGAACCCAAACTCTATGTCATCCAGTGCCCGGAAAACATCGGCGGGCATGACGGTCTTTTTGTTTTGCAACGTCGTGACTTCGTTGGCCCTGTAGCGAGAAAACACCATGCATTAGTTTCTCTCGGACTAGTGGCTGTGGGCGCGGGGATCGTACGCATTCGCGAGGTGGTTTATGAACACTGTTGCGCTCTTGGTCATGGCCAGGATGGCATTGGCCTGGATCTGGGTGTTTGGAGGAAGAACACCCTTAGCGAGACGGGTAATTATGGACTTTGGTAGTTGTAGCTCCTAGAGATACCTGCAATATCAGCATGCCAGCTGCCTCGCGATTGTGGTCACACCTGACTGTCGTTGGGACGCCTCGTCATACCTCGATGGGGATCGTGACAGCCTCCTTGGGGTGCCCGCCGCCAGTCGTCTTCTTGTCCTCATCCTTGCTCTTCTCCGACGGCGTGGATTGTGAGGGATCTGTGCCCGGTGCGAGGCCGCCCTGCGCGGCCGCTGACGACGTGGTCCTCGGGCGGTGCACGGCCTCGGGCGTCTGCGCGAGGCCGGGAGGGGGCAGGCTCGGGGGCGGCATGGACGTGTCCATGGTGGGCTTCGCGAGGCCCGGGGACGGGCGGGGGATGGAGGTCGCTGGCGAGCCGTCTTCTATAGGGGCGAATCTCGCGGCTGAGGCTGCGGCTGGGGCCGAGGCGTCGCTTTTGCGCGCCGAGTCGCTCTTACGCGACGACATGGTGCGTGTCTATGGGCCGCCTGTGTTGTGTGTGTGTGTCGCTGCGGGTGCAGGAGGTGGGGGTGGGAGGTGAAGCACACAGCACACGAGAGACGTGAGATGGAAGGGCTGATGTGTCAATTCCGGTCGGTCAGGTGTTAGCAATGGATATCAGGTGCATAAACGGCCGGCTGCCCTATTGCTTTTGCTGTCGCGGTGGGTGTTTGGCTCGGCCGGTCGAAAGTGTAGTCGTCGTGGTCGTCTGCATTAGTGGGTAACGGCGCCGAGTAGGGGAATTTTGCGACGCGACTTCTCACGCGTAGGGTGCCCAAAAGCTCAGGTCGTCTACAGGCACTTGCACCCTAGGCCTGCTGTACAGTACTGTGGGCTACCGGGCTACCAGGCTACCTACCAGGCTACCCAGGTACCTTGCCCAGCTACCGGGTTGCTCGATTAGTCCAAGTACTCTTATCTACCCTGCACTATCCATTGGGCCACTCAGGTGGTACTTGGACTTTTCTTCAACGTGTATGTAGCGTTATCACCCTCACCAGCATCTACTTCTAATCTTCATCCTTGCGGCCGGTCAAAAGCAATCAATTTCGTGCGACGTGAATGCCAGATCTAACTGCCGACGCAGTCAACCTCCGTCGAAGCAGCTTGACTCGGCCGCCCACGCGTGATTAACTGGCCTCGAATATGTCAAACAGCTGACTCGCAAACCGCAGAAACGCATCGTGAACGATGCCACATGAAGGAAATCTTTGAAAACCTAACAACCCCCCTCCAGCCCGCCCAATCACTCACATGCCCCAGTCCCTGATATACTTTCGTCATGAGGCTGATGGCTGTCAAGTCAGGGTCGACGGCCGAAAGAAAAGGTTCCGAGTAGGCTTCACCACCATCCCTGTCTTGTTCGGTTGGACGCAAACACCCTTGATGAACCCGGCCCAACCAACCAACCCAGTCCATAGATTAATCACTTTCGCCCAGCCACTGTAGCAACCCACGCCCACAGACCTCAGGCTGCCTGGCTGGTCACATAGGAGCCCGTGCCCCCCCGTGCCCGTGCCACAGTGTCGTATGGCATATTGCCGCCGCGGGACGTGACGACGGAAACCCAGGCTTACAATGATCATAGTAATCATGCCGCACGGCCTCCGCCAAAAGACCGTGACGAATGTGCTTGGCCGGGTGGAGGGGGAGGGGCCGCCCTTTTGCTTTTGCAGTCTGACAGTTCCCGGAATAGAAAAAAGATCCCAAGCTTTGCGATGGGTGCCGTCACCCGTCACCCGTCACCCTCGACCTTGGGAGTAGGATAGTGCGGAGCCGCAAATCTTTAATTCCTTAATGAACCCAAAATTATGTGGGTTGAGACCCGGCAGTTTGTCAGAGTGGACCGCAAATTGCCGCGGAACCTTTACAAGCATGTTGAGTAGGCACGGCCATGTCGTTTCCTTGCGACAAGGGAAAGCTTGTTCGATCGAGAGCTCGACTTGTTCAGCTGCCGCAATGCTGGCAGTGCTGTGACTTATAACTAAACAGACAAGGTTTGGTTCAAAGATATGATTTGAAGCCTGACGGCTTGTATTCCTATGGACTCGCCAATCTTGATATTGGAGTATGCTATGATAGACTCTTGTGGTGGAAAATGCGATGAAACGAGTGTTGTTCGGTATAGATGATGATACACAAAAGCCACACTGTCTGCAGCGAGAACAGACGACAGGATCGTCGGAAGATCGGAAAATAAAAACAAGGCCTATTGTATGGGGGCCTGCCAAACGCCGGCAAACAAACATCCAGCTCTACTCCCGCCTCGCATCGGCTTCACAGTTGGGTATATCCTCCGTTGAATTTGTCATGAAATCGTGTATGAATAAGGGAAAGTACTTAAGACAGATATAGCTGGGATGGCGGGAGACTAAATAACAGACGGGGCATGTCGTCTGGCTCTCTTTGTCCACTGTCTGTGTTGCAATAGCGGGGCATGAATCCGATATATTGCTTGGGAGGAACTAGGTCTGACCACATATTGGTGGTCGACCAATGTTCGCGTCCACGGCACATGGCACCTGGCATGGGGAGGTCGGGTTGAAACTCGAGGTGTCGTGACGAGCTGTCACTGCCGGCCGAAGATATCCCCGCCAAGGATCATCAGCGCTGCCTTCCTAACAGGCCAGCGCGGTCTTCGTCCCAGTTCCTGAAACAGCTTGGACAGTGATTTAACGTCACTTTGTCGGGATGCAAGTGACGAACCACGATGCAGTATGAAGGCTAAAAAAAAAGCCGTCGTGGGTGCTTGGTGATTTTCAACAGCTGTTCGACCTCCTTATTCGATTTGTACGCATTGCAAAATGCGTCGAAATGTATTCTGTATTTGGGCGATTCAAGACCCGACCCTTGTGTCTACACACGTGGTGCCTGGCTGGGGCGTGTCCAGTAGCGCTGCCTTCAACCGATCGCTCGTCCGATCATATCCTGGTGTAGTGGCGTCGACCCAGGCCAATCGTTCGAGAGTGATAGCCTTGGCGGTATCGACGACGACGAGAACACACGAGAATGTCGCTCATGGGAAGGTCTCCCCTGGTAGTCATGGTGATCATGGGAAGTTCGCGGCGTCAATTCGACATCAGAGTCGTAGCCCCTGAAGTGATCGCCGAGGCTGCGCAGACTGAAGCTCGACCGCGTCCGCGTGTGCGCATGTCTAGGCTGTTGAGGGTTGGGAGGCATCTTGGATAGGCGCGAAGCTTGCCGCTTAGGATAATGAATGAAAGGGTCGTCTCCGGGAACTGCGTCATCTGTGAGGCCCTCCCGAGCATTCGGTGCCCTCGCTTGTATTGGCGTTTGTGGTAATTCTTTGTCAAGACTGATCTTCCGTCCATCAAGACTTCTTTTCCCATAGTGATACTGCGTTCGTGGAGACCTGGGCGAACGCTCCTCAGATCTGCGAGTGTTGGAGTAGACAATCACGCTGGTCGACTTCCTGGTAGAGCTGACTGATACGTGCTTAACATGTCCGTTATTGTCAGCATAGGCTGTCGGCTCAGCATCGTCGCCTAGCTCCTTCTCATGACGTTTGTTCTTCCAAGTTTCGATCTCATCGTCATCAATGGGCGTGATTCCACGTCTGAAAAGCTTCGACCGTCTCCGACGGCACCGTAGACACACGAGAGCGGCTCCTACGACCAGTACAACACCGACAACCGACAACACTGTACTGAGGACGATGACAGTTGTGCGGTTCCCATCTGATGACTCGGAGCCGCCGCGGTTGTCGGGAGAGGCTGTGATATTGGGCGATGCGGTGGCGTTGGCCGAATTTCCCGAGATGCCAGCTGAGTTAGAACCAGGTGTGTTTCCCCCAGTCGCAGCGGGCGTGGAGCTGGATTGTATTTCTATTGACGTGACAGTCACTGTTGCACTCAGTTGAGCGCCGAAGGTGCCGGAGGGCAGCAGATCTTGGCTCGACGACGAGCTGTCTCGTCCTTGGGACCAAGGCTGGAAATCAAAGTTCGACATGAGAGGCGTTTGAAGCACGGTTCCTCTGAGAACGGCTTCGATGGTCAAATAGTGCTGCCTTGGGTCGAAGCCTCTGGTGGTGATCCCTCGATTGCTTTCCACTGTAGCTGCGAAGGATCGAAGGAGATCTCATGAGTAGATGTGTGACTGATCTCTCCCTGGAAAGATGCTGCAAACATAAGTCAGTTGAAGACGTCTCGTTGATTCCGTACTATACATTCGCACGCGGTGCAATGCCAGTGTCAAAATATAACATCTTGCACTTGGCACGGGGAGATGCCCCAGAACTCATAGCTCAGACAAGGTCATTAAAAAAAAGATTGACCTCAGAGGATAGCAATAAATTGAGCCGTATCGATGCAAGACGCGAATGCATATGCTGAGGAAAAGAAGAAAGACAAGGAGCTTGGAGCGGGGCAAAGGCACGACAGATCGACTCAAAGGAAAGCAGGTCATACGTACAAGTCGACTTTGGAAGCAAGTATTAGAGAGAGGACCGGCCAACCGAAGACGTAGGCACAAAGCAAGATAGGAGAAAGAGTAGGGAAGCCTCGAAAGAATGTGGTCCAAGGGAATAACTGGGCCTCGTCGCTGCAAGATCACATAAATCTTGGGATCAGCAGAGGGAAGCACCGGCAGAGGCAGGCAGTCTGCCCCTACGAGCTCAGAACATCGGAATGTGCGGCCCAGGCGATATTATACTGAGCAGCCGGTCTAGTCTTGTCCGTTACGGACAAGGTTGGCCCGCGAAGAAACTTGCTCGGAGACGGATGTGGCAGCACACGGCGATGGTGTGAAGCAAGTTTGCGTTGCTTATCATGAGATGGTGCGAGGGGTACTCGTAGGCAAGAGAGGGAGGGGATGACGGATTAGCCAGAGATTTATTAGCTGTTTCAATGGGGGAAACTCGAGAGCTTTTGGGTGATGGTGGTGGGGCTTGTCGTATGTCGGTGTACAAGGACCATAGTATGTAAGCGTGTAAGTGGGACGCCACACAAAGGAAATTCTCCTTGCCGGGGGTTTCCTGGCCGGTGGAGCATGTATTGTGGTACCTACATAGTGCCTACCACTCAAGAATTCAGTCAGGTTAAATCTCGCTGGTGACCAATCACAACATGATTGCTGTGACGGCAGCTCACACGAGAGGTGCAAAAGGCCCAGCTTCGACATTGGGATGGACATCAACGGGCGGGTGTGCTGTCTGTGCTGGACATGGCAGTGCGCTCAGATACTCGTTCTCCCACGATGTGAGCCAGGAACAGGCATCGTTAGCGGGAGGTTTATCCTGGCGGCCTGCGAGCGGCATGGCGACATGGGCTGGCTTGCCTACACCCCTGTCAGCTGCTGGGTCGCCTGAGATCTCGAAGCAGTGACACATGGATGCCGCGAGATGATGGCACAGCATCGATTAGCGGGTTTCCACAGCCTGTCAAGTGGTGGCACATGGTAGATCCTGTACACTGACGTTTGTCCTTTTGGGCGTTTTGCACATCAGCTCCATGATCAGGGCTTGAAGTGAGGCCCGAGCTGACGGTGGCTGTTTGATGGTCGTGGTCTTCGATATATGCGGGCCGCAGCCAAGTGCACATGCTGGCTGAGTTGCCAGGCACATCAGCAATGCCAGTTGGCAGTGATTAGGGTGGCAGGCAGACCAACTTGTGAAGTGCTTGCAGGCGTGGTGCATGTAGGATTCGCCAATGAGAGCCCCCGGAGGCAAACTGGGCGATTCGTCCCGAAGGCTATCCGGCGAGAAGGGTAGGTCATGGCGAAGGAGGGCGACAGACACACTAGCGAATGAGATAGCTCAGGTTGATCTGAGGCTCCAGATCACCGCCCATTCCGTCTGGACTCTACAAGCATGGCATTTCTATGGAACACGTCGTCGGCGAGATGAGTGGTGTCGGACGTTGAGCTGGAAGGCTGCTGGAAGCCTCACGGCAGATGCGTGGCTTTCGGCACTCCGGTCGACGCAATTAGTCTAGATGATGGGACGACTCTTTGTTGGAGGACAGAACCTAGATGTGACGGGGTGACCTGAGCCGTGGGTGATCCTTGGGCGTAATTCCATGCCTAGACATCAGCCGCATTTCGGGAGAACGGCAGGCTAGAAGCTGGTGGCCTCTTGACATGGTCAAGCCGTCGTCTCAACGTCTCGAGAACGCGCCTGCTCCCGCCTCTATGACGGCATATCGCAAGTGTCAAGGTGAGCACTGACAGTGGCGGTGACCATGTCTCCCATACCCTCAGTTCACGACTCTTTGGTCGTGGGCTGGTGATAGCAAGGCAGGGCAACCGTCGTCAGATAAAAAAAAACCTTCACAGCATGGCAGACGTCGGAACAGCGAGAGGCCGGGCCAGCTCGCCTGCGCTGCAGACTGCGATGCAGGCAGACTTGCATGTTGAGCATGCTGTGCTGTGATGGCCGCCCATCGGGGATTATCTTGTTGCGCCAATGCTGCCGGCCGCGGGTAAGGGACAGCGTTCAAGGCCAGGGGTGTCAAAATAACCCGAACCACACGGTTGGGCTTCTCCGCATCGGCTGCGGGGATAGCGTGTTTTAGGTGGAGGAGCGCTGGCCAACAAGGTGTGAGGATTGGATGAGTGTCGAAAGACAAAATCCTACAGGCCTCTAGGCTGGGAGGTTGGCTCTCTGTCGTGGAGGTCGGCGATTGGACTGTGGCCAAAGCCGTCGGCGCATCTACGCCGTGTGCCCGAGCAGGAAGCTGGCAGGTGTTGGTTGTTGGTGTCGGCCGTCCCTGGCATGCTGGTGGGGTGTTGGGCAGCCGGAAGGGTGGGATGGATGGTGGGATGGTGGGAGATGGTGGGAGGATGAGGCCTGGGCCCAGATGGGTTCGCGGTGGGTTCGTGGGCCAGCTGGCGAGGAGGTAGACTAGCAGACTGAATTCATGTTAGGTCGGGCTCGAGGCCGAGGCCGAGGCCGTGAGACGTATGGAGAAGATGGAGTGGTAATTCAGGTACGCCAGGAGAAGGAGCCACTCAGGTGGAGTGTAGGCTTGCGCGAGGGAGGAGGCTGTCATCAGGTGGACATCTGGGTGCAACGTGGTGACGGATGCGCTTCATATCGAGCACTAGCGCCTGTTGCATCTCAACCATCAACCACGGCAGCTTGCAGGACCGAGGTGGGATGTGTAACGAACGCCGAGTCTGGGTGTCTGGCAATTTGTTAGATAGCTGTCTGGTGACGAGACTTGACTCGGGGTTTGCTGCGGTTGGTTGGTCGGGATGGGAAATGCGATATCTCCCATAGTACAGTACAGTAGCAGTCGCAGTAGCCAGAGCTTGGTAGAAGCTGCAGCTGCGGGCACTCACTCACCTTTACCACGCAATCGTGAACCACGGAACAGAGCTGGGCCATAGCTTGCTTCCCTTATCGGGCTAGTCCTATACGTGCGGTAGAGTGGGTGAATGGCACGAGTGGACACTTGACACAGGACAGGCAGACAGGACGTCGATCCACGTTCCCTGTGGATCTGAGCAGGGTTCCAAGCGAAGGTGGGGGCACGGTAGAAGGGGGCCCCTCAGGAAGATCTGCTCAGAGGGACACATGGGTAGGTAGGTGGGTTTGTTCCATGTTCGATCTCTTTCTTTCGTCTCAAGTGCTTTCGTCCTCGTCGTCAGCCAGATTCACAAAAACTGCAAAGCCCATCTGCTCTGTTTCATCTCATCGTGTAAACACCGATCGACTTGCATCTGCTCTAGTCAAGATGCAAGACACAGATGCAAGATGCGGTGTGGCCGTTGAGAACCGTGGCCTTGCCTCGACTTGTGTTTTACACAAGTGAGCTACACGTACCAACAGCGGGCCGTGTTTCGGCGAGTGGGACGGACGAGGACGTCGATCGCCGACGACAAGGGCATGGAAATATCATTTCGGCCCTTGTTCCAACTGTCCAGCTCTCCAATTCTCCTAGTCTCCAGGACGAGCGTACCGCCGCCTGTTGATAAAATACCCGCGCTTGCCTCATCATCCTCGGCTCGGCCTTGCCTTGGACGCCTCTGCATGCAATTTGGCACCTAGTCTCTAGTCTGGGGGCAAACAGAATGGCAGCAAGCCTGTCAGTCCACGACTCCACGACTCCACGACGACACGCAATGCTAGGGCATCTTCAGCCGAGATCGCATGCAAGATACACTTTCGTCTGGTCTCTTCCCATCCGTATCGGGCGTTCCCGCACCTAGCTTGACCCTCTCTCTCTCTCTCGCCCCTCTAACTCCTCGCGGTCGCAACTGTCATGGTCACCGGCCTACCTATCGACTTGTTTGACCATGAGGCAGTGTGGGTGGTAAATCATCGTGTCACCACAGTACCCAGCCTCGCATAGCTATCGATAATATCAATCATGCTGCGGCAATTCAGCGTACCCTCCGCGCTTACGATAATGCACGGCTTCGGCTGGTCGGCCTCAACTCCCAGTCAATCAGGCGCCTAAACTCAAGATGCAAAGCACGCAACAGAGCATAGGACCCAGAACAAAACACACCCTCCGCTGCAGGCCTCCGGTCGACAACCTCGATTTGAAGCTGATGCGAAACCATATGCCAATCGGCATTCGTCTTGCTCCTTGAGTGTCCAGCCTACAAAGTACCAGACGGCCAGACAGACAGGCCAGACTAGTCTCGATGCACATGCGCATATGCACATGCACGCTTATGCACACCAATGCAGGAGCGAAACAGGCGCTCGCAAAGCTAGGCAGCTTACACAAGATACCGTGCAAGCACCATCGCTGGAGCCCTCATCAAACTAGATTGACTTTTCCAAAATGCTCTCTCGGCCGATTCATCTAACACCAGCCACTACCTTGATGCTCAACCTCCAAGACTCTCACCGCTCTTCTCGGCCGTCTGTGACAGCTTCAGTCACCTGGATCGTCCTCAGGGGCCGCCGCCGCCTACTAATGGGGCGGGAGACTTCGTCCGGTCTTGACCCCGGGACCTCGAGGGATTGGCTTTCCCGACAGAGAAAGTCGATGTCACCTCAGGTCGGCTTAGCAAGCCAATAGTGTGGCCTGGCGTTCCTGGTGTGTGCGGTGCAGCTCCGCCGTGTCCAATGCGATGCCAGCCTCTACCACGCCCATCACGTGTCTGGCATGCGATGGGTGGTGTCCTACTATGCAGCACCTCACTTGAAGCTATTCTCGGTCTCGCTAACGCATGACCTGCAGAAGGAATGCAGGTACGGCGTCAACGGACGGCGGGGGTCCTCGTGCCCCTTTTTCTGCCATGTACTGCCTACTTCGAGGCCATTCGTGTTATTGTGTATGGTGAGCCCGCTCGGAACACGCACGTCGAAACAGTCCGACGCACACCAGAGTAATGTGGCTGCATACTGAGTAGCCTCAAGTCCGCCAATATCTGCAATGGCCGGTGTTTTGCCGCCATCGAGTCATGCCAACTGTAACAAGCCACAACAAACATCCGAGGCAATTCTGAAGTTTGTACACTACTCTCTCTCGCTCTCTGCTCTCAAACAGGCGGTAAGCACTTCGTGGCTTGCACGATCCTGATTACGGCGTCGAATGAAGCCCCGAGGCCGAAGAAAATCAGCTTACGACCGCCGGCCAACGTTGTTTCAGCCAGCGTTGAACAACGCGTTGAAACTCAGCGACCGGAGATATGGAACCACGCCAACTTCCACTTCAAGGAAAATTGTCCGGCCAAGCTTAGCGACCACCATGGGACTGCTCAAGACTTTGGGGAGTTCCGCTGCATTTAGTCGGTGTTTAAAATGCAGCCGAGGCTCTGCGCAACACTGCGTGATCTTGAGAACGTCCAGGCGTGATTCCAGAGAGGATACTCGTATTATAAGACAGCCCTAGCAGACAGTGGCAGGATAGCATCCGACGTGATAGCCTCTTACTTGCGATAGGATGAAATGCGAGATATTGAAAAACTAGTTCCCTGCTCAGACAAGGGCCTCTCGTCCCTTTGCAAGGGCGACAGCTTCAAGCGGAGATGCCTGCCGTCAGAGTTGTAACGCCAGCACGCTTACGGTTCGCGAGGAAGCCTCATTCTGAGCCCCACAGAGCCGTCTCGTTTTCCAGCAGCTTGGTAACAAGTGGCGCAGCCTATCTTAGCTCCTCAGGGGTTAGATCGCGAAAAAAAAGTTCGACAAGAAAATCAAACCCATGCTGTCTTGGTCCTCCGATCATCTCGCCACTTCCCTGCCTCAGTTTCTACTGTGGTATTGAGATCTTCCCATAAGCCGATGTAACACGCCGATAGGCACCCTGGCAATGATCTACCGTCAACTTGTCGTCAGCTTGCAGGTACCGAGTCATGAGAGGCTTTTCGGTAGTGGTTTGAACCGGTCCAGTAATGTGATCTGTGTCAGCAATGGGATGTGATGAAGTTTCGCATGGCACGCCAGAGCCAAGGCAAATCTGGCTTGCCAGGCTGCATGTGATGGAAGCCAGTCGGGGTCTCGTCAGCCTCAATGTCAAATTCAATGACTGCCGGTGACGAGCGGCCGACAAACGTCTCAAGTCAGGTCAGCTCGCAGGGGTCCCAACCAAGCATTCATGCAGGCGTCCGAGATACTGTAAGAAGGGACGAAGAAAGATCTACAACGGCACATATACTGATCTTACTATATGTTGTGAGTTATCGTGTGATTTTTGCGCCTCGAAAACGGCTGCCTTGTGCAGCCGGGCGACAGTGGTCGGTCACGGTCATCTTGCATTATGCAAATTGAGCATGATACTATTTTAGAACAAACTTAAGGTCTAATCGTAGCTACCACCAGATGTGAGCATGGAAAGGCCGGTCCAGGTGCCATTTGAGGCAGTCTTATCACCCATCCGAAGTTTTCATATACTTTTGACGCTTCCTAGCTGCAGAGTCGGCTTTGTCGATCTGGACTTGGAAGTGCTTGCGCTGATATAATTAGATGATATTAGCAATGTACATACTAGACAACCTGGACGGTAGAAGCTTGTCTCACTGGCTATGGCTAATCGAGCTCGCAGCTTCTGAATGCGCTTTCGTTCCATGTTGTGGTCGCGTGTCCAGTCAGCACAGTCGTCTCGTGGCTGCTACGCAATTAGAGTACCAAATAGAATGTTTGTGTTTGTCTCATTCTGTCTGGTGCCTTATTCGTTTGGACTGAATCAACCGTCTTGAAAGATATAGAATGATCAAAGGCAGACACCACATGGTCAGCACAGAAATGATGTTCTGGACTTGTGTTGGTACAACTCCTCATTTGCGCCATGGACTCCAGCATCGTCGTAGAATTTGACAGAGCCAAGAGTGTTGGGTCATCTAACAGTGACAACAATGTCATTACAAAACTTGTGACTACAGAATGTGCTATCAGCGAGTCTACTCCACGAACGTGTTGAAAATTATGCATCTGTGCTTATGTGATGTGGACAAGACCGTCTCGAAGACCGACTTTGATGAGACTGTGTTGTGTAATGCATTTGTTTAGTGTATAAAATGCTGTTGAGAGCCTTTCAATAGCACTGAATACGTCCGGCACTTTATGAGGCTGAAATCAAAGAAGACAACTAACATCGATCAAGACGGAGAAGCGCCAGCAATTGCCCATCCTCTAGGAATCTCCATCGTAGTAGACACTGCGCAGGATATTATTCGTGCGCTGGTTTTGTGAAAAGATATTCTAAGTTACTTATAAGTTTACATATCTTGTGGCTAGACCTAATTTATTTATCATTTGTGCCGCCCAGTAATGCCACCACCTTTTCCTTGTCATGTTGCGCCCCTGCCTACAGTTGCCTTGGTATTCCTCGATCGCTCGTATCTGTAAACAGATTTTATTTTGCTAAACACTGGCCAGAATTGTCCCAACGCAGCCCATGAATCATCTCGAAAAAGTCCAATTTGGTCTTGATCACGACCGCGGACTTGAATGGACAGATAATGCCTTCTTTGTAGTCGCTACACAGCCGTCTCCGAGAGCGTGATCAACATCCTGGCCGAGGAATTTGCATCTAGGGTCATTGTATGATATTTACAAATAGGACTTATGTCTCATTGAGAACATTTTCTGGTTGTGTTGGTTCGAAAATCAATAGGCGTTGAATGAACAGAGTAATGGAAACACTGGGCAAGATTAGCCAGGCTGTACCCGAGGCTTGCCCTCGAGCTACAACAGGTGGCTGGCCCTTGTAATTGACGATCGCGGGGAACTGATTCACAGTGATTGATGCCAGCCGTGTCTCAACAAGCTAGAAACAGACATTGTTGACTCCTCCAAACTCGCTTTCCTTTTGAATGACTCTTTGACCTCACGTCTTAGTGCATACTAGAGCGTCTTTCCTTTAGCCCACTGACGAGACCAGGAGAAACAAGAGAGAGACAGGGTATTTCCTTTGGGAAAATTAGGTTAGTCTCCTGTGGGATAGGCTCTCAGAGGATAAATGAATTGGGAATACTCGTCAGAGCATACGGAGTCATCTCGTAATAGACCTCTGAACCATCACTAGTATTCAGGTTGATTGGTTATGTAGAGCCTTCCTACAAAGAATTGTTTCAGCCGATTATTTTACCGTCTTAATAAGGCTTGATTGGTGCACATGATAGTGAAGTCAAGTGTCTTTGAATAAGTGGCTCAGCCTCTTCCAAGATAGACATCACATTCCGGACGACTTTCACTGATCATAGATTAATCTATTTGAACTGCGAGCTGTTGCTTGGAGTCTATATTTGCGTCATTGTCTAGCGTGTAGAAAATGGTTTGTCTCGTCTGCAATTGATGCAAAACTCGACGTTTGACACCGGACTCCACTGGAAAGATACTGTGTCGTACTCAAACTATCTTCGAGGGAGTGACGCCGCTTCTGCGAGGGTTTAACCCTGGAACAAATAGACAGTCTCTGACATTCTCATCTTCTCAGTTGCATTGGTCAGCAACCACAACCCACCCATAGAGTGCTTGCACTTATGCCTCGTAATTGCCAGACAATTGAGTATTTAAAAAATTCGAAGGACAAAGTACCTAGCAATACATGTAAATGCCAAATATCTCCTTCACACGCATCCAACCACAATCTGCGGGAGCTGGGTGTTGGTGTAAGTGTGGTTTCTGTGGAATCCGCTAGAAGGTTCCAGCGGGTTCCAGTGGCATCACCAAACTGCGAGGATGGTGAGAGCCTCATCGTGTACCTTCTCCGACCTTCCCGCTCTTCCGAACACGGACAAGTGTCACCGTTGTGGCCTCTGCAAGCGGCCATGGAACCATCTACGCTTTGCTACAGCCTTCTCGACGTGTCGTGATGATTACGTCGAGTTGCAGCCTCGTCGTTCCACGGTCTTCCCGAATCTTCAACAATGCCTCCCACCATCACTCCTTCTCAAGTATAAAGATGCAGTCAATCTCTCCTTACTCCCATCTGGCCTTTTTGTTCATCAGACAACAGCAATCACAAGAAGACCTTCATGCACTCTACAAAAACAGTCTACAAGCAACTCCCTCGATCAATTCGCACACCAGCAACTCTCAAAATCTCTCGACCTATCACCACAACAGCCAAAATGTCGTTCTTCCCTCGATCCTACTTCGCTCCTGAGTCCTCCTTCACCCCTCTCTTCCGTCTCCTGGATGACTATGACAACTACTCCCGGGAAGTCTCCACTCAGCAAGGACAGGGCAACCGACAGACCAGCCGACGGTCTGCTGCTCTTCCCTCCTTCACCCCTAAGTTCGATGTCAAGGAACTAGAGAATAGCTATGAACTGCACGGCGAACTCCCTGGAATTGAGAAAGACAACATCCACATCGAGTTCACCGACGACTCAACCATTGTCATTTCCGGCAAAGTCGAGCGCCACTACACCTCAGGCACCCCGCCCAATGAGGATGGCAGTGTCCAGATGAGCGGCGCCATCACCGAGGCTGGTGAGAAGGAACACAACAACTCCCACAAGGCCACAGTGGAAGACGAGGAGTCTGAGAAATCGAAAGAACAGGGCGCCTCTACGGAAGTCGCCAAGACCAGCAAGCAGCAGGAGGTGCAGAAGCCCGCCGAACGGTACTGGGTCTCTGAGCGATCCGTCGGATCCTTCCACCGGACCTTCAGCTTCCCCAGTCGGATCGACCAGGAGCAAGTCACAGCAAACCTCAACAACGGTGTCTTGACCATTAATGTGCCCAAGGTCAAGAAGCAGGAGGGCCGCCGCATTGCAATCCAGTAAACGGTGCTCGTCCTCAACATTTACCACCGACATATCAAGCCAAGGCGTCATTCCTTAATACGACACAATTCGGAAAACGTCCCGACAAAGACGAGATTATGAATCTAATGCTGGGTTTGCATGGGACTGGTTTTGAATTTCAAAGCATTGCATCGTGGATTGCGGAGTAGTCTGACGGGTCAAGTTGGGAAATTGGAACAGTGCTTTCATTAGTTCATTCATTCAATACCTCATTAATCAAACTTTCTTAATGATTAAATTCGCCTTACCATTGACGTGAAATTTCTGTGTGAACTGCTCCGATATGTCATAAGACTGGCTAGATCGGACCACGGACAATACTGTACAATTCCCCGGGAGTGCAGACCAGGCGGAGGTCGCTAAGCAGATTTGAGCTGTCGCCTCTAACTTATATCAAGCTGACTTGACTTACCGAGCCATAGCCTACGGTACCCGAACGGTACTCACGGGCGGAGTGGGACATGGAGGTGAAATCGCTGCCGGGCCGATCCTCCGGCACTTGTCTCCGGCTCCGGCTCCTACGCCGGGTTGACTCACTTCTCGGATGAGGGACCTATTGGACTGGAATGCAGCCCGATCAACGAGAACATGCACCGGCCAATGCATACTTAAAGCCTCCCAAGCTACTCACTTCGGAACAGATTTCAAATCATTAAGCGTGGAAGACCGGAAGTCCGCAGAGATGGAGGACTCGACTTCGACGTCTGGGAACATGAGACTGGGCTGGATTGGTACGTCATCAACTTCGTTGTTTGGGCTTTCAAGGAAGGGCGGAAACAAACAATGATGGGAGCAGCAAGAGTCTGACATGTCATAGGTCTCGGTTCAATGGGTCTCGGCATGGCAACGAACCTCCAAAGCCATTTGTCCCGGCTCAGGGCCCCCAGTCTCCGCTACCACAACCGAACGATGTCGCGCGGACAGCCGCTCCAAGACCTAGGTGGCGTGCCATGTGAAAGCATAGCAGGCCTCATCTCCCAGACAGACATCATCTTCCTATCCCTGAGCGACGATTCAGCCCTAGCAGCGACCCTCGACGCAGTCGTCGGGGCAGGGGCCGATCTGTCGGGCAAGGTCATCGCGGACACGTCCACCGTCCACCCCCGGTCCTCAGAGGAGGCACAGGCGAGACTGCGCGAGAGGGGTGCCCGGTTCGTCGCCGCGCCCGTCTTCGGCGCGAGCCCGGTCGCGGCGCAGGGGAAGCTCCTGTTCATCCTGGCTGGGCCGGAAGATGCCGTGCAGGCCATCAGGCCGTTCCTGGTCGGTGTTATGGGCAGGGGTGTCATCCGCCTGGGCGAGGATGTCAAGGAGTCCAGCTTGTTGAAAACAGCAGGGTATGTCTACGACTTTGGAACATGGAATACTTCAGAATGAATGCTCACAATTAGGGTTTAGTAACTTCATGACAGCCGCCAGTAAGTTTTTCCAGAAGGGTTCATTTCCTCGAGCGATGCAACATTCGTGGCACAACTTCTGCTGTTCATATTGTTATCCACGTAAAGCTGGGATATTGACGTTACACCAGTGATGGAAGTCGTTGCAGAAACGCACGTCTTCGCGGAAAAGACCGGCCTGGGCAATGGGCCCATAGAATCTCTAATTGAACAGCAATACGGGCCACTGGCGCTGTCGATGTCCAAAAGGCTAACCACCGGGGCCTACAGGCCAGCAAAAGAAGAGAGGCCATGGTCAGATTTGAATCTTGCACTCAAAGATGTAGGTCATGGAATCGCGTGTGCCCAGGAGGCCGGAGCGAAGTTGCCGGTGGGCGAGGTGGTTCAAAAGCACTTGCAAGAAGCCAAGGAGGTCTCTGATGCCGACTCTCGTCCCCTTGACTCCTCGTCCATGTACGGCATATTGCGGAGGAAAGCTGGGCTGGAATTCGAAACAGATTTGGTGAAACGAAGGGATGCTGCAGATTAGAGTCTTGTGCACATTGGAGGTCAAGGACTACAATTCTGTAAAGCTTTTGTAGGCCCTATTAAGGAATTTTGTTACAATTTGATGTCCATAACATTCTTTACTTGATACCAAGGCCTTGGTTGTGGTCGTTCCCGAGATCACGTTCTCGGGTTTTGCCTTGCTGCTCAGGTTGTGCCATCGCTCCGCGGGCTCTCGATATTGTCGTATCCATGAATGGCTATACGTCTTGTTAAATGGGTTCGATTCCTATTGAGAGGCCCTATATACCTGAAACAAACCAGTCCCTCTGTTCCGGAGACATCTCGCCATCGTACCTTCCACCGTAGGCTTCGCCTCATTTGGCATACATTCGAAAAGTCCTTAGGCTTAAAAAAACCACAGTAGCGCGATCTGGTCATCCAGTGCATTCAAGAGGACTTAATTTGAAGACGACGAACGAACGCGTCACGGAATTTGAATCAACGAGAGCTGCATATAATAACGGAGAACGCCGCCGCCCACATGTTTGATTCTTTGTGACAAATATCAATAATTCATAATAATCGGGGAAATCGGTCGAACATTTACATCATTACAATATCTCTTCCCAAAATGTAACGTCGCCCTCATATCTCACGATACCAGTCTGTATGCAGTTATATCCGTCTTCAATTCTTGCAGTCGTAGCTTGCTTGAGTCGCTATTTTTTTCAACTTTCTTTCTTTGTGAGTATTAGGTTGAAGTCACTCCACCTAATGTTCAATTAATAACAACACACAGAATGCGCCTTGAATCCGACACAAACGGTGAGAACAACTAGATGAGGCCGTTATGATAGCATTTTGCGGCATCTCGAGCAAGGCGCCGATAGTTCGCAGCCAATCCATCCAGTTGGCGATAGTCATATTCGTCGTGATACTCACCACATGGACTATCCCAGGCCATATTTTGGCCAGAGCCCGGTGCCATTCGATGGCGAAGAAATGTTCATACCATAAAGAATGTAGGCCTGTCAAGACTTAGATGTTTACTGGCCACCGCACAGGACACCATGGTGGACAGGCCCGCTGCACTATGATGTTGCTCTCAGCGTCGTAACTCATATTCACCACGTCTGTGCTACTCTACACAGATCAACATATAGGTTACTAGTTGAGGCTGAGCCTCGTGCGGCTTGTTTACGGGAATAACCCGGCTCGACATCTTACCATCCCGAAATTTAGCTTCGGCAGTCTAATCCTTCTTCCGCCCCAAACCAGCTAGGAGGAAACTGTCAGTGCGATCGTAACCTTTTGCAAATCTCTTCTATGCAGAGTATCCGGTAGATTTTGTACGTAGTTTCGTGATATATTCGAGAATTGTCTATGAAATAATTTATGGTAAAATTTGTGCCTGAATAAGCTCCGTGTATCCATTTCGCCACGCATTCTTCCAGCATGTTTGCAAAGGTGTGGGATCCCTGCGAATGGTATCATCCATCGTCAGGCTCGCCGGGAAGATCGGTGGGGCGGCAAGCAAATAGAGTTTGTTAGCCGAATTCGCCTCCTGTTGACGGCCAACGGGTCACGCGGGTAAGCTTCGGTAGGATTGGACGACATGGCCTCATGGTTCCACGAGGTGACGCCCCTCACAGTATCACAATGGCTGATCAACGGGTGGCGAAAGAACAGCCCTCGAGACCAAAGCGTCCAGGGCTGTGATGTCTGTGGGGCGGTCTCGCAACAAGTTTTGATGTGTCACGATGGGCGTTATCAGTGTCTTGTTTCGGTGCTCTAACCCCCTTGACATTTGACGTTGCAGAGACCCGCCTGGGATATCGAATGCCATCAACCCTTCCAAATGCCCACTTTCCACGAAATACAGCCCTTGAACCCAGCAGCAACTCTCTCGCCATTACCCTGCGCATTAAATCCAAGCCTGCTCACCTTGCTCACTCCAGCTCCTTTCCGTCTTCCAGTTGGAGATTATGTGATGATAGTGAAGTTTAGAACCTCAATAGGGCGTTAATGAGACTTGCAGTCTTGAGTGAAAGCCTTGACCCAGAATTTCGAAATTCCTGGGAATGCTGCTGGAAACAAATCCTTCGAACAAGGGAACAGCGCCTTGAAATTCGGGTAGAGACAGGTGTCCCCTTTCGGGAATGTTACCATGGCCCATACTATTGAAACGCAGGCGGGTATCCCATAAGCATAGGCTGCTGCTGTGGCGGCATTGACATCGGAATTGGACCCATGCCTATGCCCATCGGGCCCCTCGGTGCGGGAGCATTGTGGTTCTTGTTGAACAACCCAATAAGTCGCCGACCAACCGACGGCTCGAGTTCTGTGCCGTCCCTGGCGATTTTGACCTCTCTGTTAGAGTTCCAGGGGTTGCGCAAGCCTCTGCAGCGGTAAAATGGTAGCCTTGTCGTGCATAGCCACTCTAGCTTGAACGGTTTGCCCCAAGTCTTGCTTTCAGGTCCGAGGTCACCACTCATGCTCAAGTCCGTCTCTAGCTCTGTGCTTGTTGAAATGGCTGATGCGGCCTCATCTGATTCCACTCCTTCAGCAGAGTCCTCGCGAAGGACTTCCCAGAATATCGTGCCTCGCGCCGAGTCATCGATTATGCGTCCTTTGGGTGTGGAATCGGTGGGTTCGGTTGGGATCTCCTTTGGCAGATCTACGTCGCTGACAGACTGAACCTTTGGGGCAAATTCTATCGCCGCAGCCGGGTCTTCGTTGATAGTGGAAACCATACGAGCATACCCATAGTATTCACCGGACTTGTTGGCGGAGAAAACAAGGTAAACGTTCTCGACTGTCTGTTGCTTATTTACTTGAATTAACACTTGTCCCCGCGCGCCATGTCTGGTAACGTACCTTGAAAGCCTTGTTCAGATTCTCCTCATTGTGGGCTTGGGTGGCCCAAATCCCAGTCCGTACACTCAATTCGAGGTCCTCAACCGTCAAACTCTTTAGGACAAAGAATTTGTCTTTCTGTACGGAAACATCGGCGGATGGAGGAGAGATCTTAGCCTCCGAGGCGCTTGAAACCGATGGCGTTCCATTTTCAGAGCTGCTTGGTTCAACTTCTGCCGAGGTGGCCGGCATATGCTCTTTGGGCTCTGGCACGGTAGCGTGATGTGGTGTCGCAGCTGATGGGCCGGTGGGTGCTGTAATGCCGGAGACGCCTTCGACAGTGTTTTTCCTCAGTCGGCTCACGAGTCTCACAGATTGAAACTTGGATTCGTGGAGTTTCTGTTGGGCTGCCAAGCAGCTGGCCTCGTCTTTGTAGTTCGCAAACGCGCAATTAGACTTCGAAATCAAGAACAAGGATTCGAGACCTTCTGCTTCCTTGCAGACATGATGGACAAGGCTCATCAAATCTGTCTGAGACGGCAGGTTCCCAATCCAAATGGCATGGCCTTTGCAAGATTTAGCGCGAGCATTGGGATTGTGTGCATGGGCTCGTACGTACCGCTTTGTCGAGGCTTTCTGGGCGGCCCGCGGACCACATTCGACTGGCTGTCGCTCGATACTGCGCCCTGTCAGCTTCAGGCTGGCTCTAAGCACCGTTGATCCTCAACTTACGATTATTCGGCTCCTGAGTGGTAGGGAAAGCACCACTGTTCCTGCCATCCCCGACTTGTGTAGGGCCAGCCCGCATTTCAGGCTGGGAGCCTGGGATAGGCATATAAGAGCTCACCATGCCCTGATTGTGAGGTGGTTGCCCATGGGAGTGGAAAGGGGCCATCTGCGGGTAGTAGTAACCCATGGCAGAGTGGGACTGCTGGTTGGCCATGAGCTGATTGCCATAATAAGGGATGTTGGTTCTCGGCGACATGTTTGACTGGGGCTGGGAGGGCGAAATAGGGGAACCGTAGTACTGCGACATCTGCGCCTGCTGCTGCATGTAGTACGCTTGGTTCGGCACCTGGCCCATGGCTGCTTGACCGCCGTACTGGTGCATGGGCTGTGCTTGGCCGAGCATGCTTGGTGAAGCTCCGGACGGATTGTAACGCATTTGCGAAGGATTGATCGGACCTTGCCTGTAAGGTTGCTGCGGTAGAGCATTCGCCAGCGATGCCATGTTGTACGGGCCCGGTCGGGCGGGTGCTTGCGGTTGCGCCATCTCGGAGAACGAGGTGAAAGCTGCCTGGGGCTGACCGTACAGCTGACCTGTATAGGCCTGCTGTGGATCGAGACTTTGACTGCCCTGCTTGGGAGTCTGTTGAGTCTCTGTCGGACCTGATTGAAGGAACGCACTTGTTGGGAGATCAGTCGCGGAGCTCATTGAGCTGTCTCCCATTGAAGCTCCTGCCGGATGTCCTAGGCTCTTTTCGATGGTCAGCACAGACCCACCAAAAGGCAACAGATGCCACACAACGGGTCGATCTTCAATGCTGTAGCAATATACCTGCATATGTATCAAAACGAACGAAACCCCGCAAGTGGAAGCAGAAGATTTGGGTGTAAGGGGGCAGGGCAGTCGGGAGATTTCCCGTGAGAGGTCGAGCCGGAACGTCGCGTGGACGTCGTTAGGAAGGACAACAACGAAATGCTCGGAGCTAACCAGTCTTTAGGCAAGGGCTTTTTAGAGGCGAATAACGGTCGCTGATGCTTCGGTACCTCAAGCGTGGTGGTATAGCGCCCTTTAGCTCTGTTGTAGTGCAGAGACTCGTGGCCTGGTGCCCGCGCAGGTTACGTTGTGACAAGGGCGACCTATAAGAAGGTGGGCCCGACGCTGGTCTGGACGATGTCCCAGGAGCAGGGGTTCCGGGAAGGAGGAGCCGCCAGGTGCCTCGAATCCGCAGGGGCAACGAAGCTGAGATTGGGGGGAGGAGGCAGGTGTGGCTGCGCGAGTGCAACTTCCTCGAATATCTTTGCTTCTCCACAATAACGAAGACAGGTCAACTTGATAGGTTGCCCCGTATATGTGAGCCGGTTCGTCTCTTCGGCCCACGAAAGGAAAACAACAATGGCCCGAATGCAAGCGAGCGGTGGTTTCGGGGACCCGTGATAGCTAGGGCCTGGACGGTCTGAAGATGACCTGAAGGCCTGGAGGTAGGTCCGGGTCGGCAGAACACAGAACAGGTCTCGCCACAGCACGACTGCGAGCTCCAGGGGCCTGGGTCTTGTCGGAGGAATAGCCCACTATTTCTCGTAGTCACCTGTCGACTCAAAGGTAGTTGATAGTTGAATGAGATTATATCAGCAAGCTTGGAAGAGGCCGATCATTGCAAAGAAAGGAAAAAAGCACGCATAAATGAAGATCAGTGACAAGTGACGATCAGGATGGTTTTGTTTAAATTTCGACGAAAGGAGAGGGACTGTTCAGACGACGTTGGTGCGGGCGCTGGGTAAGCTACAGAAGGAGGAGGTAGGGAAGAATGACGACAAGCGATATACATATGTACCGTAGTAGTCTAGGTAGGTGGCCAAATTGTCTGTGAGGCCCAGTCCGGTCCGGTCTAAGGCCGCTCGATGACTATCAATTTTTCAAGTGTCCGACGCATGGCATGACATGGGACGGAGACAGTGGAGATGGGGCGAAAAAAGACAAGAAAGGGTCTTGACAAGCACTTGTCCACTTGAACACAGGCAGGTCCATCCTGGCTCGAGACCTTTTAAGCAGAAGCCCTGATGGGGCGTGGAGACGCACAATGGGGTCTCTCTCCAGCAATAATGGGGGAGGGGTGCTGGTAGCGGAGAGGTCGTGTTCAAGGGGGTTAACCGGGAGGATACCTGCCCGTGAGAAACTGGATCATCCCAGCCATCAGAACATCGATCCCACACAGATGGTAAAATGGTATGGGAATGTCGATTTTCGATGGGCGCCGAGAGGCAGCACGGCAGTGTGTCGTGGGCCAGGGAGACTGGGGGGCACCCCTGATCAGCAATTTTCGCCACCCACGTCCTGTTGAGAAACGTCGCAGCGAAGTTGCTGAGCCACAGTTGTTCTAGGCTCGCCCAACTTTGGGCGTCCTTGTGCATGCGGGTGCTACCTCCTCCCGTGGGTTACGGAAGGAGGAGGTTGCATCTGAGCGCTGTATTGTGTAGAAGCCATAGAAATCGTCCTCAGTTTGCCGTACCGAGGCTGGAAATTCCACACTGGCTCTCCACGTGAGCAAAAAAAAAAAAAAATTATTCAAGGTCGAGTTGTGAATAAAGGGACGCGTCTCTTTGACCATTTCTGGTCGTGGAAATTTCCCGATGAAACCCATCGAGGCGTTCGCAGTGTGCTTGGATACCGTCCGTTGCCAGTGGAGACAGAGGCGCCTCCTAGCTCAGATTGAGAGTACCAAGCCAGCATCTAGCTCCGGTGCTAGGCCCGCCTATAGGAATGCATTTCGTCCACGGCAAGACGGGAAGCGTGACAAGCTGGACATTTACCCAAGCCTTTGTTTCTCTGTTCACCACCTGACATAAGTAACATGCCACTTACCCGAATTGCTAGCCTGCAACGGCGACCCCTTCCGGTATGTATTGCGCAGAAGCTTTCTCCACTCTAGGGCTCAATGTTGTACCTACATGGACACCGTAGCACGCTGCACGATGCCCCGTCAGCGAGATGGATGCATGCTGGGTGGCGATTTTCGACCTCCCCCCCACACAGCCCAGCCCAGCTGAGTCGGACGAACCATCTCGAGGTTGCGACAACGCTACCCCTAGCACCGGGTACCCTCAATTGGCAGCTGCCCACTACCACGCACCGGTAGCTTCTGATGAGAAACGCCGGCCTAGACCTTGCGAGCTCCTTAGAAGGCGGTGGCTTTGAGATTGATACTGTAGGTATAGACAGACACCGTGGGAGAGAGGCTGCTGTCCATGCCATGACATCAGGCACTGAGACTCTCATGAGTATGATGACGGCATGCAATCATGACTCCTGGCGGGGTGTGGTCGGCAGGCCAGATGGGCCTCAATGGGTATTTTCGCCTTGGTAAGGGAAGCAATATCCACGGTGGGCGGTGGGTCTGCCTCCCAGGCGTGCTGCTGCCCGTGGTGAGGGTTTGAAAGGCGGTGGCGCTGATCACGATGCACCCAGGGCGGCCACGGCCGCCAGGGTCCCTCAACTCAGAGCCGTAGACGGTGCCTTTTGATTCGGTACGAAAATTCTGCCGATAGGCCAACATGTTTGTGCCGGCGGAAAGGGGTATTGTCACGACTCACAGTCAAGTCGGGGTGTCTGGCTCGTCTGGGTACCTAGGTCGTCAGTCCCAAGCGCGGCTCCTCGGCTAGCAAGCCAGCAATAACAAGCGACACGACCCTTTCAGTGATCACAACAGGGATGCTGCTCCTTGGGCCCTCAAGCAGCCAAGGCAGTGACCAAATTGTGCATGTGCTGGAGCTCGGTAGCAGCCGCAGGGCTCTCCACGTTTGTCCTGTGGTAGCCAATTGCTGCAGAGTAAGGTTGGGCCGTGCTGTGCCGTGCTATACGGGGCAGCGATCGTCACGGGTGGTGGTGGGCGGACTGAGGGGATGACGTCGGTGGAGATGGGGGCAGAGGGTCATACAGCAGCTAGGTATGGCAGCTATGCAGCCAGGAAACCCAGGCAGTTGTGCCGTGTTGTGACACACTCCACAATGTCAATGACCCAAACCGCACTTTTGGTGAAATTGTGATTACCGTACGCTGCAAAGGGCTGGCGCTGGCAGTCGCGAAAATCTTTTGACATCTTGGCATACACCTTCCCAATGCGACGGAGCCCTCACCTCAGTTGCGGCACGACTGACAAGCATCCTGGGCAGTCTGCTGGTCTGCTAGTCTGCCAGTTCTTCCAGACTTTGATCCACATGGTGCCGTTCCTGTATAGCAGTCAGTGAAGGGAAACCCTGCTGGCGGGTGGCACCAGCTGACAGCACTGGGCCGTGTTTAGTGGATTTCATCCATAATTAGACGCTTCCTGATGATGCCGTGTGATGTCGAAATGTCGAAATAAAAGACTTGCCGGCAGGTAGCATAATTTCCTATGTGCCTGTCTGTTGCGAGGAGCAAGGCACTTCATGAGGTACTGCGTAACTGGCATTGGCATCGGCAGGCATGTGTACCAATTTGGAGTAGCGCGGCCAATCCAAGGCGCGTCTACTGATGTAAGAGGTCGCTAGTTGACGTCATGAGAAGAAGGGGTTCAAGACACTGGTCTGGCAGTCTGGGAGCAAACGACTCAGTCGGTTCCTGCAAGGCCAAGGCAGCTTCTTTCAAGGGTCCTTCCTCTTTGGGTAATCGGGTACCTCTGAAGCTTCCAAGGTTGTGGCTCGAATGACGCTAGCCAGCCGCCGTGGTGTCCGTTTCAAATTGAGCCTGGCGGACCGTGGGCCTGGCTTCTGGCTTCTGATCATTCTCGGAGAGAAAACCTACTGGCTGGTTGCTTGTGTCAACAGTCAGACCAGACAGTATGCAGCTGTTGGGCCTCGGAAGAGGACTCGGTCTTTCGAGCTCGAGAGACCCAGCAGTCCCTGATGCGGGGCTTCTGGGGCCTGTGTAACAAGACGGCCCCAGTTTGGAGGGCACGCGGTCAATGGGGCAGCAGCCAGAAGAAGAAAAAACACCTCAAGCTGCATCCCTGACATGCGGTGCAGTTCCTTCCTGCCTACTTGCCTACCTGCGCGCCTTGGGAAGCTGTCCAGCTACAACAGCCAATCCCGTGTACGGGTGTGCTTCAATTGCCCCACTCTTGACGTCACCTCTCGGGAGCTTTCAACGACGGTCTCACGCGATTCATCAAGCCGTTGGGCACCTCGCGTTGTGTACCGTCTCGAGAAGTCCTGCAAATCATGACCACCAGCCCGCTATGGATAGGTGAATAAGAAGATAGGCAGTAACAATGTGGGAGGTGGGAGGGGAACTCATCGGGTCAGAGTGCGACGGGAATCCGAGCCTGTTTCTCAGCTCCTCTGCCTCTCTGCCTCTCTGGGGCAGAGGATACGCGCAACTCTGTTGCCACTGGCGCCAGGGCTGCTGGCAGGACCCTGGATTTCGTCGATCGCATTCAATTGCAGAAGGGATCGCAGAGCCTATTTTGATTTACGGTTTGCAACTGAAAGATATGGCAGGCCTGCAAGCATGGGTAGTTGTAGCTGGGCCAGGAACGGGCGGTGCTGGGGCGGATGGGGGTCCCGTTCGCAAGCGCCTAAGAGCCTATCATGGCACCCCACGTTAGTTGCCCGTCAGTCTCCATGAGGAAGAACTAGGAGAGCCTTCCTTCGGATTGGAAGACGAGGTTTCGAGTTCAGTATCGTAAACGCGGTCGGGTGCCACAATTCCCCATGGCGCCCCGACGTTTGGCTGGGTCATCTCGCCCAGTCCAAAAAGTGGCCGGGATATCGCCGCTAATAAGCCTCCAGGGCTCTAGATGCGCCCGCCCCCTGACGTGAGAAGCAGAGTGGCAAAGTCTCGCAACAGGTCGATCTTTCCGCCAGGTCTGGAACTGAATACAACAATGCTCCCTCGAAAGCTGCTGCACAAAGTCTGGTTCTTTCCGCAAGTCCGGGAGGGAGCCAAGCACCCACCTTGCTCCGGGGACGCCGTCCGAGAACCTACAAGATGGGTTGGTTCCATCCCGACTGCCACCGCCGTAAACAGGCCGGACGACCTTTATCGCCACATGATCCCCCGGTACTACCTAAGTGGGTTCTGGGGTGAGGCTTCTAATAGCTTACTCAAACGGCATCTAATGTTTGCCCACCGACTTTGCCCCTAGCCTCTTTCGTAGAATCGGTTGTTTGAAATTATATACACTTGAGTCTGACCAGCCCTATCTATATTACGCTTGCTGATTCCAGGAGGGTTGCTCGTATAGGTGGTTTATGGTAGGGATGTCTCACCCAGACTAGATCATACCTGCAGTAGTGAGAAGGAAAGCATGCTGACTATTTGTTTTGTCACTGTACTTAAGCGACCTAACCATCTGGATCAACATGCGCTTTACGGAAACTTGTGCAGGTGCCGAGTGGGATCAATCGTCTCCCGTGAGACATTGCGTGCATATGACGCTAGATCTATGACTGGGTTGTGAGCATAAGGACGACGAATCAACTACTCATTGAAAAGAAAAGGGCTAGTTCGAACGTCAGAAAGAAGCAAAGGACAGTAGAACTCAAGCAATAAGTACGCTCTCCGCGATTCCACATGACACGTATGACTGTAAATTTTCGACTCTGGCTCATATCGTGAGACGAGACTGCGCTCAGCCTCTTCAGGCCCCCTAAAAATTGAAAGTAACCGAAAAAGGTAAAAGGAGAAAAGGGAGAATCTATAATGTGAAGAAGTGCTCATCTACGACCCAACCGCTGAGAACGAACCTCGTGCTGGAAAGCTATATCAACTGCTGAAATGTTGAAGATTCTTTGTCTAGTTTTGGACGGTTTCAAGTTTCGACAAGAGGAATGATAATAAAACATCGTGTCAAGCCGTGGCCGTCGGAGCGGTCTGAAATTCGAGCTGGATAACAGTCTGAAAATCTGCCCGACGGCCCAAATAACTCTGCGCTATGGACCAAAGCCTAGATAGGCAGACCGTTGCAAGAATTGACGACACTTCTAACACCTAACAATGTTCCATTGTAGGAATCTCCATAGAAGGAACAATAGTCACCCCATTAATAGACATCACAGTACAGTTGGGCTATGGACGCCCCAAGGAAGGCGTTCGCTTCGTCCTCGCCTGGTCCTCACTTCCTTGCATCCTACAGTTGCTGCTTTTTACATTACTTCCTAGGATTCATGAGTTGACCCGGCCCATTGCAAGGTTCGTGAGCATGCAGAAACCAGACAGCCCAACATTCCGGGTCCAGACGTGAGCGAACAAGCGGCCACTTCTTGTTTGCTGTTTTGCTGTGCGGCGTGTATTTCTTTCCGGTGCCAAAGGGAAACATGCACTAGAGATCCAATCATCCCTGGTACCTCTCACAGAACTTCCTGACTTCCATCTGCCGTCCACACCCAGAAGCTCTGTGGACAGACATAGTGTTTGGAGGAATCTCAAACTCCCTGAAGTATTCGGCACGTCGTCCTGGGTCAACGTTTAGTTCCAGCTTACAGCATGTCTAGTGCGACATCTCCCGAACACCACGGACACAGCTGTCTGAGGCCAGGCCGGCACTTGTGAGCGGCTTCTTCATCACTGTGCTTCCAAGCCGTAGATTGGTACTTGAAGGGAAGCAGCTGGGATTACGTGTTCGCTGGCTTATGAGACATCTTGTTGCTCAAAGACTTGTATCGACCAGCCTATTCAATAGATTGTGCAACCACCTGGTCAGTACCGGCACGGTGGCCCGGTAAGGTGAGCTCGGTTGATGCTACCCGTCGCCGTGGATCTGAGTATCTATATCAATTCTTTGCACTTGATTGCATGTTTAATGCCGATTCGAATGAACGATTTGGGACGGGTCAAGAAATTCAGCCTGGCTCTGTGATCTGCCAGAAAGGGCCACAGAGCGCCCGGTCTGCTCCCACATGGTCGGTGAGTTACTATGCTGTAGTGGCACAATTCTGGCCGAATCAATTTCGTCCACTGCCCAAAAGTGTCGTAAATCTAGTCTTTATGTCATTGCATGTCTTCGAAATCGAGCGACTACCGTGATCGTATCGTACAAGTCGCCTTGCTAAGCAAGTCATGGGACTCACACCCCACAGCCCATTTAGTCCTTCTTCAGAGGCAGCAGAATCTCCTCAATACCATCTTTCGTGATGACCAACATCTGCAGTCCATCACCTACCTCAATGTGTCTCTCCACCGCACCGTCAAACGCATCCTTCACCAATATCTCCACGTCCCTCCGAGCCAACGGCAGCTTCTCCCGCTCCTGCAACTCATGGCCCACGCCGCTGCCTGGCACGAACTGGTTCTTGAAGTTGACCTGGTTGTCCAAGAACGGCATGATCAGACTGGCAGCAGCACCGCCCGCCCGGCACATCTCCCGCTCGTAACTTCCCACAGGATCGTAGCTGTAGACCGCACCCTTGCCCTCCTCGTCGAGACCGCCCAGGATCGCGTATGCGTAGTAGGGGAAGAATCGCTTCTGGTAGAGGATCGTGGACAGCCGCTTGGCGCACGCGTTGACGCTCATGGGCTTGCCGTGGCGGTATCGGTACATCTTGCAGACGGTGTCGAGGCGCTCCTTCAGCGCCTCGCCGTCGGCCGCGAAGCCGCATACGGAGAGAACGAGGTTTGCGTCATGCTGGTCGGCCGTGCTGCCGCCGACCTTGAAGACCTTGGGGTAGTGTCGTGTGTTGATGCTGTAGCCGGCAGTGTGTCGGGTGTCGCCGGCTAGAATGGTGAAGTCTGCACCGGCGATGGCGAGGATGGAGCCACCATTGTCGGTGTAACTGTGGAGTCATCAGCAAACCAGAAGGACGGGAAGCATAGACGAGCGATGGAGCTCCCACTCACGGGTCAAAGCGATGTTGTCGGAACTCGCCATTGTTGGTTGTGGGTGCATCGTTGAACGAGTAGTTGGGCCCGTTCATCAGGGGGTTCTGGCTGAACATGGCAGCCATTTCTGCGATTCTGAGGATGGCAGGGAGGTCGAAAGTGCGCAGGTGAGGAAGAAGGCTCGTGGTGGAGGAAAGTGAGGTTTGTTTGCTGTTCGTGGTAATGGAATGCGTTTGGTGGATGATGGGCTTGAGGCTGCAAGCTGTCGAGTGAGGTCGGGCGCGTCAGCCTTGCTCTGCCTGTAGTCGACAGGGGTAGCTGCAGCTTTGACTAAGCGATGGGCTGGAGCCCGCCAATGTTACCAGTGGAAGATTTGATTGGACTGGTTATTAGCTGTCATCTCTCTAGGACAAGGGTAAGGGGCCAGCGTCTAGGGGATGCCGTCAGCCCGATCCCATGTGCTGCTATGTAAAGACGGAAGTTGGGGGCTACCACAGTCGCAAACATCCACCTGGTAGAACCATACTGATTCCGAGGACCGTTTGTCTTACTGGAATGAAATTTAATTGATCTGTCCTTCTCTTGTTGTCCCGCGCCATCTTCTGCCCCGATTTGACCTGCCGAGGTACCCTGCGTGCCTTGCGCCAGCCAACATGGCTCGAGACATTCGTTCGAAGGCGCTGGAGCGAATCGCCGCCCTCTCGGCTTCCAAGCCTACGGCACCATTCGAGAAGTCGGACCTGGACCGTCTCTGCAGGGCCTGCCCTAGCCATACGAGGGCGAGAAGTAACACGAATGGGTCCGAACCTCGGAAGTCCTCGTCTCTAGGGCGAGTTCCCATGGTGAGCGAGCATCTTGTGATCGTGGCCATTGTCGAGCGGCGCTGACTGACTGTCGCAGACAATCCGAGAGTTCGAAGTCCTGTTGTCTCTTTGCAAAGCCGCTCCGCTGGTCCAAAACAGCCAGAACGCTCAGAGGCTTACCCGGCAATTGTCCCCCTACTTGCTCGACGCCCATTTCCAGGAATTTGCGCCCTCGCCGTTCTACCGAAGAATCGAGCCCTCCCCAACCGAATCGCTTGCCTATCATGTAACCTCGGCTCTGCTTTGTCTTGGGAATCACGATGCCGACATATACGAGAACGTCTCCGCCAACGTATCAGTCTTCTTGAAAGCTTGTGCGCGTGCAAGTGAGAGTCTGATGGCCGCGCAGGGAGAGGGAGGCGGCGATGTGAGCCTCGCGGATGCTATACAGACAGCTTCAATTGCCGTCGCTTTGCTGGGCTTCCTCGACGCAGCGGCGGCTCAGGCCGACTTTTGGAAGGTGGGAGGTCGACTGGCTCTCATACAACGACTGCAGAGGTTGCTGAACGAGAAATTCCTGATTGCTGTGGAGACCTCTTTCTCAAAGATTCGCAACTCTCACTCCCATGATCGTCCGGCTAAGGAATGGAGACGGTACCTGCGCCACTACCAGGAAGTTCGGCGACCCTTGGGAGCGATGCTTCTTCAGCAGAGGTTCATGCTACTCGTCACGTCTTCGACGTCGCTTTTGGTCGCAGAGAACTCGGCTCTGAAAAAGACCCATGTCCTTGATCTGTTGATGGCAGGCGAAGGGCTTCTTCGACCCGGTACTGCCAGGAGTGGAAACGGGGACACGAGTTCTGTCGTGACTTATTCAAACATTGTCATCGACCAATTGAACTATCTGGAGTCCAGCGCAGATTTCATTCGTATGAGCTCTTCGTCACAACAGAAGATAGCTTGTGCAGTCAAGGCGGCAGCATTTATCAGCTACCTCAACTGCTCTAGACTCAACGAAGACGCGGCGGACACCGACACACTGATGGCGTGGTTGGAAGATACAGTGATTGATCCTGACCAAATGGCGGATGAGGATCTGGCTTCCGTCGTTCTTCGATCCATGGCGATTGTCTGCAGAATGTCTCCTACACATGGCGCCAATGTTAGCCGCTTGCTGCCCCGATTTATTGTGCAAGGCCGAGCTCCAAGTCATATCGTCGTAATGGCTTCTCAATGCTTGGCTTATGTGCTTCGGATGCTATCAACCGATGCAGTCATCACCACACTGTACACCCTGGGCAATGTGCTCAGCCCTACTACCGAGGAGAATGATAAAGCCGACTTTGCGCTCGAAAACAGCGATTCGCAGGTCTACCGAGGACGACAATCAACAGGAAGCTCGATATCTCTTCAATTCCTTGGTGAAGAAGAGACGTCCACGGTGTACATCAATGTCGTTGATGCAATTTGTGGCATAGCGACTGCTTGCAACGACGAGAAGATCTCTGCTCTAGCCCAGTCTATCCTACTCCAAAAATATGACAGGATCAGCAATGTGGTGGACGCTAGAGTTATTACTGGAGCAGCGGTGCTGTCACTGAGTGCAGGACAGCTCGAATTCCGCTCTCTACTCAAGAGTTTTGCACGCATTGCCCATTCTGCTGTGGTGGACAATCGAGTCATCATTCTGCACGCGGTAAGTAGCTCACTTATAATAAAGAGAGTGAGATCTTACTAATCGTTTTTCAGTTAACCGCGGCCAGGAATCACATATCTGCCAATCTTCACCGGGATTCCCAGCTCTATGACATCTACTGGGACCACATGCTTGATAGCATCGTATCGAAGGGGGATGTGTCTCAAACCAGTCACGCCAAGGAGTCCGACATGGAACTTGCCGCCAAAGAGATTGCTGAATTGCTTCAGCCGTTGGCCGTATTCATGTCCGCAAACGACCTGGCTACGTACAATTGGTCAGATGACGAGTCGCACGCCATGCTACGCGATGCATGGTTCAACATCGTTGTACACGGCTTCAATCCAGTCACTGAGCGCGGCAAGAAGTATGCAGACGATCTGCGGGTCATAGCCATCCATTCGCCGCCGCTGGTCGCCGAGCAGCGTGGCGAGCAGGTTGAGAGTGACATTGAGCTCAACACAGTGCTTCGAAGAGGCATGAGCTCCGACAGAGAGTCACTGCAAAAGAAACACCTGATCGAGCTGGTGTCGTCTAAAGCGTCTGACATCAAGGGCTTGAGCTACCGCAAAGTCATCTTCTTACACACCGCCTACCTCGTTGAAAGCTTAAGAGCCGAATCGGGTGATTGCACCAAGGTGCTGTCATACTTCCTCGAGCCGAGCATGCGGAAGGGTGATGTAAGCAGTGTCATGGAGGGCATCACGGGTGTTGTTGTAGAGAAATACTTAAGGAAAACGCTCGGTGGCGTCAACAACACCTTCTCTGCGCAATACGCAGCGTCACAGTTGGCCACGATCTTCTGCAATTGCTGTCACAGAATCGAGCGCGTCCAACAGGCAGCATATGCCTGCGCCGACCGCATCATTCGTGACGTCCCCTCGGCCTTGTGCCGTCGATCCTCACTGTTCGCCTTGCTAGAGCTGCTGTCTCTGATGTGGGCAAGCTGTTTGGAGGCAGAGACAGAGATGTATGAGCCGAGGTCGACTTTCACTTCCGAACGTGGGAACGTGACAGTTGAGCTGTCCGATGATTACATGTTCAGAAAGTTCACCCTGAATCGGCTGTACAAGGCCGCCAGAGGTTGGGTTTCGACAGCCATCAACCTGTCACCAGCGGACGTCAAGGGGCTGTTGCAAACTCACCTTTCCGAATTCGATGATGAAGGCGCTTATGGCCATGTGTCTCTTGGCAGGTCCTTTGCGATGGAACTCGGGTCCGCCATTCCAGTATCAGATCAGAGGCTGATCTCGATTGACGGAGTCGGCGAGGCCAACATCAACACAGCTTCAGACTTCATTGCTCAATATACCACACGCCAGGAATACCGCTATGCAGAGGCGTTGCCAGACCACAGTCTGGAGTGGTTGACATTTATGCGAATTGACAGGAGGGCGTCTTATTTGTCAGGTGCTGACACGGAGAGTGCCGACGCAGTTACAGCTTTGGCCCATATTGAGAATCGCATCTTACAGAAGCGAAACACGCCGATGGTCGACGTTCGTGATATCCTTCGTCGCGCCGCTGCTCTGTTATGTCGCAGCGAGTCAGGACAGGAATGTGCGGTTGCGCACCATCTCGTGAGCATACCATTCGCCATGTTTACGAAGCAGGCCATGAAGCTTGGAATCTCATTGTGGTTGGGGGTGATGAACGAAAATCCTATCTGGGAGCCTCGGATTCTCAATGAGATCACGCAGCAGTGGGAGCTCAGCATCCACAAAAAGCTTGGCCTGTTCAGCATTGCGATCACATCCCCAGACCCATTCTTTCTCAAGGAAGAATTCGCTCCTAGTGACCAAGAGGCTCTTACAAAACGCAAACAATTAGTTCACAACCTTCTTTCGCCGCATGCTCGCCTGTTGGAGTTCCTCGGCAGCCATTTCAACGCGACGCGACTGGGTAGTCCCGACACACAGAAAGTACTCGTCAGACTACTCGATGTCACAATGGAGGAGTTGGCGAAGGCCACGCCTCACCCACTGGCGAGAGAAATCAGACTCCAGCTTGTTCTGTTTGGGCTGAAAGTCCTGCGCACTTCAACGACAATTGGTCCAGTGTCACAATGGCGTTTGAAAGACAAACTTCTGTCTGCAGCTTTGAGTTGGTTCTGCCATGCCCCCAAGTGGTCCTTCGGTAGCAACATGCTACAGATGAAGACAGAAATTCGCCTCATCACAGATGTTATCAACGCTGTCAAGGCCGTCGGCTTCATTGGAGCTCACTCCGTGGGCACTTTCAGGTCCCTGCAGGCCCTTCAATCCAAAGAACAGCTCTTGCTACTCTTGTTGGAGAGCGAACAGTCTAGGCTAACCGTTTGGGTCTATCCTCTGAGCGAGCCGACCCAACGGCCATCGACCTTGATTCACACTGGCAAAGGGGCACTCGAAGTAAGATTTCAATCTTTTCTGTGATTTGTGGCAAAAACACTAACGGCTGTCTAGAATGCGCTGCTTCCCTTGATCCGTACGGCATGGGTTGAGAGCCCCTCGCTTGCGATAGAGCTTTGCACAAGATTCCAGTCTCCCCGAGTCCTCAAGGAGATTCGAATGTTGCTTCTCGCATACCCTGAGAAGGCTGTATCGGAGCCCGAAGCTCTACCAATCCTTCTGGGCGGGGTCCTACCCAGTGATGTCAACAGCCAGTTGAGAGTGAGTTTGGTCATATCAACCGATTTCGAAATTGTCCTAACCTGTGTAGTCCCTATTGTTCTGGGCTCCCGTGAATCCCATCACCGCAGTCACGTATTTCCTCCCAGCGTATCAGAACCACCCATTCCTCATCCAATATGCCATGCGGGCGCTTGAGAGTCACTCTGTTGATGTGACCTTTTTCTATGTCCCTCAGATCGTGCAGACACTTAGATATGATGCACTGGGTTACGTTGAGCGTTACATCATAGAGACTGCGCAATTCTCTCAACTCTTTGCCCACCAGATCATATGGAACATGAAGGCCAACTCCTACAAAGACGATGACGCCCAAATTGTGAGCAATTCCCCCCTTAGAAGGACTGAATCCATGTTCTGACAATTCACAGCCCGATGACATCAAACCTACCTTGGACAAGGTGATGGAGAGAATGGTTGACAGCTTTGACCCTGTTGATCGAGAATTCTACGAACGAGAGTTCACATTCTTCGACGAGGTTACCGGTATTTCAGGTAAACTGAAACCTCTGATCAAGAAGTCAAAGCCGGAGAAGGCGCAAAAGATTGAAGAGGAGCTCCGCAACATCAAGGTCGAAGTTGGAGTCTATCTTCCCAGTAACCCAGATGGCGTTGTCATTGGCATTGACCGGAAGTCTGGTAAGCCACTTCAGAGTCACGCAAAAGCGCCTTTCATGGCCACCTTCCGGATTAAGAAGGACAAGGGAGGCTTGGAGGAAACGGGCAGCATGATCGAGGAGACAGTGGAACGTGGTGTGGCTCCTGGCCCCTCAGAGCAAACGATCGAGGTGTGGCAGTCGGCCATCTTCAAGGTCGGCGACGACTGCCGACAAGACGTCCTCGCGCTACAGATGATCGCCGCCTTCCGTGGTATCTTCCACAGCGTTGGGCTGGACGTGTACGTTTTCCCGTATCGTGTGACCGCCACAGCGCCAGGCTGCGGTGTCATCGATGTGCTGCCCAACTCGGTATCCCGTGACATGCTCGGCCGTGAGGCTGTCAACGGGCTGTACGACTACTTCATCTCCAAATACGGCAATGAGGACTCGCTGCGGTTCCAGCAGGCGCGCAACAACTTTGTCAAGTCAATGGCGGCGTACTCGCTCATCTCGTTCCTCCTGCAGTTCAAGGATCGTCACAACGGCAACATCATGATCGACGACGCGGGCCACATCCTGCACATCGACTTTGGTTTCTGCTTTGACATCGCACCGGGCGGCATCAAGTTCGAGCGCGCCCCGTTCAAGCTGACATCGGAGATGGTCGCCGTCATGGGCGGCAGCACGAACCACCAGTCGTTCAAGTGGTTCGAGGAGCTCATCGTCAAGTCGTTCCTGGCAAGCCGCACGCACGTCGAGAAGCTGAGCCAGATCGTCCTGCTCATGATGGACAGCGGGCTGCCGTGCTTCAAGCCCGAGAGCGTGGAGCACTTCAAGCAGCGCTTCGTGCTGGAAAAGACCGAGAGGGAGGCGGCCGACTTCATGAAGGAGCTGGTCCGCAAGAGCTACTCGAGCTACTCGACGGGCATCTACGATCAGTTCCAGCTGATGACCAACGGTATTCCCTATTAGGGGAAATCAAGGCTTGCTGGGGGATGTATATTTTCTGGGTGGCACTTGAAGAAACGCGGCCATTTCGTTACAAAGGATCTTAATACGCATTAATAGTCTCAGTCGCAGACCAGTTTTGAGTCTTGCACATATCGTCTTGAAATACACATGTTCATTTCACTAATCTGCCTTTCTGCCTTGCTTCGTGCACAATGTCGGCCTTGGTTTGCTTCGGCCCCGTGATCAGATTCTGGACAAAGAAGTCAAACTTGAACCACACTCGATGGCCGGAGGAACGGCCTGGTCTCTATTGACTCTACAAATGCAGTGGTCCTAAAGCCCTTTTCCTCATCTCAGTTACCCGTATGTTGCTCGTTGGGCAACCCACACAGTTGCACGAGGGGTGCAGTGACGTCTTCAAACAAGCTCACGATGCCTGCGAACAGACAGATTATCCAGCCTCAGCATTTCGCTCCTACAACAATCTCACCGAGAACGAGAGCAAGCGGTCTTTTGGACAAAAAACCTGGTGGGTGGAGCCATGGAGACCATGCGACCGACTCGCAGTGACGCTCCTGGCGAATGCAATTCCCTCTAACTATGTGTATCCAAGCATGCCGCACACGAACTTCGCCGCAGAATCAAAACGCCGTTTTTTATTTTGTAAATGCCGCCCTTCCCACCACCTCCCAAACTCCTGCGCAGATATGACCCATACGCCACGCTCCCATTTCTCAAGCCGCCTGCTGCTCCATGTGAGTGGGCAGGTTATAACTAGCATAATCGCAATGTACGAAAGCCCTGTCCACGATAGGGACGGACTCCAAGACGTATTGTAGACTCTCACTGTTTGCCAATTAGTTAGTCGGGTGTCCTCCAACATCAAAATCGAGCAGGGAGGGGGGGGGGCACTCACGCAAGGTCATGGCTGTCCTTTAGCGACGTGCTGGCGTCCAGCACAATGTCCACCTCCACGTTCAGCTTGTCGCCTGAGTGGTATGCCTGCAGGCCCTGGATCTGCCGGATGGTCTTGGCGAAGCGCATCGTCAGGTACAGCAGGATGTTGCGCTGGTCTGCCGTGGCGGAGAACCCGCAGAGGTTCTTGATGTGCTCGCTGGCGCTGTGGCTCCAGTTGAAGATGACGACCATGGACAGCAGCAGGCCGCCCAGCGCGTCGAGCCACCAGATGCCGGCGTAGTACCCGACGATAGGGAAGGCGATGGAGCCCAGGTTGAAGATGATGTCGGTCATGGCGTCGTCGGCGAGCGCCTGCACGGACGAGTTCTTGATCAGCCGGCACCAGAACCAGCACAGGCCCTTGATGATGACGGTGCTGGCCATGATGCCGATTGCAGACGCGGTGAGCTGGATGACGGTGTGGTCCTTGCCCGCCAGCGTCTGGATGGCTTCGAGGGCGACCTGGACGAACGAGGTGATCATGATGACCGAGAAGACAAGCACGCCGACCGGTTCCAGGCGCCGCCGCCCCACGGGGTAGCGGTACTGGTCCTGCCGGGAGATCAGGGTGGTGGTGATCCAGACAATGACTGTCGAGAGGAAATCCAGTGCCGCATCCACCAGACTTGCGAGCACGGAGACGGAGGGAACTGAGATGATGACCGCGAGCTTCCCCAGAAGAAGGGTCAGATTCGCAATGAAGTTGACGTAAATAGCCACCGTGACAATACGAGCGCTGCTGTCAACATCGTCGTCATCGGCCCAAGGAATCTCGGGCTTGGCTTTGTCCTCGTCATCGTCATCGGGAATGAGGTCGGCGTCACCGTTTAGCTGCTTGTTCTTGATGATGAGCGGCGTCGCCTCCATCACCGAGATGTCCGATGACGAAGATGATTCCAAGTTGGTCGGGCGGTAGATGTCCTTGGGCGTCCGCTTCACCTTCTTCACCACAGTCCCATACCCCGGTGTTGAGCCGCTGCCGCTGCCACTGCCGCTGGCGGAGCTGGATATGGGCTGCCCGTTGCTGCTCGGGGTGGAGGGCTCTTCGGAGATGGTGGCTGGGACCTCGACGCCGCGGCGGAAGGCGGAAAGGGGCATGTGGTTGTACTCGTTCAGGAGGTCGTGGGGCAGGGACGAGTCCAGCAGCTTGTCGATGTACAGATACTGCTGTATCAGGTAGTTTGTGCGCTCGTAGTAGCCTCGCACAGGCTTTCCGGGCATGTTCTTCAGCTGCTCCTCGGTCTTCCAATACCTCTCCCACTTATAGCGAGGGTTTGTGCTGCCGATCAGACGCATGCTGCGCATCTGGGGCCCGGTGAGGAGGGCGTTCAGGCGACGCTCCTCGGCCAGGGAGCGGTGGTCATCATCGTCTTCGTCCAGGCTGTTGCGGTGCCTGAAAGCGGTCCAATCGGGGAATGGGCCGCTGGCGACGGCTTCCTCCTCGTCGTGGAAGGCTTTCCACCCTGGACTGTGAATTGAGGCCTGAGAGCGGTTCCTGATGAGCTGGGTGAGGGTGCCGTGGCCCTTTGAAGCCAGCATGTTCGGCTCATCTTGTTGCAGCAGAAGCGACGAAGGGCGCCGGTGTGAAGGGGACGTCATGTTGGGTGGTTTGTTGGACGTGGCCAGGGCCGTCGCAACGCGCAAACTCGCCCTGGGGGATGCCGAATTGCGCGGGAGACGGTCTTGAGCTCGGAATTGGCCTTGGGATACTGCTGCGAATGCAATTGAGCAGACAGAAGCTCTTCTGGTTCTTTTCCGTGGGCTCTAATTCCGCGTGAGCGCGAACAAGAGCGAAGGAGATGATGGAGCCGCAGCCGGCCTTTTTAGATTGGCATCTGCAGCCGCAGTAGTGGGGGGCCAAGGCGTCTAGCGATCTATAAGTAGGCTGTGAATAGCAGAACCTGTAGATCCACCCACAAGACAGGACGAGGCTGGGTAGGAACAGGACGAGGCGGGACTGGACAGGTCAGGATTGGCCGGGACGAGACAAGACAACACAAGACAACATAAACCGAGCCAAGAGGAGCGGCGCTGGGCAGTGCTTTAAATGCGCAGTCCCTAGCGGACCACACATGTGTGCATGCTATCACACATAGCTCGACCTAGACGGCACTGCAGATTTCTGGGGCCATAACGGTACTTTTGCTGCAATAATTGCACGCGTGCGTGCATTGGCGTGCCCGTGGCAACACATTCGTCACGAACCAGGCCTCACAAGCCGGTTCCTATCCGACAACGGTGTGGCAGAATGATGCCTGCCAAGGCCCAACGACGTCGAGGAGTATGCGCCGGATTCTCACACTCATACATGCTACTATGGCGTGTATGGGTAGCCGAACGTTGAATACCTCCCAAGCCCTGCCCAGCTAGGGGTCACCCCCGCCGATCCCTGGGGCGTCCTGTTGGCTCAGGCTGGCCAGGGCAGCTTCTGCCGGGCCGCATACAAGCGTACGTGCAGAACGAGATGGGGTCAAGCTTGGAGCAGGGACTGTGACTGACGCGCAGCTCTCTGCCGCTGTGCCTACAGCATAACCGCATAGTAACCCCGTGCTATCTCCAGACGGTAGTCTACCACCGCTCATGGCCCGCAGCAGACAGCCGCTTCTTGAAACTCAACAGCCGGGCTACGACAGTACACGCATGAGACGAGGCCACGGCGGGTCGCCTCTCAGGAAACACCAGCGCCCATGTCAATTTGAATGTCATTATTCCCAGGAAAGGACCCTTGATAGGACCCTTGCTCGGCACATTGGACCCCTTCTGGTTTCAGGCCTGCTCAATGGAGGCAGCTGAAGGGATGAAGGGTCTTGTTCGGGACGACACATCTTGTCGATCACTTTGGGGCCGTCTCTCTGCTTGTGATGGGTGTCTCAGGTATTGCTCACTACCGGACTTGCTCAGCGGGCCCGAAACCGATCAACGGCCTGGTGGTGGAGATCGAGAGCCCGGCACTCATTAACAAAACAAACAGCCTCGCAGCCCCGGGGGTCTCGCATCAGGTCATCCATGACCTTCGTCTCGTCTCTCGTCGTGGCAGGCGCACGCAGATGTATGCACAGACAGATGTGACTCCAGGGACACCCGCTTCACCATCTCCTCTCGGCCGACGTCCATCCTGTGCACGGGTGCTCGGATCCATGCCCTGTCCGGACATGGAACCACACCGCCCCTCTCTGATGCTGCAAGCACGAGACTCAGGACGTGTGGCCGAACCTGCCTCCGGGCAATGTCAGTGTAATGTAATGTCACCGTTGTATCGTTGTATTGCCCGTGAGTAATGAGGAATTGCCTTTTTCTCTGCTGATATTTCGCCCCTCTGCGACGGCACGCTGCAATAAGTGCAAGTGTAGCCGATCTCGACCTCGCAAATCTCGCAAATCTCGCACCCTACAATTCTCATCTCGGTCAAGAAATCTTGAAGCAAAGAAGCATGCCAAGAGCTGCTGCGGCTACGCTGCGGCTCCTCTTCACACGGGCTTTGAAACGGAATGAAGGGCACCCAGAAAACATAATCCGTCTTTTCCCTTCAACCGAAATTGCTTCTTTGATTGCCCAAATTTTCAGCCTTTGATCAACCGTCAAGCTAGTATTGTTAGCAGACTAGATAGATCGATCTTCAGCATGTGGACATGCGCACAGCCAAGCAGCGGAGCCCAGGTGTTCGCCTGCAAGCGTGTCAAGGCTGAGATGAGCGATAGCGACGATGCTGTATTTGGCTGACTCGGCATCTCCGCATGGGACTGCTGTCTCGTACGAGGCGATGGAAACGAGGTTTGGCACGCGAAGAGTGCAAGTTCGGGCAAACAAGCTGGTCAGTCATCGATACGATTCGAGGCGTGCAGGTCCAGTATCACGGACCGAGCACCGAGCCTCTGAGCACTACTCCCCGGCGGCATTGATGGCCAACTCCACCACGAAACACTTTGACATGATCTGGGTATCACTGGTATTCCATTTTTGTTGAGCATATCAGCATCAGTTGCTCCTTTTCGCCAGAGTATGCCTTGCCACGAGTGTTCGGCGGTGGCTCTCGAGCGCGTGCTGCTTCGGAGGGCTACTCGCTGGACGGTAGGCGGCAGCGTCATGCGCCATTCTTCTTCGCTAGCAGCTCGCCAACCACCTTGGCCGTTGCCTCCACGATCAGCTCGTGCTCGTGGGAGTGTATCCTCTGCTCGAGGTCCTGCAGCGTCTCTCCTTCCCGGCACTCAATCTCTCTTGTCATGATCGGCTGGCCTCTGTCAACCTGGGCGATCACGTAGTGGATCATGATGCCAGTCCGGTTGTTCTTGAGTTTGCCTGCTTGGAAATCCTGATACGCTCGCTCGATTGCGCCGGCACCGTCGAATTGGCCTGTTGGGAGAGGTGTTTATGTTAGCAGAGGATTTGAGGCATGCTGGGAACAAACGTGGTCGTTGATGTTGGATGCTGTTGTGTGGAAAGGCAGTCGGAAGGATATACCAAGCACTCACCTGGTAAAGCAGGATGCAGGTTGATAATTGGTACACCTTTCTCCGCCAAGGAGTTCAGGAATGAAGGTGTAAAGACATGCATCCAGCCGGCCAGGACAATCAGGTCCGGGCTCTGCTCGATCACCTTGTCCGCCAGCACAGCATCGTACCGTGACCTGGCGTCGGCGAGCTTCTCTGCGTCCTTTTCCCCTTTTGCCTGGAACCCACCGGACACCATGTTGAAGTACTCGGAGGGCACGCCGGACTTCTCTGCGCGCGTCACAGCAAAAGCCGTCTTGCGGTTCACGTAGAGTCGCACGACCTGCGAGTTGGGGATGCGGCCGGAGGCGATGGCGTCGAGCAGCGCCTGGAAGTTGCTGCCGCTGCCGCTGGCCATGACGACGATGCGACACGGGGATGCCATGTTGATAGATGCCCGTATTGCCTTGAGGGAAACACTGGGCAGGGTCGAGGAAAGAAGGCGGCGGCGTGGTGATTGCGGTCGACAATGAGATCTCTTCTCACGTCAGCGAACCAATTGCTGTAGCAGAGCTGCCAAAAAAAAAAGCTACCCCTCCATACTTTCCGGCGCTGGAAATTTTAGCCTGGCTGCCCCCACCGGAGAAACAGAAGCAAAAGCCCCCGACTGCGGGTCAGCCAGGCATGCCAGGACAGCGGGGAGATCGGCAGGCCGAGGGTGTCCACCTCGACTGCTGTTCCCGTCCTGCTCCCGCCCTGCTCCCGCCCTGCTTCCCGTCCACCCCGACCTGCCGAACCGTGACACGACCCATCTTCGGGTCCTCTGGTCCTCCGCATTGAGCCCCGCAAGCAGCCGCCCACAGGCCGTCTTCTGGTCAAGGCTTGGTTGCCGATGAGACTTGGTGAGGTTTGAAAGACGGAGACGAAACTCGACCGACAGGCAATTGGAGACAGAGACCTTGCCGCCGCGCCCCCCACCAGCAGTCTTTCATGACTAGCGAAGGCAACGTGTTCCTGCGCAAGCAGAGACAACGTGAAGGACACCAGCGGCGTGTGTGACGCTGGGCTCGTTCAAAGCCCGAATTGTGACACTTGTAGAGTACGGACGACTTTTTCCCCAGAGCAGCTGGCTCTCCAAACCGTCTGGATCCTGGCGGTCGAGTGTGGATTGGTCAGAACAGCTCCTGGATGCGACATGTTTGGTTTGCCACAACCTGCCACCGGCTGCCGATCAGACGCGGGCCAGGAGACAGGAGACGTCGTTTGACATCTGCGAATAGAAACAATGACGAGGAGCCACCTAGAATGTGGGGAATCGACCCATGTGCTGGCGCTCGCAAGCAAGCAAGACGGCTCAGTGTAATCCCCGAGCTCGTCGGGCTTCCCATCGACACCGTGCGGTCAGTCAGTCGGCCTTGCCCACCAGAGCTCGTATCTGCGCCGTTTTATTAGGGAGGCCGCTTATGGCGCTCACCTGTCAGATCCACTGGGCAGCGAGGAAGCAGCACAGCAACATTGGGCCCCTTTCCCTTGCGTCAAGTTCTTTGTCCTGATGACGCTTTGCCTGTCGGATTTCAAGACATCTTATCATGTTATTCTCCCAGCTCGTGTTCTGGCCATCTGACCGTTGGGATATTACGGCTGCATCGGGCAAAGCTTAGGCAGGTCTAGACGATCTCGCCAGCTATTGTCAGCCAGCCAGGCCGAGGCCCAAACGCTACAATAATTATGGTGTGAGATTGCAGCAGCCCGGCTGAGCCGCATCCCCTGCCGGAACGAACTGTTCAACCCTCCGAGGACCTGAGAAATAAACCGTATAGTGTTGCTGTAGAAGCGCCCTAGCTCTATCTGCCGGCCGACTAGGAGTCTTGGACATGATTGGCAGTGCATCGCACCGAGATTAGCCAATTGCACTTCACTAAGCCTTCGTATTGCAATCACCGAATTTGTACTGCTGCATACTGTGTAAGATTTCGGAGGCGAAGAGCCGTTCTAAGAGGAGCTGACGCTGGCGCAAGAGGAAATGAAAACCTATCCTGCGGCTTGGGACAGTAGCCATTCTGAAATTGTCGAGTCCTTGGGCAAAAACAGGATAGCTCGTTCCCGGGATACGGTCGTATACGTCCTTGTCAAAGGCATTGGCTTACTTGTTTATGCTCCTTGTTACCTGTTTCGGTTCTATAACACACAAGCATTCGGCACTTTCGATATTTCTGGGGCTGTTGGTGAGTCGCGTCGTACCTAAATGAACATCGATCGGACTACCATGTTGCTGTTTGCGTGTAAAAGGACTGACCGACAGGAGGGAGGACCAGGCCCCCGGATGCAAGGCCAGGGGTCTGATCTGCAGGAACAGGGGCCAGGGCTGCTCCCACACCCGTATCCCGAAAGGTGTGCCTCGATTTGTGTGTGGAGGTGTGTGGAGGTTGCATGCTGCCTCCAACAATGATGCTGCACTGCAGCATCAGCACCAACCTCCCCTCTCTCCAAAATATGTGGCCGGGAGCTGGCAAAGGCCACGAGTCCATGACGAAGGGATCATTGCAAGTCTGAGCTTGACGACTTGCGGTCCGTCAATCTCGTTTCCACTCTGCACGGTCTTGGCCGAGCAACTTGGCTGTGCTGTTGCACCGGCGCCAGTGCCTGTTAATGATGGACATATCAGGTGCCAGCATCTCTCCACGGGCTGGCAAGGCTGGAAAATTGGCAGGAAACTTGGGTCTCCACCGATGACTTGGTCCCTTAGAACGTGTCCAGTCTCCAGCTAGACGCGTCTTCAGGCCATTACCCTCCTTTTTTCTGGGCTGATCAAGATTCTGAGTTGTTTTAGATCTAGAGCAGTTGCCCATCCGGTCCACCCGCGTGACGATCTGTAGGGCTGGAATGCAAGTCCGGCCTCGCACTTCCACGACCACGGAGGTAAGACGAGGTACGTGGTCTTTCAGCCTGGCCTTGACGCCCACTGGCTGGCCGGGGAGGTTGTGTCTCGGATGAAAGACTCGGAAGTAGTAAAAATGCTGTGTCTTGCCGCAACGACGCACGGGAAGGGCGTTGCTGAAGCTCCACCCCCGCTTCGAGTGGCTGCGGTGTCTTGATGGACAACGGTCAGCTGTTGCCGCTTCGAGCTTGAAAGAGCGAGGAGCGTCCTGATGGTTGTTTAAGCCAGTGGACAAGATGTATCAAGTAGACAGGCCTCTGACCGACTGCGCAGCAAAGAGGGGATCTTTGTTTGGATCTTTTCTTGTGCTGTATCCAAATGAGCAAGACCTGGCACGGTGATCTGCAGGCCCATCGAGGTACTTGGACATACTGCAGTAAGCTTCCCGTGCAGCGGAAGGCTTTGTTCGAGACATTGAACTCGCGCCCATGAATTTGGCCGAGCTACAGGCGGCGGTGAGTATCTGCACGGGTCTTATGGAACACCCGAGACGCTCGCGGGGAAGAATCTGAGTGCATCAAAACCATGGATGGCAGCAAAGACGTGAACGGGCCGTGGCTGTACTGGGCGTGTGTGCCCGAAGCTTGTCATTTGGCATTTGCCAATACATCGAATTTTGCGACGCCAATTCCACTCCAGCTACGACCCCGAGCGAGCCTGTGCTGGGGGTGGGAGCGAGGGAAACAGGCCTTCCGCTCCGCCAATAGTCAAATAAAGCCATCCACCATGAAGGGCAGGCGCCATGTTCGGCCAGACGACCGGAGGCGCCACCGTGGTAGAGGTCGACCGCGATGTTACCCAATTAAAAAAAGGGGGCGGCGATGTGGCTTGCTGTGCCGCAGCAAAACCCCGAGGAGGACTGCAAAGCCGGACGTGGACAAGGCGGGAGCTCCCTTGTCTGGTTTGCCCGTGTCCGCGTCGTGTCGGAGAAAACAAGAGAAACAAAAGAAAAACGGGCCGGGATCTCGTGGGGTATTATTACGTCGTGGTTCGTTGTCCATGATCAACGAGCATATCGCAGCACAACACAGCCCAGCTGGGCCAGGGCAGTCAAGCAAGGCAGTTGGAAGGGCGAAGCATGGCAGAGCAGAGCATAGCATGACTGTCATTTGCGCTGCTGTGGGTTGATGATGGAATGGGAGCTCCAGGACGCTCTAATTTTAAAATAAGCTTCTGGGTACGATACCTTGGGGTACCTGGCAGGGAGCGGCAGTGAGGCTACCCGGCCGTGCCCTTGTGTGTGTGAGAATGACCCTAGATCTGTACCACAGCAGTACCCGGACTGGGTGGGTGACTGGGGTGATTGGGCTGTCCCAGGACCAAATCATGGATGGAATCCGGCAGGGTGGTTCATCTCTACCTAACCTAGGTGAGGAAGGTTCCATGATTTATTTGATCGATAGAAGAGTTCGCCGGAATGGCGGGTGTTGCTGCGAGCTGCGAGATGCCCCTGGGCAGCCCGGCAGCCCCAATAGAGAGGCGGTACAGCACGAAAAGGTAGGCCATGAACGGACTGCCTGACTAACTGACTGAATGATTATCTGAATGCTTGACTGAATATCAAGGAATCCAAGTACACATACCGTATATAGACAGGCGGTCTCCACCTCCTACCCCCACCGGACATGGGCAAGACCAGCCCCAGCCAACACCATCATCCATGCCATTTGCCCCTGGCGTGCAGTGCCAGTGCAGTAGGAGTGCAGTAAGGATGCTTGGTCATTGGACGTAATAGACATGGCAATTATGGCAGTCGATTGTACCACCCCAACCTGGTCTACCTCGCAGCAGGAGCCTGGGCATGCGAGCTTTGCCATACCGAGCTCGCTGTTCTCTCGCTTGCTGTGCTGTTGCTGTATGTACATGGCACGGCCAGTCGACCTTGGAATGGGCAGGTCGGGCCTAGCATTAATCGCTCTCCACCTTGTCCACCTGGGTTGGCAGGGGAGCATGCCTGTGATCGGCGTCAATTGGGGTCAATTGGGGAGGGCCCTGGGACACATGAGCATGGCAGGATGGCTGCAATGGTGCAAGTGTGTTGGAGCTGGCGTGCTGTTGTGCTGGTGTGCTGGAGAAAACACGCACCACGACCCTGCTGGTCGGGCGCACGGGGGCAATCGACGCAAAAGGAACCTGAGCCCTGTCCGACCGCGAGAGAGGATCGGCTGAGCCAACCGCCAGAGCACGCCTTTCCCCTTCTCGCCGCCGCCGCCGCCTGACTGTGACTGCCTGACTTGAACTGAACTGACTGGTCTGAATGACGGCCTGCCTTGCCTGTTAATCCTGTCAATCAATCGCTACAATCAATCTTGCAGTTTTTTTTCTTCCTGCAACTTTTCCCTCTGCATCCTACCTCCCCCTTCGTCACCCCAAACGGTGTTTCTCCCTGCAGCAAAGCAACAAGCAGTCAGCATCGTCCTCCCTCTTTCTTCCAGAGCATTCCGTGATTTCTATTGGTTTTCCTTGCGCTCGGGCTGTTCTGCACCGGTCAATCGTTCTTGAATTTCCTTGTACTGTGCCATACTGTACCTACTACTACTACTACGTCCTTCGTTGCCCTGACGAAACCCCCTCTGGCTCCGCGCCTCTCGTTCGACCCGACGATAGACTTTCTGCATCGCCGTGTCACTTCACATCCAACACCACCTCGATCGTTTCGACTCCAGTCTTCTCTCTTCCTTTCTTTTTGTCTCTCCATTTTCCTTGCTCGATCACCTCTATCCGGACCTACAATCTGGCGCGTCATTGGACACAGCCTGGCGAACTCCGGACCACTTGTGTACTTTGTGTGCGCTGAGACTACTACCGCGTAAGTACAGGACAATGCCATCATCTCTTTGACATGTGCTGCTGCAGTCAGCTTGGGTTCCAGCCCCCGCCCCAGCCCCAGCCTTCTTCTGTCAACGCCCAGAAATCCGAACGAGCTCCTTGGAAGGCGAATCGACCTTCGAGCAACAGCAGTCTGCGACCCACGCAACTTGGTGCCCAGACGCCACTCCAAGTGACCGGCTGGAGCCGAAGACTGGAGCCGACGATACTGCAATCTTCTCCGCCCTGTTCTTGAGCAACCACCATCGTCTCGTCTCGGAGCTTTCCCACAGTCCCTGTGGAGGTGCTCAACCATCCTGGACGCCCTCGCGCTCTACAATGATGTCACGTCGCCCGTCGTATGCAAAGCGGCCAGCGGCATCGCCTTCCCAGAGCATAGCTAACTTCACATCCCCTAATATGCAGTTCACCGGCTAGTCGCGTCACAGTCGAAGCCAAAGACCAAAAAAAAAATCATCCTCCCGGGCCTTGCCCGTCATTCGACTCCGCTTGACGGTGCATATATATCTCAGAAGTTTCGGCTGCCAATTCTGCGCCACTGCCGCCTCGTATTCCGGGCTGATTCTGCCCCGACTCCCTACACCACCCGAGACAGCGGCGTCCTATAATCTCGCCCTCCTGAACGTCAACAACCCGCACTTGCCCGACAAGTCGATCCGCTGACGTGGAATCGAGCATTAATGGGCCGTAGTTGATCGTGTCAACTACTGCCACTTTTTGATTTCATATGCCTAGATTCGCGTTTGGCAAGCGGAAGTCAACCGCAGAGAGCGAAAATGACATAGCAGCACCATCGTTCCGCGTCCTAGATCGTTCCGAGGTGGCTGAGGGCAACGGCAAGTCTTTTGACGGCGGTGTCCGGTTGTCAGCAAAAACGCATACTCTCCCGAAAACAACAGTGTCGGATCTTATGGTCGATGACAACATCTTCGCCGACTTCAAGCCCAAGAACCGGTATGTTTTTATTCACGTTTCCACTTCACTGACCGGCGGCTGCTCCGGCAGGACTTGCCACAGTTATTGCCTGTTCAATTTCCCACACGGAGTGCCAATTTAAGTTTACGGTGTCTCAACTTGAGTCCATACCCGGTCCAGAATTTAATCGAAATGGAGCCTGGGTGGATACGGGGCTGACTCTTTCACTAGTGGCAGCGGATCATCCAACACCACTAAGACCAACTCGACCGACAACTCTTCTCGACACAGCGCTGCATCAACCGCTCCATCATCTGCAGACTTGAATGGTCAAGACGATTGGAGATTGCCCAACAAGAGGTCCCTCACAGACGCACCTCAACAACCGCTACCCAAGCCAGGTCCATCGGGTTTCCTCAAATCGGCTGGACGGTCTTGGTCGTTCGGGGCTTCAAAGAAACAATTGCCATCTGTGCCTGCTGGGGACGAAGACGTGCCGATCACTCCTGCGGTACCCGAGCAGTACAAGAGCGGTAGGGCTAGGGCGACGACCGGCTCGACGGACGCCACGATAACGCCTCACAAAGTAGATCAAGACATCAGTCTCGACCTCGGTGGAAGCTTCAGCAAAATGCTACTCGGGTTTGACAAGAGATCCAGCGTCATGACACTAAAGGACGAGAACGGGCGGCAGGTTTTACAACCTCCTGCCGCCGCCGGCGGTCGCCTCAATGCACCCTCGCCTATTCATATTGATCACACATCTAAAGTCGAGGCTCCTCCGCATTCCTGGGCCAGCCACCACTCCAACGATAATCTCCTGATGGGCAGCCCCCGCATCCCGTCACCTGCAAAAGAAAACACGCCTCCACCAGTCCCAATACATGGGGAACCCCAGTCTAGTCGACCTCGAGGTCCCAGCCATTCCAACTCTGACAACATTCTCAAAAGAACTAGCGCGATTTTTAGCGGGCGCAGAAAGTCCATCAACAACACTTTGGAAACAGTCGAGGGAGATGACTTGAACACTTCCCTCTTGGCTGTGAGTCGGTTTATGTCCGATGCCAACAGCAGAAGCCAGACTCCGGTCGAGGTTGTCGGTGGGCGTTACAGAAGGAACGAAGACACGTCTGGTCCCGGGTACCGCGTTGTGTCTCCACCAACAGTACCGTCCAAGTTGGAATCAGTCGACGACGACGACAACATGTTCGACAACGTTCCCCTGAACAGTGAAAGATTTAATACTCCGCGTCAGCCAGCACAAAAGCCAGTCCAAAAGCCAGCTGAGACTCCAGCGAAAAACAAGACGATGACGGTCTCTGAATTTGAGAAGTATCGAAAGGACAAGGAGGTTGAGGACAGGCGCGCGGAAGTGGAAAAGGCTAGAGAAGAGGTCGATGATGAAGAGGACGAGGACGAGATCAACTACGACGACGACGAAGATGAAGCGGAAAAGTCGAAGCAACTCGCCAAGCAACGAAGAAAGCAAGAGGCACATATGACCGTCTACCGCCAGCAGATGATGAAGGTTACCGGCGAGTCTGCAGAACCGGGCCCCTCGCGGCCCGGTATGCAGATGTCTTTGAGCACGCCGAACCTTGTCGTCCCGGATGCTTCAAGGAACTCTTCGTCTGAGGTCTCTGAGGACGACGAGGAAGTCCCCTTGGCCATTCTCGCAGCCCACGGCTTCCCCAACAAGAACCGGCCTCCGACTCGCCTTACGCAAATGATGTCGAACCCGAACCTGCGACAAGCCGCTCAGCCAAGCTTTCAAAGGCCAGGCTCGGCAGCAGGACATGCTCAGACGGCCAGCGGGTCCCTGCCTCCTTTTGCCAGAGGCCTGCCACAGGACCCGTACGGCTTGGTAAATGCTCCACCTCGGGAGAGCTTTGCACTGGGCGGTGGCGTTCCGGCAGGCCAGAACTCACCTGTGCCACCCGGTGGTCTCGTCGGTGTCATCGCCAATGAGGAGCGGTCGCGAGCTCTGAGGCGCGGCAGTCCTCAGGTTCCCCAAATGGACAATTACCAGGGCATGCAGCAAGCAGGCCCAGGCGGCTTCGATCCTGTTCATGGCATCCCTCCACAAATGATGTACCCCCAGCAAATGCCAATGCTTTCGCCGGGCGAACAGGCACAACTGCAGCTGAATCAGCAGATGTCCCAGTTCATGCAGATGCAAATGCAGTTCATGCAAATGATGGCCGGCGGCGGCAACAACAACATAAACAACAATGTCGGCAATGGACCGCCTCGATCCGCCGGTCACATGGGTAGCAACTCGATGGGTGCAATGCAAGGAATGGGCAGTCCGGGCGCAGCAATGGGGATGCCCATGGGTATGGACATGAACGCAGGTGCACGCGGCTCCTTCCTGGAGATGCCGATGATGGATCAATCTATGGGTGACATGCACGGCCGGACTATGAGCTTGGTCCAGCCAAGCTCTTCTTCATGGCTCCAGCCCCCTCAGCCGGGGTATGCAGGATCGATCCGTCAGCAGGGCAACGGTTACACACCATCTATTGCACCATCCGAGCGCAGTAATGTCGGTCTACCTGGCCGGTATCGCCCGGTCTCACAGATGCCACCTGGCCCAGGCACACCTGACCACACCCGGAAATCCTCCATGATGGGCTCAACTCTCAGTCCTTATAGCGACTCGCAGACCTTGAAACCCGATGACAGGGCTTCAACGAAGAAGTCAGAAGCAAGCAAGTCAGCAGGTGAAGATCCAGACGATGACGATGAGGAGGGCTGGGCGGCCATGAAGGCCAAGAGAGACAAGAAAAAGTCTTCTTGGAAAACGAGAAAGACATTGGCACCGGGCGGGATTGACATTGGCTCTCTCATCACGTAATAGGAGCATCGGAGTCCAAAAAACACAGTCATTCGATACTGAAATGGAGGAGGCAGGCATGATTTGGGTAATCTCAACCGGCGAAGCATTTTGGCAGCATCACATCACACGGCATCCAAAACATCTACGGCATTTGACAGTCATTTACTCATTGTTAAACTCTCACCATCACTCAGGGAAGGAGGAGGGCAAATTATGTGCGAATTGCCTGTGTGTTTTGTGTATATTGCGGTACACGGGGCTTACCATCTTCATACAAAGGCGTTGCGATTTGGGTCACCAAGATGTATTTCAGGAAGGACGGGTCACAGCTCGGGAACGAGATTATGATAGACATCCCTTGTGATAGGGATTAATTCTAATGGTGGACATCGACTCGGTACCGCGCTCTGTGCTGATGGTGACTCTGCTGTGTCTCTAGCCCTTGGCGTCTTCCACGTGCATACATCTCGAACGTGCTCACATTTATCACGACCTGACCGATCCCAGGCTGAACCTTTTAGTCTATTTGCATCCTATTTTGTAGTTGAAGTGAATCATTAGATCCAAGCAGATACGGCAGATGCATCTTGACGCCTCTTGCAATCTGTCCAAGCTTCCCAGAGTTGGAGCCTCGGTCGAGAGCTCCATCATTTTCACAGGTAAGCAACCGCCTCCCGATGCAGGGCCAGCAGCCGTTTTCAGGCTTTTGAATGCAATACTGCTCCGTCTCGTCTGACAGCCTCTTGTCCGGCTCGCTGGGTACTGGACGGGCCATCAACATAACAGCAGAGGTTCAAGGCGCCGGGGTTGTGTCTCCCACGCCTGCCGTAGCCGCCCTCTCTTTTCGTACATGCCGTCCCCCCCCCCCCTCAACTCTCTCTCCTCAACGCTCTTGTCCGCGTGCGCCCCGCGCCCCGCAGCCCCCTCCTAAGACAGCTTGCCGCTCGCCCAGCCCTTGCGCTTGCCGCCCATCTCGACGGCGGCCAGGCCCCAGTCCTCGCCGTGGTTGTGGCCGCCGCTCGCGACGCCGGCGCGGGCCTTGGCCTGGTCCTCGCTGAGGACGGTCAGCACGCCGAAGATGACGGGGACGCCGGTGTCGAGCTGCACGCGCATGAGGCCGTGCGAGACCGAGTCGGCGATGTACTCGAAGTGCATGGTCTCGCCCTTGATGAGGACGCCGATGGCGATCAGGGCGTCGAAGGCCGTCGACAGGCCCGCGGACGGGTTGCTGCCGCCGCCGCCGCCCGAGAGCGAGGTCAGGTCCGTCGTGGACCCGCCGAGGAGGTCGCCGGCGCTCGCGGTCGACGAGGAGGACGATTGGATCTGGGAGGCGGCGAACATCCTGTTTTGGGGGGGTCGGGCCTGGGTCAGCGTGGGGAAGCAGCAGTAGAGCAGGCACCCGTAAGTGACGGGGCAAGTTGGAGTTCACAAGCAGCCTTCAAGGTTGGCAATGGTTGCTTACCGCTGGACGCCAATTGGCAGCTCCCAGGACCCCGGGACAGACTCGACGACGATGTTGCTCTCCTTCACGCCGCATGCGAGCAGCTTCGCCTTGGTGCCCTCCAGCAGCGGGTCGATGATCTCGGCGTTCCACCGGGCGTGGACGATACCGATGCGCAGGCCGGAGCCGTCGTGCTGTTCTGGGGTTGGGCCTTTCATGATGATTCAATCAATTGTGTTTTGTCACTCTATTTGGAGGGGCGTTCTCGATGTTGAGGCGTTCGTCTAGCTGCTTGCCGATTCCGGGTACGTAGATCGGGTAGGTAGCTCGAAGAGGAGGGTCCCGGACGCCCCGCGACTGCGGGGTGTGGGTGTGGAACACATGAGCTTAATAAGCAGGTGCTTGATATGCAGTTGACTCAATACAAGTCACCTAGAGTGTGTGGTTGATCCCTATACAGATAGTAAACAGACTGTCATAGCGTTTCCCACTGCTATGGAATCTGAACGAAATAACTGTTTGAAACCTCAAGTACGGAAGTAGCCGTATAGCTCGATCTAGCCTCCACCTTCTCACAGGCCTCAGAGCAGACAAACCCCGGCGGGAATTGTGATCGTGTTGAGCTCGCTCCAGCGGGACAACACTCCATTACAGACGTGTCTAGGCAAGACGTGGCGGAATGCCTGCTGAGGCAGTTCTCGTCTTGTCTTTTTCTCTCCCTTGGCGATTGGTCTAATCAAGTCCGGGACAAGAAGTCTTCGGTTTGACAGTCATGCCCTACAGAAACCGGGCCGGAGTTTGATAGCTAGTCCGTCAGGAGCTTACAAGCTTCGCTTCTTCCCTTCTCGCTGTCCTGACCACACTAGCAGGATCTCGGACTTCTAGCCCATCCTAAAATTGTGAGGCGCGGGAAAGCGAGACTCTAGAGCCTGGGGCACGGGAAAAGTGCGCTTCACGGCATGCAGACTACAGACAGGTGGTGGACTTATCGTCTCTCAACTCATGGCGTTCTTGCGGGAGCTTAGGGCGAGGTAGCTCTCACCAATCCAGCGCGTACGTAGAGCACATTTAGCCTGGACCAAGCACATACATCTACTCATTAGTGCTGAGTAGTATAATCTATCGTTGATGTAAGTTCAGGACCGCTCTCGTGGCGATCACATGAGTAAGCTCCATCAAAGGCGACACCTGTGTGCTGGCATTATGTGAAGAACGTTAGTACGGTTCACTGAGAGCGCAAAATCAAGGTTTCTCTTGCAAGTGTTGAGGTCGCGCACCTTAGAGTATCAGCGATTGGCTTTGGTGGATAGGCCGCCGCTGTCCATCGAGGGTTCGCTCAAGCCTTGTTCAGAAAACTAGGACCAAGTGAAGCTAAGATGATGGGCACGCTTCGTATAGATGTCCATGGCTGGTTATAAAGCCATGGTGCGTCGCAACTGCATCCATGCTTCGGAGCCCAGCCCGCCTCTCGTTGGGATACTTGCACACCAAAACATTCTCAAGCTTTGTCTAGGCCAAACCTGGCAACACATCAAAAATGGGTGTGGTCGAGGGAGATATCGATTCGAATTACCTCCTCGAGAAGGGGCAGACTACAACGCCCAACAACAAACCACAATGTTCGCTCATAACCTCCATCAGGCAGACTATTCACGAATACCGAGAAGACAGAGAGGAGAAATATCGCCCATTAATCGAGGAGATCCGTGGGCTCATCACTAAGGATCACATAGAGGTCAAGCGCTGGAAGCCGAGAAGTTGGGCTGGGTCCACATCCACGAAACAGAGACGCGCACTCTGGGAGGAGGCTCAGAACTCCAGCACGGTGAATCATGGTGGCTATACGTTCAGCAAGAGCCACAAGTACAAGATTACTGTAAAAAGCCGCAATACTGGTTCGACGACCTCTCTCATACAAGATTTTCGCACCCCAGAGGGACGTGAGCAGGCTTTCATGTGGTGGAATGAAAGACACCAAGGAGAGAATAAAACCCATGCCGCTCTTCTCGCCGGATACGACAAGTGGGAGAAGACCTACCAGAATTACATCCACGAGTATCGTAGCGCGCAACGATGGTTCCTTATAGTGGAAGCTCCCAAGACAATGTGGGCCGATTTCAGGGTGGAAGCGCTTACAAAATGATTGTGGCGCTTTTCCCCAAGGTCCAACGAGTGCGAATAGGAAATTTAGATGACAATCCGGGTACCGTGGGTGTCGCTGCAAGTCGTTTCGTGAATGGGGAAGTGATGGACAGTAATGGGCTGGATGATGTCTTCTGATTCCTTTAAATTTATGTTGATTTAGTCTGATGCCAAGATGCTCGTTTTCAATCAATCAGCTGCTATGTTTCGACTGGGCAATGGATAAGCTTCCAAGTTCTATCGCCATTCTCATTAGCAGTTCGGTGTTCATGACTGTCTAGCAGAATATATGGGTAAGTCAATATCTGGCATCCTTTTGGGGCTGACACCGGCGCCTGTTGATCTTTTGGCGACTTGCTCCTTTGTGCCCCTCCGCAGTCTATGAGAACTCTTTGAGCATCCTGAGATCCTCTCCTTCCGCACTGGAATGTGAAGGGCCCTGCCATTGCCGTCATGGAGTCGCAACCCGTGCCTTCCTCATACGGGGCATGGCAGCCTGCGGTTATGCACCTTCCTTGAGGTCTTGATCTGCATTTTGCAATTCTCCTCCAGAGCCATTGTGAATTCACAACTTTGTCCTATACCTGTTCCCCTCCCATAATCATTGAACTGACTGCTCTCTTCATTCCTCGCTCCGTTCAGCCAAGGAGGCCCTCTCATTTCATGCTGAAGCATCAAGATGCCCATCGCCGCATTGCCAGAGACTACTGTGCGTCTCCTTGGCTCTGCCGGATCCATTGCCACGCCGGTTGATGTGGTTAAGGAACTTCTAGACAATGCAATTGACGCAGGAGCCACGTCTGTCGAGATTCTTGTGTCAGCAAACCTCGTCGACAACATCCAGGTCAGAGACAATGGGCACGGAATCCAGCCTGATGACTACAACTCCCTCGGCCGCCTGGGTCACACGAGTAAGCTGAGGTCCTTCGAAGAGCTACACAACTTCGGTGGAAGCACACTTGGTTTCCGAGGTCAAGCGTTGGCCAGCGCAAACTCCCTAGGACGCGTCACAGTCATCACGAGGTCTATCGAAGATCTAACAGCAGTGAAGCTGACAATTTCACCTGGCTGCGGCGGCATCGAGAGCCAACAGCGCGTATCTGCACCAATTGGTACCACTGTGTCCGTGACAGGGCTCTTTAATTCCATTCCTGTGCGCGAACAAGTTGCTATAAGGGAGGCACAAAAGAATCTTGCCAAAACCAAGCAACTATTGCACGCGTATGTCTTAGCCAGACCGCTGATCCGAGTTTCATTCAAAGTTTTGGGTGGAAATCTGAAGCAGACTTGGTCTTACTCTCCCCGCCCACAGACCACTGTCAGAGAAGCGGTTGTTCAGGTATTTGGGACAGGCCTCATGTCACAATGTGTGTTCAAGGTAGTGGCTACTGAGAGCGACTACCATAGGGAGGGAAACGCTCACGATGGCTCACACTTGACCATTGAGGCCATCTTGCCCAAGCCGGACGCAGATTTGTCCAAGCTTTCAAAGGGCTCTTTCTTTTCTGTCGACTCTCGACCCGTGTCAACTTCGCGCGGTACCATGAAGAAACTACTGTCAACTTTTAAGAGACACTTTAAAAAGTCCCTCGGTGTGGATGTTGAAGACAGACGGCTGAGTGACACCTTCATCTGCTTCAACGTCAAGTGCTCCCCTGGTACTTACGATCCGAACGTCGAGCCGTCGAAAAGCCAGGTCCTCTTTTCCGACGAGTCCCAGTTAATGGAATTATTTGAGGTGCTATGTTCGCAAATCTACCCGACTCAAAAGACAGTGGACGCCTTCGTAACGATCGAAAAGAGGCCACTCACGGGACAATCACAAACACGAACACCACCGCCAAGCAGTGATGGACCTCAAGAATTCACCGGGCTACCAGAACCTCATCGAGATGAGCCGTCGTACAGAGCATCTGTCCGCCGGCCCCGGACGCCTGATGCAACTAGCCCTTACACTGTCTTGCGAGGCTCTCTGAAAGCAGTTATCGCCCCATCTGAGCAGATGAAGGAGAATCGTCAACCGCCAAAGACCCCACTCACGGGGCAACTCCACACAGCCCAGTGGCCAGCAGAACTCTCAGATCTCAGAACAGTTCGTGGAGGGTCTCAGAGAGGACTGATGCGCCTGGAGGATCCAGCCAGCATAGAGCAGTCACCGACTCTTGGTCATGATGGCCCCGCCATGCGGCTTCGTTCTCCGTCAAGAAATTGCAATCCATATGCTGCCGACGAAGCCGTATCACATCAAGCAAGTTCACGTTGTCATCAAGGTCGCAAACGAGGATTCGTCGTGAACATGTCGGCGGACCCAGACCTGACATCTGACGAAGAAGCCGAGGCCAGCGCATCCAGTTCCTGCGACTTGCGAGAAGCATATCTACCGCCAGAAGAGCCAGTTGATAATTCGAAAGAAGCCCTGAACCCGTGGACAATCGCAAAGATGACCGCCCCAGCTCGACAGAGGACCGCTGATGATATCGACGCAGACAGCGCCGGTCGATGTTTTGTTCATCCGCAAGAAACAGGTGCACCACCCATGTCAGATGATGCAATTGAGGAGGATTTTCCAATCTTGTGGCCGCAGAGAGGCGCACCTAGGGATCTTGATACACCCCATATGATGCGATTCGCGAATTCGCACATCGACCACCTTCAGGCTTCCAATATCCAAGATCCCGACCCAACGACGATGCTTCAAAATCCACAGACGATTTCTCAAGTGGGCCACGATCTATCTCAGACACATTCGCATACGGGACAGTCGACCGAACGGCGCAAGGTGCCCGATATCGAGTCCCATCGTGACGACCCTGAGGAGGGTCTTGATCCAGATGGGCTGGTACAAACTACCTTGTACTTTGATAAGCTAGAGAAACCAAGATCGAGGCAAAAACCTCAGGCACAGCTTCACATTAACGAAGTCCCAACTCGGCGCAATCCACCATTCCGAAAGCCAAAGAGAGTCAAGGAACGAGATCGAGGTGACCGCAAGAAGGATGCTTGCACTGGCAGCGGTCTTGAAGAATACCTGCTTGAATCTCGAAACGAGAACAAAACCTCGAATGGTCCTGCGAGACGTCGGCGCGACTTCGACTCCCCTAGTTCACAAGATTTCATACTTGTGGATTCTGGGGTCAATCATACTATCAATCAGGCGGCTGCACAACAGCTAGATCGTGGGCATACTGGAGTCAGCCCATTCGATGGAGACTCGAGGAAGTACCTGATGAGAAGGCAGCGCTCAGAGGCAGAACATAGAAGGAAGGGCCGGCAGTCCATCAAGAGGACTAAGACTTACATGTTGCCCTTGGAGACTGTGCCATCGAGTGATGGAACCGTGCACCTCATGCTGAACATGGAGCCCGACAATACTGAACTTTGTAATCCTCCGAAGAGAACGCTTTCATTGGTCGGATACCGCCAAAAAGCAAGCTTTGGCGTCTTGATGAGTTTGGAGGACGTGGATGACATTCAGTCAAGATTGCAGACTGTCATTTCTGGCTGGACAGAGAGAACATTTGGGGAGAGAGCGGACATCGAGTTGAATCTTCGGAGTGCAGTGAAGAACTTTGCGACCGCCTAGTGTTGCTAGGATATCATGGCAGGTTGTCTGCGAGATCTCGGGCACCTAGGAGGTGATTTGCTAGGAGCATTTGAGCTGGGCCCGTTGTGGAGTATATGGAAAATGTTGCTTGAGCTTGCCGAACATGTATAATATCCTGTGGCTAGATTGGTAAGAGCTCTATGATCTTTCTTGACAAGAGCCGGCCGCTTCGGACTTTCCGCTTGTCCTTGATTTTGCTTTGCTTGCAAGTGACCTGTAACAATATATGAATTGCGGAAAGAGAGGTCTGGCTCACTTACACTGCCCCTCACACGGGGTAGACACAAATGCACCAGAAACATGTCCTTGATGGCAGAATCTGAATGATTGCCCAAATTTTACATTTGACGTTGTTCGCTAGAATTTTTGAATAGTCGCATAGCTTATTACTTAACCTTACACAAAACAGAGGATAGACCTCGTATCTTAGGACACAAAATACTGAGAGGACATTGTGTATCTGTTGCATAATCGGCGGCTAGAAAGCATTTAAACAGAACCTCGAATTGATCACTACTACGGTTCTATCTAGTCTTCATTCGGCGTGTCTCGGCCACTATGAATAGTCAGATTGACAGCAATCTCTGGTTCTCGAAATCTTGGAACTCACGAGCTTCCGCCTCCAACGAGGAATTCATCGGTCTTGATTGTCTTGCTCTCGTTCAGGTCTCTACTGGGATATGAGAACAGCTTTTCATCCTTATGAATGCTCAGCAATCTGGTCGACCCAGGTGGACAAGACCCAGATTTTCCATTAAAACTTCATTGTTTTTCATGGGCAGCAAGACCATTTTCCCCGAGCAGTTCAGCGCAGGCGAGCTTGTGCGGAAGGACAAGCCACAATCGATGAACATTTCCAAATCACGGGCATTCATGAGCTTCGGAGAACAGATAATAAGGTGCGTATATTGCCTGGAGACTCACCGTGACGGAACTCATAGCAACAAAGTGTGGATCACCAGCGAGTTTGATTTCGCCGTCGATTCTCCGAAGGGATTTCACTTGTAGTAGAGCAGCAGCGACGACATTGGACTAGGTAAAGGTAAGTAAGTGACTAGTGAGAGCAACGATATCTCGCCAGAACACCTGTTCCGGATAGAAGCAGTCGGCCACTTTTTCGGCATTGTTGCTGGCCAAGGCTGTATTCAAATCGTCCAGGACGGTCTGATTGTAAGAAGTAGGTACGTCATCTGTCATCACAACCGGGTCAACAGTCCCGGTAGCGATCTTTGGCAACGGCCTGTAGACATCTCCACGGAGATCAGCCTTCGGGGAGTACTCGACGCCCGGTGGGAATGCTTCAATATCGGCAGGCATGATAGTGAGGGTGTTGAAGCTCAAATGCTCTGAGCGAGACGGAGATCTGAGATGAAGGCGGAACCGAAGGGATCGCAGGCAAGTTGATGCAGTATGACGAGGGGGCAAGAAGCAGACACTTAGCTAGCCAGCAGAGTTGAAGCGAATTTCTTTCAAAAAGACACAGGAAGAAACTTGGTCAACGGAGCTGCCACCTCAGCTTCTCTGACCCCATCATTTAGATCTCTTAGCTCGCTGTCACTGCAGTCTTTCGTCTAATTGGTCTTGCATGGCCCAACACGTGCTGCTCGGTCCAACATGTTCCAATGTCTGTTCGTGGCGGAATGACCAAACACGTTTTAACTGTCACTGACTTTTTGCTTCAAGATTTATACAAAATTTGATTATATACAGACCCGACCTAATTTGTCACAGTTTGTGGTAATCAGTGTAATTGAAGACTATTATATACTTTGATATCGAGCATGAAAACTTGCTCGCTTTCGCACATGGGGAAAAGAATAGCATACGGTAAATACTATTTTCATGCTTGATAATTTAAGCCGTGATAATTTCATACTATCAGACTGCCTAGTGCTGACTGACGGTGACAAGCAACTGGTGGTTTTGGATGCATAATGCGAAACAATGTTATGGCAATCTCTGTCTGGTCTAGGTGTAATTTCCTGACATCGACCGGCAGTGACTAAGAACAGCCGTAGGGATTGCGTCGAAGGAAGCGGACTCTTGAGGTGTGGTGGTGTTCAGGGGAAAGTGGATAAAGAGAACAGACGGAAGGACGGATGGAAGAGCTAGTCATGGCTGCGAAATTGTTGTCTGAGAATAGGAAATATATACTTTATACTCCCTGGTCCTTCCGCGGTCCTTATCTGAACGATTTCTAGTATGATCGAAGACTAGATACTGCAGAAGCTGCAAGTCGAATTCCTCAACCAACGAAAGAGTTGGCTCGGAAGTATTGGGTCAATGAAAGCTGTAGGGATCGAGTCTTTTACTAATATGTTAATATGTTTATGTTTTCTGGTAGCATTGCCCGTGCACCAACGATGAAATGTTCGACTTTTCTCTTCCTCTCTTTCACTTCTCATTCTTTTGATTGTGCCAAAAACCGTTTGAGGGGGGGGGGGTGGTCTTCCTGCACTTCTACCGTCGCACACATTCGCTTTGTTTTAGTAGCTATGGAGACGTGATTATCGAGGGTGGTGACCTAGGGAGCAGCCGGCACAGTGGTGGATACGCGGTTACGAAGCCGGTCCGCAAGGACCAGTTATTAATAGCAGCAGCTCGAACGGCATCATAGGCATAGGTGCAGAGGCACGAGAGGGTAGCGCAGAGGATCGAAGCCATCGAAGATTCCCAGGGCTTCTGGTTGGTCTGCCCGTCGCCAAGATGGCTTACTGTGCAGATCACTCTGTGCGCAGGACTACTACTTCGTGTATGGTGCTGGTGCTGGCGCTGGTGCAGTGTTCTCAGTCGACCGACATTGAAGTTCCAAGGTTGGCAGGGTGGGGCGAGCCCCCTTGACATGGCCTGCCCTGCCCTGGCCCGCCCTGCCAATCGTCCTGTCAATCCCGTCACTGGCAGTGCAGGACAGAGTGACGGAATACCAGGGAACCTCATTTCCCGCGCAAATAAGGTTGGCTGCCAGGGTCCCTGTAGCAGTCAAGGGGGGAGGGGAGGGGTGCCCGGGTCGGTAGGCGGCAGTGACAGTGACAGTGACAGTGACAGTGGGCAGTGACCTGGGCTGTTGAAGAGCGTGGGCATATCGCGACCAGCGTACTGTAGGTAGTTTTCATATCGCGACGACGAGGTGCTCGGGTGCCTCTTGTTGATGCCGTGCGCCGTGGGAATCGGGTGGCGCTGCTGCAGCCGTATATGTGCGTGCGTAGCGGAACTAAGGCTTTGCTGACCCGGCGCCATGCCATTCGTCTGGCCATTCCGTTCCTTCGGCCTGTTTCCCCTCGTCGCGCAGCCAACTTGCTGCTACTGCTGCCTTTTTCCGTGTTATGCCATGCCCATGACATGCCCATGCTGTGGGTTGCTTCGTGTCTGTGTTGCGGTGTGATGTGACTCTTCCCGAAGCTGCTCGTGGAGGAAAGAAAGAAAGGACTCTCACTCGCTGGCCATCTTCGTTTCATGCCGACCTGGCTCACCCACAGTGGATACGAAGCCCAGCCCAGCCCCAGCACAAGGAACAGGCACAAGCATAAGCACAAGCACACAACAAAGCAACAGGCCTGCTGCTCCTGTTTCCCAACCTGGGATGCCAAGCTCGATTCGATCCATTTGCGCCCATCCACGGTTGCTACAAGCAGGCAAGCTCCTGGCAGGGAGCCCCGCTGCCCCGTCCCTGGACCGCGGACCCAAGATTGCAATCTGGAGTCGTCCCAATTCTTGACGGCCGCAGCGCAAGCAACACCACCACCACCACCACCACACAGTAGACAAACAGCACCACCACCACCACCACCACCACCACTCAACCCCCTTACTACGTAGACCATCTCCAACTCATCCCACCTGCCAACACACCACGTCATTGCCCAGGCAAGCCTGCAACAAGACATTCTCCCTAACTGAACACGCCGTTTCAGACAACAAAATACCACACGCCTTAACCACCTAATCAGCCAACACCCATTGTATCCGTCGCTCGCCCGCCGGACCCGCCAGACGACACCCAACCTATCCATCCACCCGTCCCGTCGCGTCTTGTTCCTTGCTTCGACCTGGACTGTCGATTGATTGCCTTTCTCCAGCTACGCCCAGAGGAACGTCGTGCGCCGACCTGGTGCCGGTTGGCATCCATCTATCCGTCCCAACTCCAGCTTCAGTCCCGAATTGCTCCCGCGGTACAAACACGAGCCTCAGTGGACCCAGTCTCCCAAGATGTTCATTATCTGACAGAGCTGCCCATTTTCCTTCCGTCTCGTCGCGATTCCACGCCTCCGCTTCTTCTACTCGTGCCGCGCCAATCATGCGAATATTCGATGCAACCTATCCTGAGATTGATTCTGGTCGGGCCTGCACTCCCTGCGACCATGACGCCACGAGGAACCGAGCCATCCAGCCGCAGGCTGTCGCACGGGGAAGCGACTTAGACGGAGCCGTGTACCACAGGAAGAGGAGAGGGAATCCCGGGCTCGTGAGGCATCTTCACTCCACGCCGACGCGCTTCGATAGGGGCATCACGACTACGAACAGCAAGCGATCATCGCGCTCTGCGACGAAACGCAGGATGCGATCCCTCGTGTGCCTATCGCTCTTGGCGCAGCCCGCGGCCGCCGTTCTTCTCGACAAATTCGACAACTGTCTCCCCGATTCGACCAAGTATAGCAATCCTCTCGAATTGCAATGGGTCCCGCTCTACGTAGGGGCAACTTTCGACACCAAGAACAAAAGCCATAATCTCAGGATCACCGTATGGGGGAACGTGACAGGCCGTTACAACCCGACCGCAACACCCGAACTGCCTCCCTGGAACAGCGATGATTGGAGCAATCCCAATGTCACCGATGGCAAGATCGTCGACAACCCATTCGCGGACACTGCGAACCTCCTCACCACTTTGCACAGCAAGATCGACGTTGTGACCTACGAGCCCTACTCGGCCGATTTCGACTTTTGCAAGGATGCTCTGACGAATGCGTCATGCCCGTTGGGCCCCGTCTTCAACACATCGGAAATGTGCGTATCCGCTCTGGTGCCTGTTCCCCTGCAAGGATATCTAGAGGTGGGAAAGAACGGCCAGTACGGTGATGAATATTGTTCGCTTCTCTGCGTTTGAGGTATGACAGCAGTCTCATGCTCAGGCTTGGACCGTTTCCGGTCGAGACGTCGACATCTCTGCTTATTAGGCACCGTTACGATGGGATGCTCACAGCTGGCATGAGAGCCTGATGACTGCTGTCTGACTAAATAGCAGATGCGAAAGTCGATATCCCCCAGTGATGGCCGTGCTTCCTCACCCCCTGATGCATTTCTTTGCCATATGCGTGAGAATAGTGCTAACAAGCAACGCAGAACCTCGCTCGCTGGCCTGCCATCCATCACGATGACGAAGGACTTCTATTCAAGCTATGCCTTCACATCGTTCTCGCCCACTTTCTCCATCATATATGGCGATGTCGTGCAAACAACCGTCGGCTGCATCTCTGCCACATTGACCCCGGATCTCGGCGGGCTGGCGTGGATGTTGAAGTTTCTGCCCCTCATGGTCCTCCTGTCGGTCGGATTTGCTACTGTCTTTGCCAGCATCTACAGTCCGTGGGGCACCACGGATATCTTCCACTGGAGCTCCAACTTTGGAAGGCACAATGACCTTCTCCGCTTGGTGACACCAGGCTTCGGCGACTGCCTGCAATACATTCAATTTGTGGCGTTGACTGGCGGCCTTACTCTCAACTACCCTGGGTTCTTCCAGCCTATCGTCAGCCAAGCGTCTTGGTCTGCGCTAATGTTCAATCAGAGCTTTGTGACCAAGGATCCAGGGTGGCAGAACTTGAGGGACGGACTTTACTTCACCAACGGCACCTACGGCCTCCATGAACTAGGCCAACTGGTCGGTATGGGCAATGTTGAGGACATCTGGGCGGGCATGATGGTCTGGCTCCTAGGCATAATAGGGGCTGTGGCCGTCATCACTCAATTGGGGTTTGCAGTGCAATGGGTTTATCGCTTCGTGAAGAACGTCCAAGAGGAGGATCTCCGCAACAAGAATCTTCCCTTCACCGTAGGGAACGTTGTGAGGATTGTGTTCAACTTCTTCCTACTACCTCTGGTGGCACTGTCCATGTTTCAGCTGGTGGTTGCCGCCCAGTCACCCGCTTATACGGTAGCACTCGCCGCCGCAACAATCGTGCTGCTTCTCATCTTTGCCGGGTGGCTCCTACGGCTTATTACGACGACCAAACCGCGGTCAGTTTTGTTCGACGATCTGCCGACCGTGCTGCTTTACGGGCCTCTCTATAACACCTATTCCGATGAAGCCGCCGCCTTCGCCCTGATTCCCGTCTTGTTGACGTTCATCAGAGGTGTCGGGATAGGCGCCGTGCAGCCTGTGGGAATCGCACAGATCATTGTTCTGGCTATCTGCGAAGTCGTGCAGGTGATAACGCTGCACGCATTCAAGCCCTTCTCGTCGCCCACGTCGATGAATGCGTACCATACACTCTTTGCGGTGCTACGATTCACGGTGATTCTTCTCATGACGGCATTCATTCCGCAGCTTGGGGTCACCGACGGCTCAAAGGGATGGATAGGATATGTTATACTTGTGATACACAGCGGCGTGTTGGTTCTGTGCTTCATGTTGAACGCCTTGCAGACTATTATTGAGGTCATCGCAAGGCTGATGGGCGCAGGAGGAGATGACAACAAGGGGTTGTCTCAAGGACCCTTGTCAAGAATATTCGGTGCTCGGCAGCTTTCCAGGCGAACCTCGCGACGTGGTGGTCCGTCCAGACAAAGTCAGTTGTCAAGCACAGCAATGTTGAGTGCGCAAGATCCAGCCCAGGCAGGGTACATCGCACCAAGCGGCCGCCTCCGAAGCGAGTCAGCTGGCAGTGTGGTGCTTCTCAACGGTCGGCCTCAGAGAAGCTCATCCGCCCTTGATGCTATGAGCTTTGACAATTCGATGCCGCCATCTCGTCTCGAGGCTGGAACGACTTTCACACCATCGACACCTGGCGAGACCAGCACATACTCCTTCCTCCCATCTCCCGTGGTGGGGCAGCAGAGCCGACACTCCGTACCGCCGAATGCTTTAGTGGCAGACAACCCGGGAGACACATTCTACAGGCCGCCGAGGAAGCGGGGGAAAACACTTGATAACCAATCCCCACATTCTAGAGCTCGCGCGTCCTGGGGAACAAGTGGTGAGTGGTCTCAAAAGCGGACGAGCCAAAGTGGTGGAGCGGCGCTCGATCCAGTTGACGTCGATCCCATCGACCGTGACCGCGATCGTGATCGCGCAACGCCTGCGACGTATGCCTTCCCCACCAGAACAGACTACGCTACTCGTGAGGTCGACTTTTACTACGGCGTCCAGCGGGGTTCGAGGCTCAATTCGGACGCGCCACAAAGAAAGTTGGGCACAGGGCCTGCAGACCCCACCGGGACAGTGGCCACTGCAACTGGCTGGTTCAAGAACATGTTTAGCGGCAAGAGGAAGGAGAAAGGAAAAGGATTTGAGGTTGTCCGGAGCTCACGCATGCCTCCTGCCATGCGGTCGGATCAAGCCTACGATGACACAGATCCTCCTGAAGGGACACCTGTAGCGATGGGAGTGCTAAGGAAAGGACCCATCGACTCAGATTCCGACGAAGGAACTGCCAAGCGCCCGCCGCCCGCCGCGCAAGGCGATGAACCTCCTCCGACGGCTCGATTACTCAATGACGATGGCGTCAGCATAGATGAAGACGCTGCTGACGAGCCTGGGGACCTGAGCTCTTCTCGAAACCCACCAGTGCTGCCTGACCTGGATGCGGGAGGAAGCTTTCACGTACCCAGTCGCGCAGTCTCGAAAACCAGCCACGCCTCCGAGAGGATTGACGTAGTCCGTGGTGATATTCAGAAAGCAGTGCCTGATGTTCCCAGGAAGAGTTCCAGGCGCAAGTCCGACCTGATAAGCGGACTGACTCTGAACCTGGATGCGCCGCCACCTCGGGGACAAGATCAGGCAACATCTTCACGCCTACCTTTTCAGCCGTTGTCGCGGAACGTATCAGCAGATCAGAGAACATCCTCGATCTCCTCGCTCGGGGCGGAGTCTGACACGCACCAGCTGTCCAGTGAGAACCGCTTGGGCACCGTGACCCATGGTAGTATCAACAGATTCCCATCAGACTCCCGGGGAAAGATCGAGGGCAGTTCAGCTGAGTTCGTTGATCGTTAATGACCACGCATGAAGATAACACAGCTGGGAACTACAACATACATACATGCATACATACATACCTACATACATACCACCCTTTGCTGCAAGCAGCACACACAGACGAGCCGTCTCCAAACTCGATCTGACACAAATACAATAATAGGCCATGGGATATTTTGGCCCAAAACACATCTGGGTTCCTTTTTCGGCAATCGGCAAGCGGGAGTTGGGTCGATCAACGTTCGGGACGTGCTGCCAAATGTACAAAAGGCGGCAATAGACTGATTTCTGGGTAACCTCATTTTTACTCGACTGCTAGCGATGGCGTATCAAAAATTTACTCTCGGGTGCTTTCTTGCGTTCTGCTATTTCGGTGTGATATCTCGGGACGGCTTCTCTGTAATTAGGGAAGATATCATGCGTGTACACTGGGATGACGAGTGTCTGTAGCAGCAGGGAAGAAAACAACAATCCTGCATCCACAACTGCCTGAGCTTCTGTTGAGTGATGTTCTGCTTGACTCTACAGGTGAAGACTGCCGTGAACGATCAATATCTAGTAATATTGCTAACCTCAATGACATACCTTGCCATCATGAGCGTAGGAGGGAGGGAGGGGTTGATGTAAGTTTGGTCAGTAGCTGGTCTAGATGATTCTTGCGTATTCGCGAAAAGTAAAATTTAATCAAAGAGGACGAGAAGAGGATTTCAAGTTGTTGACAACAATCTTTACAACGTGATTTGCACTTCGCATTAGTAGCTAGCTCGGTGCTTCCCTAGGCATTAAAGACGGTGGGTATTTTGCGAAGTGATATGCCAACCTCGGCGTGTCCCTAGCACTCGCCAGCGCAACTCACTTGACGGTCACAATCTGCGCCCATCGCTGTCGCCTTCTCCTTACCCAGTGGGCTCGCAGGCTCGCAGGCGGCAGGAGACCCGGCTCTGGTCTATTTTGGAACCATCTCCATCGGCTCACGCACCGGACCGTCTTGGCTGGACGAAAAATCCAACTCCCTCGTCGTTCTCGACGCTGACGGCATGGTAGAATTGTGCCCGTCTCAAGCTCGTGAGCCAAACGTACGGGTGAGATATATCTGTGTCCCTTCCCCCAAGACCACTATTCCGAAGTTCTTTTCGTAGTTCTTTTTGCACCCTGGCATTTGTTCCTGACGCAAGTGCCTGCAGAACGGAGGCTATAAGACACTAAACTGGACCGTGACCAGTCCTCAAGGCGTTCGTGCACATCGGCTCAACCCCAGTTTCATATCCGCACTCTTATCGGGAATTTTATGTTCAACGATATATTTTAAGCAGAATTAGTGCCATTGACTTAATACCGCCTTACTCTCGTGGCCAGGTCGCTATCTTGTGGCGCGGCGTGCAGAACGTGGGCAGAAAGGCAGCCACGAGGCAGCTTTATGAGGACCTAGATGAGCGCGCACCATCTTTGACGCCAGTCTATACTGAAATTTGTGTGTCTGTAAGTTATAGTGATTTTATTATTGAGCCTCAGTTATTTTCCACACCTAGTCCGTCTCGCGGTGCCACCCATTCTTGTCCGAAAACACATCACATCATACACTTTTCGCACCTCTATCCACCCAGACATCCTCTTCACCTTCACTCCCACACCCTCGAATACCCTTCACAACTACTATAAACCCTCGCTCCATCACCGGAAAGATCACCACACCAACAACAATGAAGACACCCGTGCTCATCGTCGTCATCGCCTCCGTCGTGGTCCTCAGCGCCCTCCCGGCCCTCTACCTCTTCCTCGCGTACCACACGCACAGGGAGCGCGAGGGCTGGAAGACGGACCACGACAGGGCGCTCGAGAAGATCGAGCACGAGGTCCGGCGCAGCCGGCGGCTCGCGGGGGAAGGTGCCGCCGGCGCCGCGAGCGGAGCCTTTTCCTCGGCCGCCCCTGGCAGGGCACCATCGTCCGTACAGCAGCAACGTCATCACCCACGAGGAGCCGCCCCGGCGCAGGCCTCACGGGCGCCGCCGCGGGAGGAGCTGAACGTGCCCAGGAGCTCACGCAACCATCTGTCACAGGCTAGCAGCGACGACAACAACGCGCCGCGCGCCGCATCCAAGCGCGGGAGGAGGCCCGCACCGAGCACGAGGAGGAGGAGCATTGGCGCCGGTGGGGGCGGCAGGAGCATCAGGGGCTCCGAGCAGCAGAACTCCGCGCACGAGGCAACGTCAGACGACAACAGCTAGGGGACGCGGCTCCTGCCGTCTGCCTCTCGGCTGCCATCCGTTTCTCAGCTGGCAGCTGCCTCTCAGCTGTAGAGAGCCGGCATGGCGCCGTCCGAGCAGAGCCGGCTCGCTGTTGCCGCGCAGACCGAGGGCGGCGACGAGCGCACAGCGCGGAGGCTGCTGAAGCCGAGGAGGCGCGCGCAGATCGAGGTATGGCTGGACGAGGCCATACGCACACGGGAGGATCAGTACTGCGGTGCCGGCAGGATGTGCGGCCACCGTTCGGATGCGCTCGCATTGCCAGGCGCCGACCAGACCGGTGGTGGCTCGCGCTCGATTTCCTCAGATGTCTGCCCAGTCTGCGGTCGGTCCTGTGAGGACGAGGAGCCTGTCACCACCAATCAGACAGAAAAAGAAAACCGACTAGAAGAGCAGCCACGGCCGGGCGGGAGCAAGCTAGGCAAAGGCAAGCACATGCTTCGCGGGATCAAGACGGCCATGGGCCACCTCAAGGCCAGGGACGGCAGCAAGAGCGAGGAGGAGGGGTTGGGCCGGGCAGTGTCGACGCAGATGTTCGTCGCAGAGGCCAGCGAGTACGGAAGCTCCATCTGCTCTGCATTCAGTTCCAGCCTTTCGAACATGGGCGGCGGCGACAACAACAAGGCGCTGGATGAGCGGATGGCGCGCTTGAGGAGGGCGCAGAAGTTACTGGACAAGAGTCAGGTCAAGCGTTGAGGCTGCAGGCAGGTATTATATTAGAGGACTGACTTAATCGTGTGACCCTGTTACTCACCACGTCTCCATGTAAATGATCGCCCATCAATATCCAGTGCCGTGACTGTGGTGACTTGTCTTCTGCGTGACCATTTTAAGTGAGCCTGGTGCCGCAGAGCACGGCGAGGACGAGCCCTTCAAGGTTGGTAGAGCCTTCACTTCCATATCACCCCTAAGATGTGCCGAGCCCACGGGTCGTTGCTTTGCATACTATCAGATCGGCGTATCGGCAGATGGGAGAGCTCGGGCACCCTTGTGACGTGGGCGTTATGAGGCGTTGCCAGCGCGGCATGCTCGAGGTACCTTGATCTTTGCAGCCCAATATCTAACTCTACCTTGTTGTCGCCTGCTTCGCTGTCTGGCCGTAACCGGATTCGGAATAGTAAACAAAGTTTGGAGGGTCGCTTTCAGTCGGCATTGACTGAAATGGTTGGTTGACTTGATGACTGTTTTGATTTTTTGGGGGGTAAAGGGGGGCTTTACATCTGTCTGTTGACCGATAAACATTGGGGGGTAATTCCGAGACGACCACACACTCTCTCTCAGTATGAAATAAGGCAAATGACGCATACAGGCGGAGATAAGGAAATCAACATAATCCATGAAAATCCTGGGTTGTGACTATCTGAAAGGGGGTAAACACCCAAGGGGAGTGCGAGGATCAGCCATGTTGCTAGAGCACAACGCCGAACCCGTCCAGGTGCCAATTCTCCCCCCACGGGAGCCAAAACCAGAGGACCCAAAGTCCATGCCCTGCGTTCTCGCTACCCATCGCAACCAACTCCCAGGAAGAGTGACCCCGATCGTGACCAATGCCATAAATCACATCCTCTCTCCACCCGTACTCCGCTTAGAGAGCGCCTCCCAACATCCTTCTGGCACGGACGCTAAGCTTCAGCAGGGAACTATCACTTTTCGACTTTCAGCAGGCGCACAAGGGACTGTGTGGCCCCTTAAGACTCAGGTGCGGGCTCCTCGGCCTTGGCCTCGGTCTTCTCCTCTGCGGGCTTCTCCTCCTTGGCGGCTCCCTCGGCGGTGCCTGCGGCCTCGGCCTCGCCGTTGTCGGACGAGGTCCACAGGGTGAGGTTGTCCCGGAGAAGCTGCATGATAAGGGTGCTGTCCCGGTAGGACTCCTCGGATAGAGAGTCGAGCTCGGCAATGGCATCATCGAAGGCCTGCTTGGCGAGGTGGCAGGCGCGGTCTGGGGAGTTCAGAATCTCGTAGTAGAACACAGAGAAGTTGAGGGCCAGTCCCAGGCGGATAGGGTGAGTGGGGGTCAGCTCGGTCTGGGCAACGTCGGTGGCGTTCTAGAGACAGGGATGTTAGCAGACTGCGCACATGAAACCACCAGGCGCAGCTCTCTCACCTTGTAAGCCTCGTGGGCAGCAGTGGCAGCGGTCTTGCGCTTCTCGCCGGAGGCGAACTCAGCGAGGTAACGGTGGTAGTCACCCTTCCTGTTTGTGTGGAAATCCAAAAGTCAGATATGGAGACGACCCTTACAAGGGAGTTAGGTAAATAGGCTTACATCTTGTGGTAGAAGACCTTGGACTCGCCGGAGGCGGCGTTGGGGATGAGAGACTCGTCCAGAACATCGAGGACGTCCTGGCAGACCTTCTCGAGCTCCAGCTCGATCTTGGAACGGTACTCCTTGATGGTGGGGACGTGCTTCTCGGAACCCTTGGACTCCTCCTTCTGCTCGATGGAGGAGATGATGCGCCAGGAGGCACGTCGGGTACCAACGACGTTCTTGTAGGCAACGGACAGCAGGTTGCGCTCGTCGACGGTCAGCTCACCGCCGAGCTTGGCAACCTCCTTCATGTAGGAGACCATCTCATCGTAACGCTCGGCCTGCTCGCACAGTCGGGCGAGGAAAGTCTTGCTGTTGGGGATCGGTCAGTTGGTTCTGGCGCGGATACGGGCAGGCATCAACCGATTCGGAAAAACGCACCTCTCACGCTAGAGATGGGGAGCCATAGGTTAGCGACTTGCGGAATCCAGATGCAACGGCACACAGAGGCAATATGAAGGTGTTGACAGCTTGCAGCAGCAGGGGGAAGGCAGGTGATGGGAGGTTATCAGGGGCGCAAGGGCAGAGGCACAGGAGCTGGGCAGAGAGGCGATTTCGAGAGCAAAGGGGAAGTGGGGGGTGGCTTGTTGGAGTGCAAGACTACACGTACCTCGTTCGCCATCTTGTCGGATCTCTTGCTGGTCTATTGACTGAAAGGTGCAAAAGAGAGAGAGGGAGGGAGTACGAAAGGAAGTCTGGCGGTGGTGGGAAAGAGAGAAGGGCAGGGTTGGGTCTGCTGGTTTTGCAGGTCTCGGAGGCTGTTTACAAGTGGTCGTTGGTTGGTGATGTTGTTGTGTTGTGGGCAAAGTCGGTGTCTTGGGGTTGGGGGGGAAGGGTGGGAAGAAAAAGCGGCAAGCCAGCAGGCCCAGGTAGGTTAGGTAGGCAGAGGGTAGGGTAGACAGGCAGGCACGCTTGGGCTTGGGTGTTGTCCCATCTGGTCTGGCTGGTCTGGCCTGTCTGGCCTGTCTGTCCTTGTCCTGTGCTCTCCTGTCCTGCTGTCGTCTGGCTGTCTGGGTCTGGGTTCAGGTCGGCAGGGCTGCGCGCGGGAGCAGGACGCCCAATGGCAGGGCTCGCCGGCCAATGTACCCAGCAAAATCAGCCTTAGCCCAGGAGGGAGCGCAAAATTGATAGCGGGGAACGCCCCAAAATTGAGGCTACCCCACTACCTACCTGTCTAGGTACTCTCTCATTCTCACTCTCCCACTCTCCCATCCCACTCCCTCAACTCCCCTCACACACACACTCAATCTCAATCTGGCATGCGGCCAACTGGCAGCCCACGCAGGCGTCGGGCTCCTTTTCTGGCAATGCAATGCCTGTCTTGGTTTCTTTGCTGCTGGCCCAGGTCTGCGTTGTTCCACCACATACACATACAGTATTCTACCGTGGTCCACCGTCGTCTACGGGACCAACCTGCCTACCTGCCTACCTGCCCTCTCCCTGTCTATACCAAGGTATTATTGTACCTAATCCAGGCAATTCGCGTGGGATTGGTGAGGTGACAGCGATGCAAACGCCGCTCTGGGTACCTAGTCCAGTACTCCGTAGATTAGGTATTCGGGTAGCTTGAGAGCAAGGCTTTCTTCTGACTCGGCAAGAGCTCGACGAGGGACGTCCGTGTTAGCCGAGCCTCGTCTTACCGCCCGTATATTACATTTTATTACATTAAATGTCTGTTGTGCTGTACATAGTACATTCGCGTGTACATACAGCCTCTCTCTCTCTCTCTCTCTCTCGATTGCTGCTGCACAGTACCATCAGGCCGGTCTTATTGACCACCAAAACGTGCGAGTTCGGCCTTCGTCCCTTGATCCCTCGTCCCCTCGTCCTCATGTCCTCATGTCCTCTCGTCCTCTCGTCCCATCGTCCCATCTAGATACCTGCCTGCCACATGTAATAAGAAGAAGCTATAGCTAGCTCGTTGCAGTCTGCACCGTGCAATAGCTAGCCTAGGTACCTGCTTGCCCGTGGTAGCCGGCATTGACCATCTTGTGATCGTCCTCATCCATCCTTCCTGTGGGCTCGTCCTCCCCGATCGGATTCTGTCCCCCTGAAGCGCCCCTAAATTGAAATCACGACAATTTGCCAGAACCTCGTCACATTCTCCAGCCCACGCCTTTTTATTAATCCCTTCCCGAGATAAGCTGCCTTCCACCGGGTTCGCCTGCACGTGTGAGTGGCAGTCTAGACCCTTGTGCACTCAAACCTTCAGCATTGCAGTGCGGGCGAACCCAAAAAAGAGTCATCATCATCAGGGCACAAAACAACTGAAGAGTCAGGCAGGGGCCGTGTCTTGGGCACGCAGCATCTGCCCTGCGGGCTGCAACATGACGACAGACCACAGTCGCACAAGCAACTTGTCTGAGCGCCGTCGAAGCCCGGTTCTCTTCCCTGCATCTAATTAGTTCACCACCACCACCACCACCACCACCAAGAGGCATGGGCCCGTCCTGCCTGCCTGCCTCTCCATTTGGATACAGCTCTGCCTCGCCTGTGGAGACCAGGTATCCAAGCCACCAAATCATACGTATTACCACCCCGAGGTGCCGGCGAGATATCCAACAAACTTTCTCAAGCAAAGCAGCAATGCCGATACCCCTCTCGGGCCCTGGCGTCTGGTATCAAGCCTTGATGAGCAAGTCAGGCTCCTCCTCTCGTCGTCATGCGTCCGGAACCCGACGGGCTGAGCCGCGCCTCCGAGGCCCAGGGTCTTCCCTGGTGGCGCCTCGAACCTTGGAACGCCCAGGTGCGGATCACCAATGACAAACAAGATGGAACTATGACACACCTGCATTGGGCGGATTTCCAGTCTCCCGGGGGCCTCACGGGCTGCAATAACCGTGAACGCGCCCGGGCCGGTATCGTCTGTCGTGAATATGTGAACTGCTCTCGCATCTACGAAGCCGTGGGAGTCAAAGATCGCATTGCTGTTGTCTGAAGTATTGCAGCCTGTCATGATTCATTACAAAATTGTGCTCTTTCTCACGAGCAAACTGCACAAGCCAAGGTATTAAAGCTTGAACACGTCGTAATCTCAACACACATGCCGGAATGACGGCATCTTGACAGCATTTCAGCCTTCTCTGGAAAATTTGAGAACGTCTGAGCTGATGAAAGCCCATTCAAAACCACCCTGCGGCCAGGTAGCCATATCTGGAGCCTGCGAGGGTGCCACGAGACTTGAATGTTCTCCTTCTTGCTACAGCAACCTGAGCGGACAGGCGAGCGCATAGACAGCCTCAGAATACTAGATTAACAAGCAGGTGAACATGAATATGTACCTTGTGCTTTAGGTTTGCCACTAGACAATTGACTCTGTTTAGGCAATAGTATACTTTGTGGAAGGGTGAAAAGGAACTGGTCATTCTTGCCCGGGTTAAGTTGTAAACTCGGAGCAGCCAGTTTACTTGCATAGAGAAGTCAAATCCAAACGCCTATTGCTGTGCCCAGGAATTTGTACAGGGCTAGCCTTGTGACCATGTTTACTCCCAGTCCCATAGATAATCCAATTCCGATCGAACCTCGACCAGAACGCCCATGCTAGACCTTCCTAACCGAAACAAGTAGAACCCGCCCATCAGGGCAATTTTGTTTTCCAGAAAAGTATTTTCCAGCCCAAGAACAAGCTCACAACTCATCAGGATGCGAGCTGACATTATACGGCGGCCGGCCCCAGTCCGACGGATCACCCCCAGGAACACATAGGCCAAGCCTCCAGAAATAGTCCCGATGGGCAAACAATAGTTGCCAAAGCTTCAGTCTTGATGGGATACCAGCCATCGTATCCGACAGGGTGTCTAGCCAGCCTTCACCCTTACGCTCCGCTCGAGGTACCTCATTCATGACCTCGGCCATCCGGGCCAGCACAGCACTGTCAGCGCCCGCGATGCACGCCGGGTCCTCGTCCCCGCGACACAGCCTCAAGTCCTCGACGCCGGGCGAGAGCTCGGACTTGGCGATGAAGACCTCCCCCGCGTGCGACCTGTAGCCCCACTCGCTCAGCGGCAGCAGCGGGACCGGGTCGTCGACGTGCGTGACCCGCCGGTACACCCTCTTCTCCAGGTCCGGGTCGTAGCCGTCGAGGCCGCCGAGCGCGAAGACGCGGTCGACGTAGTCCACGAAGCCGTCGTTGCCGGTCTGCGGCTCCCCGAACGTCGTGACGACCAGGTCGTCCCAGCCCAGCGCGACCCTGAGCTCCAGCGCCGCCAGCAGCGCGACCGCGCCGCCGAGGCTGTGGCCGACGAGATGCACCGGGTAGCCGCGGTGCCTCGCGCGCGCGCTCTTGAGCACCGGCAGCACCAGCTTCCTCGCCTGCGTCCACGACTCCAGGAAGCCCATGTGGACGGTGCAGTTCGCGCACCTGTTCTCCGTCCCGTTGCCTTTCCCGTCGTCGGGCGCCGGGTACGGCACGTACTCCTGCGGCACGGTGCTTAGGTCGATGACCGTGTTTGTGATGCTGTACGTCCCGCGGAAGGCCACGACGATGGCGCCGTCTTGGCCAGCACCGCCGCCGCCGCCGCCGCCTGCACCGTGCTTGGAGCCGGAGCCATGGTCCACGGCCACGTACCCACAGCTGTCGCTCATCAGCACACCGGTGTTCCACGTCGACACGAGCTGCAGGTTGGGGAACTCCTTGCAGCGCGAGGCGCACGAGAAGGGCGGGGAGATGCCCGTGGTCCCGACGCAGTATGTGATGTCGACTAGGCGGGCGAGGCGCTCGAGTGAGGCGAAAAGGGCTGTGGAGACGCTATTGGCCCCGGGGTACCCATCGTCGCTCGAAGAGGAAGAGATTGGTCGCTGCTGGTGTTCGGGGTGGGGTTCGGCGGACGAGCCGGCGAGGCTCGCCGGGTCGAGGACGCAGAGGGCAATTAGAGAAGAAAGGAGTCGCATCTTGGGATGCGCCGCAGACTGGTCGTGTGATCAAGGAGGGTGGGCCAAGTATAGGTTGATCGATTGGGCTATACCAAAGTCGTCGACTTGGTGGACTTTTTCACCTCACATCTTCAGGGTGCAGCGTTTGCCGAGGATTCAGTTCGGCGTGGAGAATTAGGGAGGAGAATGAATATGTCAATTGCTAGGTAAGAGAGTATTGGTCAAAAAAGAACGAAGTCATCTGGGTCATCATGAGGAGAATGAGTGTGGTGTTTGGAGCATGAATAACCACATGACGTCGGCTGGCGGCGGCTTGGTCCGTCTTGGGGTAGAAGGGCGAAGGTGGGGAGGGTTGGTTCCCGCAAGTCACAGCGTCAACGCCCTCAGGGGTCTGAAAGGGGAATGTCCCAAGCCACCATGCGAGATGCATCACCATGTTCTGTTGGGGGCCGAATTTCCATATTAAGATCTGACACAACGAGGCCAAATAGATGGCCACAGTCTCATCGCACGAAGGAATATTCGTGAACGGTGCTACAGTGCAACAGCTTTGTGCATACAAGACTCCCGGGCGAGGTTGTCGTCAAATTAAGAGGATTGTGCAACCCAGCACAGCCTATTTTCCGACTACTGCCTCCTCAGATTCCTCGCCAACAATCTTGGATATCATACCTCATCCCTCATCCTAGAAGCACCGTTTCCTTACACTGAAGTCTCAAACAAACATCGATGCCCTTCGCAGTCCTCAGGTCCGTCGGACCAGGCGGGTAGGTCCTGGTGCACCACCTCCTGTGTTCAGCGGCTCGATGCTCGTAAATTGTCCCTGGTAGGACGTTTGATTTGCTGTGCACTCCACACCACTGGTACTGTCCTGGCACGCCAACGTGGGAGTCCAAGATCCTGAAGTATCGTATTGCACTCTGCGTATTTGTTAGAGTGGGCACGCGGTAAGAAAGAGTCGTAAAACTCACGAGCTGGTGGAGCAGGCCAACTCAATCACGGTCAACTTGTTTTTCTGCCAGATAAAGTTGACTGATGAATTGTCACATGCGTATCTTGGGGCGGCGCCTTCCGCGCCAACGTTTTCTGAGGTTGAGTTAAGATTGCAACTGGTTGTGATGTTCGTGTCCGAGTCGACATCTACCATCTGTCAATCATCTGCAAGGACACCTAAAATGGCAATATGCCCAGAGCTCCAACTATGAAAGGAGGTACCACGCGTCATGGCTTTTCAAGCGAGACATACATCCAAATGTAACTTCTGTTTGGTTCGACGCATTGGGCGTGCACGTTGCGAAGTTCTGAATGGTGAAATAGGCTGGATATTCACAGTCTTGCGCGAGGTTCTCCTTTGGGATAGCGTCGGCGTAAGCCAACCCCTTGATGTTCTTCATGGCCGCCGCCAGAGGGGCGAGGCAAGCGAGAGCGATGCACTTCATTCTGGTAGATCTTGTGGAGTGTTACGGAGAGGAACAGGCGGGAACGGATCCGGAAAGGGAGTGGGAAGAAGCGAAAGATATTGATCTACGAGGCGTAGATGTTTGTATGGACAGTCGGTACGAGGCAGGCAGCCAAGACAGAGACAACTGGGGGAACGTCGAACAAAAGCTTATACCGGGTGCATCACACGCCCCTGGATGGATCGCACTATTTTGGCAGTGGTACCTTGCGGATCCCTTATTGCCGGCATTGCAGATCCCAAGTGGGCTGGGTAGTCAGTACTGCAATAATGCATGTTGGAAGGCTGGCAGGTTCCCGGGCAGAAATGGGGCCTCCAAGGCCTTCGGGATGTAATCCGATGGTCTGAACTGCGAGAATTCGCTTCTGAAAGTTGTGACACAAGACGACGTAATGAGCCTCGTATGGGCCCCTTTTTCAAGCATAGAAGGTAAGACAGTCGAGGACTCTTTTCAAAGTCTCAGGAGGTTGTCGGTAAAATGGGAGATGACTTCGATGCCCTTCTGGGACTGCCTGTGCCCGGTCCTGCGCTGATTGGCTTCCGAGCGAGGACCGTTTCGTTTCATAGATCTCGACTAAGCACTCCCGCAAACACGAGATGGCAGACGGGAGATGATTGGTGGCTGGTATGCGAACGGGGAGACAGCGACGGGTCCTGCGTGAGGCTCACTGCACGGGGCATTTGTGTCACCACCGTATCCCTTTGGTGTAAGGGGAAAATGCCCTGCTGTGGTGAAGCTGCCGACTGCCGCTCGCACAAAGCTTGAAGTGGTGACGGAGGTGAGGGAAAGGGGACGAGGATCAGCTCCTGAGATCCAGCATCAACCTCGCCAGTCCGGCGCGTATACGATGTAACTATGGGCCACGGTACGCAAGGAGACGTCGATCGAAATCTTGCAGGGTAGGTTCATGCAAGTCATGTCTAACACGTGATGAAGAATCAATCCGATACAGACATACCCTTTTGGCAGCCAACCCAATTAGCCCGTGCGAGAAGACAACAGGAGTGGATGCGTGACGTTAAATGTGCGTACACCGATGATATTGTACTTGCTGCATATTTATGGACAAAGTGCACCGCCGCGCTTCCTGTCTATGCAGAGGGGAGGGAGCCGAAACGTTCAAGCCACATTCAGCCAGTGAGACGACCTCTCCGGGATGACCTTGTGCATCTCGTAGGATAATCAATGAGTTATGGAGAAAGACAACCATACCTCTTGTGCTCTTCGAGTACACTTCACAATGCTTGTCCAGATGAGAATTGTACATAGTAGTTGGGTATTGAGCAGGACGTGCCAGCGAGATGCCACAGTCTACATGGTCTACAAGGTAGGAGTGAGGCTGTGTAACCAGCAGAATGTGGCTGATAGGGTTGGTCTAAGGCCGACAACTTGCAAGCTTGCATGTCACGTATGTGTAGTCACGGCAGCAACACCACGAATCTGATTACAGAGTACCCTTGGCGGTAGAGAGTGCGAAGTAATATCTTCCAGATTTGAGAAGAATATAGCTAAACAACAAGAGAGACACCCACTCGAAATGGGTTCTCCGTTGGATGGGTTAGGGTCTGTCTGTCTGTCAGAGGGGGAATCGGGAGGGGGGGGGGGGGGTTCTGGGCAGGGCAAGAACGGTTCGCTTTCAATTGGTCGCTTTCAACTGACCGCCCCACAATCGGGCAATCCACCTTCCGGCCTAGCGTCCACACCCACTCGAACTAAATCTTTTTGCAACTGCAGATTTCCTCACGAAGACCTCTCACCATCCCACATCGACAACAACCACAGCCATCCATCGCCATGGCCAAGGAAACTCCCGCCCGTTCGGGCCTGATTGTCGGCGTCAACAAGGGCCACGTACGTTGAAACAAAAAGCCCAGTCTCACCTCGTGGAGGATCTCTGCGCTGTCTTCTCGCAAGGCAATCGTGGACGATGGACTTTGAAGCTGATTATCGGTCTGTTCCAAAAATGTAGAAAACCACCCCCCGCGTCGTCAAGCCCCGTGTCTCCCGCACCAAGGGTCACCTGAGCAAGCGTACCGCTTTCGTCCGCGACATCGTCAAGGAGGTTGCTGGGTAAGTGCTATCTATCCCACTCCGCACCTGGCTCAAGGGGAGGATCCGAAATTCTGAACCACCCTGAGGGCACACATTCATCTCAAGACAAGTTCACTGACGTTCACTATGATAGTCTCGCTCCCTATGAGAAGCGTGTGATCGAGTTGCTCCGCAACTCCCGGGACAAGCGTGCCCGTAAGCTCGCCAAGAAGAGGGTACGTCTCAACCACATCAGGTCCTACTTGCCTCGATACCCGCAAATCAATACTGACAAACTTTCCAGCTCGGTACCTTCGGTCGTGCCAAGAAGAAGGTCGACGAGCTCCAGCGTGTCATCGCTGAGTCCCGTCGTGCCGGCCACTAAACGTATCCTTGCGAGCGTCGACTTTCGAGAAGCAACGACACGGACCAGGATTACGTTTCGGCGTTATTGGATGGGATTTCATGGACAAAAATCTGGTTGAGGGAACGAGGCTATGGGCACTGCTTCCACACATCGTGAGAACTGCCAGGCGTCAAAAGAAACGTTACGTCGATACCAAATGATGATACTTTGAACAACCAATCCATGATCTCTTGCATCTACTCTTATTACAGTCTGAGCGCTATGTGATGTCTATTTATGAAACGTCACTGTTAACATCCCCCGTAAACCTGGTAGCCTTCTATGTCTGACTTCAGGCGCTCGATTACCAGTGTCAAGCACGTGGCCAGGGAGGAGGCCGCTGTCATTTGATATGCCACAGATGCCCAACAAGCAAGGACGATTGTCCCGCCTACGTGTGATTTGAAGCGCCCCAGTTGTCTTCGTCTTGTTGTCGCCCAAGTGCCAAACACCATCGCAAGAAAAAGAACGAGTTTATCGCCTTGACGAATCGCGAATTGCCAACATCTACTCTCAATGGCTTGCGAGTTGCAGGAGTACAAGAGGAATACTCGCCATCAACAAGATGTGAATCCGCGTGGAAAGTCCCATAACGCCAACCACCTTCGCTTTCGTGACACCGGGGTGTGCTCTTCTTAGCAGATGTCTATTTCTTTGATAGGCCCTTGAGCCACTTCGGCATTTTGCGGCTGCTACCGCTGTCGTTGCTCTGTGACTGAGGTGGGGGTGCAACTGGAGCTGGAGCACTGCTCTCATCCTCCTCTTCTTCTTGGGGAGCCTTTGCAGGCTCCACCTTCTTCGCCTGGCTGGCGTAGCTGTCTTTCAGGAACGGCGCCTTCTTGACATTTTGCGATACCTCATTCTCCCAGACAAGATTGACAAGAACACGCCCCGACAGCTTGTAACCTCGGACGAGGGTATGCTTCACTCCATCATCATCTTTGATGAGGTTCGAAGGAGATGGAACCCCAGGTAATACCAGCTTGAATGGGGCGGAGTCATTCGCCATTACCTCCCGGACTGCCTTGTAGACGGTTGCACCGGTATCCTTGGGCCCAAAGCTCCATTGCGCCGATGTTTCGTCTGGAAATCGCACTTTCACATCAATCTTCTTCACCGCTGCTGCCTTCGCCTCCTCGGCTTGAGCCTCTGCTGCAAGCTCCGCATCGGACTTGAGCCGCTTATTGATGGCACTCGCCTGCAGCTTCTGTTGATGTGCCTGAGCATGTGCTATTGTCGGCGTGTAAACAGAGTCGGGAACATGCACCGAGGCGGCGGCCGGCGTGGTGTTTGTGGGCGCGGAGAAGATGTTGACAGGCTGAAGATTTGAAGTGTTCGAGCCAGGGACAGGATCCCCGTCATCAGTTGACCGAGGCTGTGTGTTCCCATCGTCAACTTCCATAGCGTCGACCGACTGTGAGACCACCTCGTCCGACTGGCCATCAACTGACAGCGCGTTCCCTGGCGATGTTCTCGACTGCGCTGGTTCAACACCTCTTGAGCCATCAGGGGCTGCTGCACCTGTTTCTGCAACTAAAGGAGCCTGCAGACTGCTACTGCCGACGCTCTCGGGGTTGGGCGCGTCCAAGAGCGATTGAGTCTGGACTGGCGTTGCTCCAGCTACAGCACCCTTCTCTTTTGCTTCTGCTTTTTTCTCCTCTTTGAAGAACTGGGAGATTTCCTGCATAGCGTCGTTGAGCGTCTTGTCTGTGGACTTGAAAGAAAGCTGGATCATATGGCTCCCCGACGTCAGGCCCAGTTGAGCAAGAGTCTTCTGAAAGTCCGCAAGAGTCGATATCTCCCGGCTCATGATCCGAAGTGATGGCATCTCATAGTACAGCTGCCCACTGCCTGCCTGCGTACCGTTGCTGGTCTGAGGTATGCCTCTGTCAGTGAAGTTTAATGTGTGGCCAGACGGGGACCCCTTGGACTCGAATGACCGCAGCATCTTCCATAGCGTAGTATCACTCCTGAATTTCTCCATAAGACGGCCATTAGGAACTGTCTTGGCTTCGGCTTCTGGAAGCTTGAGGGCGACATTCACCACCGAGGTTGTCTTGGAACTTGCTACAAGTTCAAGTTTGGCCCCTGGCGTAAGACGAGTGATGCGAAACTGATCGCTGAGATTGATCACATTCTTCTGGTGCCTGCCTTGCTGATTAGGTCACCAGGACAGAAAATAGGACTGACTATCTAAGTGAGAGTCTACTTACTTAAGAGACCACTTGTCCACCTCTAAGTTCAACTTCTTGCAAGCCTCCTCGAGAACATCGAACATGTATGTCCCAGGGTTGACCTTGACGCTGACCCGTTTGACATCAGGCGAAACGACGACCACGTGAGAAGACATTTTGAACAAGGACAGATCAGAGCACGGCCAATGGTTCAGTATGTTGTAGAATGTCGTCGTCCACTGCTGAAGTGAGATGCGCGTCAGGAAGCTTAGGCAAGCCTAGCTGCGGTGCGTAGCTTTCCTCCTCCAAAGACAGGCCCAAAGTAATTCTTTCGAAGATGCAATGGTCAGGATGTCCGAAGACCGACTCTGGACGTGGTGAGCAAGCTCCGGTCTCCTGGCTGGAGGTGCCCTGCCCGAAAGATCGCGGCGAGCTTCGATGTGCAACGTAGGTCAAGCAAGAGCTGCCCCTCCACGGACAGTGGGGCAGGGACTGTTGAGCTATCTGGGCAGATCAGGCACTGCGTGACTTAGAAATCCTGAGGACAGGGCTCTGCTGGCTTGATGGAACAGAGAGGGGGCAGAATGGCAACTTATAGAATAAGAAATGGTTCGAAGAGGAGGCTATGGCATAGGCCGGTTGTGGCAACCAGCTTGTCATGCAAGCCAGATTGTAAGCAGCTGATGAAGCAGTCAGGCAGCCTTGTGAGATCATACCTGGGCCCCCGTAACACTGCAGTCGGTCCCTGGAGTTGCCCCAAGGAAGGCGCCAGAAGAGCTGTGTGTACCTCCTTCCGTGGCCAATCAACGCTGGAGGCTTGGCTGCAGGGGGTGTGGTACCTACGTACTCTACCTACCACCTGGAGCAGAACTTACGCAGCTTACAGGTTGCCTTGGAGCTCCCCAAGCCTCGCCCGGACCTCACCAGCTGCATCGAGACGCCAACCTCACCTCCATTCCACCCACGCCTTCGCAAGCCCGCTCATACCAGCCCTTCCGACTCAGACAACACATCGTCAGACCTACACCCGCCAATTTCGTCCCAGGGTCGTGCCTTGGCTCAGTCAGAAAACCAAGATGGTGAGATCCAGACACCATGGCAAAGCAAACGTTCATAGCTAACCGCCTTTACAGTCATCGCCCTTCTCAATAAGTCAGCCTCTCAACATACCCCCGAGCCCATAAGCCCCCGAAGTCGAAACTAACACTGCCCTTCCAACAGACGGCGGCGCCTGCGTCGCGATGGTCGGCAAGGACTGCGTCGCCATCGCCTGCGACCTGCGACTCGGCCTCCAAGCCCTGACCGTCTCCAACAACTTCCCCAAGATCTTCAGCTACGGCGACAGCGTATACCTGGGCCTGACCGGCCTGGCCACAGACGTGAACACCGTGTCCGACCTGTTCAGGTACAAGGTGAACATGTACCGCCTGCGAGAGGAGCGCGCCATCGCACCAACCACCTTTGCCAACCTGGTCTCGAGTTCGCTGTACGAGAAGCGGTTCGGCCCTTACTTCGTCAGCCCCGTGGTTGCTGGTCTGGAGCCCAAGACGGGGAAGCCATTCATCTGCGGCTTCGACAGCATTGGGTGCATTGACTTTGCCAAGGACTTCATCGTGAGCGGTACGGCGACGGAGCAGCTTTTTGGCATGTGTGAGAACCTGTGGGAGCCTGATCTGGTAAGCTGGAAAGACCATTCATACACGATGGGAAATGCTGCATGGTCGGAGAGGTGATGCTAATCTGAATTGGTCACAGGGACCCGATGAGCTGTTTGAGACCATCTCCCAATCCCTACTGAACGCCGTCGATCGGGATGCTTTGTCTGGTTGGGGTGCACACGTCTACATCATCGAAAAGGACAAGGTGACAAAGAGGCTACTCAAGGGACGACAAGATTAAGCGGACGATTCGGGGCGAGACGTGGAATGGGGATTGGGCATAGAAGAAGACATGATGAAAGACGCATCCCGGCCCGCGGAGGGGAGGGCGAGGAGCTACGACCTTTTGTGCATTGTACGACTAGACACATCACGACACAGCTGGCTTGACTTGACTGCAGCCAGCTAGAATATCAGCCACGATGACAAGAAAGACCAGTTCATAGAGCCAGCTTCGCAGTGAGGATACGCCAAATGGACGCGTAGTAGCACAGGCGCAATGGGTCTTGTCCATATTGGCCACTCGAGCACTACACGAGTCTCTCGCACAGCTGCCGTACCGAAGCTCAGTTGGGGCGCTGTTGCCTAGCAAGAATCAGGGGCGTCGTTGGAAAGCCGTTTGTTCAGGGCATCATGTAGCTAAGTAATGGCCTGGCTTACTCCCAGCCGTACAACCGATCCCCGCCAATAGTCAGAGCCCAATCTTGAAGACATAACCTTTCAATATCAACATCGTGTCCGAGGTGCTCCGACGAAGCAACTATATCGCCTTACTACCCTCGTGCTCAGCGCGGGAAGACTAGGCCAGTCCACCAGTTCTCGGCAAGACGGCTGCGGGACAATCCTCCTCTATACACTGAGAGACAATTTGCAGGGTACGATGCGAAGAACCCTTGTGCCCCTACAGGTGAGTTCTTTGTACCGCCCTTTTACACAGTCGGGCTATCATCGGCCTGCCATATGTGCCTCGTGTATGTTCTCGAATATGTTGAGGGCGTTGTCGTCGGGCACCCAGCCAGCCTTCATGAAATTTAGCTCATGTCCGATCACTATCAGTACATGTCGAAATAAGTGGTCGCCCATTGCAGTTTGTACATTATGATTCGCGCAAAGCACACAAGCTGAAACGGATAAAGTTGATTGATGAGTGTATCTATAACCACGACACGTCACTCGTTGAGCAAATGAGGTGCTCATTGGCCTTCCCGTACTGTCATGTCCTCCCTCTCTATTTGACCTGATGGGAGCGGAGAGCAGGTGTTGGCAGTCAGACTGTGAAGTCGATCAACCACAACCGCACTCCTCGCTTGCCTATCTCTAAATGAGATCTAGAGTGCTGTGTTATACATCTCTGTTATTGTACATGGCCACCGTCTAAGATCATATAATGCGGCCAGTAATGGATCGTTTCCATCACTCTACTGTTCCTTCTTAGCTTTCAGCTGGCCTACGCTTGTTGTCTTTTGCATAAAGAATGACCGCTCAATGAGCTTAAGTCCTTCATCGATGATGCTAGAGTGTTTGTTAGCTAGATGTTCAAACAGCGCGAGTGTGGGAGCGATGAAACTTACATAACAGGCGCACTAATGATAAGCACCGCCTGCCACTCTGGCCAATTCAAGGGCAAGATCGAGAAAAGGGTTTGCAAGAACGGTGTGTAGAGCAGAGCAAAGTGCAGCGCCATCGACAGACCAATGGCATACACCAGCATGAGGTTGTCCCACAACGGAAGCGTCAGGAGTGATTCGCTGCTTGAAAGTGCGTTCATGGCGTTCAACATCTCAATTGTGACCAAGATAGACAGCGAGACCGTCGAAGCAGATTTAGCCATGTCATTTGTGAACATTTGGCATCCAATCTCTGGGAACTCAGCAGAGCATCGGTGGAAGTGGCGCAGCTGGGAGAAAGCAATCTGGGGGCCGCCGGAGTAGTACATGAACCACCAGGCGTAGCCGGCAACGGTAGCGACACCGACATAAGTACCAATGATAAGGTAGCGGATGAAGAGCCACCCGCCGATCAGAGGCTCGTCGCGCTTGCGAGGCTGGCGGCGCATGATGTCGTGATCAGGCGGATTGAAGGAGAGCGCGGTGGCTGGGAGACCGTCAGTGACGAGGTTGACCCAGAGTAGCTGAACGGGAATGAGTGCCTCGGGCATTCCCAGGGCGGCGGTCAGGAAGATCGAGACCACCTCGCCAATGTTTGAAGAGATAAGGTAACGGATGAACTGCTGGGTGTTGTTGTAAATAGAGCGGCCCTCCTCGATGGCGACCTCAATGGTAGCGAAGTTGTTGTCAGCCAGGACCATGTCAGCTGCCAGCTTTGACACATCGGTACCAGAGCCCATGGCAACACCAATGTCAGCCTTCTTGAGCGCGGGAGCGTCATTGACGCCATCGCCAGTCATGGCAACAACTTCACCCAGAGACTGAAGCAGATCAACCAGTTTAGACTTGTGGCTTGGCTCTACGCGCGAGAACAAGGAGGCGTTCTTAGCAGCCTCGAGCTGCTCAGAGGGGCTCAAGTTGTCAAACTCGCGGCCGGTGAAGCTCTTTCCCTTGAGATCCTCATACTGTCCAAAGACACCGATTTGACGGCAGATGCTCTCAGCGGTGTTGCGATTGTCTCCGGTGATGACGATGACGCGGATGCCAGCCTCCTTGCACTTGGCAATGGAGGCAGGGACCTCAGGACGAGGAGGATCAAGCATGCCGACCAAGCCAAGCAAGGTCAGGTTCTGCTCAATTTTGGCGTAATCAGCGGTGGATTTAGCGGATCGCAGCAGGCTGTTCTCTGAGACGTCATCAAGACTTGCGAGTGCGATCACCCGCAGACCCTTGTTTCCGTAATCCGTGACTTCCCGCATGATCAATTCTGAGAGCTTTGCATTCATCTGGACCTTGTTGCCGTTTGCGCCAAGTACGACACTTGTGCACCGATCAATGATTGATTCAGGGGCGCCCTTGACGAGAAGCTTCTGCTTGCTACCATTCTGAACAAGAACAGACATGCTCTTTCGGTCACGAGAGAATTCGAAGGTGGCGAGGCGAGAGTACTGCTTGTCATACCATCCGCTGGCGTGGTGAAGACGATCCTCGGGTGCGCTGTTCCTTGGCGCACATGGGCCAACTTTCTCAACCAGAGTTCGGAGGGCACCTTCGGTAGGCTCGCCAACATTAGAGAAGGCACCAGACTTAGAATCATACGCCAACATGGCATCGTTGCAGAGCGCAGCGACTTCAGACAATTGGCGGATGGTAGTAGACTTTTGAGAGAGATCCTGGACGACCTGGCCCTTGTAAGTGACGTCTCCCTTAGGCTCAAAAGTGGTTCCTTCGACGTCAAGTTCCTCCAAGTCTGTTCCATTCTCGTTAAGATAGACAATCTTGTTGACACTCATCTGGTTGGTCGTCAAGGTGCCGGTCTTGTCGGAGCAGATGATGCTGCAGCTTCCCAGAGTTTCCACCGAGGGTAAACTGCGAACCACAGCGTTCTTAGCAGCCATCTTCCTAGTTCCCAGGGCCAGACAGGTTGTGATGACGACTGCTAGACCTTCGGGAATCGCAGCGACACCAAGGGAAACAGCGATCTTGAGGTAGTAGATGGCCCCCTTGGCCCAGGTACCATGGCTGGGGTCCTTGAAGTTGGGGATGTTGATAAGCCAGACCAGAATGCAGATGACCGTGATAACCTTGGCCAGACTGTCGCCAAAGTCGTTCAACTTCTGCTTCAGCGGGGTCGGCTCGGAGATCTGGGCGGAAATGCTCTCGTGGATGTCGCCAATGGCCGTGTTTGCGCCAGTCAACACCACAACAGCCTTCGCCCTGCCAGTCACAACAGTGGTTCCGGAGAAGAGCATGTTGACCTGGTCTTGCTTGACAGACTTCTCATCTTGGACGACCGCTTGTGCATCCTTGCTGACGCTCTCGCTCTCGCCGGTAAGGATGGCCTGGTCGACCGAGAAGCTGTTGCTCTCGATAGCGATCAACCTGCAATCGGCGGGAATTCTGTCGCCAATGTGGACAGAGATGATATCGCCAGGGACCAGATCTTCCGCTTTGACTCTCGAGACATGGCCGTCGTTTCGGATGACGTTGGCTTCGTTGGCAGAGTATTCTTGGAGTGCCGCGATGGCTTTCTCGGCGCTGCTCTCTTGGGAGACACCAACAACGGCGTTGAGGATCAGAATGGTCAGGATCTGGAGTTTTGAATTATGGTCAGGTCCGGTCTGGTCTGGAAAACATTGAGCGCATAGCCAGGGGCCATCGGAGACTTACAACGGCGGGGTCGACAAATGCGCTCCAGCCGCCTTCGTCCTCAAACAGAGCCAGGACGAAGGAGACAGCAGCGGAGCCGAGTAGGATGAGAACGAGTTGGTCCTTGAATTGCTCAAGTATGAGCTCCCAAAGAGGCGTGGGTGGCTCTTCCGCGATAGCTGGACGGGGTCTGTCAGCGTTTCGGCTCGAGGCGCTTTGCGACAGGATGCAAACCTACCGTTCTTGCCATGCTTCTCGGTCAACTTCTTGACCTGCGCATCTGTCAGGCCAGTGGAAGCTTGCACCTCCAAGGTCGACAAGACCTGGTCTATCGGTTTTGCGAAAGCGTTCTCCATCTTTCGCGGTGGGGAGATGCGGGAGTCTCCTGGAAAGGACGCGATGTGAATGGAGGAAGCAGTCCAAGCTTCGGAAGCTTTTGGGCGCAGGGAACCGCCGCCAAAGCCGGAAGGGTGGATATGAGATCTCGGTCTGATCAAAGACACTTGAGAAAAGGTGACCGGCTTTCCCAGGAGGAGTGCAGGTGCAGCCGTTTAAGTGCAGAAGGAACGGATGAGTCTTGACGTCTTCTCCCAAGTGAAGAGACTGCAGGAGGTGCAGCAGAACAAAAACTCACGAAGCTTGGAATCAATCCTTCAACGTGTCAAGAACTAGATAAGTGCAGGTAGGCTGTGCTACGATGTACTGCCTAGGTTTTCCAGGTACATGTGGGTAGGTACGCCATGGAGGGCAGCAGTACCCACTCGGCACTGTTGCCGATGTCATGGCGGGGCTGTTTTCGGCAAGCCAGGCATCTGGAATGTTCACCAGGGTGGTCCGGGGGCCTGGCGGGTGACAGGCTAGACCTCGCTCTGCCTGGGGCTGACCTGCAGCCGTACTACCACAACTATCAACCGCTACTGTACCAGACTAGATCTGATAAGGAGGTAGTCTAGTCTGATAGTCTAAGTATCATGTAGTTGTGAGTCGTGTCTTCTATCACCCACGTGGACTTCCTGCATATTACTAAGTCGTCTCGCTGGCCTCGCAGCCTGGCTGTTGTTCTCAAACACCAAGCCCATGGGCTTTCCGTTGACATGCGTCCGGCTCGACGTCTTTGTGGGTATCTCTCTCGTGGTAAAATGCTCAGCCCCAATTCCTGAGATATTTTCCCCTGGCGTCTTGGGTAGAGACCCATTTGTCAACCGGCTATTGTGCTTCGGCACTGGTCCTCCGGGCATCCGTGCAATCCACTTCCTATTGGATTTTGTTTCATAACATGTCACTGCGAGATCCAACTAGGCGAATAGCCAAACAGACCATCCAAGAGCGAGTGCTTGAGCTTAAATTCATGAGTGGCAGTTGTACCTGCTCGTACTGAAGGCGCCGCCCCCCGGCCCCTTGAGTTAAAAAGAATGAAATTAAACTCCGAGTACATTTCCCAGACTGCTTTCCCGAAGCACATTTGTCATCATCTCGCCAAATCCCAACTTCCTCACAGCTACATTCCCTAACCCCTACCCCGAGAGTATTGTGGACTTGCCTGCGGCGGCCTATATGGGCGGTACACGACAGGGGTGCGGGTGTGCGTCGGGGAAGTTGCCGGCAGCTCGGGTATCGGCCGATCTGCCCCTTCAAGCTCAGCGAGCTGTTGGAAATGGTGGTTTGATGGTTGAGCCTGTTGATGTTCGACGCCTCGCTGTGCAGTTGATGGTGAAGTAGCCACGCCGTGCCAAACATTCTGTCCCGAAGATAATGGTCCCGTCGTATTGTTGCTTCTGGTCGAGCTTACGGAGTTCTGGCGACTTGACCGGTTGACGACGACGAGCACAGGCCTCTGCTCATTGACAAGTGATGGAGAGGGCGACCGCGACTGCGACCGCGGCGGGGACGTCGAGTACAAAGACGCTTGAATTGCGCGACTGGGATCTGAACCTCTCGTCAGTGCTGGAAGTGTCATCTGATGATTCGCGAGGTGCTCACCGCGAGGCACGTAGGAATTGCTTGTAGGCAAGATCATGCTAGATGTTGGTGGCTCTGAGCCCCTGACGACAACTCCTGTCCGTTTCTTCCATTTCCGTCTTGCAAAGAACAGCAACGCGCCGACCAGAAAGAGCAGGGCTAAAGTGGCTCCGGCGCTCACGCCTGCGATGCCCCCCTTTGATAGACCCGAGGAGCTGCTGCTACCTGCTGGGATCACTGGGATTGTGTTCGACGCTGAACTCGCCTCTGGGAGAGTCGCCGTCGTATCCACACTCGAGGTCGTCGTTGAATCGGACGAAGCGGCGGACGTAGTCGAAGAACTTAAGCTAGTCGACGAACTTGACGTGGCGGAAGAAACGGAGCTGGTCGAGGGACTGGGGCTGGTCGAAGAACGTGAGCTTGCCGACGAGCTGGAGCTGGTCGACGAGCTTGAGCTGGCTGTTGAACTTGTGCTGGTCGACGAAGTTGTACTTGACGAGATACTCGGCATCGACGTCGGCGTCGGCGTAAATGTTGTCTTCTTGAAAACGGCGGCGCTCTCAGAGTTGCTCGAGAGCTTCGCGCCCACCAAGTCCTCGTCCGGGCATCCGTCGTCGCAAGCATCGGAAGAACAGCAACCTAAGAAGGGGCGATCCAAGTCAAAGCACGTGTACCACTTCCCCTTTGGATTGAGGCATTCCTGGTCTTTGATGCCTGCTCCTTTGCTCTTCTTGAAGCTGGAATACGTGACATTGCTCGCAGGACAGATCTTGTACAGTCAAAGTCAGTCTTGGACTTATCCAAGGAAGAACATTTGAAGTGAGAGGAGGGGAGAAGGCTGAGTAACATCTCGTGGCCTTCCCAATGTGCTCCATTCGTGGGTATTTTGGGACCATGAGCTCATGGATGTTGCAGAAGTGTCTGTCATTGGAAGGTGCAGAAAATATTTGGAAGTTGCTTACACCTGAACCGTCTAGGCACGGGTCTGAAGCACAGCACCCTAGGAAATGGACATCGCTGTGCTCGCAGACAAAAAAGGCGCCTCCCTCAGGGCATGAGAGGCCGAATGCGTCGACTGGGTTGTACATGATGGTGATGCCAACCTGATATGGGAGTAGTTGGCTGGGCTCATGCTTCAAGCTCTAAATATGAGCTTCGGCTGATGGGCAAGAAAGTTTCGTAAAGGCAGGTTCCTGAGTAAAGAATTGTCAGAGCCCAAGTGAAGTGGCCTGGGGAGGGTTTGTCAAACATGGAGCGTTCGGGGTGGGAATGACTGGGAAGCAAACAAATTGAGATGGTTACAAGCAACGGAGGTACCAGGGCTTTTTTTTGCTGTCAACGTAATGCGTCAAATTAAACAGCCCGTGCTACCCACAGCCAAACCAAGTGACTTGAAGCTTCTTGTTGTGGATGTTAAGTTGGCCGTCTCACAATGTGTGTGCGGCCGTGTTCTTGGGCGAAAGGAATGTGTGGTCGACAAGTACGCGGCACAATAGTTTGGAGGCCTTGCTATGTAATATGAAAGCGCTTCTCGTTGTCTATAACACTATAGAATGAGCAGTGCTTCCATCCATCGGTCAGCTCGCACCAGATCTCTACGCTGAACAGGTGATCGTACTATTTCCAGGGCTCACCCAACTTCTGTCATGGGGAGGTTTCTCATAGTGTGCTGCCCATCACTACGGCTGAGTGACAACCAGCACTGCCGATGTGTATGTTGTATGTGTGCTTGTGCATGCTTATGCATATCTATGTATGTGGCTGTGTGTGTGGGCGTACGTAGCGATTCACTGTGTAGGACTTGCCAGACAAGTAAACCAAACTAGATCGGTGTTTTCGCTTCTCAATTTGTCGCCTCCCCTCAAGTCGTGGGACGGCGTAAACATTCGTAACCACCGTAGTCACGAAAATTCATGGTATCATTTCAGGTCGCTACCGATCTGACTGTGCCTCAGTCATAAATAGTAAACCGTGGACAATGCACGCATATATTACAGCCCATTGAGCACACTCTGAATACCCACACTGCTTGAGTCCTCTCTCTTCTGCACGATGGCCTTGAAATCGGCCTTGGTCAGCTTCTTGCCCGTCGCAGCTGAGCCCGATCCCAAGTTCCTGCTCTTCTCTCTCAGCGCCTCGGGACCAATAATGAACAAGTACCCGATCTCCGGAAGGAGATCTAATATCCCCTGGACGTCCTTGGTGAGGGGCCACTCCTTCAACGTCGAGATGTACTTGTTGAGGTCCTTAGTCACCATCAACCCACCAGTCGCGTTGACAGAGAACTTCTTGAAGTGCTCCAAGAGCAGCTTGTGTATCGCCAACGCCAGCTCACTGCTGAAGATCTCAAGATTGTGGCCATCAATGGCCTGCGTCGATAGTACGGAGACGCGTTTGAGGAAGGTGCAAATCGTTTGACATGTAGGTGTCTGCAACAGCTCTGCGATGAGCTCGAGCTCTGCATCTTTGGGGCGGAAGTCTGTCTTGCGCTGTGTTGCCAGTGTCCTGGTAACCCAGTTTATCACAACGTCTACTGAGCTTTTGACGACACTGTTCGTTTTTCTCTCAATTGTTTCCATCGCCATCTTTGCCTGAGCCTCCATGCTCCGCCGTACGGTCGCATTCCCTTCCGCGAGCCTGATCATGACAGTCTGTATGAATCGAGACATGATGTTCGCAATTGTGACGGCGGGTCGGATGTTGGGCAAGTAGGATATATCCGGTTCGACCTTCGAATTTTCTTGCGAGGAAGAAGCGTCCAGCGCGGCGTCTAGAGCTGTCTCGATGTAGACCTGGCCCATGCTGGTAAGAAGTAGGCTGAGTAGACTGTTAACATCCCTCGCAGTGTCGGTGGAGGAGCCGAGCTCGAGCGTCCTGCGAACACTCTCTGCGAGCCACCGCATCATCCTTTGAGCTACCTGAACGCTGATAGCACCGTCTTCATCAGAAACCTCGATTTCGTTCTTGTTCTCGCTGCTGTCCTTAACGCCAGCGACCCGCAACATCATTGCCTTTTGAGTAGGTGTGAGATCAGATGAATCAAGACGTTCCAAGTAAACGTCTTTGGCCGATGCCAGTAGCTGTGAGCCTTGTTGAGCTATAGCCGCCATGAAACCACTTGGTGCTTTCTTGCGTCTAGAGTGAAAGATGGTGTACTTGAAGAGCAGCGAGCTGTACAACTCCTCCAGATTCCTACGCTCTCTTTCGATATATGAATTCCCGACGAGATAGGGCACAAAAAGCTCTTCCATCTGCTGGTCCAAGGTTTGTGATATTTGCGCAGAGCACGGCTCAGGGTTATCGATCAGTCCGTGAGTCTTCAGGTCCTCGATGAGTTGACCAATGTAGGTTCTCGCCGAGTGCAGGGACCGCAGGAATGCTAGCGACGATACGGAATCCGCTTTCTCAAGCACCATTTCCAGCCGCTGTTGGACAGACTGTTGAAAGACTCGTTGAATGAATTTGATCAGAACTGTTTCCGCCATCGGGAAGGCTTGTTTGATGATGAACGACTCCTCTTGCATGACAACCCTGACTTCGTCAATTAGAGATTGTAAACTCTGCTCGATCCCGGGAGGTTCCTTGTCAGGATCGGCAAGCAATTCCCAAGTGTCATCGTCACCGGTGACCTCGTCTGCCAGAAGCTGGTTTCTGTTGATAAAGAAGTCGTGTTGATTGACGAAAGTGGCCACGACGCTGTTGCCTCCGTTGAAATCAAATAGAACCTTCGCACACTGCAGCATGTCGGGGAAGTTCTGAGATCGGTAGCTCCTGTTGAACTGCTCGAGCAGGTCCTGTTCCAGAACCTCGCAGAACTTCTCCAGCACTTCGCGAGTGTTGTGCTTCCGGCTGGTGCCAGTCACGCCATTTGTCACCCCGTTCCGTCGATATCCGTTCGTCTGCCCCCACGACGTGGGATCTAACCTCTGGCTGATGCGCATGAGTTGTCGCGCAATGTTGGCGCAACGGACTTTGTTCTCAGCTCCGCCTACCCTCTTCATCTCCTCTAATGAGCCAAGCTGCCCAGTCTCGGATACCTCATTCCAGCATTGAATCAGGAAGTTGGCGTCCAGCGCCCTCCTACGCTTCCGGTCCAACTCCTCGAGCCTCTCGCCGATCTGCACAGCTATGTTCCCCCCTATGTCGCTTCGCGCTGTCCTGTCGTGTCCATTAATGCCGTTGGAACTATTTAAAGTGGAGTCGAGTGCTTCGAATTGAGCCATGGACTGGTCTAATTTTCGACCAAGTGTTTCCAGGGTCCGGTCGTGCTGCGTCTCTGCTCGGCGCACGTCGTTCTGGAGTCCTGACTCCTCCTCTTCCAGCTTCTCGGTGAGTACGCCCAGTTGCGATAATGCATCTATATTTTAGAAAAGGATGTCAATGAGAGTCTGCAGATGGTCTGAAAACAAGAAAGGGCGACGTACTTTCAAAGGTCCTGATCAGGGGCTTTGGGTCGAAAGCAGGTTGTGTCGCAGGGGCGGATCGCCGGTTCACAGGAATGGCGCTCTCGGCCAGCTCGTCAATAAAGTCCCTCACGATGAACTCCTTGGTCGAAAAGTCCTTCTCTTCCAAACTGGGTCCCTGGGGGAACAGAGCTCTCGGGCCAGACCCGGACTCGGCCCTGTTCACAGCCATTAATGCTGCCGGCCCCCGGGGCGCATCGGTTCTCTGATGGGTGATTCGATCAGTTCAATAGTTGACTCTCCCAAGCCCAAGCCTGTAGCCGCTTTGGTCTGCTGTCGAGTCGCGGTCGAAGCCAAAGTCGAAGCCGAAGCCGTAGTCGTCACCGTGGTCGTGGTCGTATTCGTCTGCTCGTTGAAGCCAAATGTTGCCTTCGGGACGTTTCGCCCAATGTCTGCTGTGGAAAGGGAGCCCCATAGATCCCTGCCAACGCTCTACAGGGGTCCCCACCTATGCCCGACCTCCCCCAGCCTTGGACGCTCTAGCCCGTTCAGCACTGGGAACGTGGCTGGAGTTGAACAGCTTACTGCATGGCAGACAGCCAAGAGCTCCCTGCACAGCCGGGGTTGCAGGACTGACGACAGAGTTGGCCCAGCCAAGCTCACACATGCTTGCAGCGGGCCAGGATGGAATTTCCCAATCCTGAATAGCAACGCGGCGCCCATCTTCACTGCCACTCAGCATGCCATTTGTTCCACCGCCTTGTTGGTTCACATCTTCGCCTCCAATGCATTCGCTTGTTGCCATGCCCTTCTCTTGCTAGAACCACTTCTTTCTCTTCTCCGCATCTGCATTGCGCGTTCCTTGTGTATAACATTTGAGGCTACCATCACCATCACGTTGGAACATACCGGATCATCAGAAAATGCCGTTTGACACCAAGGACACCGAAGTCTATCGTCGCAACGAGAAGGCTGGCGGAAAGCTCCTGACCCCAGAAGAGAGGATCAAACTTCTAGAGGTGCATATGCCCCGTGATCTTGAGCGGCAACGGCAGCTAACACATACAAAGCCATACCTCCCTCCCACGAAGGAGGACGAAGGACGCGAACAACGAGCTTCCCCTGGCCGGCGCATCACATTTGGAGTTAGGAACTTTCTGAAGACGCAACTGCACATCCTGACCTTTACAATTATCCATGCCATATTCTCCATTTACATTCGTTCCCGACAGGCCTACCATGCCGTCCGCGATCGTACCTACTCGATTTTCTTCTACCACCATCGCGACCCAGCGATGATACAGAGGGACGTGAAACGACTCAGCAAGGTCCCCAAAGTTCTGAGTGTCATTCTGAGAGTGGAAGATGACGGGAAAGGCGGCGCCGAACTAGAACGCCTGGTGAACGAGGTAGCGGAAGTTTCGGCATGGTGCGCCAGCGCTGGAATACCCGTGCTGAACGTTTACGAGAAGACAGGTGCGCATCCCCTTGCGCCGGGTCCAGTTCTGCAACTGACAAAATCTCTCAGGCCTACTCAAACAATACCTACCTGAAACCCACCGAGCGATTTCCCAGAACCTCCGATCCTACTTCGGCAAGCAACATCCAACATTAACAGTTTGCGCACCTCATGCGCAGTCGATAGAGTCCACGTCCAGCCCACAGACCACAGATTTTGGTGGACCAGTCAGTCACCTTACCATGAGACTCATATGTGCCGAAGATGGCCGCGACTCTATGGTAGATCTTACGAAGACGCTGGCGGAAATGGCCCAGAAGCATAAGATCTCTCCTGCCGACATCGAACCGCGACTTCTCGACGTAGAGCTTAGGGAGAGCGTCATGGAAGAATCCGACTTGTTGATCATCTTTGGACCCTACATTGAGTTCCAAGGATATCCGCCCTGGCACCTGCATCTCACCGAAATCTACCAGGTGCCTGACAACGAGAGCGTCGGTTATCAGGTGTTTTACAGTGGCCTGTGCAAGTATGCGAATGCTCAGTTCAGGCTGGGACGATAGTTGAGGTCCTCAACTTCTGATAGAGCTGCTCTGCAGACGCAGCGCATGGGTACAGGAGTTCAAGGTGCAGCATAGAGAAGTGTTTACAGTTTTATACCCAACATCAAATCCTCCAGATCTTCATATCTTGAGCACCCTTGTCCCATTTGTAAACTGGCCCCGTCCCAACGTTATAATGGTAGTAGTTGTTGGTCCCGCCTTCTACCATGGCTTGACGAAATGTAATGTTGATTCTACCTCCGTCCTTCTCATTCTTCCCACTTCTCTTCGGAATCGAGTGCAGCCAGCAAGACTGAGTCTTACCTCGCATCAAAATCATGTCGCCGCTGTCAAGAGGCAGCTTCAGAGGTTTCGGGTCTGATCCGCCCGTATTCTGCTCGCTTGGGGCAATGGGCTTGTGCTTCAACAAGAAATCCCTCCTCGCGCCAAAAGAGAATGAAGCAATGGCTGGATCTGAGCCAAGGAAGCGCTCATCGTCAGAATGATAGCTTATACTGTCCGATCCTGAGGAGTAATAGTTTACAAGGCAGAAGTTGAACTTGCAGCCAGTAGCAGCTTCGGTCGACCGCCGTAGGTCATCGAGGCACTTGGGAATTGGACGGGGCGCGCAGTTTGGATATGAGCTGCCGAGAACTTTTGTTCCCGTCTTCGTATCGACAACAGTGCCCTCATCCGAGAAGCGTGAGGTGTTGTCTATGCCGAAGACAGTGGTATATCTTGGCGTGTTGATGAGAGTTTCCGTGCCTCCTCTCTTGATGGTGTACTTGACTCTGTAAAATGGCAGCTCCGACCTGAGAAAGTTGAAAGCGTCCTTGGCGAGGTAGCTTGGGACGTAAGGTTGAAAGTACAATAGGTCGAGGTCCAACTGGTCGTTGATGGCACGGCCTTGAGTCGCCGGGAGCGATGACAATTCCTTCTCAATATGAAGTGGGAGCCCGGGTATGGGGAAAGGATATGTTAAATGAGTGGATGTGGCGCTCTATGGCATGTTAGAAACATATTGCTATGACTCCAAACTCATCATCAAAGGCATACTGGTTCCTCTTGAGCTTCATGCTCATCCACTTTCCGCTGCTTCGCCGGTGGCGTAAAGAAAGAGTCGATCGTCCTCTTCTTTGACATCGTGCTCATAAGGGGGGAATTTTGAAGCGTTAAGCATACTGAGTAGAGTCTCAAAGTATGCCAAGTTATTATGAACTCTTGATATTCAAAGGGCGACTTAGTGACATCACTGACTAGCAGGAAGGCCATGGGCGGCACTAGCCTGCCCTTCAGCCTTGTCCCTTGCCGCTGCGCCAAGCCTGAAAGCTTCCCCAGTAAATTCCAACCACTGCGGTGAGCCTGCAGCCTCGTGAAAACTTTCGAGCCCCATAAATATTCATCACCTTCCTCTCACTCACGGACACGAACATGCACACACCCGCAACATTGCCCCCAGAAATTTGTTAATGATGTCTACCGGTGGAGCTCCCACAAACAATCCGGCCACGCAGGAGGAAGATACCATGGGGATCCTGCGCCCACCAAGATTGCCGCCCAGCACTACGCTGAACAAGGCTTTGTTCTCAAAAACTGTCAACCTGGCTGCAGCGTCTGTAAGAGACAACAAGAACCTATCAAAACTCAGGCAGGCCCTTTCCAAAAATGGAGACATTATGCCCATGGAAAGGATATCTGCCATCGCCCCAGACCCGGACACCGACCTCGCAGCAAAAGGCCGGAAATGTCTCCTGCTCAAGCCTTCGATCTCACCCAAGCAGCCAGAGACATGGGGCCCTCTTGTCTCACAGCTGGTGAAGCAGGATGAGGTTGGCATAGTCCCATATGAGCTGCAGCTAGACTATGACTACTGGAACTACCGCGACGTACTGTCGACTCTGTTGCCCGAGGAGCTGCACGATGACATTCCTGCCGGGTTCAACACAGCGGGACACGTCGCGCATCTAAATTTAAGAGACCAGCACCTTCCGTACAAGATGCTGATAGGTCAGGTCATCGTGGAGAAGAACCAGCACATCAGGACAGTCATCAACAAAACGGACAATGTGGGCACCGAATCCGAATTCCGGACCTTTGGCTACGAGCTGCTTGCCGGCGAGGACGATATGAACGTTGAGCTGAACGAGAACGGGTGTGTGTTCAAGTTCGATTATTCCAAGGTTTATTGGAACAGCAAGCTTGAAAAAGAACACACGAGACTCGTCAGGTCGTTCCAGCCGGGAGAAGTTGTGTGCGATGTGATGGCTGGCATTGGGCCTTTCGCAGTTCCGGCTGGGAAGAGGGGTGTCTTTGTTTGGGCCAATGACTATAATCCGGAGAGCTACAAATATCTTCAGGATGCTATTGGGAGAAACAAGGTGGGTGCCTTCTGCCGTTAAGCCAAATGCCTTGATCTCGACTGACTGGACAACAGGTCTCATCTTTCGTGCGGCCATTCAACGAAGACGGTCGTGTCTTCATCCACAAGGCAGCCGACTCGGTCCTAGCATCGTCACGGGCTGGTGAAGCGGCCGTAGTACCTTCAAAGCAGAAGTTCTCGAGAAGTAATCCCGACGCCAAAAGGCCACCGCCGACGGTAATTCCCATTCCACCTACCATCAGCCATTTTGTGATGAATCTGCCGGCATCCGCGACCGAGTTTCTGTCGTCCTACAGAGGTCTGTACGCCGGACAGGAGGCGCTCTTCGCGCCACACACGCAGACCAGGCTACCCATGATCCATGTCCACTGCTTCGCCCTGAAGAGCGACGATGATGTGCCCAGGATTGACATCTCCGAGCGTGTTTCGAAGGAATTGGGCACCACCTTGCGCTGGGACGGGAAGACTGGGGCGACCGTGAATGAGGTAGAGGATGGACAGGTTGCCGTGAACCATGTCCGAGACGTGGCGCCGGCGAAGAGCATGTACTGTGCGAGCTTCAGGCTGCCGTCCGAGGTTGCTTTCGCTGCTAGGCAGTGAAATCCTGGTCAGAAAAGGCCATTCGAAAAACTCATGACTGTCTTCTGGGGTTCTATCGCCACAGCTACTACGCGGCAGGAATTGCCATCCTGTCTCGATTGAAGGACTGCCGCTTCTGCCAACCAGCTACCCCCAACCGTTCGCGCTGCCCTTGGGCGGTCTTCCGACCGAGTCGACGAATGAACACCTTATCTGGGCGCTCGTGGCAACTGCGGGAGGAGGCGTTGCATGGGCCGTTGAAGATATGCATGTCACACGACACTATCAGCATACAGGACAACGCACAGCATTTTGACAATCTACATACTTTGCACTCTGGGCGGACTAGGTCGGCTCGAGGATGAAATGGACCTTCTTGAGATTTTGGCGCGCGGCTTAAGAGCTTATCCGGTCTCATGCAGAAAAGCAATGCTGGCCACTCTCGTCAAGATGCAGAGGGCGGACTGGAAGGCGGGCGCAAAACTGGGTCGGTCTGCTCACTTTTGCGCCAGCACCCCTCTTTCGCATCTTGGGATGACGATGGCTTGCGGCACTATCTAGCATTGAGATGGCTCCAATTTGATCTTCGCACTCGTCTTGCGCCGGTCGTCTAGGACACGGGTTTCATCACCTGTGGAAGCCTTACGACGCCTTCAAACCAGGGTCTTCCGCGTGCGTCCGCCCCCGGTTGTCTACCCCAGGACGTTGCTACAAGTATGGTGTGCGAGTCCAATCAACAGCAGCAGCATGCCCTTGTATAGATGCATTATGTCAAATCAGAGCAGACGGCTATTCGGACCCAATTGCTACCTCGCAATCGGAAAACACCAAGGATTGCGGTCGGGGATAGGATACTCGCGACTGCTGTTCAATTCCTTAAACCTCATTTCCCCCTGGATATGACATCAGGAGACGGCTCTCTGCAGATGAAGATTGTTGTGAAGGAGGAGAAAAGAGTCATCGGGTATGGTAAACGACGAGTATTACCACGAGCCAACAATCATTTACATGTGATTGATGACATGGGACAGTCGCACTGAGATAGGCAAGCTCGCGCGCTCTGCAGACGACCCTATTTCTGCACGGCAGCGGCGTCGAGATCATGTATGCTCACACCGGGTGCTGAAGATCGGTTTCCAATTAGGGAGCTCCTCCGGGATAAGGGGCGCGTTCAGGCTACTGCGGTCTACTGAGTCGTATCTGCAGGTTGAAGGGCTGCAAAAATATGTGATTGGCAATGCGGCTCTTTGCCAATCATCGAGGTCAATCACCCAACGAATCTACTTGGTTCGCAGAGAGGATAGGTTACACAAAGCGTTGACGAACGCGTTTGCCGAACAGCGAAAACACCAGGTGCACCGTCTAGCAAGAACGCCATGGGCCACGAAGAAGACCACTATGATGCACTCCAGGCATGGCATTTCTTGTCGGGGATTGAGGCTTATGTGATGATGGGCCACAACCTCGCCAAGGCAAGTGCCAGCCGTCAGCCCGGCAATAAGATGCGAGCGGAAGCCCTGCGGCGCAGTCGTGCTCTGGACATCATGCCGTGTGCCTGTTTCACAGCGGCCCCGGTCAGGTAGGAGGGGACCTACCACCCGCCTGTGGAGGGAGCTGTACGCAGATCTGGGATGCGCTGCAGATACAACATGCCCTTGATGCTTCCCAGTTGCCACGCCTTCCTACGGTGGGGCGTCTGCTTCGTTGCGCCAGCCGCCCAGGGAGTAGCATAGAAAGGCATGGATGGTGGTACGACAGGTAGACAGGAAGTATTAACCCGTAGGGTGATACAGGGCATGACGGATTGGAAAAAGGCAAGGCATGAACGAAGCGGCCCGCCCATTGAAGCTCGGTAGTGGCAGGACGGAGACAAGGAAGGTCGGGTAGGACTCGGACTGGGAATAACCGACTGAGGCCATCCTGCCATTCCCTCTGGGCAATCCCCACGTCGATCGCAGCGTCGTCTTCCCCATACATTCGCGTCTGCGTCTGCGGGGGGAAGATTGCGATAAACTTGCGGCACACCGGCTCCTACCCCCCTCCTGCCATGCCTCCTAATCTGATTAGACGCACACAGTCGACACTCGACCCTGCCACACACATGTACAGCGCACGACTATGACGAATCTGTTACGAAACTAGGGGATCTAGAGAGCTTGCCCTCACGCGATTAGGAGGTTGCGTTAACACAGTCCCAAGTGAAGCGAGATGCTGGGAGTACAGACACCGGTGTGGAGATATACGAGGCTGATTCGCCGGAGGATTGCTGCACGTTATCGCGGAGGCATCCGTGGGTGTTCGGCCTGCATCGGGCAGACCACACGCGCCGGCCATGCTGTCTGTTTTTGGGCGCATGTACATTACCAATAAGAAGTGCGTGTCTGTGACAATATGTGATGACAATAATATCAACAACAATAATGCCGCCTCTGAGCGGTGGTGGGATGGCGAATGCGGGGAGGCATCTTTCCCAAAACTCTGCGTAGAATTTGCTCCGGAAAGCCGCGAGAAATAGAGCGGCCGAGATGGGCCATTCGGGCCTCCTTCGCTTCGGGCTGCGCTGGATCGAACGCCAACTCCACCCTCCTTGGGGCCTCGCCTTGGGAGGATCCCGGCGCCGAGCGCACGGCGAAAAAGGTCGAGCCCGTATCCGTCTTCGCTAGAGCACCCAATGTATAACCGATCGAGGCTCGATGTACGTAGTTTCTGCACGGTACACATACTTAGCAAGCCGCTCAGCCCCTTCGGATTGCCTCATCAGGCGTGCTGGTCGGCGATCACCCAGAGCCTAAGCAGTGCTTGCGTGCTTGCGTGCGATAGCAAACCACAAAAGGTCGCATTGCTTGAGTATGCCCTCTACGTTTCATCTGAAGAAAGTCAAGGCTGGCCAGACCGTGTCGGTTCCCAGTCTTGCTCGGTGCCAGTCCTAGGCCGATCCCTCCAAGGGGCCACGTACGGGCTGGGCGGACTGTCACTCGGCCGATACTGGTGTAGAGGTTGTTTTTCCCAATCGTCAAGTGTCTGGCCATCTATTAAGCGTCGGCGGCAGTCGGGATGTCAAGACCTGGGGTCGGCTAATGCAGCGAGAGCGAGATTGGCAGAGAGTATTAGATTGCGCCCGTCCGGTGCCTGCCCGCTAGTCGTTGGCCCAGGCCTGGCCCAGTGGGAACTGGACCGGCGAGCGAGTGGCATCTCACCAAGGTCCTTTTCGATGGTACGGCGGTAGTCAGTTTCACTTGACGGTGGGGACGAGCAAGTGTGTCTCTCTCTCTTCTTTTCCGGGCGAGCCCTCTGGCCCTCTACGATGGCACCTCGTCCGCTCCAGTCCAATGCACGGGAATCTTCCCCGGGGGGACGGGAGGGAGGGCTGGGGAGAACTAGGCCTAGATGCAGTGCTGACACCTTCCAGGTCCTGCTTTTCTGTTCGCCCAGATATGAACTGTAAATTGTCTAATTATCTAATGAAAATCCACCCGGGGCTAGCCAAGTACAGCAAGACTTTTGGTATGAGCATCCCGCGCAAACCAAACCCACATTCAAGGCTTGTGTTGTTGCTATACGAACTATGGACTCACAACGCAGCAAGAACATGCCGAATAAGCCGTGGATGATTTGATTTACGGGAGGTACCACAGTACTCGTGACAGCTCTACTGGGTTCGTAGGCAAACCTAGCAAACGTCACTCACGGTACAGCGCCACCAGAGTCCTCGAGAACCCGGGCAGGTAGTCCTCGTCCATACCTGTTGATCCTGTCTCGCCAGGCGCCACCAACCCTGGGAAAGGGCTTCCAGAACGTGGCAGCTCCACTCCACATGTCTGAGGCGCTGGGAGGCGTCGTCGACCCCCGCGCGGCAGCAGGAACGCCCCCTAGCGAGGGAACGAGGCATATTCACAACGGCGAGCCCCATGGCTTGGACGTGTTTAAGACACCGCATCGACGGTGTTCCCTCCTGGACGCTGGAATGCCGCGAGTCAACGTCTCTTGTGGCACGACAAGGGAGAGCACACATCTCCGGGTTACCCGATGAGCAACACCCGCCCAGGACGACTCGCAGCCTTGACGCTGGGCAGTCAGCCTTGACAAGAGAGCCCGCGTCACTGGGCGGCTCCCAACTCGCGGCCCGCCCTGTGCTGGGTTGCATCATCTGCTTCGGTTCACTGCGCCTCGGGAATATGACAAGTCGAAAGTGACCAGGCAGGGGGACGGGAGGGGCTTGCTCTTTGTTGTGAACTGCCACTTGCCAATGAGAAAATTTTACGGGTTTGTCGTCTTGAGTCCAAGCCCGGTGTTCCTGCAATTCTACGAGTACCTTGACGAAACTGTAACGGCACCGAGTCCAGGGAACCCGAGCGGGGTGTAAAACACATGAGAGATGATAGATGATAGACGACAGGTTTGGTTACCGATCGAAAGCCTCGAGATGCCCACCTTCCCTTTCAGCCCTTCCTCGCCTACTCTCGATGTGGGACCAGGCCGTACTCGCGGGCCCGTTGTGTGACGGTCGTTCTTAGACGAAAACTATGGGCCGTGTCTTGTGATAGAGCCTCAACACAGAGCCTCAAAAAGGCAACTCCTAGCCGCTGGCCCCAAGGCCCGGAGATTTCCTCTTCTTATTTTACTCTCCCCCGCGGGCTGGAGCCGGCGCCAGGGCCGTGGTCAGTTGGTTTGTTTGTTTGTTGTCATGAGAAAGGCTCATTCCTAGGGCCTGATGGTCCCGGAGGCTAGCTTATCTCTGGACATCAAGGTCCATCCATAAAAGTCGTAACGTCTCACGGAAGTAGTCTACCGCAGTAGGACGCTTCCACTGCCCCCTGGCTTATCAAGAATGCGCACGGTTGAGGCAGTCTGCCGCCTGGCCGTATCTTGATGGCGTTGCCGTCGGCTTCGGGAGGAATGGACAATGGATTGAGCCGACAGATACCGCTCGAATTACGTGTTTGTGTCTCGAGTGCTGTAAGAAATGCTGCTGAGAGGAGCCTGGCCTCGCAAACTATAACACGATTCCTTAGAATAGATGCTACCGTGATGCTTTCGACCGCTACGCAGCCAGGCCTCTGGGGGCCTGGAAACATTGCGGTGGCCGCTGTAGTCCGAAACGGCTCCCGCTACGGCGACGATCAGGGTCTCGTCGTCTCCGCAATAGCTGCACGACCGGGCCCCTGTCCTTCCAACAATGGCGGCGGCTGGCGTTAGTCGGGAAAAACCTCCGAATCATTCGGGCTGCATCTCTGCCCGTGTTACATCTGGCTCACCCAAACCGACCTATGGTACTGATCAGATATGGCACGAGCAATTCCTAATCTCTCACAGGTCACCTCTCACCCGGGGGATAGTAGCATTGATTCAATGAAGAACCATCTCGGCCGTCGATGAGATCTAGTCAGTCGAACGTGAACTACTCTTCACCGCCCTATTCGGACGAAAGTCTAAACCCCACGAGGTGTGGGCGCGAGTCACGGCTTTGACCCTGAGAACCCACGGTTTCAGGCACCGGCGATATTAGCCGGCTCTAGGGCATCTGGCGTGCTTGGTTTGATACTGGTTGAGGCTGCTGTAGCTTGTTGAATTGGCTCCTGGGACTCCAGCCTGGCACCAGATATCTATCTGATGGGTAGTAGTGAGCAGGAGGACGCAAGGAATTTGCAACATGAGATCCTGGTATGCCTAAGGGACGAGGTTGCGTGGCGGCTCAGATACTCCGCCCAAGCGTCTGGGGAAAGATGAATTGAGCCCTGAGCTGCATCGTGCCTTGATCCCGGCCGCCCGCTTATGTGTCATCAGGGAGGACAGATTGAATTCGGCTTGGCTGCAGAGTCAGGGAAGTGGCATAATATGGAAATGCCGCATTTGCTAGGTCCTCTGTGCGGCTCGCCGTAGACAGCCCTTGCCGTCTGATGGAGCGAGAGATGTCAACCCGGCCAAGACAGTCGTGTAAGTTGACTAGAGTACAATGATGATGATGATCGAGACGCGGAGATCAATCGTGATTGACAGAACGGGCCAATTGATTCCGTACAGAGGCTGCAATCTGGTCCATCTATGGAGACGGCAGAGTCGTATAGGTTCGCTCAGTGCAAGGGACAAGCTACGCGGTCCGTGTTATGCAAGTATGTTTGGTTCGATCGAGGCCAAGACGGCGCCCTTGTCTCTCATTTGCATGTTCGCATGGCCTGGTGTGCGCGTAGGTTCGTTGCCCTACAGATTGGCAAGGCATACGATGTGACGGGTGAAGAAATAATGGCACTCCTTGGACGTGAACATATCGCGTCTAATGCAGCCGGTGGCCAGCAAGACCGCAGAGAACAGGAGAAGATGCTTGAATGACAGAGCTTTAGCTCGGACTATTTCATGTAGCTAGAGGACTGGCCGGAAGTAGCTCTAAAGTTTGGCGCCATCTCGTCTGCAGCTCCAAGCATGCCATGGACGGCCGGATTGCAGACCGACATATGCGGAACAATCCGGAACCCTGGCCGTGACAGTTGCCGACGGACGGGCGGGCTAGTGTTTCTGGTCGAAGCTGTATGACAATGAGCTCCCGGCCAGTCGACGTGGGAGATAAGCCGGAGACGCGGGGTGTACGAAGATAGAAGGTGAACCACCAAGGTTCGTTCGATGAGACCTTGATGGCCCAGGATGGTCAAGGACGCCTGAAGAGCTTGTGTGGGGTGCACCAGACGGGTTGCCGAATCTGCTAGCGGGTAGCCTTGATCGGACTCTGGCCTCAAATCTAGAGTCGATGCTCTCCTCAGCCTTACCGTACGTAGCGAGGAGGAGAAGGATGCTCCTAGCAGACAAGGCGGAGACAATTGGCTGGCGCCGAGCTGTTACACGCGACTCTGAGCTCGCAATTGGGTCGATAGGCAAATGACGAGCACAGCCTAGAGGCAACCGTCAATCAGCGATGGCCGAGTCGACTGCTTCTGGATTGTCGCTCGGCCTGGGGGTGCCGTTGATCAGCCTCGACGAAGCGAGACGTCAGCTTCAAATATGTACCAGTGTCAATACCAGCGTCAATACCAACGTCAATACCAACGTCACAAGGCTGGGCCCGTGTGTGCATGTGTGTATGCCAGGTGTGGTCCAGTGCCATGACACCGCAGTGCCAGCAAGAAGAAAAAAAGCAATATAAAGGCGTCAGAGAAGACCAGAAAGAGTCGACAGAGTGTGTTGAAAACTAGCAGCATTTTGCGTTTTCTGGCATGCTGTTGTAATGACATCAATTGTCAAGCAAGTCTCAGTCTCGGGCCAAACCATTTGTCGCATCTTCCTGCCCTGGACGCTGGACGCTGATCGGGTTCTCCAGTTCTGACGGTGAGAGCTTTGATCACCCAATTCCATGAGGCCACGCCACGCCCCCCCCCCCCCGGCGCAGATCCATCATCCCCAGGTTGGCAGGCCGTTTATGGGAATTCTGGACATCGATCACCCCCGGATTCATCAGAACCTAAGACATTCCCCAGTGTGACCCCCGCACTCCTTGGGGCAGAACAGGCTGAGAACCTTCAGCTCCAGGTTGATTGCAGCGCGTGTGAGCCCTGCACCCAGCAAGCGTAAGGTTTGCCCAGCAGGAGGGAAATACATGTAACATCCGGTAGAGTATAGTGCTAACGGGCTTCATGCCAAAGCATCTCTCGCCGCATCGCATCGCATAGCAAGATCAGCCAACCTGCTGGCACTGGCAGAGGCAGAGGCAGAGGCAGCGAGAGGGCATTTATGACGCCTTCTGCACCCAGCCCCACCAAGTCGTCCTGGAGTCACGCCAGGTCCGCATCAAATGACCTCTGTGTTGGCCCGGTCTGTCTGCCTGTCGTCGCTGGGACCCAGGGATTGAGAGGGTACATACAGGACACGACAGTACAGTCAAGTACGGGTACAGTACAGCACACGAGTGACACCCACGTATCAAGGTCACGACATCCTCGTCAGCGTCAGCATCGGCATCAGCATCAGCTTCAGCACAAACACCACACCACAGCAGGGCCCCATTGAATTAACATTCCGGACCCCATCCCCACGGACCGCGCGGGCGGGTGACACGGGGAAGCGCAGGAACGAAACCCAGGCCAGTCATTCATCGTCCCGTGACCGTCTCTGAGGCAAGACGGCGAAGGTAAATCAAGAGATTTGCCCGGCTCCCACTCTCAGCCCGCCAGTTGGCGTTGACGTTGGCCCCTCGGGTGCCTGTCCTGCCAGTCTGACCTGGAAAGCCCCATCCGCTAGATTTGAAGAGAATTCCTCAGCGGGCTCATCTTGGCCCATTTTCGCCTCCTCGCCTCGGAAAGTCCATGCCAAGGCCCCATATTCCAGGCGTACCGGGTATCCGTCTCTCTCGCTCTCTTATTTTCCTTGCCCCCCCCCCTTCTCCCTCCGGCCCTGTCTGTCTCCAGGGAGTTTCGACCAGTCTGCCTTACTGGCCAGCAAGCTTTGTCGCCTGTCACCTGTTGCTTGTCGCTTGTCGCTGGTCGCATGACAATCTGGTGCACCTAACCTAACTGCATTGCATCTGACCGGTCAAGCAAAGGCAACCAAAGGGACAAAAAGCCCGATACAGAAAAACGACGTGTTAATCACAAATCATTCATTAATGTGCGTACAGTTCCGTACCCTACAGGGCAAGTTCAAACGGCGGCCTCATCCTGATTAGGTCTAATTATTGCCCTGTGCCTGTGCCTGTCTTCCCCTGCCACTACCAGCAGCACAAAACCCCCCATACTGTTTAGACACAAGACGCTCGGACAGAGAGATCGGTGGGAGATAGCGAGGGCGAATCAAGTCCCCGGCTGCCCCCCTGCTTCGATGCTGCATCTCATCCTGCACTCCGCAATCCGCACGTTCGTTCTCCCATCTCTTGTGCCCTTGTATTTTTTGCTTTTTTGGCCCAAAGGCAATTCAAAACCCAGCACGTCCTTGACAACAAGCCCCATCATCATCGCTGCCATCATCATTCATCACCCTGTCTCGTCCAGCGCCCGGGTGCCCCAGCAGCCCAGGTTGGCCGCTGACCGCCCAGGTTGACCGCCCCAGGTGCTGCCCTGTAACTGTCTAGGTAGACTGCCAGACTACCAGATTACCTGATTTCTTGTACTTGTCCTTGTTGTCACCACCCAGCTGCCGGCCTGCAGAGGGCGCGGTGGCTGCAGTGCGTCAGTCACTTGCATGGGCGCGCAGACATGTCCCCTCACGCCTCCGGTCTGATAGCCTACCAGCTTTGGCGACGGCCAAATGGCTGACAACCTTGAAACCCTAAGGCTGCGTTCGGTTCGCTGGCTGCTCTGCCCCAAGATTGCAAGGTTGAATCTCAAATGATCCCCCTCCATTGCCCCATCCGACCGTTTCGTTCTCTCCTCCGAGCGTGTTTTGACGATGCTGCATACATGCTGCGTACATACTGTATATTCATACATTCATAACATAGCCCACTCGTCCACTCATCCATTCGTCCATTCGTCCATTACACCCGCCCACCCGCTTACTCCTCTTACCTAGGTACAGTACGTGCCCATGCCGGGTGTTTTTCGTGCATGAGGTGTGAGTGAAGCTTGACGCTGCACCAATCTTGGAAGCTCTAGAATCGCGAGCCACATGCACACACACCCCCTCGGCCTGATCCCGATATCCTACCGCCTCCCAGCCTGGCCAGCGTACTACTACTACACAGTACCGGCCTACCTACCGGCCTACCTGACCCAGGTATCTGCTTGCTTGCTTGAACTTGTCAAACCGCGTGCTGTGATAGACCCTGTACTCAAATCAGTCAGTCCGCCTTGTCCCGCCCTATCAAAAGAGACGGGCATCGTCGAGAACCAACCAAAACCGCCCTCCCTGCCAGGTCGTTCACACCGGTGACCCCCCTACCTCCCCCTACTCGTTACTCCCGGCTCCCTACCCCCCACCCTCTCTGCCTCTTCATCCCACGTCCTTCATTGCGCTACCAGTGTCAAGGCACGCAAGCAAGTGCACTTGGTCCCATGTCGTGTCGTGTCGCTTGGTGTCGTGGCAGCAAGGAGCCAGCGCTCGAGCGGTGCATGTCTCGGTAGGAGGCCGGCATGGCATGTCGAACAAATTGGGATTTCCCACCCCCCAGGTGGCCAGATGCAGATGCGAGTGCCAATGCGAGTGCCAGTGCCAGTGCCCACAGCACAGCACCCCAATGAGGGTCTGTCCCTCCCCCACGCATGCAAGCCAGCCATAGGCCACTTCCCAACCGGTGCTAGTGGCTCCAAGCCGAGCTACCCGCTTTGGTTAGCACTGCGCCTACTACTCTGCTCTGCACTCTCTGCACTCCCTGCCACAAGTACCCAGGCGTCCCAGATAGACCACTGCTGCTGCTGTTCTCCTGCTGCTGTATGCGGTTCCCTGTCCCGTCCCCATGTACCCTGGTACCCTCACACGCAGTTCTGCTGTGCAGCGCCAGCCAGAGAGCCCAGACCCAGACCTTCTGGGATCGGCAAGGACCCCAGACCTTTCACCTCCAACCCACGCAATCCTCCATCATTCTCTTTTCCACCATCCCACACTTTTAAGTCTTGGACCCGCCGCCTCCCCCCCCCCCATTGTCCCGGTTCTTATGTGCTTGCCGAAGTCTGTTTGGTGCTTTGCCCTCTAGGTCTCCTCCGACCACCGCCTCCGCCCTCCAGCAAGCCCCAGAATTCCTCCTTCGAGTCATCTGCGATATCTCTCTTCTCTCCACGCCCGCGCCCTCAGTCATGCAGCTTTTGTCCTGACCCTGAGACCCGCAGTTTCGAGACACCCACGCACCCGCACCACCCTCTTCCTTCAGATCGGCACGGCGCTGGCACCTGGGCGTTCTGGCCGGCCCTCCTGGCACTTTGGACGGACCTATCTATATCTCACCTCACCCACCTTTCCCTCAACGCACCCACGCTGCCAGTCATAAACCAAACAGCCACCCCGAGGGCCACCTCAAGGCCCACCTCCAGCCAGGCACCTTCACACAACTTCTCCACAACCTTGGTCATTGCTGGCCGTCCTGCCAATTCAGTCTGCCGCTGCACAGGATCGACTTCCAACACAACCAGGCAAATTCAGCTGCACTAAGGCGACACCAAGTTCGGCTGCAAGCTGGAACATCTATAACGTCACGGCGCGCCGCACAAGTGATAGCCCGCTCTTCCTGACCATTCTGGCGGCTTACAGATGACGGAATCCCTCTTATCTAAACTCGGGCAAATATTGACGGTGACGTTGGACGCCACGTCCAATTGATCGCCGGTGGTAGTCAAAATGGCGGTGGTAATAACTTCTGAAGAGAGCAGCTACTTCGCACCCTCCGCGCTGCGTCGATCTCATTCCCAGTCAAGATTCGGCTCAAGGCAATCGAGCGGTCTCCACGGTTCTTCTTCTGCCTCGAGGATACATGATCTCTACCCACAACCCGTCAAAATCTTCGGCGACTCGACACTCTCTACTGCTCCGTCCTCGCCGCAAACAATCCATGCGTCGACCGCCGACCATTCCTGCTCATCCACTCCCGCGAGCAACCTGTCGCTCTCGACAGACAGCGAGGGGTGCGACAATGGGCTGTTACACGATTTAGGCGACGACAGCGATATCGTGTTTCCAGCCTACAATGCATATTTAGGTCCACCAACACCCGAGGAACTGGAGCCTCCTCCCAGCCCGCGGACCGCCAATTCTCCAGGGAACGACGCATCCCTCACAACCTCAAATCCCGAGACTCCTGAATCTTATTGTGAGACTGGAGGTGCTGTAGACGACACAGCTGTCGGGGCACAGCCCACTCGTCATGTTGACTACCTGTCTCATGACTGGAAGGAGGAAGACATTTGGTCGTCCTGGAAGCACATCATTTCCAACAGGGATGGCTTCGGTGGCAACTCTGCACGGCTGGAAAATGCATCTTGGAGAACCTGGATCAAGGCAAAGAACAATCTTAAGACCGTCTCTCCTGAGACACTCAACTGGTTCGTCATACATTGATCCGACCGTAAATACTACCCTGCTGACTTCTGGTGCAGGTTGAAGGACTGTGATGTTACTTGGCTGTACGGCCCTTTACTGACTGGGAAGACGAGTGATCTATCGGGCTCGCGAAACGACGAAGCAACGGTTGGAATATCGAAGTCGAATTCTTTTATACAATCGCAGTCAAAGAAGAAACCGATCTTGAAGAAACGAAGCATGTCGGAGATTATGCTACAGAAGTCCTTGTCATCATCGTCCCTGATCAAACAGGCCGCAGCAGCTGTTCAGGCCCAGCAAAAGGAAATGCCTCGCGGCATTAGAGTGTCACCAAGGCCCAGATTCGAACGGGCTGCTACTGACTATGTGACGTTTCCCTTCTCTTCACGGCGGCTGAGTCGGGATCAATTAAGTACTGGGCCATCAACGTCGACCTCCGGGATCATCTCGCCCAACAGTGAGCGCAAGCACATACATTTCAACGAGAAAGTTGAACAATGCATTGCTGTGGACATCAAGGGCGATGACGAGGAGGAGGATGATGTTGACTCGGATCGGTACAACTACAATAGCGATTCTGACGATGGCATCATGATGAAGAAGACGACGACCAGGAAACGGAGGCCAATTTTGAGGAGGAAAGCGAGCAGCCACAGCAAGACTGAGAAGAAGAGCATCAACATGCTGCCACCAACCACCCTGAAATACCGCGAGGACACACCTGAACCGCCAGAGACAGCTATGAAGCACTCTTACAGGAGCCCAGTCATGTCGCCATCATCGTCGCAAGAAACTCTCCGGCCGTCGAAGCCATCCTCTAAGATGTTTTTCGTTGATGACGAAGACGAGGACGAGGACGAGGGGGATGACTGTGCAGAGTTCAGCGACGGCTTGAGATCGCCGCCTCCTGGCGGGCTCTCTTCCTCTGGATTCCGCCGCACAACTTCTTCGAGCAGCTTGAATGCGGCACCCTCCGGTATGAGACGGACGGAATCAGGTATGTTCATGCCCTATGAAGAAGGTGAAACGGCATCGGAAGGCATCGTTGGCTTCGTCCTTGATACGGTGAATACGGCCCGAGACATCGCCCAGTATGTACCTTCCGCGCCCAGAACCCTCGAGTCTTTCTTACGAGTCGACGAGACTCGAAAGACACTCAGTTGCCCAGATTTGCTAACCAGAGAATTGCACAGTGTTGTCTGGAATGTAGGATGGAGGAGATGATGTTGACTTGCTTGTTCAGAAAAAGAAGGCTTCGCAGAGATAAACCTCCGATTCCCTCGCTAAGATTGAGAGCCCCTCAGGGCTGTCTCTTCGTCTTGTTGCGGCCTTCCAGCACGTCTCTTCTGCCTATCATCAAACCAGTCCAGCCTCTGTAGCTAGCGAGCGATTGTACGATAGCGTCGTTGGTGCATTTGAGCATAGGGCATTGGTTGGGCATTGCCATTTTGTTTCCCACATCCACTACGACATCAGCCGGTATCACAAGGCCAACGGCATATTCGACCAAATTTAGCATTCGAGTCAAGCGAGATCTGATCTCCACATAACGATTCGACATCAGCATCGCGGACGGCGTTAACGAACATGACACCGGCAAATTTCTATTTTTCATCGCAACCTAGTGAGCAGCTATCGCTGCTCACTGGGCAAAGGCCACTTTTTCGGCTGTTCATTGGCCACTTGGGCAGGTCGAGCGCATGACCCATTTTGACTTCATTTTTGCGGCGTTGCGGACGGTCCCGGCTCATCGCAAATTTCTCTCGGCTGGTGCATGAGGGTCTGTCTTTTTTTTCTTCTGCCTTCTTCTCTTTACTGTTACGCCTTGCCGTTTTCGGCATGACGTGCATGGATCGAATTTTCAAGCGGATGCGTACAAAAGAAATAATAGGGAAGGGGAAAAGTCATTTGGGGTTTTACAGTGGCGTTAATCAGAGAGGGATATATCAAATAGGCCAATGGATGGACATCGAATCCGGGTTAACGGTCATGGGTCGAAGGGGTCAAAGGGGGTCTCAAATCCAAGGGGAACAGCCTCTTGATAGATAGGAACAATCAATACGAGCGACCACCCGCTAGCGTGGGACGCCGGCACTGACAACAGAGAGAACTACGACCCGAGATGCTGCGCACGTGTATCTCGTGTCCGGACGTGACACTACCTATAGAGGCGCTATTGTTCCGTAGGGGGAAAGGGGTAGCGAGCCGCGAGGTCATCTTGTGAGTAGTAGTGGTTGGACTTGTGTAAAAGCAGAGGCAGGCTGGAAAGAGGGGTGATCCAGCAGCCTTGACTGCAGAAACTTAGGCGCCCGTGCCGACTTACAAGCAAAATAGGCCCGAGTTTTCGAAAAAGGCCATTTTCGAGCGTGCGGGATTTTGTCCCTTTCCCTTTGTTGATCCCGCCGCACTGTTGCTGCCGCAGGTTCGCGAAGCGAAGCGAAGGGGCGTGCCGCTGCCGAGCCGGCGGGCCTTGGGGGGCGCGGCAGGATGCGATCCGATCGGGTTTCGAAAGGTGGGAACGAGGATGGACGGGGAGGAAATATGCCTCTGATGTGGTCTTGATGGTAGGAGCCTAAGGTGGGATCCTTTTTTTTTCCTTCTTTACTTCTGGATGCCTTGATCATTTGTTTGGTTGGTCCTCTCATCCGGGCTGTTCTAGGAGATGCATGAGAGATCCTGGAGCTGTACTGTTATAGACTTCTTCATCGAGCCTCGCTCGGCCGACTGTGTGGACCAGGCTATCCGTTGCCAGACTACGAAGCTACGCTTAATGGATCTGTAGGCCTGGCTGCGCATAAGCTTCTGTACTTTGCCCATAAGATTTATCGGCCTTCCTTGATGTGTTGGCAAGATATGTCATAACATGACCCGCACATTTACCGCGTCTCGGGACATGTCGAGACTACTAGTGAAGTGTTTATTCTTATTTCCTATTGTACATGTCGTACGTATTGTATCGTCACGGATGGGGGTATATATCCTACATTAATTGTACACCAATTCGCCTATGCGTGGTCTGTTATGTACCGTTTAAGTGGTTCGAGGCCATAAAAGATGCATCGACCTTCCGCACCAAGGGCATATTGTCACCTATTTCTCACTCGATATCCGCTGTGGCGTTCAGCCCTGCGTCGAGGACGGTGTAACCTCGCTGCGCTCCTGCGTGCTGATTCTGCGCACCGCCTGGACGAATACCTGGCCCAAGTGCACGTTGATGTCCTTCAGCTTGACCTCGAACACTTCGTCCCTCTTGATGTCAGCAACCTTCACCCCTATATTCCCCAACCCATCCTGGACCATGTACGCGTCCAGCCCGAACCAGTCCAGCCAGCCGCTGAAGCTCATGTTGTGTCCGAGCCCGGAATGCTTCACGGTAAACCGGAAGGTTTCCGGCAGTCTCGAGTCGTTCTTGGAGGGGTACTTCCACGCCCGGAAGAGGGCCTGGTGCATGTACGCATGGCTCCCCTCCACGTTTCCCAGGCGCCTGATGATGCGCTGCCGGAGCAGCAGCCAGGGGAACACGTCCCTTTCGAGCTCCTTCTCGCTGAACGGCAGCTTGTCCACCGCCACCTTGCCCGTCTCCATCTCCTGCAGGAGCGCGTGCTCGATCTGCCAGTGCGCCAGGAGGTCCGAATATCGCCGCAACGGGGATGTTACCTTGGCGTAGGCATCCAGCCCCATGATGAAGGATGAGCCAGGCTGCGTGGACATCTCGTCCGGGCCGACGAGGTCGCGAAACTGCCTGAACTGCTCTGGACTGGGCTGTTGTCCGCTAAGCAGGAGTGGATAGTAGACTTTGTCCGTGTAGGCCTTGAGAAGCTCCGAATTCTTCTCGGCCTTGGATTGCTTGATGTAGGGGATGTGTATTTTGCGATCTGCACACCACCGCGCGGCGATCTCGCCCGCTAGCACCATAGTATTGGTCACCAAAGGGGCCTCGCCTCCAAGTCCCCAAGAAATGCTGATGGATGGATCGCCATTGCAGGTCATGAGTCCTGGAGGTACCTCATGGATCAATGTCCCGTCGAATGAGGCCTTGGCGTCGGCGCGAAGTGGAAAAACTGGTACGGAACCCTTGGCCAGACGCCTTTTTCCAATGGCGCCTGCGAGCCGATGAAGCGTCTTGAGTGAATCTAAGTCATCTTCTCGAAGCTCAGAGGCAGTGACCATCTTCCTATTCTCAGGTTTCTCGGGAGGCGAACCGCCCACCTTAAAGCTTTTCGTGGTAGACCATGACGGCGGCCGTCTGGAATCTTTAAAGCCAACGGCCTGGTTTACCTGGTCGGGAGTCATGTAAATGAAGTCATTCAGCTTGCCAGGGGTAATAGTATACTCCAGGAGCTCCCCGTCATTGTTCACCCTGCCGCTGAAGGTAAGACAAGGTTTGTTAGGACCAAGAGAGAACAGCTCCTGAACCTCATTTCGCACGCCCCAGATGTTGGACTGGTGTCCTGAAAGGTACAAATTCAGCGGCAACAATTGAGCGCGTTCTCCGAGGGGAGATTCGCGCCGAATCCGGGAAGCAGGGTCTGCTACGTGAATGTGGATCCAATGTTCCTCTGGTTTGTCGGTCTTCTCGATTGACACGGCATCGTCGATATCGACTGTGCTTTTGGAGTCAATAGCAAAAATCCGGTGATCAGTCCACTCCTTGCGCTTGCCCACAAAAGGGTCCGCAGTCAAATAAGTTGAGACGCCATCTCGCCCCAGCTGCATCCGCTCGAAGCCTCTTTCCCGAGATACTGGTACTCCTGGAACGCGTTGGGTATAGCGTGCGTGGATCTCCCATGGACTCACATATCCAACCTCTTGCAAAAACGTCCATCCGGTGCTGGTAGATAGGTATTCGCTGTCTTTATACTTCCCAAGAGCTCTGAGAATTGTGGAGCCTATCCAATGAAAGCTCGAGGTCAAAGAGAATTGATCATAGCCAACCCACAAATTCATGAAGTGCAAGATGCTCAAGTCGACGTCGGTCCATTTTGTGCTAGGGGCCGGCCGAGGCTTCTTCTCAGGACCAAGAGCCCCATGGGGTGTCCATTCACGGTGCCGCCGGCTCTGGTCAATAGCCTCCCTGGCCTTCAGAATGAAGCGACCTAGCTGACTTTGATTCAATTGTGATGGTTTCAGAGCCGACAGGGACGTTCCGAATTTTCCGGGAAGGTCAGTGAAAAGCCTGATCAGCGTCTGCATGTTGTTTATCAGAGTGACATCTTCAGGCGGTGTGACTTCGTACACCGTATTGCTGGTGGGACCCAAGGCACCAACCAGACGGAATCCAACGTCGTTGCTCGAGATAGTGCGGTAGACAGCAAACAATTTATGCCAGGGAATACGCCTTTCCCCCCGCCCACTTTTTCCGTGGAGGATCAAACGAGTTGCGATCTCATGCAAAGTGAGATACCTGTCCGAACCACTGGCCAAAATCTCATGGGCGCTTTCGAAGCGCGTGGCGAATCTTTGCAGAACATCTTCCGTCTCCTGTTGAAACTTGTGCATCTTGCGCAGCAGGGGACCACCAGATTTGCGGTCCGGACCCATCTTGAGGTCTTTCATTGCCTTGATCGTCTCCCAGGGCAGAGCATCATTTGGCAGCTTATCGATGACGGGCTGGAGGATTTCCTGGCTAACGAAGTTCCTGACCACGAAGCGCGTACTGATGTTCGGGATCGGAATCCACCTTCCAGTGGCTGTGTAGAAGTGATAGACCCCGTGAATATTTCCAAGACAGATGGCCAAGAGCGTCATGTTGCCACCATCTTCCCGAAGTTCGATCAAGTCGCCCGCTCTGAACTCAGAGGGCGGCGGCAGAAGCTCGAGAAAAGCGTCTGTGTCGGAGGGCGGCTGGTCCACGTCTAGGAGCTCCTCCTTATCCAGTCCCAGCTCATCGAGATGGCGAGCTCTGGTAAGCAAATTCAGGGGTCTCCCTGGGCCGCCGTCGTCGACGTGAACCCCCATAGGTGCTGGCACATCGTTCTCCGTCTCCCATTTTTGCAGCCGCCGGCGAATATTTGGCACGAAGCCATCTTTTGAGCTTGTATTGGGCGTTTCTTGTACGGTCGCGAAGGCCTTGATATCACGTACACGTCAGACACGGAGCTGAACAGCATAAATCTATGCAAGGACCCTCCCAGATTGATGTGGAATGCCTACCCTGGGGCTCGCTATAGACGCGACATGACTTCGTAAACGATTGCCGCGGAGGCTTCTCTTGGCCAGTCCTGCTGCTCTGTTGGGGGAAGGCCCAGGATTAAAACCTCTTGATAGGCATCTCCAGCAGACATATGACCCCGCGGCAGGTATTCGCATGGTGGAAAGGGGCACTCAAAGAGTGGGTGTATATAGTACTGCGAAGTCGTCGCGCAGGCCGGCCAGTTGAAAAGTTTATGGGGCATTCCGCTTATCGCTATCCGATAAGAAGGACAGCTATGACGTGCATTGCATTCCGCTCACGCCCCTAGCTTCCCCGCGAGGAAATCTACCTGGGTACATCAAGACCACCAGTGCATCGGGACGTAGATGCATTCATGTATAGATATAGTCTATGTGTGCAAATAAACACACTATGCATACCCTCGCATATATCGGCTTATTAAAAGTGCTGAGCGAAAAGAAGTCCTTTCTCGCGCGACCACTTTCTTACTACATAGCTTGTTTGCTCAAGAGTTGCATGCAGATGCGCATAGGAAACAGCAGGCGACAAAGCCATGTGGTGCACGAATCCCGCTGCCCGTTGAGAGCTGAGTGATATGACCATAAAAAGGGCCATGTCTCACATTGCTTTGCCCGTGGCCTTCATAACCTGTACTACCCCTTCATCTCTCGCCCGTTTGCGCTGGGGGCAGCATTTCCCCTCCTACCATGCCTCGTGGCGGTTCGGGTGCACAAGACGTGCTGTGGATAGATTCGAAATGTCTCAGTTGCAATCGTCGGCCCGATCAGAACACAATCTCCCCCAAAGAGTCCTCAATAAGGAATGCGTCGGGAACGGGTCAGCAGTAGGACACTGGATTATTTTAACATGTTGGTTTCAGTCGCTCGTCTTCCGTCTTTCGTACCTGAGTAAATCGACGTCAGCTTTTCCCTCTAGGGAGCCATCCCTTCATTTCATGGGGGCCTCTTTCCGTCCTTCCCTCGATACTCTGGTCGTCCCTCGTCCTCGGCCGCGTTGATCCTTTGTCTGTGTCTCCATGCTTGCAGGACCGCTTGCCACGAAGCCTTGCATCGTTTGCGGCTCCTGCAGCACCCGGTCTTTGACAACCCCAGAAGGCGAGGACGCGCAAGGAGCCAGGCATGACGGCACACATCTCCTGTTTTCAGTGGACAACATTGCAGCCCTGACTGGCTCTTCATTCCGTTCTTCCTTTTGTTCATCGGCATCTTTCTTAAGCATCGGGCAGCCTGCCGCCCTTGGCCGTCAGAAAAGGACGTCAACAACAGCCTGACCTTCCATATCTTGTCGAAGCGTACCTCTACTCCCCAGCGCCGTACCAGCCGACGAAACTTGTTCAACGCGCGTCCTGAGCACTCGCTTTGAGAACATTCATCGTCATCATCCACAATGGCTTCACGATTCTTCGTTCTGGCTCTCGCAGGCTCGATGGCTCTGGCCCAAGACACAGACTCAATGCCGCCCGGCCACGACATGCCGCTGACCGGGGACAGTGCGACGACAACTGCGGAGAAGGCCACTGCCGAACAAACGACAGCCAGCTTGACCATGGCGGCAACGACGGCCCTGCCAACCGCAATCATGCCGTCTGACGTCTCCGACGTCACCGGCACACCGACCACCTTGGTCGTGGACACGCAGACGCCGCCGCCACCATCTTCTAGTATGAGCTGGGCCATCACAACCACTCATGACATGACCCACATGACCAACGCAAACGTGAGCGGTGCGCCGGCGCCAACTGGGGGCGCCCTGCCGTCAGGCACTGGCAGCCCAAGCGGCGCTGTTGGCAATGTCAATGGTGCCGCGCGCAGCGTGTGCAACAAGATATCGGTATGTTGGAGCTAGGCGCCTTTCAAGGACACTATTCATGACTAATGGCTCTCGCAGATTGGAGTCCTGGCTCTGTGCATTGTTGCTAGCGCAGCACTGCAGATGTAAGGGGGATCATGGCTCGTGCCAGGCTCACCATCGGGGTGTAACTTAGGGGGCAGGGGACGTGTGTTTGGGTTTGGTTAATGAGGCGATTCCCATTAGATGTGCGAGGGCAAGATGCCAATCTCATGTAGCCCACGTGGTGTAGGAAGTAGAGCGGGTATGTGCGGTATTGTTGTATCACAGACAGTGGGAACGACAGGTGACGATGCGTAGGGATGTGGAGTACTAGGCAGGGGTGCTGTGTTCTTGGAGGCCGCGTTAAAAGTAATGTTGATAGTATGAGAAGCCCCTCTGCCGTGGTCTGTCTCTCGTGGGTTGCGCTTGGATAGGGCAGGGGGGCTCGGAAAGTTGTCGAGTTGACTTAATGAAAGGCGACAATGCCTCGACATGTCATGAGGCCCTTGCCTGTTCCAGAATGGTACTGCCCCGTTGCCAAGCGGCTGTTGAAATCAGACAGCCAGCAGCGTGCGTAATTAACTGGACAGCCAAGCTTTCTCATCACGAGATGGATCTTCCGGAGGAAAACCAGTGATCAACAAGAGAGTGTCAGTGACAGGCCTGTGTGAAATATCAAGGGCGGGTCATGATCCAGTAGGGAGAAAGGTGGTCTCATAAGCGAATGGACAGTATAGTATATCCATGCGATGGTGCAGACAAGAGAGAGTGGGTGTCTAAAGATGGAAAGACACCGATCTCCAGGCCAAGGGATGGTCAGATGTCCTGACAGAACTAAAATAAACAGAGAGATATGGGATGGGCGTAGATTGGCACATTGGTCCCTGGATCCCGGACCACAGATCTACAACACAGCAACAGTAGCGCCCCCTCCAGATGCAGGTACGCCAGGTACGGCCTGCCCTTAGACGTTCGACTACACCGGTTTGAGTTACGGCTATGGAGATCGTGGAAAGAGCGATCGCCAGTGCTGACTGCTTGTTCAGGCCATCAAATCTTCACACTTGGTGTCGGGGCCAACCAGGTGCAGACAGCCTGAACAGCCCATCTGTGATACGAACAGCCCAGAGCGAAAGCGCGACACCATCCATCTCGTCGCATCGCATCCCATCGCATCCCATCGCGTCGCATCGCAACGGAGGGAACCACGGCGACGGCGAACGGCAGAGGCCATATCCGCCCAACGGGTCGGTAGGGCCTCGACTCGATCGACTCGAGTCATCATCCATCAGTGCAGTCCCTCTGCTCTATTTCTCAGTCCCTCTCCATCTGCATCTGGGATTTGCGGGTGCAACTCTATCCCCAGTTATACTTGGCTACCAAACAACCCCCCTCCCCTCCTTCATGTTACCGTTGCTGTCAAAGCTGGCCGAACTGGTCAGGCGGGCTCGAGCAGAAGTGCCGATATGCGGTCAGCTTCGGGAACTGTCCACACCCATACCATCACTCCTTCACACCCGTCATTTCGTGGGGTTGGCCGTGGACTTCAGCAGACGGCACCCAATCCCTTCTCATCAGCAACAGCTTGGCTTCTGATGCTGCCGCCGCCATTGCTTCTCAAAGTCGCCTCGAGCCCGCCTGCCGGGTCTGCCAAGTCAATGGCTGCAGGGCTAGCCTAGCCCAACGCTGATCTTTAATTCTCCTCGACTTCTCATCTTCCCACTTCTGCGTCGAGCAAGCAGGCAAGCAGGCACTGGGAGCCAACAGCAACAGTTGTTCATGTGCTGCGCTGGACTTGTTGTGCTAGGCAGATATCCAATTTCCCTTTTGTGGCCCGCCCATCCAAGCACCATCTTGACTGGCCAGGGCCCCCCTGGGTCCCCTGTCGCCGTTCGTCTGTTCTCGGTTTAACCTCGTCTGCAGCCCTGTCCTCTCCCCGTCGTGCCATCTCCAGGTTTCCCCCTATTCTGCCCGCCCTCACTTCCAACTCGGATCTCGTCGCAATACTGATTGCCGCTTTGGTCCACGGATGAACGCAATGGCACCTGTGATTGCGACTCTACCGCTCGAGTTGGCGTCCTGATGCTGTACCCAGCGTCTGTGCCCCCGCGAGTCTGTGCCCAACCAGAATATCAATGGCCTTATCACCTGCCATGCCATGTTGGATTGCCTCGTGACCGTCAAGCCGACTTGACCACGGCTTCGTCCACGGGCAGCAGTCCACGGGCGCTTCACGGGCAGTCCACAGGTCGACCTCTTGGCGGGATCCTGCGCTCCTCTGATGGGCCACCAGAGCCCACTCAGGCTTGATGAGCTGGTGGATATCATCTCTCCGTAGAGATTAGCACCCCTGCTCTACCAGACCGCACGATGGGGGCCCCCGTTGGACTCGACTGTGGGGATCCACCCGCGCATCTCGCCGTCAGTGCAGAGTTGACCCTCTTGCCTCCGTCTGTGGGTGACATGTGTGGTCAGGGGTACCGACGCTCTGCCCGGCTCCGCTCACTCTTCCCCAGCGCGCCGCCAGAGGTAATAAAACAATACACTCCCGACCCGGGCCCTCTCATTTCACCTGTCCCTCCTTCTCTTACCTCCCTCACGGAACTCGTCCCCTTTGATGCGGTGATATTGCCAAGTTGAAAGCATCGCCAGCTTTCGTCTCTCCGTACCACAAACCCGACCTACCGCTTCACTCTTTCAGCGGGCACTCGTTATTCTGCGACCAAGTACACATATAAATATTCCAACAAAAAAAAATTCTACGTCCAACTACTGCGACGAAATATAATACTTCTCGATTTCTTTGTGCTTTCACCCCGGAAACATGAAGTCCTCATCACTTGTGGCCGCGGCCCTCCTCGGAGGTGCCAATGCCCATGCCCACCGCCGTGCGCACGACCTCTTTAACAAGAGGTCCAACGACACCGAAGTCTGCGTTCCCGGCTGCACTACTTACTACACGACCATCACTGGAAGTGACTTCATCTGTATGCCGAGAGTTTATTATTCGACATCAGCATCTATTGCAAGCGACTAACCCTGAATATAGGGCAGCCAACTCCCAATGCCCCGGCTAAGACCACCAGCAGCGAGGTCATCACGCCTTCCGCGGCCGTGCCTGTGACCACGTCTGCCGCCCCGGCGGCTTCGACCCCGGCTGTGATTCCCACACCCATTGCCCAGACGGTCCCTACGCCAGGTGAGTAATCCGGGGTGAAGAAACTTGACCAAGGGCAACGCTGATCTTATTGCAGGAACGTACACATTCCCGGCCACAACCATGACCGTGACTGAGACAACCTCTACCGTGGTTCCATCCACGGTCGAGGTCCCCCCGGGAACCCACACGCTCGGAGGTGTGACTACGTAAGTCTTCTTGAGGTGTCTATTGCCTCCCGGGCTGGCTGGTGAGGGCTACGGGCTCTGTGCCGGATTAGGGATATTCGAGAATTGTCGACGGGGTGTTCGCAATCGATCATGGCTAATCAATCTGCAGCATCGTGGAGACTGCCACAACTGTGGTCTGCCCCTACGCTACTGTCTCGACCCAGAGCGGAGGAGTCGTTACCAGTCTGATCCAGACCACTACCTATGTAAGGACCGCCCATGCTTTTCAACATTCATGCCCCGAGTCAAAAGCAATGGACACGAAGCTGCGGCAAGTATCCAGAAATCCTTGGCTAACATTGGAATTAGGTCTGCCCATCCGCTGGCACTTACACCATTGCTCCTACGACTGTCACTGTCACTGCTCCCACCGAGACTGTGACCGTCCCTGTGGTGACGACCTTCCTCCCCGGTACTTACACCGCCCCGGCTGTCACGACCGAGGTCACCACTCAGACCGTCATCTACTGCCCCTTCGAGAGCGCCGAGACCCCAGCTGCGACGACCTCCAGCGCCGCCGCCGTCATTCCTCCTGTCTCCAGCATCATCCCTGCCGTGTCCAGCGCCGTCATTCCTCCTGTGTCCAGCATCCTTTCTGCTGTCTCCAGCGCCGTTATTCCTCCTGTGTCCAGCATCATCCCCGTGGCGTCCTCGGCTTCGTCCACTTCTTCCTCGGCGACTGCTTCCTCCACGTCCACTGGATCTCTCGGTGGCGGTGAGGGCCTGTGGGCTATGACCTACACGCCTTACGACTCTGACAGTGGCGACTGCAAGACATCGGATGTCATCGACACCGACGTTTCCTCCATCGCGGCTGCCGGCTTCAAGACACTCCGTGTGTACTCCACCGACTGCGACACTCTGCCAATGGTGGGATCCGCCGTTTCCAAGTACGGCCTGAAGATGATCACCGGTATCTTCATCAGCGAGTACGGTTGCGCCAACGGCACCCCCGACGTCGATACCCAGATCTCTGCTCTCAAGGAGTGGGGCCAGTGGGACCTCGTCGAGCTCATGGCTGTCGGAAACGAGGCCCTGTACAACGGCTACTGCACTGCTCAGCAGCTGGTCGACCTCATTAACCACGTCAAGAGTGAGATTCCGGACTACACTGGTCCTTACACGACCACCGATATCGTTGGCGCTTGGGAGCAGGAGGACGTTCAGTCCCTCGTGTGCGACGCCATCGATGTCGTTGCCGCCAACGTCCACTCCTACTTCAACGCTGATGTCCTGCCCGTCGACGCCGGTGAGTTCGTCAAGGGCCAGATCGAGATTGTCGAGAAGGCCTGCGGTGGCAAGCCCGGTTACGTTCTGGAGTGCGGTTACCCGACGCAGGGCAACACCAACGGTGTCAACGTGCCCTCCGTGGCCAACCAGCAGATCGCCATCGCCAGCATCAAGGAGACGCTCGGCGACAAGGTCGTCTTCTTCTCCATGTTCGACGACAACTGGAAGGACGATGGCGCCTGCGGCTGTGAGAAGCACTGGGGCGTTGGTACGCTCTTTGGAGCTCTTGGCCTGGGTGACAACGAGTAATTAGTATTAGTATAATGTGGCGAAGAAAAAAAGTGCGTCTTTGACTTTCTTGTACATCGGATTCATATGCCAACTACCAATTCGAGCTGTCAATTACTACTACTATTCGAGAAAGTACCTTGCTATTTGCGCCCGTGTGTGAATTACCAGTTCGGTGAGAGATTACCAGGCCAGGCCAAACATTGATTACTGTCATCTTCCGCTGTTCCGAAAGGGGTCTCGGCAGCAAGAGCCTAATGGCATGCGAAGGCTTGGCATTGGTATTGAGCCAACGTAAAGAAGTAGTTGAATAGTGAGTGTGCTGATGTTGACTGTCAAAATGAGGTTGGTGTTGGCATTGGGAGTGCGTGCTTTCGTGCGCACAAAGCTCAAAGCCCCTGGTGCATCACTTGCGGTTGCTGAGGACGGCGGTATCATGCACTTTGCCTATATACATGTTCATACGTTTGGCACACACACAGTGCAAGGGCCGGTCGGGGGTTTGGTCGCAGAGCATAGCTTAAACGTGCCTGGTCACTCTATATCAAGACTGTCATGCTGTCGTACTGAGGCTCAGACGGTGTGACGGCTGGCTGGATAGGGACCCCATAGGCCTTCCGGAAATACACCGTAGCTTATGATACATATTGTTTCAGCAATGAACTTGGCGGCGCCTCGCGCCTCAGTGGTACGATATTCCGCCCCTTGAAAAGTTAGGACAGCGGGCCATTCGGGGTCCTTAGTCGTCTATTGAGTCTACACACACGCACAAGGAGCAGATGAGAAAGAAGTGTACCGCGTGTCCCTCCCAAAATCGTGTCCTCACCCGCATACATAATCAGAAATTCATCTAGAACTGACAGGGCAGATGCAAATCCTCCTTCATTGCTGCCTAGTCCTATCTTAATGTTCACAATGCCGCGCCGCCTATGAGAACCACCGTGGCCTTCCAAAAAGTGGGTTGTGAATGCTCCGTAACACAATATCCTATAATTTGCAGCATTACAGCGGTGTGATTTCAGCTGACATATCGTATGGCATGATAGAGAAAGCAAGGAAATATGTCTTCCGAACATGCACAGAAAAAAAAAAACCAAGGAGTTGTTGAACCGTCTAGGTTGTGAGAGACAAAACAATGGATTGGTACGCCTTCTTCTGTGAAAACAGAAGCAAGCAAAGGTGAGGAAAATCCCAAAAATCTTTCCATGTTGGCTCGTGCCTGAGATCAACGCTCCTAATGCCCGAAACTCCCGCCTGATCGTTCATGCCCGCCAAATGCTGAAGCTCGTGTAATACTAATGACGCAGCCGTAGCCTTGTCAGGAGGGATTCGAAAAATTTCGAAGGGTATCATGTGTGGTTGCAATTATATAGAGAAATAGTCTCCGCCGCTTGTCGTTGTTGTGTTATGTTGGTGGAAATCGGGCCTCAGAAAGGAGTTAGGGGCTCGAGAGCTAGGGCGCGGCGTCTCCTTCGACTATCAGAGTGCCTTTTGATTTGCCTGGGCGTCGTCTTGAATTCGTGCCAGTCATAAGTGGTGTTCTTCCACCAACGGTCATAAGGCCTGTGCCTCAGATCGTCAACGTCGTAATTCCTCTCGGCGCCCACTCCGCACCGTTCGAGCTGGAACAAGCCACCCCTAACACGGTCACAGCAGAGGACATGGAGGTCCTGGCCCTCGTTGACGAAGGAGACACCGCCAATTTCGCCGAAGAAGTCGAAAGTCTGCTTCGCCTGGAATGTTTGTGCATCAATAATGTTAACAAAGTCTGCTTCTTCTGCAGCCACCAGCACACGCTTCCCAGACCCGACGGGTGAGAATTTCAGTGCTCTTACACCAGCCATCTCAGATCGCAGTGTGCAAACTGGTGTGGCGATTCCGCGGGCATTCGTCCAACGACGTGCGTCCCATATTTTGATAGATTTGTCCTGAAAGCCCGTTGCAACAGTCCAGCCATCGTCCGCCCAATCACATGCGAAACCGAAATCCTCGTGGCCCTCGAGACACTGTAGTATTTCAGGTTGGCCATCGGCTTCCGCTTTCGCAATGAAAACCTGTTGCTGATCGCCGACCATAACCCGCAACCGACAATCCGGAGAAATGGCGGAGCAATTGATAGGTTGCTGGAAACTCATGTCTGAGACGAATTTGTCGGTCTCAATATCAAGAACGCGGAAGCCTTTGTCATTGGATGCGAAGGCAGCCTTTGGACTCGACGAGTTCCTCGACAAGTGAAGCTGTACGTGATTCGTAATGCCGCTGTTGTCATTTGTGATAGTGCCCTCTTGGACCTGTGCGCTGCCAAACTCTTCATCTGAGTCGAGTCGGCGGAAGCAATATTCGCCAAAGAACCCACCCGCTATCAGCGTACCGTGGGCTGCGGCGAGGGTCGACACCTGTAGATGTGGCGTTTCTTGGGCCTTCATGGCAATTTTGCCCTTGCCGGATATTGGGTTGAACTGGTGAACGGTCATTTGACCAGGATAGAAGACCTGGCTTCTCGAGGTCGAGGCCAGGACATTGCGAAGCTGAAAGTGAGTGAGATTCACGTTTTTCCGAACGTTCAGGCGTCGAAACCTGAAATAGTTCTCGGTGCATGGCAAAGCATCGTGGTGCTCCTGCGGCAGAGTCAGACATGTCCTGGGTGGATTGCAAAAGTAAAGCATGCAGGTACTGTGGCCTGTGGTACTTCTTACCTGCCATCGGTCAGAACGTGGTATGTTGACATAGTTCTTGTATGTGAGCAATCGCCGCTCTCGGGCCTCGCTTCTTGTGACACCCAAATCATCCCAATTCATTCCCTGGACATCGCAGCTGTCCCCCTCAAGGTCCTGGTATTCTACGCGTGATAGATCTTTGGTGATCTGAGGGCTGATCCTGTCCAGCCAAGGATACCGGCCACGTTCTCGCGAAACACCCTGCCACACTCCGTTTTGCCAGGCCCACACGCGGATAAAATCGGCAAGATTATAATTCTCTGGTGAGAGTGCGACCGTGTTCGGGTTGTTCATGAAGTTAGTGTGTGCTGTTTGGGTGTGGTGGAGCGGAACGTGGTGCGCGTTATCGTTGTTCGTTTCTTGGCCCTCTTCAGGTGGGCCTTGAGGAGGATGAGGTGGTTGTATGTTGCCTGCAGCATGTGTATGCAGCATGGAGGCCGGATACTGGAGCGCATACTGGGCTTGGAAGGTGCCGTAGTGAGGCACATGGTTCATCAGCGGAGGGGGAGCGGAGGGGAGGTCTGGCAACCCATGGTGGGAGATGCTGATGTCATCGTCATGTTCGGAGTCGTAGTCCACGTCCATGCCTTGGGTCAAGATGTTGGCGATGTCCCCGTAATGCACAGGCGCACCGCCGTCGTCCATGTCATGATCGTCGGACATGTCGCCGGCTTGGGACTGGGTTTCGGCTGAGTGGAGGAAGGAGAGGTGTCGTTCCGAGTCGTGGTCATAGTCGGACAGATCGCGGTCGTAGGAGGCGTGCAGGTAGTGCTCAAACTCGAACGCAGACGCGGACGCGGACGCGGACGCCTTGGGGCCGTGGTCGTGCGCAGCAGCCGCTTGCGAGTGAGGGAAGGTCGAACTCGAGGACGAGGCCTCGCCGCTGCTCCCGTAGTACGAGGGGTTGTGAGGCCGGTCTGACTCGTCAGACCACATATCGGTCGACTAGCCAGGAGACTGCCGACCTGATCGCATCCGCAGGCGACGTCGAAGTGCTTGATGGCGGGGAGCCCCTCCTTGATGTCTCCGGCCGGGAGCACTGTCCACTTTCCGAACAAGTTTGTCGCAGAACCCTTGCGGTCGGATGGTTTCGTTCCCCTTTGATCTGCAGAGCAGCGCAGGGAAATACCGCGGGTTTGGAATTAACCAAGTAGTAACAAAGGGAGACTGCTGGCAGGAAGTGGACAGGTCAGGATCGCGAGCAACCGGGCGGCTGTTTTAGGGATCCTCGGTGGTGGGAGTGGAATATGACGGCGGAAACGGAACAAGGACGAGAGGTGCAGAGGCTAGACCAGACGAGACTAGACCAGATAATCGAGTCAAGCTCTGGCGATCTTTGACGGGATTCTGGTCTTGTGTCGAGTGATTCGTCGATGAATGCGACGATGGTGTGATGGTAAGAAAGTTAGTCTCCCGTCAGACCTTAGACTTTGAACATTCAGACGGTACACAGCAACAAGATGGATGCAGTCACTGCAGTGGCCGGTCAAGGTTCAGGCTGGCAGCTGGCAGCGAGCGTGGCCGAGGGCGCTGGTCGTGGCAGCAGCCAGTTTCCTCGGTACGTAGTCTCGTTGGCTGAGAAGGGGGGGGTGGTTGGGAAGGTCAGCTGCGCTCAAGTGAACTTCCAAGGATTCAAGGGTGAGAGAAAGAGAGACAGGCAAGGCAGCGAGCGCAGTGGGCGCGGGGAAAAGGTGAATTGGATTTCCTTGTGCAGGCTGACGGTAGGCTTGTGAGTGGGGATCAACCCAACTCAAGAGCAGTTCAGGTGGTAGTCTAGTGCTGGCTGGATGAACAAATCGAAGCGGGACTGGGTGGGATAAGAGACGACGAGACAACAGACAAGTCACTTCAAATGTGAGCGGCTATATTCTGATCTGACAGACCACGCTGTGCTGTGCTGTGCTGTGCTGTGCTGTGTTGTGTTGTGTTGTGCCTTGCTGTACAGTACAGGGAGTGAGTGACACTTGTGGGTGCATGGGTTGGTTGATATTTATTTGGCTGATTGATTGATGGATTGACTGATTGATTGACTGTTGGAGAGTGATTGATACGGCCAGACGGCTCAGAATTCGCGATTCGAATTCTTGTTTCCGTGCTTCCTCACCTATCGCTAACGAGATGATATCCTCATGGAATGTGACGCAGCGGGGCCACCCGCTCGCTTGACATGGGCTTCGGAGCACGCAGGCCCTCAGCCCTCAGCCATATCACCCCTTCACCCTTCAATCATCAATCAATCAGTCAGTCAGTCAGACTGTCAGTCTGTCTATCTATCTGCAGTGTCAGTCTGCCGCCTGTCTGTCTGTCTGTCAATCTATCAACCTGTCAATCAATCAGATTCAAACCACACCGGCCTTGGAAGCGCGAATCTCCACATTCGCCGCCATGGATGGGTTTATAATATGATGCATCATCCATCAGCACACTACTGCTCAGCGCAGTATCATGACCCTTATCATGTGTCAAAACCTCACCCTCACATCCTCACATCCTCACACCCTCTCAAGCTCAGCTAGCAAGACCGGCGACAAAAATAATTCTCATCATCATCGTCGTCACCACCCACCCACCTCCTCCACCATCATCATCGCTAGCATCGCAATAATGGTAGAGCTGGATCATGCCTGGCCCTCGCCCATGTGGCAAGCTAAGCATGCAAAAAGTCCAAGACCCCGGGCCTGCGGTGGAGGTATCCGGGGATTTTCGAATCTCGTGTGCCTCCTCCCTCCCATTGGCCCTCTCGCAGACAGCAGACAACCCCCCGACGCCCCCTCAACCTCTTCAGCTTGCACCTGCAGACGTGATGGTGTGCACTCCCTACTTTGCGCTCTTACACATCCATAGAGCCGTGCAGCCGTCGCAAGCAGTCATCCACCCCATCTGCCCATCCACCCACCCACCTTCGCCAGTCTTCGCCTTCTCCGGCTGTCCCAATTTGCCTCTTGCCGCCCCAAGGCCAGCCCGTCGGCCACTCCCCCAACAGACATGCCATTTGTCCCCGATAATCTGTTTCTGAGTGATGCTGTGCAACATCACCAAGTATTGTGTGGTCTGGCCTTCCCTGGACCGCTGCCGTGCCTCCTCCCTCGTGCCCAGGCACTGCGTTACCCCTTTGCGGCCTGAACATGTTCGACCCTGCATATCAACCGCCTTCCACACTCGGGCGAGACTCGGGGGAAGGGGGGAGTTTTCCTGGGGACTCGAACGTCAACTGACCCTTTCAAGCTTCTCGCAGGAAGAGCCTTAGACCCTGACTTGCTCTCCCAACTGCACTCTTCCTCACCGCCCCCGAGAACGTGTCGGCTGCACACGCAGGTTCCCGTCTCGCCAGCTATACCATCGACGGGCGATTACAACAGTAGTAGTTGCCAGACGGGACTGACGAACGCCCGGGGGGGTGCCCAAGGCACGAACGCGAAGACATCACAGCACAGTAGCCTGACTCGTACGTAGGCCACAAGGTCTGCAGCAATGATCGTCAGGGTAGCGTACACGAACGTGGAAAAAGCAAATCTACCAGGCATCGCTCCTTGATTGCTGTATATGCTAGATATGTATCAGATTAGTCTAGCAAGGCCCCAGCAGGCCACCAGGCCCTGCCCTCTCTCCACACGCACACGCACACACACTGTCTCTCTCTGCGTCTCTGCATCTCTCACTTTTTCTTGTCCCCCTTCCTCACTCACGCGCGTCTGCCTCACATCCATTGGGCCCGCAAGCCCATCCTGCCCCCCCATACCCTCTCCACGAGCTTGTGCAACCCCCCCAATCCGTGCAGCGTACCCGAGCCCGGCCTTCCCAAAGCGGCAGTGTGCAGCACGAGTCTTGCTTGTTCGAGTGTCTCCTGCCTGCCTGCCTGCCTGCCTCCTGCTCCCCGCCAGTGCCCGGGATTGCTGGTTCAAGAACGGATGGCTAGTACCCGCCCTGCTGCGTCTCGGTTCTCGATGGTCGCTGTGCGTGCCGTGCGGCCGGCCGGCCGGCCGAGGCCAGCAGGGTACACCATCATCATTATCATCATCAACATACCCCGTGTGGTTGGATTTTTTGTTGGCCCGCCCGTGGGGGCAAAATTATTTAGATGTGGGAAATGAGGTAGAGAAAGCCCTGCAATTATGGGACAGGGACCAGACTGATAATCCTCATGGCCTTGCTGTAACTGTGCCCTAGCACAGCACGAAACTGGGTCAAGTGGGTGTATTACTTCCTATAATGTCGGCTCTGAGTTTCACAGCCCTTTAGAGGAAAAGTTGTCAAGCTCGGTCGAACAGATGGCCGTTCGCGAGCCTTAATATACAGTGTGATAAGTGAATTCAGGCCATTTAGTATGAGGCTGGACAGACGAATTCAAGTTTCAGAGTCATGTTCTATACTGTGGAAATGCCATCTTTAGAGAGATGATCGTGGTTCATAACATTCATGTAATTACTGCTAAGCTGGGTTGTAATGACAACACAGACCTGCGTGTGTTCGTTATTTTATATACATGGAAGCAGCTCGGTTCGTTTGTTCGATGACGAGCGAAGACAGAACCGACGACTCCGCCATGCCCTCTGACCCCCCTTATTATTAAGTACTAAATCAATGCAACAAGCGCTTTTTCTTCAAAACACGACGACCACTCTACCTCTCCATCTCTAGCTCATCATTGTTCATGCATCCGAGTAGTACTCGTCATGGTAGCCAGGCGAAGGAGTCGCTGGCCAGTAACCACTACCGGTGTTGCCTGCGACACTATCTTTCGAGCCCCAGTACTGATCTCGCGTTCTGCGCTCACGCTCGAATTCGGCCCACCGCTTCATGGTGATCTTGCTGCTGTCGAACTCGCCCTCCTGCTCACCATGACCGCCCTTCTTTGTCTCGCCCGCTGTCTTACGAGTGTCTCCCCACGAGAAGTCATCAAACTTCCAGAACGCGTAGGTCGGCAGAACAAAATTCCAAATAGGTAGGGACACTAGGTAGATGATCATCCACACGATGTATGTCCACGAGTGTGCTGTCACGACCACGAGCACGCCTGGCAATCCCAGAATCAGCGCGAGCAGGACCAAGGGAATAACTTGGGCTGGCCCGATGATGGAAGAGACGACTGCCACTTGTTAGCTAGTGCAACTAATTGGGTGTTGGGAGGTCGCCGATATCTACTTACCGACGTAGAGGGTGAACGCAATAGCAGCAGGCAGGACCAGCGTGCCCATCAACTCGATGAACACCACGAACTGCATACTAAAACAGAAGGTACCACAGAGATCTCTGACAAGGACGAGCTCCATGAGATTGTGGATGGTCGAGTTGATCCAGCGACGCCTTTGAGACAGGAGGACCATAAATTTATCAGGCACCGTGGTCTTGCAAACTGCTTGAGGAACGAACACCTGCTTTCGCTTGGGGAATGTCCGAAGCATAAGGGTCGTCAGGTAACGATCCTCTCCCAAAAGGAGCAGATTCTTCTTGTGCAAGGTGTCCACCACGTTCTCCGAATAATGCTCAACCACGTCGGGGTTGGCCAAGACCGGGACCCAGTAGTTCGCGCCCCCTTTCGGAGCCTTGATTCGATACATGCAGAAACAACCTGGCAGGCAGGTGACACCACCAAAGACCGATTCAAACGACTTGGCCTGGTGATGTGAGATGAAATATTCAAAGACCTGGATCGCCGTCACCCAGCTGTCCCGTTTATTGGCAATCTTTGTCTCGCCGCACAAGCCCATGATCTCAGGATCCTTGACCATCGCGGAGACCATGTGGGTAAGACTGTCAGGGAACACCTTCGTATCGGCGTCTACCATCAATACTATTTCGTAGAAATCTGGTGATATTCCGGTGATTTTCCATAGGCCGTTGAACATCTCATACTCGAGTTCAGTCATACGTTCGTCAAACATGACCTTCTGCAGGAAAGACATGAGGATGATCTGACTGTCTCGCTTGCCTCGATTTCCGGGTTTCGATTTAGTGGCCTCGTCGGGCGTACCGCACTTAGATATCAACATCATCGGGACCCGTTGTTGCTTTTCCAAAGGAATTCGCGACTTGGTACCGTAGTCGTAGAAACCAGAGTAAACCTTGGCCATGTTGTGACGCTTGGAGCCCGTAGCAACAGCGACGTACGAGAATGGCTGTACCTCCTCGGGCAAAATAGTGAAGTCCTTCATCATGCTGAGACAGTATTCAGGTGTCGACATGCTCTCGCCCTTGCCCTTGATGATACCATCGCAGATAACGAGGATACACTTGTGGCTGTTAGGATAGTCAGTCATGGCGATTGAGTCGAGTGTGGTCCGAATGCCTTCCTCGCCCTCGGAATACCCAGTGACAAGACAGAGAGTGTGTGCTAGTGGGTACCCGAACGGCATCCAGTCGGATGGTGGTTGGGGCACGACTGCCTCGTGTATGAAGCCGGCCGGGCCCGGTCCGTCTGTGGGGCTGGGCTGAGGGCCGTACGGATCGGAGGCCAAGAAGCTGTTGCGACTGGGGTTTTGTTGCCCGTACATCGAGGTCGGGTGAAGCAAGGCAGCTCCAGAGCTTTGGCTCGCCATTGTTGTCGGCATAGTAGGCCTGCGGGAGTTCCGGTCGACACCGTACACAGTTGAGAATCGCGACGTAGTGGGTAGGAACGTGCTGGCGCGCTTGCTTGTGCGGTCAGACGAGGCTCCTGCAACACTGCTCCCAACGTCACCTGGCAAGCGTGCCGGTGCGCGGTAGATGTCCTCTGACCATTCCTCGATTTGCTGGTTGCGTTTTCTCCTGTCCGATGATTGGGACGTTTTGGCTGCTGCGTATCGCCGGCTGATGAACCACTGGAAGATCAAGGCCAAGACGAAGCGGACGACAACAACAGACAAAATTAGAACAAGTGAAAGATACAGAACGACCTGTGAAGCAATGCAGCCCACCGAGTCAGAGTCCACTGATCCGACCTTGATGATTTGCTGAAGACATTCAGCCGTCGCCTTGTCTCCTGATTTCATGAAAGCGTGAGTGACATCGCGGCCCCTCACATCCGCGTTTGCCGCAGAATTCTTGTCAGCAAGCTCCTTGAAGCGATTGGGAACTGAGACTTGGGATGAATTGAACCAGTTGAGAAGATCCAGATCAAGTACGTCCCCAGAGTAGACCACAAGATTTCGGGAGCTATTCTTGACATCATCCCAGTCGAAATAGACATCAGCGGTCGGGTTCAGGGCATAAAAGGTGTTCCGTGAGGATGCGGTCGTGTGGCAAGCGTAACCAAGGTAGTACGGAATGGTGAGGTTGGGGTCGGAAGATCCGTCTTGATTAAAAGTGTTGCATGGGAAGTACCAAGCCAGATCACCATCGCTGTTTGTGGGTACGTCCGAGTTGTCAGCCAAGGTGATAATGTCCTTGCATTTTCCGTTCACATTTTGGAACAAGAAGCTCCCGTCTTTCCCACCCTGCTTCTCCGGGAGGTCGTATAGAACATTTGCCCCTGAGGAACCCGACTTAGGGATGCCCTCAGCCGCCGGATGGTGGGATGTAGAGAGGTCGTATGCTTGCCCGTGGAAAATCATGAAGCCGCCGCCCACGTGGTTCACTTGGAGGCGCTGCGATGGTGTACCACAGACTGTGCGGGTGAACCCAAAAGTCAAGAAGCCGACAACCGCCATGATGAAGGCGATGATACTCAGAAGTCCCATCTTCTCTCGCCAGGCTCGTGCTTGGTCCTTTGATCGCTTCCCAAAGCACTTCAATACGAAATTCGGACACCAGAACGTGATGATGGCGCAGTATATGTCCCAGAGGCTAGGTGGTCGTATCTGCTCGACGTCCTTTCGGTGTTTTGAGCCCCTCTTCGTGATTTTCCCCGAATGCTTCCGGCTGTTTGCCCTCTTCCTTGAGCGTTTCGGTTTCTCGGCTTCGCCACTATCTCTGCTGCTTCCTTTTTTACCCTTTGATGTTATCGATTCAGACAGTGCGTCTTCCCGATTCGACGTGGCCAAATAAGTCGTCCCTTCGAACTCCTCGTAGACTGGGTTGTTGCCGGTCCGCGACGGCCTCGTGTCCATGTGTGCTGAATGTTGACGGTAGTGGTAGTTCGGATGATCCTTCCCAATTCTGTTCCGTTCGGGCTTTACCAAGCTTCGTTTCCGCGATATGGCTGCCTCGCCAGGCATGCCAGCACTCTCAAGGTCTGGCGACAGGGGCGCATCGTCTGCAGTGGTGTTAGATGGAGGTGGCACAGTTGTCGCAGCGGAGTGAGATGAAGCCCCACGGGAATGCATTGTGCCCTCGTTCCCATAACGACTACCAGCCTCGATGTCAGACGGACGGTTGCGCCGCGTGGATTGCCTGTATGCAGTACGCTGCTCGTACGAGGCTCTCGCACCGGGCCTTTCGGGGAGAGACATGGCTCTGGAGAAGGATACTGTTAGTTAAACTGGATTCTACCGGGCATAGTACCGAAAAGATGTTTAGGACCTGCGGGAAAGGGATGGCTTCACACTCAGAGAAAGGGGGCCAAGGGTTCTTTGTGTTGCTTGAGGCGGAGGAGAGGACTCGGGTCGTGGAGCGCAAACACAAACGACCCGTGAATGCTGGGGCACTCAACCAAAAGGGAAGCGAGAGACAGAGACAGAGACAGGTCAATTCAGACCAGACGAGGAAGCCAAGTCTCGAATCTCGAAGTCATTGTATGTTGTTGCGAAGGCTAAACCAGAAGGATCAGACACTCACAGTTGTTATGGGAAACGGCACCCAAGGACTGTATGGGTATAGCGCAAGCTGCTATTAGCGAGGGGTTCCTTGGACGACGGGCTGGAGAGTTTGAGCCCCGAGTCCAGACGACGGCCAGCCTGTTCGAGTCCCAAGGATGATGCAGGATCGAGGACAAGCCTGACGGGACAGCAACCACTGAGAAGCAGATAATGCAGTCCCACACTGCCGAGTCGATGCCTTGTCACAGAGGTATTCCTTGTTGTAGACGCAGCGGCACAGCTTGCTCTCCGTTGCCAGGTTGCTAGGGAGCGGCTGACAGTTGGGTGGTGGCTGGTTGCCCACTTGCGCCCAATGCACAGAATAGAAGCGGGCACAGCACTATCGATGTCACAGGCCTGATGTTGTTGGCGAGATGAACTGTTGCTTCAATCCACAATGTCGATGGGACAGCGCAACGGATAGTTGGTCTGGGAAGCTGCGCCTCTGCCCTTAGATCGAAGGTGGGAAAACGGCCACCACGACCTACCAACCGTCGATGGAGGATTCAAGCAAGGATAAACGAAGGAGCACGATCGATCCCCAATAGTGATGGTGATGGATTTGAAGTCCACGTAGACTGGTGATGTGATCTAACGAATGCACGGTAGAGATCGGGTTGAGAACAAGAGCAAACGCGCCCACCTGGTAAAGTTGGTGCTGCAAGGTGTCAAGGAAGAACGGCGAGTCGCGGCGGCGGCGACGACGGCGACAGAAAGAGAAGCAGTCAAAGGCGATGGCGATGAGGATTGAAGCACCCCCTGCTCACGAAATGATTATGATTATGGGTGGCAGACAGCGCAGATGAATAGAAGTGCAGTAGGTCGACCCCCTTTGGATTTAGCCATCCCTGTCGGCTCCTCCAACCTGCCTAGGTTACCATTCCACCCACCAGTCCACTCGGCGGCTTTGATTTCGCACAGGCACGGTCTCCAGAAAATAGTGCAGGGTGCGTGGAGATGGTGTGAGGGGATGGAATGTGCTCGCGTAGAGGATGATAGGGGTTTGGTTTGGCTTGTAAGCGATCCCTATCCAGGGTACTTTGCCAATATTAGCAGGGGTTGTCGATGGTACGCCGAATACGATCCGCCAGTCGTTTCCCCGTCGACCAGCGGCGAAAACCTGGAGAGAAAAATGCGAGGGCTGGAAGGTTCCAAGTTGTGGAAGCCTCTCAGCATTCGTCTGGTGCTTGTCAACAATAGGGAAAACCCCTCCGTGCTCCACGATGATGCAATCGGACACTAGAAACAAGTAAAGGCTCGGCCCAGATTACTGTCCAATATCAAGAATATCTGTGACGAGCATGGCGGTCTGCAGGCACCGGCCACCGGCTACCGGGAGCTCTGATATTAAGCATTCCTCATCTCCACAACTGGCGCGGGTCCCAGCATGATCTGGGTGGAGCGATCTCGAAAGTCCCCCATCACGAACGCAGGCGAGTCGCGTCACGGCAGATCGTACAAGTCTACTATGTAGATAAAGACACTTCACTGGATGACGAAGACGGTCCAAGCCATCTATACGTCTCCATCGTCTTTTAGGTCCGTACTGGCCTGAGTACCGCCGTCACGAACACCCAGGCCCGGTGGCGTCAGATTGCTGAGAGCACACAAGGAATGAAAACCGAAAGCAGGTTGAGCTGCTGACGGAAAACAAATTTGGCATCTCCTTTGGTGCTGCCCTGCCATCTGTTCTGACACCCTCGCCTCAGCCCCGAGGCGCCCAGCCTCGAGGAGCCTGCAGACTTGCTGTCTATTGCCTTTTGGCTTATGCGCCAAAATCTCTTGTGCCCTGCAACTGCTATTGTCGGAACCTCTTCTCCTTTCATCGGTCCGCTCTCCTGGCGGGTGGTGATCTGAAGGAAGGACTGTTGATTTGTTTTGCACTATCCGACCTATGCGACGAGACTCGGATGTCCTGGGGATATCGGTAAGTTCCGGATCCTGCACGATCGACTACTTCCCACACAGGGCTAGCCAGAGGCTGTACACATGTACATGCATCTCCTTTCGGCAGCCTCGCAGCTACCAGCTTGGTCCCTGAAACGGGTTTCGTGAACGGGCGTCTGGATACTGTCCGGTCTGTCGCCCTCAAACACTGTGGCACATTTGGCCTGAAAGAATATGGCTTCAAAATTCCCATCATCCGGATTGGCCGCAGTTCGCGGCAACAAAGGCATGAGGGGGACGGAGAAAAAGAAGGAACCTCGTATGTGTCCCAATACGAGGGCGCTAGGATGAAAAGGGGGTTTGCCCTTTTGTGGCAGGCTGACAGCCATTCTTCCTTCAGCCTACCTCCTGCATCCGCCCCAGGCCGCCCAGGAAGGATAGGCGCACCCCCGCTCTTGCTAACATGACGCGATTAAGTTAATCTCATATATAAGTGTCAATGGGCCTTCCCCAGACGCCATTGTGAGAGATTTGGGGCGGATCGGCTCCTGTGTGAATGAAACCTTGGGTTAGCTTGGTGAATGCAACACCAAGTGAGGGATGCTGGCCGTAGAGGGCGAGAGCCTTGCTAATTCCCCAGATTCCTCAGCTCCGCAACAAATTTCCCTCGCGCTCAGAACAGCGTCCGCACCCCTGAGGTGCAACGGAGGATCTGCACGGGATAATTCTCCGATGCCTGTGAACCTCGAATTTGGTGGCCTGTGTCTCCATAAGCGGGATCGCTGCCCAAGATTGTACTGCCGATCGAAGCATCAGCAGTATTTCGAGAGGGTTTTCAGAGAAGCCAACGACACGATCATGCTTCTATAGGGCTGTGTCAAGTTGCACAGTGTCTGCATTGGGCCGCGTTGACTTCGTTCTGGATGCTAACCAGATCGGACTTTGTTTGAGATGAGGCAGGCGAGGCGCGTTTTGGGTAAATTAAATTAGAAAGTAGGACCCAATGCTTCGGCAGGGAGCGAAGGAATATCTTCATCTCGGATTCAAGTAATACAAACTCATGGCGAAAGGGGTTTTCAAGTACCATGCAGTACACAAATTCTGCACGCTGCAAAGGCCCGGTGCAGCTGACCACCGGAATGCTACCCTCAAAGTCGAGAGATGACGCCCAGATCACATCGAGGCGCGAACTCTAGTAACGACGTTGGGGAACTGCCAGCTAGCTACAAAGTTTAGCTAGCAGCTTAGTAGCTCGTCCCGTGACAGGCCGGTCGACAGTTGGACCTGGGACCAAAGTGCGACCGGGGCACCGTCTGTTCGCAGAGCCGAGAGAGTGGTCATGTCATCAGAGCTTGGTGGATTCTTCTAACGCCGAAGCTGAGATGTTTGATCTGCCTGGTCTTAATGAATATCACTACTTCCAACGAGACTCGAGCCCCCGTACTGAAGTATACTTCGAACGCGGTAATGGCGCCAGCGACGACGGGCACTGTGGAGTGCGCCAGTGTGCAAGTACTGTAGGCATGCAGGTGCTCTCTCTCATGCGATACTGACGCGGCGCGGTCGTATATACCCATTGAAAACGGAGAACACGTGGGCTTGACCGAGTTTTATCAGGTGTACGGCAGGGTTTTGGTTCTGACAAATTCGTCTATCATCTCGTGAAATCGGCCTCAGGGCTGCCCAGCCTACGTGTAGACTTTGGTTGGCGCTGCGCCGAAGTTGCTGCCTCCTCGTATGCTCCTGGTTGGCTTTTTGCGAGGACCTTGGAATGCCGGGATTCCAGTGGATCGGTACCGAGCTTTCTTTCACCAGGGCATATGGATACCTGCTTGTTCGTGTTTGTCACGCCTCAGTCTGGTTACACTGCAGCACCGTGGTCGACGGCATCCGAATAGACATGACTCCGCGACACCGTCCGTGCAGGTCGATGCGGTCGGCGTGGTCGGCGTGGTGGTTTGGAAGGAAGTTGGCCGAGCCTGAAGGAGCCGTTGGACATCTGAGCCGCGCATCTATTTGCGTCTCCATCCATCGCCTGATCGGACTGTTGGTACAGGCACAGTTGCGGAGTTGTCAAGGGGTGCGAGACTTTTCCTGCCTCCTTCCCATCTGCAACTGGAAAATGTGAGGATGGACAGCTCAAGGACCAGAAGTCGGGGTCTGGGGCTACACAAGCACCCCGTACCTAATTTTGGTGCCCTGAGCTGCGGGCTACTCCTGGTGGAGCCACCGTGCATTGGGGGCTGCTAGCGCACGGTGCAACGGGCCCAGTAATGAGGAACCCGCTAGAGCAACGATCTACAGCCAAAACGGCTAGGTAGCCCTCCGTACCCTAGGCAGGCAGGGTCCATATACAGTAGTACCTGGTCTAAGTCTAGCACCAAAGTACCACCCACCTGGGCAGCTGGGGACCGCTTTCTCGGGGTCGCAATTCATAGCACCAACGGCGTCACTCTCAGCGTGCTATGAGATGAGTGCAGCCGCGCATTCTACCCCCTCTGGCCTTTTCTGATGTCCAGTGCCCTCTCATCACATCCAGTGTCGTCGGCCTGCGCTGACCTCCAAAGTGGCCTGGTCTCCTCAGCTGCCGCCTAGGATCGAACCGAAACCCAACAACGTGTGTGACCTGACGTGACAGAACGGACGTCTCTTCTGTTGTCCCCTTGTCTCGCTCGCTGCCTCGCCTCGCCTCGCCTCCCCCGGATCCCACCAGTCCGCCCAAGCAGCATTACGACTCGTCTCTGCCGTGCCACGTCCCGCGAGACTGTCGAGTTTTCTTTGTCATTGCATATAGGAGCATCTTTCCGCGCCATTCTCTTCACGGAGCATCTCAAGAACCCCCTTCTCGAGGAGCGCGACCTCCCCCCCTCACGATACCTCAACCGCCTGCTCGACGTCTGCCTGCCGCCTCCCCCCTAACCACCTCCTGACCACCCCGCCACTTCAGTCCCTGTATAGACAAGATTCCTCCACCCCAAGGTCAGATTTACAATTATTGAACAGTGCAGAAAGGAACACTGGACACTTCAATGCAGTCAGAAGAGAGCCTTCAGCAGCTGTCGCAATAGCATTGTGCCAAACGTACCCCTTCGCTGGTCCGTCTCACCTGCGACACCAGCTGGGATAGTTACAGCTCGGGAAGTCGGTCTGAAGTAGACGCCCTCAGACCAAGAACTCTCCTGTGCTCTGAAATGGCCGCGGTCGACACTTCAACAAGGGCGGGCTCAGGCCCATCAAGTCCCATACAGCGGAAACCAGTTGCTCCCAACCAAGGGTCACCACAGCGCAGCCTACGGGAGAAGGGGAAACCACTGCCCGCTCTCCCTATGTCTGAAGGCTCGCGACTAGGGCAATCGCCTGTTTCCCCAGTCAAGATGAACTTCAAGCAGGACAACTGGGCGCAACCTTCGGCTGCAACTATAGAAACGGGGGAGCCTCACCACCAGCAACACTTGCCAGTGAACTTGGAAAGGGAGGGGCTGTTGACAACCCAGTCACCTGCACAGACGTCGTACAAGCAAACAATAGAGTTCTCGCAACCGGAGGGGACCGTACGCCGTGCAAGAGAAGCCTCCCTAGACCCGCACCCTCCGACACAAGGACAGGCAAACGTGTCGGGGTCCGCAAGCCCAGCGTTTGGTTCTGACTTTGAATTCCAAGTGAATTCGAACCTCGGAGTAAGTCGAGCTTCAACAGAAGCGGCCAGCAGCACAAACCAGACGCCCACGAAACAGGAGGATAATCGGCATAGTCGCGAGACAGACACCTCCGGGTCTACACCCAGCTTGTCGAACCCTCAAACATCGACCGGTGTGTCGGTGGTAACAAGCGCAAGTTCAGTCTCCAATTCATTGGACAATGGACAAGGCAGAAAATCAGAAGATGCTTGTACCGTGGGCTCCATCCCTGAGGATCCTGAGGAGGCACAGCTCGTTCCACAGCTCCAGTACCACCATCAACCCTTCGTGCCGAGGACGGCAAGTTCTGCGAACGAACAAAACCCGCGCGCCGTGTCGACGCCGGACCTGTTGGAGAACGGCATGGCCGTCAACCGCCACTTGACACCTGTCTCTAACGTGAGGAGAAGCTCGATGCCTCGGCCGCAATCAACATACTCCGTCCATTCTGATCGTGGCCGATCGTCCGCGTACTATGGGAACTCGAGCCCACGCGCTCCTTCGTCTCATTCGGCAAGAAAATCGCCAGATAACCGTCAATCCACATACGCCGAGCTTCTCAATGTGCCATATCCGCAGCCAGCTCCAGCACCGCTCACCATTGACAATTCTCAACTGCGGAACGTAGTAGGATCTAATGCCTCTTTACTGAGCTCGCAGAAGACGCTTGATATGTACCGACAGAACGTAAAGAAGACGAACGACGTTTCGCTCCAGTACTCATTTGCGGTCTTTCTGATATCAACAGCACAGGAGCAGGGATTAGACGTCACGAAGCCTCAGCCGAAACCATCGTCGAAATCAGGGCACAGTCGCGATGGCTCATTTGTTGACGAGACGGGATCTGGCCCGCATGAGCTGGTGAGAGAAGCTCGAGCAATCCTGCAAAAGCTCGCCAACGCTGGGTACCCTTTTGCTCAGTACTACCTTGCGGATGGCTATGCGTCAGGCTTATTCAGCAAAGGAAAGGAGGACTACAACTCGGCCTTTCCTCTGTTTGTCTTGGCGGCCAAGCATGGCCATGCAGAGTCTGCATACCGGACCGGGCTGTGTTACGAGTTCGGTTGGGGTTGTCGAAAGGACCCGGCGAAGGCTGTCCAATTCCTGCGAACAGCAGCCTCCAAACGACATCCAGGAGCCATGACGAGACTGGGGAAAGCCTGTCTCTCAGGCGACCTTGGTGAAAAGCGCTATCGTGAGGGTCTGAAATGGCTGAAGCTGGCGACTGAGTCGGCGGATGCGATGTACAATGGGGCACCTTACCACCTGGGCTGCCTTTACGAGACGGGGTACGGCGAGGATATCTTCAAAGACGAGGGCTACGCCGCTGAATTGTTAACGCAAGCTGCCGATCTTGGTCATCCGGAAGCTAACTACCGCATGGGCGATGCCTACGAACATGGCAAGCTCCAATGTCCTCGGGATCCTGCGTTGAGCGTGCACTTCTACACCGGCGCTGCGGAGCGAGGCCATGCAGCAGCTATGATGGGTCTCTGCGCTTGGTACATGGTTGGAGCGGAGCCGGTTCTAGAGAAGGACGAGGAGGAAGCGTACGAATGGGCGCGCAGGTCTGCTGAGTTGGGTAAGTTCTGAGCTGTCCCATTACTCCTCCCATCAGCCGGCGTCAAGTTTACTCGAGAAAAAAAAAACCAAGGTGCTAACAAGCTCTTCCCAGGTTTCGTCAAGGCGCAATACGCGGTCGGCTACTTCACAGAGATGGGCATCGGTTGCAGGAGAGATATTCTTGAAGCCAATGTCTGGTATGTCAAGGCCGCAGATGCCGGGGACGAACGAGCCAGGCAAAGACTGAACGCCATTCGGGCGGCAGCAAGCGGCGGCACACCAATGGAGGTCGCACCTGCGAAAGCCCAAAACCTGAGGAAGTCGAAGAGCGGCACGAAAGACGACAACTGCCTGGTGATGTGATCACATAATACGTTGAGTGGGCCTGGGTCGTGTGTGAGCATGGACTTGTCTGAGCCGGAGCGGTGGAATAGCATGATGGAATTGAGCGATTAATGTTGATGCATCGGGGCTCAATTTCCTTTGGTTGTGGTTCTGGAAAATGCCCTCAAAAGGGCCGGTTGCATAACTTCGGAGGGTGATGAATTGGAGGGCAGTCTGCAATGTTTGCTGCATAGTTTCTACTGAAGAATTGGCGAACATAGCATGAGCTTTCAGAGCTGACCAGAAAAGATCGTTCGGACTGGAGCAAAGGACGCGGCATTTATGTTATTTATCTTTCCGCACACATCATATGTGCGCATCGTTATTAGCACCTCAATGATACACCCTTCTCGTGCGCCCGCTTCTCATCCAGCTCGAAATGTGCAATATGCCCTGGCCCGGCACGATCATGATGATGGTACAAACACCCCGAGCAGTGTAGCTTCCACAAATGCATAAATCATCCCAACCCCACGAACCTGAGGGGCTGGCTCGAACATCCAAGCACATAGCGAAGGGACCCCAGCTGGAGCACAGGATCTACAAAGAAGAGCCACGATGCTCGAAGCGACGCCTCCCTGCTCCAGTAGCCTTTTACTGAAATCCCTAGTCCTTTCAATTATGCAAGACCGGCGCCATAGTGAGGAAAATCACCAAATCTGGTACGGTGTCTTCGAAGAAGCATCTCCCTACTTTGCCGTCCTTGTGACGTTGTCAAGGACATCCAGAGCGAGGCAGACTTCGTGTGATGTATACTTTATCCTGATCATGACCCGTTTTCGCCGATATTGACTTGCCACCCAGCCAGCTTTAAATTACGGTCGTGCTTCATACCTGTAGTGTTATTGCGCCTCTGCCCGGTGGCGTCCTCAGCCCAGTCCGGCGCAAAGCCCTTGGTTGGATTTCTCAATAGCGACTGTCGCTACTCAATGTTTCGAGGTCCAGTGCTCTTTGCTGGACGAGTCTTTTAAAGGCCAGGTTCAAAAATAGTAGCAGACAGAGGGGTGACTAGTCGCCCTCCTAGTAACTCACAATACTTAACTTGGAGTGCCGCAGTGCAACACAATTCTCTTCCCGTGTTCGAGTACATCGGCCTTCAATTTACAAGCCCTGGACCACACTGCCTAATGCAGGCTGCCAATTCTTCATCGACATGGCGATATTAGCTTCCAAAAGCATCTAGATGAGTGTGGCTGATGTTGTGAACAGGCAAAAAGAAAGACAGGCCTGAAACAAGGCCCTCTGAGACCAGTGGGAGCCAGCTGAATCAGACTGGTGCCTACAATGTCTTGGGCAAGCAAAGAAGGTGCCCGAAGCCATCCGGAATGCCCTACCAGCCCTACCTGAGTCCAGCACAATACGTGAAGGCTGAAGGGGCATGTCGGGCACCATAAGGCAGCCCAACTCCCACGTGGATCCATGAATTTTGAACTGTCTTTGATAAAAGGAAACCACATGACACGAGACAGACGTGTTGAGCTTACTGTGGAAGCTGATTTCAAATCACTGCAACCATGGGCTCCGGAAGAGAACCTACACACTTCCACACAGCAGCTAGGCTACAGCGCGCCTTTGGTCCTGCGGAGGACCGATTGAGCTTGGCACATACTCAGGAATGTCAAGGAGAGATGACGGGTTTGACGAGACTCATAAGTTGGTGCCTCCATTGTTGTTTGTAGGACAGTGACTGTAGCAAGCCCAAGCCCGCATTCACTTTATCAGCCAGACACTTGTAGCACGTCAGGCAGGTTGATACTGATGAATGCATCTGCTGTTATATCGGGGGGTTAGAGGAGGATGGCTGGTTCTGGCAACAAATCAGACGTCACGTGCTTGTCAAAAAGCGGGTCCGTACAAAGACGATTTTTCGCTGGGATCCAAGGCGCCTAGCAACTTGCAACTCGACCGGCCGGGTTCAAAACATTCATCTGCCCAACACCATCACCACCGCCACTACAGGTGCATCTCTTCTCTCTTCATACCCACACACCCCTCCTTTCTTTGCACCCAGATACCCGCCCGCGAAGGTTCGTCCATCCTCAACCCAACTCCCAAATCCTCCTCGTCAGCCCGATCCCGCCTCCCTAGCCTCTGCATTTAAAAAGCCTTGTTGTCCAACTCTTGCAAAAGTACTGACGCCTGGTCCACCAGCCCCCACTTCCAGGCATTTACATCACTCAACCGCTTCCCAGTCACGCCTTTTCCTTCCTGTGGACTGAACAGAACACAACAACACAATGGCTGCTCCTGCTCAGCAAGTCCCTACCTTCAAGCTTGTGCTTGTCGGTGATGGCGGTACCGGAAAGGTGAGTCAATCCTTATCGTCATCTTGGATCAGGAGGCGGTGGGCAGCTTGCGCCTAGCGCTTTGCCATCGCGGGGCAAGCCTGCACGCCGCCCCCCGTTATCCCATCACTGCTCAATAGGTCTCAATAGGTCTCAACAGTGCCGAATAAGAGCTGACAAATGCTGAAATGTTATAGACCACCTTTGTCAAGCGCCACTTGACTGGTGAATTCGAGAAGAAGTACATGGCCACCCTTGGTGTAGAGGTCCACCCCCTCGGCTTCACGACCGTTAGTACCTGCCTCGCCAGCACACAATCGAACCCGAAACTAACCCGAACCAACACAGAACTACGGTCAGATCCAGTTCGACGTGTGGGACACCGCTGGACAAGAGAAGTTCGGTGGTCTCCGTGATGGATACTACATCAACGGACAGTGCGGTATCATCATGTTCGATGTTACCTCCCGTATCACCTACAAGAACGTTCCCAACTGGCACCGTGAGTAATTCGACCCGACCTCGGGAAGATGCCCATTCGCTAATGCGCTGTCAAGGTGACCTCGTCCGTGTTTGCGAGAACATCCCAATCGTCCTCTGCGGTAACAAGGTCGACGTGAAGGAGCGAAAGGTCAAGGCCAAGACCATCACCTTCCACCGCAAGAAGAACCTTCAGTACTACGACATCTCGGCCAAGTCCAACTACAACTTCGAGAAGCCCTTCCTGTGGCTGGCTCGCAAGCTTGTTGGCAACCCCGGTCTCGTACGTGGCTCCCGCCTATCTCTCATCGAGCATAAAGACATCGTTTGGCTGACAAACTAATACAGGAGTTCGTTGCCGCCCCCGCTCTTGCACCTCCCACTGCTCAGGTCGACGAGACACTCCTTGCCCAGTACGCCAAGGAGATGGAGGAGGCCTCGGCCATGCCTCTGCCCGGCGAGGACGAGGACGACGACCTGTAAACGGGTTGCTTCACCTTGGCACCAACCCTTTAGGAGACACTGTGCGGTGGATAGATTTCACGGGCTCTTTCATTCGACGTGATCAGCATCTTGCTTAGGGACAGCGACATATACAGGCAGGGCAGGCCAGGGGCAGGATTAGGCTACGTTGATGAGCTCACGATGGGATACAGGATGTGAAAATGCGAGGCGCGATGCATTAATGGCTGAGGAGGCACGTCGTCCAGTCTTGGTTTGATGCAGCATCGGCCCTCCGCGTTCCGAGAGTAGAATTTCGCGCTACACTCTGCACTCAGGCGCAACTTAGGTAGAATATCACCAAAAAGTCTCAATAGCGATCGCCCAAGCCCAATGAGTTTCCTATTCTTCTACTATGTGGGGTATCTGGCTTGTTCGCAACTACCACAATCGCGTGGCCTGGCTAGACACATTCCAGACTTGCCAATCCGAGTGGGCAATGACGCGTATGATGAAAGTAATAAACGCGGTCTACGTCGTACCAAACAAAATATTCAAGGTTTTGCCATGATGTCAGTCAATGGAGCGCTCTGCATGCGCCCCCATGTTTGATCCAGTTATAGGATGCCCAGGGGCCCTGGCAAACACGTGGTAGGAAATACAAGAACAATGTCAATATAGTAGCGGAGCGGCCTAGTTAGAGTCCAGCACTGACTGCGGCTAACAAAGAATCACAATCCGATGTTCTAGAGGGCTAGGCCTGACGCTGGCTTATACTGCACGGAATAAGCTGGCAATAGGAGGAGCGACTCACAGACGCTGTAGCAATAGGACAATAGTCGACCTAAAGGTCCGGGACTCGTGCGATGCAATTCGTGCCCATTATGCTCCAATGGTTACAAGGTATCTGTCACCGCCTTCTGATCAAAGCCAGACCGGTTTTGCCATCTCGCGGAGATAGCGGTAGCCCAATCCCCTGCACAGATGTGCCAAGTACAGCCAGAGCAGTCATCTTCTTTTCTCGGGCCAGAGACTTCCGAAATCACCTTTGACTTGCTGAGCTGGGCTCCCACCGGATCCATTTCTACCCCTTGTGCGCTCATTAGACATTGTAGACACCTTAGCGCAGTGACTAGCTGTGCCAGTCCTATCCTTCAAGTGGACGCACGTCAGTCTCGGGTATGAAACCATCTACGACACATGGACCAAGATCCAGATCAAATGTCCCAAGAGATATGTTGTATGCTGGGCAATACCGTCTCTCAAAGAGGCAGTATATGGCATCCCAGCATCCCCCGGCCGCCCCAGCCCTGCCTTGGCACCAAGGTCAACTGTAGTTCTCGCTGCGACGGTGCTGCAACGGGCCTCGATATCTTGACGAGAACACTCTGGCCGGCATTGCCTTGAACACATTCCGCCACCTTCTTCAGCTGGTCGTGGTTGGACGAGTCTACATAGCCAAAGTTCCTGATCAGATCGCCGGGCTGCAACCCAGCCGCCTCGGCCGGGCTTCCCGGGGCCACCGTGTTGATTTTCGCAAAGGGGTCGCCCAGCCGCTCTGGCACGAAGTCCCTCAGGGCGGGCTCCTGGGCGGCGCCCTCGGACGAGGACGACGCGGCGGGGACCTCGGCGTCGGTGGCGCTCTCGGCGAGGCTGGCGAAGTGCTCGTGGATGTGCTTCTCGATCCTGGCCATCAGGTCCTTGTAGTCGTTGCGCAGGTGGATGATGCGGGCGCGGGCGGTGCGGATCTGGGCGACGTCGATGTCGGCCCTGGGGAAGCCGTCGGGGGTGAGGAGGCTCGTGTGCATGTCGACGCCGTGCGAGTCGAGCACGCTGCTCAGGGCCTTGAGCTCGGCCTCGATGTTGTCCTTGCTGCGCTGCAGCTCGGCGAACGAGAGGTGCGCCGAGTTGCCGTTCGCGGCCCTTGCGGTGGTCGGCCCCGAGGGGACGGTGGGTGCGTGGAGGTTGTTCATTCTCAGCGGTAGGCCCATCGATATTCCTTGCTATTATGTCCAGCTACCATTTCTTCTTGGGCAATGCGGGAGATGCAGCGGGCGAGGGCGCGGGAATGGTTGCGCTGTGGGGCAAGCAGACAATCAGTCAACCGCCATGACGCGTTGCTTGCTGGTAAGACGTACTGTACTGTGTGCAGCAGAATTGGCGGACGACGAAAGCTAAGGCTGAGGCTGAATGAGAGGAGCTATGGAGGGGCAGGCTCACCTAATGAACCTAACTTTGTTTCGACCAGGGGTCGCCAGCTTAGCTACAGCGAGTATGGAGCTGGATGGAGAGACCCTTGGAGAGGTAGGGATTCTCCGCCAAAGATGGGCAGCAGGGGTATAGAATTTGGATCTTCACACACTTCAACCTACATGGTAATTTCTCATGGCAATCGGCCTCCTTCAACGTCATGTACTCCTGATGCTCTACACGCCGTCCACCAAAGCTGCTATGGGACATAAGGCACAAGCTGGCACCACACGTCATCCTACGTATCGCCAATCTCACATTGACCATGTCTAAGATGAAAAGGCCAAGTCAACCGGGGAGGTCGCTGCGCAGCTCCCGCGCCTCTCAATCTCCAAGTCTTGAGGGTCTGACACACAAGACACGCACACAAGCAAGCGTGGAGAGGTGCCGTACTGTCTCGCAACGGCCCAATGTGCCACTCTGTCAAGGGCGGAAGATTTTCGATTCATCGGAAGGGCAAGTCGCCCAACATCATTTCCCCGTGCGCATGGCAACCAGAGGCCCTTGTCTCTGTTTCTCTCTCTCTCGAAAGAGAGGCCCGCCTTCCACTTCCACTTTCAGACCACACCCAGACCAGACCACGCGCCTTCATCAGCCGTGTCCTTACACAACAACAAGTAGCTGTTGCGTTACTCTGTCTGCGGCACCTTCCTTGACCTCTTCCTCTTCCTCTTTCCATTTTTCTCTGTTTTGTTACATTGCAGGTCCGGGGGAGTTGACCTTCTCTAGCGGCTGATATCTTGAAGTTTGCCTCTCTTTTTGCCTGCCCTCATTCATCAGCCATACTTGTCATGATGTTTTGATACCCCCGTTTTGGACGCCTCGTTGCGACTTGTCTTGGAGCTCCTCTCCTTTTTGCCTGATCTCGAGGAGCAACAATTTTGGTTTCAAAGTTTCTTGGTCTCAAAAGAAGATATTATGGCTTCCTCCTCTGAATCCTCCGGGACCCCCTCTCCCTCTGGGTCGGTTCGGATCATCCGAGGCCCTGAAGACGGAAGAGCCCCCGGCCACAGCTCCACCGACTTTAATACTCCCTCGACCGCTCCAGAAGAATCGCTACAGGGCAGCAAGGACGACTTGTGTCTACCAAGCATCGTGCCGACCCAAACACATGACTCCGGCGACTGGGCTGATCGGGACACGATAGATCCGGCGCTGATTAGGTTCACGCTGGATGAGCCCCACGCCCTCAATCTACCCACATCGGACAACCCGACATCGATAGACTTGTACAAGGAGGCCTGTATAGAGCAGTCGCCCACGCCGTTCCACAGGTGGATGAGGACGTTGCGGCGGCGTGGTCTCGGCCAGCCGGTTCTGGTCACAGACGACGACCTCGTGCCCAGGCCCTTCTCTGCGAACGGCTTGCCAGGCAGGCTCAATGGCGGAGGCCATCACCGCCAGTCATCTTCTGGCTCGTCCTTTGGATTTGTCGAGACCGTCAAGACGGCCAGCGCCAGCCTTGCGAGCGGTAGCATTTTTGCTCGGTCCAGACGGACTAGCATGCGGTCCTCCCGATCTAAAACGCACACCGACCTCAGTAGCAGGGCATCGATGTCTAGTAACAGATGTTCGGAGGACAGCGCTGGGTTAGATAAGCCACAGGTCCTGGATAGGGCGACAGTGGAGCGCTCGCTCCAAAGGCGTCGGATTTTGGAAGAGCTCATCAGCACAGAAGAAGGTTACATTGGCGACGTGCGGTTCCTAATGAATGTCTACGTCACGATACTTGTCTCACTGCCCACTATGCCTTCGGGTCTGCGGTCCTCGATTAATCGCAATCTGGCTGACATTATCGAGCTTCACGAAGAGCTCCTGGGGGAGCTGCATCGAGCCGTTCCTTACTCAGAGTACACGCAGATGAACATTCCTCCACATTCAAAACACCATACTCATGGCCACAATCGGATTCGGAGCTTGGATGTCGTACCTGAGAATAACGGAAGCATGTCGTGGCTAGAGACTGTTCCCGGGATGGTTGCCGAGCCCAGTGTCGTTGCAGATGTTGCCCAGGTCTTCACGAAGAAGGTTCGACTCGCTCACATTTCCTTAATGTGGCTCAGTCTCCGCTAATGATGTAGCAGATGAATCGATTCTTCGTATATGAAGAATACGGCGCAAAGTACGAGATGATGATGAAGGACATTGCGTCGGCTCATCGAACCATGCCGCAATGGGAGCTGTATCAGAAGGGGCTGGAGACACTGGCATCCACACTTGGCCCAAACAGCAAACATGGGATCGAGTCAAAGAAGTCCTTGACCATCGGAGATCTTCTCGTGAAGGTAAAGTTGTCTCAGAGAGCACCTTGTTGTCCAGATAGACATCTAACATGTCTCAGCCGATGCAACGGGTCTGCAAATATCCACTTCTGTTCTCTGAACTTTTGAAGTACACACCCGTCATAGATTCTCCATATGCACATATGGAAATTGAAAATACTCTCGTCCGGTTGAGAGAGGCAACATCTCAAGTCAATCGAGCCACTGACGACGCACGAAAGAAGGCTGTTCTTGAGAAGACGTGGCTTCTGCAGGATCGTCTCGTCTTCCAAGATTCTGTAGGATCCCTTGCAAGCTACTAAACTTGAACACGCGCTGACTTCGGCTAGGAACTCGATGCTGCATCCAAGAACCGCATCCGCTCGTTTGGCCATATAGAACTTTGTGGTGCACTACATGCCTGCTGGCAGTCAAAGGATGGAATTCATGGGCAGTATATGGTGGCTATGCTTTACAAGGACTGGTTCTGTCTTGCTTCGGCGAGCCGGGTCGACCAGGTTTACACACTGCAAGTCTGTATACCAACAAGTAACATCAAAATCGAAGCAGCGGACAATGGACGAGGTAAGTCAATCCACCATAATTTTTACCATGCCATTGACTGCAAGTTGCTCATACATAAGTCTAGGCTTGCAGTGCCATACTGCTCCTTTCTCGTGGAAGATCGTTTTCGAGTGCGACTGTCAATTATATGAAATGATGTTGACTGCTTGCAATCCGAAAGAAGAAGACGAATGGCGATGCCGTCTTGAGGTTGGCTCCATGTCGGAGCCACAAGATCTAGCTAGCCCTGAGCTCTACGGTTCCTTATTTTTGAATATGAAAAGCCTTAGTACCGTTTTCGGAAAACAAGGTGAGAGATTCGCGTCACAGCTCTCTGACGACAAGCGTTGCTGAAACAGTCACAGGTACCATTGCGCGCAGGCTATCCATACAAAGAGCAACAACTGTCGGACCGAAAACGCCGCTTTACCATGTCGTTGTAAGAAACACGAGCGTCGAGAAAGAAGCTCTGTCTTCGTCCAACATGAACATCAGCCGAACACAGTCTCTCCTTGCTACTAAGGGTCGAATACCGGTGCTGGCACCATCACGAGGAGACAGAGCCAGGCTGGAGGCCCTGCTCTCGGATGTATGGACTCGAGAGGTCCTCCCGTTTCCTGGCATGACTACTCGAGCTCGCAATGAACACATTATCCGCACCTCGGCGCAATCTATGATGCGAAAGCTGAGTGTTACGAGCATCACAAGTACTTTTACTAAGCGCTCGGCCAGCTTCGCCAGTATCACTAGAAATAGCGACGATGAGTCTGTTGAAGAGGAGGTACTCGCTCCAGCCATCAACATGAGAGACAATGCCCCGTCTATTCGAATGCAGATTGGTGAGGAGGGTAGTAAAATAGCGCGCTTATCCGTCATCGATGACGAGTCGGCGCCTTCAACAGTTCGAGCCCGCTACGAGCCTCCTCGCACTGCGGACAGTGCTGAGAGCAAGAGGAGCCCGCAACGCCGAACGCGCATCCCCAGGAGCCCGAGTGCGTGGCAGCTTAGGGAGCTTGCGCTGGCTAAGACGCCGTCGGCCCCGGCTGCCCTTCACGCCAGGTCCGTCAACAGCCCAGGGCTAAAACGCCAGGCTTCCATATTGTCACGGAGATCGGTCTGTTCAGCATTTGACAAAAGTGATGGCTTCGGCAAGAACACAAGGAAGAGAAGGGCATACGAGCAGTCGGAGCCTCCATTGCCCTCAGAAGGGTCGACGCCGTCTCCGCAGACGCAGCATTCGTCTGCCAAGTGGTCCAAGGTGGATATGCTACGCCGGGGTGCTGTGGCTCAGGGGATCCGAGGCTTCTTTCGATAGTCTGGGAGAAGTCCAGCGTGCCAGTCGGCCTTGAGTTGAGCATTTCCGGAATGATAAGGATTTTGCATTTTTCTTTGAGAGGGACTCGGTTTTGGTTAGGGCTCTCATTTGTACAAACAGGCCCATGGTACTGCATATACCCTTTTTTTTGTGGTGGAGATCAGGACGGTTTGGGAAAGGTCGATGGTAGTACTATCAGGACTTGGTGGGTCACTCTCCTTTGTATATACATATCTCTGTGGCATCGCAGTATACCTGGCACGGTAAGCTGCTCGAGGGGTTCTGGGGGTTAATCCCAACCAACTGTGGACATCAGTGCGAGGGTCCGAGGGTCTAATCCACATAGGGAGGGATACTGAAATCAAAACATGCATATTTCTATTAAGACTTAGTGGATAACTTTCGCCATCGCCTCATGTAAATTTTGGTCGTCTCCGGGTGCCCATTTCCAATGACTCCTTGGGCGGGGTGTTAAGAAGACCGTCTCCTGCGAAGTTTCGCGGAGGGATGAGCTGCGGTACCAGATCAGATTAGTTTCCCAGGCTACTGTCTCTGCCATGAGTGACTGCGTGGTGTGGGTGATGCTCTCGTGACGATTTCTGCACGACTCGAAGGGAACGGTCTTGAGTAAGCAAGAGCGAGCGAGTCAGAGACATGCAGAGCGATTATAAGTATGAGCATATGGAGGTCTAGCAGACATTTCTATCTATGAATGGCTGTACTGCACAGCTTGGGCAGGCTGGCCTACGTCTCCCCGCTGAATGAATTTGTCGTTGGTTTGTATGGTTATTTGCATCAGTGGTGCGCTTGATCTATAAGCCCGTGGCGACCGGGGAGAGGAGCGCGGTCTCACACTTCCTGAGAAAATTGATGCGTCTTAGAGTGGCGTCACGTTGGCCAGGACTTAGCCCAGCAATGAGCTATATTTGGTCGTGTTTAGATTTCTTTGTGTGTTTTGGCAGGTAGTCTTGTATGGAGCATTAATGATTGATGGAGCCAAGTGAAGCTACCCCTGTCTCCCGCAAGATGTGCAAGTGACGTAGGGATTGGTGCTGCGGGAATGCAGGTACTGTGCGGTCATCTCCAGGCGGGATGCCCCACCAAGCTTGGAAATGGAAGCTCTGGACCTGAAGCCCCGCCATCGCAAGCTCTCTGTATGACGTAGTGGTCACGAGCTCCCCTCCTTATAAGACAGAGAGACACCACCTTGTCCTCTGCCTTCTTACCACCAACTTCAAATCAACACATCTACGAATCTAGAAAACAACGAATTGACGACCAAATTCTCTGATAACCATCGCAACTTTGATCAATTTCCTCCCTCAACACCAAAACAACCACCACAACAACAGTCAAGATGAAGGGCGCCGCTACTCAGGTCAAGGTTCACTTCAAGGGTAACGACGACGACTACCTCGTCTTCGTCGATGACCTCGAGACCTACAAGAAGTGGCAGGGAGACAAGTCCGTTCCCCTGGCTCACTTCGTCTCCGCATTCAAGATCTTCGTGACGCACAAGTAAGTTCTCTTCATGTTCCTGGAGCCACCCTCAGCGTAGCGGGACCTATTCTAACGAAAGCCTTCTTCCTCTGCAAACAGCCAAGGCGCACAAGGAGCATACGACAGTGCCCCTAAGGCCCAGCTGGAGAACGAGTTCGGCACGAGCAACGATGATGAGGTCATCAAGGCCATCCTGGGGAAGGGCTCCGTGCAGGAGTCTTCGGTAAGCCCGCGTCTACTTCCTCCCTTGGCAGGGCAGTCATACGCCCTGTCACCTAAGTAAACAGTGTGACTGACCATGGCGCCTTCATAAAGATGCCCGAGCGACAGGGACCCAAGAACGACTCCAAGGGAGCCATGGTTGCTCACTAAGCCTCAAGGCTGAAAAGATACCCATTGACGTCACGAACATTATTGGTTTAGCATTTGGAGGTTCAAGATGAACCGTTGACATCGGCGTTTTGGTAGTCTCCATAATCAAAATTGCTCTGTCTTATTAGGCAGTCTCCAAACAATTGCCTCCTCTGGTGTGCTCGTAAAGTCACAGAGAAAAGCCCCGCCCTTGCCCTGCCCTGTAGTGGACAAACAATGGTCTCAACCATCTTTGCGGCCAGTCTCCTAAGTAGTAGCTGTCTCGTCGTTCTAACTACAAGAATGGCGAGCGTCTGAATACAGTCTTCGACTTGTCACCCCGATTGCCTTCTTTTTGTGTGTAAAATGTAACAGCTCAGCCTGACGTGACTCCCTCTCGAGTTCTGCCGTGTCATGCCGCGTCACGATACACCGAGGCATTATGTCGTTTCTGAGCAGAATTACCTTACTAACCCATTTGCGTCGGCAACCCGTGCCGACAAGCCCCATCTCCATCAAGTCTGGGCCACATGTAAATACTTATGACCTATTCGATGCTTGGCATGATTATTGTGATGGAATCACAATCAAGTTTTGGCAGCTGCTGCGGGTGAGTTGACAATCGACAGTGGGACATCTGGTGGCGGGCTTCGGGGCCGGCCTTGACTCGGCCGGCCACCCACCGAGAGGGGGCGGGAAACTCTCCAACTACAAAGCCAGTGAAAATGGGCTCCACTGGAGTGGGTACTTCAAAAGCAGGCAAAAAAGGCAAAAACATACAGCACCGGGTATTCGCTGGTCGTCACCGACCCAACTACTAATCCAGCGATTACAGGCTTGACTATGGGAGAGCGGACGGGATCCCGTATTTTCCTGTATCTGTGGCCGTATGTGCTTGATTTAGAAGTAACGCAACCTATATAGTAGACACACCCACCTAGCATCTGGGACTCGACTGTGCTCTGAGCATTTCCAGCGACTAAGCTGTGCCTGTGTCTGCAAATTTGAATGGGCAATAGGATGCAGCAACCCCAATGATGGCCCCAATTTGACATCCACCTCATCCCCAAATCAATTGAGTAGACCCAAGACACAAGACTTCTGCCAAAGTCTAAGCAAGCAGAGGCACACACACCCACATTGGAACCTGAGAGAAGTCTGGGCGCAACTGAGCGAGCGTATCAATAGGGGACACAGCCAGAGTCTGCTAATCCGGGACCCATATAACATCGGGCCACCCAGCGGCATAGCATGAATAAGTAATCAATTGCACAGACGTTCTATTCTCTGCCGCTCACTTTGCGGCTCAAAAAAAAGGCTAAATTTGCAATGAACTCGTGACCTGTGCGCAACATGCACACAATTTCCGACAAGAAGAAGTCGGCAGTCGGAGCAGACAAGCCAGATCCTTGGAAGGAAAAGGAGGGGGAGAGAGAGAGAGAGAGAGGGTGGGAAGGTCGGACAAGAGAGGTTATGTCAGCCTGCCTTTAGCGCCAGGGCACCCGTTTCGCACCAGTTTCGCATGAGGGAGCCTCGTCCAAGCCTTGCTGACTTCTACCGGCGGGCAGGCGGCAACGCCTATTAGCTGGGCCCCCAATAGCTGGGCCCCTAACCTTGCCCTGCCTAGCCGACCTGTGTCAAAAGGGCAGTGTCTGAAACGGGAGGAACCGTGGGTTGCCTGGTTAGGGGGAACCGCTACGCCTACGTCTCCCTCGACAACCCCAATGCTTCCCCCTAACGCCCACTCTTCTCGAACCCTTGGCTGCAATAGCTCGTCTCGACCCGCGCCGTCCCATCTCTTGCGATGAAAACTCTGGGACGGGCTGCTAGTCGCCCTCCGATCTCACTTCGTCTAATGCCCGGCGGCTGCTCACACACATAGTTCTGAGGGTGGCAGTGAGATGAACGCTAAAATTCCATGATGAATTTGGTCTGAGCCTCACCTGCTGTACAGTCAAGGTGGGCCCAAATCATGCTAATAATAAAATAATAAACCTCCTCAGATGGTCGTGAACATCCCCGTCGTGATGAGGTCGTGGTGTAAAAGAAATTGGGTATTTTCCTAGCTTTCCTCCCGCTGTCCTGATCCTCCCGTGCCTGTAAGGTCATCCCAGCTCGTCCAAAGCTCCTGTGCCGCCTATGCGGTGGTGAGATTCATTCGATATCGAAGTCCGCTGCTGAGAAATTCGTTGTGGTATTTCCTGGCGTCTAGTCGTCCATTCGTGTGCTGACCCCGTACCTGTCTTGAATCGGGTTTGCCGATGATCGAGCCGATGGCTGTTTCGTGAGGACGGACTCGGGTTCTTAGGATAGTCTATGCTGTTTGAGACCGACCGCCTCGTTGTGGTAATGTCCATGGCTTGGCGCAGATGACCTTTGTGTCTATTTAGTCTTCATGTCCTCGAGTAGGCGATGGAGTCTGAACATACCTCGCCCTCAGAAAATGCCCAGAATTCAACGACCATTGCGACCAGATAGTACAAGGCAGCATTTGTCCCTTGGTACGTCAAGACAGCGGCGAGCGCAGCCAGAGGCAGGAAAGCCAGGCGGGCCTCCAAACTTCGGTGAATTGCGGTACCGGCGATGAACGATAGTGGCCATTCCCATGCCATCACCCATATTCCCATCACAAGATTGATGATCTGTAGCGTCGGAAAGGGTTTCACAGCTGCATCTAGGGTCTTGGTGGCGAAGTCCCAGAATATCTTGGGCCAGAAAAATGCCTCGATGGCCGCAGCAATTTGATCTGTGATGACTGTCAGCACATGCCCCGTGAACCAACAATCCTTCCCATCCCCTCAGGTGGTTGAACTCACATGCTCCGGCAGTGAGGATGATGAGCCTCGCCCAGTGGTTCTTGATAAGTCTTCCCATCGTGGATCCGATAAATGCTGCAACTTCCCCAGGAATATTGCGATTGCTTCCTAGCTCTTACTTCCTGACTCTTCCGAGGTTACTCTTCGTGGTTCTGATCGTTGGTGGCGTGTTTCCCCAGCTGAAATCGAGTATGCTCCAATTCGAATTAGAACGAGAGAAATTGGACCCGCTCAACAAAGTCCTCCACGGCACCAGCGTCGACAGTCGATAAATTACAAGTGAATAGTAAGGAGAGACGAGTGACCGGACTCGCTCTTTAGGTTGATATGCAGGTTGCCGATATGAAAGAAGGCTATCGACAAACTGTTGCCACACTGACGAAAGGGAAGGAAGGAACAGGTGCAAGGTTGTCAAACGATGAGTGGCCAACGGGGCCAAGCAGGACTATATTGCCTTGTCTTGGTATGCTGAGTGGTCTATGCCCTGTGGGCACAAGCCCGGGCCGAGAGGCGTGTATCAGTTGGCTTTGGGGGTGGACTGGGGAGGGTATCGAATGTTTCTGGCTTGATGCTGGTACGTCTTCGTCGGAGGTCCAGGCTCTTGAGATCCGGTCTATGATGACGGCTGGCATCCGAGCAACATTAAGCTTGATCGACGCAGACCTGGCAAGTGGAGATGATGGCTCATGAGAAGTATCATCAAGGGGTTGGTCCAGGTGCCGGGGCCAGGAGTGGAGCGAACGCCCTCTGCGATGATGAGATGGCGTTGTTTGATGCTCGCGGCGAAGCCAAGGCGGGTGAGTCGAGATGAGGTCAACAGTGCGTGTATGCTGGTAGCAGGCAGGGCTTGAGGCTCCTTCGCATTGATATGGGGTTTGAAGATCAGACAAGACGGAGGTCTGAGGCAGGGGAAGCTAGATGTTTGAGGCAGGGTCGACCTTTTTGGCATGTAAGAGAGCTCGCTTGATCTTCGCAGGTGCGGGAGCGGGAACATGCAACTTTAAGAGTGACATGAAAGTGCGGGTCAAGACGTGTGAGGAAGCCAATGCATGCAAGTACCACGGGTACGTGCCAGGGTCCCGGAAGAATGCAGGGGTGGCTATGGCAGAGACTCCACTCCCCCAAGGATGTACTGCACTACGCACATACGTACATATTCCGTATGGACGGGAGGGGATAGAGGTACAAGGGCAATTTGTGATGAGAGAGAGAGGCCCGCGCCAAATGAGACGAAGTTCGACTCGTCTGAGTGTCATGGGCGATCAAGCCACGGCCACGGCCGCTTCGAAGAGCTTGCCTCGGAAGCCGACTTAGAGACCGCCACTTGGGACCCATCCTGTGGAAAGGCGATAGGTTGACGCAGCGGCTACACTACTGGTGAACATGGAGGAGTTCTGACCACCTGACCAGAAGCAGCAAGTATCTCGCGAGTGTGCCGAGCAACGGTGAGGCGATGCTAGACGACGAAGAGGGGCTGGATGCCGTGTTCGTCTTGCCTGCCCAGGCCTCGGAAGCGGGAACCCTGCGATTCGTGTGCGAGAAGCCCAATCAGCAAGGCAATATGCTCTGCAAGAGACGGCCGCGCCCACGGCGGTAACGCACACGTCGTAACCATTGGGGAATGGGGGGGCAGGAGGCATGGTGTTGCGGTGGGAAATCTGATGTGCAAGACCGGCGGCAAAGGCATTCGTCTGAGGTGATTGGCAGAACATCAGATAGTGCAGAGTGTAGTACGGCGCGTAGAGATGGGGAACAATCCAATCAAGCCCCTGCACACACAGGGGCCAGGACTAACCCCTGCAGCGAGGCTGCAAGCTGGGTTCAGGGGTCTCGCCCTGGACATGCCGTTACTCTGAGGGGCAGAGGGGTCGTTCCAGGTCACTTTCGTGCTTCACATGGGCGGTTCTTCGCCGAGCGATAACAGTCGAGGCACTTGGAGGGCATGGCCCTGGCAGGTGAGGGGACGCCGCATGCATGGGGCCACCGTGATGCTTTGCTAATACTCCTTGCCTTTTCAGGCCTTTTTTTGCCAGTCTAGGGTGGCTGGATATCGCTAGACCATGTCGGCAACTCGATTTGGTCACTATCATGGAGTGGTGATGGGTGATCACAGTGGCTAGCTGTTGAGGAATGCCGATATCAACATCGCAAATGTTGTTGCATTTGATATTCGCCGGTAAGATCCCATTATTCACAGCATGCAGCCTCTCTTTGCCTCCCTGCGGGGTGGCCGTGGTGTGGCCGTGGTGCTGCAACCAGCGTCGGGACGAGACGCCTCAAGCCGCCTCGAGACGCCTGGTACCAAAGATATCAAGACAAATCACGCTCGACTTGCTGCACTCCAGACGTTGAATTCCTTTCAATTTGGTTGTCTCACCAAGATGTGCCGCTAGTGCAACTCGACTGTCTGTAGTGGGTTGACACTCGTCTCGTCCTCTCTTCCATCCCAGGCTGCGGTAGTGGCTCGACGCCACTGAGGAGTTCATCAGACGCAGATCTTAGGGTTCGAAGGTCAGCCGTCCCAAGATTGATGGGATAGTTGTTCTGTCCATTTTAGGTGCCGGGATTCATGCGACAGACGATCAGACAAATAGCGGTTTCGCCGAGACCAGCAATGGGAGGCTGAGGCAGAGGCCGTTTTAGGAGACTGAATGAGTGCGCCTCCAACGCTTTGGGCCCATTTTCAGGATAAAGTTGGGTCTGACAGGTCGCCCAAGTGGTAGCGGGGGGCCCCGAAACAGGGGACGCTAGTTCGGATCCGCACAGAGCCGCAATGCCTGAGACTCTCTCCCAAGGTCGCGTCCCATACAAAGCTACGCGGTGAGGTACATACATTTTAAAGTAGTGCACAGCAGGCCCGGCGGTGATGCGACAAGATGTCAGGCTCTTCCCTGTGGCGTGGTAGCGTCTGGTGCTCATCCCGTCGAAGACGAGCCATGCAGACATGCAAGTCGGGGGCACAGCGAACTGCGGGTCTGGAAGAGAGAGAGAGAGAACGGATGCATCTAGAAAACCGTCCGTTGTTCTTTGGATTTCATCAGCTCGGACGAGATTCGCCCAGGAGTTTCGAGATAGCCTTGGACGCCTCAAAGCGAATCTGCTTCGTTCGAACCTTGGATGCCACCATGGCCAGGTCGGACGGAAACATTCATCCTGATCTTGTTTTGGACCAGTTTGCAAGTGGAGAGCAGACACGGCGGTCGTTCATCAGATCGAATGAAAAGCCACCCGCGTTGTATAGGAATCGACTGATGCCCTGTCAGGCCTGTGAACTCGTGACGTGCTCGCAGGTTGACTAGCTGGCAGATGCAGCGGGCCTCCTGCCTCTTTCTGGCAGCTGCACCCAGGCAGGCCAGGCCAAGCAGTCTGTGGTGATCGGATGCCGATCATCCATGGCCGCAAAAAGCTCTGTGCTGTCGTAATGATGGGCGGGAGATAGAGTTAAGTTTGCAAGGTCTCGGCTGATTAGCAACAGCAGCAGCAGCAGAACGTGGCAGCTTGGCAGCGGCGTGCAGGACCAGATCTGAAAAAGGTCTGCCCAGTCATAGAGACTCGTTCCCCACCTCTGATCTGGTCCACACTGCACAGGCCTGCCCAATGCCAACCCAGCCCAGCGCTTGCACCACGACTCCAATTGGCATATCGAACGGGTGTGGGCCGCGGCGCCGACCCGCTCCCACGGTGGCTGGGTGGGGAGCACACCAGCCTCGCCCGAGAGGCCAATCAGCTCAGCACTCTCGACCGTGCCTATTTATTCCCTCGTGCAACCTTGATCTGCGAGACGCATCGTGATATCCGTCGTCACCGCATATTATGCCCCGACTGGCCAGTTGACACATATGAGCCTGGCGAACTATTTGATACCAAGCAATCTATAAATGGGAGCATTCTTGGACCCCACGATGTTCATATGTGCCGCCGTGCCGTGCTGTCTCGCGTCGACATTCGTGCTCGATGGCTAATTACTGATAGCTGAGATGGTGTCGTCTCCGGCAGTCGATCCCTATTGCAAGCTGTGGATCGCGAGCTCGATACGACTTGGGGCAGTCTGTGATCCCATTCAACGAGGGCCCATGAGGGGGTCGCCGAACTCCCACCAAGTAAGGTGGACCGGGAAAACCACGAACCGGGCAACTGAGGGTTCATGCAATCCTGGCTGCAGTCTCATCGCTGTGGCTTGATGTGGTCGACTGCCGTCGCGTGTCCGGGTCGACCGCACATGATCATTCCGGCATAGTCTTCTTCTGCAAAGTGGGCATACGTTCCTATACATGGTACCACACGGCGTGGACGACTTGACAAAGCCAGACGATGGCTGGACAGAATCTGCATCAATCCGTTAGCCCGTCCCGAAGACCTGATCTCGTAGATCATGGTCTCATATCGTTGGCTGTCATCCGATTGTCTAAATCTCATTGTATGGAATGTACGGGTTCACACGATATCGCAAGGGATGATGCCCTGCTTGCCAGAGCCCTTTGTACTAGCCCCCTGCCCCCGAACTTGTTCCTCAGTCAATCGGCCATGCAAGTGTTTTAAATCAGAACCATGCAGTACGCACCTGGGAACACACACATACACATCCACCGAGAGGGAAAGAGTACCTCTAACGTTTCGGCTGCATCAAACGCCGTCGACCTGTGGTTTGCGTTGCTATGATCCAGTCAATGGTTAGTCCATTTGCCCCAGCTGGAACGGTCTTTATTCTACTTTACGGTGACTGTTAGCCAAACCGTAAACAGTGATTCCACGTACTGCTTTTCAGCAGCCAGTGGCTTCCGACCTTTGATGGGTAGACATCAACCTTCTTCCCCGCAGACAAGGGACTCTGCGATGCATAATTGAGGGTACTTCACTCCCATCTTTGATTTGCGGTTGTAGATTCGAGCAAGCCAATGTGTTACGTGTTCTGTCATGATTGTTCCGGGCATATAGTCTTATTGTTTTTGGCACCCACAATTTCTCGGGGGCATAGCTAAGTTCTCTTGGACTTGCTGGTCGTTGTGTGTCCCTCCCAGATAGAAACGCTCTCCTGGGCGAGACCCCTGCTTGGTGTCTGTCCGTCCAGTGATTGACATAATGGCGGAGTATGGTCGATACTCGAGACGGTCTACATGAGTGCAGAATTGAGTCAACAAGACGAGCGAAGGCAAGGCAAAACTGCCCGATGGTTTGGTCAGTTCAAAAAGCATCGTGTCAAGTTCTTGCTTCCATTTTCCGGCAGAAACTCCGCCGTGCCTTGACCCAACGTGGATCGAAATGCCCTTGGTTCATCTCCATCACAGCAGATACTCCTGCGTCCAGAACAAGATTACTCGTCGTGCTTCCTCTTTGCCAAGGTATTCGGCAAGCTCCAACTGCCCATTCTCAGCCACCGCCTTGTTGGCTAGGTGTGCAAAGCCCATCGTCAAATCAGTAAGCAAGTTGGTTGTATGCTCACGCAGGGGAGGCGAGAGACCGCTGTAGGGGAGGAGCTTCTGCACGGCACTCAGGGCTGAATCTGGGCGAGAGGCGTTGGCTTGAAGGAATGCACGATGGAATCTATGGAGGGCGTCTGGCAGATCCTCCACACTTCGCAGTGGCAGGAGAGGAATCTCGAAGCTATCAACCAACCTTGCAGTAACATTTTGTCAGAAAGTGGCCCCAAGACAGACAATTATGCAACAAGAACGAGGAGTGGTTCGATATTACTCAATTTGAAATTGCAAGTAAGAGGACTGGTCGCCGCCTTCTCCCATCAACCAGACGACGGCAGCGTCGCTTCCACCGGACTGATTCTCAAGTCGCTCGATGCGCTGGCGACGGGCAGTCGAGTCCTGATCGGCTGAGGAAAGAAGAACGAAGCGCAGATATCGTGTTCCTGGCGCGCCTGGGCTGGGAAGTGGCAGATTGACATCATGAGTGTCAAGCTTGCCCTCTGACGCATCCATTCACTGGTCAGCACGCGATCTCCAACACAAGAGTTTGTGAATGCATCAAGTCTCGTTCCAACCTCTGAACTTGGGATTCCTGTTCTGAAGCAGACGGGGAACGACAGGCGCCCATTCTTTGCGCCTCCGTAACGAGGTGCAGAACATCGTGTCGTGTCAACTTGGTTGGAGCAATGTACTGCCACACAACTCAAAGGACTAGGTGCAAATGGAAGCATCTACTTAGGTAGGTAGGGGATATGGTTTCCATTGGCTTTTTTTAGATTGAAGAGAGGTGATTACGAGGACGGATGCCTGTCTAGCAGTCGGTTCCTTCCGTCCCAGCGGTCTTCTGCGGTGAGAGAGGTGTTTTAGAACCTGGGTATCGCAACCACCTTGGAAGGCACAGCTACGAACACAGCACTGTCGAGCCTTCCTGGGTTTGAGTAGTGATCGTGCACTTCCCCCCTCCCCCCGCCATACAGCACCCAACGCCATGCTCGTCCTTTTCGAAGTGACCCCCTGCTGAACGCCGTGGTACGATTCTATCGTACAGTCTATCTACAAGCTTTCTGGACATAGGGCGAAGTTTGCATGCCGACTTAGTTCACCTGAAAAGACTGTGGTTCTTTGCCTGTCCCGTCTCCGGCACCCTTGGATAGGAAGGCCATGGGTTTCGGATTGGGGGAATTTTCATGTTGCCGGCGTCGGTGAAGGCAGTAAAGGCTGCTTTGTCTTAGGGTCTTTATAATTCCTCAGGACCTCCTCGAGCTGCAGTATCCTGCTTTGTTGTCGCTTTTCCTCCTCTTCATGGTCTCGTTCCTTGGCCTGCAGGTCCTCGAACTGCTTGGTCAACTCCTCGATCCTCTCCTTGTTCCTGTCTGGTTTGATCGATGAGCGCCAAGTCTCGTAGAGGATCAGGGCCGTGGCCACCAGGAGAATAAAGCCATCCCCTATAACATCCGCGAAGAGGTCGACAGCTTTGCCTTCAGGCAGAGGCTTGAACTGCCGTTTCCATATGCTGGGCCGTAGAGAGCTTTTGGGCTGATTTGAATCTTTTGTTGTTGATCCGTACTTGGCCTTCAGTTGTTCTTCCTTCTCTATCTGCTCTTTGGTCTTGACAGTTGGTGCCTCGGCCTTCTCCTTGGCCCTCCGCTCTGCGTCGGTGTTCCGTAACAAGGCTACATTTAGCCTCATATTCAGCTGGTGGATCTTTTGGCCATATCTGGCAGCGAACGCGCGAAATTGAGGGTGGTCGTGGGCTTGTGATTTGATTCGGTTCTGCACTCCCGGTCAGTTAGTTTAACTCATCCCGGTGGGAAAGGAATCGGTCTCGACGGGTGGACTGACGGCTCCATATTTGGACACATGGCGGACAAACAGAGAGGCGAGCTTGAACAGTGGAAGAGGGACCATTGTGAGCGGGATGGCCCGGTGAGCACTATTCACGGGCGCGAATGTGTAACGAAGTCGATAGACCGGCCTCCGAAGAAACCGGACAGGCGACGGCGACGCGGGCAATGGCGACGACAAACGATGCAACGCGTTTGGGGTTTTAAGACAGCAGACAATAGAACAGAAACCTCAACATCCCCGACGAAGCAGATTTAGTAGCACTCATTCATTCACGATCGCCAATTTTGAAGTCCCGCAGATGCATTTGAATGCCGATAAGGGCCAATCCACGTCGTTCTGCTGACTCCGTACCTGAGTACCTAGGTACCGGAACGTCTCCAGCACGTAATGAGACAACCGTTCAATGAACCTTGATGGGCGCCGAAGGAGCCTAGTAGCCTGCCAGGCTGCTTACCTGGCTACCTAATCTAGGTACCTACAGCAGGTGCTGTAGGTAGTCTACTTAGCCCATTCACAGGGTAGGTTAAGAACCCCACAGTGGGCGCCCCTGCAGGGTAGCAGCTGGTTGCCGGGCAACGAGTAAGCAAATTTACCTGGCCATGCAGACCTCAGAGACAACAAGCTGCTGGCTCATTCAAGGATCCATCTTTCTGTCACGAACTCTGCCCTACACCAACTTGAGCTTCACTTTAGACACTGCTTCAAGCAATGGTCTAAGGTGCCAAATCCCCATCTCAATAGTGGCATTCATGGTCCTTAACTACCATCTCATGCCATCTCGCTGAACAGTCACCTGTGAGTCTTCTGAATCCACATATGCCCTCCTCTCGATGAAATATTGCAAGACTCCCTCGGCTTGTACGACGCCCCTCATCGGACTTGTGCTTCAAGGACAAGCCCCTCGCTTTTTAATACACTACCAAACCCCCCATTACATCAAGTGCAAAAGAAACCTTCGATCCCTTCTTCCCGACATCTAGAACATCCAGCATTTCTTGACCCGCCATCTCGTCATCAGTCTTTCTTCATCCGGATGTCAATAATCAAGCAGAGCATGAGATACTGACTTGACTGCAGCTCACTTTTCAAGTACATACTGGCAGCCAGGGGGCGGTATCGCTGCATTGCGTCTCAAGTCACAAATCTCCGGTTGCTAAATCCAGCTGCTCGGCTTCAGATATCCAGGCTCTAGCTGCAGGAGCTACGAAGAGCAATCACACATCAACACACATACATTGAGCTAAGGAACCCAGAATGGCTGGGAGAGGAGGCATCGATATGGAGGCTTTATCCCCTAGAGATGTGAACGCCCTTCCGAAGCGCACCACCGATCTCAAAGCGAAGGCTGCTGCTCAGCTGAGAACCGCCAAAGACAAGGACCACCCTCCTCCTCCACCACCACAGGTTGTCGAGCCTCCCAGTTCTGATCGCAAGAATGGAGCTGTGTACCAGGTTGGGAAGTTGCTAGGCAAAGGCGGCTTCGCTATTTGCTACGATGGCAAGCACGTCGACTCAGGGAAGAAATACGCTCTGAAAATTGTGAAGAGTACAATGCCTGTCAAAATGCAGCAGAAGGTTGGTGAAGTCTGATCAGGCTCTGGATGCGAATTTGCATATATTGGTACTAACAACTGGCCCTTCAAGTTCCAAACTGAGCTTCAAATTCACTCCAAGATGAGACATGCCAACATCGTACAATTTCATCGGGCGTTCACTTTTGAAAGCTGCACCTATCTCATCCTTGAGCTTTGTCCAAATGGCTCGCTTATGGAGATGGTGAAGAAGAGGAAAGGGTTGACTGAGGCCGAAGTCCGTTTTTACACCATACAAATTGCTGGAGCCATCAAGTACATGCACGGAAAAGGTATCATACATCGCGACCTCAAAATGGGCAACATTTTCCTGGACAAGAACATGAATGCCAAAGTTGGTGACTTTGGTCTGGCTGCCCTGTTGGTGACCGGTAACGACATGCACACCATCAGGAGAACCACCCTTTGCGGCACACCGAATTATATTGCCCCCGAAATTTTGCAAAAGGGCAAGGCTGGGCACGACCATAACGTTGACATTTGGAGCTTGGGTATCATCATGTGCGTACTGTTTTATTCGGCTGTATGATCTGGCTGGCCGCAAGGAAAGGTTGACTAATTGCTTTCCAGGTTCGCCATGCTCACTACGAAGCCGCCGTTCCAGTCCTCGACAACGGACGAAATTTATCGCCGCGCACGGGACAGAGACTACGACTGGCCACAAAACGACCAGAAAATTATCAGCTTGGAAGTAAAGGACATCGTGGCTTCCATGTTGGTTGAAGCAGATCGGAGGCCAGATCCAGATGCGATCGTGCAACATCCTTTTTTCACTGCCGGGTATGTTCCTGCTCAAGCCGACATAACATCGAGGCTGCGGGAAACAGCACCAGAGCAGGAAATCTTTCACGACTCTTGCGCGAGCCCTAGATTACAAGAGAGAGTCGAGCGCAACCTGAGGGATCTTTGTCAACAGTGTGAAGTCGGCCCTTGGCATCAGAAGATTCAACCAGTGAGGACAGCAATATGGCGGGAGATTGCATCGGAAGAGAAGCATGGCCTCACTCCCAGCATCCCACTGGCCGTTGATATCGTCTACCGACCCTACGACGAACTGCGGAGGGAAAAGCAGCAGCTTCAAGCATCACAATCAGTATCTCTATTGTGTGAGAAAACCGAAGCATTGACTCTTGATGCACCCGCGAAATTTGCACCCTCTGGATGGCTCAAAGCGCCGCCACAGAGCTTCGCAGCGCAACAGAGGGCTGCGAATAAACCCCCCAACGCCATGCCTAGCTCACGAACCCAACCCTCAATGAGTGCTGCGCCGGCGAGGCCCTTGGGCACCCGATCTCGTGGCGTCAAGAAAGATATCCCTTTGACTACTAGCGGGGCATTGTCTGTGGAGGACCATGAGCAGGCGGCGAAGGTATCGGCTCGAGCAACACGAACACAGCTGCCAACCGGCAGGTCGCAGCCGGTCGCGCGGCCAGCGCTTGTAACGAGATCATCTTCCACCGCAAAGGTTGAGCCTTCGCCACAATTCAAGCAAGAGGTTACAGATGAAAAGAAGGTTGTGTCACTATTCGGGCCTGGTGAACAGCAAGAATACCTAGAGGACACAAGACCTGATCTTGTCTTGACCAGGATGCGGAAGCTACAGGCCGAACTCGAGCGGGCTCTCAATTCTCGATCCATGGCGTATATTTCCACTAAACAGAAAGGGCCAGAAGTTCCCAAGGTCGTTGTGAAGTGGGTCGACTACACGAACAAGTTTGGACTTGGCTACATCTTGAACGATGGTAGCGCAGGGTGCATCTTGAACAGTGTAAATGCGCCGGGAGGAGATGAACAAGCGGTGCTGCCCCCATCTTTTCTGCTCGTCCATGATGCTGAAAAGCATATCACACGAAGGAACGACTCAACATATCACGAGAGGCACCAGGTCGTGCCTATGACGGAGCCCATCTCCTTCTACGAAACCAAAGGCGAAGAGGGGATCAGCCGAGTGCGTTTGGACCCAGAGGAGTTCAGAGTACCTGTGAACCAGGACGGGACGGCTTCCAAACTCGGGCCTGGCAAGACTGACTACGAGCATCGGAAGAGAGAGCGTATTGTGCTGTGGAAGAAATTCGCAAACTACATGCTTCAGTATGCGCGAGAGCATCCTGATGCGGAAACCGCCCGGCCGTACCCTGTCGACACGCCCGGTGACCTCGTCACATTCTACCAGAGATTTGGTGATGTCCAGGTATTCCACTTCTGCGATGGACACCTTCAGGTATGTAGCACATTGATGAAAGACATTGTCTCCCTTTTGAGCCCATACTAATAATCGGGTAGTTCAACTTTCCGGACCACACCAAGATAGTACTTGACTGGACGGGCACATGGTGCCACTTCTGGCACCTGTCACAGGAGGCCGCAGAACAGCTTGCCGCGACAGGAGGCATGGATGAGGCATCGCTGGATGACCGAGCTGTGTTGTCATACCCCCTCCAAACGCTCCTCAATTTCTCGACAGTGCCCAAGGCGTCGCAACGCAGTGTCCCCAACTCAACGCGACATCGGCCAGAGATCCCTCTGGAGCTCCAGGGCATACCGGCAGCGAACGATTTCCGGCGCAAGGTCGAGTTCATCAAGGCTGTTGTGAAGGAGTGGGCCAGGAACGGGGGTCTTGGAAAGAGTGACATGTCACGCGACGGCCGCCTGAAATGGCCTGGACTCCGACAGACCAAGGATTGTGAGGTGTTGTCGAAGCAAGCCTGGGTCACGGTTGGTGCTCGAGGGGGGGACAGCCGGCGTGCTGTGTGGGTGGACAGTCGAAGTCCAACAACGTTGCTGGATGAGATCGACGAGACCAAGAAGAGCTAGGGCTGTTGTTTCTGAGATGAAGGCGGCGGAGGCATGTGCCTCTTTTCGCTACGACGTTTTTTTCCTCCCTTCCTTTCTTCAAACCTTTTCATGTTTTGGCATTCTGATCTTCAAGGCGTCAAGGGGCTTTCAGCTTTACGAGACATGATGACTGCTTTACTCTTGCCTGTCTTTCCAAACTGCGCTGTCTCATGAGAGAAGTGGCGGGGGTTTCTTCCAGCCCCGGTGGTAGCCACACAAAGTAGCGAGTAAAGGGCATACATAATATGACAGTGGTTCTTGCACTGCGAGGCCACTTGTGTTTGTACAAAGTTTCGTTTGAATATGATCGCCAAATAAGCGTTGACAACTCACGAGCTTGTTGCAATTTCTGGGGGTCCAGTGGCTGTGTTGTGCTGTGTTGTGTTGTGTTGTGTGGATAGCTCGAATCGGGCCTCCACAACACAAACAGTGAAAGTAAACAAGACCCATCCACTGCGGGGCAACGCCTCGGCTCCCAGACAATGTCTCGACGGACCGTGATTACTGGGGTTTAAATGGCATCCATTACAATGGTTCATTTTACTTTGGCATGACGATATTGCCCCTCCACCCCCCGGTCCAGGTTAATTGCATTGCCTGTCTCCTCACGGATACTCTCATTGCATGCACTCAGGCGCTGTATTTACATTGTCTCGGAGTTGTGTACAACCAACCTGCTGGCTTATCGCCTCTGCAGTCTCTTCTGACCATGCTGCTGAAGACGAGAGGACGAGGCAGAATAAAAACGCGTTGTCGTCATACACCGCTCATCCAGAGGATTGGACATTGAGGACAGATGCAGAGATCAGACTATATCCAGTAGATTACCTCGTGCTCTACATAATGTAGGCTATATCGCGTATGCAGGCCGCTGCAGGATGAACTAGGCCTATTTTTTTCTTTCCCAAGAGGAACGAGCTGCATCGACGCCAATCACAGGCTGTGGTTTTCTCACCGGGGGTAGAGCTTGAGGAGCTCCCCACCATGTGCCACGACAATCCTTGTCGCTGTCAACCACCCTGGTCTCCACCAAAACTCGCTCAACGCGTCTCGTCTGGTTTGGTCTGGGGGACTCTGCGTTACTCGACGCGGCTGAAATTTGATATCTGCTGCACCACCTCCTCTTCTCTCTGCTTGTGTTTCTGTCTCGCTTGCATTTCCACTTTGGTTAACAGCATTCCTTCCTCTCTTTACCTTACTCCAGGCAATTAATGTTTCCATGAGTTCATCCTGTCAAATCATGTCTTGCTGAGGCTCAAATACTCCTCCTCAATTGTCATCAATAACACCAGCATATCCATTACCGAGACCAAATATGTCCAGTCAACCGACCTCTCCCGCCCCACTCCCGGGGAGCTCGCAACAGCAGAATGAGAGCACTGGGAATGCTTCGAGCTCACCTCACAGCACCGCCGATTCCGCCGTGCATATAGACGAGACCCAGGACAAAGTAGATGCCGACTCGTCTTTCCAGAGCAACTCGTCCGAGCGGCACCCCAAGGGCAAGAGGAAGAGAACCGCGTATGTTGCAGACACGACCCGCGACCTGGTCAACGCGACGGGAAACGGACCATTACTAACCACTGCTCTCTGACTCCAGTGCAAAGGACAAGGCAATCCTCGAAGCAGCATATAATGCCAACCCCAAGCCGGACAAGGCAGCGCGTCTAGACATCGTGAAGCGCGTGTCCCTTAACGAAAAAGAGGTCCAGGTACGAATTCCATGAGCCCAATTGAGCTCCCCACGCGCCGGACGCACTCAATTGGCTTTTGTTTCCAGCGCGGTGAGCATCGCTGACCGGATTTCGCGCCCAGATATGGTTCCAAAACCGGCGGCAAAATGACAGGCGCAAGTCGCGTCCCCTGTCACCGCAGGAGATCGCCGCCCTGCAATATGGTGGCATGCAGGTGCTCTCGTCCGACCCGGTTTCGTACGGCAGCCAGCCTCACATGTCTACTCTTCCCAACCCCAACACTTCTCCTTACCAGCAGTCTTCGCTGCCCGAGGGGACGGACGCGTCTTCACGACCCATCGCGGAGCATGCCCAGCCTGAAACGACGACCGAGTCCCAAGTAGAGTTGCCCGAGGCGCATCATAATAGGAGAGAATCCGCGGCATCGATGGGAGCTGCCGTCCTGCCGTCTTCCCAGCCTGTCGAGTTCATGGCAGGCCAGCCACACCACTTGCACCGGTCTGCCTCTGTAGGATACTTCGCCAACAGATTGCATGCTGGCACGTCTTACCAGGCCAATCGTCAGAGCCCGGACTCGTTGAGGTATGTCCTTATAATGGCGGCGGGCTGTCAAAGAGCCTTGCTAACGTGAGCAGACACGAGTTTCTCTCCGCTTCGCGACCGTCATCCTCAGCCCCTGTGCTTCCGCCACCGCTATCATCAGGGTTCCGCTTGTCGATGTCCATGGAAGGCAAGGCAGAGCTTGTCCCACAGCCATCGCCGCCGCGCCTCTCTCCCTCAGCATTGTCTGATGGCTCTCCTGATCCTTTCGATCGTCCCAACCTTCACCGTAGCCGTAGCGCAGCAGCCTGCATCACGCTGCCTCCCATTTCAACACTAACCGCTTCTCTTGACACGAACCGCTCGTCCCCGATCATCCAGGCTCATGTCTCGCATCAGCCACAGCCACGTCTGCCCCAGAGCCTCCACCGCAGCCGCTCTCGGGATGTTCATGCGTGGGAGGCGGCCTGCGAGGCAAATATCGAGCCCAGGGACGAGCTGACAGCCTACGCGGCGCGCGAATCATCTGGATCCGCCATCGCGGCCATCAGTCTCTTGCGCACCCTCAGCTCCAGCTCACTCTCCAGCATTGGCCATAATGGCAACGTCCTCCAATCCAACAGCGCCAAACGGAACGCGCGCCAGAATCCTCACCCAAATCCCAGTGCTAAGAAACCCAAGCTCAGCCGCGCCTCCAGCAGTGTCGGTCGCCTGCAGACAAATTTTGTCAACACCACAACAGATAAGCCCCCTGTGCGGCGGGAGCAGACGCCAGTGGAGGTTGACGACCTGAAAAAGGGCAAGGTGTCAATCCTGTTCTCACCGGGCGGCAACGACTCGGACAAGGAGAACTGGAGCCCCGATAAGGAGGGATACGCGATGTTCCGCGGCGCATCACGGCCTGCAAACGGAAGACGACCGCTGCCCTCGGAGCCGACGTCGAAGGGGGCGCTGCAGAAGCCCCGCAGGAGCGTGGGCCGCGTGCTAGGAGACGCCGGCAACAGGACGCTCCTCGGGCGCGCGAGGACGGCGCCGACCTCGAGGCGCAAGAAGGGCAGCACCCCGGTGAGCATCTTCGAGGACGGGGCCGGCGAGGCCGACGTCTCCGAGGCCGAGGAGGATCAGAGCCGAGGTGACCGGGAGGACGTCGACGACGAGGAGGTGGAGAGGTTCATGCGCGGCGAGGTCAGCCCGAGCAAGAAGGGGGCGGCTAGCGCCATCGCGGGGCTGTTGGCTCTGAGCCAGGGCAATTGGCGATAAGTCCTCCCTGCCCGACGGCTCGTCCTCTTGCTACGAGTGTTATTATTAGTAGCGTTGTTGTCGTCCGTTGCATTGTCACAAATGTCGATTGATTCCTCACCTCTCTCGATAAGCCCCCGTGCCGAGGTCCCGGTCCCTGTCTCTGTGTGAATATCGTCCGCCCCCCCTCGTCGTCGCGTTCGGCGGCCAGATAGCTGCCCCAGCCAGGCCGAAACCCTATCTCGACCCGGTGATAGGTCTGACCAGTGCTTAGCACATGGATCGATCGGTCTGGTCTGACCAGGTGCTCCGCGCGCATCAAACCGTAAATACGTGGGATGGAAACTCCGGACAGGTTTATTGTCCGCTTATAGTGCGTGGGTTAAGAAAGCGGGGAGGCGGGTCCGCGCTCTTGCATCTCGTGCCATCTCATCTCATCCCCCATCTCATCTGAATTCCCCCGGCGAGTGAGGCCGCTGTGTGGGTGCAGAGTCTGGGCTCTCACCGAGGATCATGCGCAATGGGCGCGCTGGCGGGGAGCCATTGAAGTTCGGTGTGTATGTGCGCGCATGATTGTCGGGCTCGAACGAATGTCATCTATGAATAAAACGAAAACGACACCTGTTTTGTTCTTGTCTTTTTTTACCTTTCGTTCTGTGCCAGCGAACGGTAATTGCATGAAACGTTCGGGGACAGGGGCTTGAGGGGAGTCAGGAGAGGGCGTAGGAGAAGGGGAACCAGTTTTGCTTTTCGACTGCATGAAAACAGAGATCGGCGTCCAGTAGAGCCCTTTCAAGGCTACCGATCGTGAATTTTGCTTGTAAAATATACGAACTTACGAAATGAATGAGAACTTGGTGCATAGAGAGAGAGAGAGAAAACCGTATAGTGTAAAGGTAGCTGTGACTCTAAAATTGTCATGGTATTAAGGGTCTCATTCCCTTTCTATCTGTATTTCGATGCCAACGAAGGATGGATCATGGTCTGCCACCATATTGTTGGAACTTGGCTGCGCTTTGCGGGATTTCTGATAATCAACGCTTGAATAACTCCTCCCATGGCTGGGTCTCAATCAAAGAATGCCTCCTCGCTGCCATGTAGCGAGCGTTTCGAATATGCTATGTCCAAAAGAAATGCCACGCTCTTGTCTCTTATCTATATTTCTCTAGAATATATATGCACTTCCTCGACGGGATAGATGGCTGTCGCTGGTAGCTTAAGATCTATCCTCCGTGAATTCGGCCCCGTACTTCGTTCTAGCCGTTCGCGACGGCCTCTGTTAGGTATGGTTGATCTACATCCCCAGAAGGCTCATTTGCCTCCTCAATGGGCTCGCCGCAGCACTGCCTTCCTCGGAAGCATAGCAAGCGGAGTCCGTGTCGATGTCCCATTCGCCCTCACCATCGTCGCACGCCTCGCTGCCGTTGGCGCTGCCAGTGTCGAAGCCCTTCTGCATCGCTGCACGGACATTCCACCGCAGGGTCCGGGAGACAGAGTCAAACCACTCAGTGTCGGTGCGGTTGACGGTGGGGAAAGGGTACTGAGATGCCGTGATGGTGACGCAGTCGCCCTGTCTGAGTTCCACACGTCCCTTGCCGTCGAAGGCACAATAGGCCGTGGCGCGAGAGTTTTGGGGCACAGTTACGCGCAGAAGCATCGTGTCGGAGAGGACCATGGGCCGGAAGGAGAGCGTGTGTGGGCAGATGGGTGTGAGGAGGATGGCAGGAATGTCCGGGTGGACAAGGGAACCGCCTGCAGAGAGAGAATACGCGGTTGATCCTGTACAGCAGATTAGTGATACGGTCCAGACATAAACAGTGAGTCTTTGAAAAATTGAAACTTACCAGTCGGCGTGGAAAAGATGCAGCCATCCGCCTGGACAACCGTTAAAAGCTCATTGTCTCCGTAAAGCTCCAAGTTGGAGACGTAGGGTGACGGGCCACGATCAATGACGAGCTCGTTGAGGACCTCGAACTGCTCTCCCTCCTCCAACTCACGACCTTGCTGCCCGTTCCGGTACACCGTACACGTGAATCGCATCCGAAGGTTGATTTTCATGCCATCATCTCCCATCACGCGACTCAGGTGTTCCTTGAAACGGTCATAGGCAAATGGCGTCAAGAATCCCAAGCTGCCCAGGCTGAAAGAGAGCACTGGCGGGACTATCCTCTGGAAGAGCCATGAGGTGAAGAGCACGGTGCCATCGCCTCCCAGGGTCAGGACAAGGTCGAATTTCTCGGGCTGGCTCCAGCACAGATCCGGCGTCCAGTACTTGAGCATGTGTTGGAAACGAGGGTTCTCGTCAACCAGCCCTTGGGCATTGAACCGTTTAGAGTTCCGGAGCTTTGCGTCCACATAGACGTTAACACCGAGATCTGACCCGTAACGAGGCGTACTGAGTAGCCACTGCGCCAGTTCGCGAGTCAAGACAACCAGCTGGTTGTCCCTCGCCTTGGTCACAATCATGACGTTCCGCACTGCCCGCTTGATCGGCCTCCTCTGCAGCTGCTTGGACACCTCACGGACTCCGGTCGCAGTCTGGACCAGGCGTGAATGGGACATCCACTCGTCGTTCTTGATTTCCTCCAGGACCTTGTCGATGTCGACGATGCCATCGAAGCGTTGGTGATAGAAACATGGCGACTGCAAAGCGGGGAAAGCTGTGGTAGGTGTGAGGGTACGCTGCGCAAGATCGTTGAGGGCATCACACAATTGGGAGGATGAGGTGCCGCGTTGGGCGTCGGCACCGCTGGGTTGCGAGGCTGATAGCATGCTGGGCAGGGATAGGGCCTCTGGCTTGTTGTTGCGTGTGACTGACGAGGCTAGAGCCTTGAAAAGAGTCTGTCGAGGAATAGACTCGATGGAGCGGGAGTTCTTCCGGTGACCTTTGGCGTAGGGGCTGGGGTCGGAGTCTTCGGAGTCTCCCCCTACGAGAGCAGCTGATAACGAGATGGGTTGGTTGTGATCGACATATCGAAGGTTTTGTTTTGCTTCGTCCAGAGACAGGTGTTGCAGGGAAGGCGGGTAGGGTATGGAGGTGGTCAAAGTAGGACCGGAAGAAGTTGATGATGAAGTTCTGGGGCGGTCATGTAGGTTATTATTATTACTGATCTTCGATCCCTCGGACTTTTGCAATGGCGGAAGCGCGGCCGGATTACTGAGGGCTGGGTGGATCGAAGTCGGGGATAGGAGTTGGTCCGACATGGTGACGAAAGGGGCACCCGAGAGATCTGCCGGCAGCCGGGAATCGTGACTGTGCTCTGGTAAGAGAGAACGAGAGGTGGTTGCGTGTCTGCAGGTGCAGGCACAGGTGCAGGTGCAGGTGTGTGCAAGATCCGGGCTGCAGGATGCTGCTGCAGCACGACACAAACAACCTTGGACTTGGCTGACTTGGAGCTTGCGACTCAGCAATAAACCCAAATCCTACCCGTTAGGACCGGACTGTCCGCGGCACGAAACACTGAGCGGGGTGGGGTTGATTGTAAGGGCAAGCAAGAGCGAACAGCGGCACTCCTTTCCTCTTCTAGTGCTCTGCGCGGCCCTGTCTAGTGGATCCGCACTGGAACAGGGGACGTTTTGGCGGGTGGGAGCGAGAGGCGAGATTGTGGGTGAGACAGCGGGATAAGGACGGGTCAGGACCTGCTGGTGGGGGGAGCCCAGCTTGTGTGTGGGGCTTCCTTAGCGGGCTCGTCAAGCAACAAGTTCAGCTACTCTGTTGGCTCCAGCTTCTGGCTAGACTTCTGGCCCAAATGATCGACCTTGTTCTGTGAGAGTGCTGTGTTCGGTGACCTGGGTGTTGACCATGCAACGTCACAGGTTTGGTGCCGTCCGTGTCTGGGCTCACGGCCGAGACGGTCTTCGTAGATCTCGCGGAATCTCGAGATAGGAAACACGGACGAGGCGATACCACGGGCAAAGGACCTGTAGGGGCCGTCACAGCAAGTCGTCAGTCTCAAAGTGCCTTCGACTTTCCCATCCAGGCTGCTTCTGTGCAACCTGTCAGGCGGGCGTCTGTCAGACAGGGGTCATGATCACCGGCCGCTGTGCAGCATCCGGATCTGAAGGATTCTGCTGCTTACCGTGATTCGGGGCGTCCTGCGTCGTCTGACTGAGGTGGTGACAGTGTGATGTGATTCGAGGTGCAGAGAGAGTTGTGCGTGGCTGGAGCCTCGTGAATCGATAGCCAAAGATGGTTAGAAATGGATTGTTGCTGAACAAATCGAGAATGCGATGGGTATCTCTGCAAAAGCAATGTGGTCTTCCGGGTATTAAATGCTGTAAGAAGTCGACTCCAGGTCTTGAAACAATGTAGATGCACGCGATGCTATCAAAACGACAGTCTGAAGAATAATTCGGTGGCAGGCCAGTATGCAGGCAAAAGATTGAACATATGAAGAAAAAGGGGCAACAAGCTGCTCTGCAGACAAGAGAAAAGAGCAGGTTTGAAAAGAAGGTAAGAAACGACGCCGGCGTGATTCAAGAACGTGGTGGGAGAATGAGATGGGACGGACAAGCTCAAGAGGCAAGGTAATTACTAGAGAACTACCAGAGCTCTGCTTACAGCCTGCCGTCTAGGGAGAAGGTGAGGAGGGGGAAAGAAGTTATAGACAAGATCGTCTCCAGTGTGTTGTGCCCAAAGAAGGTCGCGTCGAAACAGCCTACTTGTATTATGCCGCCCGCGCACTTTTCGATATTTATCGGGGGCCGTGAAGCAACAGGCAAGGATTGGTGCGAACCCAGGCACGCCGCTTATCACGGCGTGGAGGCATCTGAGTGGGAGCTGGGGTGAGAGATGCAATACGGGCCGCCTCAGCGAGGGGCGCGGGACATTGTCGAGCACGGCGCGGCTCTTGCATTGTCCCCGCTGTTCCAGAACGAAGGGCCTGACGGCCTGGCCCGCCAAATCAGATCTGTACGGCCAGCACTGATCCCCGTTGTGTACCACAGGACTAAATGCTCTGTTTGGCAATAGGGAGGATGGTGAACCAACGGAAGTTCCATGATCCTTGCCCCCTGCCCTGTCGGTTTCTGGCGAAGGTCCGCATTGATACGTCAGATCTTGCTGCCCCAGTACTTTATTGCTTTCCAGGCTCGGCAGCAGGCTGCCTGTGTACGTGATGATACAACATCTTGCCGATTGATCCGTATGCCCTTGGGAACAGCCTTGGCTCGGTGGATATTGGTATGTCGAGCCAAGCAGGCCTGCAGGGCGGGCTATCAAGGAGAGGAGGCGTCCTAATAGGCACGACGTTGTTTTGTGCATGCACATGCGGCTTGACAGGAGATGCTCCAGGGGTTCGGGGCCCTAGGTCCAGTCGAGTCTCAGGTCAGGGTCGCCAGGGTCTGCGGGAAAACTAGTGCAGCAGCTCGTCTCATCTCACGAGGCAAGGCGCCCGGGCGGAGCCCGAATATACCACTGCCTGCTCTTAATCATTTCAGTAGGCCTGACTCGATACGCCATGAAAATAGTTGTGCGTACTTCGAGACCTTTGCCGCCCATGTTGAAAGATGTTTGGCAGGATCTGCTCTGGCCGATCAATGCAGTCGGTGCCGGGCTGTCTCGTTTGACCCGTGCGGATCATACACCACTGTTGTGGAACACACGTACACAGTTGACGACGACAACAACAACATGACCAACAAGGGCCAAGGCTATTATCATCCTAAGGCAGAAATTAGGTCCTCTTGATAATGATCACCGTCAAGGTGCTACTTGGTGAGGTTTTCTCGAAAGGCACGTGGTGTAAACCTTGGCTACCGACTCGGCGCTTGCCCGGCTGCCCTGCATTTAGACATCGGATTGTGCTGATTTCGTCTGGTTTATTTGCCTATGTGTCGATGAAGATCCGCTTGCCGAAGACCCATTCGGCGGCAATCTGATGTGTTGAAACAGCCCCTCAAGCCTCTTCGTGGCTCCAGACGCCACCATCGCTGGAGAATCCACGAAGGGCGTTTGAGGATGCCAACGCGACCCTTCCAATAACCACCGCCACGAACACAGCAAGTGACGAGTCAGGTTTCACGGCCAATAGTGCATATGAGACTCACACGCTGATGTCAGGCTGCCGATGTCGACAGACTCGCGTCTCTTTGCCGGGGATTCCCAAGCATCCCATTCTTCCAGTTGATTTTTTACTGCGTCAGTGCAGGCAATCACCACACGAAGCCATTTGCTTCCTCGGGTCTCTAAGTATTAGACACACCCTGTCTCCTCGAACCGCCATCCCCCGCACTGCCTGGATCCGCTCTGTGTTTTAAAGGGGATTGTCGTTGTCGTTTCGATAGCGGGCAAAAGCCCCGGCCAAAATTGTTCATGCGGCAAGACACATCAAATTGTGTCAAACAATATTTGTCTGGAGCGCAAGAGACGCCCCAGCGATAGTCGTGGCTGCAGTCACTTCCAGTATAGATCTGCCGCAATTTTGCCCTCTGCTGCTGACCTCACAAACTGACGCATATTCGGGCCACTTTGTTGGGCTTCATCCAAAACAGCGTGGGTCCCGTTGCCGTCAGCCGCGCCGCAACATGCATTCCGCGAGGCTTCGTAGACTTCATCCCATTCGGTCATTGTGAAGTCACCCTCGCTCTCAGCAAGCAAGAGCTCGCTGGATGATGTGAATGCCAAGACATGGACGGATCGGGATTTGTCCGCCTGTCGTGGAGAAGGGTCCATTGTGATCTGGGTCTTGCCGTCACTGAGCGAGACGGCTGTAACAGCGCAAGTGGCTGTGGCCCTCATTGGCACTGCAGCGGACAGGAGGGCCAGGACTGCAGTCTGAAGCAGAGCCGGGATGATGAGCAGATTCTGTCAGGAAGGGTCAGCAGCGTTCAAGCAGCCCCGGCCAAGGAGACCAGGGGAGGGGGCCACGGGGAGCTCTTCAGCCTCATACCGAGCTCGCCTGGACGAGTTTCGTGTTGACATATTCATTGGCAGGCGTTGCTGTCACTTGCAGGACGATCTGTACGGTGCAACGAGGGAAGTTCTTGACCAGGATAAGCTGTCGCAGTGACTGTTGCAACAGAGATTCCAGATGCCTTTCTCTGGTGCCTATTGGGGAGACGTGAGCAGATGTTTCCTGATGGGCTTTTCTGGTTGCCCAGAGAACTGACCTCCAACTCCTGAGGCCGGTCGGACTACGACGTCGACCAACGCCTCGTAGGGATGCTCATCCCGTTTCTGGGCCTCGACTGGACCATTTGCAGAGGCTGTGATGGTGTAGCCCGCATAGGAATAAGTAGCAGAGCCGTCCGCCTTTGGCAACGGCGACATAGCCGCCTCGGGCTGAATTGACACTGTCATTGTAAATTGAGGCCAGCGTTCGAATACCCAAGGGAAACTGAGGTTCTGTGGCAGTCGGAGAGATTCTTTGCACAGAAAGGAAAGTCGCTTCCACTAACATTTGTCGGCATCACAACATAAAAAGTCGACGGGAATGAACTCATAGGCCCAGGAGAGCTTTGAGCCCCACCACTGATTGACTTGCGCTAGTGGGTCCCTGGAAATGCTTACCACAGTACCATGGGCAACTGCGTGCCTGGATGCGGCATGTGCATGTACCTAGGTACCTATACAGTCATCAGGCCTGCCAAGTTGCTTTGTAACTCGCATCAACGATGGCCAGTCAGGAACTACGAACTTCGTCAGAACATCAACAACCTTGCTGCCATCTACGCATGTGGGTTCACTGACTGTGTATTGAGATCATGGCTCCTACTGCAATGGCTCAGGCCACACAACAAGCGGCAGACACCAAGTCTCCGCCGATATCAGCACCGGCACCAGCATCAGGGCCGCAGGCAGTACCGAGTCTGGGGCACAAGCTTCCCAAGCTCGAACCCAGGCGGCGCCGAGCACAGCCTGAGAATCCCATCCCTTTCCCCGATACGCCTGCTCTTCCACCACCCCCAGAAAGCCCAGGCTCGTTCCGTGTACCGAGCCGTCGCATCTTGTCCAAAGCAGACCACGACTTGTTCATCTCCTCCCCATCCTTCAACCTGATATTGTCATGGATCTTCGGCCTGTCCGAGTCTGTCGTCGACTCGCCCATCTCAGCAGTGAAAGACGACGAGCTGACCACTCCAGTACGGACGCTCTTGGAGATCCTGGACGAGGTAGAGCAGCTAGTCTACCAAAACCCGCCCGACGACCAGGGAGGCTCGAGATTCGGCAACAAGAGATTCAGAGACTTCCTGGACAAGGCCAGGACACAGGAAATGAAGTGGCACCAACGGCTCGGCGTCGAGAACCCGGAAGCCGTCGCCGAGCTCTCAATGTACCTCAGCCAGTCATTCGGGAACCGGAAGCGCATCGACTACGGCTCTGGCCATGAGCTCAACTTCATGATCTGGCTGCTGTGCATCTACCAGCTGCGCATCGTCACGCGCGAAGACTTCAAGCCTCTCGTGCTCAAGGTCTTCACCCGCTACCTCGAGGTCATGCGCGTGATCCAGTGTTTGTACTATCTCGAGCCGGCAGGCTCCCATGGCGTGTGGGGCTTGGACGATTACCAGTTTCTCCCTTTCCTGTTCGGCGCGTCGCAGCTGGCACACCATAAGTACATCACGCCGCGAGCCATCCACCAGGAGCTCATGCTCGAGCAGTTCGGGAAGGACTACCTCTACCTGAACCAGATCGTCTTTGTGAACAGCACCAAGACCGTCAAGGGCCTCAGGTGGCACAGCCCTATGCTGGACGACATCTCATCCGCAAAGTCGTGGGAAAAGGTCGAGGGTGGAATGCGCCGCATGTTCGTGGCAGAGGTGCTGAAGAAGCTGCCAGTCATGCAGCACTTCCTGTTTGGGTCCCTGGTCCCGGCCGTGGACGGCATGAGCGAGCAGAGCCTGGCTGGGGTTCCGGACGAGGAAGATGACGATGAAGGCGGAGAGGTCCAGGTTTTTGACGAGGGTAACGTCCGGCACGTTCATCAGCAGAACGGCTGGGGTGAGTGCTGCGGTATCAAGGTTCCCAGCGGTGTTGCTGCTGGGATGGAGGCCATGAAGAAGGGCGAGACGCTACGGAGGATACCTTTCGATTGAAGAAATTTGGAATAGGTATGTCATGGGAAACTCGCAGCGGATGAAATTCTCTGTATGTGTGTCACGGCTTATGAGACAGTGAGAATTGACTACCTCGATCCACCATAAATCGTATCTGGAAGTTCTCGTCCGGCATATCCGATTGCAATCCAATTATCCAGAGTAGTTCATGAAGCTGGCAATTCAGCTGGATAGAAATACAGGTGCAATTGATCAGTTTCTTTGCCACCAGACTGCTGGCCAACTACGCTCTCTGCTTCTCTTGAATTTCCTATCTTTTTTTTAGTCACTCCGAGCGGCAATGCACAGGCGTCACAATTTTCACAAGGAAGCAGTTTTGGCAGGCATGCCGTAAAGAATGCTGCTATTCCAAGTCAGAGCTAACTATTCGCGCTGTATACTTGATGATTTCGACAAAAGCATTCTAAGAATGGGACACATCGTGAGATCTAATGTTGGGAAGCCACATGAATTAAAAAAGAGACCGCTTGCTGATTACCTCGACGCAGACTTGAGTGTGAGAGAATTAGTGGAAATGAGAGACAGGAAGTGAAAAGCAAGAGCTGCAAAGCTTTGGGCCGTCACGGCTCGTCTTCCTTCGGCGGAACACCTCTCCCCTCCTCACTTAAGCAGTTGGGTCGCCGCACGCCACGTCGTACCACGTGTACGGCTGGAAGGGGTCGATGGAGTCGACCTCGTACGCCACGAGGCCGCCGTACAGCTTGCACCTCGGGGCCCCCAGGCCGGGCTCCAGGTAGAACGAGTAACTGAAGCATCTCTCGACGGCGAACTGTGTCACGGAATGTCAGTACAGGGGTCAACAGAATACGAGATAGGAAACGGGGTCTGCTGGGGTCGGGGGTTCACTCACGCTGCAGAACTGGAAGCAACCTTGCAATGTCACAGGCACTCCGACCTTGTTATAGGCATATGTGGCGAGGTAATACGTGCCGATGGCCGTGCCCCGGATGCCACAGTGAATGTCATCTGGCGACGGCGTCCCGGTCGGCGCGTCGGTCGCGGAGATGGTGTTTGTGGGCGCGATGACCGTCGTCGGCAGGTCCGTCGGCTCGACGCTGGCCGAGGAGATGGGCGGCAGAGTCGTGACGATGACGAGCGTCTGCGTGGTCGAGCCCGAGGTCACGGTCGAGTTTGCCTGGTCGATGGGAGTCTGGGTCGGGTTGATCACCAGCGACGTTATGGTCGAGCTGACGTCAATGTCAGTCGTCGGCGTGGGGATGATGATGGACGTTATCGTTATGAGCGACGATGTGGGCTCCTCGACGCTCGTGGGGGCCACGAGGGACGAGTTGGTGAAGAATGCCGTGCTACTGATGTTTGGGAACGATGTGAACGATGTGAACTCCGTGTTCGGGATGGGCAAGATGCTGATTTCAGGCGAGGTGATGGTGATTTCAGTCGTGGTGACACTGATTTCGGGCGTGGTGATGTTGGCAAAGGAGGTGAAGTTCGCAGAGACCGTCTCCGACGTTGGAAGAGGCGTGGGCGTGATATCAGGGGTGGAGATGTTGGGGAAGGACGTGAAGTTCGAGGGGGCCAAGGTCTCAGTAGGGAGGATGGTGAAGTTGTCCGTGCTGGTAGCGTTGATGAGAGTGGGAAGTGCAGAGCTGGTCTCGTTCTGCCCATGCTGCCCCGGGTCTGTGATATATGGCCCGCTTGTGGTGGTCGAATTGGAGATGGGGAAGTAGGGCGTGCTTGTTGTAACGTTCACGGTGAGTGTGCTTGTTGTGATGTTCAAGATGGGCGCGCTTGTTGTGACGTTCACGATGACTGATGAAGGAACCGAGGTACCCGTCAGAAGGTACGAAGAGGTGCTGACTGAGGTGTTCCCGTAGGGGGCCGAAGTGAAGTTGCCAGCAGATGATGATGCGGGCGAGCCTGTACCGAACACGGTGACGGTTTCTGTGATCCTGACCACGGAACACACGCTCGTACTTGTGCTCTCGGGAAGTGCCGTGGAGCTATCAATCGCAGCCACGCTCACCGTCTCGTCGGGGGGAGGTCCATATGTTGGAGGCTTATACGGAGGCACGGACAAGACCGACGTGGGAAGCTGCCGGTGACGGTGACCTCTATTACGGGGGTTGAGACGCTGATATTAGTGTCAGTGGGGTGGTTCCAGGAAAGGTATACAGCCGTGTCTCAGTTCCTTCGGGAGTATTGATTGATATCACATACATTATTGGCATTGGGTGCTGCGAATACCGGGGTACAAATGAGCCCTGCGGCGACCAGAAGTACGTTGTGATGCATGCTTCTGTTATAGAAAGACTACAGAAACGAGTGATTCAAGCGGTACGGGTAATCAGGAGGAGGGTGCGTTTAGAGAGTGGATGCAAAGCGAATGACCGTTGCTGATGATGTGTTGAAGCTTTCGTCCTGCCATCTCGAGCTTCTCCTCGAGTCTTATAGACATCTTCATCGCTTGGGGTCCAAAGACTCAATTCACAAGGGATAGTATTCTCAGACCTAACCAGGCAATTATTGGCATGTGAGGGCTGTTAGCTCTCGCGAGGCTGGGAAGGGGATCTCCATGGGCACACTTTTTTCAGCAAGGGAGAAACCACCACACCATTGCGCCGCCATCACGAGGCGGGCAAGCCGCCTTGGACCTCCACCTTGACATCACTTCCAACCATGATCGCCAAAAATTTCCTTTAGGGATTCCACCTTGGCTCAAAGTCTCAATGTCTCAATGTATTCGGCTGCCCTTGACGACCTAGCGCTTATTTTGAGTGAGGCTCCCTAAGAGAAAAAGAACGGTTGCCATACTGTACAGTCCGAAATGTGAGACCCCCTCGCCGGTCGATCGGTCAATGAACAGATGCGATAGGGTATCGAACAGGCTCACGAAACGCCCCTCGCTTCCCTTGCGTGATCCCAAAATGCAGATATGCCTTGCTTCCTAAAGACGCCCTAGAATGCTTCCTGGCTGAAGATTATACAGTGTTCTTTCTACAGCAGCCAGGGAAAGGTAGAATGAAGGCTGGACCGGTCCGCGCACAGTCCACCCTCACAAGCGGCAACAAAAACAGCCATAGTCCGCTGTCTCATAATCAATCTTCCCAGATGGTCTCCAGGTCCAGATCCCCTCTTCTCTCTGCGCCACAAACACTCCACCGCTTCCGCTTATCTCTTGTCCCAAACCCGCTCAGCGTTCGGCCGCGTACTGGAGCGTCCAGGCTGCTCCGGCCCTTAGGCTCACCGCCGTCCTCGGCATCAGCAGCAGCCTTGAGCTGAGCAATCTTTTCTGCCTCAAGCGCAGCCTCCTCGGCATCGGGCGAGTCCGGGATAGTCTCCAAACTGGAAATGCTGGGGCTTCGAGACCTCATGGAAATGGGCGTAGAAGGCATAGATGATGATGGAGCGTAGCCGCCAGAAGATGCATAGCCGTCCCTCTCGCTCAGTAGATCGTAAGGTCGCTGGATCGGGGAGGAAGTAATGGATGATGATGTAAAAGAGCCGGGCAGCGAGCTTGTGCTGGAGCTCGGTATGTGACGAAGAGGCGATGAAGGACGCCGCTGGCGGACCAGGGGTGTGGCGACACCCAGGTTTGGGGAGCTGTTCCTCTCTGACAATTGTCGATCAGGGAGGACGGATGTGCGAGTGGGCGAGGCAGGAGGGTACATCTCATCGACTGGTTTTCGCAAGGACCGCTGCCGTTGTGGAGAGCCCTTTGGGCTCTGGGGACGTGGTATGAGGATGTGGCCGAGCCCGTTCACACCGGGCATGGACTGGGCACGACCCATGGGAGGTGGCGCCAGAGTGGCAGCTGATTTGGACCTGACATGGTTGCCTGACAATGGCGAGGTCGTCCGCGGGCGATATGGCAGAGCGGCGGCGTTCCAGGTCGGGGAGATTGGCGAAGAAGGCGAGGGATCGGTAGAGCGACGCATAGTGGGAGGCTTCCGAGGAGATTCGGGCTCAGAGGACTGAGACTGGGGGTGGTAGTTTGAGTGTTGTAGACGAAGAGAAGGGAGGGGTGCTGAACGGAACTCCTCGAGCTTCTCAGTCTCCGGGACAGGCTCCATGACGATGATGCCTCTAGGTGCCCGGGAAAGGATCACCGGAATGACGCATGCATAGAGCAGCGAAAAGAGTAGGAGGTGGTGGTCTGGACGTGACTGGAGGCGAGATGTAGCGGTAGTATGGTGGAGTCGTCGCAGCAGGTGCAGAAGTCGGAGGCGCGATTGGTGGAGGGGCGACAGGCTCGGCGATGGGTCTCTCCTCGTGCAGGCACGCCAGTACGTGTTTTGTGGTCGACAATGAAACGGTTTGTCGAGGCGATTGGAAAAGGGCTGCAGTGTGACAAAGACAGAGAAAGCGCAGCCACAGCGGTGAAAAAATTGTAATTCTGGTTTCGAGGACCGGTGCGAGGACTGTCTTAGGCCATTTCAGCTCGTTGCTTCTCCTGTCAGTCGGTGTACTCGGGACGCTGCAGCACTGGGAAGATAGTGCTTGCGGGGAGCAAGATTCGAGGGGGTCGTGGCGAAGCTTGGAGGAGGCGACGTCGTGATGGTGACAGGAACGGTGAGGTAGGAGGAAAAGAGTTGAGGTTGTCTAGGTATTCTGAGGTGGGTTAGGAGAGGTGTTGTGTAGACCACGAGAGGACAGGGTCGGGATGGTGACGGCGGTGGTATGGGTTGATGGGGAGGCGAGGCTAAAGAAGAGAACTGGGGTTCCTAGGACTCAGGCCTGTCACCAATGCCTAGTGCCTGGCCGTTTGGATCTGGCTCCAGCCCGCTCACTCTAACGTCCTGCCGCGTGCCTGTCTGGTGCACGCACACAGACACACCAAGGTACCGTGGGTACCTCGTGTGGTAGGTGGCGCCCAATCCACATACAGGTAGATCTGCTCTCCATCTATCTGACCAGGCGCCACACCAAGCAACGATCCCCTGGCGGCTCACGCCAGCAAACGCTTCCTTGAGGTGCTTACGGTACCTTGATTTTACATGGTCAATCTCTCAGGGTCAATGCACGTCGTCACTTGGCAGCAGAAACCATAAAGCTTCCTGCCCATGACGAAAGACAGCAACACAGCAGGCGGATAGACGGGCAGTGAGCAGTCCTCGATACGAGCCATCACTGGAATGCAAACGGCACTATAGCTCAGCACATCACTACAGAGCACACACTCATCCCTTTCGGGACCGCCCAAGGCCCTCTCGATCACGGGCCGAAGTCACGATGCTACGCTCCTTGACACATGTGACACTATGGCGCTGTGCACAGATTCAACTCCTGCAGCCCCTACAAATGCACTCCGTCTGTCCGTACTCTGCGGTGATCAGAACTGCAGATGCTGAGGCGGTTCATGCTCATGATTCATACCCTCTGCCCCGATCGCCCCCACTGGCCTTGGACTCTGTTCATGCGCATGGAGCTGCTTCTCCATCTCCTGCTTGCTTGCTTGCTTGCTGTCCACCACAACGCCGAGTCGGATGACAGCACATGAATATAGCAGAGACCCCTGGGCCTATATCTGCCGTCACACTGCTGTTACTCCTTGCCGCACTACAGTGACTGACATACTAACTCTGTCATTATGTACGGCAGACGGCTGGTATGCGAACAGGAGCACGATAGTGATCTGCGCCGTCTCACTCACCGCCTGCATCCTCTTTCATGGGACATGCATGACAAGCGTCGGTGGGACGGGGCCCTGCAGCCTTTGGAACCTCCGAGCCCCGCCTTTTGTTCCTGGTGCTGGTCCGCTGGCGGGTAAGGCGCCAAAGGAAGAACAAGCAAGACACATTGCATTGCATTTGCGACCTGCAAATAACCAACCGTCACTCCCTCGCGTCCCGCCTCCCCGTCGTCAGCCCGTCAGCCTTCGCTGTATATGCGCGATCTGCTCGATCTGTGCTGCGCGAGATCTCCTCTGCCTCGACCGTCCCACTGCTCGGAACATTTCCACCAACACACCGCACTACTTTGTAGCCGACCAGCAGTGGAATTGCTATGACACTACCGCTCAGGGATCTGGACTCTCGAAATTCAGGGTCCTCCAGCGTCCCGGGGCCATCCGCTTGATTGGTGGACTTTCAATTAGTACAGGCCGACCACTTCTTCGGGATCCTTTTTCAGGAAAGCTCCTATGTTCATGGTTTGCGGCTTTTTAATTTAGTAGCTGGGCAAGACGATTTCGGAGGGCATGGGTTTGAGACAAATCCGTCAGAAACTGGCTTTGATGTTGCCTGCCTCGAGCCTGCCAGACCGTGGTTTTCGGGACTCTTCCAGCTGTGCAATGAGAGAAGGCTAATTTGGCAGGGTTCATGAAAGACCGTCGTCCTCGGGGTGGATCCCCCCACAAAGAGGCGGTCACTTGATCGTACCCACGGGGACGGCTCGGCCGGGCAAACCGAGGCCCTGCTCCATTCCTAGTACGGCTTCGGCCCAGGGGTCGGCGGACTCGAAAGACGGGGCCCACCCGAACAATGCGGAAGAGAGCACGTAACGCACCAATGGACGGCGAAGCAACACGGACTCATAGGTAATCGGTCTAACGAGGGAGCAGATCCAACGGTTTGTCGTGTTGCCGGCTGTATTCTGCCCCTGCCGGACTCCAGTGCCGGCACTTTGCCGACCCCAAAAGAGACTTTTACACCAGTGGCGGGTCTGAGGAGGACTCGAATATACTCAGAGACAGATCTGTCATCCCATCAGTTTGCGCCATAAGGAGCGCTGCGATAGCGGCTAGGGCATAGCTGTTTTCAAAGAGCAATCTCCCCAAGCACAAAATTAAAGAGGTATCAAGTTGCTGAGAAACCAAAGACATGATGTAGCGGATAAAAAAGTAGTCTCCAGCAGAGAACACGGCCAACAGACTGTCTCTCCTTTGTCTTGTCGATTGAGAGGTTCCACGCGGATTCCAAGACTTAAGGGCTTACAAGGCTCACTAGCCGGCTATCATGTCATTCGATGCTCTTCACAGAGTAAGCGGACCGTCGACTGGTGATGGCCTCCGCACCGGTGAAGCGCTAAGCCTACGAGCTGGTTGCCGGCTGTAGAAAGCTGTCATATCAGATCAAGACGGCAAGAGATTGGAAACTCCACGATAGTGCCGCCTGTCCCATGGTCACCGACGAAGACACGACGTGTTCCGAAGCACCTAAGAAAACTGGCCGTCGGAGACATTCCTCGCTGTGGAGCCCATCCGCGCAGGTAGGATAGTAGGGGGCTTCAGCAGGGAACTGCTCATCGTATGGCCGACTTGGCCGGGGTGCCCGCTTAGTTGATCTCCATGACCCTCTCCTTAAGCAGTGGCTGGATCTACGATCGTCGTCCTGGGGAACATCCTCATAGTGCTGGCGCGATACTAGTATACGTGGACGATAATGGCCGAGAAATGGCCCGGAGGACCCATCAAGAGCAACGCCCAGGGGGCAAGATCTCCGCGGGACGATCCGGCGAATATGGCCATGATTAACACAAGGAGGAGGCTCGGCGGTATAGTGGACTGCCCATACTGGGCCAAGTGAGCATTTGAGGGCCCATAGTCCAAATCAGATTAAGCGAATGCTGCATACATGTACCTGCTGAGACGGCAAAATCACTTGTGGACTTGTATGGTAGTCAGGCTCCGATGAAGATGTGTTACCATAGCACGCCACAGGCTGGTTCTCACATTTCACGATATTGTTGACCTACTTGAGAGGTATTCAGGCAAGCTAACATGCTGTCACCGCATGAGACAAACCTGACGGCCTGGGCTGGTCAGTGAGACCTCAGGTCATACATGATAGTGGATGACGGAATCAAGAGCGACGTGTGTGTGGCAGCGCGGAATGAGGTTATAGGGCCGATGACTACCTGAGTGAGGAGCCTGTGGCATTTTAGAATCTTCACTTCTGCCTGTTGGTCGTACCATCCGAGCGCGGTCCTTGGATAAGGGGCATGTTTTACTGCCTCCTTGTATTTCGAGCGGTCACATCCATTCTCGCGGTCATGGGACCAATCCTGCTCAGATGTATTTAGGAGCCAGCACAAAATCTAGCTGTCCCAACGTGCTTACCATGGCCTGTAGGCTTGTTTTCATCCCCTCGGGTATGCTTTCAATGCACGAACATTGGGTTAATCTGGATTCTATTTCTACATGCATGTCTGCTCTCGAAAAAAAAAGGATTCCACGCTTTGGGGGCACTTCTCTCTAGCAACCCATGATTTATGGTCAACCCGTCCTACAACATGCGTGTGACAACAGTACATTCAGAGATCTCTTATTCCAGAACCGAATTCAGGAGTCTGTCCTGCATCGAGTAGCAGGAAGCAGGATAGCAAGCCATCAGACTGCCAAGTTCGGTAACGACCCAAGGCTTCAAGGCTCGTTGATTCGAAATCCGATTGAGATATGAGGACCAAACTTAGATGGTGGCATAATACGTCCTGAGATCGAGCCAAGCCTATGTGGCTTCGATATTCTCTGACTCTCAAGCCCGATTTCATGCTGTAGTGACGTTCGCTGAGACCGCCAGAGATACGATTTCATTAGTGATAATTTCAGGTGTGGTCAGGGCGATTGTTGCCGATCGCCCTTGGTTGACGTGACAACGCCATGTGCTTGACCATGCACTTGATGAGGCAATGAAGGGAGGCGGGGTTCTCTGCTTAGTTCGCAGGCTGTCTTGTGCCGTTAAGGTCCTCTGGACCAAACGACATGGGAAGCAGCTATGCGCAGACGTCCTTGGTCAGCCAGGGGTTATCTAGGGAGCATCAGTCTGGGGAGGCACTTACATCCTCGAGGCGGAGAACACAGTAGTTTCCATCCTTGTCAAACATCAAGATGGGCATTCGCAAATCGCAGAACTCCCGGATGCTAGGACGCAAGCATGTTAGCCCTATCTCTCACTTACAAAACAGGAGGGTGGGGGGGGGGAGGGGCTCACAACTGCCTGCACATGCCACAGGGACTGGCAGGCGGCGAGATATCGGTGGCCACCGCCACGGCCTTGAAGCCGCGGTGACCCTCGGTCACGGCCTTGCCAAATGCGACCCGCTCCGCACAGGTGCCGACGGGGTAGGCGGCGTTCTCGACGTTTGCGCCCGAGACGTAGGCGCCGGCGCTGGTGAGCAGCACGGCGCCGACGCGGAACTTGCTGTAGGGGCAATAAGCCGTGCCCTTGGCGTCGACGGCGTGGCGCCTGAGTGTCTTGATCTCGTCCGCCGTCAGGCCAAAGGTCTCGGCGGTCGACTCGATGTGCTGCTCGTTGATGCTGGAGAGCATCGGGGGCGGTTGGGGTGCCATGCTGATGATCTGAGGCAGGGGTTCAAAAGTTTGGTGATGAGGGAGTGCTGGCTGAGACAAGCTCGATGAATGGACTGCCCTACCGTGACTTGTCGCAAAAAAGAAAAAGAAAAGAAATCTATTGCCGTTCCTTCCTGCCTCGAACAAAGTTTATTTTCGGTAAGGAATGAGACAAAATGAAGTAATGCCGTATTGAATCACTGAGACTGATAAGTGAGAGAATTCGGGCCTTAGTGTCCCTAAGGAGCATCGAGACTCATAGTGGAGTGCGGTAGTCGCCGGCAGCCGGCAAGGCGGGCTTGCTAACTGCACTGGATTCTTCTCACCCGTTGACGAGTATTCAACGTCCAAAATGGCTCATATACCTGGACACCCGGAATATTCACGTTTTCTTGCCCTATTGATTGTGTCAGTTGGACATCAATAGTCGACGCTGCCGGGCCCTTGTGAGCAACCCAGCTACACCTGACCGTTGCGCTCACCCGGCGGGCTTGTATACCTCCGATATCTGGGACATTAAAAGATATTGGACTGTATATTTCTGATCCGATGTAATCGTCAATGGGTTCTGGTGAGCGTGAATAACAAGCAAACACGACACTTCAAGGTGAAACTTTGTGCGGGAGAACCAAAGTGCCGGGACACTCAATACACTGTCGCACTTGCGCATCACTATTACTTTGCAGCTTCTCATAATCTCTCTATCATTATCTTCAAGGACGGGCAATAACAGTTCGTGATAGCACACAATCCTATGAATGCTTAAGCACACGTCTCTTCCCAGGAACTCCACTCATATTGGGATAGTCATGGGGTTCATCACACTGGCCCCTCCATCCACCACCATATTGGCCCCGTTGACATAGGATGAGAAATTACTTGCCAGAAAGCCCGCGACTCTTGCCACCTCTTTTGGTAGACCAGCACGCTCCAGCGGGATGGTCTGCTTTTGAGCCTTGATCGTGCGCGCAAAGTATCATTAGCAAGAAGAAGCTGGGTGCGAGCTACGCTGGTGGAATTCTTACCTCGGGTGTTTGTAAGGATGCTGGGGGGAATTGTGCTGTCATCCCTCTCATGTCCATCTGCATGATAACATGTCAGTATAGTGGACAGGAACAATGCCCTGGCTGCGGCTGCTTACCCCGTTCAGATCAACGCCCACGTCGACTTGGCCCGGGGAAATGCAATTGATCCTCACGCCACTTCCCTTGAGCACTGCAACGCCGGCCCTGACGACCCCCAGTGCCGCGTGGGCTGCCATCGTGTAGCTTGGCCCCCAACAGCCGCCATAGGTAGATGCAACACTGCTGATGACGATGATACTGCCGTACTTTTGTGACTTCGGCGCAGCGTTGGGGTACGATTGCTTCTCAGTGAGCTTGGCCATGGCCGGGGGCGCGTACTTGAGCGCGAAGAATGGAGCCATCGAGTGCGCCTCAAAGCACCTCTGGAGGTCGTCCGGGGTGGTATCGTGGATCGATGGAGGCCCGAGCAGGCCAGATGAGCAGACCCAGATGTCGAGGCGGCCAAAGGCGTTTAGCACCTCGTCGATGAGCACGACCGTGTCCTCCTCCTTGGCGATATTAAATGGATAGGGGATGACCTTGGTCTGAGGGTGGTCCTTGGAGAGAGCATCGAAAAAGTTCCTGCCAGTATCTAAGGTCGTTGCTTGATCACAGGCGTATATCGCAGCAGCCCCGTGTGCTGCCAGCTCCTGGACGATGGCCTGCCCGACAGGTTGCGAAGTACCTGTGACGACACAGACGAAGCCGTACTTTGGATGGCGTTAATTTTGTGCTTCATTGATATACCATGGGAAGGCGATGGAGTCCAACAACTCACGATCTTGCCGTCAGGCCGGTATGGGCTGAATTCTTCAGCAGTATCCATTTTATCACGTCCGAGCGGCTAGACCTTACGAGCGAAAGTATGTGTATAAAATACAGTGTATGGAGACTATCAGTGAACGACACGATAACAAACCCAAGAAGCAAGATTCTTGATACGAAGGCTGGAAATACTTTGGGTGTTGAACATGGAGGCCTTATACTCGGGCGTGTAAATATGATGTCGAGCCATTTGTATTACCCATCGACAATGGAATGATTCTGGTTCGTCAATGGCTACGTAGGTACGGTAGGTGGTTGGTTAGTGTGCGATTGAGAGGTGCTTCTCCGAGGCACCGCTGGGTTACGGAAATCGACTGATGTGTGCTCGAGATAAGGACACACAGCAGGCGGGTTCGGTAGTACAACAGCAGCTTGCCTAGGTAAGCCAGGGCAAAGCAGCCATACGGAGGGTATCCCGTGGAAGGTTATCCTATGGCCCATAGAGGGTTATCCCACAAGAGGTTATCCCACTGGGAGGAGTGCTAAATACTGCCCAGGTGGTCAGGTTCTATCTAGTGCGAGGTGCAGCCTCTCGACTATTCGGAGGTCGTTTAGTGCTTAGGGCCTGAGCAAGAGGACTTGGGTAAGCACAGAAGTGTGAATTTGGACCGCATGCAGATCTGCAGGGCTGCCATTGCCCAATGGCCGAGCGTATTTGCGAATATCGGTGCAGGAATTGGTAAAGCTTAACTTGTTCGTGAAGACTCTCGAGGAGACTCGCTTGTCGGACTGGGGGGATGGGAAAGCAGAGTCTGGGAAATCACACCTTAGATTCCGATGTTGCAGCGATCCCCACCCCCCACAGGCTGGCTGGCCGAGTGCCGGTGCTATCACGCTTGGTCTGGTCTCGTCTAGACTTGTCCGTCGACCAGACTTGATTCCCTGCCCATTTCAGACACAGAGAGCACACGACTGCAGCCACCAATTGATCGCATCTCGCGATACACCGCCCTCCCGACCACCCCTCAAAGACATGCGGCACTTATGACACTAAGTTCGACCTCTGTACCACCGTGTCTCTGCTTTCTGCGTCATCGAGAGAGCATCTGCAGCTGGGCAGCCCGCCCTGTTACACGAGCTCGTGCCCTGCCCTGCCCTCGCCCGCGCCCTTCTTGATCTCGCCCGCGACCGCGACTCTCGACCCGATCTCACCATGGACCAGGCAGATGTCCCGGCGCTGCTAGCGCGCCTGGCCAGCGACGAGGATGCCTCCCGGAAAATGGCTGTGTTCAAGCTCCAATCCTCTATCAACGACCCTGCCTTCGCCGACGTCTTCATCTCCTCGGGCGGCCTCGTCATCCTGCGACGTCTTATCATGAGCACCGGTGGCAACACCCTCGCGTACTCGCTACAATCCTTGAGCAGGCTGCTTGAGGTCGACATGGGATGGGACATATTCGAGGGCCACATGGCCACCGACCTTGTTGAGCGCATCGTAGAGCTCATCGTCATGAACCCCCTGGTCAACATCCTGAGAGGTGCAATGTCCATACTGGTTGCGCTCGTCTCCCACTCGCAGTCGGCTCCCAGGACCAACCACATCGCCGCCTCTGTGAAAGGCCCTAGTTCATATGGCTTTCGCGCCCTCAAGCCCGCCGTCGCCGTCTACCCTCAGCTTTTCGAGCACGTCATCTCTCAGCTCCAATCCGCCGACCACGCCCTTTGCGCCAATGCATTGATGCTGATCAACGCACTCATACGTGACGCCGTGTCGAAGGAAGAACCGCGCAGTACTGCAAACGGGGCACGGTCAGGCGCGAATGAGGATTGGTCAAAGTTCATAAAAAAACTACAGGATCTCGGTCTGATCAAGGCTGTATACAACCTGATGCAGAGCTCGGCAATGCAGGACCTTGCCCAGCCTCTACTTGAATTCCAATCACTTACGAAGGTGCTCCTGAGGAGGTGGAAAGAGGTCAAGGTCGATCTGGAGCGACCCGAGCACAGGAGAGCACTGAAAGGTCTGCATCTTGCCAGCGCGCCAGATAAGTCGTTTGGCAACGGGTCCGGCTCTACCACCCCGGTGATGATGGACGGCGAGAAAGGTGGCAGGAAACACAACCCAGAAAAGTGGCGCAGGCTTGGTTTTGAAACAGAGAGCCCAGCATCAGAATTTGGCATTGCTGGGTTCCTGGGCATGATGGACCTGACGGATTACGTGCGCAAGAACGAAGACGGATTCCAGAAAATGCTTTTGGAGCAGTCGACGAGACCACTGAGCGAGAGATGTCCAGTCGCACGTTCGAGTCTGGCAGTTACGACAATGCTTTACGAGCATTTTGAGGTGAACAAGGCAGATCTTGAGGATACGAAGGGCTACCAAGCGCTTGAGAATGCCAAAAACAACGACAAAGTTTTCAGGCCTCTGTTACTACAATGGTCGCGGTTGCACACTGCTGGTCTCCATGCTTTCTTCCGGTTGTGGAAGGCAACAGGCGCAGAGAGGGACGATTTTGACAAGGTGGCTGAGCTGGTCCGAATACTCATCGAACAGGTGGTCGGTCAAGCGAGTAGGATGAAAGACGTGGTGGAGGTTGAAGAAGAGCTCCAGGAGCAAGACTGTGCGCGACTACGGGAACTACAGATGGAGCTTCTCGATTTGTCATTTGACGACCAATGGGGCCAGCACCTCTACCAGGTGCGTGAGGAGCTGAAACACGAAGCGTTGTCTTTCGTAAAGGAACAGCGCATTCGCTGTCTACTCCAAGGGGCTTGGTCTTCCAGGCCGTTGCCACGGCGCGATCAGCCGGAGCACCAACAAGATGATGGCTCGGGAAAGAAGAAGCTGTACCAGCCAAAGCCATGGAGGTTCGCGAAGCTGTCTCACAACAGACGCTATCTTCACTACGCCGACTTCGCGGAGAAGATGGAGCCAGATCCTGGCCTCGACTCTCTTGCCGAGAAAATCGACCTGAGCACCATCAGCTCAGTGGTCTCCAATGTGTCTGCCCCTAACGAGGACGTCCGGAGTGTATCTAGCGGATCTACGCTCAAGAACCAGGCGGCGAACCCTGGCGCGATGGCAGGCACCAATGCCGCGCCGAAGACGACGACAAAGATCACCATCTACAGCTACGTGAGGCCGGAGGAGGCGGCGAAGGGTGGTGACACCAAGGAGCAGGCCATCCTGACTCTGTTCCCTCTTAACCACTCTCTGGCGTCTGAGTGGCTGGACGGCCTGCTCATGCTGCTTAACCAGGCGCCGATCACGGCGGAGACAAACAAGCTGGTGACGCTGGTGAGCGATTACGGCCTGAAGATCAGGCTGCTTAATGTGAGGGTGGATGCGGTCTATCAGGGGCCGCCACCAGGAGCCGGCGTGGTGCCGAGCAGGGAAGGGTTGGACGATGATTACTTCTATGAGGTTTAGCCTTGCTGCAGTCAAGGCGATGTAGAGGTCCAGTCCACGGATAGCTTTTTCCGTTTTCTGTTTTTGTTTTGAGTCAACGCGTATACCCCGATTTAACCGAGGAGGCTGAGGGTTCGAGGGCTGTGGGGGACTCGAGAGCATGTGTTCAGGTTTTGCATATAATAATGGTCTTCAGCATAGCGATAAGACGTTTGTTTCGCGCTGTTTGTTTCGCGCTGTTTTTTTCTTCTTTTTTCGCGATGTACCATAGTTCACGTAAATAAGTACGCTCAGCATGATCTTGAACCAATGTCTTAGGCATCTGGGATGACCTTTGAAAGGAGTTGAGAGTGTGAACAATCAGAATCCTCCCAGGTGGAGACGAGATACACACAGTACACCTATGAAGCAAGTTGACTGATTCCAGGCAATAGAAAAAAATCAAGAGGAATGCCAGGGTACTGGAGGCAGCACAAGGCCTCGTGTGGGGTCACTGACCCAGCGCGCCGGGCCGACCTGCAGCAGCTTTACACCCTAGTCGCCTTAGTCTGCTAAAGACTGGGCTGGCAGGTGGCTGGGGTCAGGGGCAGGGGTCCAGCTCCGAGCTTAAATCAAACGGTCCCCGTCATTGACGGTTCGTTTGCCAAAACATGTTACAGTGAGCCCCTCCAGGCTTATGACAACATCAAAGCCCGTTCGTTCTTCATACATCGCGTGCATCAATCTCCGCCGTCTTCGAAGCTGCATTGAAGCGACGAGATGCCATACAAGACCCCATCCAGAAGGGGGGCGTCGGCCAAGAAGCCGTTTACGCCTCGCAAGAGAGGTCTCTTCGAAGACGGCCAATGGCTCTGTGAGGCCCACCTCCCCACCGCATGTGACAGAGTGCCTTTTCCCTCTAACCATGACCCTTTTTATCCTTGTAGGCGAATGCACACCGCGGAAGCCGGCTCTCTGCCTGACAGTGAAGAAGGACAGTCCGAACAAGGGCAAGCGGTTCTACACATGCCAGGAAAACCCCAAGAAATGCGACTTCTTCCTCTGGTTCGTCTCTCACACAGCTGTCTCCCGAAGCTCGGTGTACTACACCTTGTCTAAGGGGCATCTCGAGTCGCTATATGAGCACCTCAGCTTACATCAGATTCAGGGAGGAAGAAGCAATGAAGCGCGAGCGCGACGCCCTTCTGCTTCACAACTGTAATTCTGAAAACGGCATCACCACCAACGTGCGGGCCAAGACCCCCGAGCCCGCACCACCTCTGAACCTGCCTGCACCCAAGCCGGCCGCGCCGACCATTTCTCAGTACTTCGAGAGGCCCGGCGCACCCAAACAGAGGATTTTCAAAGGGCTCGATGAACCACGACAGGTTCACCCCTCACAGTCTAGCGACACGGATGACGAGATGAACGTGCCGGAGCCCAGCCAAACGCTCCGCGGATCGAGCTCGTCTAAGTCACTCAGCACCGACGCGGCAGCGGCAGACGCTGGTAGGTACGGCTCTGGGTTGCAGGCGCGGTACGGCGGGGGAGCTCCGGTAACGCCGACGGCAAAGCGGAAGCGGGGCATCTTCCTGGAGGACAGCGACGATGAGTTCGGGGGCGACGACCTTGACGACCCGGAGACGGAGAGGCAGCTCGCCGCCATCACGGACGAGAGCGCGCGGAAGCAGCAGCGGACGAAGGACGTCTACGATACGCCCGCCACAAACAAGAGCAACGGCCTCCCAACGCCCGTGAGCAGGAGACCGGGCCTCCTAATAGCATCTGATGAGCGGGAGCGCACGGCGAAGCACCAGCAGCACGCTGGGGCTGGCAACGACGAGGCCCAGTCGCAGGTGCTAGGAGACCCCGAGACGCCTACTCCCTACCGGAAGACCGACGCCCTCGCCGGGTTGAAGACCGCCACCGCAGCGGCAGACAAGTCGCCGGGCAATGCGGCCGTTCTGGATGACTACCCCAAGATCCTGGACGAGGTGCTCTCCCTCCTGGCCCACCAGCCGGTCGCGGAGTCTACGAAGCGGACCTTAAAAGCGGCAATGGAGCGGCACGAGATGCGCGTCAAGGGCGTTGTCCGTGGCAGGGAGGCTGCGAGGGCGGGCATCGCGGAGCGGGATGCCAGGATAGGCGAGATGCAGGACCGCATCGTGGCGTTGGAGAACGCCAGGAAGATGGACAGGGAGAGGTTGCGTGAGCTCAGTTCGGGGCTGCTCAAGTTGAGCCAGGAGGATTGAGTGGTCTGATTCGTCTGCTTTACTGGGTTATGGCCGGAGTTTTATTAGGGCTTTGTTCACTGTGTTTGGGAAGGTCCAGCGGGCTAGGACTATCGTGAAAGGACTGTAGTGAGAGAGCCTGGGCCTGGCTTTACGTTTGGCGTGCAGGATAGGATACCCCATTGAATATTTATAGAGACTGAAGGACCAAAATGATGCACGAGGAATCCACGGGATTACTTCCCGTCAAGTTCGACGTGGGTGATGTGATGATTTCATCTGGCATTGTTTAGATAGATGAGTCGACTTCACTGTTCCTCGGTTCGTGTTTTCAATCGAGCCGCTCGACCTCCCAATAACTGCAGCCTCAAATTGCAAGGCTTGCCTCGCCTCGCTTCTCCTTCGAAGCTAGGGATCAACCAATCCAACATTCAAGCAGGGGGTATCTCATGCGGCGAATGCAATAGTATGTAGCTATCGGCCGCTTAACGCTTGTACGGTGTGTCCTATATTTCCATCAAGACGGTTCCACCTCATCCCCGTTTAGTTTTACTTTCCAGTAATCCTTGACATCCTGGATCCCTTTACAGGGGCCGGCAGGCACTGGCCAAAAGCGTCGCGCTCTGTTGAAGACAGTTAGCAACTTTGGAGCCAATTGTAGAATGCATGTGGGGAATGCAACACTGACCTTCCTCGCTCTCAAACAATATCGTGATATCATCATGCTCACCCGGTATCTCGGGCAAGTCCAAGCACACAAAAGCCAGATCCTCCGCCGACTCTTCTTGGCCCTCCGGCCTGCGAGGCAGAGGGAACTTTGCGTCGTCGATTTTGATACCCGCCAACTTATTGCGATTTACAGCCTCGAAGATGTCGGTTGGCTTCAGGGGAAAGCTCATGCTTTCACCATGGTGGAAGTCCTCGAAGAAGGCCAGCACCTGGATGATGTTCTCTGACTGCACGACCTGGATCCTTGTCGCGCCTGCTTCCCACTTCTTGTAGATTGGAACCACCATGCGCCGTCGGGAGATGGCTAGGGTCGCTGCTATTCCATCGAATAATACCTTGAATCCGGTCAAAGCCTCCTGGAACTCGTGCAGGTTTCTTTGACTGGTGAATGTGAGTGTTCGCACTGAAGGCGAGCGTTGCGCGAGCTGCAGCGCCTGGTACATATCCTCTGGAGTCTGTTTTGGAACCTGGGATTCCGACAAAGAGATTGTCAGATCCCGTTGCGGCTGCCGTAAGATGGAGAGGCTCAATTTGTCTTTGACAGGTAGTCTAATCTTCAGCTCTCCAGGCTCGACATTGACTCTGTCAGCAATGGTACCGCATTTGAAATCGACGACGATCTTGAGCTTCTCAGCCAATACCGTTTCTGGAATTTCGTCTTCGGTGTCCTCATTGATAATCCTGACTCTCGACCATGGCAACTGGGAGAAGCCTTTCATGGGCCCGGACCTCGCGTTCTGGGATAATGCGAACCCGGTGATAGGCACTTCGGAGTGAACCTTCTCGTCCTGTTGGACAACAGTGCCGACCAAGATACTGTGGAAACGAAGACGTTCGGGTTCGTCGTTGAAAGCCATGACCATTCTGCCTGTTGAGCCCCCGTCGTCAAACCTGAGGAGAAGGGCCGGTTCATTGTGCTCGCCGCGCAAAAATCCGAATTGGACCGGTGTTTGTGGGCTATATGTATGATTCACCGCACTGAGTACTTTTGTGCTCGGGCCGGTTACGACAGCAAGGCGGAAGCCTCGGTGATAGCTTCTCTGCCCTGTTGGCGAAGACTCTTTGAGGATCTTTTCGAATAGGGCAATCTCGCAACTTCGAACTGCCTCTCTAGGAAATGCGGTCGATTGGGCATTCGAGTCGAAATATTGGAAGCTACGCAGAGTGGACTTGAAAACTATTTCCTCGTCTTTCCGCGGCTGAAGGGTTGCAAGCGACTTGGCGTTGAAGTCTTGCATGCCCCATAAGACCTTAAAGTCTTGTGGTCTGCACTGAGTGGCAAGCGCAAAGCCACGAGGCAATTTGACCTCCAGGGAGCATTTTTCCACCCTCCACTTCACGTCGTCCCACGTCGGTCCCGCTGCTTTGTTGCTTTGTATGCGGAACTGGACCGCACCATTCTGGCTTGCGAGACAGAACTCAAGACCAGCCTGCTTCGGTGCTCTTGTCACGGAAAGGAGGCAAGGGAAACGCAGTGGGTGGCTTTCCATCCCCTGTTCCATGAGGAAAACGTCCACAAAGTAGCGTCCGAAGCAATATAGCTCGGATGAATCACCTAGTGGCAAGGTTGCGAGCAGCGGAATCCTTTTGACGGATTGTTGCTGTGCAAGGGACCCTCGAGAGCCCCAGAGCAAGGCGACGACATCCTGACTGACGGCAGGATACTCCAGCCATATCGATCTGTCCAGCGTTTGAGGGAGTAGCGCATCCTCCGGGGGCAAGAATCCGTTTCGCTTCATCGAAGAGGAAAGTTTTCTCAGCTGCGACGTTATCGCCTGACCAACCTCCTGGACTTCTGCATCGATGGAGCTGCTCTTCTGACCCATGACTTCGGGCAGGACTTCCTCATATAGCCAAAGCGCTTTGGCCAGATCCGCGTATGCCTGCTGACGTGCTGCCGACACTTGCCCTTGAGTCTGTGGGGTCTGCGGCGTCTCTCTGATGGACATTTCCAGTGCCATTCTGCCCTTCAAGAACCACCAAAGTGCTGCTCGAGCAAGATCGTCTGGCAGACACGAAAGTATGGGTTTCACTGCCTCGGCATGCAGACGGAAGAGCTCGAAAAGATGACGCGTTCGAGCAACAAATATGTCCAAAGCATCGTCAACGGGTGCGCCAACGTCAGGCACAGCCATGTTGCGCTTTGTCGGGGACTCGCTCGGCCTGGGCGGTTCCCTGGTAGATGGCCATCGCTGTGAAATATTCGGGCTAGATGTAGACGTGTGAGAATAGTTTGACGACGCAGGGCTCTGTTCTACGGGCGGTCTTCTAAATTGGCTCTCAGGAGACTCGGCGCCGACTGAGGACGCCGCTGATGCCCGAGAGTCGGTAGGCGTACCGGGGCCAACGCCACTATGCCTGACTTCCTCCCACTGGTGCTCGAGAGAGTTGGCAGAGGACTGGCGCACGGCTTGGGCAAATGCCATGCCCTCTGCCTGACGCTGTTTCGCCTGGTTGATCTCGATGAAAGACTTCCTCTTTTCGTCGTTAGAAACCACCGAGGTGTCCAGGAATCTAGAAGTGTTAGGGGTGCCTGCAGGCACGGCGGGCACATTCTGAGGTGGCTCGGGAGGCAGATCACGGCTGGGCGCTGGAGCTGGAGCCGGAGGCACAGGAGGTGCTGGCTGCGGAGGAGAGTCCGAAATGGTAGAGAACCCGGTCTGTGTACGTCTCATGGGTTGCGGGACGAATTCTTCCTGTTGGGTCTCCGAGTACGCCCTCTCCCTCTCTCCCTCGCGAAGGTTTGCTATCTTCTGCAATTGCGCTGGTGGCGGGGCAGACTGTGCCCTCTTCCTCTTCCCAATTTCAGCCGTAGGAACACTGCACTCGTCTCCACCATCACCAATTACCTCTGGGAAAGTGTCGACGAATCTAACGACCAGACCCTTCTTGTTTCGTACCCGAGGGCTGTGAGAGCGCGTTCGAATGGGGACGCTGGGCTGGAGTGTCGATTGAGGGGGTTGCTGAGTACTGTACTCGGCCGCGTTGGGATATCGCCTGGCGGTGGAGGTGTCAAGCTTGGCTAGCAACTGCGGGCCGGGGTGATTGACTGTGACGGGCAAGTTGTCGTGAGAGCCGTGGAAGAAGTTATTCAAGTCCTCGTTCCCAGATTGGGCAGGGTTCGATGTCTTGCGGTCCCTCCCAAACAGCTTTCCCATCAGGCGTCCCCTTTTGGAATATGCGTCCTGCTCCATGTCTGTTGTTGGCTGTCGCTGGTCTCGTGATGAGTGTGTTCGAGATTCGGCGGGCAAGGGACGACGGGAGCTTGGTATTTAAACGTAAAAGATGACTCGTGCTCCTCAGGCGAGGTTAGGGGGCATGGTGTCACGGTGGAGGAGGGAAGGTGAGGCCGGGGCCAGCAACGTTCACAGGGCTGTGATGCGTTCCCTCGAGATCTGGTGCGACACGATCGTGATCAATGGCAAGTCAGGCAGGTGTTTGGAGTGGGAGGCTTCAGAAAGGGACGGGACTGGGGCCAGAGTTGCGAGTGCAAGACAGGATAATTATCTTGGGTCTAAATTTATGCGGTGATGTACAATTGCAGCAGAGTAGGTCTAGTAAGGAGGCTCGAGGTTGGCGAGGAGCCCACGGGTAGCCGTTTCAGCAACGTCGTCCTCTCAGGCTGTCAGTCAAGGGTGGGCAATGTGGGTGAACTGTACATGTCTCTGCTGTAACGACAACGTTGGGATACCCTGGACCCTGTCGCGCGCCTCTTGCTGTCACTTACTCACAGTAACGCAGTAAACGCAGCCCTGGCCCTACCCAGGTACCCTAGCAGCCCAGGTATGCACGCTGGTACGGCACAATACCTGAATACCTGGCCCCCGGGTGGGCTAGGCGGGCGTGGGTACAATGTTTCTTAGGTACATACAGTGCTGACCCGTGCATGTGGGACCCCGCCGCGGTTCACATCAGACGTCCGCAGCATGATGCTTGGCCTCCACCCCGTTGTGTTCCTGAGCTGGAGCTTTGGACCCCTTTTCCCAAGCTGCTGAGGCGCTTCTGAAATTAGGGGTATTGTATGAATCAGTGCCTCGCCCGCATCGCCCGCATCGACCCAGCGGCCGCAGCTTCAGCGCCAGCAGCAGCTTGGCCTCGGCCTCCGAGTTCAAAAAGAGGTCTCGAGTTTTCCTTTACGAACAAACCACTTCGTATTGCTTGATTAATGGGCCTGCCAGAAGCTTCAGAGACTTCGGAGCGGTCGCGTGGCCACGCTCAGGCACCGATGGGGCCCCACGTTCTGTGCCCGTGTTCCCGCGGTCAATCGGTGAATGCGCACCCCCCACCCCTGCCTCGAAATTCAGAGTGCCCACGGACGTGGAGCTTCTGTCTGCCTTACTGCTGGGCATACTATGTACCCGGGTGTGCCACGCCCGTCTTGACGGTACTCAATGGATGTACTATCAGAAAGTGGCCAAGAAAAAAAAAACTGCTTAGTTACTGAACTTTATTCCACGACATCTTAAGATTCTCCCGCATTACACACGACGTTCTGCCGAAAGCGGATATTCCAATGGAGAATTTCCAACGTAGGATATCCCAGGGGCAGGTACTCCACGGGATGTTCCCGCTGGAGGCTATCCAGAGGAAGAATACACGTCGCAAACACGGCTAGTAATTTCACAACCGAGTCCCTCGCGACCATCTGGCTGCGGCCGGTCCATCGATGACCTGAGGACAGAGGTCCACCGGCTGCTGCCTCTTGCCCTGTTTTACCGAGCAGATCAGTAGATCAAAGGCCCGTCCAGGTAATGGGGTAGGTCGGTCGCACCACATTGCCGCGGCCCAGGTGGGAACGTGGGAACTGTTGTCGAGACCACAAGGACAATTAAACTCTTATCTCTCTCTCATCTCCCCATCGCCGGGTCTGCGTGCCGGCCCTGCTCCCCGAGCCGTGATGGATTAAAGGCTTGTCTACTGACAAGTACCACCAGGGACATCATTTGTTCGTTTCATGTGGGAAAAAAGTCGACGCTGCAATCTCGACTATGCCCGACGGCTGTATGCCAAGAACGCGCCGTCCGGGTCTAGATAACAGCTTTGCTAGGGCCGTCTGCTCCCTCGACTCGGACGATCTGCTGGCTGCTTTTGCTTGTCATGTCTTGTTGTGTCTGTCTGTTTTGTTGCTCTTGTCTTTCTGAGACAATGGGTTTCATTTCGATAGGCCGATCAGCCGAACTAGCGGAGCTGGTCATCCATGATGGGGTTGTCTGCGGTGAAAGAACAATAGAGATCAGTTCGCACCAGGCAAAGCAGATCTGTGGGATCCCTGCGAGCTATAGGGACGGGACCCACTCTGTTCTTGCGGTGGCTTCCACATGTGAGGCGTCACCGGAGACTCAAAGGACCAACGTCTTATTTCCATCAACACAGGTAGCGGTCAAATGCTACCTAGGTACGCATCCTGCGAATTTCGGTTCTGCCAGTGTCACTCGCCTGAATCCCGGTGCGCGGCAATCTCCTTGTTGAATTGGCTTTGACGTTAGATCTGTGGTCCAAACGTGCTGGCAACCACTCACACGACACAAACACGCGTGGTTAGATCAACGACTCTCGATTGTTTAACGAAGGACCTTTCATTCCCCCGACGTAGGCATATATTTCGTCTTTCGAACCTACCTCGCCTCTTTCCTAAACACGAAACATATGATCCAAAGTTGTACGAGACATCTCGAGTCGAGCAAGGGACATGTGTGACGGCACAGCTATATAAGACTGCACTGTGTTCCAGACGGTATTCTGGAATTCTGACCTTATTTTGGGAACGGCGCTGGCTATAGTGCAGCGGTCAGGTTTGTCGTCTCAACATGCTCTTGAATATGGCTTTACGTATGCTCCTGCCTGGGCTTATCTCCCCCATACAGAAGTCTTGCGGCTCTCCGATCTCATTTTGCGCAGAGCTTGCTTAATGTTATCGTCGTAACGGCTGGACGTGCAGCAAGGGAGGATGAAGAAGGCTAAATAAGATGGCCAGTTTAGGCCCATCAGCCTCCTGGGATGTGTCTTGGATCACGACAGTCGCGACTGTGGACGGGTAAACTGACCTTTCGACTGAGTGACGAGGCTGAAGAGGCGATATAGCATAGAGAGGACGTCTGCTGACGAGTCCGAGACAGGTTCGTCATCGGTGGCAATGACAGTACCAAATCTCTGGATGTCGTGTGTAACAAGCAGACCATGACCTGGTTGAATGCGTGCCTCGCACGTCAGGACTAGCCTTGGTGGTCTCATGAGGCCTTCGAATGGGCAATTCCTCTGTTCACTATCCTGGACCCAATGCAAGTATATCAGGGCCGATTCAAGTCGACATTGACCAAAAAACAATTCTTGCGCGAGGATGAATCCCTTTACATGTCTTTCACGGCAGATGGCAGGCTCAGCAGATACTTCTGATGATGTGTTTCCCCTCGACTTCGATAGGAAAATCCCAAATAAGGTAAATCAGTTACGCAGGGTCTCATGGGTTTAGGAATCGGATAGTGTTACAATTTCTTGGGTCATTCCGGCCCGTCTATCCTCATGACTGATCTAGAAAGCGAAGGCCAAATGGGATTTGCGACTCTCGTCTGAGAACCGCAAGTGGGACGTGGTGAAGCCCCCGTTCACTAAGCGCTTCAAGATCCGCGAAGCTGACGTGGATCGTGGAATTGGGGCTCGGGTTTTCAACCTGAGGAGGCGTACTGGAGATCCCATCCGCGAATTTGTGGCACGGGCAACCGAGTTGTCCTATCAATGCACGGATGAACAGATGGCTGGACTTCGTTACCGTCTGTATGCACATATGGCTGTCCCCGAAGGCCATGCAGATTTCGAATCCGACCGTCGGATCCAGGCCGTCCCGCAGAAGTTCACTTTCTATAGTCTTATTTTAGAGCCCACTAGAAAATATCCCAAAGACAATATCTTACGAGATTTAAGATATACATATGCACATACACACACGTGTCTAGTGTTGTTGCTAAGTTGTTGTTTTAGAGCTACATGGAAGCCACGGAAGGCGAGTGGTGTGACCCGTGTATATCCCCATCTTAATCGAAGTGTATATCGAGGGCAGCAGTTGCAAGAATACTACCTCCTACAGAATTTTGCAGTCCCCAAAGTTGATAGCTGCAGACCAGGGCAGACACATGGATCGTTGAGACCGTGGATGTGCCTGGATATCAAAGGAAATGTTGCCGTCTTCAGAGCTCCCGCAAAGTGTAGACAGGGATATTCCAAGCAGGTACCAAGGAAGCAACATGAACGGAGATGACCACTTTGTTTATTGGAACGAGCGACTCAGTCTCTGCAACCCTGGAAGGCCTTGACCCATCCGAGAAGGTTTTGTAGTCCAATTTCTCCTCTGGTCCTCTGCCTGATTCATTGTAGTAGAGGCTATGCGGACAAACCGACTTTTCCTGTCTCTGCTTGAACGCGAGGGGGAGGGGAAGATGCATTACGAGGCTGCAAGTACAGAGTCTCTCAACATGCACGGCGCAATGCAACGTAGATCAGAATCACGTTGCGGAGATGCACCTGCTGACTGGCTGTCCAGGGATGGTTAAAGGACCGCAAGACTCTATGTATAGGCATCCAATGTACCTTGCCGTACTCCACACGCTGTGGTTGAATCCGAGGAACCGGTACCTGATCCAAGATCCAGCCATGGGCGGCTGTTCTACTGTATGCGGGGGAGCACGGGCCTCGGGTGCGCACAGTCTGTGCCTGCTGCTCTTCGATCAGAGATGCAGAGAATGACATCGGCATACAACGTCATGGGTCGGTGACTGCATTGCTGGCTTAGGGTCCAACCTTGGAAGAGCAACGTACGGCTGGCAAGCCGGGCCTGGGCCAGGGGGGTAGGTGTGGTTGTGCGGGTGGGGGGCGAGGCGAACCCCGCCAAATTGTCATTTGCTCACCCAGCTACTACCGTAGGCTTCTCTTATTCCCACCGGCGACGTCGGGCTGACCCTTCTGCCTGCTCTCAGCTTTCCCTGCCCTACATCATCATCTCGACAAACCAAAAAACCTCACGGTTGAGACTAGATTTCCCAACGGAACCCCCCACTGAGTGTGTGCTTTTTTGCCTCGAGACCGAAATCTCTGCCATCATCCTCCAGCCTTCTTTTTCAAGCTACCTGCTTCCATAGGTGCGTCTCGGCGCGACGAGCTCACACAAACCCCCCTTTGTGTCTTGACTTCCTTGGGAGAGAGGCCTCTCTCCTGGGCTATGCCGATGATGGGGCTTGTGTCTGGAGCACGTCGACGAGCGACATCAAATGCTAGTGCGTGAAATCTACAGTTCCTCCTTTGATAACAGTTACCCATGTATCCCGCCGCCGTTGTGACTGCTACTGCGCTGTGCTCTACTGAACGCTAACCTCCCCCTCGTTCTCCCCGTAGGTAGCCGAGGATCCGTCGATGAAGGCAGAGGTGACCAAGGTGAAGATGAGACCGTCATTGAAGCCGACCAGGGAAATGGTGCGTCAACTTCCAGCCCGAATCCCGAATCTTGTCCATGCTAAATATGTGGAATGCAGTGCTTGGGCATATCATATCCCAGCTCAGGCCCGGTGCAGATCTGAGTCGAGTTACGCTCCCAACATTCATTCTTGAACCTCGTAGCATGCTGGAGCGGATAACGAAGTAAATCGAGCCCCTATCTATACCTTGAAGCAAGCAGTTCCGGCTGACCGTCCGCCTCAAAGCTTCATGTGCCACCCCGAAATGCTCCTACCTATCCCAGAGATGGACGATCCCACCGAGAGATTTGTTTCCGTCGTGAAGTTCTACCTCAGTGGTTGGCATATCCGTCCTCCGGGCGTCAAGAAGCCTCTGAATCCTATTCTTGGCGAGATATTCACTTGCTACTGGGACTTTCCAGACAACACAAGAGCATACTATATTTCAGAGCAGACCTCTCACCACCCGCCGAAATCGAGTTACTTCTACATGGTTCCTGAACACCACATCAGAGTCGATGGATGCCTAAAACCGAAGAGCAAGTTCCTGGGAAACTCGGCAGCAAGTCTGATGGAGGGCACTGCTACCCTCACGTTCCTGAACAGGGGGAAGGACCCTCAGAAGGGCGAGCGATAGTAAGGCACAATGCGATTCGGCAGCCACAACAATACTGACTGTATGCCACAGCTTCCTCACACAACCGAACATGTATGCGAGAGGTATCCTCTTTGGCAAGATGAAGTATGAGCTTGGTGATCACAGTTTTGTTCGATGTCCCGAGCTGGGCCTTGTCGCAGACTTGGAATTCAAGACAAAGGGCTGGGTTGGTGGCACGTACAATGCCATAGGCGGCTTTATTAGAAACGAGAAGACCGGCGAGACGCTATACGAGTTCTCCGGCTTGTGGAGTGATGAGATGGTTATCAAAAATCTGAAGGTAAGCCAAGGATGCCTACTGGGAATACGCCATGGTGACACGGACCATTAACGAGAAAGCAGACTGGCCATAAAGATGCGTTCTTCAACGCACACCGCGCAAAGCCATCGCCTCCTCAGGTCAGGCCCTTAGATGAGCAAGACGAGAAAGAGTCCCAGCGACTGTGGCGCAAGACCGCACAAGCCGTTAAGGATAGGAACCACGAACTCGCCACGGACGAGAAGACCCGGATCGAGGATGCGCAGAGAGACGAAGCCGCCAAGAGAGCCCAAGAAGGGGTTGAGTGGCATCCGCGCCTCTTCAGAAGAGTCAGGGGTGGCCCCGGTGGCTCTGAAGAAGGGGAGGAAGACCTTGAATGGATAATCAACGCAAAACTGTGAGTGCCGCCCTCCCGAGATAACAGCTTACACGGAGCTTGCTGCTGATTCTCAACAGCGACACCTCCGACCCGAAGAAACAAATCGAGCAAATTCTGGACATCTATCCTATCACGCCAGGCCAGAAGGCGAACAGCACTCACTCGATTCCTCCCAGAGCTAGCATAAGCGAGGCTCCACCACCTCAACCGAAGACCGACGACTTGATAGATTTCGGCCAGGACGATACCCCAGCGGAGCTTCCCAAGCCTATGCAGCACCAAATCAAGGACGACCCCAAGATAGAAAGCACGGGGGAGATTTCAGGGATGCTCAAGTCTACTGGCAAGGCATCTGAAGGACCGCTGATCGATTTTCATAATGATCTGAAGAAAAGTGTTCCTAACATTCGAAGATCAGACACGACCGGGTCTAATGACGTCTTCGTAGATGCAAAGGAGTAGGCAAGCACGTCCACATGGTTTAGGCCAACTGGCGTAATAGGACTGTGCTCGAGGCGATGGCTTTGTAGATGATGGAGCACGAGGTCGACTGCCAAACGGGCATGCGGAGGAACACGATGGCGTTAAACTCACTTTCGCCTTTCACATCGCATTACAGTGGCGATCTCTATCGAGACAATATTGCATGGGATTGACTTCATTAATGACTTGGGCTGTTTCCTTCAGCATATCCCTGTGGAGAAATCATTGAATAGACTCCTGACGCCGCAACCGTTGTGATATCTCACATAGCACGCATCCCAATGACCCAATCACCCGTGGTGCTGAGAAATATACGCATGGGCTCTTCGCTTCCCCCCAATCACTTGCACTCACAAGCGCAATTGTGTCCTCTGTATCTTCGTACATATATGTCCAGTCGTGGCTCGCCACGCCGACAAAACTTGCGGGGCGCCATCATTCTCTAATACGAGTACAGCGGAGTGCTCTCCCCTGGCGCTCAAGTCACTGCTCAACCTTGTAATCCTGAGGGAGGTCCTAGTATCTCTTCCGGGTGGGCTCGGGGCTCGGGGACCTCGTGGGGCTGCGCTTGTTGGCGCCACTCTCCTTGAGCCACTTCTTGGTGCTGAGCATCAGGTCGCGGTCCAGCTCGTCGGAGGGGTTCTTGCGGTGGATGAAGTTGCAGAAGCCGCCGCGCACGCAGCCCTCGCCGCTGTTGAGGCGGCAGCAGGCCTCGCGGAAGTCGGTGACGGGCGACAGCTCGCAGTAGATGGGGCGCGCGGCGTACCAGCGCGAGTTGAGGTCGTCGCAGGCCTTCTGCGCCGACTCCTCGTACTTGAAGCGCGCGTACACGTTGCCGATCAGGTGGTCGTTGTTGTTGTCGCACACGACGAGCTCCTCCAGCTCGCCGTACTTGCACATCTCGCACCAGATGTCCTCGTAGAAGGCGTCGAAGTGGTTCTGCAGCTGCGACGCGTTCATGCGGTTCTTGGGGTCGAAGGCGGGGTTCTGGTACAGGTTCGGCATCAGGATCGTCTGGCTGTAGGACGGCTTGACGTGTTTCCGGGAGCAGCGGTCGCCGTGTCTGCAGGCTCCGATTTTGTAGTAGAATGAGCAGTTGACCTGTTGCGCAATTAGTTAGAGGAGCTTGAGGGGGGCGGGAGACGAGGAGGGGTGCCAGGAAACGTACCTTGTCCTGCTCGGTTCCGAAGATGCTTGCTAGATACTGAGCCATGATGATAGGTGTCCTGGCGGCGACTGGTGATATTGGAACGTGGTGTTGCTCAGAAAATGAATGTTGGCTAGGCGCTGTGTATGTCCGGAGGCGGCAGGTTGATCGCAAGATAGGCTCAGCGTGGAGAGCAACGCATGTGAAGTCTGGAAATTTCCCCAGCCACAGCTTGGATAACAGCTCGCTGGTCCATATCATATCGATACCGGCGGTTGCGCCACGATGTATTAGTAAGCGGACCCGTCGAAGCCTCACTACTCACTACAGTACTGCGTCTACCAGAGTCCACAGGGGTCTAAGGCGTAGTATGTAAGCCGGCAAGCAAACCGCCCTGTAGCATGATCTCCTCTGGGATAACCACTGTGATGACTTTCCATAGAGTAGCCTTATATGGATTGCCTTCCATAGGATTACTTATGGAAATACTTGTCTTCTTTTATTGGACAACCTATGAAGTATCAAGAGACAATTGCTTATGTTGGCTAGCATATCTTTCTTTTCTGTTGCTTTCAAATGTACAGCACCTCTGCACATCTTGGAAGACCCCTGTCGTGTGTATACTACATGTATTGTGCACCTGTGATGTTTGTGAAATGCTGTTGATCTGCTTGATCTGCACAGCAAATTGCTTATTGTTGAGTGGGTACTCATCCGCATTGTCCTTCTACTGAGCCTATCCTTGGGCGTTGATTTTTATTTCCTCGTATGGAAGGACTCTGGGTAGCAGGATCACGGCCAGGAGGCTGTCCTCTCACCCGAGCAAGGTATAAGTGCATCAATTTCTCCCGCAGACAGAGACATACCACTAGTGAAGGGGTATTCCGTCGTACGGCTATCAGATAGCAGCGTTGGGTGCGGGCCTACGCTGCTTTTCTCATATCTGTCCTGATCTGATGCACACCCACCCCACCGAACGGGATTCCTTCGTAACCCTGGAATACGGTGAGCCGCGGAGATGGATCTACGGCGGCTGATGACTCGGCCGTATGCTTTCGGGCAGATCAACGCAAGCAGCAGCAAAAGAATGGTTGCCATGTTTAGGAGACCCCACAAATACCTCAGTACAAAATCACACCTCATAGCCCACTGCTCTAAGGTGATTGTCTGTCTGCATTGGGTTAGGTGACCACGTGTTTCGGTCCATGAGAGTGTTTCGCATGCGAAATGCAATAGCATCATCATATTGAAAGCGCATCGCTCCGAGGCAGCCCATGTGGTTGTATAGAACAAGCTTTCCGGGGCCTTCCCTGGCAGACGAACTCATGGCCATCGGTCGAGCTACTGCGAGCCCCGCGTCTGAAAGATACGACTCGTACGAACCCCCATTATTGTCAGTTTCTTGCTCTTCCTTCCCGCTACCCTGCCGTCCATGTGGGGATGGATCCAAGTGGCAGTTCGCAGTGGAGGCAAGCTGGCAATGTCGCGACTTCAGTGACTGCGATAGGCTGGCGCGGAACGTGTGGCTTGCTGAAATCATTTTGTCCAACTGAGGCCTCGTGCAGAAATTTGAGTTTAGTGAAGCTAGATAGGTGATCGCGCAGTAATGCAAGCGCCGCGAGGCCAACGATGGCACCCTGGACCAAGCCATCGATCGGGATCGCAGCCCAACCTGATTGCAAGGTTGGCGAGAATGTATAGGTAGGCAGGTAGGCAGGTACTGAACTAAGAGTTTCGTGGTTCTTCGGCCCAGCATTGCGACAGGCGGTTGCATGCCGAGAAGCTGAGCAGCCGCTGCCTCTTGGCGCCATTCCACTTTCTGCCATCTGGAGACCGGCTAACCGAGCCTGTCGCCTGTCTGTCCTCCTTAGCACTGGGACAATTTCCTGTTGGATAACCCTCCATAAGGTTTCTTCCTGTGGGATAATCTCCCGTGGGATAACCTGCTGTGGGATAACCTGCTGTGGGATAATCTCCTGTGGGATACCCTCCAGTGGGATAACCTCCTCATAGATTGGCATCACCAACCACCTCAGGCCATATTCGCCGAGACAGGCGTGTCTCCCCTCAGCTGCGGAGTCGTACGTGCTGTGTAGCAGACAGACAGACAGCAATGAAAATCCTGGCCAGCCAGCTCCAGCCCCCCATCTCTTCGAGAAGCTCTGCGCACTGCTCTACACTCTGTATCCCTGCCCGAGCTTGATTTGACCCACACCCTAAGCCACAATGACAGACCCATCTCTTTCCCCGTTCCAGGTAGGCTCGAGGTAGGTCTACGTCACACTGAATGCCAGCTCTCTCCTTCAAGGGTCCCCCAGGGGGCATCTGTCCAATGCGCGTTTCTTGCTTGGTCTCCCACAAAGCAGGCTTCCAAGCTTGGAGGTTCCAGTTGTGAGCTGCACTTCTGATGATTCCGGTCCGAGACAAGACCACTTGGACGGGACTCCAAGCAAACAAGGCATTGGCAACAGGCTCGGGAAGCTTACCACCAACCTCCAATATTGCTTAGACTAGTACAATCCAAGCTACCTCAGCACCTTGTTTATCTGTCCCTCTTTTGCTTCAGGTCGGCCGACCAGCCTGCACTTTCTCCTTCCTCCCGTATCATCACATTAGCTCATCTCCCCCACCTCTCGTCCTCATTTCTCCAGGAAGACTGCTTGTGCTCAGGACAGTCGAGCCTTGTCTCCTGGCCAACGTCTCTGCCCGCAGCAAATTTGTCCCACGCCCTTACCTCACCTTCTTTGGTTTTGCGTGTATCAATTGATTCCCCCTCAGCGCTGCTGCATTTCGTAGCCGTGTTGTCCACTCAACATGGCGACCGAGCAAGCGGCATCCGAGCTCAAGCAGCAGGGCGCCATCGAGGCGGCACGCGACCCTGAGAGCTCCGTGACAGCCGACGATGCCCAGAAGAAGATGCTCGAGGAGAGCAAGGCTGCTGGTGTAGCTGCCTTTACCTTTGATCCAGATGCCAGCCCGGAGGAGAAGAGGGCCCAGGCCAGAGCTGTGAGCCCAAACGTCCACGATCCCAGTCGTGTCGTCGCGCCACTAACCCCAAACCCTCAAAGGCTGTTCCAGAGGGATTCCATTCCAAGCGGCCCAAAGGCGCAGCACTCGTGACCGACCAAGACGACGGAAGCAAGCCGCAATACGATTTGCCAGAAGCCTCCAAGGCCGGCGTTGTTGAGACCTCGAAGGACGCCGACGGAAAGACGATACAAGAGGACGACGACGCGGAAGATGGCGGAGCAAAGATGGGGCCGATGACTGGCTGGGCACCCCAGTTTGGCTGGCCTGTTGAGTCTATCCAAGAGGGCGAGAGCCTGCTCGACCATCAGACCTGGATGGAGGGAAAGGTTCCGGACAAGTTCTATGGTGACTGGTACTACAATGCCGCCGTCATCGCATTTGCTTGCATTTCCTCGTGGTTCGTGGCTGTTCTTGGAGGCGGCCTGGGATGGGTCTTCATCATCATGGCCATCTGCGGGACCTACTACCGGACTTCGCTCCGTCGAGTCCGCCGCAATTTCCGGGACGACTTGAACCGCGAGCTTTCACTCAAACGCTTGGAGACTGATACAGAATCTCTCGAGTGGATCAATTCATTCCTCGTCAAATTCTGGCCCATCTACCAGCCAGTGCTTGCGCAGACTATCATCAATTCGGTCGATCAGGTCTTGAGCGGTGCGACGCCCGGGTTCCTCGACAGCTTGAAGCTAAAGACATTCACACTGGGATCCAAACCGCCGCGCATGGAGCACGTCAAGACCTATCCGAAGGCGGATGATGACGTGGTCATGATGGATTGGAAGTTCAGCTTCACCCCAAACGACACCGCCGACATGACCGCCCGCCAGGTCAAGAACAAGATCAATCCCAAAGTCGTTCTCGAAATCAGAGTTGGCAAGGCCATGATCAGCAAGGGCCTCGATGTCATTGTTGAAGACATGGCTTTCTCCGGAATTATGCGCCTGAAGATGAAACTACAACTCCCCTTCCCACATATCGAGAAAGTCGAGATGTGCTTCCTCGAACGTCCGACCATCGACTATGTCTGCAAGCCTCTTGGTGGTGAGACCCTTGGCTTTGATATCAACTTCATTCCCGGTCTCGAGAGCTTTATACTTGAACAGATTCATGGCACATTGGCACCCATGATGTATGCGCCAAATGTGTTCCCTCTCGAGATCGCCAAGATGCTTGCTGGATCTCCTGTTGACCAGGCCATCGGTGTCGTTGCAATCACTCTACACGGTGCTCAGGGGTTGAAGAACCCCGACAACTTCTCCGGCAATCCTGATGGCTATGCTGTTGTCACTGTGAACAAGAGACAGCCCTTGGCACAGACTAAGGTTATCAAGGACACGCCGAACCCACGGTGGAATGAGACCCACTACATCATTGTTACTTCCTTCCACGACTCTTTGGATATTGAAGTCTACGACTGGAACGAGTTCCGCAAGGACAAGGATCTGGGCACTGCCTCTTTTGCTCTCGAGCATCTCGAAGACGATTACGATCACGAGAATCAGCGCCTGGAGATCAAGTCTGGCGGAAAAGACCGTGGTGTTCTTATGTGTGACATTCGCTTTTTCCCAGTCCTGGAAGCTACTAAAGACACGGATGGCAATGAAGAGCCGCCGCCGGAGACGAACACAGGTATTCTCCGGTTCACTGTGGAACAGGCCAAGGATCTCGATGGCTCAAAGAGTCTCGTCGGCCAGCTCAACCCATATGCGAACCTCCTGCTCAATGGCAAGGAAGTACACGCTACGAAGAAGTTGAAGCGGACCAACAACCCTATCTGGGACAACGGGTCCAAAGAGATCCTTATAACAGATCGTAAGAGCGCGAAGCTCGGCGTCGCTATCAAAGATGACCGTGAGCTAGCCGGTGACCAGATCCTGGGAACGTACCAGATCAAACTAGACGATATGCTGGAGCTGATGGCCAAGGGACAAGACTGGTATAATCTCGCTCAGACCAAGACTGGCCGAGTGAAAATGCAGGCTCAATGGAAACCCGTGGCGTTGTCTGGGGTTGTTGCTGGCACTGGAGGCTATCAAACACCAATCGGTGTCATGCGATTTCATTTCAAGAACGCCAAAAACCTGCGCAATCTCGAGGCAATGGGCAAGTCTGACCCGTACGTACGCGTTTTGCTCTCTGGCATCGAGCGGGGTCGCACAGTGCATCACCGCAACACTTTGAACCCAGACTGGGACGAAGTCATCTACATCCCCGTGCACTCTGCGCGTGAGAAGCTGGCGATCGAGGTCATGGACTTCGAGAAGATGGGCAAAGACCGAAGCCTCGGCTTGATTGAGATTCCTGCCAGCGAGTACATTTCACAAGACGACGTTGGGGAATATCTTGTCCACGACAAGAAGGAGCCACGTGAAGACGGCCTTAAAATGCACGGAAAAGGTGTTCCCAAGGGACTGCTCAACTATACTGTCGCTTTCTATCCTACGCTGAATGTCGCCGACCCCGAAGACGAGGAGGAGGAAGAAGAAAAAGAGAGACTGAGCACGTCCGCAGCATCTCAAAACGGGGACGCGAAGCAGTCACTCGATGTACCACGCTCTGGAGAAGCCGGCAAATTCTCCTCCACATTGGGCGCGTCCGCTGATGGAGACAAAGGCAAGGACGGAACACCGCCCAAGTCGCCTGTCACCCCTGTTTCCCCTGGCTTTCCAAGGAAGTCGAGGGAGGAAAGACGCCCGCCTAAGGTTCACCTCACTCCTCAAGAGCTCGTCAAGTACGACTCTGGTCTTATCATCTTCAAACTCATGGAAGCAGAATTGCCAGAAAGCCATTCTCATATCGAGGTTTTTGTGGATGACATGGCTTTCCCCTCTTATGTGTCCTCCACTGCCAAGCATAAGCACAACCAGTTCGATGAAATTGGGGATTGCTTCATTCGCGAGCTGGAATTCTCCAAGTTGACGATCAAGGTACGAGAGAAGGGTGGGAAGCAAGGCGAAGACGATAAGGATCACACGCTGGCTCGGCTGTCAGGCAATACCCTGGACACACTGAAGCAGTGTTTGGTAAGTTTGTTGCCAAACTGTCGGAGAATTTCAATGCTGACTTGACTCAGAATAACCCTACTACTCTAATCATGAAGGATGAGGACGGAAGACCCAGCTCGGTGAAAGTCAGCCTGAAGTATGTTCCAGTAAAGATGCAGCTTGATGCCAGTGAGAGCATCAACAACATGGGCAATCTTCGTGTCGACGTACTGGACGCTGCGGAGCTGCCGTCCGCAGACTCAAATGGCAAGAGTGACCCTTACTGCAAGTTCGAGTTGAATGGCCGAGAGGTATTCAAGACGAAGGTGCAAAAGAAGACACTCCATCCCGCCTGGAACGAGTTTTTCGAGGTTCCAATTCCCTCGCGCACTGCCGCAGACTTCAGTGTCAAGGTTATGGATTGGGACTTTGCAGACAAGCCTGATTTCCTCGGTGGAGCGGCCATCAATTTGGAATCACTGGATCCGTTCAAGGCGCAGGAGGTCAAGCTGATCCTGGATGGAAAGTCCGGTGTCCTGAGACTGCGGCTACTTTTCCGCCCAGATTACGTGACGAGAACCCGACAAGGTTCTTCAACATTCTCTGGTACATTCGCTGCGCCAGGCAGAATCGTTACTGGCGTCGCTGGTGCACCTATCAAGGGCGCCACGGGTATTGTCCACGGCATCGGCAAAGGTGCTTCTTTCATGAAGCGCGGCTTTACGGGCCGGAAGAAGGATGATGATTCTATCCCAGAATCACCATCCGTCGGCCTCCAGGAGTCGCCTGTGGTCATCAATGGTGGTGATTCGACCCCTGGTGGTCTCAAGCGATCGACTGGTATTGGATTCCCCGATGGTGATGTTTCACCGGATGCCTCTCCAACACCGGCCCTAGGTGCCAGCAACGGAAACCATAACCGCACGAAAAGCTTCGGCGCAGCGTCTACACACAGTGCAATAGTGCCTGGACCAGGAGCTGGCACGGCTACATTCACCATCGTTTCCGCCGCAGGCTTCCCAGCGTCCTCGGACTTATTTATTGTTGTCCAGCAGACAATGCCGAAGAACAAAACCATCGGCAAGACGAAGCATCACAAAGCCTCAGGAGGGACATTCACCTTCGGAGAAACATTCAAGTGTGTCTGCGCCCCTGACGCAGCCTTCTCCATCCAGGCCAAGGAAAACCACACCCTTCGAAGCGATGAGGACCTGGGCGAACAGTTCTTCCCTCTTGATGAATCACCATCTGTGAGCGAGAAGACGATCAATGTTGGCAGCGGCACGGTTGTCGTGAAGAGTTCCTTCGTCTCCTCCTCCTCCGAAGCCAACGGTGGCGGCAGTCTGGGCGGCGGCAGTCTGGCGCCGGGCAGCCCTAAGTCGGCATTCTCGCGACGAAGCTTCCTGGGCAAGAGGGAGGGCAGCAGCGCACGCAGCCGGGAGCCTACGCCCAACCCTTAGAGAGGGCGGGCGAATATGTTCTCAAGGGAGTCGCTGAGGTTGTCCCCTGATTCTCAAAGCTAGGAGTAAAAAGGAAAACTGTTTATGAAAATTGTGTTCGTTCGCTTTTTCGTAACTTTATCACTGCGGATACCTATTTCCCTACATCTTCTTTCTGTCGTTTCGGCTTGGATGAAAACGGGTGGCCGCGGCTGGACAAAAGGATTGGATTTGTCCCGTGCTTTGAATTGTGAAGACCGGGGAATTGGCTCCGGATAAAACAGGGCTTGGAGGAAATTCGTAGTACATTGTCTTATCAGACCTTCACCTTGGCCCTTGGTAGCTTTCCAGTAGAACCACTATTAATATGACGATGATGAATTTCATATTGCGATTTTGTCATCCTACGAGCTAGGCTCGACCTTCAATCTGACCCTGATAGTGATGTCAAGCGCAGGCACCAGCCAAAGATGCAGAATGCTGGTTCCATCCCACCGATATTGTGTAAGACGTGAAGAGAATCTGAGGCGGGATTTTATGTCAGGTTCTCGGTCAAGTGTCGCTCGTTTTCATGGAATTGTATGGTGGTGGCTGCTGGCCTTCGTACCAGCATATGTACAAGAGTTCTCATTAAATTTACGTATACGATACGGTTCCTCAATGTCCGGGCTCGCCGGCACTTTCCACCGTGGCCAAAACAGCCTCATTTCCAAACGCCTTTTATGAGTCCATGTTAAACATTCCCGGCGCTCTGATCCATTCAGCTATGTGCAATATCAATGCCGCCCATCCCCACCCCTGGTCCAAATAGTTATCGTTCATTCGTACAAGCGTCGTGTATATCAGTAGTATCTATCTATCGGGTCTTGAGAGCTCAACCAGCGCTCGGCTATGCTCTCAAATGGCGATCATGCCAGCAAGGAAAAGCACTAACGGTGCAGTGAGCTGCAGCCACAGCCCGCACGGCGTCGCGCTGGCGGATCTGGCGCCGCCCGAGACGGCCGTCTTGGAGCCGGCCCTGCTGTTAGGATCGGCGGCGGCGAGCGGCGGGGCCTCGGGCGCGCTCGTGGACACGGGGAAGCCCTGGTCGTCGTAGCTCTTGCTCGCCGTCGCCCACCCGGACGCCACTGTCATGGTGGTGAGGAAGCCTTGTCCGTCCCAGGTGGTGATGGTTTCTTCACCGCCAGCGGCCGCCCCAGGCTGCGAGGACGGAGAGGCCGAAGAGGCCGGCGAGGAGGAGGTTGTGAGGGGGCCCTGTGAGGAGTTTTGTCAGCGTCTTGTGTCTTCGGTGTTTCTGAATCCGGACAGGATGGCTTGAGCCCTTGGAGCTTGATTTTTTTTAAACGTACTAACCGCTGTCGAGCTGTTCGGCACGATCTTGCCGCTCGATGTCATGCGCCAGCCGCTGGGGATCGCGTCCACGCTCGAGACGCTGGTCGACGATCCGCCCGAAATGCCGCTGCCGGGGAAGTTCGAAGAGCCAGTTGAGGTGCTCCCGCTCACGGTGGTGACAGTCGCAGCCTGGCCCGCGTTGGCATTGATCTCGCCGTTGTCGCTCTTGATGGACTCCCACGTCCCGGACATGTCGCCGTATGAGTATTTGCTTCCGGTCGAGTAGTCGGTGACTTCAACCTTCTGCACCGCTGCAGAGAACGGGCCTTGCGAGTAGTCCGTCGAACCGCCGGCCCAAGAGATGGTGCCCTCTGAGTTGCTGGGATCGCCGCCAGCCCAAATGCCGAACTTGAGCTGCATGGGAGTCTGCGGATAGTAGTCGGGATATGTGGACGCCTCCAGGACGCGCACATCAGTGCCACCGACTGACCACACAATGCGCTCCGAGGTCCAGTCGACCGAGTAGGTGACAAACTCGTCCTGGTTGTTGGGAGCGGCGGCGTAGACAAGTGGATCGGTCGCCCTCTGCCCCTTGCCAAAATACATGAGCTGGACCTGAGAGTTGTCAACGCCGAGGAATTCCATGTCTATCTCATCGAGGTCGTCGGATTGGAGCACGACAGAAGTGACAATTCCGGTTCCAGATGCGCATTTCAGGGTGATGTCGACTTTTCCGAACATGATGTAAAAAACACTGTTCAGCTGTGGTGCGTCGCCTGATTTGCTGATTGTGAAGGTGACGCCATCAGAGCCGTATGTCGGCGTACCACCACTGGCCGTGAATGAGTTGACTTCGCCCTGAGTGAAGTCGACATCGATGGCCATTCCCAAGGCTGGATCAGCGTCACATGCTAGATAACTGCCGTTAGAGAGTGTCCATTCACAGCGGTGCTGCAAGGAACGACCTACTTGTTTGTGTGGGGTTGCAGTCGGTAGATGTCTGAGCCGCCGCGAAGCTGGCGAGAAGCGCAGCTGTGGCAGCTGCCCGCAATGACCTTGGGAGGAACATACTGGCTGCTTGAGTAGACTGGCGAAGGAGATGTCGAGGAGCCGGAGCAGAAGCAGGAGACAGTGAGCTTATTCTGCCTCGAAGGCTCTACTCTCTCCAGCGTCAACAGCCGAGGCGAGCAATGCTGGCGGAGTGAGCACTTGTATACTTCTGTGGTCTGCAGTACAGCCGACTGGGTGCGCCTTGCGAGAGAAAACAAACAAGCAGAGGCGGACTGTCTGTGAGGCGGACGTTGGGTGAGTCGCAAAGATGATGTCTCGGGAGACGACATGGCAGCCACATGGGATCGGGTCATGGCTTATGGGTTGGGTTATATGCTGCCCTTTCCCAGCCTCACCAAATCAAAACAAGCGGCCCAGACCAGACCAAAACAGACCGCAGGCAGCGTCATACCGCGACGACCACGTCGATGAGGAGCATGGGTGTGGGACCGTTGTAGGGCGTAATCCTTGCCCTGTAAAAGCCCCCAATGTGTTTGTTTTGATTGGCGCCGCGGGCCGTTGCCCATCCTGTCAAGACTCCCATTTCGGGCAGAAATCGAGGTGGTTGGGAGGGGCTGGAGCGGCCGAGCCCCCTAACAAAACCTGCCCACAGCACCGGCTGATGCTGATAGCGAGTCGACCGACGAAATAGTGGGCCACTCGACTTTCGCCGGTTGCCCTGCTTCAGTCTGTCTAATTTCACCCATCACAACACAACAACGGAGGGACCCCTGAGACTTCACTGCTCAGGGCCAATGCGACTGACGTCAGAGCTCACCAGTTCCACAATGATCACAAAAATCAAATCCCTACAGCAGGTTGTCTAGACCACTGCTATGTTGTGTCTCTCCTGTAGAGAGAGCCCCTGGACCTATGCCAAGCTAGAGACATCGCTTTGCTCCTGGAGCCCACCAAGACGCTTCCGCGGGAGGTGTCACATGTCTAACCTCCATCCAGTACGGATACCGGCATGTTATGGGCCTATGCACATGTGACCCAAATATGCGGGAGGAGCTGCTTGTCTCGCAGGTATCCTGCCATGCACGCCCTTGACTCGACGCAGCAAGCTGCGCCACTGCGTTCGCTGTTGTGGCATCTCGCAGTGGAGGCTCGGAGGAGGAAGAACCCTTCTTCAGACTCGGTTCCTCGTCTCGTGTTCGAGTTTGATGGCATGCATACATAAGCCGGCACACGATACAGCACACAGTGGATCAAAGATGAGCAAGAGAATGATGAAAACGATTTCCTTTAAATATGTAAAATCATCGCTTCCTCTAGCAATTTTCCTGTTTGTTTGGGTTTGGTTGCTTCTTCAGCATTGTTTCCACAAACCTTGTCTCTACTTTGTAGACGGAACCGGAACGTCTTGAGTGCGTCATCTAAAGCGCATCTAGAATCCTCTCTATCAAATGGTGAGCATTCAAGTGGTTTTATCGGGATAGCAAAAGATTGCCCTCGCAGGATGTATCCAGCCGCGTCTTCTAGTCTCAACGGTTTGCATGCCTGGCAGGGGCTAGACCGATTGTCTGGTTAAGAGAATATGCCGTCGAGCTTCGTTCGGCTGAAGTCCGGGTTCCGGGGGGGCGCCGAGATTTCTGGCCGAGTCGACAATTAATACATACTGGCGAATTGGGTGTGGTTGCCGTTGTTCAGGCAGAAAGCGATTTAGAACTCCCAAGCATCGTCGTCGCCGATAGAGGCGATGGCCCAGGTGAACTTTTCGCGGAGAGTCTTCGGGAAGAGTCGCTCAATGGGCACATCGAACTTGTTGGAGAAGACGACGCTGAGCCGTGGGTCGATGTAATTCTGCCCTAGATTAGCATAAATTGACTCTTGTCTGGGTCGGCGGCACTCACGATCTTGGAGGTTCCTAAGGCAACCTCCTTGTTGCCTTCACGGTCAGCAGACTGGGCTTCAAGGTTCTTGATCCTCTCCTCGATCTTCACGATATTGGCCTCGAGCTTGGCCACCGTCGGGCCCTTGCCCTCGGCCTCGACCTTCTTGGACTTGTTCTCCTTCTTGAACTTCTTCTCGAGCTCGGTGGCCACCTTGAGGCGCTCCTTATGCTCCTTTTCAGGAAGGGGTTTCTTCTTCTCGGCCACGAGCTTCTCGTTGTCTTTCTCAAACTTCTTGTTGATCTTGTTGCGCTGGTCCTCGACAAGGAAGGCTTGATGGCTCAGAACCCACTCATCAGTAAGATCATCCTCTCTCTCAAAGAACGCAACTCCCTTCTTCTTCTTCATCTTTGGGTCGACGTCGAGGATCATCATCTTCACCCTCCATCTCTGGTACTTGAGCCCTTTGATCTATGAACTTGCCCGTTAGCATAGGTTTCAGAGGCTTAGATTTCCAAGGGATGACTAACCCGGTCTCCCAGTTTCTCCATCGCCTGCTCATGGCTAGCACCCACGGTACGCTTGTGGTTGCAAAGAATGGCGACCTCTCGATTACAGTCGTTGTAAAGCTTGACCTTCTCATTGACTGTGAGGTTCTTGTGCTGCCTGGGATCAAGATCCTGCAGCAGGTTTGACATGGTCCATGAGGCGTTGTATGTACGGAACACCTTTGCCGTCAATCCGGTCATGTAATTGGACAAGTGCTTGTTCAATTGTGACGTCTAAAAGAGTCAGTATTTCTTACCTGATAGGTCAAACAGAATGGCGGACTCACATTGACACGGTCAAAAATGTCATCGCCATCCTCTTTGGGAGGCTTCTTGAACATCTTCAAGTTCTTGAAGACCTGACGGTCGACATTGACCTCGTCGTAGAATCGAATGCTGTCCTTGCCAAGGAAGTCGAAGATGACCGTATCTGGCTCTCGAAGGGTAAGATGCTCGAACTTGAGCGAACAGCAGCCCACGGTGTCGGCCTCGTTGTCAGTGTCCTTTTCATTTCCAGCCCTGAGCGCGAATTTGTCGATAAGGTACATCGCAGTGGCCATCTGGCGCTCTTGCATGACCTCGCTCTTCAGCTTCTTGGTGTAGTCCTTCCGAATGAAGTCGATGTGCTTCTTGAGCTCGCGGGCCTTCTCAAATTTGGCCATATCCGCTTTACCCTTGACAGAGGCGCTGGCAGCAAGCATAACGTACTTGTAGTTGCCGTTGACGTTCTCCTGCCACATAGCTAGCCAGGTTGCCTTGTTGTCATGCTGAACTGCCTTCCAACTATGTCCTGGTGGCGGCGAAGGAACTTTGGCTTCCTTTCCAATGTTGATGGTGATCTGCTCAGGCAAGACCCGTTTCTTGACCCTTCCAGTCTTCGGGTGCTCGCCACGACCGCGGAATAATCCAGGAGGCTCGACACGAAAGTTTCCAACCTTCTCTTTGCGCCCATTCCACTTGCAGTACATTAGCGGCTCCTCGATTTTCAATCTCTCCTCCTTAGCCTTGTTCTTTTGCTCTTTTGACCAGGCCTTCTTCGCTTCGGATATCGCCTTGAAGTGCTCGTAGATATTGTTGAAGTCGAGCTTCGAGAATTCTTTGATGTCAACCTTGTTGCCATTCTTGTCTTTGGCACCCCCAGTCTTTTGCAGGATCTCCTTGAAGTCCCCAAAGAAGTTTTTCTGGAAAACGGGGTTGGTGACGTTCTGGGTTGAGTTGAGCATGGCGCCAAAGAAAGTCGCAACTTCTTCCGCATCAGGATGAAGGTCCACTGGAGTGCCATCGTACAAAAGCTTGACCTTCTTCGGCAGTGGCTCGTACGGCGGGGGGAAGAGCACACCATTGTGCTCAAGAGTGTTCCACTTGACGCTGTCGTCTTCGGGTTTTGGCTCGTTCCACCACTCGTGGACCTCGTCATCGTCCTCGTCTTCGGGAGACTTGTCCTTGGCCTTGGCGGGCGCTTTCTTCGGCGCAGCCTTACCTTTGACGGGGGTCTTCTTTTCGGTCTTGACACCATTGGCTTTCGAAGCGGTTCCGTTCGGCTGCTTCTTGGTGGGTTTAGCCAGTGGCTCATCATCAGATGAGTCTTCCTTCTTCACAGCCTTCTTTGGAGCAGCCTTTTTGACCTTGGCGTCGTGTGCTCGAATGGCCTTGGCGTCCTTTTCCGCCTTCTTCTCGATCTGCGCCTTCTTCTTGGCTAATTTCGCGCCAAGAGGGGCATCATCGTCGGATGAGTCGTTCGGAAGGGCGGTCTCCTTGTATGAAGGAGGCAGCTTCTTGGCTGCTATGGGCTCATCATCGCTGTCGTCAGTGTCTTTGGGAGCCTTTTTGGGGCGTTTGGCCTTGTGCCTGTGTCAGCGAAAAGACTGGCCTTCAAATCAAAGTGGCGACTGTTCCAAGCTCCAAAGTGTCGAAAGGGCCAAACCTACCAGAGGAATCTCGTCATCGCTGTCGGATTCGTCCTTGTAGCTGACTTTGTTGCCGATGGAGGAACGTGACTTCCTCTTAGCAGTTCCATTTGGGTGATCTACGTCCATTGAATCATCGTCGATTGGGCCATTTCGGATTGAGATGCCTGGGGCAGAAGGCTGTGTTCTGGATGCGGACTCGTCCATAGCCTTGTCTTCGGCCTTCGAAATCTTGGCGGCTGAGACTTCACAAGACCATCAGCATTGGTTAGCCACGTGAATGATAACTTCCTTGAACGATGATGATGGACGGCAGATGCAGAGTAGGCGATCGAGGTGACAGCGGTTGGTGTCTTTTTCAACAAGGCAGTGGCACGTGAAAAGGGTCGAGTCACCACTTACGATGGTTGCCGTTGGATCTTGCCAGAGGCATATCATCGTCAGAGTCACTGTACGAAGACATGGCTGGTGATGTGGACGAGTCGAGTATTCGAAAAGGGTGGTGTGTGCTGTGCCCTGAAGGTAGCTCAGACGGGAGGTGGATGGAAGGAGGGAGGTCTGAGGTACTCGGTAGTGCGAAAGGAAGGGGAAGTCAAAGTAAGCGCAGGACGAAGGAGCAAGTCGCCGGGGCCCGAGCTGGCTCTACGGGTGGCGTTGGGGGTTTGCTCGAGTTTTTTTTGTGTTTGGTGGAAACTTGCGGTGGGCAGTGAGCGTTACGAAGATATAGACGGGCCAGAGAGCCAAAGAGAGTAAAGTCAAAGTGAAGTGAGAAGAGAGGGACGAGGGAGAGGATCGATGGCCAGGGCGGGCGCGCAAAGACTGAAGACTGACTGGCGCAAGGCGAGGAGGTACCTGTCTAGGTACCGACCCGAGTGCCTGCCTCCGGGAACCCAGACGGTCTTTGGTAGCACCCCCTGCCGTCTGCTTAGCCCACGTGACAGCTCCAAGCCGGTTCGGGGACGCGGCGAAAAGAGAACGGCTTGACGGACGGCCTGCAGCAGCATCATTTGAGAGATTGAGAGAGAGCTTCTCGCGTACCCTCCTACCAATCCCCCCGCCCGATCAATTGGTACTCCGATTGTCACTGCTCAATTGAGCCACCGTCGGCAGAGCATTCATTTTCAGATCCCCACACGACAAGATGCTGTCTCGAGCTGCTCGGCCGGCTCTGAGAGCTGGAGCTGCAATTCCCTCTCGGTATGTGTTCGACGCTGGCAGGTGGACCGCGACTCTGGATGGGCGCCCACCTCTAACTCTACGAGCATGCACGGTGCCTGAGGATGGATTGCCTTGACTGGGTCGATGCAGGAGCCTTCGAGCACGATGGAAGAACGGGTCGAGAACCAACCAGCTGACATCTCTTGTTAACCAAACAGCGCCGTCACGTCCGCCCCTCATGCTGCCGCCGGCTTTGCGACGCTGCGCGAAATCGAGGGCCGTCTCAAGTCCATCCGCAACATCGAGAAGATCACCAACACCATGAAGATCGTGGCCTCGACCAAGTTGACCCGTGCCCAGCGCGCCATGAACGAGTCCAAGGTCTACGGTGAGACTTCCAAGGAGGTCTTCGACCAGGCCGAGACCAAGCCTCTCGAGGGCGAGGACAAGAAGACTCTCATTGTCGTCTGCTCCTCCGACAAGGGCCTCTGCGGTGGTATCCACTCCGGTCTGTCCCGCTACGTCCGCCGTCAATTCGCCGAGAAGCCCAATGCCTATGAGCTCGTCATCCTCGGTGAGAAGTGCAAGGCTCAGCTGTCGCGAACCCAAGCCAAGGACATCCAGCTCAGCTTCGCTGGTGTCGGAAAGGATGTCCCCACCTTTGCCGATGCCCAGGCTATCGCCGACCAGATTGTCAACTTGCCCCACGAGTACGCCTCGATCAAGGTCCTCTACAACAAGTTCATCAACGCCCAGAGCTACGAGGCCACCGAGATTGATGCGTTCTCGGAGGACGCTATCAAGGCTTCCCGTACGTGCTTAGGCCCTCTTGGATTCAGGTTCTCGACGTCTCCTGTTTCTGCTGTTTACTGACGTCGTTCCCAGAAAACTTCTCTGCTTTCGAGATCGACGAGGAGCTCCTGCCCAACCTGCAGGAATACGCTCTTGCCAACGCCATCTACTGGGGCCTTGCTGAGGGCCACGCCTGCGAGCAGTCTGCTCGCCGAAACGCTATGGACGTAAGTGCCAGCACTTATGCCCCCTATGGCTACCGTTGTGACGCTAACCCTTCTATAGAACGCCTCCAAGAACGCCGGTGAGATGATCAACAAGTACCAGATTCTCTTCAACCGAACCCGACAAGCCGTCATTACTGGCGAACTGGTCGAGATTATCACTGGTGCCACTGCCTCCGCAGACATGTAAATTCAGAGCGGCGGGTAGAAGAGCTGCTCGGGCACGTTGCCGAGGTCCGGATGGACGGAATCTAAACAAATTTCCCTTTGTGACAACACATACCAACAGGCTTCGTTCGGCCCGTGTACCAAGATCAGTAGAATAAGAGAGAGATTTGAGAGGTGAAATCGGGTTCTGGCTCATATGCTCCGGATAAATTGCGCGGACCGCCCTCCGTGACATGAATTACTGCCAGTCGTTTTTTGGTCCACTCACACATCCGTAAATCACAGTAATCACCAACCCCAAAGTGTTACGCCACAATCAGCCTTCTAATGTTGGACTTGTTACCGTCCATGTGCTTGGTCCATCATCCATCTGCAAATATGGCACACCGGCGCCAGCATGAGCCCGTCAAACCAGGAGATGACGCGCAGTCCGAATAAACCATTCAACTAAAATCTCGACCCCGTTTTTGTCACTTACACATTTGATCCCACGTCTGTACGTACCTGACAGATACACCTGTAAGCTGCAAGGGCAGTCTAAGCCGTTCTCTACACGTTCAGTGCCATGCCGAGGAATGGCTCTTAGACAATTGGCACCTTCACAACGGCGCGCCGGGCACCAAAAAGCACAGAAGCCGTGCATTATAGAACATGTGCATTTAATGAGTATTCTGTTCTAGATATGTGGCGTGTTTTTGAGGAAGCCCCCGGAAGCCAAAGGAGACGGGACGGAAGCAGAAAGCAAGCAACAACGCAGTGCGCCTTGTCCCCAAAACACCAACCATGCGTGATAACCCGGTTCGTTTCCATGCGCTTCGTTTCCCTGACAATAATACTCCTGCGCCTCTAGGGAGACACATGTCTGGCGGCCATCACGAGCCGCCCATCTCAACACCGGAAAACAAAAGGAGAAAAAGACGGGCACACTCGGCAGAAGACTGGAGATGTGCCCCGCTCGCCAATTGGCATTAATCCATGTCAAGATCACTGTCGTCCTCCGCATAGCTCTCGACCCTCTTCGCCCTCCTCCCGCCACTCGCATATCCATTGCTATCCGCGATAAGCTCCTCTGGACCAGGCACGTTGGGGTGCGCCTTGATGTACTCTTGCCTCAACTCGATGGCTTCTTTCTCCCACTGGGCTGCCGCAGCGGTCCACTCCTTCAGCGCCTGGGCATAGTTTCGCTTCTGCTCCTCAGCAGCATCCTCAAAGGGCTGTCGGACTTCCGGCGTGGCCTCCTTCCACATCTTCGACGTCATGGTTCGTACCTCGTTGGGGTTGGGCTTGCCCTTGCCTGTGCGCCGGCCCTCCTCGCAGCGCTTGCGCCCCTCTTCGTAGTGCGCCTTGTTGAACAAGAGATATGGGTTCCCGGCCACTTTGGAAGGTTTCACCGGGTACAACCCAAGTTTGGAGTAGATATGCTCTTGAATCTCCATCTCGTAAGCTTCGAGGCGGGCTTGCACTGGGTCTTTATTCTCTTCCTGAGCCTTGCGCTTCAGTGAGGCGGAGGTCTCTCGAGGGAGGACCAGAGGTATGGGTATCTCGATAGGGCCCAGCATTTCCTCTAGGACGTCGGATGCGGCCCGCAGGCCAGAAAGGTAGGCACCGTGGACGGTGGCAGGGTGCGTGACGATTGTATGTTCGCCGGCGAAGTGCAGGTTGCCGATTGATCGAGCCATGATTTGGTAATCTTCGGCCTGCATCTTGACTCCGGCATTCGAGTAGCTGCCTCGAGCAAATCGGTCCGACTCCCATCTAGTCACCACGGCTTCGAGCGGCTGTGATGGTACTCGAGCGCCATATCGCATACGCAGGACTTCAGTGGCTTCCGCAATGAGCTCGTCATTGGGGGTTACCTCGGTATCGTACCCTGCATCTCCGGCCATCAACGCAAGTAAGCAAGGCATGCCAGTCGTGTTGCTGACGTTAAACCACTGGAAGAAGCGACCACGTCGCGAGATGTAGTCCTTCTGGTTCAGACTCAACCGATTCGTAGGAGTTTGTAAGGTCCCAAATATATCTCGATCTTTGTCCCAGAAGGCGTCCTTGTATACAAGAATGACCTTGTTCAAGACCCCAAAGCCCAGGCGTCCGATGGCATCAGTCTTCCATGAAGGCAGAGTAGGCTGAAACTCGATGCCACCTTGCTTCAAAACACCTAATGGTATGGTGTTAACGACATAATCGGCCTCGACCAATTGACCGTCCTCCAGATAAATTCTCGCTGGACCTGTTGCTTCTTCGGTGGTGTACATGATTCGCTTCACAGGCGCCTTCTGCCGGATGTCGAGAGGTGTTGGGAGCATTGAGAGGCCTCTTGCAACACTCTGATATCCGCCTACTACCATGGTGTGTTTTCCCTCCCACTCGTTGCCGGCATCAATATCCCACCCTTGCAGACTCAAGCGGTTCAAGTTCGTGGCATTGCTGTACTCCAGATTGGCAATATGCCAATTCAAAAGCCTAAAATCCTGAGCGTTGAGGTCAAGAATGCCTTTGTGTTGCATCAGAGCCTCGTCGACAACCGAGCCCAACGTGGCATTCCTATCACTAGCTGCAGCATCCAGATCGATATCTCTTGTCTCCGGGACCCCAGGCTTCAAGGTCCAGCCGAGCGACTTGGCCTTGAATGCAGCCCTAGTGGATCCAGGAGTGCCTGGCTCGACGTGCACTTTGCCTGTCATGCGGTCTGTGGAGACCGGCACGAGGTGAGTCTCGGGCGTGACGTTCTGTTGTGAGACGGGCGGCGCATGAGGTTGGGAAGCAGCTTTCTCCTCCTCAAAAGCGATCGTTTTGTGACCTTCCGCAGTGCTGTCACGGCCCTCGTCAATGAGATCGTAATTTCCCTCAATGAGCTTCGACGGCTGCGACTTAAACTTGTACTCGCTCACCCGATCAAGGCATGCGTTGAAAAGGTGCTCAACCATCTCGTCACGAGCAGGGTCAACGGCCGTACCATTTGTGTCATAGAGAGACATATCGCTGCGCAGACAGTGATATGGCAAACTCAATTGTCCCCTCACAAGTATGTTTAAGGGATTGCCCCTGTCGAATCCAGTAATTATCATGCCGCCCATCTCCGCAGTGAAGCGTTTGCCCCGAAATATACCTGGCGCAGTATCTGGCAGAGTTTGGAAAGCACGAGAGTAGACTCGCCCACCGACTCGGTTTCTTCCCTCTAGTACAATCACCCGAGGTGGATCTTCTCCTATATTGCGAAACCGCTTTGAGTACTGAGTGAACAATCCTTCCAATTGTCTGGCGCATCCGAGCCCGGAGAACCCAGCTCCAATGACTACCACAGTCTTTCTCTTTCGTGGCTGCGAGTCCTCGGCAGTGCTGTTCTTCTTGTGTTGTCGGATTTCGACGCATCCATAATTGATGAAGCCGCGACGAACTAGCCAGTCGAAACAAACATTTGCGACGTCGAACCAGCGAGTGTCCCTGGCACATCCAATTGCTTCTTCTCTTGTCACTGCGATCTGTGGATTCCGCGTCCAAAGCCTAAGTATGCCGTTTCGGATGTTCAAATAGGTCGTGACTTGCGCGTAGCTGAGATGCATACGCAACACATGATACTCCTCTTGATGCAAAGCGTATGGGTTCAAACGCGAATTCTCGGCGGCCTCGATACATTCTATGGCGTATTCTTGAGGGGTCAGGTCTGTAGGAATAGACACCTTCGGGCGCACATTGAACTGTATCCGCCGCGATCGTGAATGAACCCTAGCGATGGGCGTTGAAAGGGGGTTTGGCTGACTCGCAACTTCTCTCGGACTACCGGTGTCGAACGGAGTCGTCGCTTTGCTAGAGACCGAGGGTGGTTTCGAAGATAACCCAGATTGCTCCGTCAGGGCTGAGGCCGACGATGCGAATGAATGCCGTGACTCTCCAATCAAATGACTGATAGCTGACTTGGCAGGAGTTGAATCAAGGAGCGCCGCATCTGGCGATACTAGGTCAGCGGGGACAATGTCGCTGAGCTCTGAAGAAGCTTCGTCCGCATGATTGCCCATTGCCTCTGCTTCCAATGGTTCTTCGATAGTCCTCGAGGCTTGCGACGGAGCAACACCATCCAGGTCAGTGACATCACTCAACTTAGAGCTTGCCGTTGCTGAATCTAGAATTGCCTCATGCTCCTCCGTTGTCTCCTCGTGTGGCTCGAGCTCATTGCCCTTGTTCTCGATGGACATTGGGTCGTTCGCGTCTTGGTCTGTCGGCTCGGAAGGTGAATTTTTCGACTCGATTGAAATTCTCTCCATCAATTCTGTGTTTTTAGGAAGTGATTGTGCGGAGCCTATACCTGTATAGGGTGAGGCGGCGGGTATTGTAGCATCCACAACAAAAGGTTGAAAACCATTCACATCTGGGCCGTTATTTTCCTGTTCCACCGTTGAACTCATTTTTACCGCCCTTCTCACTTCAGCAGGAGCGAATTCTGGTTGTTTAGACTCAAGTGCTGCGACTCCTACGCCGCCGGATTCTGCTTCGGTCTGTGCCAGATCTGCTACAGAGTTCCTTGCCGGTTCCGAGGAAGACTTTATCGCCATAGAAGCATCCCCGACTGTGGTTTCGTCTTGTGCAGTTGGAAACTTGGACAGCAGTTCGTAACGCTCGTTCTGACTGGTCGGATGCGCCGCAGCAGAGCCAACGTCAAAGGTATCGGGCTCTGCTAATGATGGCTTCAAGGGCGTTGTCTCTGTGTCCATCGAGTCTAGAAGATGTGTGCATTCAGAAGTTGCGTCCGTAGGTATCGAATGCCGTACCAATTCCTCTACAGCAGCTGGCTCAGATGCATTTGCGCCAGCAACATCTGTATCTGCCCATTTTGGATCTGCTTTTATCGGCTCCGGCGTCGCCTCTACAGAGGCAACACGGCCAGGTGAAGACTGTTGATGAGCATGAGAGGCGTGAGGATCCGACCTGAAGAATCTTATGTCAAAAAAGACGGATCAAACGACATCACAGCAAATTGCGAATCTAATACAAAGCGGGAATCACGTGAGAGCCTCAGAACCAAGCAACATACATAATGGTATCCCCCGGCATCATCGTCTCAGGAACCTCATCATCCATTTCGAAACAGCGTTCTGGTGAGTCTGTGTTAACGACAATAATATCGGCGATGAACTCGTCTGCCTCCTCTGGCCCTGGGTGAGGAGGGGATGGACGGCGAGGTTTCCGAGATGCTCGGGATGCGGTACTGCTACGGCGTGATGATGATGCACCTGGGGTCAGGTTTTTCTTTTTTGGTGCGGAACTGGTCCGAGAGGAAGAGGTTGAAGCCGGTGAGAGTAATAGAGATGATGGGTGCGGAACCTGGGGGGTAGAGCCACTGCTGCTCCTCCGCGTAGATCTCTTTCCAATGCCACTGTTCTGTCCAGATCCAGCACTGCGCGAATTCGCTCCCATTATGAGGTCGGGACTCGACTTGGGCTAGAACGGAGATATCGATTTCGTTGCGTGTGAAGGCGTATGCAATCGCTGGTGATGAGGAATCGAGAGGTTGGAAGTGATGATATCGCCGCCGCCAATCTCATCCGTCGTCTCCATCGAACCGAGTCTGGATATCTCATGCGATGAAACCAGGCGGCCCCATTCTGAAATTGAAACGTAGTCCAAAGGCTGCAGAGGACCAGTCAGTGAAGAGGTTTATAGCATCAAAATGATGCTCGGTGCTTGATATTCAGAAGATGCCAGTCTCATGAGTAGTGCAGATCAGACCAGGCCCGGGGGAGGGGCAAGCAGGGCCGGCCCTTGCTGGTTTCGAAGGTCAGGTCTACCACCTCGCCCAACAAGTCTTGGAGCGCCGCCCTAGCTCACTCATCATCAATCAGGAGCGTGCAGCCGCATACAAAGCCATTCCTGCTGGAATTTACCAGCCAATGCGTTACACAAATGGACAAATAAAGGCGAGAAATACAGTCCATTTCTGGGACTGCTCCTCGATTTATTGCAAGCTGGGTGAGCTGATCACGTGATATATAAATCTCTGTAATCCGCCCTTGATACTTGGATTTTCTATTGCCTCCAGTCTTCCGACGCCCATCACAACCATATCCTGCCTCCGACTATTGTTCGATGAAGAGAAGATCAGCCAGACAATCGCGCAGCAAAACAGCTGGATTGACCTAGTGCCATTTACCCATAGCCAGCGCTGACAATACCCTTATGTGCTCTTCAACGCCCTGGCCCGTCGACAGGTCGAGTAGTTATAGCTGCTGCAGCTTGCCCAAAAGAATTCTTCTCAATCGCCGTGGCCATCATCTTGTTCCCACTTATAATCGACGTCGTACAAATTACAATATTTCTTCGGGCTGTAGCATATCAACATAGTCAGCGCTCGATATCTTAGGGGAGGGGAGAGGAGACCGTGAACTGTGAACGAGAGGAAAGGCCGCACGAACCTTCTTCTTGCTTCGCAATGAAGCGCAGTGCTGCGATTTCCGTGAATGTGACCCCGCCCACGAACACAACAAACACTGTTTTCTTCTGCCCATTGCCAGAAAGTAGCGCTCGAGCCTTGACAGCCTTGTCTTCTCCTTTTTGGAGCTCATCAAAGGTCTGGCCTCGTGCGTGCTTGACGGCCTCTTCGAATCCTCTCCAACCGTGACTGCCGGAGCTTGCAACTGCAGCACCTGCCACACCGTTGCCCTTCGTCATGGAAAGCAAATATTGCTTCTGAAGTATGCACTGAACGAGCCGTATCGAAAGTGGCGCATACCCACTGTAAACGTACGCTATATCATTAGGATTGTGCTCGTTGACTTCGTCTACAATGAGTCGCAGGGATTTCCGCAGGGTTGAGTAGTTGGTTTTATTACCAGACGTGCCTGCGGAACCAGCCATTGGAATCATCGACGCCATGGGCGAGGATTTAGGCAGGAAAAGCTGTAGTCTTTCCAGGTTGTGTAGAGTTAAAAGGTGCTGGTACCCATAGCCTTGTAAGACCAGTTTGCGCAGTTGATCGTGTTCTTTCGTCTTAATACCACCAGATATGCAAGAGTAGATGCACAGAAGCCGAAGCACCTCCGGCAGGGGTGCGTCACGAGCCACCAATTCCTCGATCGAGTCGAATTGGGATGAGGGATCGGCGCCCGCCGCGAGGTTTTGTTGAACCTCGAGAAGCTTGCTAAATTGGTCGGTGCGGGTGTACTTGATGATCTCTTCCACCATATTGGTATGTATTTTCAGATTTTGCTGTTCCGCTTGATAGCCAGGCAGTTTTCGCACAAAATCTGTCAACTCTGCCGTTGTTTTAGTCGTATGCCGGCTGTCCAAATCCTTTTGTATGCGCAGCGCGACCTTGTTGAGCAGATTTCCGACGATGGCGAAATTCGTGTCTCGGAGCTGGTCGTACATTTTGTCTGACGAATCCAGTTGGACTTTACGTCTTCTGGACTGGTTACTAGACGCAGGCGATGCCGATGCGCTCTGAGTGCTTGGGGCTGCACCGCCCATAATCGTCGAGTCGACTTCTGTCTGGTTGTTCTGGATGCCGAAGACCTCGTCTACCAAGCCTTCGTATGTCAGTTGAGTGAGAAGAGGCGTAACCATGTCGACCTCGCGATCAATAATGATGACGCTCTCTGTTGTCGTGCTAGGGCTCAGGCCACTCTTGTCGGGTTCACTGGCTATTTCACCGGCTAGAAGCTCCTGTCGCATACGGGCGAGCAACTCGGCGACTCTCTTAGCACCGTCGCCCTTGCCTGTGATACGGGGGAATAAACCATGTTTCAGCTGGATCCCCATGAGGGCCTGGGCGAGCAGGAAAGTTGGCGTCGGGTCTTTCGACAGGTATAAGTCCTTGAAACCATCGTTGAGTTCCAGGGAAAGGACATCTCGTTCTAGTGGGAAGAAGTAAAGGGGAAGCTCCGAGATGTTGACGTCGCCGAGGACGCCTGATTCTTCAAGGACTTTGTCGGACACAATAGTACGCTGCGGCACCCAGAAGATGTGGAACTCATGGACCGCCTGGCTCTCACGTTGCACTCGCCTTATCTGGTCTGTGGAAATGTCAGCACGCCCTTGTGACTCTCACTGCGTACCTCGGATCGCAAGCGGTGCTGAGGGCTGGGCGCTGGTGTTGATTGAAGACGGGTCGAGAAAAGAAAACTGCGATTGGCGGAGACGAGTGTGAGGAGTGAAATGTAGTGCCTGACGGGGGAGGGGGGATGGTTGCATCAAAGTGTATGAGATGGTGACTGACTTGCGATTTCCTGAGCATAGGCTGTGCGGGCGATGAACACGACATTCCTCTGGCTGGTCGAGACGTTGCTACTCTCTAAGAAGAAGAATTTATCGACACCGTAGTCCTGCAAGGTTTGGACCTTGACGATTGTTCCAATGGGGCCGGCGAGGCTCTGTTCGATGACGAGATTCTTCTTGCCCTGGACCTAAGCAGCAGGCCGAACGCGCTCAGTCAATGAAGCTGGTCATGAGCTTACACTGCCGTGGGAGCCATGTCGGGCGCCTTACTTACTACCGAGAGTAGGTAGAGCAGGTCTTTCCTAGCCTTGTCTCTGATCTGCTCCGTATCGAAGCCAACTGGAGGAGCCATGATGGGCTCTCCATGGACAAAGGTGAAGATTCAAAGCAAAGGGCCAACACAACAGTTGCAGCTTGACTACGCAGATTGCCCAGCTACCGACCAAGAGGAACGCGCGGAGCGGAGCTAGATGCCTGTAGCAGGTGGCTAGGCCCCACGGCCACTGCTAGCCTGCCTGCCGGAAGGGCGGCCGATAAAGAAATCGATTCGATAAGATCCCAACCCTGGGAGTGCAATAGACGTGATGGATAAACGACGGCTGGATCCTGCAGTATTATCGAGCCGCGATGACCAATTCAAAGGGGTGTTGGCCTGCGGACAGGACGAAAACTTTCACAGGATACACGCATCATTTTCTTGGTAATGACTGGTCAACGGACGGAAGGGCTTGACACCTTGTGACTGGTTATTGAAGTTCAGGTTTGTATTCCACCCTACCTAGGGCAACGACTTTCTAAATCTTCCAAAATCGAGTGCAGCTGATGCTGCTCAATGTAATAATGCCTGCCTCTAAAGAAAATCACCCTGCTACCTGAGCCTGAAACGTGTATTGGGGAAGCTTCAACTTCGAAAGCCTCCCTCACGAACGCTAGGAGAGGGGTAGACAACCAAACTCCGATCCACCGTCGCTGAAATCTCAGTTTCGTAACGCAGCGTCTTTGTTTCTTGTGTACGTGTGGCTTGAGTATTCACCCAAGTCAAGTCATCAATCCAAGACTTATTGGAAGTGAGCGACTGTGAGCTCGTCCACGACTAGACCTTATTGTCATGGTAGTAGAAGTCGATATCCCTTGGCCGCAGTCGATTGCTCCGGACAAAGTCCTCGTCCCCAGGCGGACGCTCGTTCTTGGTGTTACCGGTCAGCATGCTCTGCAAGGACATGCACACGCTCTCAACATTCTGCACCGGACTCCATCCCTGCTGGCCCAGGAGGTCGAGACAGATGATGCCGTTCGAATAGATATGGGGATGTATGGGTATTGGTCTGTCGGGCTTCTGAACAAAGGTCACCTCGGGTGGCTCTGCCTCAACTGTTAGCTGCCATTGTACTACAAAGTATCTGGGCGACGCTTGAGGTTCTTTACCTATTGGGTATTGGTGTCCAAATCTGAACATCAGTCTGTAAATGTCTGGGTAGAGCGGGTTGTCGTCGAGAACCTTGATGTCGAGGTACCACGTCTCAAGGTCATCGGCAGATACAAGGGAGATGCCCGCCGGGAGATTATCGGTGATCTATCACGAAATGATCAAGTCAGCACTTAAGGGATAAACCAAAAGATACAACGTGGTTGCGAGGATGGAGCGTGGCTTCTAACTGCTGCCAATGGCTCAGATCCGAAGCAAATTCGCGCGCGCGCACACACACACACACACACATACTTTTGTCAGCTCTTTCCCAAGCCGCCTATGCGCAAAGTTGGCACCCATCGTGAGAGGAAGAGAAGGTTGTCGGTGGAGGTGGAGGTGGGATGGGTTCGTCGAGTGCCAGAAGACCCCGGCTACATACGTCAGGGTCAAGTAGCTGACCAGGTGGGTGGCGGTTCGGTGTGAAGATGGGGACTGCAGCCACACCGGGGCCCCGCCGCGTCTTTCGAGAAGTGCACGGTAGAAGTCAAGAATGCAAAAATGCCAGCCAGGCTCCAGTCACAAATAAGTCAGAGCCAGACGGCAGCAGGCAGATGGCGACCAAGTTGTTTGGTACCTAAGTAGGCGGCAGCTAGATATGTAAGGTCATGTGTGTTTCGAGATCGGTCCCAATTCCTAGGTACAGTAGGTAGACTAGGTACCTGCAAAGGTCCGCTCAGTCAGAACCTGTCTGCTCATAGGCAGTCCGAAAGCTGGGGAAACCACGCTAGCCTGGCTAGTCACAAACAATGATCACGGTTTCCGTGATCGACACAGGCAAGTCCACCGTTGTGGCAGGCGAACATAGACACTTCTCGAATATTCAATACACTACCACTAAGAAACTCCCTTCTTAGAGGGAGGGTGAGTGGTACCGTCAGGGACTTGGTTCTCAGCCCCAAGATACATGGCAGATCCCCTGTGGCCTGTTGGCAATCTAGAGATGCAACGGGACAGACAGACAGACCGTCAGTCAGTCAGTTCTTGATGGCGACAGCCGAACGGAGCCGCCGTTTAAAGCTTGTGAGCCATGATTATTACTGTGTCGCAAGTGAACTTTGTCGGCAAACATGCCGCATGCATGGGCTAGCTCCCATGGTTCACAATCCATCAGGGCCTCCAGGGCCTCCAACTGGCGGCCGGCCAACTTCTATAAAAAGGGGAAAGATGGCAGTGCTAGGCCGGTGGTGGGGCAGCCTTGCACTCTGCCAAGGACCAGACCAGCAAGGAGCCGCTTGCCGTTGGGCAGTGAGGGGGGCTCTCTGGGAACCCCTCCTCTTGTTCGCCGTGCGCTTAGAGTGCTAGAGTGCCTTTTGACGGCGAAGCGACAACCAGATCCATTAGCTGTGCGGCTGAGCATTTGGGCTTTCCCTGCTCCCCTGCTGCCATCATCAGTTGGTGACACGAGCCAACCCCCTCTCACGCGCAAGGCATTCCCTCACATCCTATGCTGGCCAGCCTGGCCGACTCTGCTCCATCATTGTCGTTGCCCTCCCAAGATCTTCCACTACTTTACTTCAACAGGCTGTCATTGAACGACGAAGCTATCTCCCTCATCCCACGTCTGCAGAGGTTCCAGAACCACTTCATTAGCACTTGTTCCTTGTCTGTCTGAGCTCCTCCCTCTCCACTCAGCCGCCCGCCGTTCGAGCCCCTCCTTTTTTAGCCAGGGACCACTTGAGCTACTACTTTGCTCTTCCCGTGCTCTGCTCGCGCCTGCAGATTCTTGACGGTTCAACCGTCACGAAGCAACACACTCGAGAATCGAACCTCCGTCCGATTGTTTCTGTCTGCCTCCGGCTTCCCTCCCAACCAGCGCTCTAACACCCGCCTGGGCTCAATCGCGCTTGCCTAGCTGCCAACCGCTCGGTCTCACAAGCTCTTTGAAGAAAGTCCCTGCCGCCCCCATCCAAGGCCTGGATACAGCGAGCGCGATCCCACGCCGCTCTAGTTTCAGCAACCAGCTCTTGGGTTCATAGATCGATTTCGAGCAAGATGAGTTGTTAGTACTGTCTAATGCGCCTATTTCCCTCCCGTTGCACACCTATTTCACCATGTGTTATCGAGCAGCCGTTCCCAACGTGCCCATGGTCGACCCGCGAACCTAGATAGCCCCTCACCCCCCTATTCACCATGCTGACCAGATCCCCACGTGTGTCAGTCTCCAACATGCTCAACCGGCTACATGGCCAACCTGAAAGTTACGACAAGAAGTACGTATCCTGCTTCAGTAGACGCCAGGCCGCCCCCTCTGACTATTGCTGCCAGGTCCAAATACCGATTCGGCCGAACACTTGGCGCAGGCACCTACGGCATCGTGAGAGAAGCCGACAGCCCAACTGGCAAGGTGGCTGTGAAGATTATCCTCAAGAAGAATGTGAAGGGCAACGAGAGGATGGTTTATGATGAGCTTGACATGCTCCAGCGCTTGAAGCACCCCAACATTGTCCGATTCGTCGACTGGTTTGAGTCTAGAGTGAGCACAGCTTTACCCAAAAGCATGGCTGGCACGGCTGGCGTAGCTGTCTGAGATGGTGGGCTTCAACTTACACGGCTGCAGGACAAATACTACATTGTCACGGAGTTGGCGACCGGTGGCGAGCTTTTCGACCGCATCTGCGAGCAAGGGAAGTTCACAGAAAAAGACGCCGCCGCGACTATCAAGCAGGTGCTGGGGGCTGTTGATTACCTTCACAGCAAGAATGTGGTCCACAGGGGTGAGCGAAGGTCCAAACCGAGAGCTTCGTGCATAGAGCATGTCTGACCGTAATACAGATCTTAAACCCGAAAACCTGCTCTATCTGACCAAAGCGGCCGACTCGGACCTCGTTCTCGCTGACTTCGGTATCGCCAAGATGCTCGACAGCAAGGACGAAGTTCTAACCACCATGGCGGGGTCATTCGGCTACGCGGCGCCAGAAGTGATGCTTAAGAAAGGCCACGGCAAACCCGTTGACATGTGGTCCATGGGCGTCATCACCTACACACTTTTGTGTGGATACTCGCCGTTCCGCTCCGAGAATTTGCAGGACCTGATCGAAGAGTGCAGCAATGCGCAGGTGGTCTTTCATGAGAGATACTGGAAGGACGTTAGTGAAGACGCCAAGCAATTCATCAAGTGCCTGCTGCAACCCAAACCCGACGACAGGTGGACTTCCTCCCAGGCTCTGAACCACATCTGGCTGACTGGTGACAATGCCACGGACCACAACTTGATTCCCGAGATCAAGGCATACATGGCCAAGGCACGCCTTCGGAGAGGTATCGAGATGGTCAAGCTGGCCAACAGGATCGAAGCCCTCAAGATTCAGGAAGAAGATCCAGAGGATTCAGACATGCCGACCGACTCGTACGCTGCTGCAGGTTCCTCCAGCGCTTCGAACGCTTCGAGCTCCAAGCCAGAGGCTGGTGCTTCTACTACTTCAAGCGAAGGCAAGCGAAACCTTGCCAAGAAGCTAAAGGGTGCCATCTTCCGCGAGGTGGTGCTCGCGAAGGTGCGCGAGATGAAGCAGCAGGAGCAGACGTTGAAGGTCGCGGAGGAGGTCGAAAAGGAGGCGAAGAGGCGTTCGTTCCACGAGTAACGAGCTGCGCAATTTCGGCATTCTCTGGCGAGGGAGGTAGAAGGAATGGCAGAAGAAGAGGACCGAGGAGGACTTCGATACCACGGGGTACTGTCTTGGCAAATTGTCTCGTGTTTTTGATCGCAGAGTCAGGTTCATTACCCCCATGTTTCTCATTTTCGTCGGCGTCACCATGTTCAGTCGTCCGTCGTAGCCTTCGTCTTGGGCGCGTGTGCTTCAGTGCTTGTTTTGGAAAATTAGTCTCTTGAGTTGGATGTGAACTCCGGGCAAGGCTTAGGAAGCGAGGGTTACTGTTAGCGGGAGGCGGTACAGCTGGATTGAGCACATGGGCCAGTCGCTTGCTTGCTTTCAATAGGAAGGTACATAAGTATCTTGTTCATGGAATAGAATACCTTTGTTTGTTTTTTCTCTCTTCACGTCACGTCGTTGCGACGACCTCGTCATGATGCTGAAGTGTGCACCGAGAGAGCATGCACTCGCTGGGGAGTGAGTGGGCAGCTTGTGCAGGATGACGCTCACATTGGCTTCGAGTCACTTGTCTCGCAATCCCATTAAGTATCGGAGAAGAACCAGTGACGTTGTCCCCCACGAAACAACCATACCGTCTTGAAGCCAGAGACTCGCTTGGGGCACGCAGCAATGAGCTGTACAAGTGGTCTAAACAGGTATTTCGCGTTCAAAGGTCACCAAGGCACAATACAAGAGCATAGAGTCGCTTAAATGCTTAGGTATCTAAGATTTGATAGAACCATAATGTTCCAGAGGGCAAAGGTGCCTAGGTATATATATACACACACAAAAATATGCCAATGCAGTAGCCAGCGATGTAGCTGGCCTTCCCGTTGCTGAGCCCCGAACACCGATCCGATGCGTCCTTGATGCAGATCCATATATGATGCTGCCCGATATCCATCCATTCCCGGTATCTCGCAAATGTTTTTGATGCCTCCATTGTGTGCCGTCGTCCGATCTCATGATTGAAAATGCGCGGCAGGAATTATGTAATACCGAGCTTGAGCCCTTGAAAACAAAAGATACGCCCCCGAGACCCTCCCGTCGGGGTTTTGTTTATCCCCCCCCGTTTATGCATCTCAGTTGGCGTTCAGCTCCGCCATGACCGTCTCGCAGAGCACCTCGTAGCGGCTCGCGTCGAACCGCTTCCTCTTCCACCCGGACATGCGCAGCTTGTCGATCCTCGCCATGCGGTCCTGCAGGCGGGCCTCGTCGTCCTCGCCGATAGACCCGACGCTGCTGAAGCTCATGCTGCTGCCGCTGCGCTGCCGGCCGTCGTGGCTCACGCGGTTGACGTGCGCGGACTTGATGGTCGTCGCGTCGTACAGGAGCGGCGACTCGGGCTGCTGCTGCTGCTGCTGCTGCTGCTGGTCGTGGATCTGGAGCCGCTCGTCGCTCTCGAGGAGCTCGTTGAGCGAGCCCAGGTGGCTGGCCACCTGCGTCTTGAGCGAGGAGAGCGTCTCGCAGTAGCGGGACACGGAGCGGGCTGACTCGGAATCGATGGCGCCGAACTGGCCGAAGGGGCACGCGTCGGGGCCGAACCCTTCGGAGGAGGGCGAGCTGGATGGGCTGGGCTCCTCGTCCTCGCTGATGGACGGCATGGGCGGTGGCGATGACGCGGGGCTGTCTAGCGGGTCGACCTCGAAATCCTGACGAGACCAGCGCTTGCTGGAGACCGCAGGGAGGTCCGGGAGCTCCTGTCGCGATGCGCCAGACACAAAGTAGTCATCGTCAAAGCCCAGTGTTGGTGAGTCGGGGCGGACCACGGGCTCTGGTAGCCGGAACGACCATCGGTCCTTATCCTTTGGGAGCTCGAATGAGACCTTCTTCTTTGGTCTCTCCCGGTCCCCTGAGCGTGGTTCTTGCTGCAGACTGGATTTCCTGGAGTGAGTACAGCTCGGCGTCATAAGGCAGGACTCCGGGGTCCACGCCCGAGATGAGACCGAGCCTGATGGAGAGTGCAGGCTGGGTAATGACGACGCAGCAGAGGTCGACCGTGATTGAGAGAGCGCGACTTCTTCTGCCTTCCGGATTAATGACGAAGCAGCATTATAGTGCCCTCGCGCCTGTTGAAGAAGGCTGCTTCTGTAAGATGACCCAGGTTGCAGTGGCCTGGCGCACATCTCGAGGGATGCCGCAGCGTAAAAGTTAAGGTATATTAAATAGGCGGGCTGGACCTTTGACTACGGACGATGTCAGTAAGGTTATCACAACGCGGGGTGCACACTGGACGAGGAAACTCACGAGGTCCTTGGAATTTGTGAGGATCTCATTACACCTGGCTGAGCACGCGCGGTACCGGCGGGTCACGTAGCACTTTTTTATTTCCGTGATTGCCTTCTTCCACTCGGCCGACGTGAAGGGCAGGACGGGCAAGGAAGCGGGCACCTGCTGTGAGTGGCGCTTCGTTGTCTTGACGGGCGGCCGGGAGAGCTTGATCATGGGTGTGACATCGCTGGCGTTGCGCTTGTGCGCCGGAGTAGTAGACGACGCAGCAGAAGGGTTGGTGTATTGACCACCGGGGAGGATGACGGTGGTTCTTGAGGGACCGGAGCCGAAGCTCTCGGTCAAACTGGGACTGAGCATGAGGGGTATTAAACCCTTCGGCATGGTTGTGCAATCTTGCAGTGAGCGGACAAATGACGTGTAGGAGGCGAGTGCGCCGAGCTGTCAGGCTTCGAATTTCCGTATAGTATAATAGCAGGCGTTCTGCAAATTTCCACCAGAATATGCGCGTTAGGTTTGACAGAATAAATGAGTCCTGGATCGAAGGTCTGGAAGGTTTCCTCTCTGTTTGTTGCTTCGAGGGGCGTCAGGAATGTGACCCGAGAACTCGGGAACAAGCAGCGCGTTGATAAATGCAAGGTGTGTCGATCTTGGAATTATGGTATTAGAGGGCGAAGGCCGATCGGCTCAAGGATATACGGGTGTCTCAGAGTCTTAGACAAAACATTGACCTCGTGGGCATGACAGCCGGGCCTCGGGAAGCCGAGGAGTTGAGACACTCTCGCGTAGTTTTTTCCTTGGTGGGTGAGGAGGGACAGGCTTGCTTAGACTTGACGCAGGCCAGGGTGTGTGGTGAGAATCACAGGCGTGAATGTGTGATGGGCCGAGGTCACCAGATACTTCAGCCTCTCCAGCAATGCACGCGACTCTTCAACTGTTGTTCGAAGGGTTTGACAAGACAGTCTGATGGATGATGGGAGTGGGAAAAAGGAAGAAGAGACAAAACAGGGACTCGCAGGAGGTGGGATGAGTGACGCCGAGCTGACAACACGAAAAGGAGTGTATAAGATGAGGACGCTGCAACTTTGACCTCGACTCAATCTCCCCGGTCGTCTCCCCTGCCAGTGATGAACGTTATTGCACGGATCTTATTTTCTTGCACTGAATGCGGAAACAGGGTGGGCCACCGTTGCTCGAGCCTCGAAGAGGTGCAGCCAAACGGAACAGCCAATTGCTGTGGAGGCTGCCACACCTCTGGGCCTCACCCCCGTCCGAAGAGGATGTGGATCGTCGAGAGCGCAGGGGTGGGGGGGTTGGTTGGGACGGTCGAGTCCTTGCTGCTGTCCCAGAAACCAGGGAATCGGCCTGCAAGCCTCCCTAGGTGTTTGTCTGGACTGTCTGCATCTCCAGGCATGTGCGCCCCTTGCAGCCATCACCAGCCTCAAACACCCGCACTAAGCCAGAGTGCAGACTATCACGGACAGACTGCATGGAGACTAGTCTGGTGGTAATTAGCAGACGAGGTGACGGGATGGACTAGGTGACAAGGTGGCAACCCGGCCTCCCGTCCCCCGCGCCGAGCTGGCTGGTGCCTCAAAGTCGCAGCATCTGTGGCGGCTCCCGCGATCGTGAAACTCTGACAGGCAACATACAGGTCAAAGATACTAGACTATAGTGCCGCTGTGTACATTTCAAAATTTCAAATGCGCAGCTGGCGCGCTCAGATCCGTGACCACACACCTATTGCACTGGGCAGCTCCTCCCATCACCCAGTCACCGTACTGAACCCGCTGACTTGTAACATCCGACAGCCACTTGTCCTTGCTAGCACACGCAGCTATCAGACATCAGACACCAGACACCAGCCATTCCATCATTGCTGTAGATCTGTCTTGTCTGCGCGATAAAACCTCTTACCGTCAGAGATCGACTTCCTGGGTCGCAGGAACATCGGGGTTCATCTGGAATTGTCGCATTGAAAACTCTATCTGCCCCCCCATGTGTGTGCTTCTCTCGGCCCTCGATCCACGCATCTTGAAACCAGAAACTTGGGCCCCTAGAGCTGCCGCGACCCCACAATGCCACACCTCGTCGCCCTCCACCAGAGCTCCAGAAGCACGCGAGAAAGTCAGGAACGCACAGCTCTCCGTGGGGCGCTCCTCGTGCCTCGTGCCCTGGGGCCACTGTTAAATGAGCAGAAAACCCCTCCCCCCCAAAATTGGAAGCACGCCAGCTTTCGGTGGCTTGAGCGCCCAGCTGGACTTTGAGCTCCCCCTCCCCACCTCTCTCTTTTTTTTCCCTCTTTCCCACGCGTTAATCTCCGACTTTGCTTAGGCGAGCCTCTTCCGGTTCCTGCGTCAAATCGCTCAGAAATGACAGAAAACGCCGGCGTGAAATAAGACAGCTGTCAAGTGGCACGCGCCTCATGCGCGCCTTGCGTCGTGGGGGCCTTCACGTTCTCTGTCCACACTGTACCAAAATTGAATACTAAATTTACACGTTTCTTTACATTGAATCCCCACCGCCGATGCTCGTGGCAATTCCAGGATCTTCTCCCAAGCAGCGGTGGTGTACTGTGCACGCTGTGGTAAACAAACACACCTGTGGTATCGTCATCCCATGACTATAGTAACATCTCGTATCTTGCCCTCGTAATGCCAGTTGTCCAAGGTCCAAAATTCAAGCATCAAGCATCTTCTACAAGCTCGATTGCGCAAGCCGGATTGATTGAGAGCTGATGCACGCGTCGGCCACCGGCGCCCACTAGCCGGCTCGGACTACGTGGAGCCTCCCTCTGGTCTGGTTTTTTCCTATAACCCTCGTCTCTTTTTATCTACCAGCAACTTTGTTCAAGGTTCCGGAACCCCAGGGGGTCCCACATCCACACCCGAGTTTGCGCCCGCAGGCTCGGTCGGATATTACAGTACTGTGGTGCTTTTCTCTCACCGACTCACCGACATTCAGCATATCTCACAAAATGTTACGACCGTAATCTATTCTATTCCGAGCATAGACGATTACCAGAAATCCCGCTTGCAATCTCGACTCATCCTGTCCATCTATCCGGTACCAAGAAGTCGGGTATGCCAATGAATCCTGGTCTATGCAGCCGGTCGGTAGGGGGGGAATGGGAGGGAAAGCATCTATCTGCGTCTCAATCAGGACGCTGACTCGGGCTTCGGGTCCACCACAGCCGGCTCAGCAACAGTCGGATCCGGAGTCGCAGCCGCGGGACCAGCCTCCCCAGTGACGACTGTTTCGCCTTTGATCCCGTCGACGACACGTAATCCCGACGCGTCCACCGTCATCTCCTCGAACCTACGGAGCTGCTCAAGCCGCCTGTGAACCTCGCTCACGAGGTTCGGGATGGGCACGAGAATGCCTTCTTTCTCGGGGTGGCCATCGTCCAGTCCCATTTGCTTGAGCCTGTCAAAGGTACGTATGTCAGCAGTGATCTTGCGTGAATTCCGAGTGGCTTTGCAACGTACTTGACTTGGCCATTTGCCAGCTCTTCCTCGCCCAGAATGACTGCGAAGGGGACGCCGTTGTTCTCGGCAGCCTTGAACTCTGTGCTTTCCGTTAGCATGCATACCAGGTCGTGCTAAGCGCAGGGATTCACGCACGATTCTGCAGCTTCGGCTTGTTTTTGTACAAGAACTCGGCCTTGATACCCGCGGACCAGAGCTGGTTGCATATCCTCATGCGGTCCTTGACCATGCCGTCGAATCCTTTGCCGCCAAATGCCATCACGTAGACGTCCGTCTCGTTGTTTCTTGGCTCCCTGCCTTGCTCTGCGGCCATGCGTGCTGCCTCGATGGAGAAGATGCGGTCCACGCCAAATGAGATGCCGACACATGGTATCTGCCCCTTGCCCGAAAACATGCCGACCAAGTTGTCGTATCTTCCACCGGCTGCTACGCTGCCAACGCCAAGCGTTGGGTCATCTGAGCGGTCGTCGTCCTCGGATGCCTTGCCCTTCTTCTTGGGCTTGGACTTGGCCGCGGCGGCGCCGCTCCCGGCAGGCGCAGCGGGTGCTGAGCCCTCGGTGACAACTTCGTAGATGATGCCTGTGTAGTAGTCCAGCCCTCTCGCAAGGCTCAGATCGAAGGACACAGCCTTTGTAGCGTCAAAGCACTCCAGGTAGTCGAACAGCAGCCCCATGTCAGCCATACCCTGCTTCATTGACTCATTCGCGGCCAACGACTCGTCCTGCTGTAGCTTCTCCAAAAGATCCTTGCCGCCCTTGAGTTGGACCCAGACACCAATCTTGTCTGCGATCTCCTCGGCCAGTCCCTTTTCGTTGACCATCTCCTTCTTGACGTCTGCCCAGGGCATCTTGTCCAGCTTGTCCACAGCTGAAGAGATGGTCCGGATCTTGTCCTCTGGCACGCCACACACCTGGAAGATACCATCGAGGATCTTGCGGTGGTTTGTCTTGATCGTATATCTCCCGTGCCACCCCAGGGCCTCGAAGACCTCGCTGACAATCTTGATGATCTCGGCATCGGGCAGCATGGCATCGTATGCACCGGCAATGTCGAAGTCGCACTGGTAGAACTCCCTCATTCGGCCCTTGGAGACAGCTGGCTGGTCTCTCCTGTAGACCTTGGCAATGTGATATCGCTTGATTTGTTGGATATTCTTCTGCGCGACGAAGCGCGCAAAGGGCACCGTCAGGTCATATCGCAGGGAGCAAAGCTCTCCACCTTGGTCGGCCAGGTCGTAGATCAGTTTCGAGTCCTCGCCGTACTTGCCCGCCAAGATCTCCTTGAGCTCGAATACGGGTGTGTCGATCGTGACGCCGCCGTGGCGCTTGAAAACTTCGCGGACTGGGCAGAGTATACATCAGTTTATGTCGCTGGCAGCTACCTCCTGTCATGGCCTCAAAAAGCCCAATCGCATACAAAGAACCGCTGTTCCTGATGACCACGAGGGCACAGGCGGGGCCGCTTACTCGTATCAAAGATTTGCTCCCGCAGCACCATGTGCTTGCCATCCCAGTCCCTCGTGCCCTTGGGCGTCTTGAGTTCGAACCCGCCCTTGGGAGCCATGTCGTCCAACTCAGTGTTCCGCCTCGGGATAGATGTGCTGAAAGCCTTGGGTACGCAGTAGAAGGAGGACGCCGGATTCAAGGATTTGAACGGCGCGACTTGAAGGAGAGTACGTGGTCGTGCTCTGGCGGCCCTTGTAGCGTTTCCTAATGTGACGATACGCTTCATTCACGTGGTCATGGAAGGATGTCCAAAGCACCTTGCCGGCTGTTTCCGTCGCTGGAACGAGGAAGTGGACACAAACTACTGTAGTGGGCGAGCGCAGAAAGAAAAATAGAGGGGTGATCCGTTGGTGGTTGGAGGGGTTCGTAGTGACTCAGGCGCAAAGTGGGCAAATCTGCATGTCAACAGAAAATTCCCGTGCCTGACTGCAAGGCTACCTACGTCAGGCAACGCCAATGAATTGGCTGATCGACACTGCGCTGACAGGGGTACAGCTGCCGCTCATCTAGATGCATATGTTGAAAATCCGCAATGATCTGGGTATCACGATTGAATTTGCTAGCGGCCTCGAACTTTTTTTTAGAATAATAGTGATGTGTTTCCTACTGATCAGATGCCCTTGACCGCATGAGTACTATCAGAACGACCTGCCTTGCTGCCGTGATCTGATAACAAAAAAGACAAGACGAAAAGAAAATCGCAGTCTGAATTCTGCCGATCCAACCTTGCCAATTCAGAGCCTCCCTCCTGCTTTCAGGGCAGCACGTACTTCGTCCTACTCGAAGAGACAGGACTCGTGGCCTGGACTATGGCGCACCTCCTTTTTGAATTGCGCCCCCCGCCCCTTCCGACCGAAATACCCGCTATTGCACATTATAGAACAACGTACCAGAGCCCAGCCAAGCGGTTGGGGCCCGCACTTTGCCTCCGAGTTATTTTATGGAGTTCTGAACGTAGTGGACATCATCTGAGCCGACCAAGATCGAATCAAGTTGTAAATCCAACGTATTTCTGTGTGTCCTCGTTCACACATCCCACTCTTGCTCCTGCTCTTCGGCGAGATTGGCGCCGTCATCAGTGAGTGCAGCGAAAGACGACTGTGAAGGCAAAGCCTTCGCCTTGGGCCGACCATTGATCTCATTCGCCTTGAAGCCTGGCTTGTTGCTGGCTGGGGCTGCGTGGTTCTCCGCGGCGGACTCGTCGGTCTCGCTGACAGCACTCGTGTTCTTGCTCTTCTTCTTGCGAGACTTGGAGACAGGGACCCACTCCTCAGACTCCTTCTTGAGCATCTCCAGCTGCTCCTCCTCGGAGTACGGAATGTCGGCCCAACTCGTCTTTGCGCCATTCTGCTTGGCGGTATCCTTCTTTTGCGCGGGTGCTGGGGCAGTGACGGCAGCGGCCTTCGGAGTGTTGTCGAAGGTGTCCAAGGGCTGAACAGATGCCGCGGCCGGGGTCTGCTCAGACTTGCCGTTGACACCATTTCCGGTCCATGCAGAGGACTTTGGGACAGTCGTCCATGATGAGCCATCCTTGGCGGCTCTGCCTTCGGCTTCCCTGGCCGTGCGTCGCTGGGCCTCCATCAGGACCTTGCGAGCCTTCTCATCCTCCTCGCGCTGGGCCTTTGCCCTCTCGACCTTCAGCCGGTTCTGCCTCTGCTTCTTGGTCTCGGTCGGTTGTGGCGCCTTGGCCTGCCTGGGCTTCTGCTGCTTCTCGGCTGTGTCGGTCAGTCGGAGGACAGAGGGACCTGAAGCGGGCTGCTCAAGCATGTCGGAGATGCCTGTGGGGTCTGCGGCAGCGACAATGGGGGAAGCGGCAGAGGACTGGTCATCGTCGCCATCGATCCCAGCTGTGGACGAAGGGGCGGAAGGGGCCGAGGCCTTGCCGTTGTCTGCGGGTGTCTCGTGACTAATATCTTTGGCCTTGGATTGTTTGACCGACTTCTGCTTCTGCTCGTTGTTCACCTTGGGTGCAAACTTGCTCTTCTTGTTCTGTGCCATCTGCTTGGCAAACTCACGATTGTCGACACCATCATCGGAGCTGTAGTCCTTGGCCTTGGATTGCGTAGCTGCGGCATACGACTTGGGCTGGGCTTTGGGCTGAGGCTGCTTGCTGGACTCTGATGCAAAGCTTTCCATCCGTTGTCTCTTGGCCTTGTTTTCCTTCTTGGGCTGCTCTCGTGAGTCTTGCACGCGCTGCTTCTGCGAAGCTAACTTCTGCTGCTTGACCTGCTTGGCATTGTGCTGGGTGTATCCGACAAGGCCAACAACAACGAAAAGTGTCGCGTAGCCAACAAATGTCTTGTTGGTCAGAATTGAGAGTGTGTTGCCCATGATGGCGAATTGAGCAGTGTCGAGATTTAGAGAAGTCCGGAGGCCTGGGGAGGATGGCGGTTTGCGACCGGGAGAGCAGGTGTGGTCGAGGGTCGGTAGAGAGTCAGAGCCGCAATGGATCTGTTGGTGATGGTCGAAATCCAATTGATGTGTACCTGTTCACAAGCAAGGTGTAAGTCCAGTGAGGTCTGCAGCCTGTGGGGAAATCCATCAAGGTGTTTGCAAAAGCGGTGGTTTGACCAGCTGACCACCCATTCCCCCGTGCTATGGCTGGACTTACTGCTTATTGGTAAATGCTGCTTGCTTGACTTTGGAGAGCACAGCACAGGTCCCAAGTGCTTCTAAGAACTGGAGCCAGTGGGCCTTTCGACGTGGAGGTCTGGAGGTTAGGAGGAGGTGATGGACGGCTGAGCAGATGCAATCGAGGATTCCGATCCGGAGCCAGAAAGGAACTGTGGAGAGATGCTCGGTGGTGGTGACAGCTCCAGTGCTCGTGTTGACACGATACGATGCGACGAGGTCCTTTTTCCTGTCAGACTAATTAACAGGTGGCATTTCAGAGGTGCAGCGACGGCGGCAGCACCAGTACCTAGGTACCTACCTAGCCGGGTAGCTCTCGGGTTCCCAATTGGGGTCTCGTTTGGGGCGGACCCACCAGATGAGAGGGGAGGTAAGACGCTAGTTGGGCCGGGGAGACGGGGAGTCTGCTGCTGTGGGAGGGAGCAACTACACTACGGCACCATAGCCGTACCACCAAGAACCTTGGAACCTTGGGAGATTGGTCTGCTGTCTGCTGGGGCAGCTCACTCGAGATGGTGTTGAAGAGCAGGCAAGAACAAGGCCAGAATGGATGTTTCTTTGAGTCTTGAGATGATGAGTCTAGAGACATTATCGGACTTTCACTTTCTGATCCGGGTCAGTGAATTCTGAGCAGCTTGTGCACAACACCTCGTCTACCGAAGTACAGAGCAAAGTACATACTCTTCCTGCCCTGCACACCTGCTCAAGGACAAATCCATTGTGACAGACCAGCCGGAAGCCGAGACACCCAATCTACCACCCAAGTCACATCCACCTGCCCCCTTGACCATCAACCAGCATGCTATTAATAATACATTGCAATGCTGCAGACTCCGGTCAAATGCCATAACAAGACAGCCAGACAGCCAGACAGCCAGACGGGATAAATTGATTCAATATGTCTGCACCAAATGAGATAATCATTGCACCATCAATCAACAACAGGGTGAAATGGGTACTTGATCCACTACATGTTCACAGTAGTTAGTCTAGGTACAAAGACATGCTGACTGACCAGACTGCCAAAGTGCTGGTTATGGCGCATGACGTTGAGCACTCATTACCCTTTATCGCTCTCCCTTATCATATCAGTTCTGCAGTGTAATATTGAGGGGCCACCTCCAAACTTGTTCGAGCAATTTGCGGAGAAGTAACCTGCCAATACGTGCACCTCTGTGAGCTGTCTTGGTCGACTATTTGGATAAGCCTCATTATATTGCGCACTGTCTTGTCTGCCATATAGCTTATTTATTTTTGGGACCGTTCTCAGCACTCGGTTGGTTCACGGGGTCAATCCGCATCTGCAGGCAAGCAAGTAAGCACTGATCTCAAGTACTTCCCATCTGTTCCACCGCATCGGAAGAGCGGACAGGTACAGGCGAACGAACACAGGCACAGGCACAGGCACAGACGTAGACACAGACCACAGGCTACAGACACGGATGCAGCTAAGTCCACGTGAAATTCCCGAATCTCTTGCTGACTGGGTCTGAAGCCAATCTCGCTTCTAAGACTGCCATGGCTCCAAAGAACCGCATTATCATCGATACCGACCCAGGCAAGATGTCTCCTCCCCCGGGCCTCGTGTGCTACACTCTGGCTGACGCTGTGTGCAGGGGTTGACGATGTCCTCGCTATACTGCTCGCCCTCACGGCTCGGCCGGATGAGCTGGAGGTCGCCATGATCTCGGTGACATATGGCAATGTGTCTTTGCAAAGGTCAGTCCTACTTGTCTGCCCTGGTGAGACAAGAGAGATTGTGTGGGCCAGGCGACCAAGTGCTGACCTGCCGCTGAGCTTCCAGGTGTCTGCGCAACGCTGTCGCACTATTCCACGTGCTGGAAAAGGAAAATGCCTGGCGCAAATCATCGGGCAAGCCCGAGGGGTTTGAGGCCTTGAAGACTTCCAAGCCCATCGTCGCGGTTGGCGCCGAGCACCCCCTGCAGGAAGACATCCTCAAGGCTGATGACTTCCATGGCTCTGATGGCTTGCATGGTGTCCATGAGGCTGTATGTGCCAGTTCTCTCCGTGCAATATGCTTCTATATACTGACCTACAATAGCACCCGGATCTCACCCCAGCAGATACATGGAGTTCGCTTTTCGCCAGTGATGGAACCCACGGGGAAACAGGCTCTGCTGAGCCGCCTGCATTTTCCCCCTACTTCACACCTTCAAAGACTCCTGCTCACAAGGAGATGCTTCGAATTCTCAAAGAGAGTCCCGAAGACACCGTTACAATCGTTGCTGTTGGACCCCTGACCAATGTGGCCCTCGCCGCAGCCGAGGATCCGCAGACCTTCTTGCGCGTGAAGGAGCTCGTGGTCATGGGCGGCGCTGTCCATGTGGAAGGTAATATCACACCCGTGGGCGAGTTCAATTGCTTCGCAGATACAGTGGCCGCCGCCAGAGTTTATGCCCTGACCTCCCCCACGCCTTCTTCTACCATGCCTCCGTTCATTGAGGGCAAGTCCACATTAGGGCCCTATCCGGACAAGTTGCCCAAGAGGCTCCTGCTTAGTCTCTTCCCACTCGACATCACAACACCGCATCTTCTCAACAAGAGCTACTTCGCGCAGACCATCCAGCCATTGATGGACGCAGGTAGTCCTCTGGCTCGATGGATAGCGACTTTCATGTTCGGGACCTTCAACAAGATCGACTCCATGGTTGGTGACGGCAGTGAGCCGGGGCTGTCCCTTCATGACCCGCTCACTATCTGGTACATGCTGACACGTGACGATCCTGCTTGGAAGGCAGTCCCGAAACCTGAGGACATCCGAATCGAGACCGCTGGACAGTGGACGCTAGGCATGCATGTCATTGACCGCCGGAACAGGAGCAAGCCGGGTGAGCAGCAGGACGGCAAGGTCAAAACCAATCCTGAGGACCCAATGGATGCCGTGGAGTTTGATGATGTGCCCAACGACAATATGAGCTGGTTGAGTGTCAAGAAGGGAAACAGGATCAATCGCATTGTTGAGTCGCCCGGTGAAGATGCATTCGCGCCATACCTAATGAAACGTCTCTTTGGGTAGATGAAAGTTTTGATGGTAATCGGCAATCACATAGTTTCTGAGCAGCAAGCAGTAACATCAGCATCAATTGGTCGACAACTATGGCAGGACATAATGCATACCAGATATTGACAGATGGAATGACTTGAACAAACTTCCTGAACTCCCTAAACTCCACGCGCCTGCAGATGCATCATATTCCTTAAAGTGGCCCTTCGGCCCATCCGGCGCCGGGCTGAGGCCTTCAAATGCGTAGCTTCTACCGTAGAATAGCCACGCGACCAATGCCCGCTCCACTGCAAGTCTAACCCTGGGTATCTCGTCCATGCAATGACCACGCTCCCTTCCATACAAAATCACCTCTCCTCACCCATGCCTTGAACGGACAGATCCAGCAGCACATGGAGGAAGGCATTTTCCCGCCGTCCCGCGCTCCTCACCACGGAGCTTAGGAGTGCTTGATACCGCCGATGGGAGCGCCCTTGACAGCCGTCCAGTCGATGGAGTTGTCGATGTCCTCATCGACGACGCCCACGAGGCAGACGTTGTCGCCGCGAACGATGTAAAGACCGAGCGGCACCTCCACAGATGGCTCAGGGTCCTCTACCGGGCGGATGACGCGCTCGATGGCGTTCTGGAGGACCTAGTCCGTTCTGTCAGAAACCGGGGCCCTTCATAAATAACACGCGTCTCGTGCTGGGAGAAAAGCAAGCCGCAGACTTACTAGATTGGTCTGGTTGTCGGCGGAAATGAGAGTGCCAACTAGGGTGCGGCCGTCGGCCGTCATGATTGACACCTTCTCTGGAGGAGTTCAGCATGTCAGCCTGCCTGGAAGCTCGAGTGAAATGAGTCTAGGGCAACGTGAAGGTAAACTTACTGTCGATGTACTGGTTGAGAGACATGTTGTATCTGTGGATACGTTTTTATCTCCTTGGCTAAAGTGAACGAATGAATGGCCGAGTACTCTTCTGTTACTGCTGGACGATGGGAGACAGCAGAGCGGTGAGTCGCGGTGTCTGTTGACGTGTGTGAAAGTGAGGTTGGCCTGGGAAATTTTGAGCTGAGAGCTCTGAGGCGCCCCTGGTGAAGCTCGCTCCCCTGCAACAGCTTCAGCAAGCTCCGACGCCCTGGCATTTGGGCCTGGTGGGTCTCCGCTAAAACCGGCCCCTCCAACAGCTGTCCCTGGTACTGGCACCTCGTGATTTTGCCTCCCAGTACATTATTTCATGGGAGGACGGATGGATATCTTCAATTCTCCATCCCGCGCTTGACTTGACCAAATTTACAGGTTGAACGATAGTGCAAACAAGCCACGACCTTCTCAATATCTAGTCAGAAAACCATCGTCAGGGTGAGCTTGTTCAACGCGGGTGCCAGTCAGCCCTCCCCTCCCCCAAGAATATGGGCTGACCCATGTATTATAGACACATCATTACAATGCGCGCAACGAGCAGACTGCTGCAATTTCCCTGCAGGATCACCCTCTTCACCAGGGAACACTGTGGCCTTTGTGTTTCAGCACGCTCTGTGCTCTCAGACGTCTGGGACTCGCGGCATTTCATTTACAAGGAGGTCGATATCGTCAAGCCAGCAGCTCAATCCTGGAAAGAACTGTATGATTTTGACGTTCCGGTGGTATGAATAAAGTCCACTCCGAACTATATTTTGTCCACCAGGTGCTCACCAAGACCCGGACAGATCCATGTCAGCAAGTCTGACGCCCCGGAAGAAGATCCCAAGCTTGCTTCAAAGGCCTTGAAACTTATGCATCGATTCACCCCAGAGCAGGTGAAGGCCACGATGGATAAAGCCGAGCAAGGCTTGACCAAGGCATGACCGTGCCGTTCGGAGTGGCCAAGCCGTCTGCCTTCAGCGTGCTAAAGACGCCATATTGGCCTGGAAAGCAACGTTTCTTAGTGCCTTGCGTCCTGATCCATGCTCTGATAATATCACCTGGCCTACAAACCGATTTATGACCCGTACCCTTTACCCTTCTCCGGTCCCACACCGCCTTGAGCAGTCGCCATCGCCTGCTTCATTACAAACTCGATAGTTGTTATATCTGTGCCGACATTGATCATGTCAAAGCCCATGGCACCATATCTGTGCTTGTCAGCTGTTGAGGGTCATATGGGGACAACGTGGAAGGCGCTTACTTCGCAGCTTCCTCGCCAGACGAGGCATACATTCCGCATTTGATTCCGGCATTCTTGGTAGCCTTCAGGATCTTCGCGATCGCTTCCTTAAGCTCAGGCTTTACGTCACCGTTGATTATGGGGTGTCCGATGTTGTTGCCCAGATCAAATGGACCAATAAACAAGACGTCAACCAACGGAGCTATCTCATCCACTGCAGCCAGGGCTTCCTTGGTCTCGATCTGTACCATGACGAGAATAGCATCATTGGCCTGCTGGAGGTATTCCGTGAACGAAGGCACCGGACTGAAATTTTGCATGGCGATGGCGGAGCCGAATCCTCGGCGTCCTTGCGGCGGGAACTTGCAAGCGGCCACGACTTGCTTGACCTCCTCGACCGTACGAATAAGTGGCACCACAATCTAAGCATGTGCTGTGGTCAGCGACCCGCATACGTACGGAATGTGGACATCATCACTCTTACACCGTGTGCGCCGCAATCTAGTGCCCCTACAGCATAGCCAGTTAGCACATGCGGTTGTTCCTCTTCAGAGATCCATTGAGACTTACTCTTGATCATCCATGGCTGAAAGTCAGGAATTCTCACGATAGGAGATACTCCGCATGCGGCGATGGCCGGCACAAGCTCATGCATCGCAGCGTCTGCCGCCCAATGTCAGCATCCGACTTGGTCGAAGGGGTCCGGGAAGACGCACCATCTATGTTGCCGTGTTCACAGTCAACCGCTATCCAGTCGGGATTCGCTCTCGCCAGTGCCCTGGACACGTTGGCACCTGGGAACATTTGCTATCTACTTTGTCAGTGGAGTGTTGACATTGCATGCGACAGGCTAGATATGCGCCAGGGGACTCAAAGCAGCTCGCGGTTTGAGATGATCCCTTTGGGGGTGTGAACAAATTAAGACCCAAACTCGATCCAAGGAAATAGCAATACCCAGATCCCGTAGCTCGGTCCTTTGTTTTCAACGAACGCCGTCCGAAGCCGATTGGACTTTTGCATCGCTGTAGCTGCTGCCATGGTGGATGTATTTCGACGCTGTGGCTTGAGTCTGATAGCTGGCGATTTTTGGAGCCTTTGTAAACGCAGATAGGAAGCGCGAACTTGAATACGCAGGAAACTCTGAGAGTTGAACGACTGAAGCGACTTCATCGTCACGAAGTGGGAGGCTATCTGCCTGGGCTGTCCGGTTTATAGTCCGTTGCCGGGGCTGGTACCTAGCAAAACAGGTATAATCTAGTCGCTGCGGCTGTGGTTTGGTATATCAAGCTGGGGAAACAACTGTGCAGCTCCGATTTGCGCGCCGCTTTCTCCAAACTTATTGACATATGAGAGAAGCGATGATCTCAGATAGCCTGAGCATCATCGCTGCTCGGTTCGTATAAGGCCAGGTCGACGGCATCAACTTGGGGAGCCGTGGGGGGGATGCGGGGTCTCCCCGCGTTCATGATGTGGGTGAAGTGGACTGGACCGCAGCTCGATGCCAGAGAGACGTCTACTCCTACTCCGGTACAGCTTTTTACTCCACACAATACCCTGGTCTCGACTGAAGAGATGGTATAGAACAACAGCCACCGCTTGGTCTCGAACATTTATTAGTTGATACGCCGTGCTTGACCATGATGACACACCCGGGCACGTGTCCGGGGATCTTCGGAACAGGCCTCGGCGGTTTTCCGGACGATCTGCCCCCAGCCGGACTTCATCCGCCGGAGCTGGGATGCCGAACAGGGTGATCAGATTGATAACTCTGGAAGACGATAAGCATGTGATTCCATCCTTGATTGTCCCTCGAAAAGACGCGCGGGAATGTCGACCTGTGCTTTCTTGGATTCGAAGCCCTCACCGATATTAAGCAAGGGTGACTCTTCTCCGTCGATGAGCCCCGAGAGAAACGCCGTGGGATCCACTCAGTCCGTAAAAGTTGTGCGGCGTTGGAATAGTGGGAGGGTTGAGTATCGACCCGTCGGAAACTCCAGAACGGGTAATTTCGAAATGGAGCATCACAGTCTGCGCTTTGCGGTCTATTTAAGAAAATCGTCTCGGCGTTGATCGAAATCGACTGAAGATCGGAGTCGTGAAAGTAGGCAAAGAACCTCTACGAGAACAACGGCTCACACTCTGAGGGTCCTCGAAGGGATTTCGACCATAGACTGCTGCTCTCCGCCTACAAGATGAAAGTCTTCAAGCCATGGCCGCTGTACATCACGTCCAGCTTTATCACCTCCTTGATAGCAATGCTGTTTGGGTAAGCCACGGCCACCCATAATACAGGCCAATCAACTGATTTCTGACTGGGGCTAGTCTCGATACCGGGACGATTGGGTCCGTGACGACCATGCCTGCCTTTGAAATCACCATGGGCCCCATATCGTCCACAATCCGCGGTGTCATCGTCTCGTCCATCCTGCCAACCGGTGCCTTGGCCGCTCTCGTCGCAGGCATTCTAGCGGACAGGTACGGCAGGAAACGCCTCATCATCCTCGGCTCTGTGATCTACGGCGTCGGCGCGGCTATTGAGAGCGGCTCTGTCGCCCTGGCTATGTTTATAGTCGGACGGCTGATCAAGGGTGTTGGGCAGGGTCTGTTCCTGAGCACGGTGTATGTCCAGGTTTCTGAGATCAGCCCGGCCCGGACTCGTGGTACCATGACTTCACTCCCGCAGTTCCTTATCGTCTGCGGCCTTGTGACCGGCTTTTTCATGTCCTACGGGACTGCTGGCATCAAGGACTCATCCGCCTCCTGGAGGTTACCACTGGGTGTTGCCAGCTTCCTGGCCTTTGCTTTCGCAGCAATAAACGTCCTGACGCCTCCGTCACCGCGCTGGCTTCTCGCCAAAGGCCAGTTCGAGCAGGCACGCACCATCATCGCCGCCCTGGGCCTGGACGAGGCCGAACAGCAGGAGTTGTTGGATGTCTCCGCCTCCGGGTTGGAACACCCCCCGGATGAAGCCTTCCTGGAATCGCTGAATCAGATGTTCAAGGACTTCGCCGAGGCCTTCTCTGCGCCTTTCCGGGCGAGGACGGCGTTTGGATGTTTCATCATGGCTTTCCAACAATTCAGCGGAATCGATGGCATCCTCTACTACGCACCCATTCTGTTTCGTCAGGCCGGGCTTTCTGGCGAGAAGGCGAACTTCCTCGCCTCTGGTGTCTCCTCCTTGGTCATCCTGGCAACCACTATTCCCGCGTCCCTGTGGGCTGACCGCTGGGGGCGCCGCACCTCGAGTATCACTGGCGGGGTGCTTATCACCGTCCTCATGGTCTTGATGGGCACGATGTACGCCGCAGATCTTGTCCATGGAAGCCATGGCCCAGGCAGATGGGTTGTTATTGTCTCAATCTACCTGTTCGCTGTCGTGTATAACGCAACTTGGGCCCTCGGTTTCCGTACTTTCCTAGTCGAGAGCTTACCTAGGAAGACGAGGAGTAGCGCTTCCTCCCTGGGACAGTGCTCGAATTGGGTGAGCATCCTTTTCGACTATCCAGTCTGTGCTATTGCTGACGGACATTAGGTCGCAAACTATATTGTCGCACTCACCACCCCGGTCATGATCGCCGAATCATCGTTTGCTGCTTACTACTTCTTCGCAGGCTGTACATTGATTTGTACGATTGTATGTGCACTGTACATGTTTGAGACCAAAGGCCACACCCTGGAGGTCATTGAACAGAAGTATTTGGATGAGAAAGCAAAGTCTACTGGACGGTGGGCATTCGAGGGCTTCAAATTGAGACCGGTGGCGAGAGTTTCCATGTGTCAGAGTGTGAGCAGGCCGGCCTCTTTGGATGGCAATGGACACTCTTGAAAGGAGGTTGACAACTTGCCGTGGATGTACACAACTACACATATATTGTATTGAAGTATTATACTAGTGTTGTGGAGGTCAGGCACCATCTGTTCTTCCTGTATCTGTTGCTAATTGAGGAATGGCATAAAACCTCCGCTTCATACATCTACGCGCCAATATCCAACCTCGTCTTGCAAAGGACGACACTTGATCCAACCTACCGAACAAGGACATCGCTGACAGAGAAAAGCCACGGGTTGATGTCCCGTACCGTTATTTCCCTATCGATCTCGTGATGCTCATTAGGCGAATTCATCCGAATATTTGTATTGGACATATGTTCGATATTCTAGGATATTACGGATAACATCTCGTCTTGGGCCCCCGATATCTGTCCCAATTTCGAACCATCACATACACTATTGGGATAACACCGCCACACTCTCAAAAATCACAACACGTCATTACAGAGCCACCTATAGCTTAGTTACTTCTTCTATAGAAGGATATCCAACAAAAACCTATCCACAGGAGGTTATCTCGCAAGAGGTTATTCTACAGAAGGTTATCCTATAAGAAGTTATCCTACAGGAGGTTATCCTATAGGAGGTTGTCCCACAGGAAGTTGTCCCACAGGAGACTATCTCTTCCAGGAAACCATCCTATTAGAAAATAATTTAGAGTCAGTTACCCTTGAGAGATTATTTTCTTCTCCCATAACTCCCCCGCCCCCAACCCTTTGCTTCCCTCTTTATTCTATATGAATACTGTGGCCGCGAAGCGGACACCCGAGCTTGAGCTCATGCGAGTCTATTCTCGGCATTGGCTTCGACTGTATTATACTTCGCGAATGTCCATCGACTCAGGGCATTCTCTGCAGTTGAGGTGTCAAACATCAGTAAATTCATATCTGTCACAGGGACCACATTGATGCACTTCTTTAGGGAGCCCTAAGAAAATCAAGGTTCCTTTAGGGACGTACAATATTGTTTAAAAATCTATAAATTTTCATATATAAAATAGAAACTGACAGTGAATTTTGGATCACATCCGTTTACGACTGAGGTAGACCCATGAAGCGCAAGCTTTTGTTCTCATGACACTCAAGCACTGGCTGGCATGTCGAATTCGTAAGTGGCTTTCCGATGACCTTCTGAGGGTGATATGAGGGTGTTCAAAAATCTGCCGCCTTATCTCTGCACAGTAGGAGAGCAAGGTTGGTGTATCTTTGGGACCACATTGCCACCCCGAGAGGCAAACAGTGAACGCTCACGGATGATGTATGCATGAACGATGACGTTTCGCATGGGGCTGCCTCCACGGAACCGCTGTTACTGTATTGCCGCTGTTCGGGTCACCCTTTTACGCATCTAGGAAGCAGCCAGTTTTGGCCTGACTTGGGTCGCTTTCCAACCCTGCAGCAGATCCCAAGCAGTCCTTAAACACATATGTCCTGCTTCTTCCGTTTGATGTGTGCTGGTTGATTCAGACAGATCCCGTCACGTAGCGGAGCTGGAAGATTTGTTACGCTCTCAACCCAAGACAAGAATCTTTAGCTGCTCACCCATGTGTAGTCAAAGCTGTTCGGCTACCCACATCAAACATCCACAACGAATGGCTGTGCGTTTCAAAATTACTGTTCATCTATGTGTGGTTTTAAAACCGCCACGTTGTCGCGGATGGTGGGACACATGTCTCTAGCACGTCTGATGCCTCGGGGCCATGAATCCACCCCTCCTCAGGGCTGAGGCCAGAGCCGGGGAGCGCAATTCCCCCATCGTTCTGCATCAGCGCAAGGTCTACTGCGTCGAGATTGAATTGTGGGTCGAAATACGCAAATATATCTGGCATGTCGGGGATCTGGTAGACCGAGGGGAAGTTTTTCGCGGTGTATTGCACCGCATCGCACTGGGGATCTTGCAATGTTTGAGAGCGCTCGGGATCGGCGGCGGCTGTATTGTTCGACTCCGATACCTCAGCCTGCATGGCTGGAGGGGTAGGACCGTTTCTGCTCATTGCGGAGCCGTAGCTCGCCGAGCTTGGATGCGTTTCTCCATCTAGAGGGGGCACCGTCGCCTGCGTGCTTCGCTCATGCCTGTCGTGACGCGCCTCCAACACCGATGCCGCCACCCTGTCCATCTCCTCGACTGTCTTGACGGCGAGAGCCACGAGCCTCCGGACAAAGCCGAAGCTATCGGCGAAGTGCTTGAGAAGACCGCAGATTCCGAGGAGCTGGTCACGCGCCATGGACCGGTGCAGGGGAATCCTGCTGAAGCGCAGCTCCCGATACGATACGCGGAGGGCGAGAGAGAGGGCGTAGGGGACAAATGGGAAACTCGAGAGGCTAGCGCCGAGATTGTTCCCCATGATGGTGGTGAGGCGAGGTACGGATAGGTTCGCCCGCAGATACGAGACAGAAGAGCGGTCCGGATGCTGTAGGGAGTTGCAGCGATGGGAAAGCATGGCGACGGAGTGGTACAGGGTTTCGACCGTGGCTGTGAGAGTCGGTATTAGTAACCCGTGTAAACATAGATTATATATACAAATTCTACTCGTGCTTCCTCCAGGCCTCACAAGAGATATGGAAACGAAACTTCAATGAGGGACTAACCTAACAAATGAGTCTGGCACCGTACCGCATCGGCTCTAACAACCAATTCTTCGAAGGAGGGAAACGATAGATCGTCCTTGTGTTTTCTTGATTCTCGAAAGGGCCGATACAGGTCGGTGATCTCTTCGAGAAGACCACAGACAACCAACAATACGCGAAAGCCGTCGTCTTGCTGAGAAATCGAAGCCTCCATATTCCGGCCAATGTCACAGGGATGAATCAGCACAGGTCTCGAGTGGAAGGCAGCGTTGAGACGATCGAGAGCCCAGACGCAGAGGAAGAGCCGCACCGCCATCGCATCGTCCTTCCGAACGTGTGCGGTTTCGAGGTGTAGCTGCAGGGTCTGTGAGTAGCTGACCGCTCTGGCGCAGTACTCTGCTGAAGGATGGTCGTCTGCGGATAGTTGCGAAAACAGCGATAGGACCGTGAAGACGCGGACGGCCCTCAGTTTGTCGGCGCTGCCTGCCGTCTCGAGGGCTCTAACCAGGGTTTGCGAGAGGCGCCTGGCGAACAGTTCTGGTGTCCAGAGGCCGTCCTGGTGTTGCAAAGGGAGATATGGCCGGGCAGCAGGACTTGAAGCCACAGAGAGACATACTGAAAGCACCACAATGGTGTCGTTGCGTCCCAGCTCGTTTCTTGCAAATGTAGTTGGTATAGCTTCGGGCTGGAAGATGGGAAATAACGGGTGGATCTCCTTGAGATATATCTCCCGGAGCGCGGCGAATGACTCCGACTCTGGGAGAACGTCTCCGTCAAGCCATCGCTGCTTGGACTGCACGCTCGACGGTGTCGGCGCATCACTACCTCTCGCGGCCGAAGTTGATTTGGGGTGGAGGTCTAACTTCGACGACGGTTGACTGTTATGTAGCGTTTTTGTGTCTGCCGTTCTGGGCACCCAAAGCCCAAGAGAGTCATCGAGTTGAGACGCATCAGGAGCACCTGGACGGTTTAAGGCGACGAAAATTCCCTCAGGGTTGAGATGGCCTATGAATTCAGGACCATCATCGTTCTCGGGCCCTGAAGCTCCCGGGCTGCGGTGATGTTCGACTTGGTTGGCAGTAAGAGTCGGGGAATTGGTAGGGCTTGTCCGGGAGTGTTGAGTGTGAGTAGGAGTAGCAATCTCATACACGCTTGCAGGCGGCTCGTTGATGGGGCTGCGCGGAGCAGGCGAGACTGAGGTGTGGATCTGGGTTACCATCTGGTCAGACGGCAGTCGCTCCGACACCAGAGGATCGGGTTCAGGAACGGAGACCTGCGGCCCTTTGCTGGTTGCCTCTTCATAGTCATGTGGACATCGTTTCTTCGACACCGGCTGTTAGCATGAATGGTGGTGTCTCTGGCAACCTCATGTGTATTGCTACAGACAGGGTGTGACCTGTGCGTAAGGTGTCTAGAGTTACCTTGCGTCTTCTGCACGGCTCACACGCGTGCTGATTCCGTTTCCTTGTTCGAGAGCCCTGTGGGCGGTCGACGAATTTCACCACAAAGGTGGGCATTTCGTCTTGCGGCGCACGCAGGGCAAGGGTTGGCGGGGGACCATGCCTTGCCGTGGTCCATTGTGATCAACCGCGGATGACAGCGTTTGATCTGAAGTGTGCCTGGGGACTAAGACTGAATTGATCGTGGGGGTATGAGGTCAGCGCTTCGTCCTGACTCCTGCTATTGTAGGGTTCCTCAATCAGATACCCAACGTACAGCGTGAGCAATGCTTGTCACACGACTGTCTGAAGCGTCACCGTAGATGAAATCGAATCGTACAGTAATCCTGGACTTCCAATTCGTAGCCAGTGTTGTATGAATACTGGATAAGTGAAGTCTCCCCACTTCTTGGCCGTCCCTCCTATAGTAGGCGGCAACCATAGCGGGCGGAGAAAGCCCTGTTGTGGTTAGCGCCTGAGTGACTGCGGTCTTGAAGACCAATGAGCTCGCGGCGGAATTCTCGAAACGGCAATACTCCATCAACCCCTGAGAAGTCAGTGTCTGTAGACTACGTCCAGCACAAGGCATATCGTATGTGTGATTTGACTCCTCGATAGCGCCCTAGCGATGAGAGGTCCTTTTTTGATCGCAAGCTTGAGCTCTGACTCAATTTGGTGACCCGCACTAGCAAGGCGATCACTGCCCTTCTTCTTGATCAAATTCTCCCTGCCTTTGAGAAGCAATAGATCTTGCGTGGAATGGCCATGTTTTAACAAAATCATTGATTCCAAACAAGCAAATGTGGTCAAATGAGCGAGTACAGAGATTCGCGAATCATTTGATTCTGCCACTTCATTCTACCCTTCGCTTTTGATTCTAATTTTGCTTTCTATTGACTTAACGTTGTCAGCGATGCTTGCATAAGGCACAAGTGCATTGATATTCGAAAATTGCCCTTCACTATTAATGCCGCCATATTTATATACCTCGGACTTGCATCGATTGTCCAATGCTGCCCAAGAACCCAAATGTCTAAAACGCTCGTCCCCATGGTACGACATGCAACATCCATTCAGTGAAAATATGGAGGCAGGCACCAACTAAGAAGCATCACTCCCTCACACCGATTCCTTCATGGTGACATGAGCCTTTGCGATCCCATCCGAGTCATCAGTATCGATAACAGTCGCATCACTCTTGTAGCCCAGTCTGGTCTCGCGGAAACCATCAAGCTCCTTCCTATACGCCGTGTTAAGACAGGCAGGGAATATCAAAACCACGACAAAGCACGCCAGTGGGACCGCCATGGCCTTATGGTATCCTGCGTGGTCCGCCAACAGGCCTGTCAAGCTCGGAAAAAGCGCAGCGCCGCAGACGGCCGCGACGAGCCAGGACGACCCGCGCTTCGTGTGCCGCCCAAGCCCACGGATCGAGAGGGCGAAGATGGTGGGGAACGTGCAGGACTCAAAGAAGAGTACCATGGAGAGCGTGGCTACACCGCCCTCGCCCCAAACGGCCATTGCGCATGCATTGAAGACCATAATCAGGACTACAAAGACGAGTAGGACCTTGCGCGGCGCCATGGTCATGAACAGGCCCGCGGCGACAAAACGGCCGACGGCGAACAGCGCCTGCGCGATGGCATACCTGTCCGACGCGACTGAGTGGCTAAGTCCGGCAGATTCGACGGAGTAGCTTATGAATTGAGACGCAATCGATACTTGGGCTCCAGCGTTGAAGAAAACAGCGATGACTCCGAGGATAAGTTTGCGTTGCTTCCACAGTGGCCTCTCCACATAACCAGTGAGGTCTGCGCTTTCTTGTGCCTGCATAGCCATATCATCGTCCGTGATCTCGGGGATGGGAGAAAAGAAGAAGACAACAGACCACGAGAACACGAACGCCGCAATGCCGACGTACGTCCACTGGACGTGCCCCAGGTCGTTGATGTTGGCATCCTTGAAGAACAGCTTTGAGGCCAGGAGGGGTGCCACAACTGAGCCAATGGCCTGAAAAGACTGGGAGATCTCCAGCCGGAACTCGGACAGCCTGGGAGGACCGCAGGTTGCGATGTATGGGTTGGCGGAGGTCTCAAGCGTCGATAGGCCGGAGCCCACAATAAAGAGACTCCCACAGAAACCAGGGAAGGACTTGTAGACCGCGGACGGCCAGAACATGAGAGCGCCGACCCCGTAGATGCACAAGCCGGTTATGAAAGTCCACTTGTAACCAAATTTGCGCACGATCCACCCAGAGAATGTCAATGGAGCCTTTCTCCCAGCGTTGTCAGTCGAACGAAGCACGACACATACATGGTTGGTGACAAGATTGATGGGGACTCTCACAATTAAGTATGCGCCAAAGTAAGAAGCCTGCAGGCCACCAGCCTTGGCCGCCGTGATATTGAGCGCGGTCTGAAACTTGGCATTCAGCACGTCCAGCAGTCCGTAAGCGAAACCCCAGAGGAAGAACAGGACGGTGACCAGGCAGACGGGGAAGATGGACTGCCTGAGGGTGATTGTGGAATGGCTCGTGTGCTGTGGTGCAGGCGTATCTTCTGAGTTGGCGTCTTTTGTAGCCTTTGCTACAGAGGAATTGCAACCGCGTGCAGCGTCCCCCATGATTCGTCAATGGTAGAAACAAAGTAGTTGAAGATATGGAGACTGGGGGAGACTTAGAATTGCCCGCTGAAGGAAGTAGGCAAGATTTGACGAGAACGAAAGAAACATCGGCCCTGGTACATGGCTGTATGCTGGCCTTATATATTGTCTTCTGAGACTCAGTGATTGTCTTAGCGGTAATCGCGTCAAGTACCACCTTGATCAGTCATCTAGGGACAATGACCAACTCCTCCACAGCCCAACCCATGCATTGCTGAACTTCTGGGGTTCTGAGATCCTGGGGAACTGGGGTACTGTGGAGTGAGGATTTTGCGGAGACTCTGGGGGACCATTCGAGCCATTTCTGGCTTGACTGGTTGCCTGTTGACATTTCGTATTGATAACGAAGAAGTTGTAACAATCGTAGGCTTACCAGATGAGGAGTTCCTCCGCGGCGTCGGTCCGCCACTTGTTTTCCGACAGCTCTCAAGAGGCTCCAAAGGCGGCATCAAGTACTCCGCCGAACCACAGTTCTCTGAGCGGAATTCCAAATGGGGTAGTTTTGACCAGTATGAATCTACAAAAGCCCAGCAGCAGTATATATGTATATTCGACATTCACCTAGAAGGCGTCTTCTGCGTTGCTAACTATAGTCAGCTCGGTGCTTTCTCAGGCTTGACGCTATCATGATTCTCACTAGTCTATCTCAACGCGCGAGACCTGCGTTCCGCAAGGTCCAGCCTTTTCGCATGGTTGCCCGGCCCAGTTCACGAACCGTTGTGACTTGGGCAGAGCAAGACCACTGGGAAGATCCGCGCGGTCCTTTGGGTGTCGACAGACCAAGTCCAAAGCTCGCTCCTCTCACCCAGGAGAGCCCGCAATGGCTTCACGACCTTCACCGCAACGGCGTCAGTAGTCCCTTCCTGAGCATGAGCCTAAGATCTGAGCATACTGACCGACTCACCAGTGGGCTCTGGTAAAAGAGGCAGTTCCTAGGGAGAGAGCCCTAAACTACGCCCAGAAGGCTGAAGATTGGCTCGAAGGATTTAAGTTAGGATACAAGCGCGACGACCGTTCAACATGGAAGTCCAAGAACATACCCCGACACCGACACGGAGGACTCTTCGACCAGTAGGTCCAGCGAAGTCCTTCATCAAGATCGAAGCTGATGGTGTTTAGCTTCTCGTTTGCTCACGCGCAATTCGTCTGGGATTGCAAATCAGAGCATGGGGTCCGGGATATCTTTGCGAAGATCTGGGGCACGGATGAGCTCACAGTCTCATTTGGTATGAAGTGTGCCGTAGTCTCGCTCGTAGACGTTGTTGCTGATCTTTCCTGTCCAGACGGAGGCACGCTGGCGTTCCCTACTCCCGAGGAGGCTGATCACGGCAAGAAACCATGGCCGCATGTGAGTGACAGAAGTATCTTACCCTTGTACCACTACTGACCTTAGTTCTAGTCGGATCAGAGTGCCTACCGATCTTGGCCTCACTGTATCCAAGGCCTGCTGAACCTGGTACATCACCCTCAACGGTTTTTGATGGCGCCGCTGATTTTCTTCTCTCAGATTAGCTAACACAACGTCCCAGCTGCCCAATGGTCCCGAAGACGGTGGTCTGGCCGTCATGACCGGGACCGCTCCTCTTTTTGAGCAGTACTTCAAGGAGCACGAACCGGTAAGTTGATAGTCCTGAATTAGGTACTGGTGCGGTGATACCAACACGTGCAGCCCGAGGGTGGTTGGGTCAAACGAGACCTTGTCGACTGGACAGACAAGGAGCTCCAATGGTTCAAGGACCGTGGCTGCGAGTGGGTGAAGCCTAGCATGGACCCTGGTGACTTCATTCTCTGGGACTCCCGGGCTGTTCACTACGGCGCCGCGCCTCTAGGGGAAAACAAGCGCATGGCAATCTGTAAGCAAGTCCTGGCTAAACGAGATGTAGAGGAAGGCTAATGCTGGACTGTCACTAGACACATGCTACAAGCCTATCGAATTCCTGACCGAGGAGCAAAGAGAGCGCAAGGTGGAGGCCTTTAAACGGGGCTACATGACTGTGAGTTCCTGTGAACCCAGCTGTTGCCTGTTAGAACAACTGACATCGAGTACTAACCCGAGCGCAGTCGCATGATCCTACCGACTTTGTGTTGAAGGAGGAACAGATGGCGGATTTCAACATCCTACATCCCTATGGTCCTCCAACAATCAACGAGGCTACTCGACAGGCTATCGGCATGATTCCGTATAAATAAAGCCAGGGAACCCAACCCAAGTACGGACGGACTGTTCGGTCCAGACTGCGAGCACAAGGCTGAGGGACTCCGGGATGACAGGGGCTGCCAGCGACCTCGGATGAGGCTTGAGCCTAAGGCTTACGAAAAAATCACCTTATTCCCCCGCTTGGCTCGAGCTGCCATCTGGCACACCTGGGCATGTCATTATCGTACCATTCTTCGGACACCAATGTCGCAGATCCTTGCATGCAGCCCTACCGGCTCGGCCCGCAGTGTGCTTAATGGGATGTCTCCGAGCTAGAATCACTGTATTTAAGTTATGCAAGGCGGTGTATACGTACATTGCAATGAGTTGACCGGCTGTCCCATCTTGCTGTCCTTCTTCATGTCATAATATCTGCTGTCTCGAGCCTGCAAACTTTCATCCGCAGTGCCCAGTCGAGTGTGTGGTGAAGGCATCCGCTACGCTCATTATCCAACGCAGCGACCTACCACTTTTTCGAAAGTTGCAGTTGATTGATCGAGCATGAATAAGACATGCCAGGAAGCTGGAGCTGGTTGGACGAATGAACGTCGTTGCGATACCCTCTTTTTACGGACATCGAGCCGGATTTGGTCTAAAACCCCACGTGCGTCCTACAAAATCTCCAAATAAACTTTACCCACGTTTCCCTACCAAGGGGTCTCAAGCACCACGAGGCCAATAATGGAGCTGGACTGCTTCATGGGTAAGATCTATAACTACCAACAGTGGGGAGGTCTGATGTTTGATCATATATTGAATGCAACGCTCTGCGTGAATACTAGTATATATATCACACTTCTTATCGAAGGTTGTCGAACCTCATAGCTGTTCACTGGGCATAATTGTAACAAGGAAATCCTCTGAAATCCTGCTCAATAGATTCGAATATGAATATATGCCAAGTTGGATAATGAAACCGGAATATCGTGATCATTGCCGTCTTCGAACCGGGTTAGACCAAAGACACAGGTCAGGTCAGGAGGACACTCGGCCATTGGCTTCACTGGAATGGAAGGCACACAGCTTGGTAGATAAAACCCATTATTTCTACAGCGAAGTAATTTCTTCAGCATCAATGATCCATCAGGAAAAGATGAGCGTGCAATTTCTGGAAAGCTGCTTTGAGGTTCCAGCGGCAAGCCCTAACCCTCCGTTTGCAGGCGAGGCACGTCTACCAAGAGGTCGGTAGGGAGGGGTGCCAGCCCCGCCATGGGCATGACCCCACGTCGGAGAGCTCCTAGAATCTTCTGGCTCTAAAGCAGGGGAGTCAGGGTCTTGCTTTTCGAGCGCGACGTCACAAAACATTCGGGCGTCAACGGGCGAAACGGTCAGTTTCTCTCATCTTGGACCGCCTTCGACCACTGCCTCTCATTTCAAGGTCTTGAATTGCAAACACTCATTCCTCAAAACGGCTTCCATCCGGCAACATGGCCCAGAAATGCGTCCATCAAGGATGTGGCAAGAACTACACAGACCCTGAAGAGGTCTGCCGGTACCATCCAGGCCCACCCATATTCCATGAAGGCCAGAAAGGTTCGCATTCGTCCTCCCCTACCTCTGCCTCTCCCCCAAGGTTTATTCAGGGGACAGGTACCAAGGAACCCAGCTGACCAGGAGTGATACAGGCTGGAAATGCTGCAAACCCCGCGTCTTGACCTTCGACGAGTTCCTGGGGATCGAGCCATGCACTGAAGGAAAGCACAGCACCACCGACGTGCCACCACAAATCGAGAAGAAGGAAGCGGACCCATCGCTTATCAAGGAGGTCACCAACGAAACCTCAGCCTCATCGGGCCCCGCCCTTCCCCGTGCGCCTATCAATGTCCCTACGCCCACACAGACGCCACCTCCCCCTCCTCCTGAGTCAGATGACGACGACGCCTCTCTCGAGATCCCCGATGGCCGCACGTGTCGGCGGCGAGCATGCGGCAGTGTCTACAAGAAGGGGGCGGAGCGGAACGACAAGGAGAATTGCGTGCACCACCCGGGTATTCCTATCTTCCATGAGGGGAGCAAGGGGTATACCTGTTGCAAGAGGAGAGTGCTCGAGTTTGACGAGTTCATGAAGATCGAGGGCTGCCAGACCAAACCTCGGCACCTCTTCATTGGCAGCGGAAATAAAGAGAAGGGCAAAGATGTCGGCGCGGAGGAACTGCTCGAGACAGTACGGTGAGTACAAGCGGTTACTGTCCTCTCACCTCCCGACCACCATATCCTGGGACGCGGACGCCTGCTAGGCCGAGAGTTACCGGTGGTCGATCGCATCACGACTGCTGCGCCCTCTGTTGCGTCACGGTTCCCCAAGCCACGCGCTGTCATGCCCATGCTCATGTCCTTGCTGCCATCGAGATGGCGAAACACTATCACACGGATGCTACGGATGAGACATACATGCTGACCGCTTTTTTCAGAACGGACTTCTATCAAACGCCAAGCAGTGTAATCGCGTCTTTCTTCCTGAAGAAGATCGACAAAAACATCGCCAAGGTCGTCTTCACGCAGTCTTCCGTTCAGCTAGACTTGCCCACCACCGACTCGCCCCCGAAGAGGTACAGGACTGAGGTTCCCTTGTTCGGCGGCATCGACCCAGAGAAGACCACGTATAAGATCTTGGGCACTAAGCTCGAGGTGACGCTAGCCAAGGCGGAAGTCAGCTCTTGGCCTGTTCTGAGAGCCGACGATCGCCTCACAGGAGAAATTCTCCAAGTGGGCCGAGCCGGAAAGGTGCAGTAGGCGCGGGCTTTATGCCGATAGGCAATGAGCCGCGCCCTGCTGTCCCAGCTGAACACATCGTTACCGTGAAACCGCCGAATGGAGTGGAGGAATCGGTGCTGGTGCCTGTGTAGAGGAGTGGGAGAAGGGGAGCCTGTAGACGACACAAGGTTCAAACCCGGCTACCGAGCCTGGGAACAGTCCGGGCTGTTGGGCACCCATATGAGTGAGACCAGAGCACATGCTGGCCGACCTTCTGTCCTTTGAGCTAGTCGGACGCGCCCTGCAATATAAGAGATACAATCCAGTGGATCTGTCTGATATGGGTGCCACTCTCTAGTCTCACGGCTTGTGATTGGGGATGTCGCAAATAGGAGTCCTGCAGGGCGCCCGTCGATCAAGCGTTCTAGGGCCCTTGGCGAGATAGACAGAGCTGTTTCTGGAGCGGTCCTGGTATCTCAAGTGAGCTTGTCTCGAGCTTGTGTATTTACACGCCGGAGCAAATCAGACTCTGACAAGGAAAATACCGGAATGGTGCCAAGCAAGGCTGCCTTCAACGCCCGTGAGCGAGTGATACATAGTGACGAGTCGAGAGATTTATTCGGTGTCCGACGTACTGACCTAGAACCATATCGCCGCCCGCCAGAGGTCTCACTTGCCACCTATAAGCAACGGCCTGTGCCTGCCCTTTGCTGACGTCGTGACTAGCCCGAAGCGGGCCTCGCCATTGGGCAGCATTGAGAAACAAAAATCCGGTCGAAACTACTTCGGCACCAGCGACTCAAGCCTCCCGCTTGGCTCCGCTTGGCGGGACAGGTTGGGGGACACGGGCGGGCTCCAAAAAAAATACACTCGGAGCCAAGGCCGCTCTCCCTTTCTTTTGTGATGGGCCCCGCGCCCGTCCATGGGGGGTGGGCCCCCGGTCGGTGACACCCAAGTGGAGTGGCTGAGGACGAGCAACGACGGGAGCTAAGGCGGCAGCCAGCAGACAAGATTCTGTCCGCCGCGAAGAACGAGTCAGGAGCCGTTGTTTTCCCACGACGATCGATATGCCAAATACGCACCTCCCAAGACGGCAGACGCCTCTGCCGAGCAAAGGAAAGCAATAGCTTGTCTTTTTTAATGGGTGATCTACGTCTGCTGGGGGGTTCGGGCCCGCGCCGACTCCGTATTTATGTAGGTTTAGATTTGGGGGAATTCTTTCCGGCACATGTCATGGAAACCTAAATCGCAGCGCTTCAAGCCCGGCGCGCGGATCTTTGCATGTGAACGGGTTTAGCCTCTATGGCCAAGGGGACGGTGATATGGTTCCCCGAATCATCAGAAGAAAACCCTGATGGGAGGCCACAGGGGATCAGCACTCCTGGGGATTTTTTCAGATGACCAGGGTCGCAATGGCTGCTGTAACATTGCACACCAGATGACAAGAGTGGGTCATGTAGCAGGACTGTCTGCGATCGGATTCCAAAGGAAGCCTGTGTCGAAGTTTCAGATGTTTCCTTACAAATCACTGTTTCCCAGGGTCTGGTCTCTAGAGGTGGAAGTGGCCTTCTTGGTTTAAAGTTCTATCTGCTTGAAATGGCTACGCAATCAAAGCCGTCTTGACCCACAACCGAAACCTCGGTTTGATATCAAACTTCTAAGTGCTGCCGAAGAAAACCCTTGATGTAGTTAGACGCCCGCTGCCCAAAGTTGATAAGTGGACCAAAATAAAGTGGAAGTAAGAATGGAATGCCAAAGAGCCGCTCAGAAACGCTGCAACTCCCTTGTCCAACTAGCTCACCCAGTAGGAAGCTCATCATCATCATCATCATTAGCGAGTCATTATCGTAGTGATCGTCGTTGTCTTCAATGCTCTGTACGAGGTGCTCGCTGCTCTTTTCTCTTGCACGGCCGTAATTTGCGCGTAGACGCCCGAGGCCCCGGTGGCTGAATGTCCAAGAAAGTTTGAATATCCCGCAGCTTCCGCTGCTATCACTGTGAATTGAAAATGTTGTTCAAATTTCGGCACCCTTGTCGTGGGTAGAAAGCGATTTCGGACTTCTCCCCTAGACAGCCATGCCCACTGCCTTCTCAGGGTCAACATCGGCAGCGGGAATGTCGTCTTTCTCATCGTAGTCGAAGGCAGACAAGTCCTCTCTCTCTTTGCCCTTGGAGGGAGCACGGGTCATTGATCGTCCTCTGCTTATGCTGTCCTGCCTGCGGATATCGGCCTCTTTGGACGTTGAGGGTCTAATTGGCTCATCCCAAGTGATGCCACTGCTGCTCAGGGCGCGTGTCATGAACTCTTGACGGACGTTGGATGAGAGCCTGATAATCACGTCGCCGTCCTTAGTGTAACCAATGACTTTGGCATTGAAATCGTCATTACAGTCTCCACAGACTGTCGGGCTGTCTCCGTCATTCGATCTGGCCTTGGAGTCGGTGCTGTCACCCCTGATTGTAGGTCTGCCACGGAAATTGTTAGCATAAATGCATAATGTTGAGTGACAATAAGTTGGGTGCTCTACGTACACCTCACTCAGAGCCTCGGGACGCCCTCTGTCTGTCGGCTTGCGGCTACGGCTTCGGCCCCTGATACTCCGGGCCGCTTTCGATCTCTTGAGCTTGCCCTGAAAGTAGTGGCCCAAGCCCGCAACCACGAGCACCGGTGTCCCGAGAGCGAGTGCCCATGGTGGATGCTTCTTTCCAGTGACCATATGGCGGACATGAAGACAGATGCCCCAAACGGCGATGATACCTCCGACCTGAATCATTGTCCACAACGACCAGTAGAGACTGATCAGTGGCTCTCCGTCGCAGAATTGTAGTGTGTTGATGACAAAGGCTTCGAGCACAACGATTGTCATCCCGACGACGCCAGTGATAAAGCAGTACCAAAATATCCACCTCAGGCGCCGTTGTCGTTCGCGGCTCTCAACATTCAGATGCTCGATGCTTTCCATTACCCGGCCATACTTCCAAGATGCCGTGAAAAGGGCCGCCAAAACGAGGAAGAAAAATGCCCAATATAGGCCCTCAGCCTCCGTCCGTTTCAACGTGTGCATGAACCTTCCATAGTATTGACAATTTTCCTCTGTGGGCGTGGTTATCGGCATCTTCGCGATGACTACCGGGGTCAGACCCGGGCTTTAGAACGTAAGACTTGGATGAGGCCGTATTGCTAGTTCGAGGCTAGAAGCACTCATTCGGCCTCTAGAAAGAGTAGGTGATGAGGAGGTTCGACAGAATCGGTAGTAGCGTAAGATGGTACGCAGGAGGAATCGTATGTGAGATATGGATGATGAAGAAGTAGACTTGGGTTTTGCGGTGACAGCGTAGGATAGATAAGTCGAATGCATATAAGCAAACACGAGAGTGAGGAACAAGGACGGACTATTCATACTTAATATGTACATTTGAACGATTAGTGTTCAGTGGGCGGTACAAGGCAGAGATGGGAGACCTGGGGACAGGGGTGTGCACGCAGGAAGGAGGTGAGGACTAGCTTCCCTGTCATACTCAAGTGACACTAGTTCAGAGGAGCCGCTGTCGAGACATCCCAGTCCGAACCCACCCGATGGACTGCCTTCGGGCCAAGCACAACGCAAAGAGAAAGAAGCATGTGTACGCCCAGCCCACACAGACATGTGAGATTACCGAGCGTCAGGGAAGTGTAAACATGCACAGTGTCCAGTGTATGGGGCTCCATACCCCATGCCCCACGTCCCAACTTTTGGTTCTGCCGGTTACCGACAATGCATGAGAATGTTCTGTCGGGCTTGCAAGAATGGGTATTTTTGTAATGAAATGCCTGGCAGGGTACAGCGTTGCGGCCCTAGTTCGTGGTAGAGGCTAGTCTGGTGAGACTTTCTTTGTTCAAGTCCGGCTGGAACCTCTCAAGATCAGGAGGCTAGCGCCAAGGACCATAGCTGCCTCTGTGTCACTTTTCAAGGTAGGACGGCAGGATAAGTCGCACGCGGCATGCGATTGAAGGACTAGGTTGATTGGTATGGAGTGAATGCCTCTTCAGCTCATACCTTCCATCAACTCGACTCTGTCCAAGACCATGCCCTTACTGAGAACGAATTCGCGCAATGCCTGGAAGTCAGCGCCCTCTTCCTCACCATATCGGTGAGCCTGCGAGAAGCCAAAAGAGCAAGCCACCTTGTCTAGAGCGGCTCTCTCTTCTTCATGGATCCACCGTTCCTTCAGAGGAACTCCTGGGGCCCATGTCACGCGTTTCATGTGATCATTCTGCGTGATAACGGACAGCGCGCCCATCCAGCCGGTAAACCCAACGTAGGCCAAGATGCCAGCAGTGGCTACGGCGGTCGCCGTCTTCTGGTCGAAGGAGTTCTGGAGATGAGACAAGTTGAACGCCAGCAGGTAGACGGCCATGGGGGTCGCGACGACAGCCGAGGCAGGAAGTAGAGCTTTCTTGAGCAGCTTTGCCCGGATAAACGATTTAGTTGCGTAGCTATTTTCGATGATACCGATGGCTGCATCAAGGTTCTTGGCCTCGATAGCAGCGTTCAACGCTTTATCAACGAGCTCAGGATCGACAGCGTTGGCTGCCCTATCGGGATTTTGCTTTAGGTGCTGCAACGGACCATGGCTTCGTCGAGGTTTCGGTTTCGAGGCGTACAAACCCAGCACGTGCGGGACAGTCTCTACTCTGCCAAGCCGTGCTTGGGTGTCCAGATAGACCTCCAAGACCTGCGGTGTAATGAGGACGTTCGGGTGAGAGACAATGACAAAGGCGGCTTCGGAAACCCGGTCCGCCAGCTCGCTAGGCCGAGGAGGGTCTAGGATCTTGTTGATCCGCGGCGACTGCGTCACCTCTGGATTAGGCCCGTCCATAGATAGCAGTGACGATGCTGCAGTGTCTGACTCGGCGGATTCACCAAGGTGTAGAGGACTCGCTAGCTCAGCGTGGACCAGACTGGCAGCTTTGGCGCACTTGCGTAATGCGGCGATGACCTCGTCGTCATGCGGGATCCTGTCATGGGCCAGGAGCTGCTCCAAGGAGTGCTCGATGACGAGGACGACGTCTTTGCTGCCCACATTTCCCGGCTTGGAAGAAGCTTTCGCCCTGGAGAGTCCCGTCTGGGCCTCATCAGGCAGAGAATGCTTCGAGGGCTTGGGCGGGCCAAAACGGTAAGGCCTCGTTGTTGGCAAGATTGGCTTTGGCAACAAGCCTGCGTTGGGCATCCCTTGGAGGGACCTGACTCTGCGAGGATGAGCGCCAAGTGTTGCAAACAAAGCCTTGGCAAGATGTGAACCAAGCGGCGAGGGCGTGGGAGGCGCGACGAGGGCGCAGATCTGATAGACCCGACGAGGATTCCGGCAGCTTGGCCGCTGGGCGAACGGGCGGTGCATCGTGTATGTCCAGGGACGTTCCACGCTAGGAGAAGTAGAATTGTTTTAAGGTTGCGGTAGATATCGGTAGTTGAGAGCGGAACGTCAGGGACGGACCGGACGCCCTGGGGGTGGGGGGACGAGAGAGAAAGGGGGGCTTTGGGGGGCTGGTAGGGGAAGAGGGAGGAGATGAGATGGCGATAGCGACTGCGGCTGAGGCTGAGGCAGATGGCGCGAAGTTAGAAGGCGGTGGAAAATGTTTTAGGACCCGTTCTGAAGCGAGGTTAGAGTATTGTCTAAACTGGCGGACGGGCTGGGCGTCAAGGTTGTGGTTGTCTCAACGTTGCAATGTGCGCAAAGACCAGCACGGTAGCGTAGCATCCCCTTTGGTGCAGAGACTATCGGTCGAACGTCGACAAGAGACAGGCAGAGATAGATGACCGTGGTCTCGGATCGCAGCCCCCCTGCCCGCAGATCCCCGGGCGCGTCGGTAGTAGGCTCACGAATCAGAACCAAGCGTTTCAGCAGGGTCTCTTGAGCCTCTTCTTCCCAGCGCCGTGGACACGACTGACAGAACCGTCGATACCAGCCAACAAGCTCAGTTGGCCCCCCGCGGGGTGTTCTGGGCGAAACAGGCCGCAACAGGCGGCGTAGCACCAGCACCACACAACAGTCGGATTTCGGAACCCAACAGCATGAACGCCTGACACGGGACGAAGTAAAGATAGATTGCAGATTCAGGAGAGGCTGGCCTAGGCCTTTTCCGATCTGACAACTGACACGCGCAGCCCTGGTACGTGCAGCGTGGCGGCGCCAGTACGGCGGTGATGGCGGTCGTGGGGGATGTTGTTGGTGTTGAGTGGAGGGTGGACTGAACGATGAGGGGATTGGGGAGATACGCGCGACTCCAGAGCCTCTTGCTGGAGGTTTGCCGAGCCTGACCAGACAACCAATCAACTTCAAGGTAATCTTCCAGCCTCATGCCCGACCCCACTCCTATGCACACTCCCACCCTAACCCGTACTTCCAAGTGTCGAACCCACCACCCACCCCCCTTCCCCCCAATTCCCTCTCCTACTCCGGTGCATTTACAGTAGGGTTCGGGGAGGAGGGAGGCTCAGCACATGCCACATGCCTGCCCCTGCCCGCTCAACCAGTGGTTGTGACGACACCTGGACCGCTTCCAACGTCCAACTTGACTCTTACCACTGTCACTCCCTATCGGCCTGATTCGCAAGCTTTAGGCATCAAACTACATTGCTGTCGAGGTGTCTTGGCCCGCACCCTCGACTTGTCGTCAGCGTCTCGAAAATCCCACACCTATGCATTGCCAACGCCGAGCCCGAGCCCAAACTATCGTCTAGTCATTAACAAGTATCGCCGCCTACCCCGGCGCCTGCTGCCATCCTACGTCCGCTGCTGCTCGACCGGACCACCCTCCGCCATCCACGATTGTCTAGCACCAGCTGCTAGGGCACCTAGCTATCATGCCTCCTCCCCCTCCTCCGCCGCCTCCTCCTCCTCCGGGCGGTGGAGGCCCTCCTCCGCCTCCTCCCCCTCCACCCGGGAATCTTCCGGCGCGACCACCTGGTGGAGGAGCCGGAAGAGTAGGTTGACCACAGCCTGCTCACCCCAGCAGAGTAAAGCTAACATCGCTTCAAGGGCGCACTTCTCTCAGATATCTCCAAGGGAAAGGCTCTGAAGAAGGCCGTTACCAACGATCGATCTGCGCCAGTCATTGGGAAAGTGTCCGGCGGGCCGGGCCCGGCCCCGGTAGGAGGAGCTCCACCTGTTCCCGGCCTACCGAAAGCTCCAGGGGGCCTCGCACCGCCTGTGCCTGGTAACAGAGTAAGGAGCAACAGTGATCAGGGAAGTCGAGATGTATCTGCCGCAGCGCCGATGGACGCTGCCCCGCAGCTGGCTGGTCTCTTCGCCGGGGGCATGCCGAAACTCAGAAAGACTGGCGGGGGGGTAGACACTGGAGGTGAGTTCAGATCAGTGGCGGTCTTTATAGCCAGGCATCTAACGTTGTCTAGCGGACCACGCCGCATCATATCTATCCGATCCTGAATCCTCGCGGTCATCCGCACCGAAACCACCAACAGCCTCTGCTCCGCGACCACCTCCTGGTGCTGCGCCAGCAGTCCCAGGACGTCCGATGATACCAGGCTTGGCCAACCACGCATCAATAGCGAACCTGAGAAAGACAGCAGTCAACGAGGGGCCGCGGCCTATGTCGTCAGCTTCATTGAAGGGCCCGCCCCCTCCAATAGGGAAGAAGCCGCCTCCACCGCCGGGGTCGCGTAAACCATCCTCCAACTTATCATCCGCTCCTGCTCTGCCAAGCGCCCCGGCACCGCCGCCCCCATCCTCTGCCGCGCCGTCGTTACCGCCAGCACCTCCTCCTCCACCTCCTTCGTCCGCTCCACGGCTACCTCCGCCACCCGCAAGATCACAGCATCCCCCTCCACCGCCACCGGCTGCCGGCGCAGTTTCCCCTAATATCGCCGTACAAGCAGCTATTCGCGCAGCAGCAACGGGAGCAAGCTCCCCGACCTCAGCTCCCCCACCACCGCCTCCCCCGAGCGCTCCCTCGCCGCGATCGCCTGCCTCCGCTCCGCCACCGCCGCCACCGCCTTCAAGCACCGGACCCGCACGTGCTCATTCGGGATCCGTAGGTCGGTCGATGCTTGACCCCAGTAATTTCGTGCTCGCGCCAAACGGCAGTGGGAAGAGTCCAAGTCCCACACGGAGTAATTCGATGGCGACTCGGGCGAATGGTGGCGGAGCAGCACGAGGGGAGCGGATCGTTGTCCAGGATTCGAGGTGGAAGTTTGTAGATGAGTCCATGTTTCCCAAGCCAAGAGAATTCCATGGCGGAGCAAGGAGATATCGAGCCGGCAGGGGAAGCAGTGTGCCGCTGGACCTGAGCGCTCTGTCTTGAGACGAGGGTCAAGGTAGACATGCTGAGCCCTTCTTCCGAGAGCATCGCTTGTAAGACGACGATGCACTCATTTGATGGCGGCTTAAAGTTGGCGTACTTGGATCGGATGCAGATAAATCCCAACGTGCTTGACGTGTGCCTGAGGCCTAAAATTGGAATTCAAGCTTGATATGGTCATCGAGGTGGTGTATTAAATCGACCACCGCGCACAGGTCTTCCAGCGCTCTAGAATTGTAAAGTTGAGGTGCAGGGAAGCATGGCCAAGAGAATGAGACGGCCCAGATGAACAGCTCTAAGATAGACAAGGCAGGCAATTCAAGACATACTTGTGAAAATCAAGTTACAGGTACCAGGCTAGACATCAATGCCCACAATGACATTGGGTAATACTGCGCGCTCAACAGTCGCGAGCGAAACCAACATCAAAGGTGTCTTTTTGAATATTCACATGGACCCTCTCCAAGTCTGTACTATGAAAGGTCCAGAGGACGCGCGTCGGAATGATTTTGATGTATGATCGCGTGTCTAGAACATAGTACGCTATATTCGCTGATCGTGGTTTTCGACCGAAAACCTCCAAATCGCGTCCCGATACCAGCATTGAATATCCGTTGCCCACTCCTGACATGCCGATATACTTATGTCTCAATCAGTTATATGGTGCCATCTGGCGTACACGGGTAAGAAGACGCCATATTATCCCGTTTGGTCCTGCAGCGGACGATGAGAGACCCTCGACGTTTGTAGCAAAATGACACCGAAAACAGGATGTTGGCAGGCAGCCACCCACCCGTAGGATATATGCAACGCCGCGATAATGTCAAAACCACCGGACAAAGCCCGAGTAAACACACGCGGTAAACATCAGAATAACGTGGTGAGTACAAGTCACAATAGACGCATCAAGCACTCAACAGATCCCTTACACTCATTCCCCTCCCAGAGCCACTACCACTAGCACCACTACTGGCGGCGGCGTTGGACCCACCATTTGTACTCGATACCGTCCCCCGCCGGTCATTGTTCAGCATCAGAAGCGCGGCCATGGCCTCCTGGTCCAAGTCCCGCTCCCGCATCGGGCCCAGCGCCGGGCTCGTCAGCGTCGACCCGGCGGCCGAGTGGTTGCTCGGCGCGTAGCCAGCCGCGCCGTAGCCGCCGACCTGCGGGCCGAACGCGGGCGACGTCGTCGCGCTGCTGTAGCTGTAGTGCCTGTGGTGCTCCACCGCGGCCGCCGAGAGGGACACGTACGAGTCGTGGCGGCCCATCGAGGGATCCTGGGGCACCAGGGCCGGCGAGGCGGAGTGTTGGTGGGATGCCGAGGTTGTGGCGGAGGAGGGGCGGGTGGTGAATGTCGGCGAGGGCGCGTCGTCTGAGCCGGTCATCTCGACGTCTGGGGAGTGCTGCTCCCCGGGATATGCCTGACGGTATTCGTAGTCCGGGTCATATGGCTCTCGGCCTGATGGGGTACGTATTCCTTCCATCTCGGGGGCGGTCTGGCTTGGCAGCTCTCTCTGCGACTTGAGCTTCTCGACGCAGTCCTGCAGGTATCTGACGTATTCAATTGAGGCCTAGGACGGTCAGTAACGAGTGTATGACCGAGTGCCGACGGATATCTGTTGCTCACCTGCAAAATAGCCAGCTTGTGCATCTCGCCGGTACAAGCTGGTATCATATCCTTCAAGACGGCGAATTCCTCGTTCATCTTGGATCTCCGTCGCCGCTCGATGAGGCTATGTGCCGTCTTCCTGGCGATCTTCCGTCCTGCGGCGCTGGTTGCGGATGGCTGCTTCTTCTTTGCTGGCACGGCCTCGCTCGCGGCCGGGGCAGCAGCGGTTCTCTTAGCACCGGCTGTGCTGGCTGTGCCCTTAGTGGCCGTCACTGGTTCCGCGGGTTTCTTCTCCTCCTGAGGTCGGGGTTTCATCTGGATGATCTTACGAGATCTCGTGGGAGGCGGCGGCAACGCGAAGTTGCCGTCCTTGTTGCCGGCGGCGGCGTTGGCGGCGGCGGGAGGTCGCCGCCTCGCCTTGACAGCCTCACTGGGTTGTATCCTATATGGGGCCTTCGGTGAGACTGGGGATTCTGGGGAGGCAGGAATGTCCATTTTGTCTGTGTCAGAGCTGGCGGTGCGTGACTTTATGGCTGGAGGAGGCAGTTCGAAGGCCATCTGCAATTGCGATAACTGCTTGGTTCCATCCTCTCCTGCAATATCGGTAGAAGAGGCCGGCGTTGGAGGCAACGCCGTGCGAGGCATGTTTGTAGCCGGCGTTATCGCGCGGCGATGTGACCGTCCTGAGGTTGGTCTCTGGTGCCAACCACAGAGATGAGGCGTGTTGAAGAGGTTGAAATCTGGTATATATGATCTCGGAGGAGCGAAACAAGTAAACGCGGCCCTCGACGGCCAAGGCCAAAGTCAAGATGCGCAGCCACCAAAGCTTCGTTGCGTGCTGGGGCAGGCTGTGTCACAGTCGTCACGAGCGCAGCGGAGGGTGAGTAGCCGTCAGGCGGGATCTCCAGATCGAGCAACCCAGACTGTGAGACGCTTGAAGACTTGACAATGGCGACAAGACAAGGACACGGTTGGAAGAAGAGAGGCACGAGGCACGAGGCACGTGTATAAGCAGTGGGCTGGGGAGAATGATTGGGAAAGAAAAGGAAAGAGAAAACCTGCCTACACTACAAGAAACCTACCGGAGAGAACCTGACGAGAAGAATTACGGTGATAAGCAACGTGCCCTCGATAGATAGCTCGGGGGGGGGAGACGTTTTGGATCGCTTGGGCCGAGCTCCCTGGCTCCCCCCCAAGAGCGGCAAGTGAGGGAGTGCTTGGGTGTGTGTGTGTGTGTGTGTGTGTGTGTGAGTGTACATCCGTGGTGATGCAGGCCGTACCCAACCCACGAGTAGTAATAGCCCGGTACATACATAGTGTTCCCGGCAAGAGCTCACGCGAGCAATGGCGAATCACAGTGGAGCTTAAGACCTCGTGCTGGAGGGACGTCTGGCGAGGCGGGCTGCGGGATGATGGCCTGTGGCCCGTGCGTCCAGGGATCTCCCTCTGACGCCTTTTCAGTCGAGTGCTCGCAGCCCTCGCAGCCCTCGCGACACTTCACATGGCTCAATCCACAGGCTCTGGCCATGACAGCTTTGCTGCCACCCGTCAGGCCGCGTGGTGCGCCTGACTCGGCATTTTTCGGCGCCTCTCCCATCGACATGGCAGCAGAGCGTCTCAACTGTTCTTGCGGTTTGGGCCTGCCTTGTCAGCTTCTATATTACCGAGGGTCATACATCGCGATCGGCCTCAGAGCAAGATGCTCAAGACCAATGTTGCCAGCGCCAAAACAGGTTGTTGCTAGCAGCCCGTGGGATGCGGGCTAAATCCAGGAATGCCGGCTTCTGGTTCGATCAATCCATATCAAGACTAAGTTCCGCGCAGGCTGGCATGTATGTATGCATTCGGTTTCGTCCTCGCCCACTTTTCTGGCCTAAGAGGTGCCCACGTGCTCATGTCTGCATCAAGGTTTCGGTAATAGCATCCGCAGATAGACAGACTGCCCGCCAGGGCCCACGTCCCAGGACCGGACCCAATGTTTCACACTTGGCTTCCCGCCCTTTCACATGCTGTAACATCAATTTCGATGATCATATCTCGTCAACCATACGCCTATCTCAACGCCTGCCCATGTCCCACTACCATCACCTCAAATCTCGTTGCTCGGGTATTCCACCTTTGTAGTGGCACCAAATTCCTCCTTCAACGTCCTCATGTTCACAAATCTCCCCATGATCGCTGAGCTTCCAGCCTTGTCGTTCGTGCCCGATGCTCTTGCGCCGCCGAATGGCTGCTGTCCGACTACTGCACCCGTGCTCTTGCAGTTGATGTAAAAGTTGCCCGCCGCGTTCCGGAGCGCCTCCTCCGCGACACGGACCGCCGCCCGATCCGATGCGAAAACCGAGCCGGTGAGTCCGTATTCCGTCGTAGAATCGACCAGCTCGCAGGCCTTGACAAAGCCCTCGGGCGTGCTGTCGTCATACACGTACGCCGTCAGGATGGGGCCGAAGAACTCTGCCTTGAGGTAAGGGTGCGCAGGGTTGGTCGTCCGGTAGATGGTAGGCTTCACAAAGTAACCCTTTGAGTTGTCGAAGGTGCCGCCGGTGAGCAACTCCAGCTCGCTGTCTTTCTTCGCCGCCTCAATGGCGCCCGAGAGCTTGTTGAACGACGCGGTGTGGATGACAGGGCCGATGAAGTTCTGAGGCTCCCACGGCACGCCAGTCTTCAGCTTCTCGGTCTCTTCGACCAGTTTCTCCTTGAACTGGGGCCAGAGGCTCTTGGGCACATAGACCCGTGAGGTCGCACTGCACTTCTGACCCTGGAATTCGAATGCACCCCGCACTGTCTGCACGGCAGCATTCTCGACGTTCGCAGAGGGGTGGAGAATGTGGAAGTTCTTGCCGCCAGTCTCGCCCACGACGCGCGGGTAGCCCACGTAGCGTCCCTCGGCTATGCCCTCGCCAATCTGACCGTATAGCTTGCGGAACACGGCAGTGCTGCCTGTGTAGTGGAGAGCGGCAAACTGCTTGTGTCCTAATACGATCTTGGTGATCTCCTCGGGCTCACCTGGAATGAACTGGATCACATCCTTGGGCAGGCCTGCCTCAATGAAGATGTTGTAGAGGAGCCAATTGGAGGCGATCGCGTAGTCGGATGGCTTCCACACGACCACATTTCCGAGCAGCGCAGGAAGACCGGGCAGGTTACCGGCGATGGCAGTGAAGTTGAACGGGGTGATTGCGTATACAAAGCCCTCGAGCGGCCGGTATTCTAGCCGGTTCCACACACCGGTGGAGTGATGCTGGGGCTGCTGAGCGTACAGCTCCTCCGCATACTGCACATTGAACCGTAGAAAGTCGCAAAGCTCTGCGGCGGAATCGATTTCGGCTTGCCATGCGTTCTTGCCCTGGCCGAGCATGGTAGCCGCCATGATCTCATACCTATATTTGGTCGAGATCAGGTCTGCGGCCTTGAGGAAGACGGCTGCCCTGTCAGCGAAGGGCAGTGATGCCCACGCGTCCTTGGCAGCCAGTGCAGACTCAATCGCCGTCTTCACATCTTCCGGGCCAGCTTTTGAGTATGTCGCCACGACTTCGGAGTGGTCGGACGGGTTCAATTGCTTGCCGGTAGACGAAGTTGTGATCTGTACGAATGAGCGTGTCAGCTGGCGAGATCGGATCAGGGCAAAAGGGGGGGGGGGGGGCGCGATCCTGTACTGACTTCTTTGCCACCAACTACTATCGGGACCTTGACTGTGCCCTTGCTCTTGACTTTCTGAACAGTGGAGAGCAGGCCTTCTCTTTGGGACGAGCCCTTGGCATAGTGATGCTAAATTTGGAGGTCAGTGGGTTGTTTTGTGTGGAATAGCGTGTGGTCGCCCTTGACATACATTTGGCTCGTTCAAGATCTTGGGTACCTTGAACGAAGCAAGGACTGAGGCTCTGGGGGCTGATGTCGCAAAAGTGCGAGGCAGTGGAGTACCTGCCAGCCTGGGCGATAAGGCGGAGGTTGACCGTGAGGCCACAGACCGTAGACCGACGGTCCTGGAAGCCATAGCCATGACGACGAGAAGTAGGAGATGAGTTGGTGGGTGAGAAGGAAAAGGAGAGCACGAAAAGAGGTTGACTGAAGGAAGGGTATCACGAGTTTGGAAAGATTCTGCTTGCTAACAAAAGGTGTCTGTTGTTCGCAGATCAGAGGCTCATGTATGCATCTTTATTCACTTACACCAAGGGATATCGCCATCGCCGTCGGAAAGCCGCGGCCTTAATTGAGGACAAGGGTAGCTCCATCGCCAGCGTGGAGAAAGGTCATGCGGGGAGGGGCCCATTCCAGAAACCTTGACGGGTCAATTGACCAATGACTGCAGGCCATGACTCTGATAACGGCCCCGAAAGCCGGCCCCTAGAGCACCACGGACATGGCTGGCAGCCCAAGTCGCGGGCCTGTCATCGGAGCACTGATTCGTCTCGGCAGCCTTGAGTCCTTGACAATCACCGCCAGCTGGGTCTTCTGAATGCGATCCCCCCTTCCTCCCGACTTGAGCCGCCAGTCCTGGGATGGTCTTGGGGCGGCATGAGGCCATAGCCTGGATCACCTGCTCTTGGCCGTCGCCATGTTGCCAAGAGACTCGGTGCTTGTTTGTGCTGTTGGTGCGTGCCATGCCGTCTTCTATTTATTCCCGAGCCTGGCTGGTTAGGAAGGGCTGGGTCCTGCGTAACATGGCATTCCTGGTTGTTGTGCTGCTGCAATTTACAGTATGCCCAGATATACAGACCATTGAGGTGCCGTCAGGTGCTTGTCACCACTCAGCATCGTCTGTCTTCATCGTCACAAGGCAAGAGTGTACGATATCTTTCGGCACCCACGCCGACCCGGGGTGGTTTCACCGGAGGCAGCCCCCTTCTTCCGAACCCCCGCCAGTCTCAGAAGCTCTGGGTTTCAGACAAGAAGCTCTCGAGCTTGCTCTCACCTGTGACGTCTGCGTGCTGGCTGGTGTGGGGGTTTCTTCCAGCTCACTGTTACTGAGATAACGCCTGAACCACGTATGAAGACACAAACTGACACATGCAGCGCACCTCAGAATCATGCACTGCACTGGAGAAGATCTGGCCGGAGGCCTGGAAAGATTTGTGCACGAGAGAGATACTCTGTGGTAGACGGCAATATACATCACAGTGATGACGAGTAGTAGCTTACAGCTCTAAGGCATCCCAGTTGTCCACGTGTAACTTGACCAACGCACCCTACTAGCGGGATAACCTCCAGTAGGGTGAACTCCTGCAGCATAAACTGAAGCGGGATAACCTTAAATGGGATGACCAACTAAGGTGTAACTTCTTATAGGTTGGTGCTTTGTCTTGTAGATTGGGAATAACCTGTGATGTGTACTGTGGATTACGGTGTGCTTGTCTGAGAAGCATGGACTGCGGCCGAGAAGAAAAGAGAGGGGACCCATGGGTCGAACCAGTCGAGTGTTTTGAAACTGCATGCAATCGACAGGCCAATGCACCCTGGACAGGGACAAGGATATCTACATGGGGCGGGACCCCTGATCTCAAGAGTGCCATGGTCCAAGGTTCCCGAGATCCACTGCCACGGGGCTCACTGGCAGATGGGATAGAACAGGATGCTGATTTAGATTTCGAGTCGCGTTCAAAATGGAACACCAGAAATTAAAGAGAGCCCCTGCCTGCGTATCTCACAATATTGTCACTTGCAATGCAGCACAAATACAGAACGGCGAAGCACGGCACATTACACAGATTCCCCGTGTCCACACGGTGTAACTCGGATAAGCTTGGCCATTGATAATCATCTACTAGCAGTCGTACACCAACATCTCCAACGCGGCGGCCTCCAAAGGATTCTTAGAAGCAGGAGCACAGAAGGAAGGAAGAGAGATGGGCGGCTACACGCACCCTGATGTCTTGTCGCGGGACGGATGGGCGCAGACTCTCGAGGCACGATCATGTCCTGTCCTGACCTTTTGCAACCCACGGAAAGGGACCGAACAGCAAGCAAGCACACTCACTTGCTTGCTCAGTTACTCACTGCCTCGTGCTAGGAGCTGGCCTTATTTTAGCCTCGTCCCCATTTCAGCTTACATGGTGTGCATTGGAGACGAACCGCTCAACTTCCTTGATCAGGACGTCTTGGCATTGTCATCATCCCCAAATTGCACCCAACCTCCCTCCCACCAGAAACGGGATCGCGTCAAATTCGCACGGCTGTGCTTGCAGTCGTCCGCCGCCTCTTTCGACCAAAGCAAATCACAACAAATCAGAGTCCATTCGCTACTGCACCCAGTGGCGTGACTCTGCAGGTCATCATTCGTACCCACCGCTGCTTTGAATCTAATATTCTCTTCTGTTGATCCCGTTCAAAAGGTTTATTTTACGCACACTGCTGGACCACCTTTCTCCGTGCGACCCGTTGGCAGGCCTCATCTAGAATCCCTCTGTCTAAGAATAACATTCAGAGACGATCAACACCCAGCCAACACAAAAGTCTTTGCGACCCAAGGGCTCATACTCTTTCTTGTTTCTTATCAGTCTTCACATTGCCTCCCTTGCTGGCCCAGTTTCCGTGGACGCGGTATAACTAATTTACATACCTTGTTTACCGTTGCGTGGCTGGGAATAGTGGAATAGCACCTGCGACTGCGACTGCGACTGCGACACCTGTTGTGTAAGTCCCCACATCTGTGAACCTTCAGTGTTTCTGCCAATTGCGCGCGCTCTGACCCTTTTGCGACCCAGCAGCGCCCGTCTTTCCACCTGAGATATGTCTTCTCACCATGCGCACGACCGCGACGTCGACCTAGACGACGAACACCTTGACCCACGGAACCCCTACGCGTCGGGTACGAGATGGCGCCATGAGGAATCGAGTTCATTTCGCAAACATGCGGGTCAGACGCTTCAGCCAAGAGCCCCGGATGGAAAGAGCGGGACCCACGACCTAGCCAGCTTTCTGCACTCAACCAGGGTCCCCTCCAACGATGGTACAAAAGATGGCGGGAGTCCAACTGGCTCTGCTGTTGCTGGCAAGACACATCACCCCATCATGATCGACGGCAACGAGGCCGCAGCCGCGGGCGAGCCGCAAAATGCCGTTGACACCGACTTCGCGCACGCCGAGCCCCAGGACGGAAGGACCGTCGCATGTGGGCCTCTGCTTAATTACAGGCGCATGGAAGGGAACCACTGGGTCGGCAGCGTCCTGATCGTTACCAAGGGTGGCGGCAGGACGCAGGAATTTGTGCCGACTTTGGTGTTGCGGAGGGTTGGCGCGAGGCAGAGATCCCAAGGCGCCGGCCCCAGCGCTACAACCAACGGAGAAACCAATGGACATGTGAATGGTGCATCAGGTACAGAGATACAGGGAATATGTCTGTACTCCGACCCCCGTAACACTTTCTGGCGCTTCGACCTCATCGCCGAGATGGAGGCGGTCGAGGTTCAGTGGGAATACACCCTCCCTGGAACGCGTTTCGTCAGCCAGCAGAAGCCGCAGACAAACAGCTTCTTCGTCCCTGCCATTACGGAATCCATGCGAATCATGTTTCACTCCTGCAACGGGTTCTCTGTGGGCACTGACGAGGATGCTTGGAGCGGTCCCGCCCTCTGGAACGATGTCAATAGGCGCCATGCTGAAGCACCATTCCATGTCATGATCGGCGGCGGTGACCAGATTTACAACGACGGCATCCGGGTCAATGGCCCTCTCCGACAGTGGACAGAGATTGGAAACCCCAAGAAGCGCCGCGACTATCCGTTCCCTGAACAGCTACGCGCCGAGTGCGATGACTATTATCTCAAAAACTACATCCGTTGGTACGGAACAGAGCCGTTCGCTACTGCGAATGGTCAGATCCCGTCAGTATATGACCATGTCTACCCCTGTTCCCTATCACATATCTTGAATCATTTCATAAATCTTTTCACGCGATGCTCCGAAATATGAAGCTAATTTGCAGCAGAATGGTTAATATATGGGATGACCATGATATCATCGATGGGTTTGGCTCCTACGTCAACGAATTCATGAAATGCGACGTATTCCGCGGTATCGGTGGTTGTGCCCACAAGTACTATATGCTGTTCCAGCATCACATGCCACCACCACCATCGACCTACACCTCGGACGCGCCTCAGACAGTGACTGAGCCAGGCGATGGCCAAGCGACCGGTATCGATAGAAACCAACTTATTGACACGTATGTTGCTGAGCCCATGCGTGAGTCCAACTATATCGTTGGGCCCAAGCCCGGCCCGTACGTGGCTGAGCACTCCCACAACATATTTGCCAAGCTGGGCGCAAGGATAGCGCTCATAGGAATCGACGCGCGTACCGAGCGCACTCGGCACCAGGTTAACTATCCGGAGACATATGATTTGATCTTCGGCCGGCTGAGCCAGGAGCTGCAGGACGCGCAAGCCGCTGGCACGCCCATCAGGCACGTGATACTGCTGTTGGGCATCCCAATTGCGTACCCAGTAAGTCACTGGCTATCATGCATGAGGGACATTGAGCACATCTAACTTTTCATCTTCCAGCGGCTCACGTGGCTTGAGAACGTTTTCAGTAGCCCTATCATGGGCCCCATCAAATTCGCCAACCGAAGGTTTGGGCTAGGTACGTTCAAAGTCTTTCCCGGTTGCTTCAGGCAAGACGACGTTCAATTGCCTCTGCCGTGCTCACTTTGGCTTTGCGATCACTAGAACGAACCGCGATGGCTGACTTGCGTAGGCGGTGGTCTATTCAACCACTTCGATGGATCGGTCGATCTTTTGGATGACTTGGACGATCATTACACTGCTCGAACCCACAAGAAGGAGCGAAACGCTATGGTCGAGCGGTTCCAAGAAATATGCAAACAATGTAAGTTATCAGCCACGATGATGACCATTCCCTTTCGTGGCGCCGAGCTAAATCTGTTTGTCCAGTCTCTGTCCGCATAACCATTCTCGGTGGAGATGTTCACTTGGCAGCTCTTGGCCGCTTCTATTCCAACCCCTCGCTCAACATTCCGTGCGAGAATGACTATCGCTACATGGCAAACGTTGTCTCATCTGCGATTGTGAACAAACCCCCACCCCAGGCTATTGCGAATCTGCTCGCCCGCCGCAACAAGATCCACCATCTCAACCCATCGACCGACGAGACCCTCCTGAAACTCTTCGACAAGGACCCGGGCGACTCCAACAAGACGGCCAACCATAACCAAGTGACCATGCCAAGCCGCAACTTCGCCATGCTCACCGAGAACTCCCCCAACAACCCGCCCAGGGAACGGCCCGTTACCCATTCGACCAACGGGGCGGCGGAGCAACCCAACGGCAACGAGGCCGCGTCCGTCAGCGGGCGCATCTCCGTCAAGTCCAAGGACGCCCACCTGCCCATCCACCTGGGCGAGGTCGAATGCGGGACGAAGCACAGGGCGGCGTCGGCGCACGACCACGGCCAGGAGAACGACGGGAGCCTGGACATCTGTATTCGCGTGGAGATCGACCAGCACGATCGCGAGGGCAAGACCGAGTCCTACGGGCTGACGGTGCCTGCCTTGACTGTGACGGCCTGAGACCTTTTCACAAGCGTCCAACGCATCGGCTCAGAAACCTCATCTACCTGACGATTTTTTTTAATTTTGTTCCGCGTCGTTTGATTTTGTAATAAATACCCTATGTATACCTAGATACCATCTGCTACACTACCTCAATTGACCTTTGGCTTTTCATAATTAATTGAAACAGAACACAGCCTCAAATCTCAAACACAATCTTTAAATGAAGTATCGCCGCTGAACCTCTCTTGTTCATGTCTTCAGGGGATTCTGGGACCGTGAATATATTGGAGAATGTAATCCAATAGCCTCTAAATTTCTTATCTTCTAATACCTTTCATAGGACAACCTTTTCATAATATCAATAAGATAGTCTCCCACATGATAACCTCCAATGGGATAACCTTCATCTTTGAGGGTGAGAGGGCTCGTCATCTGTGATTGGAAACCTTAGGTCAACAGCATTGTTGCTGTCAGGATGTACACTCAATATCTCGCTGGATGTAGTCTATGGGTATTTACCCTTGATTTGAAAAATCACGCGGAACTAGATGGCCTCTGTCGTTGGAATGAATTGGCAGCGAATTCTAGCGGTCAGTCGATTATCGAGAGAAATTCGATCCCTCCCACACGATCGCGACTCTGCTACGTTCTATAATTTATATAAACTCGAATTTTGTTAACCCGAATAGATATTCCAAAGCGCTACGGGATCAGATTATCAAAAGCCAACCGTGTCACCCAGCCAACGAAAAGTCCGGCTCAAAGGTGATGAATCTGGAGTAGTTGATTCTGAGTGATTGATCTTATGGAGGGTCGTCTTATGGGGGGAAGTTTACACGGTCAGGGATAATGTGGCTCTCTATGAATTTTCGTTGAAGCCACTGGCGAGGCAGTCGGGCGGGCGGTGCGAATAGGTGTGCATCACCAGTCACTCGCACTCATGATTTCCTAGATAATCTTGTACTGTTCAGTTCAGTCCAGTCGCCTCAGACTTCCTCACGCGTCCGACATCATGCATAGCTGTAGAACTGGGATCCCTCGGCGGGAAGTGCCAGCGCCAGCACTCCTCCATCTCGACTCCATGGTCTCGCAAGTCCGCACAGCGTAAGTATATGCTCATTGAACCAGTAATGCAATCAAATACAACTCATCTCGGCATTGATATTGAAGAACGGATATTGCTGCTGTATGCCATTTCCGAGGCATAATCCGTCGAGGTGCTGTGTAAATTCAGTTAACAGCCGGTCCGGGTTAATTTACCAGGACTAATCGATCACAAGGCAGAGCATAATGGATCAAATTATGCGAAGTGATTTGACATGGATTGATTGTACAAGTCGGCAGAAGATACTCTAGACGTGCTTCCAAGCCTGTTGTAACAAGATTTCGAATGTTGGTGAACATTCATCTGTTCAAGAGAATTCTTTCTGACGGGGAAGCGGCGGTAAACTCTCCTCGTACTGCTTGTTATCCCACAAGTCGTCCAAATCCTCAAACAAAGACACAATCTCTGCGAGCGATCCACAGGGGTTACGTCTGAGAGCTTCGTACAGTCTCGACTCTAAATGACCTGCATCGTCTTTCCCGCTTTGAGCGCATCAATGTCCTCTTTTTCCAAAGGGTCACATCCATTGAGACTATGCCACGCCTGGTCGATGCTCCTCCAAGTCGTCAAGTCAAACCTGTCCCGGCCAATTATCGCGGTAGTTGCAGCTCCGCACGGTTTGAGGGCATAGGTTTGGGGGCGTAGGCCATGATATAAGCTCCCAGGTAGCATCGAAGTAACATGAGGCGGAATTGACTTCGAACTTGTTGCCAGTGTTAAAAACACCCGGCAGAGATTTGAGACTAGGGAGATGCTTAGTAGTGATTTTGCAAATTCGAACAAATTCGCGTATGCAATCGTCGAAGCGTGGGTTCATCTGCATCTTTGGCCGCGGTCCTGAGGCTCGGAGTAAATCACACTGGCGCATCTCGTTGGCGAATCTGACGAACGAAAACAGCGTGAGACAAAGCTTTCCCTGGCCGGGTCAGAATTCGATTTACTCACCATGACAAAGAAGGGTGAAAAGAGGCTCGAATGCAGGGCATTGATGTATGGATATGTTTCAATAAAAGAAACGGGTTTGTTGATGATTATCACAGTTGGAGGTTTGTACTGGCCCCGGAGCACTACGGAAGGGAAGACTGCAGAGCATCACGAAAGGGGAGACCGCAGAGCATCACAGAAGGGAAGGTAAGCACTCACCTAGTGAAGCCCCTTCTCATACAGGGCAGGGGCTCGTCTTCTGCAGTGGAAAGCTTGGAATAAGAACAGTCTTGCACTCATAATGTCTTTCCACTGCCCACAAAGCAACGACTTTGCCCTGATGGTATCCTCCTCCACCCTCCTCGGTGCCCTTCCGCGCATTTCTCAGACAGAGAAATGCTCACCAACCCTCACAAATCTTGTTACAACAGGCTTGAAAGCACGTCTGGAGTATCATCTGTCGACTTATCCTTCTATCACCCACGAAGGAACGGCTTTGCCCTGATGGTACCCTCCTCCGCCCTTGTCGGTTCCCCTCCATGCGTTCAAGTCGCTAATGACGCGTCTTGTTCCTCTGCGTATCTTCATGTTCCCAGTTCCTGCCCTTCTCTACTCAAGGCATTGCAAGCTTCATTTGCAACACATGTGTTGAAAAAGGAAGAAAACAATGGCCACTTTGTACACACCCACCCTCACATGAGACACCACCGCCATCGCCTTCCCGAAAAGGCTCCCAGTGACCAGGAAAAGGTCTTTTCGTCCTCCGTGATTGGAAACTTTAGGTCAAGAGCACTTTTGCTTTCATAGTTTACATCCAATCTCTCGCTAGATGCAATCTATGGCGCTCTGTACAGAGAGTAGTACCCGCTACACTCATATATTGTTGATATTTTTCGCGTTATCATTGATGTTGCTTGTGTATTATTAATCATGGCATAGGAATCAGGAGGGGGGGATCTGGTAATAGATGTATTTATTGCCGCGCTGGATATCGCTTTATCCTGACCAAATCACCTCGCAACAGTTGTGAAGTCAGCTGGTAGTGAGTGGCTGTCATAGGTTCATCCGTGCGTTGTGGTCGGTAATTGCTGTCAACGGCATAGCACTCTCAACATTGCTTAAATAAAATGGAATGCTCCTAGATATAACAGTCTATCCCATGGAAGGTTATCCCATGGGAGGTTATCCCATGGGAGGTTATCCCATGGGAGGTTATCCCATGGGAGGTTATCCCATGGGAGGTTATCCCGTAGATGAGTATTCCATAGAAGGTTATCCCATAAAAAGCTTTTTACAGAAGAGTATCCCATAGAAGGTTATGCTACAGAAGGTTATCCCACGGAAGAGTACCATGGGAGGTTATTCTGTGGGAGGTTATTCTGTGGGAGGTTATTCTGTGGGAGGTTATTTCGATGGAGGTCATTCTATGGAAGGTTAACATGTAGACGGATGTCTTATAGAAGGTTAAACCACGAGGCAGGAAGAGAAGAAGGATCCTTCTCAGTGAGCCTCGATGTCTGGTGTGAGTATAGACCTTGCATAATGATCTAAGATTGAACATAATTAGCCTGATCCATTCAAGACATACTGCTTTGTCGGCCGGTACCAAGACTGCTATACGAGTCTGGGAAAGCAAGACGCGCTCAATCACATCGACGGCCATCGAATAACCTTGCATTCTCACGGACATGATCCGTCCCGGGACGTTCTCCTCAACTCGGGGATGTGGCGCAGTGGTAGCGCGCCCGCTTTGCAAGGCGAATTCTTCGCCATCCGTCCATTGCGGAAGGTCTTGGGTTCGATCCCCAACTTCTCCATCCTTTTTATTTGCTTTTTGGGATCTTTGGGAAGAATCCTGACTTGTTTCTATTCATCTGAAGAGCGTGGGAGGAGGTGGGTTGACTGTGGTGAGCGATCTGAGCCGTTGTTGGTGTTTTCTGTGTGGTTTGTGTTGTATGCAACACCGGATGACTAAGCAGAACAAGAACCGAGAGACTGCTAACCTAGGAGCGTTGATTTGAGTGCTGGTTGCTTTAGAGAACCGAACGGGGTGGTGTTGTTTCCGATGTTCCGAGTGCCGGAGACTGATCCCGGAACATGCCGCGAGCTATCAGATCTCCTTGTACCATGTACTCACATACTCATCTAAATCAGACCCTGCACTGGCTAATCTACAGTGGAACAGTTTGTTGGAGGGTCCGACCTCAATTTATCTACATAGTGTTACACATATCCGGGCAGTTCATGACTTATTGCTGTGCACAATGCGCGGCTCCGTGTCGGGAGCCTCCCGTGTCGGGCCGCGTGCGGGGGAATCCGGTATGCTGTTTGATTGGTCAGATTGAGGCTGGCGAGTGCGCTAGCCGCGTTGGGAAACAAACTTTTGTTCCAGAAGGCCTGACTCAGCGCACGGACCAGCCCCCACATCGGCTGCTAAGGCAATTCGATTGATTCCGGTCGCATCAAGAACTTTGCCTTCACAAGTTGCGCCCCACCTCCTCGCAAGACGAACGCGACCACCAAGACAGTGATGATCTTTCGCTTCTTGAAGTCACGCATTATGTCTGAGATGGCTGTCAAAAAAGTGCCCATCCCTTCAAGGGGAGTCGACTACAGAGGCAAGCTCGTGCTGGCTCCTATGGTCCGGTCAGGCGAATTACCGTCGCGCCTGCTCGCCCTCCACTATGGCGCTGACTTGGTATGGGGTCAGTTTCTCTGCGCTTCTCGTTTTTTAATCGCTTTGACTGACGATTTGTCTGCATAGGCCCCGAAACTGTCGACAGATCCATGCTAGGTACAACACGAAGAATCAATCCATCCACAAAAACCATCGATTTCATCCGCGTACCTCATCAAGGACAAAAGCAGCCACCACCCAACGCCAAGGAGTCCGTGATCTACCGATTACACCCTGAACGCGAAGGGCGCAAGCTCATCTTCCAGATTGGCACCTCCGATCCAGATCGCGCGGTCGCGGCCGCGCGACTGATCGCACCAGACGTGGCGGGAATAGATGTGAACGCAGGATGCCCGAAACCATTCAGCACGCACGACGGAATGGGCGCTGCTCTTCTGAAGACGCCCGACAAGTTAGTAGCGATCTTGGAGGCTTTGGTGAAGAACATTGTGCCGGAATTTCAGATCGGAATCAGCGTGAAGATTAGAATACTGGACACACCCACAGAAACGGAAGCTTTGGTTAGGAGGCTGGTCGCCACAGGTATCACAGGACTGACGGTGCACTGCCGGACAACGCCCATGCGACCACGCGAGAGGGCGATTCGAGGACAGCTTCAAATGGTCCGGGAGGTGTGCCACGAAGCCGGCGTTGCGTGCCTTATGAACGGGGACGTCGAAGGTCGGGATTCCGCCGTGGAGCTCATCGAGGAGTTCGGCGTAGATGGGGCTATGATCGCAACGGCGGCAGAGAAGAACTCAAGCTGCTTCAGAACGAAGGAGGAGGGCGGCATGGCGCCTTGGGACGAGGTGACGGAGACATATCTCCGGTTGGCGATGGAAACGGAGAACAAGTTTGGCAACACAAAGTACATGCTGAACCAGATCATCCCTGGCAAACAACCTGCCTACAAACGCGTCCAGTCCTGCAAGAGTTATATCTCTGTCTGCGAGGCACTGGGGCTCACTCATCTGAAGGACATGGCAACGGACGCAGACAGGGCAGTGGGCCTCATTTCCGACTCGGACGCGAAATCTGCAGTCGCACTGAACGGCAACTCAAAACGGAAGAATGATGGCGCCTCAATTATGCAAACATCCGAGGAAATTTCTGCGAAACGCCAGAAGACGGACGAGCCAGTGAAGGAGACCGGAGTGCTTCAACCTCCTGTGGCCCTCTCAGTTTGAGCACACCGTGTACAAATCAATCATCAACAAACATATTCATGGAAGGGCATTTTGACGCGTCTGCGACAATTCGGCGTTTATGGTGGCATGGTTGGAAAAAGAAGGTTCTAGACAAAGATATCCACACATAGATGAGGCAATGAAGAAACATCAGCACGAACAAAGTGGTCTCGTGACAATCTGGGAGCAACTGTTTGCGTGATGGTTTGTGTCTTGGGAGGAAAGCCAGCACTCAAGGGGGTCGCGCCCGCCAGTGACGTAAAGCTGGTCGCACCCATTACAAAGTTTCAGTGCTTCAACGGTCGTTCGTCAATCTGAGCCAAAGCTCAAGCAAAGCCCAGAGGTGTCAGACTTCTTAGCCCAGAGGGCGATAGAGGGCCCTGTTGCGACACACTGTATAGCGCACTGTAGGCGCAGCAGTCTGCACTGGGGAGCCGCCAGACTGAGTGACCAGGTATCCCCTCGCAGCGGCCAGAGCCGCCCAAGACACCCACCCACTGCACCTGCAAGGTGACGTCCGTCATGGATCTCAACGGTCTGCATGCGCACTGATACATGGAAATAATCCTTAAGTGACAAGCCATATCCTGAAAATCTTCGATCACGTTGGAAATTTTTCTTCTCTTTTTGAGCGGAGCACCACTACGCCACGCCTAAGCGTGTCACTGGACCAATCCTGTTAGTCCTCCACATGCAGGCTTGAAGAGTCTCAATCATCAATCGCCGCCGGACGGGCTAGATGACGGATCACGATATCAGTTGCAACGGAGCTTGACGCACTCAAGATGAGTGACCTGCAGAAGGCGTGGGCGAAGAAGAAGATGGAGATGAGCAATGCAGATGTCTTCAACGAGCTCGACGAGGAGGAGGAAGAGGAAGAGGAGAACGGCCGCATCGGGGAGCTCCCTGAATACTTGGACGACGACTCCTCGTCCGCTTCGTCAGCGTCGTCCACAGGCACGGTGGTTCCAACTCCGAGCAGGAAGCTCTTTGCCAGACCTCTAGGGTGAGTGCTACTCACCTAAGGTTTCAGGCCCCTTGGCTTGAAGAGGCTCCAGAGGACTTACTAATTGAACCAGTCCTCCCAGAGGAGGGGGCAGGACGTTGGACCAGATACCTTGGACAACATATTTCGAGCGGGAGCTCTTCCTCGAAGGACAGAAAGACGACTCCGGTACAGTTCAAATCACGCACCACGCCTACCTGAACTCTCCTGGCGACAAGGGGCCTCTGTTCGTGATGCATCATGGCGCTGGCTCCTCGGGCTTGTCATTCGCGGTGGTGGGATCGGAGATCAGGAAGCGGCTGTCTTCTGCAGGTGTCCTTTCCCTGGACGCGAGGGGCCACGGATCAACGGTCACGGCGACGCAATCGCCTCCTGACCTCAGCCTGGAGACACTCCGTGTTGATCTGCTGACTGTGATCCAGCAGACTCAAGCGCAGATGGGCTGGAAAGAATTGCCCCCGATTGTGCTCGTTGGTCACTCCCTGGGTGGAGCTGTTGTCACGGATCTTGCAAAGTCTCATGCTTTGGGCAACTCACTTCTCGGATATGCAGTCCTAGATGTCGTCGAGGGCTCAGCCATGGACGCACTCACAAGCATGACCACGTACTTGTCAACCAGGCCTACAGGCTTTGCCTCGGTCCAAGCTGGTATTGACTGGCATATTCGATCGAGGACACTTCGCAACTCGATCTCCGCGCGTACGAGCGTGCCTGCTCTACTGACCCAGGATCAAACCCCAGGTGCGAGCAGGCCTTGGAAGTGGAGGACGGATCTCGCTGCTACGGAACCCTTCTGGTCGGACTGGTTCGTGGGCCTGAGCAAGAAGTTCCTCGAGGCGAAGGGCGGGAAACTGCTGATCTTGGCCGGAACCGACCGGCTGGACAAAGAATTAACCATCGGACAGATGCAAGGTACGTCTTTGCCGTCAAACGTGCGTGTAGCTGAGTTTGAAGCTGACAACTTCACAGGCAAATATGCGTTGCATATCTTCCCGGAGGCTGGCCATTTCGTCCACGAGGATGTGCCTGAAAATACGGCCATGGTTATCGTCGATTTCTACAGACGCAATGATAGAAGTGCTTTGGTCCTGCCTCCCAAGGTGGGAGACTTGTTGGCACAGGGCAAACGAGTCTAGCTCGACAAGTCATAGAGAAGATGCGTCAGGGCGTCGCAGGAGCTGAGAGACATTTCTCCACCTCTTTGCTGAAACTGGAGCTTTGGCGTGTTCACGAGAGTTGTATCCTCAAAACCCGTTGGAAGAAAAGCCTGCATCAGGACCTGAGCGCCTTGGTGGAACAGTTGGAATTCCGTGGCCCAGAGAGGCACTGCGCATATTGATCAGTGTCACCACGGGCACTAATGGTGGAGATAGATAAGATGTAGACGCTGTATTGTGAAGATACCTCAGGGCTCGCTCTACCCAGATGAATAAATCAGACCCGCCCATTACTCCGGAATCAGTAACCCAGTCCCAGGCGCTCATCAGTTGTAATTCCGTTGTGCATCCGACGCCTCAATCTCCCTCCGCCGCGCCTCCTCCTGTGCGGCCTGCTTCATGGTCTCATTCATGGTCTGCTTCTTCTGCTGCTGCAGCTGGCTGCCCAACTTGCCGGTGGCCCTGTCTTCTGCAGCTCTCGCCCTTGCCTAGATGAAAGTGTCAGTTCAGAAGTAGCACTACCGGTGCTACTGCCATCGTCATCCCGAGTTGGCAATTCTGGGCCCTCTCACCTCGGCAGCGTCGGCAGCGGCCCTTCTCGCATCTCCGGCACCTGCGGTCGATGAGCCACCCAGCGTCCGAGGGGCCCCGCCGACCACACGCTTGTTGCTGGGCAGCGGCGCGGTGGCTCTCTCGGGCGGGGGGGAGTCGAGTCGCCGGCCTGGCCCGCTGAAGTTGTCGTCCCTCGACTGCTTGCCGCAGAAGGAACCCATCTCTGCGTGTGGTGCCTGAATATGGATGGGGCAAGGACACCGCGAGAGACGATCAAAAAATTGGCGCAGCGATGCAGATTTGATTGAATAGTGCCTTTGACAGAAAGTGATTGGTGACCTTGGTGATGGTTTGGCTGTTTGGTAAATGCGCCCCGCAGCAGTGTCAACTGCGGGCCGGCTTGGTGAGTTGTTTATGATGCTAGCACAGGTGAGGGAATGCGCTCAGTGAGGGAGATGGTTGCCAGATGGTATGAGTAGGTAGCTGCTGTGACGACTTATATGGTTGGTTTGGACTGGGGCTTGTTTATTGATAGCATGCGACGCTGTCTAGCATATATGAATGCCCGGTGTGGTTCTTGCAGAGGGTCCTTCAGAGAGAGGAGGAACGTTTGACAATTGGAGACGGATTCCTCCTCACACGGTAATCAAACAGGCTGGCCCCCGTGTAGCTGTAGCTTGGCAGGCGCTATTCTACAGTGTGAAGACTATGATGAGATAAGCGGTTATGCCGAGGGGATTGGGTTCGTCTACAAGCGACGGCATGTCTGAGCCCCAAGAGCACTGAGCCAGGTCCCAATCCAGCAACAAAGTATTTATATTAGGGGCCATTACTCAGGAACATTGCCTGTTCGTAAGCACAAAGCACACTGGCTGCCCAGATAGTGAGCGCCGTTTGACCGTTTCGCCCGTTTGAGTCAGGATGGCACTTCTCAGGTACTTGTGGACACGCGCATGTACACACCTGAATAGATGTATCCTGCATTGCATACACTCATATCGCCAGTGACCTGTCAGTCTAATATGCTGGATGAATTCCAATCCAAACTTGACCGTGGGCCAAAAGAGACCCTCTTATCCTCCAACCGAGGACAATTGCCTGTCTTCATGTTACTCCACTCAATGGATTCTAGTCTGTCTGTACTGCACCGTGCCCGCCCTTGCCCATGTTCATGCAGGCACTCGAGCATCCAGCATCCAGCATCGAGAGCCAACCAAACTCGGCTGACTAAGTGCATGCCGACCCGGGCCCGAAAGCAGCGACGACCATCAAGGTTCTCAATGCCCTGTCCAATTCTGCCTCAGCATCAGTCCCCTCCACTGCCTCCTCTTCCAACGTCACCCCGCGGTGTTGCGCAGTTCTTCGCCTCGGGTCGTTCGTTTCCATGCTTTCTCTCAGTCCACCACTCTTTTCTCGTGATATTCTATTCGCCATATACTAGATCATCTCCTCGCCAGCCCTTCTGACCACGACATGACTTGAACCCGTGAGATCCTTTGGGAAGCCGCCATCTGGGACCATCACGGTGCCTCTTTCTCCCCAGCGAGCATCCCAATACCAGTCAATAAATCCGACCCGCCAATCTGTACCGGCACGTAGCGCACTCGAAGACTTTCTTTCAGCACGGACGTGTCAGGAAGCCCACAATGGATGACCTGGTACTGGGCATGGCTCCCTTTGGGAATGCCTCAACCCACGAGTTTTCGGCGCACGACGATACCTGTCTCATTGGAGCAGGCTGTCAAGGCCTTGGTCTCGTTTCTCGCCAAAGCCACCACGACAACGGGGCCACATTCAGTGCCATCCCTTACCCGACTTTTATGGACCTCGCCAGTCACGATGTCGCGTCTCCTTCTCCTCAGTCGCCCAATGCTGGCGACACCTTTCCTGAGGCCAACACCGGGAAAATCCTGTCCAGGATTCCATCACCGGGCCCAAGCGAACAGGATCCAGCGGCGCCCGAGATATTGTCGTTAATGTCATGCGATGACGGCCCTCAAAATGACGGGCTCTTTGACGAATACGCGCCATCAGAGCCAGAAAGCAACGCCTCTTGTGATAGCCAATGCTCAGGAAGCAAAGGTCCATGTAGTGCAGGTACCTGTGACTTCGTCACTGCCTGTAGAGACGAGAACTGCACGAGACCTGCTGTTGAACCCGACGTCGCCCATAGCGCCTTCATTTTGCAGACTATGACAAGTGCGAAGGAGACCAGTGCAAACATTGCGTCTTTTCAAGCCCGTAAGTTGCATTTTTTCTAATAATGTTTTCAGCGCTATGTAAGTTGCTCTGAAAAGGCTCTTGCAAAAGCTCACGAGCACCTTGTTCGCCTGTCCATCATCTCCGTCCATCATCATTTATGAATACCTTCTTACTTGGTTTACTTATCCAATCCACGTGATCCACGACTTACAATTCCACAGAGCCGAACCTCTGCGAACACAACATGGCCGACCAAAGCTATGGCTTCAACTTCGCCCAAGAGGCAGCCCCCGACTGCCCCGATCCAGGGGCGCACGATGTCTTTGCGCATATGTTTCAAACACAGATTCAGGCTCCTGGCTCTCAAGAGCAATTTGACCAGCACGGCAACCTAGTCCAAGGTGACCCTTTCAATATCTGGGCTCTGGGACCCAATCCTCATTGCCATGCGCCTGCTCTCCCAGGAACCCCGGGGCAGAATGGCATGATGAACTTCCAGGGTCATGCTACCGACAGCGGCAACTTCCCCGGAGAATGCGGCGTGCCCTTTCAAGACCCATTACAAGCTTCGCTGCATATCCAACAGCATGCTCAGCAAGGGCATAATGTCCCACTCATGGGCCAAGCCTTACAGTATGCGCAGAGTATGCAGCTGCAGCATCAACAACAGCCCGTCCTAGATTTCCCCGGCATGGGAACTGCGCCTGCCTTTCATCCATCGAACAATAACTTCTCTCAACAACCGGTAACGCCTGGTCAGAACGGTGAGCTTTTCGGGTTTAGCAATGGGCACTTGACGTCGCCAACGAACCAAGACTTCCCCGCTCAAGCATCTCCAGGCTTTAAAAAGGCCAGTCTTCAGCCATCGGTGTCGTCCGCTGGCCAGGAATTGCAAGGTTCCCCGGCCCAGTCCAGTGCATCGGCCAACAGCCCAGCGCAGGACACCACAGACTTAACGTGCCAGTGGCATCATGGAGATTCGATGTGCGGGATGGTTTTCCCAGACGCACACGAACTCGAGATGCATGTGCAAACTGAGCACGTCGAAAGCATGCCAAAGGCTGAGGGCGGATATATTTGTTCTTGGACTGGATGTGCACGCAAACACAAGCCTTTTGTACAGAAGAGCAAAGTCAAACGTCACATGTTGACCCATACCCAGTGTAAGTGACGTTTTTGCCTCGAAAAGCCAGACCCGAAGCTAATAGTGTCCACAGATAAGCCTTTCAAGTGCGAATATTGCTCACAAACGTTCTCTGCGAAACAGGCTCTGTCACAGCATGTCCTGATTCACAAACAAATCAAACCACTGGAATGTGACATATGCCATAAGCTTTTTAGGCAAAAGAGTGCTCTCAGTAAGCTAGATCAACATGATGTTATATCGCTCTGGAATAGGTTACTGACTTGTGACACTCACAGCCATGCACATACGTACCCATACTGGGTATAAGCCACTTAAGTGTGACATCTGCAACACGATGTTCGGCGAGTCATCAAATCTCTCCAAGCACCGGAGGACACATGACATCGTCGGTCGTCATCTGTGCCCGGAAGATTTCTGCGAGAAGAGATTCCACAGATTGGATCAGTGCCGACGGCACCTCGAAACTGTCCATAAGCGTTCCTCGGAAGGTAAGCAACGAAGCTTTCCAATTTGTGACCATCACATATGTGCTAACTCAATAATCAGAGGCAAGATCGCTTGTTCGTTCCATGCCATCCCGTCGCGGATCCAGCGCTCCGCATAGCCAATCGAGCGCCCGCAGTGACGTTGGAAGCAACAGCGCCTCGATTCTTCCAGGGCAGCAGGTTTCTCCACCAGTGCAGGCTCCTCAGGTTGGCTTTATGCCACAAGTCGCTACAGCCGAACAGTACTCCAGCCCAGCTAATCCAGGCAGCATGGTAGGAGCAATGAACTCGCCCTCTCTTCTGCAATTTGGACAGATGCCTGCACAAAATTCTCAGCTCTACGGCACCCAACCCGGCACGGCATACGGTACACCCATGGGACAAAACCCTTTCTCAGCTGGTGGTACGATCCCCAACGGAGCAGCATACGGTTTCCAGCCAGTTTCAAACTTCGCCGCGCCGGCCTGGTAGAAGTTTAAACACCATTCCAATATTCTCAGCAATGTTCCTTTGTGCTTTCAACTTTCCTTTTACTTATGAGTTAAGCGGGCATTTTTTATTACTTCCCCCCCCCCTCGCAGTTTGACAACAGGCAACGAAGGGGACGCAGAGACAGAAACGTCACGACACGATGAGATGATACCCACAATACCCAAGGATTTGCACAGCAGCTGGCGTTCAACGGGACGATTTCTTTTCTAATAGATAAAGAGGCGGAATGGGGAGAAAAAAGGGAGACAGCGAGATGGCGAGCATGGCTATCCGGTGCCTCCGAGGCAGAATGGTTCTGGAAGTTGATATTTTGTTGTCTTACTGTGCTTGGGACGCACTCCCTCTTCAGCATTAGTTAGCATATGCTAGCGTAATCCGTCAGCGTACAAAATAGTTCATAATTGCAAACCCGAGTTTTGGGCATTACATCAGCGTACGAATACGCGAGGTCAAAGGAGATGAAATCTCCAAACTGTATCCGGTGCGTCTTAGTTGTTCGTAGGTTTCAGCAAGAGCATCCTGGCATAGATGTGACACAGCCCTCGGAAGAGGCTGCTTCTACCGGAAGTCGAGGTGTCGAGTCCACTTTTGTCAAAGCCCATATGAATCTATTCTTACCTAGGTCGTCAAAAACAGAACGTGTAAGTGCTCGCCATACCTATTGCTCTGTTCCGGTATCATTTTTAAGAGCGCTCTGTGCGTGTTCCGGACGGGGTTACGCCATGCCTTGCATGCTCACAGAGTGGGCCCCATGCTAAGTCTACATTATTATTACACTGATATGTCGCCCGCATCATGGGCCACGATGCATTAGGAGCCTTCCACACACGACTCGTTGGATGCTACAAACGCGTTGACTTTACACTGGAACTTAGAGAATAACTCTTCTCGATGGCCTCGTCGTAGGACCCAGAGGCCCATCACGCAAAAGAAAATCCTCAATAGCAAGAGACGGATAGATGCCCGGTTGAAAAAGCTTAACACTTACTTTCAAGAGCCTGTATTCTCCAAGAATGTATCACACCGTCGTATAGTTTTTACGGAAATAAAGACAGTCATGTAATTAATGCGAACATCGCTTGTAAAGAACTTAAGGTGTATTTTGACATCGAACGTTGCCGAATACACAGCACAACACATGGACTGGACAGCATTAAGCAAGCAAAGATGTACTTTCGGACGGGAGCTGACTAGCCATCTAGTCTATCCTTCGAGTTCATCACACAGCATCGAGTAGCATTTCGACATCCTCGATGAGTGCAACGCACTTTGGGAGAGCCCCCGCTGACCGGGCCACGTTCATCGATGTTGCTGAGGGTCTGCGATCGTCGTGCCTTCTGGATAGTTTCGGCCTTGACCTTTTCACACGGAGGACAGAGCGTAGTAGGTGGTGTAAAGTCAACTCGAGCTCTCTTTTGGAGCTATCTGGTTGACTAGGTATCCGGGCTTGCTGTCATATATCCTCATAACACCGAGACCCGTAGCGGAAAACAGATTTGCCCCTGTGATGCCATACGAGAATGCGTGGATTCTTCTTTCTTTTGATTCTCGGAAAAACCACGCCAGCGACCTGTAGCCTTTTTGCCTTGACCTGCTTCAATTACCAAAAACCCTCAAATGCCGACGCCGTTTGCCACTTTATGCGGAAGCCTGTTGGATCCCACTCGTTAGTATTCTGCATGCCAGCACGCAGCCTCCGGGTACTTCTAAAGATCCGTTGCTGCTCCTAGGTATTCCGATGTAGACGAACCTTGATGGCGTATTTGCGCTGAGGGAAGTGCTGCTGGCGCTTCTTCGTCTTGTCCAGCTTCCTTGCGGCGTCCTCAGGAGACAGGCGGCGACGGATGGCACGGGTCTGCTTGGGGCGGAGGTCGAGAGGCAGGTACTTCTTGTTCTTGTAGAAGAGGCGCAGGTGGTGTCGCTCCTTGGCGTTGATGATGGTCAGGACGCGGGCGATCGACTTTCGGAGGTCGTGGCTGTGAAAAGAACCCCATCGTTAGCTCCCATGTTCCTTTTTTCCCCATTTCGACGCGTCCTCCGATATTGCAGTGCAAAGCGTGGTGGTGTCTCGGTGGATCGTGTGGTGTTCTGCCAGGTGGAGTTCGGGTTCCCGCTCACATCTTGTTCAGCTTGGTGCCAGAGGAGGCGATCTTCTGGATGCGCAGCTGACCGAGCTCGGTCTTCAGCTCACCGAGGGTCTTGGTGAGCTCGTCCTTGTTCTTGGACCACAGCTGGCCGGCCTTGATCTTGCTGGAAGACTGCGACATTGTCAGTGGCTCGTTCGAGGAGTCGTCAAATCGTGGTCGGCTGTAGTGGGGGGAGAATTGCGCTGCAGGAAATTTTACTTCCCGCAGCTCAATTGCCGCCCAGAGCCTCGCAAAATTCGGAATCGGAGTCGTAACGCACCATTTTCGCAGGTAATGTCGATTTAACGTCGTCTATCGGGGCGGGCAAGAAGGGCAAGTTGCTGGTCGTTCGCGGGAAGGCGCCTGTCGTCTTGGTGGAGTTTAGGAAAAGCCTGTGGGCGTTAGCAGCAGGTTCAGTTTTTCGGAGAAAAGTATACCAGATCGCCGGCTGCGTTGGTGCTGGGCTGGGCGGGCTGGGCAGACTGGGCAGACTGGGCAGACCGTGCAGGCTTTGAGGCGGATGCTGGCCCCTCGACGAATGACCGTCCTGCGCGCGGGACCCACTCCTGGGGCACTAAGGTCCCTAACAACGATACCGGTCACCAGGTGGAGTTCATCACACTGTGGGGGTACCGACTGATAGGACACTTGTGATCCTGCTTACGCTGACGGAGTATCAGGGTCTAGAGTCTGTGTCGGCTCCCGTCAGGTGTGACGACAGGCCAGCAGCTTCTCCTAGCACGGAGGTATCCAACAGCACCACAGCACCACAGCACCCTACATGCACATGCATAGCATATAACACAACACCAGCACCGTAACTACTCTGCGAACAAAGGACCAGTTCCAACAATTGCACTTCGCGCTGGGTGCTGTGACGCGCAAGCACCTGCCTCCGGGTCATTGCCACCGCTGCATGACCGCTTCAGCCGAAACACCGATTCCAGTTCCAGACACCACCTAGAAGATCATGGCATCCTCAACCGGCAACAACGGTTGGGCGCAACTACGCCAACAGGCACGATCATTGGAATCGCAGGTCAGCAGCCACATCAATAGCAATGTTGAGGCCTGCAGCTAACCTAATTCTCAGACCGAGGCACTATTTCACACCTACTCGCAGTTCTCGACAGCACCGAACATCCCGCAGAAGCCGACAGAGGAGGAGAGGAACACAGAAGCAAAACTAGAGGATCTCCTCGAGAAGGTGAGTCGGACATATATGTATCAGGCCACTGCATCAGACTAACGTCCCTTCTCACAGCGAGACAATGTAATCACCCAACTGAACCGCCTCCTCGACTCCGACGCAACCCTCACCTCGTCCGCCCTGAAACAAAACAACCTGTCCCTTCTGCGCGAGAAGCTGGCCGCCCACAACAAGGACCTGGCCCGCCTCAAGTCGAACCTGTCCGAGGCGCGCAACCGCGCCAACCTGCTTTCCAACGTCCGCGACGACATCGAGTCGTACCGCGCGTCGAACCCGGAGCAGGCCGAGGCCGAGTACATGCTCGACGAGCGGCGGCGCATCGATAACAGCCACGACGTCACCGACAGCGTGCTGTCGCAGGCCTACGCCGTGCAGGAGAGCTTCACGCTGCAGAGGGAGACGCTGGCCAACATCAACCGCAGGATCACCCTCGCCGCGAGCCAGGTGCCCGGCATCAACTCGCTGATAGGGAGGATATCAGCGAGGAAGCAGAGGGACGGGGTCATCATGGGTAGCTTTGTCGCGTTTTGCTTTTTGATGTTTTGGTTCTTCCTATAGTAGAGGACCGGGAGTGGGCGGTGGGTCGTTATGGCATGCGCGGTCGGTTTCGGGTCGTGGGTAATGCATCAACATTAGGCGGCATGGCGTTCAAGGCGGTGACATTCAAGGCTTGGCACGAGAATGATTGTACATTTATTGGGGTATCCTGGGGTGTAATGACAGCAATGAGGGGAGTTTACGCCCACCGGCTCGCACTCTTTGCGCTCGCTTCTGCTGGTGATGTCTTTTCCGCGGGCCTGAGTCCAGACCAGACTCCCTTGTCCGCCTCGTCCAAGAGCCTCTCAAGGCCTTTTGTCAGGAAGTCCCTCTCGTCGGGCTCAGCGGGTCCGCTTCCCGCCCAGCGGATTCTCCAGTCCCCGTCCACCAGGTATGTGTACCCGACCTTGCTGTTCAGATATCCGATCGACTCCTTGATCTCATCGGAGATGCCTTTCCTGACAAGGAAGTACTTGTCCCAGTTATCCTTCCCTACTTGTTTCCGTAAAGACCCCGAAAACATGCGGACCATCCAATACTTCAGGTACGAGGTGTCCTCGACATTGATCTGGACGAGCTGCGCCCTTCCCTGGTGCTTGTCAAGGATCTCGTGCAGGGCAGGGTTCTCCTTCTTCCCTATGAATGAATCTGCCTGCCTGCGAGCCCAATCGGTACTGTATATGGCGACGACCGAAGCCTTGCCTGCGAGCACAGGCGTCGTGTCCCGTGCTAGGCTCGTGCTCTTGAGGAGCGTGTGGCCAAACAGGTTCGGGAAGTAGAGGGATTTGTCGTGCTTGAAGAGTCGTGGAGGAGCGAGGAAGGTCTTGCCTTTGTGAAGGGCCAGGTTGGTCCAGTCGCGGAAGTATGGACGTGCCATTTGTGATTTTCTGGAAGGCCCAGTTAGTGATGCGCCCATGGACCCACGGCCCGGACCTGCGGTCATACTCACAACTGCTCGCGTCTCTTTAGGTGCAGGTCATAATTGACAAAGTCATCCCTCCGCTGCTTCAGAGAACGGAGATCGACGCCTGTATTCTCGCCCGGGCTGGGTGGGTGGTTCAGGCCTATAGGCCGGGCCAACACCTTGGGCGTGAACTCCTCGACCTTTCTGCCGTAAGACCGTGGCGCATCACGCAATGGGCTTGGCTCAGACGAAGTGGCTGCTCCCAAAACGGTGCTCTCGGTCGTGTTTGAAGCCGCGGCATTGGGCGCCTTGTTCGGATTGGGGTTTTCGAGGCGAGGGTAGGTCGTGATAAAAGTTCGCCATTGGCACAGCAGGCAAGTAGCCAGTGGCCGGCTGGAGGGCCTCAAAAGAGGTCGTGCTAACGTCCTCTTGAGCATCGTGTGGGATGCTTCAATCTGCCGCCAGTTGTTGGCAAAAGGAGAGCTGCAGCTTGGAGGTGGTCGCGCGGATCAAGCTCGATCGATCAAGCTCGCACTCCGGGAAATTTTGGCCGGCCATGATGCTGCAGCAGGGATCAGGGCCGCCGGCCGGCAAGCCCCAGATTTCTAGAAGGGAACCTAGGCCTGGGGTGTATTGACCCCGAGGACCCCCAAGAATCCTAGGTGGGGAAAGCAGCGGCTACCAGCGGAGGGAACGTCACACATGGCTGGACTCGGCTTTGTTTGCTCATGGACTCGACGGACAACGGCTCAGACTGCGACAGCCACGGCATAAGACAGCAGGCCAAAACATTGTAGTCTTGAGGGGTTCTGTGCGAGATGATTGTTCAATTGACCCGAGAAATGTAGAACTTCTCATCATCACCTCTCGGCCCTTTCCTCCTGTAGACACAATGCTCATGCGACGCTCCCCTCGTGCGCTGCGGCTTCAGTGGCAGCTGGCCCAGCGTATAAGTCGAGTATCCACCACAGTAACTGCGGCACCCCAATCTCCATTCTCCACGAGGTCACACCCCGAACCACGACAGACCGCCCCGTTCCGACCGACGAGGTGTTTTCATTCTACACCAAGACGTCAGGTTGTGAAGCCAGTCCTGCTAGCAGACATTGGCGAAGGTGAGATCCAGCATCAACTCCCTTGTCATCATACCCATGAGTTCTGACCAGCTCGGTCCCACCAGGAATCGTTGAATGCGAGATCATACAATGGTTCGTCGAGCCCGAAGCCCGCGTGGAGGAGTTCTCGCCCTTGTGCGAAGTTCAAAGCGACAAGGCCTCCGTCGAGATCACCTCGCGCTTCTCAGGCGTCGTCAAGAAACTCTATTATGACGCGGGAGACATGGCCAAGGTCGGCAAGCCCTTTGTGGACATCGACATCCAGGGCGACGTCAGCCAGGAGGCACTGGACAAGTTGACGCCCTCCGACGCCGAGACCAAGGAGAAGACGGCGCCGGCCTCACAGCAGGGCACAACGGAGCCAGCGTCTCCACAAAAGCCGGCGACGGGCCCGTCCTACAACGGGGAAGTGGAGACGGCTGCGCCTAAGCCTAAGGGGACACACGCCGCTCTGGCGACGCCCGCGGTGCGGCATCTCTCTAAAGAGCACAAAATAGACATACTGGAGGTGGATGGGACGGGCAAGGACGGCCGGGTGCTCAAGGAGGACATCTACAGGTTCATCGAGGCGCGAGACAGTGGCGCCGTTCAGGCTCAGCGCCCCGGCCCAGGCGCCGCTGCACCACCGCTATCGTCTCCAGCATCTGGCGTTCAAACAGAAGACCGCCAACCGCTGACCAAGACCCAAGAGCAGATGTTCAAGACCATGACCCGGTCCTTGAGCATCCCACATTTCCTCTACGCAGACGAGATCGACTTCACCGACCTCTCCGCACTGCGCGGCCGGCTGAACAAAGTCCTGTCTTCCTCACCCTCGTCCCCAGCGCCAGTCATCCCCAGCAACCAAGGCGTGACAAAGCTCTCTTACCTGCCCTTCATAATCAAAGCCGTATCAATCGCCCTGCAGCAATACCCCATCCTCAACGCGCGGGTCGACGCCTCCTCGGCTGGGGAGAAACCGGCTCTAGTCTACAGGTCCCAGCACAACATCGGCGTGGCGATGGACACGCCGCAGGGCCTCCTGGTGCCGGTGGTCAAGAACGTCGCCGCGCACAGCATCCTCACCATCGCGGCGGAGCTGGCCCGGCTGCAGGCGCTCGCGGTCGCGGGGCGGCTGGGCCCGCAGGACATGTCCGGGGGCACCATCACGGTCAGCAACATCGGCAGCATCGGCGGAACGTACTGCAGCCCCGTCATCGTGGACGGGCAGGTCGCCATCCTGGGCGTCGGGCGGATGCGCGACGTGCCCGACGTCGGCCGCGACGAGGGCTCCGGCGCGTGGCAGGTCAGAGGCATGAAGAAGGTGTGCAACTTCAGCTGGTCCGCGGACCACAGGGTCGTGGACGGGGCGACCATGGCGAGGGCCGCCGGCGTGGTGAGGAGCTTGGTGGAGGAGCCCGATGTGATGGTTATGCATTTGCGGTGATCAAGGCGGCGAGAGGAAAAGAACATAGAGCAATATTCTCCGAAAGTGGGAACTGATCTGCTTGATCCCGGAACACCTGCCGTCCCAACATCCTCGGATACTCGGGAATAACTGCCACTCGCAAGTCTTCCCGAGGATTGTGACCGGTGTGCAAGCTTCTGGCATATGCGGCCTGTATCTCGACCTGTTCATGCCGGGTATCGTACCCATCGTAACGTAACCACATATCCTCGCACGGTTATGTCCCGAGGGCGCGAGTGCTTCAACGAGTTCACCACCGCTGCTCTGTGCCGTATTATGTATGTCACTTGAGGAGGCTGAGCTACTGTATATCAGCCACCCTTCCGTTTCCCCGGTGAGCGAACAAAATCGACGAACGGCGAATCGAGAAAAGAAATGAGGCGGGCCGTCCCCCATCCTAAAGACTAGAGCTTATGTTCTTCTCTTTCAGCCTATTCTCCAAGGCCGTCATTAAGGCAGATTAAGGGACACACCGGTCAGTACGCTGAGGGTGTACAGGAGGTGCCCTCTACTGGTGTCACGTCCCCTGGGGACTTGGCACCGAGAGAGGCAAAGACACCTGCCAACGGATTACTGTGCGCCGGGGGCCCCTACACGTGGTCGAATGATATCCGAGACTGGCAGGGAAAAGAAAAAGTCCGTATGACTGCATCTCACAAGTGAGGCCTTTTCTGCTGCTAGCTAGCCTCGCTGAGAGGAGGGGAGGGGTTGAGGCCCTGAGGTATTTCGAAAGTCGTTGCGAGTATCCGGGCAGTACTGGTCCAGCCCGGGGACGGTCTGCGCGCGGATTGATGCTGCTGGCTGCGGCGTGACGCATAGAAGCAGCTAGTAGAGAGCTGGGCTCCTTCGAAACGCGAGGGAAGACCTCATTGGCCTTCATTTGTGTGTTGGGGGAAGACCTCTTTATTACCTGCATTTCTTATTTGCGTTGCGTTAATAATCTTCACAACCTTGGAAGTCGCATCGAGACAACCTTCATCCTCCAAGGGACAAATAGGATATCCTGGGCGGCCGGGGCATCGGTCCGGATTGTCTCTGAAACTAGGCTGGGCGCGCGGGAGCGAGGGATAAACATGACGTCCTGTCGTTCTGACTTATAACGCATTTACATAACAAGACTCTGCTTCTGCGCATGCGAGTGAGCTATAGTGCTTGCGCTTGATGCTGATTGAGACTATTTACGCTTTTCTTCTTTGTATTACTACGATTGATTGTCCTGATCTTGCGAAGTCACCTGCCCAATTAGGACACTCACGGCTCCCTCTTCACTAGTAAGATGCGATGTGTAGGCGGTATTGTTTGCACAGTGTGTGTTGAACGCTGTTGATATTGAGACGCCACGGCTGCGCAGCCGGGGCTATGTAAATGCGATTCCCATGTCAATAATCCAAAGACTCCTTGGCTTTTTGCCTTCCAGGCACCCGCCCAACCCTTCCAAAGCAGTGCGCCGATTCTTTTCGCCGAAAGCATATGCAGGCCCAAACGTTAGGTTCGAGGTATTGCGTAGAATGATGTGCTAGCAGTGCAGTTAACCCAGAGGACAGCTTTACGCCGCGTCCTCCGCCAGCTGCCTTACGGCCTGGTCAAGCGCATCACGGTTGACCTCTTCCATCGTTCGGCTGACGTCAACACTGATGACATCCTTTTCCTCCCTCGTCGGCGGCTCCAAAATCTCAAACTGGCTGCGGACCATCTTGGCGCCCATGTAGTGGCCCTGGCGCGCCGCTACTCTCTGCAAGAGCACTTCCTCAGAGGCATGCAGGTAAATGAAATGGAGCTTGGCGCCGGGGTAGAAGTATGGAGCCACGCGAAGGACGTCCCGATACTTCCGCTTCAATGCTGAGCAGGTCACAACAACACCGCTGTTCCCCATCTGGATCTGCATCAGGGCTTCATCGCGTAGGCGGGTGAGCCAGTCCCACCGGTCGGCGTCGGTGAGTGGGATGCCGTTGCTCATCTTTTCGATGTTTGCTGGTGGGTGGAACTAGGGCCTGGTTAGGAGTGTGTATGAGTGACACGGTTTTGTTAGGGACTTACATCATCGCCTTCAATGTAAGACATGCCCAGAGAATCCGCAATGTGCTTGGCCACCGTACTCTTTCCACAGCCTGCAGGGCCCGTGACGAGCCATATGTGGTGATGTTTCGTTTGGTCGCGGATGTTCGAGGCCATGGTGTTGTTTGTCATGATCATGTCTGCTTGTTTGAACTGCCGCGCAGGCTTGGAGGACGAAATAACTGGACGATTTGTGGACATGTTGGTTGGCGAGACTGGAGATGGTCCATTGACGGATATGGGGGAATCGTAGGATAGCATGGTGGACGATTTCTTTTATAGGGCTGTTTTATGTGTTCGTCGGAAGATTATGTTTAACGTAGTCCCACGGATATCGTGTTCGTGCACTGGTGAATTTGATGAGGGTGTTGTAGCAGAGCAATCAAACGACGCTTCTTTGCACCTCCTGCCGGGGCCGTTGTGAAATCAATATACAATAGATAGGTGTACGGGATGCTTCACAGAGGTAACGTCAATTTTGAGGCAATGCGTGTGGTGTGTAGAGTTTTCAGGAACAGAATATCAGAGAGGTCAAGACCAGGTTTTGGGAGGAAGGCTCGAAGGGGTTACTAAAGAAGGGGCCGCTGGGTCGGTCAGGGTAGTTATATGCGTGCTAAATGGTGAGGGCCCTCACTCAGGTTGAGACGAGCCGTCCCAGTCTCGTTCCCAGTCCACCGCTGCCGTCAGCAGGCCATCGATGAGGTAGGAACCCCAGCCTGTTCCTGGGCAAGTTTGGGGTGCAACTTGCTAGGGTCGGGGACCGGGGGGATGTCGCCCGCAAGTATCAAAGGGGCTGAGTTATGTACCGTGCAGGGCAAGCCGCTAGGAGTTCCAATCCTCCTTCTTCTGCGGTACCTGGGCCGTGCCTGGGAGGATCCCCCGGATTTTGCAAAACGTCACGGACTGATTCGCCCAAGCATGGGGCTGGGCTCGCAAGGCCAGTGATGCCCAGGGATGACGGTCGCTCTGCGTGTTTCCATTGTCCAACAAAGAAGTGATTGGAGCGCGGGTGTTGGACGAGAGTCTCTGTTTGCTCGGCCGTGTCACCCTTCGTCAGCTGGTCGTGTGTGCCGCTGTCCACACCAATCAAGATTTCGTGGAGGTCATAGTTGGTGCAGGTACACGGAGGTACAGAGCTAAGACGGGCCTTGACATCGAGGTCCTGACGCAATCTTGGGTCTGGAGAAGCGTGGGATGGCTCTGCAGACTGTGGGGAATGCGCCAAATCCCACGTTCCCATCCTCTTTTTAGACTCTGTGCTACGTAGCGTTCTCCTGCGTTCCCTTGCGACCACCATGTTGGTCCGCCCTGTTGGCCAAGCAAAGAGTGGTTGCTCGACATTCCAGATCAGTCCGATTCCTGCATGCGACCTTGCTCATCGACTTTGTTCGCCAGGGGACGTGACTTCGTGAGTACGTAAGAAGTGAAATGCGAACGACTTGTGAAAAATCTCTCCTGGCACCAAAGTTACGGGGAATTGAAAGCGGAACCCTGTCGCGTGGGGGTCCGCCGTCAAGGCTTTGTCTCATTTTCAGGCTGAAATTTGGGGGCCATCATAGTGACTCCCACGCTCGAGAGGGCCACGGAGGGGGCCCGACCCTCGGCGACAGCGAAACGAACCAGGGAGAATCACGATGCACCTTGTGGATACCACTTTGGGATTGCCGCCGTCGGGCTTTTTCTCGAAGGTTTGGAAGCTTTGCCGCCCTTCCTTCATAGGTATTCTGTCCTACTGCACAAGCAGCTGCCAGGACTGCAGGCGAAGACAACTCCGTGCGAAGGCAGTAGTCTCTGCCCCTTCACTGGCCCTTTAGACGCCCTTCCAACAGGCGGACCTCGGTCGGTCGTCATGGAACGGGCAGAACCTCGGGAAGTTGTACACCTTCCAATAGTATGGTTGACTGAGTCCCGACTTGCCTGCAGGGTTGACGGCAGTGTATCGGTTCGGCTTAGGTTCCGGGATGCGGGGCCGGCTCGCGGACGTGGTCAGCCGGCTTCTGCACGATGCCAAGTCATGATCCGAGGAACGAGGGTTGCAGTGCTTGTCGGATGGTAGAGAGCGAGGCACACACAGCCATTCTGTGCATAGCAATTGTCCAAACATCGGAGCGGCGCGGCGGCTGTCAGAAACAAGCGCTTTGCTGGGGAGGCACTTGACGCGGCCCTGTTTCCCAAGCTTCGATTTGGGTCGAATCGTGGCAAAGCCAGTAGAAACGGAGTCTGGAGACTCAGGGACTCGGGCGGAAGAGCTGGCTGACAGGACGAGGTGTACCCCCACGCTAATGAGGTACATGCGGTACATAGCAACACAAAACAGCAGAGCCAAGTCTGCCGCAGGGCCGATCACGAGCCCGTCGCTCCAAGGCTCCCCCATGCAGAACAGAAAAGTGGGAACTGCCATCCCGCATTTCCAAAGCGGTCAATATCGGCGATGAGACTTGCCGGTTGACAGAGATTTAGCTAGCTAGCGGCTAGCAACACCAAGCACCAAGAGCTGCACATCGTACATTAGCAACGTGAAGGTGCGGAAAAGCACACGAATTGGTATGCCGAGGAAGTTGTCGCCGTAGATTCCCATGGAGCTTCCAGCGTTGTCAACCGAACAGCTAGGTAGTCTGCAAATGTGGTATGAGGTTGACGGCCCGTGAGCGGGCAGAAAGGCTTCGATCGATGTGAGAGGGTCTGACCCAGCGTGCTGGGTCAAGCAGCGCCAAGTATATCTCTAGACCATGCCTCCGACTCTTAGCTGGGGTTCAGCTGGGGTTGAGGCACCTTGGATCTGCTCATCTTGTATTTCGTAACCGGTGTAGTGTCCAGGTCTGCGCTCGTTGTTGGTGTTTTTCTTGCGCACGTGAGCAGAGGTTGTGCGTTGGGCTGGCTGGTCTTGACATTATACATGCGCTTTGACAGACCACTGTCAAGCAGATTGCTCCTTGCTGATCTCCGGTAGTGAAGAGTCGAGTACTCCAGTGTCGTTTAAGCATTGGGCATGCAAGCCCATCCAGAACGAATGAACACGGATGAGAATGGCTGACGTGATCAAGATGAGTCTGGACTCTGGAGATGGACATGGAGATGGACATGGCAACTGTCCGATTAGCCCAGCGTCCCAGGTGAGGTGGGTGTTGGGGGCGTGCAGCACAGCCCAACATTCCCCAGAGGTACCCAAGTACCCAGCAGCATAGGCGGGAACATGGGCGTGGGCTGATGATCCCTGCCTGCCACCGAGCTTGGGGAGCTTTGCAGGTCGAGCTTCGATGACGCCCTCTTGTATCCCAGCACCATGCTCTCTCCGACCTTGGGCCTCTTTTACTGCCACGAGACCCGGTATTCCACGATATGGTGCCTCATGTCTCCCAAAACGCTCCGAGAGCTCTGTTGAGGGCCTACTGTGCCGGCACGAGCAGCAGCGCTGTCCGGGCTTACAGCTGTTCTCGCCGGTCCATACGCCACACCACCAGCAGCCCCTACTCGAGCTCTGCGTTGGCCCTCACAACCGCCAGCTCTGCCTTACCAACACGACCCCGCTCGCTCGAGACCAATGCAGCTTCTCGGACTCACGCCCGGAGGAGCTTTCTGACCGCGTCGGACCGCAGTCTCCCCGAAGATATCGCTGTCCTCGGCGGTGGTCTGACTGGTCTCACGACCGCCTACTACTTGACGCGCTTCCACCCCGATGCCAAGATCACAATCTACGAGTCCCAGGCCCGAGTGGGCGGGTGGGTAGACACGCAGCAGTTCGAGGTCACCACTCTCGAGGACAATGAGGAGACCATCAGCTTCGAGCGTGGCGCCCGCGTCGTCACGCCCCAGTCCAGCCTCACCCGGTGGGAGGATTTTGTGTTGTACGACCTGGTATGGTGACCCTGCAACACCGCCCCGGCAGCTTGCGTCCCATGCTAATATATGCCCCCAAGATCGCACAGCTTGGACTGGTCGACGAGTCGGTGTCTCTGCGAAAGGACGACCCAGTGCTGAGCAACCGCTATATCTACTACCCTGACCATTTAGTCAACTTACCAGGTAGCCTTCCAAGCGATTTCTTCGGGAGGCTGAAATCGTACCTGAGCATCGCATACAAGCTGTTGACTGAACCTGTCTTCACCGGGGTGATCGGGTCGGCAGTGACTGCGACCCTGAATACAAACAAGCGGAATGCAGAGGCAGCAAGGCAATTACTGGCAGAAGGCCAGAGAAGCACATCACACGCCATTGCGGACTTGAAGGACATGACTATGGGCGAGTACTTCGAAAGTCTCCTTGGGCGCCCGGATGCTATCAATAACCTCCAGTCGGCCCTGGTCCACGGCATCTGGGGTGGTGATGTGTGGAAGCTGAGCATGCGGGAGGGTACATTCCAGCAAGCGCTTATAGCAGATAAGCATGGTGCAACTCCCCTGATTGCAGTCAAGGACCATGACCTCTTGTCGGGCCGGGATATCGCCGCGAGGAATGAGTCTGCTGTGACGCTGATGGCCAACCATTACAACTCCGAGGTCGGATACATTAGTTTCCGTAACGGCTTCAGCACCCTAACAGATGCCCTGGCCGACGCCTTGAAGAGCAACCCCAACGTGACCATCAAGGCGGGCACCCCCGTCACCTCTATCAGGTACGAGCAGGGAAAGGCAGTCGTCGTTGCACCCGAACAAGCCGGGAGCACCACGGTTGGTGAAGTGAAGTACGATAAGGTAATATCAAGTCTGTACAGCGGCAGCCTCGGCAAGCTCACAGGCGATGCTCTCCCGACATTGAAGAACCACAGCACAGCTGTAACGATCCAGATCGTCAACCTGTGGTATCCCAACCCCTCCCTAACGGCCAACTACCCCGGCTTTGGCTACCTCATTCCGCAGTCCGTGCCCGCGGAAAACAACCCACACGCCGCGCTGGGCGTCATCTTCGATTCAGACCGCGACGCGGCGGCCGACATCCCCGAACGCAAGTTCGCACAGGGCACGAAGCTGACCGTCATGCTCGGCGGGCACTACTGGGACTACCTGGACGCCGACTCCTGGCCCGACGCCAAGGAGGCCACGGCGATGGCCATGGACACGGTCCACCGCCAGCTGGGCATCCCGCCCACGGAGCCCGTCTTCACCTCCACAAAGGTCTGCCGCGAGTGCATACCGCAGCACCTGGTGGGCCACCGGGAGCGCATGGCCAAGGCACACACCGAGCTCTACGACGCCTTCCGCGGGACCCTGGCCGTCGTGGGGAGCTCCTACACCGCGCCCGGCGTCCTGCCCAGCCTCAAGGCCGGCCGTGACATTGCGCTCCAGGTCTCGGGCCAGGGGTACAAGCTGGATGAAAACACGCAGTATGACATGATGTATGGCATGCCGCACGTCGGGGAGACGGGGCTGGGTCGCTTTGTTGGCAAGAACGAGACCTACCGTCTGTTCGACAAGAAGCGGCTGCCATACCGGTATGGGAACACCAAGGCGGTGAAGGCTGGTGAATGGCCGTTGTAGCGACAAATCCTCGCTTCGTTCACCTCGTCTTGTACATATCTAACGGAAACGCTTCTCGCAAAAAAGAAGGAGAAAAAGTTAATAGAGCATACGAGAGGTAAGACGCTTTCGTTGTAAAATCAGACTCAGGAGAATTTCCGTTCCATCACACACCACATGCCGAGATTGTGATGACCGACATGGATCAGTAGGGGCGGAGGAGGCGCGAAGGAGGGGCGCCAACATCAATCATTAAGAGAACCAAGTGGTTGGGCATGAAGGCACGAATATGTTCTTGCTGTCGTCTACCTGCCCTGTCGAAATAAGTGGTAAACATCGCTTGTCCTAGATTCGATCGCGAGAACCACACATATGAAGCATGTGCACCATATCAAGGACCGGGGACACCTTGTCGAATATCACTTGATAATTCACTAACTCGTCAATGCGTGGGGCTGGAGCCATCTGTCTGTCTTGGAACGGAGTCTCTTGACAGACATTTGCCGTCCCCGCCGCCAGCAGTCAACGCAGCAAACCAGGAAAGAACAATACACCGCTGTTGACCACCATGAAGAGGGTTTCTAAGCTGAATGTACTGGAAGCAGTCAAGCGGTGGATGGGAAACGATTGCTCAATGCCTACGTAGCACACAGGATGATTAACATCCCAAGCTTGCCCGTTTGGTCTCGAGGCTGGCATGGAGACTTATCATCCTGTTGCACCGCCACTGCTCACATCAACGCGCAAGTGATCCAATTCGTAAATGGTCAATTCATATCGCATTTCTATACCATGTCCCAAATCATCATCAGCCGTGGGTATTATTTCAGTCCATGCCTTGCCTATATGAGATCTACACGAGGAAACGACAGACAATAGTAGTATATGGCGCCAAGAGACCCTTGGATAGTCAACGTCATCATTTTCCAACAATACTTCCCACGCAGAGGAAAAGTGATAATAAACTATATAGGCAAGTACTCGAGGACTTGTTAAGGGAAGATGAGAAATGAAGGGGTAAGCCATGTGTGGCATGATTATGAGGGGTTGTCATTGCCCGTGTCCAAGTTATGGTTCCGTGTCGGGCCTCTCCGGTGAAAATGGCGAGCCAAGCTTGATCTCGACCGCAGGTACGTGAGGGTGATTCTCCATAGAGGGCCCTGGATCATCAAGCCGTTCCGGTGGAGAATTCGACTGCCGTAAAGGCTGAAGTGCATCTCGATCGATCCTCTCACTGGGCTCTTCCTTCGACTCGGAATATTCAGGAGGAGTTGAGGCTTGATGCTGTGCGGTGAGCCCCCGCGGGGAAGCCGTCGCTCCTTCGACGTCGGGTCGTCCTCGTCTTTTGTCCCTGTTTTCATCTGAAGTCGCTCCAGACTCGACGTCGCGGCGGAGATGGTATTGGAAGTCTGGATCCTGCTCCTTTACTGAACCCGCTGTTGTCGGCGTCCTGAGAAGGGCGGATTCTTGACCAACACTGGTGGCTGCACTTGTAGTGGCGCTGCTTGGAACAGCACTACTCGTGTTGCTCATGGCGCCACTGGTAGTCGCGGACCGAGGAGTTGTGGACGGGACGATTACATTGAGTACACAGTCGTCTAGATGCTCGTAGAAATCTTGAGCTGTGAAGAATTGGGTGTGGCAGATGGAGCATTTGGCGGTGGCACCTGCACTGGTGGCCCCGCGAGACAGAGCTGCGCCGCCATCTCTAGACGAGGCCGCAGACGAGGAGCTACTAAAAGCTACTTGTTTACGGCTATTTGGTGGCGTTTGTTCGACATTGTGAACGGCCGTTAAATGCCGCTTGAAGACATCGGCGCGGTTGAAAGATTTCTCGTAAGCCGTTCCGGGTCCGGGGCAAAAGGGGCAAACCATGGTACCCTTATAGTGCGTCAAGGCATGTCGATTCTTGTCGTACTTTCTGGCGAAGCCTTTCGTGTGGTATTCACATGTCTCAATTGGACACTTCTCCGGTCTTTCCTCCATGTGAGTCAACATATGGGCCGCAAGGTCTTTAAAAACCCGCCCACACTGTGGGTGGGGACATCGATTGCGGTTCGAAGTAGGAACCTCATCCGGTCTACTGATGCTCGCAATGTTGGCAAAACTCGTGGTATTGTTTTGAACTGGGCTAGTTTGGAAGTTAATCGTTGACGAAGTAGCGAGAGGCGGTATCTCCAGAAACGGCGGTGCAAGAAGAGGAGGTCGTTGCGTAGCTAGGAGGTGAGGAGGAATGCCGTGAGGTAGAGGAGGGGGTGCTGGAGCAAGCCTGGGAACTTCAAGGATCGGAGACCGACGGCTGCTTCGCGGAGACACAGCTTCAGACCGCTGCTTGAAGTCGTTGTCTTCCTCGCCACTGTCCGACTCTTGGTCATTAACATCTACAGACTGTCTGACTTCCTTCATCCAGTCTTTCAAGATTGTCATCGGTGGCCAGTCCCCACTCGCCTTACCGCCCCTGTGAGGATTGAAATGGGCTCTTCGCAAGTGAGCTGCCGCATTATAATAGGCACCATATCGTTTCTGAGTGACGCAAGCCTTGCACTTGGACAAAGGAACCACCGGTTGTGGTGAGCCTGGACTGTAAGTCTGTGGTTCGGAGCAAACCCACCGCTTCACAAGGGCAGCGTGCTTGGCGTCGTTGTGCCTCCGGAGCTCATGCTCGCCACGAAACCCTTCTGGATATTCGTTGCATTTCGCACAATAGACTCTGCGAAGTGGTGGCCGTTGGTATGATGGTCGGATCCTCGTTGCGGGAATCGGAGACGCGAGTCCCGTCGCTTCACCGCGGAATAACGGGCTCTCAGCAATACTGTGTCTCCGTGCTGGACTGGTCGATTGCGGCGATACCATCGTCAAATCAGAGAAAAGCTTGGGAGCAAACGCATTCCCTGCCGAAATTCCGCCGTTTGGACCCCAGTGTTCACTTATAGGGCGGACTTCGGGTAGAGGTCGCCGAGACGCTTCTCCAGAACTGGGAATGGAAGGCGGTGCAAGTCCCACGGGTCGGAAACTTGGGCTCCTCTGCCTAATGAAGCTGTTCGCGAAGAGACCATTGTTGTCATTTCCCCCAAGAACCATCAAAAACTCCTTGGTCGATGCCAGACCACGCTCATTCCAGGAATCTTTCTTCGTGATGTTGTATAGCATGTTGAAAAGCGTGCTTTCATCTTCACTCATCGCCAGGTGATTTTCGTCAAGCATCATCGGAGAAGCGGCGTCAAATACACTGACCAAGGCTTTGTAGACACCTGTCATAGTCGCTGCGGCCGATGTCGCGGTAGAGGTGGACAGAGGGCTAGCTCTCGAACCGGAGGAAGAAATGTCCACAAGTATGGTCCGTACAACACTGAACAGACACAATGACAGGAAGATAGCAATCCAGGTTCTTGGATCAATCGGGACGCCGTTCATTGCGACATTCTCGAATGACTGTAGAAATTCAGTCATGCAGTTGTACAGCAGGCGATATCGCCCGTGATTGGTAGGGTCGTCACAGGCTGAGTGCGTTTGCAACATGCTAGCTTCTGCATGAATCGAGGGGTCCGGTTGTTGCAAGTCGTAAAACAAAACTTCTCTGAGCAGCAGTTTCACGCGGTATAGCACCGGAAATGTCACAGCTTCAGCTTCTCTATCCGACGATATGTATCTGCTCAGTCTGAGCAGTTGCCAGAAGTCGTATGTCGTCCCGCTCATGTTCCAACTTGCCGCCAGAGTTGTCAGCACGGGCGGTGGCCTCTCCACTGGTTCTCGCAGAAACGATGGCACAAATTTGCTAGACGGCGATAGCTTCGAAAGGTCCTCGGACCACCAGAACCCATCATCGAAATCGAGATTGTGTTTCACCAGTCGGGAGACGTCAGGATTGACTAGATATGCTTGCTCAAGGTATTCATTCATGTTTCGTCGTGGTGCAAGCGGCGAGGCAATCGGAGTCTGACTTTGCCGCGGCGAGATGGATACTACTCTCTCGTCAGTCCTTAGTATAGCTGCATGGCAGGTCCTGAATGACAAACTTGGCACCAGAGTCTCAGCTAAGGCAGTCAATGGACCTCTGTGGCAACCAAGGACAGCCCAGAAGTCGCCAGAGGCAGGGTTGGCCTCATCCTGGCAGTAGGAGCATGGATCGTTCGAGTCGCACTACGCTATTAGAGACAGTCCAGATTAGGAACACCGAGAGGAATGTTACTTACTCCCTTCCTCACGACCTTGCACCGGAGGCACGGCCGAACATCGCGTAGCAGTCTGAGCTCCTCGATAGACTCTAGCTTGGATTGTCCAACGCGACTGCGCTTCAGAGGCGGAAGGAGAGGGTCCACTTCGGAATCAATCGAGCTTCGCAGATCCCTTACAGAAGATGTGGGCTCTGATATGAACGAGTAAGACCTTAATGATTCTCTGGGATCGCGGGAGAGCCCGGGAATCGGGGGCGTCGAAAGTTGCAAGCTGCCGCTGGGCCTTGGCAAATACAAGGGCGATAAGTTTTTCGAGTACTCATTACTGTAATTGCGACGGTGGGCGTGCTGATCAGAGATCAGTGGTGGTGTGTCGGTCACGGACAGTCCGGAGTCTCGCTTGGACGATACCAAATGGTCTCTGCTGTGCTGGTCTCGCTCCTCTTGGCTTGGAAATCCGTAGATGTAGTGCAAGCACCTTTCGTCCCAGCACTTGAAGGACCGAGAACTATGGGACTTGGACAGAAGACGATCCCTCAATCTCCAACTGCGGGCAATCGGATCATAGTGCGATAGGTTCCGGTCCAGCCAGGTCTCGTAACCAGCCGGAGCATCATGTCGAAAATAAAATTTCAAAGCCTCGTTCACTCTCTGCTCGTGGAGGTCCAGGCCTGTTGGTGCGTGTTAGAACAGAGCAAGGCCACTGTCCCGTATGCGAACATAGAGTCTCAGGAGACCAGGGCGTACCTTGTTGTAGACAAGCCGTCTCGATACACTCGCATTGGTACTGGAGTGCTCTGGCATCCTCGATCTCAAACAAGACCGGAATCTTATCGGATAGACCTGGTATACTACAACATCAGACGAAGGGGCGCCAAGAGAGACGATATCAGGTCCAGTGGAAACAGACAAGACATTGTCAATGGCATTGGAAATTCAACGAGAGTGGGCAACATATTCAAGGGTAGGGTAGGCTGGAAATCAAGGGAGAGCGGAGCAGGCTTGCTTACGGTTGTCATCGGCGAAAGCGCGCAAGGACTTGAGCTTGTGCCGTAACATGACAAGTTCGGCCGTGGAGTCTAGGCCGTGCTTCCGGGGCAGCAGAGCGGCAATTTTGGCTTCGATCTCGGCCTGCTGGTCAAGAAGAGCTCTGATGGTAGGGTCCAGGGAGGAGTCATGGACAGGACTGGCGGCGGAAGCTGAAGGTTGACCCTGACTGTGATGAATGCTGTGGCCCTGAAATGCTGCAGAGGGAACAGAGGACCCGAGGCCGAGGCCCCAGCCGGACCCAGCAGCGGTGTTAGTGATAGCGGCGGAGTTGTCGCGATCCAGCCGGGGAGCCGAGGCGACTGTGTGGATGGGCCCGATGTTTTCGGAGGCCATGGGGCCTGGACACGGCCGGCGCCCCGGTGGCCGTACGGCAACGCCAAGACGACGGAGGATGGGACGGGCGGCGTGAAGTCGGTGGGCGTCCGCCTCGCTGGGGATGTTTCAGTTCTTGTCTCAGTAGCCGTCTTCTTTTTAAGTTTTGTCCCTTCGCTTCGTCGCAACTGACACCAGGATCGTCGATCGATCCAGCTCTGCAGCGTACAATACGTAGAGTTTCGGGTGGGCGGCCAACTTCAACGTCACTTCGGATGCAGTTCTGGCACTCCCTCACACAGGCCGAGTCGACTTGAGTAACAGTCTGCCAGTCTGCCAGTCTTGCTCAGCCCTCTTTGGCCACTGACCAGCCGCAGTTGGCCCTGTTGTGTCAACAACTTGGTTCGGCCGATGCCGGTCTTTTAATTCGTCCCTTCCTCGCCAGTGCTTCAACAAATCAAGGTGAGGGTCGTGGGCAGCAGGTCCATTTGGTGGCCGAAGGATAAGAACTCGCCGTTTCTTGCGCGGACTCATTGGAAGGCGAGAAAGTGATCAGACACCTGTGGACCGCATGGCGCGTAGGAGAGGAGGCAATCCCAACGACGGTATTGACCCTGTTGAGGAGGCAAAGAGAGGACGGGAGGGGGGAAGAAGACGAGGACAAAGGCGTGGAGTAAGGACGAGGATAAGGACGAGGATGGGGACGTGGGTGAGGATGGGGATGAAGGTGAAGGTGAGGGTGAGGGTGAGGGTCGAGGCAGCCTGTGGCGCAAGGCGACTCAGTCGAGGCAGGCAGGGTAGAGATAGATAAATGGAGACGGAATGGGGCAGGAGGGCTGCTGCATGCTCATGTGCGATTGATGGGATCTGGAGCTGGCAGCTGGGAGCTGGGAGCTGCAGCTGTACCAAACAAGGGAAGAAGGCGAGGGCAAAGGTGCGAGGGTACAAGCCGTAGACACAGGCACAGGCACCGGCGGAGGACGAACGAGTGATATACATACATGGGCTGCATATTCTACATACAGGCATGTAGATACACGTACACGCACGATTGCACAATACAGGACCCAAGTAGTTGCGCCGTCAATAAGTCAGTCAGTCAAGCCCAGTCCATCAAGTATCCCTCCACGAGACTGGGGGGGCAGAGATACATCGGCAGGGAGGCACGAGGGACCCGTGAACAAACCCCACCTGAGCACCTGGGGAGAGAGAGTGCAGATGCGATGCAGAATGCAGACTGCAGAGTGCAGACTGCAGGCGCAGTTGCAGGCGCAGGCGCCGACACAGACACAGACGTAGACACAGACACAGACACAGACACAAACAAGATGCAGATGCAGGTGCAGGTGCAGTTCCCAGCTCGAGCCTGGAGGCGTTCTGACGAGCTGAGCTGAGGGGGACGGGGCACGACCGTTGAGTCGAGCGTGAACAAGAACATGGGCTCCTTTCCTCTGGTGCCATCATCCCCTCGATTCCACAGTATGTACCAAGATGCAAGGAGAGCACACAGGACCGCGGAATGCACGATTAGCCAGCCATTCTACCAGGGACCATGGCGTCCGAGGGACCAACCTTGGAAAGCAGTGCCCGTGCAAGGATCAGTGCAGAGGTGGGTGGGGCGACCGTTGACTTGTTGACTTGTTGATGGTGGCCGTGGCTGGATGGCTTGGATGGCTGAATGGCTGGTTGGCAGATGGGGGGGCAGGGCGGGCAGGGCCAGACAGGCAGTGTGCAGCCGGCTTGGTCTATCGTCTGCCTATATCGCAGAGACTATGTAATGGGGTCTATGTACATACCAGCGAACTGTAGAGTCTCTAGCCTACAAACTATGTGGTAGACTGCCGTGCTTGTGCATTACTCTCGCCTGGTCGAAACCTAGTGTTGCGTTCCTCGAGGTGCCCAGATTGCAGTGGCGCGACTTCAAAGCGCCCAAAGAAGACCAGAGAAGAAGGAAAAAAAGGCTGTTCCATGCGTACTCCGTCTGCAATTTGCTGTCCACACATACATCGTCACGTATTATAATGGCACCGCACAGCATTTTGTTAATGCCCTCCCTTGCCTATGCCCTCCTCTGCCCTGGGTACAAACCAGGGTCCGACCTTGGGCTCCCCCTGCCCTAGCTCCACTCGATCCCTCGATTCTTCGACTGCTCGATTCCTCAACATCTCGCCTCACATCGACTCCTCGGTGCCCTTTTTGACCCCATCCACCTGTTGCCTCTCCTTTCAGCTGTTGCGATTGGCACGGCCCAGAAAACATTCCATCTCTTGGCACTTATTATCCTGCTCACCAGGTAACCTTAGAAGCTTGGACCCATCGGGCTGCCCCCAGCTCATCCTCCCCGGCCTGCGTCGAGCTGCCTCGAGCTGCCTCGAGCTCCCACCCCTGCCAACCTTGGACCTCGAAGAAGCTTGACCACCTCGCTGATCATCAAGGGTCGGAGCTTTGCGGTTCTGGTCCCAAGAACCCCAGATCCTCCCGAGAGGCTCAGATCCCCGGCTTGACAAGACCACACTGAGCAACTGACACCATTCACCTCCTCACGCACGGCCGCCTATCTTAATGCCCGTCATTTATTAAGTCGCCGCGGCCCTGTTCTCCTCGGCTGGCGGCGCCTCCATTCGCTGCCACCCACTGCCCAGTCTCATGGTCCCTCGCCGCCTGCCCGACCGACCGACCGACCGCCCGCCGTGGTTATCCAGAGCTGCTGCATCCTGGGTCTACTGTGTATAGTGTATATGAGTAGAGACGCCACTCACCCTCGGCTTGGCCTGCAAGCTCAAGTCTCGCTCGACCCCTTCCCCAGAGCTGCTGGGGGTCAGGAATTTGCCGTCCCTCCTATCCGGCTCCAGCTGTCCAGCTGTCTGTTATAACAGGCGCGATAAGACCTCCCAAGGATCGCTATATCTCGCTGTCGATCCCATCTTTGTTTGGACGCCAAGCTCGATCAGCTCTAACCATCACCACCGCTCGACATGCCGAACGAAACATTCGTTGTGTCCGCTGCGTACAGTACATCACACCGTTCTACTGGCCCCATCGGCTTGGACGCCCGGGGCAGCATGGGTAGGGATGCCCTCGCGACACTTATCCGAGCACTGAATGCCACTGCAACCCGCCCATGGCGGGACCGCACGCACTCCTGCCACTGCACGGCGGTGGGCAATCGCCTGCACTTTTACCATCAACACCCAACCCTCTGCCGGCAATGTTGCGCGCAACAGCAGATGGTGTGACCCAGCCGTGACATTCGTCTGCCCCTCCCACAATAGTACAATAGTAGATACCCTTGGGACCCATCGCCGGCTCATCGGTTGCGACGGTACGAGGCCCCAGCTGAGGTTTCAATTGTGGTACTATAGGTCCAGTGAGCTATCACAGCTCGCAGCCGGCGCGACTCGAGGGGACTGCAACGCACCGCACCGCTGCTCTTTCTGTGTCTGTCCCCAGGCGATGCCGAAGTACCTTTGGGGCACGGATACTGCGGGTACAACCTGAGAAGCCGGTCTTACAGAGGCATGATCCTCGAGCTTGCTGATCCGCCGGAAAGGGTCCTGGCTACCCTTGCTTGCCTTGCGAACAGATGAACTGAGTCCATACAGACTGGACCCAAGTCTTGACTCGGGATCTACGTGAGATCAAGCTAGCATCCCTGTGATCACCAGCTAGCCATGCAATATGGGAAGGCAATTCGCACATGTCCACAGACACGTCCCCGGCTACCGGACGAGACGTCCCGCGGCTGGAACGTCAAGGGAATCCTGGGGCTGCCTGTGGCTCCAGCTCTCGATCACGTAGTCTTCTCCTCCATGCTTTATTGACTGAACCTACAGTTCAATAGCAGAGTGTGGGGCAGCGGAATGATGACATTGGAGTCGAGAGTTCGAGTGTTCAGAACTCAGATGAACGTACCGAGCGACTCTGTCACCGCCGGACTTTTTCCCCAGCCAGCTGTTTGGCCTGAGAATGTAGTACAGAGCAGGACCTTGACGCTGCGCTTGGTAGACAGAGTTCCAGCCTCAAGCTCATCGTTCTTTGCATCGTCGATCTTGACCATGCCTACGGGAAAATTCGCCGGCCTGAGTGGACGGATCCGCACTAGAGCACATGGGAACTGCTACGGAATCGTGCGACTCAACGGTGGATGAAGGGGCCGTCTTCCGGAAACTGATCTAGAAAGAACAAGCGCCCTCTTGTGGTTTTTGTTATTACTTTATTTCTTCCCCTTTTTTTTTGTGGCGTTCTCCCCGTTTTATCGCTCCAGCAGATGATAGTACCTGCTACTCACGACCAAGCTATGGATATGAGACTGCGATGGCTGAGGGGTCGCCAGCTCTCGTCCCTGCTAAACTCAATGCTGGAAGAAACGACTTCAATGCACCACCCACGCGGACGCCATGTGCGAATGAGGCCGTACCGATTGACCCGGGACCGAAAGCTTCTACTAAGGCGAGATCGTCATCGCGATAAGATATGAGCATGTCGACGGCACGATTCAATCAAATTTGGGCAGGCTGGTTGGCCGAACACATTCAGCAAGACCGGCACATCGCAAGACAACTGCAACTCCAAGTGGTCGGCTTGATAGCCGATACAGGATGCAACCCCGTTCAAAGTACGCACCACACACACACACACCTCTGCAATCGTGCGAGGTACATCTATACCTTTGCTCTCCGGCGAGCACGAGAACGAGTCTAGTACCAACATCGCCACCATGCAGGCTGGCACGCCTCGTCCGCATGCAGCAGGGACGCATGGCAATTTCTAGCTATCAGCATGGACTCTCTGGGCACTGAGCTGCCAAACTATCAGCTGGTCTTGAATTCAGTTGCTGCAAAGCTAATTCACGCAGCTAGGGGAATATCGTGATTCTCAGCAAGTAGCTGCCAGAGCTCTCTGCTGAGGTGGCCCTCAACCCACACCCACCGACACCCTACACACGATCTATGCCGAGAATTGCATGCTCGTCCGAGGAAAGCAACCCTCCTCAGCTTCGTGATCACGCCGGTCACCGACATTCGTCCCCAATATTGCTTCCCCGCCCTGGTGCACACCTAATCTTAAGCTTGTTTCTACGTCCGGCGGCCCGTCAGCTGGAATGAAGTCCCTCCAGCAAGGCGACGTGACAACCACAGCCTGCCTAGTGGCACTTTACCTATTCATTGCGTTTGCTCGCCTCAACTGCCTCAGCTGTCGATTTACATCCCTCGCTTTGCCTTCAATGCATTTCTCCTGTCCTGTAATGCACTTGTAATGCACTCATGTTATCGTTCGCCGACGGCCCTCAGCCCTAAATCCCCGACACAGCTACTACGGTCAGCTGGGCATGGAACGGCAACGGTCAGCGTTTCTAATGCGTGTCAGTCGATTCATAAAGGCCGGCACTTGGGTGCACAGTCGCTTCGGGTTGCGACCTTGTTACCCGATGGGGCTGAGCACAGCCAACCTGCTCTCTCTCTCAAGTGAGAGCTATTATGCTCGTGTCGGAGCTTCTTCGGGGGGAGACTGGCTTGCGACTGCACGGCCAATGGCGGGGTTGCTTGAATTCTGTCTCGCAGATTGTCTTGCGCGTTGATCGGTAGGCCCAGCAATGCGTGTGAGCATATCCGTCATCGATTTCTCCCTTGGAATCGCGAGCCTTGTCCAGTATGGAATCGCCAGACCCCGGAGCACCCCGATCGAACTGAGCAGCATTATTGCATGATCTTCAACTTTTCTCCAAAGTTTCTTTGCAGTAGTCGGATCGGCCGTCAAAGGTCTCGGGGTTCCCCTCTGGGTCGTTGTAGTCGAGCGCCGGGGGCGGCTGCACATCTGCCCGCCCACATACGGCTAGTCACTACTCACTTTGTCACAACACTTTCCGCTAACACTATCGGTGATCTACACAACCCTTGTCTACCTGAAAGGATGTCTCTAGGTAAAAAGTCTGGCCCCATAGCCCCCCAGTCCTTGGGAAGGTTTCCTTGGGAAATGTCAGAGGGCTTGCTTGCTGTCGATCACTTACCACAGCACTAGGCCCAACCCACGGTTGCACGTACGAGGAAGGTGGCCATGACCCTGTCTACCTATTCAGCTTTGGTAACATGGTAGCATCCACCAAGTCTAATTGGACCAAGCGAGGTGGCAAGCAAAGCGCAAGCAGGCAGGCTGGGCCGAGGGGATCACAATGAGGCACCTGAACGACGAGGAGGCCTGAGCCTCGGCCTGGATGAGCCCATGAAGTCCTTGCATTGTGATTACCATTGCCTCTTGCACTCGAATCTATCAGGATATGGGCATGGTGCTATGCGTCCTTCCAGTCACCGATGATGGAAATTAGAGACCAATTGGCAGAGTATCAATTTTCAAACATTTGAAGACAGTTAGATGTTACAGTATTGAGATTTGTTTTACATCATATATAAGTTTTCAATCCTGGGGAATCCAACTCGTCATTAGTAAGAGCCATCGCACTTCTGATATGCTATTGAATGTATCTGTGTACAATTAACAAAATTTACATCTACTTGTGCTTTCCAGTTGCTGTCGTACCTCTTGCTTTCAATGCTTCGCGCAGAGACTCATTTAAATTGGTCTGCGCTGCACCGCTGACCAGCTGTCATAGAATTCCGAACCTTCGGCCGCACTAGGTTGGCAAAGCGTTTTGTCCTGTTGAAGGGGCCGTCAGGGCCGGGTTCCATAGGAACCTAGGTAGAGGACGAGTTAGGATAAAGGGCGGCCTGTCGTGGCAAGCCATCCTGCGACGAATAATGCCTAAGTCATGATCCACCAGCCCGTTTGGCCACGCCCTTGGGCTGCGCCTGCTTTCCGCTCTCGTCATCCTACAATGTCAAAGAACTGGGAATTCGAGCGCATTCATCCTGGTTGGTATTGATCGACACCACATCATATCCTAGGAGTGGACCGGCACCACCTGCATCATTTGTCGCTGGATCTGGTCTAGGCGACCTCGTGAATAGTGCATTCTTATGATTGATTAGAAGCTCTGCTTAATTGTAGGCAAAAGAATTCTCGATGTCGACCTCGTCGGCCGTTATGCTGTGAAAAACCTTCAAGTGCTGTTTAAAATTGTGTATCGTTTGCCACATTATATTCCGTCTGCGGCAGTCTTGGACAGGACACCTGTAGTATTTGCCATAGGCCCCTGTACTGGGATGGCATGATCTTGTATGTCGATCAAGGTCGTTCGAAGTGCTGAAACCATGCTCAGCACGGAAACAGCCTTTGACTGAACAACGATAGGGCTCCTCATGAAATCGCTCATGTTTCCTAGAAAGAAAAGAGGGAATGATATTAGCTAACTACATCACAGATAGAGTAAGATAGAGCAGGCATACTTCAATTCGGATCTTGTCTTGACGTCAACCTTGCAATGGGGGCACACAAACTTTTCGACCATTGGACTCTCTGGCGCATGGGCAGCATGGGAAGATTGTGTCTGCCTCTGTACATCTGGCATAAGCCGCTGGTCAAATTGTGATGCTGCGAGACCGGTGGAAATCTCTGGGTTCTTCCTGTCTACGTTCATAAATATGTCGTAGCCTTGGAAGGTACCAAAACCTGAATTCCTCCAAGGATCCCAGGGTTCTGGTACAGGCCATCTTTTCCATGGAGTCTCGTACGATGGTCTGTCATCACCGGTACTGTCCTCCTCTGTTTCGCTGGGCATTACTGTATGTCGAATTCTTTCCCTGACTGTGGGAACGTCATTCTGCGCTGTAGCAGACCTGTACTCAACCCCGTTGTCCTGATTCGACGCGTCGTGTGCCGCCCAATTCTGGGGTACGTCTTTGTTTCCCGCGATGTTCGCCGCCTCGTGGGAAAGCTGAAATGTGGCCTCTCCCTGAATTGCGTGGTCATAGATAGGAGCCCAAGGGCGATCTCTAATAGCTTGAGAGTCGGACAATAGGTAGTGCTGCTCGATATTGGGGCCGCTCCGATCTTTTTCGGAAGAATCCTGTTGCGCGGCTCGAGAAGTCCGTTTTTCTCCGCCAGCCTTCTTTGTAACATTGGCTGAGCAATCAAGACCCATCCTAGCACAGCGTTGGCATTTTTGACCGGGCCATATGCGGTCGAATGGGTCGCACTTCGCACAGTTATCAGTTCTGGAAGTATGTTGTGGTGCTCATGATACTCACAGTCTTCTTGTCCTTTCTGCAGAATGTACACTTGCTGTAGTTCAAGCGACGTCTTTTCCCGGAGACTTGCGACTGTTCCTCTTGATTGGTTGTGCTTAATTCGACTGCACGTTTTGATCCCACTTGATGGGAGTTGGCTGTTCGAGACTGCCGAAAATTATGTGGTTCTGGCATCTGTAGCATCTTCGGACCTTGTGCTGTTGGCGCCTCAACCTGACCTTTGAGGTCTTTGAACATGTCCTCCAACACTTGCAGCCGTTTCATCAACTCGAGCTCTCGATCGCTGGGCAGATGCCTTGGCATCTGCTTCTCAAGGGTGGCCGACCATTGATTGTTTTCTGACATTTGCCGAGACTGTGGGGGAGTGAGATGCCTCCTCAAGGAATCTGGAGGCTCGGGATAACATCGGAAATCCATTCTTGATTTGGGAGAGTGTACTCTCTTTATAAGCAAAAAGCTGGGAGACTGTTTATTATAGAGAGCATCGCAGCCTTCCCAACGGGCGAGACTAGAACAGGCAGGTCAAGGCTACGATGGTGGGGCCAGACTGACTTACGCCTGTACCTGGTGTTGGAGGTGCGTTGTGTTGGCCACGAATGACAGTCTCTGTGGACAAGTCTTGAAAGATGAATTTGTAGAAGCAGCCCTGAGTTTAACGTCCAGATTTTGATCAATCTTGCTGGTATATATGCTCGTCGCAGTACTTCGGAGCATGTTTGGATCTGAGAAGGAGCGGGATCCCTGTTGTCGCAGTATCGAAGTGTGGCATGGTGGCAGTGTCGCAGTATCGCAGTGTCGCCGTATCGTAGTATCGAACTCGCTGCTGACGTTTCCCAGGGGTGGCCGCAGGTAGGCAACCATCAGCCACCGCCCACACAGCTAGCTGCATGCATAGATGCATCATGGCAGAGGTCGATATAAACTCACCAAGATTCTATGCCATAGACTGCATATTGAAGCCCTGCCGCTAAGATAGCTCTTGGCTAGTGGTATCAATTTTGCATTCTAAAGGACAATTATATTATCGCCCTATGCGGCGTTGGTATGCGCTAATGCCTATTTACTAATTTTCTTTTCACTCCTTGCGGAGAGCATGTTGAATGACTGGGAACCTGCCCCCATCTCCTGCGCAATGTCTCGCTCTGGTTGAGTTTCGGATGCCTTCGTGCTGAGAGTTTTCGACACACAAGTCCTGGCGAATGCAGGGGACGGTAGAGAGCAAGACTTCACTACTCAGCCCACCGCCGTTCCCGCAGCGGCAGTTCCTTGCCCTCGGCAGCACGGCTTCCGTTCACCTCGGCCTTCCACGCCCAGTACTCACCCAGCCTGATCTCCGCGTATGAGGCGTAGTCGAAGTCGATGTCGGAGATGGTCGCCTGGATCAGCGCCCAGATGCCCCAGTAGAAGCCTGGGACTCCACGGTATAGGTCGACCTCATCGGACAGTTTCTGGATCTCAGACTCCTCGTCGTGCTTGGGCTGCTCAGGAAGGAGGCTGAAGTACGACCGGACGTACTCAGTGATGAATTCGCGCCGTTGGGACTTGCTGGGCAGCACGTTGTAGTCGCAGTCGAAACCGCCCCATTCGGCAAAGTGGTTGCACAGGTCAAATGCTGCGGGCGAGGGGACGGCGTATTCGTAGTCGATGAAGGTCACAGCTTCATCGGTGCTACTTGAGGCCCCGTTGCTGACTATCCCAGAGTCTTGGTCGTTGCCTTTGGGCAGCACAATGACATTTCCGCTTAGCAGATCGCAATGTGCGAAGACCAGCTGAACCATGTTAGCTCTGTCCTCGAAGTTCGACTGGTTTCGTCTGTGGCAATAACTTACACCATCCTTTCCTAGGCCTGGCCGGTGGCTCATCTCAACTACCAACTTGGAAAGCTCAGCTTGCAGCAATTTTTGCCGCTCTCTTTGCGCTGGCGTCTTGGTTGGCAGAGCAAAGATCCACTTCTGCATAACAGTCCATACGTTGGGGGCCTGCTTCCCTGGGGCAGCTGCATCCACGGCCTCCTGTAGAGTCGCGTACTTCTCTGCAGCTCCATTGAGTATTTCAACACAGTGACTGTCCATCTTATCACTGATGTGCGTCTTGCCTGGCAGACAGGGCACCGTAGCATGCCACTGGGCCAGCCTTTTCGCCACAGCTAGGTATATCTCGGGCCTCCTCAGGTCATCAGGGTGCGTGACACTACCCCTGATGAATCTGTACATCATGCCGTTGTTGAACCGGGCCAGCAACTCGGGTGCAAGGCCATGCCGCGAGAGCAACTCGTGGTTTTGTGTCTCTCGGGCGCGGTCGATGATCAGATCGGTGCCATGACCGTAGGCGCGTAGCAGGATGGCCTCCCGGTCGACCTCGTCCTTGGACAGGCCAGGACGCTTGTTGACGGCCTTGAGCAGCGTGTTCGTGATGCCATCGGTGAAGCGAACGAACTCTATGTTGGAGTCACCTGAAGACCAGTCCGGACGCAAGGCTAGAATAAGCTGGCGGGCCGAGTTTTCGGAGTCGGAGCCGTCGTAGGTTTGGGAAATAAAGCGGACCGGAGGATGCTGGTCAGAACCGGCGCCGGTGTGACGGCCGTTGTCGCCATTTTGGTGTGTCATGGTTGGAGAATGGGCGACGAGGGGTCGCTTGCCTTGGTCGGGTTGGTGTGGGTGTGGAGGGGCAGCGGAAAAAGGGGGCTACCGCTGTTTATGTATGTAGGATAGCAGCGAAAGCACAAACAAGCAAGCACAAGACGCCTGAGAGCCTCGACATATGCCTTTAAACTATCATTTTGAGTCCCACGGGTCAGATTCAATATCACTTTAAGCCACTCTTTGTATCTACGTGACACATACACAGTCTGGTGGGGGAAGAAGACGTCATAATTTGCCCAAGGAGGCAGTGAAAGGTGGGAGAAGCGTGGGAGGGAAGGGGGGGGGGGTACGGAATGAGCTTACAGCGACTAGGCCTCAGGACGAGGGACAGCGAAAAGCTACCTGTTCTCGTAGGAGCTATTAGGTAGCAAGAGCTCACGAATGCACAAATTAGAAGAGGAGAAATGGTTGAGACTGTCACTGGGTGTCTAGGGTCTGTCGATAGTATCTGCCGAACAGAGAGAAAAGGCCTCGAGCTCAAACAGTCTGTGGATGAGGGGCACGAGGACAGCTTCCCGAAAAAGAAGCGATCGAATTGGAAAGGAGAGAGAACTGGCTAGCTTGAGACATAAAATCGCCTCCCATTTTGTCCTTTACAAGAGGAGTAGGAGGAAGGTCTGTCCCTGTTATGAGCAAAGCCCCCACACAAGGGTCCAGATTGTATCTGTCTCTTCATCTCTGGCCCCACAGGCTGCTAGGGAGATTCAAGTCCCATGTGATAGAGGTGGCCAGCTGCGGGCATCGAGAATCCGCAATGACCAGCTGGCTGCAGCTGGTGGGGACATCTGTACGGTAGCAGAGGCCAAGCAGCCGGGCACTACTGCTATCTGGATTCATCCACCCATCCATCCCAACACTTTCAATTACACCGTCTACTTGATGAACCAGCTGGAACGAATTGAAGGAGTTGGTGTTGCTGGCCGTTGATCCCTGGCTGCATTTCGATATCGCATCATCCTGGAACTCACAGCGCGGCTGCAACCTGGAGCCACTGCCCGGACAAGAATGTAACGCTTCATTCTGCACCATGTCAACGCACCCAACTCACATCAGCCATGAATGATGCATCGAGATATCGATTGACGAACCTGCATCGGCCGCTTCCTACGTCAAGCTCTTGTTCTCTTGATCCTTGATGCTTTTCAGTTCTTATCCTGAGGTTGAGAGCGAGGCATGAAGTGACGACCCTGTTACGACTTGATATCCCAGCTAGCAACTGAGCACCCTTGAATATGACTCTCCCGGCTCTCCCAAATTCTTCCAACTTTCTTGGAGTGGCCCTGGTTATCAACAGAAACCGTGATGGCCCCAGGTTCGTCTTCCACTACCCTCCTCACATAGTCCCGGTCGAGGACCGACACACGGAGGGAAGTGAGGATGGCGTCGACGAGGATGATATCTTGCTGGAACGCGCCGCGAAGCCCATGGATGGCTCATCGCCCTACAATCTGAATGTTTCTGAGATGCTTCCATGGGACCAAGATGACCACGTAATAACCGACAGTGGCACTCAGATCGTTCCGTGGGAGCATGTCGCTGGCCTCCCAACAAAGGACTTGGAGAGCATCCTGACGCCGGCCAGAGCATATCACAAGACCTTATTTCAAATCTCCTTGGATCCGTTGTACTTTGTATCTTATCCAATCCACAAGCCTGAGAATGGCATATGGAAGAAGAAGAGCAAGAAGAGAGAAAATCAACAAAGGCACAAGAACAGTGATGTCTCGAAGAGGGACGACGATCAGCTCTCACCACACGAAGACCCCGCGGACGGCGATACCGGCCCTAGAAAGGGGGAACCGGCCGGTGAGGACAACATCGATGTTAGGGACATGGCTGAAAAGTTCACTGGGGGCGCAGGCAAGCCTCAGGACGAGTCAGAAGACAAGGTCAGCTCCATGACCATGTTTAACCTCGTGTTCATCCTCAATCCCAGGAAGCACGAGGCAAAGGACTTGATCGAGACCATGTACACCAACATCATCCGCAAGGTCAACAAGGCCTACAAATATGTCCAGCAGCGCAGCGACTTTGTGTGGAAGGAGTCTAAGAAGATCCTGTCCATGAAGGACAAGGCGCGCGAGGAGAAGCGTAAGATGAGCGCGCTGTGGGAAGAGATCCTGCATAGCTCATCCCTGGCCGCTTCAATGCAAGACTTGTATGATGCCATATCTCGCAACAAGATTGCTGCGCTTCAGCTCGACACGGGCGAGGCTACTGTCACCCACTCCGTGCAGATCCCCGTTCCCTTCCACATATCCGATCTTCCGCCACTCGACCGAGAGGAGGACAGCCGCGGCCTCTGGATAACAACGGCCAACTCTTTTGTCGGAGACAGTGATGCTTTCGAGGAGCCACACTATCTGGACAAGAATTTCGCCTTGCTTCTAATGGATGATGACAAAAAGATCATCGCGGAATTGTCTGCTGATCCTGATGAGACCACTCTGTCTATGGTCGAGTTCGTCCGGCACTCGAAGCCCACCATGTCCTTTCATCAGGTTGCGCAACAGACGAACAACATCCTCACACTTGGACAGGTGCGCAAATTTGCACAGCACTTCATATTCTGGCGGCGCGCCATTGCCATACCTCCTCTGCACGCAAGGGACGTCTACATCCTCAGCCCTAATGCCAACATGAAGGCCTTGCCAAGGGCAAGCGCATATTGGGCAAGACAGTTCCCATTTGCACCGGCCTTGCCCAATTTCCTCGCCGACTTATCTGCCGCTCCAAGGCCGTACAAGTGGTTCTGCCCATCCAAGAGCTTTCGGCCGAGCTATCTCCAGATGTTGGCGTGGCTCATGCGCGGCGGATGGGTTGCACAGCTTTGTACTTTCGCGTACGTCGTTGTCTGGCCGGAGATACTGTACGAGGTGGAGTATACGCTCGAGGCAGAGGAGGTTGCCAAGGCAAAGAGGGCACAGGTTGCTGCCGTGGATGACCTGGAGCATGGGTCGCCTGACCATGCAGCCAGTGCGCTGAGGAACAGAAGAGGTAGCGGTAGGAGCGGCGACATGGTGGCAGGCAGCATCGAGGCTCTTGCTTCCTCCACCTCTACCCTCCAACAAAGCGTGGTGGGAACTGGCCTGGAAAGGAGCATCGGCGATCTCAGCTCCGTTTCCATCGCGGACGAGGCTCAGCCGTCACCTCTCCCATCATCACCATCCACATCTGTAGTCCTCAGAGACGCCTCGGCGCCAGGCTCAGAGGTCCAATCCCCGACCTCCGCCACATCTCACGGCCGGCCGCAGTCTCAGCCAACCCTCGCCGAGCAGGTCGCGGAGAAGGCGCGCCTCGAGCGCATAGCGGACAAGCTCGCCCGGGAGCTCGCCGAGAAGGCAACGGCGCACGCCCGCAAGGCCGTGCCCAAGGCGACGGACCACCCGAGCATCAACAAGGCACCTCACCTGGCCCAGCTGAGCCCCCACATCATCCTGGACGCCAAGAAGGCCACCGGAAAGGAGTCGCTCTACCTGTCTGCGATCGCGAAGCGGCTGCGGGAGAAGAAGACCGCCGTCCCGCCGCCGTCGTCGACGAGGAAGGACAAGACCAAGGCGCAGCCGGGCCTGGGCGAGAGCAGCAAGAGGGCCGCTGCTGCCGCCGCCGCCGCGGCAGCAGCAGGTGGCAAGGAAGGGAAGGCCGGCGGCGATGGCAAAGGGGTGGTCGACTGGGACGAGAGGGTCGCGAACACGTGGCCGCTGTTCTGCAAGTACTTCAACGGGCGATGCGCGCTGGAGCGGATCGCGCTCCAAGAGGAGATGAAGAGGAAGGACGTGTGGAACTTGTTGACGGCTATGAGCGAGTACTTGCAGTGCGTCAGACACTGGTAGGGCGGTGGTGTTGCTGGATGGGGGCTGGGGATCCTCGCATCAAATGTGCCGAAGAAAAATTAGGAGTTGAAAGTCGAGATCAAGGACTTGCTATGGGGGTCGGTGTCTGGCTCATCTAGAGAGGCGAGGATCACCATATAGATAATAGTCCAGGAGCTTGCTACATATGAAGTTGCCCTAGATCAGTCTACATCTAATATTTCGAGCAGTACGACAGGAGCACAGACCGCCTCGTTTATGGTGTACAATTCTAAAAGTTTATACGAAGCAATATGACGCCAATGCTTGCAGTGCTGCAGAGATGTTCACATGTCCGCAGTGGCCAGTTGTAAGCAAATGTGTGTAATATTCCAGACAAATTCAAAGCAGGGCTATCCTCCTCCAGCAGCGAATTCTGCCCCCTTCCCTTGCTATTGTAATAGCCTAATCCTCCACCAGAACGACTCAGGTATCATAGTAAGCAATAAAGATCTGTAAGTTACAATGCCAATAACCCCAATGCGGCCCTATTAAGAAAACTAATAAGAAAAATGTGAAATGCAGCATGAGGAGTCCATACAAGAAAAGTGTGTAAACTCCGGAGGCGGGTCCCATCTGCGTATACTTGGGATTTGTAACAGTTCCCTGGGGAGTGGAGATGAAACATCTCAAAAGACTAACAGAATAACGCCAAAATGTGTTGCCCTGCCCGAAAGAACACTCCTCAACGTCCGCCTGATGCAAGCAAGAGCAAGGGTCTTGGACTGACTGTAAGGAAAAATACGTATGACCTCTTCAACTATAAGACAAATAACAGAAACCGCCCAGCCTCTGCCTGAGATAGTCGTGGGCCTGGGATAACCTCAAGTGGAACTCGGTGAACCATGGTTGTGGAGATAGCAGTGATATAGGAAGCATGATGGCCTTAGTTCGTCAACTCCATGAACTCATCTTCTTCGTCAAAGCTGTTACGGTTGAACTTCAACTCTGACGGTTCATCTTCCCAAAAGGGGTTCGTGTCCATTCCGCCATTGCCAAGATGGCCGTTAACATCACCCTCCGGGCTGATGGAGTTCATCTCGGTGCTGGGATCGGTGCTGTTGATAGGTTCACCCTTGTAGTCAGTGTGATGCGGCACTCTCAAACCCGATCCTGCCGTCCGTGAATAGGTGAACTCCGTAGCCTCATTCTTGGCGAGGGCCTCGAGCAGCTCCGTCTGCATTCTCTTCTCGTCCTCAGTGATGCCAAATGGAGGATGTCCTCCAAGATCTTGGATCAGGGTGATGAGCTCCTCATTTTGTTGAATTTTGGCCTGCAGCATCCACATAAGATCACGCGTCCAACTAACAGCGCCATTCAGGATGTCACCCTTGTTTGGACCCTTGTCTTTGTCCTCCATCGGCAAGCCCGTGGTTATGTTGCCCGCAGCTCCGGTGGTCGCTCTCCTGGCGCCTGGGCCGGCTAGGCCTGATGTCGCTGTGCCCGGGTTGGAAGAGCCGGATAGTGTCGGCGACAGAGGGGTGCCGTTGGTGATCATTTTGCGTATCTTCTCGTCGTCTAGTCTGTGAGCGGGAACAAGCTTGCTTAGGTCTTGGATCCTCTCGTTGATGTTGTCTCGCCTTCGCCTCTCGACTAGGTTGTGGGACTCCCTGCGACGTTTCTTCTTGGCCTCTTGTTGCGAGGACAAAGCATTGCCCTGGCCCAGCTTCGTAGGCATCGACGCACCCTTCATCAGGAACTCGTTGATTTGATGGTTACCATGCATTTCGGTCTGCAGCGGCGATGACAGGCCAGAGCCAGGGAATGAAGCCATGCTGTTTGGCGTGTGTGCCCAATGGCCAGAAGGTGCTTTAACATGATGAGTGCTGGCGCCTGTTGTTCGTATTGGCTGTGGGCCGAATCCATCTTGCGACCCGATAGACAAGCCCAGCGCTCCCATCTTAGGGGTAAGCGGGCTTCTCGCATTGGAAGCCTTGCGCTGCATGGCCTGCGCCTGGAGTCGCTGACGAGCTTGGATGTGGGCATTGTCGTTAGGGTCCTTCATCTCGTTGGCCAAGGGTGAGCCGGCGTAGGACATGGGTGACTGTATTGAGTTGCCGAACGGCTGTGTATGCCCATGCATGGAACGGTATTGTCCCAGGTTCTGCATGAAGGGGCTTTGAATAGGATCGCCGTCGGGTGTGTTGGAATAGCCTGACATGTGCGACTGGTCGATTGGGACGCTTGGGTGCGAGTTGAAGCCGGCTCCATTCTGGTTGTAGCCCATATTCATGTCGTTCATGCCACCAAACTCCTGGCCTTGCATGCCTGAGCCTCCCTCGGTCGGGCTTGCTAGCCCGTCCAGCAATTCATCATCGCCAAAGACGGCTGAACCGCTCGAGAATGCGTTGTTCTGGTTGTTGGAGTTTGCGCCAAAGTTCTGCTGGAAGCCTTGATTGAAGTTGAGATCATTTGGATTGATGCTACCGCCACCGCCGTGGTGGCTGTACTGGCTGAAGCCCTGTTGGGCCATAGTGTATCGATGTGTTTGTGAGACTGTGAAGGTATCTTTCGGTGTTGGATTTCGATCGCCTGAGGAGTCGTCTGATGATGACTCAAGTGGCGCTCTCGTTCCGGACGTGTCGCGATGCGCAATGTTGCCAAAATGGATTATTCGGAGTCGGCCTTTAATCAGGTAAGGTCAGCTTCAAGCTCGGTGAAAAAGAAACAGGACGATGCACGATTAAATGTGCCGCTGGGTCGCGATCGCAGACCTGCAGGACAAGGTGACTCGACGTAGGCAGCGCCACAACTTGCGGTCAGCACGACCGGGCCAAGATGCAGACCGAGGCAGTGTTTCTGACAGGCTCTAGGACTCGAAGGCAGTCCTCGGAAGGGAAGGAAGTAAATGGAAGGCGAGGATTACCAGCTGTGAGAGTAGATTAAACAGTTTGTGCTCGATTTCGGGGTAAAGGACTCCAGCGACAGCCCGTGGACCGTGAGGCTGTAACGCGGTGCGGTTCCAGGGTGGGGCTTGGCGATGAGGGAGTGGGTGCGAGTCGGTCAGAGTAAGGACGCAGCGAAGTCAGGTTAGCCCAGAGGGAGACGGCCCAGTGGGTTGGTGCGACAAGAAAGTTGCGACGACACCGAGGTGGGGATGCGGACAAGCTCGGATGCTGCGCTATGGCATAGAAAACAAGCACGGCTTGAATGATGTTGTGGTTGAGGTGGTTGAGGTGGTCGAGAAAGTGGTTGCCGAAAAGGGTGAGACCTTTTCTTGCTTCTTTCTGTCGCCTTGGGATTTGCGGAGGGGCGGAACAGGCGGGCAACCCTGCTTGTTCGCTCGTTCGCCTGTCGGCTTTGCTGGGATGCGATGGCTGGAGAGACCGGCTGCTGTGCGAAGCGGCCTTTTAGAGCGTGCTGTATATGGACTGTTCTGTATGCAACCTCTCAGCCGCTAGCTCCTGTCGCATTGCAGCGCGACAGATGCGCCGAGGACTTGTTCCGAATGACAAGGCCGGGGAAACACACGACGCAGCGGGGCGAGAAAGGGCTCCCTCAAGCTTGCAGGGTGCAGCTTGCAGGGTGATGGTGAGCCGAGGAGGCGCTTTTGCACTTACCGCTGATGATGCTCGTCAAAGCAGGGCGACAAGGGCTATGGTCTTGCGGCGATGATTGCTAGACAGGCAGACAGACTGACAAGTTGAATGACTGAATGGAAATACAGGCCAGAACGTATTGGGTGGTGAGTGGTGGGTGGTGGGTTTCGATCGCGGTCGCGGGTGGGTGCGGGTCAGGTCTGGAGAAGGTGAGATGAAATGCTGGGGGTTTTCTGGAGAATGGGAGGCCGAATGGAGTAAACCCGGCCTGTCCAGTCCGCACAGAGAGGGTTTTGTGGCCGCTGGGTTGGAGCGTCAGCTTAGAGCGGGATGAGAGCACTGGGCAAGAAGGGGTCCGTGCACCCGCACTTCCACTCTCCCACTTCCAAGGTTTGTACAGTGCAATACAGTGCAGCGCGGGACAGTACACGGTACCCGCGTATTGGGTGAGGAGGGGTTGGTGGGGATGGTGGGGATGGAGCGCCGCTCGCTGCCTTGAACGAGTGCTAGCGCCGGAGAAGTTCCCGACGTCAACGACGGCTTGCAAAAAGCGACCATCAAATGGTTCTTTTGTGCTTGTCCAAACTCGTGTCGTATTCTGCAAATTTGGTGGGTAGGAAAGCGAACATTGACTGACCTTTTGAAAGCTCGTTCCTGGCCCACGCAGCCAAGATGCTGTTCTTCTGTCTTCTGTGCTGTGGGTGGGTTTGGTGTGACGTGATAAATCTGGGAGTGTGCACTGCACTGAGACGGAGAGTGGTCAGAGGGTTATTCTCTCAATGCTTTTTGGCTGACCGATGGTCGATGGCCGAGGGCCGATGGCTGGCTGGGATGGATGGATGAGGGTGATGGCGGGGATCGGTGGTGGTGGGTAGAGAGGGTGTGGGTGTGTCTCTCTCTCAGCACTGCTTGTGCTTGGAAGGGTGCCGTCCCGACGCTGCTGACCTTTGTAGATGATGATATATGACCGCTCCAGTCTAGGCCAGCCCAGGCTCAATAGAACAGAATGCGCTGAACGGGCTCTATTTCGGTCCAACGGTCGCCCAGGCGTCTTGGGGTTGGTTGTTGGACGAGATGTAGGGCCCCTAACGTTCCCTCTTGTCCCTTTCGTCCCTAGATGGCTGGTCGTCCGGCGAAGCTTCTTCAGAAGTCTTATCCTGGGCTCACTCCTCAGCTCTTGAATGACGCTGCTGAGGGTGGTATTGGGATATACGACCCCGATGATCCGATTTTACTCAGTCTGCAGATGAACGTCAATCAAAACAATCAATCTTGCGCATTTGTGAAGCAGCCATCTCGTCGCTCAGGTTGCCCCCACAGTGGGATCAACGAACACCTAGCCCTTGGACGATGCAAGCCTCCATGTGGCTCTCCCGATGCAAACAGCCGCAGAAAAAAGAAAAAACATGGGATGCGTACCGGTCTCGGATGGCCTGTGTCTATTTCCCGCTGCAACCCCAATGTCTGACGAGCCGATGTTCGAGTGTAAGCCGCGATTCACCGGGTTTAAAAAGCCCGGCCGGCGGCAGCAGCGCTCCTCACACCTCGCAATATGGGGCGGTGGTCTGGACCCTCGTTCCGCCGCTTAGCCTACGATTCTTCCTGTCGAATCGAACGTGTCCTCTCTTGCTTAGTCTTGCTGCCTTTCCTTGCTCGCCACTCAGCTGGCGCTCCCGCAGCTTTGCGTCGCACACCCGAACTGGGACGTTGTCTTGCGGAACGCGAGTCGAAGGTTTGATGTCGCTCAAAGACTGTCGCCAACGTCGTTTGTGCCTCGTGGGTTGGTCCTCGGGTTTGCCTGTCCTTGGATACCTTTCTGTTGGTCAGCTTTCGTTCGTGCTGAGTCGAGGTGACAGCATCCTAGGCCTCTCATAGGCCTCTCATAGCAAGCCGTGGTGGCCGTGGTGTGCTCTTGACAGTCTTCCTGATGGACAAGACGCGGGTGGATCTCATACCAGACAACAAGCCGCGACCAGGTCGATAGACTTTATTTGAAGTGTTCCGCGAGCCTGAATTCACTTTCCGTGGCGAGACAAATGAAGAGATGCGAGATTGGCGAAGCTGCAGGGGAACTCTTCTGGTCCGCACCAGGTCCTATTTATATGATTTCTTTGGAAGGCCTCAGATTGGCTGCCACTTCTTAGAAATAAATGCAAGGTGCGAGTCAGAGGAACGGAACGGTCTGGCGAAAAAGGATCGGCGCAAGGCCAATGTATCTTAAGGCAGTAGCAGTTTATATACTCTAGACTTTAATCCATGTACCTCGCCGGCGAGAGTATCATGTACCAACCTCGATCTCGACCCTCGTCGTCTGACTTGAGCAAGCGGGATGGTGTGGAAACTAGAGACACAGGTGTTGCGACACAGCCCCAGCCGTCCTCCCTTCACTGCATCCTCTATGTGTGAAGGAGCTCTACCATATTCTATAGCTCCCGGGAAGTCTCCGTTGCGGAATCCTGCGGTGGTAGAGCTGGGCCTGTATGGGCATTCCCGGGAGGCGTGTGAAAAAGGGGGGGGGGGATATCACCTCCCAACGTGACTCGTGTAATCAACCGCAACCTAAGACATTTGGCACACCAAGAGCAGGGCAAACAAGCTTGGAACCGAAGAGAATGTGCGACTCTGCTAGCTCTTCCAACGTAATACAGAAGTCGCCAGCTTGCCAGCGGCAGCAACGGTCATAAGCCGCTTGTTATCTTAGCCACTCTCGCTTCCGAGGTTTGGCCGCTAGTTACACGACGATATCTACTCTGCGTGTTGTGTTGATAGGCTCCCACACCCCGGCACGGGAAAAGTGACAATTCATAGACTACATGGTAGTCATGAAAGTTCCCGGTACAACTGTCGCCACGGCCACAGCGAAATTCGAACCAACGGGGTGATCGGCGAGCCCAACACATCGCGCGGGTCGCTGAACCGAATCTCAGATACTGTGGTCGGGCCTTTCTGGTACAGTAGGAGTTTAAAGTTTTGGCCATAGAGCCCCCACACCTGCGGACTGCGTTGCCTGCCCTGTGCATGACTACCGGCCGGCAGAGCAGCAGCAATTGAAACCCTCCTCATAATAATCGTCACCATAGCCAGGGCCATGACCAGGAGCCAGGAGCCGGGGTCATTGATCACGACAGGCTACAATACATGATAGCACTCAAGCCATCGCAGGTCCCAGTGTTGATGGGCACCCTTCGGCAGGTGGGGAGGGCTGGCTGGCCCGGTGATGTGCCGTGGAACTGCCATGGGACTGTCCATGGGATTGCCCAAAGTCCCATATTTTGGTGAGACAAATCCCGTCATGGCTGCCCAGTTGAGCGCAAGGATGGACTGGCTGCGTGCCCTCTTGCGACCAGGATCCGATCATGACACCATGCCCGACTTGTCTGCGAGCAGTAGACGCAGCACTGTCTGTCTGTCTCCCACAAGGCAGGGTGCGAGACGCAAGCTGTACATGGCTGTGTGAACCTTGATAGTGTGATGTATATAGCGTGTGAAGAGGTGTGGGTGTGTGTGTGTGGCGGGAGTGGGTGTGTTCAGGGATCAGGTCAGCCCGTGTAAATTCAGGACCCCTGCTGCGATCATTCGAAGTGCCGCGCTGTATTGGGGCACGGGGCACCCTAAGGCTTTGGCACCTGCAGACCCCGGACCCGCTATTTCTGGGAAAGTTAGCACTACCCAATATGCCAGTGTGCCAGGCTCCCGACGTCCATCCATCAGCGTCATCCTCAGAGCTGTCATTCTCCGCGAACCCGGACGTCACAACAAGACACACTCACCCTCCCACACACACACCAACAACCGCTCGTACCTACGCCCAAGGCACCCTGAATTGCCCTGTTTTTATCGCTTCTATCTGCTTGCGTCCCTGCATCGCCACCGTACGCGCGGTTTGCCCAGGCTGCCAGAAAGAACACCGTCGTTTCTGGACACGTCGCAGCGCATACGAAGCTCCCGTGGCTCCCCTTCCGATAATAAGACAGCCGCACAAGCGTTGATCCAGATCTGCGAACCCTGCCATCAACACTCCCGAGGCTGAATCAAAGCCCAAGCATACCAGAGCACAGAGTAGACACCAAGCCACTGGCCCGACCCGACCTGCCTCCTGGGGCTTCCGCATACTGTGCGTACCTACACGTCGCGCGATTCCGATCCACACCTGCGCAGGAACCTGGGCACGGAGAAAGCGGTCGGTTACCTTTCAGTTGCAGCCTTGCACCCTTTGTTACGCCAGCCCTCTCTAGCGCCTGTCCCTGATTGCTCCTATCTGCCTCTATCTCGATACCGCCCAATAGAATCGTGTGGTTCCCACATGCTACACCCCCTTTCTCGTCTTCAGCAATCACAAGGCGTTCCACTGATTCTTGTCACTTTGGTAGCAGGGTCACTGGGCACACCTTTACGAAACCACGTTGAATCCTCGGAACTGTCGGTCCTGAGCATCCTGCCCTCTCTTCAAGGGTCCTGGAAAGACCACATTTACAACCCTCCTTCCGGACCGCCCGGAACAGAGCAAATAGCTCGCTGAGTACAAGATGGCATCAGCATCTTTCCGAGACCAAATGAATGCCCTAGGCTGGTCCAGGCGCGGACAGGATGAGCCGGTCAACACATCCCAGCAGAGCGGCCTTCTAACGTCGATCAAGTCACTGAATCCCTTTGGCGACCGTGGCTACGTGCGCCTTCCTACGACGGAGGGCGCCGGCGCTCCACTCCCGGCAGCCTCGCGACGAGAAGAGGAGGAAGCATGGTTTGCATGTGAGTCGTTGATCGTCGATTCCAAACATTTCCCTACCCCAGAGAGCCTCCGCTTCCCTTGGAGACGACAGCCGGCCGTACGAGGGTGCTGCTCGAAGCGCCGTGTCTCACTATGAACGGAACATAGGTGTCTATCCTTACTGTCGTCGGCTTTGGTCCGTCACAAAGAACAAAGGCTAACCTGATTGCCCTTGGGCTTGTTCCAACAGTGAGTAGATGGGACCGATTAATGATATTCGGCGCGTGCAACTTGGGCGCTCTTGCCTGCTTCGTTATCTGCTTTTTTCTCTTTCCAGTCCTGTCCCTTAGGCCTTCGAAATTCGTCATTCTGTGAGTTGGCTACCTTTTCCTTGTGTACCATGTGAACACCGCTGGAGAGGGTAGCGCTGTTTGCCCCCATCCCAGCATGCTCAAGGAGATGCATCCCTATCCTACATCCCACGCACGAGGACCACTTAGCCGGCCCGTTCGTTCTGGAGGAAAACAAGCTTGGTCTCCTGCAGCTACCCGCCGCGCATAAGCTGTCGATCTCGCATGACACGCCGAACAGCCAGTTTCTCGCCCGGTGACTGGTGAGGATGACCTGCAAGGCACAAGCCCCCTTCCAACGTCTTCCAAAGCACACACTCTCGATCCCACCCGTCCCTGCCGTGGCAGACATGCATGACTGACTCACAAATTCGCCTTTAGATGGACGTTGGGATCGGCATTGTTCCTCGCATCCTTCGCAGCTGTGATGGGACCATGGGCCTACGTTCAACACTTGCTGTCCGGGCCACGGCTGCCTTTCACCGGTGCCTACTTTGGATCCATATTTCTTACATTTTACTTTTCTCTTGGGGTGAGTCACCTTTTTTCCCATCTCTCTTTGCTTCGTGCGCACAACATGTCGCTGTCTTGGCCGGGATCCTGGCTGACGTAGCTCTTTGTGTCGCAAACAGCTCCACAGCACCATCCTCACCCTGTTCTCAGCCATTATACAGCTTGTATGTCTTGTGTGGTACCTCGTCAGCTACTTCCCCATGGGCTCCAGCGGCTTGCGGGTCGCCTCGAGCTTTGGCGCAAGGAGAGCTGCCGCCTGGGTGACTGGATGAGTTGAAGGCGTATGGGCAACCTGCCCGCGGAAGCGGATACTGCATTCTAGACGTCACGAGGCCGACCGTGGTTGTGGAGGCATAATTTCTAACACGGCTCGCGCTGTGGCCAAGCGGATTCAACCAGGGCTATTGATCATGAGGGCAAGGTGTAGGGAGTAAATTTGTTTCAAGAAGCCGAGGAGCGAGGCTGGAGGTGTAGTAATGATGATGGGGTCGGCGCACCCTTTCTTTGGACAATGCTCAGTACTGCAGCGAGAACCACTATAGTAGGGCCAGCGTGATCAGAGATCATGCACCACTACCGCAATGTAACATAACATAACATATTCATCCCGGTTTCCGTTTTCCGAAAGATGCACGACATACATGACTGCTTCCAGATCATGCGCAGCTGCTGGGAAGCTGAATGGGCAGGCGATGAGCGGCCACGCGCAGAGCGCGGCTACCAGAGAAATGAAAACTGGCTCTTTGCTACTTACTGAAGTACCTAGTATGCTCGATGTGACCTTGCCCTTGCAGTGGCTTGGTTCACGCTATCATCAGGACCCTTGGAGGGACCATCCTCGATTCTCTTCTTAATCAGAGGCTTGCTGGCAGCCGTGCCGCTAGTAAGAAAGTGTGAGAGGCTCGCATGTGTGCCGACGTTCTGTGATCGCCCGTCCCATTCGAGCGAGGGCTAGCTAGCCACCTGGTCTCCAACACACCCATGGTCCTGCCCCCAAACCCGGCGCCCTCCCCGGAAAAGGGTCAAACATTCTGTTCAGGCTCGACAAAATTTCTGTGGCGAACAGAGATCCACTCGCCCGGGAATGTACGGGAATTTGTGTTTTGGATGAGCCACGGCGCACCTGCGCGGGCGAGGCCATCACGATCGTCATCACGTTGCAGTCCACCTCCACCAACCCGCAGCAACAGGACCCTCTGTGCCGAGGCCAAGACATTTTGTCCTGGGTGGTACAATACGGTGTGCGCGAACGCGAAGCTGCACGGGGCAGGCACGCGCTTCTTGTGTGCAGAAACGCCCGATCTCGCTCTATGCAGAGTCGCAGATGCGACCCAATATCTTTTTGCGAAGGGGGTGGGTAGGGTAGTAGGGGGACTGTGTACTTTTGCTAGGCTTTCTTTGTTTGCCCGCAAACATCACGTGGGAGGGCGTCGGGTGACACGATGTCAGGACTTGGTGGTGCCCTCCTTTTGGGGTGCACCACCCTGCCTGCGTCTTTGCCTGCCCCCGACGGCTAGGTAGCCAGACTACCACCCGTCGTTTCATGCGCTCTGACTCGTCGGGGCGCCTGGTTGAGGAGGAGGAAAGGTTCCGGGAAGGGGGGAATGGGCTTGGTTGGGTGTTGGGGCAAAATCACACACTCTCTCTGTCTCTCTATCTCTGTGCGCGGTCTGTTTTTTGTTGGCGGCGGCGGTGGTGGTGAAGGGCAGGGAGCGGAAGTGTGTCTCACACAATGCACCAAGTGTCAAGGAGCGAAGCGAAGCGAACATGTCGGCGACCTGCGCGCATGTCAACGAAGAACGGGCGGGCCGTTTGGCATTGCAGCAACATGCTGTCCCACAATGCCTGCAGTCGAACGGGACGAGCTTTCACGTGCGCCTTCGGATCTGGCACCAACGCACGCCACTATCGACGCCACGGGAGATTCCACCCAGGGGGCGGGAGCTGGAGCGGGAGAGATTTGTCTCTGATGCTGAAGCGCAGTGGGTCAATTTATATATATATAGCAGGTGGAAAGACATCCCGAATCAGATCGGGGCACTGACATGTACGAGCAAGGCGGCTCGGGCAGCGGTGAGATCTCGATTAAAGTACGTCACCTAAATGCCAACCCGGGGGTACATGTACCGAGTGCGGGAGAGAATGGGCGGCATCCTGCCGAGCCGCGGGCTAAATACATATCCAGCTGCATTCGTTTGTACACTTGTGTGTACCTACCATAGCAGAGTGATAACCTTGCATCAAAGACGGCACCGAAATATATTAACAGGGTATCGTGTGGCTAGTGATCCATCTTGACAAACGTATTGTGGCAACTTGCTTGGGGGCATGGCTGTTTAAAGCTGCCTGATGGCGTTATGGCGTTATGGCGTGGTGGAGGGATTTTGATGCTGACAGACAAGGGCTTCAGAGAGTTGCATGATTTGAACGTCCCTGTTCTGTCCTGACGATACAAGTCAGATACTGTACTTAACTGTCAATCTTGAGGCAAAATCGCAAAACAGCATATTTGGAATAACCATGCTGCAATCTGAAGCGTACACATGCCGCTCTCCTATTCACTGAAGTGGCAATTTGTTCTACGCATGTTGACTCAGAAGACAAGAGGACCGTTGAACTGTATACCTGTCATTGATGTATTTTGCATGTATAATAGTGTCTTTCCTATTCTGTCAAGTATCCTGATGACATTCCTGGACATGTTTGAACGTGACCCGAGACATAAGACGATAGTGATCTGAACAGGACGTCCGAAGTAATTCCAGATGCCCACCTTATGTGTCTCGGGCACGCGCAAGTTCGAGTTCGAGTTCGAATTCGAATTCGAATTCATGTTGGCTTCGAGAATCCCATCCTGTGTAAATTTCTGCCAGCGTTCCTTTTTCTCATCATGGCGCCCTGGTGGCTGTTCTAAAGTTCTGGCTGATGAAGCAGCCTCGTACAGCCACCAAGAGCTCGCGATGTGTTTCCAGATTTGGATGAGATTACTTCTTCACCATGACAAATAATATTTTTTCTTTAAAAAAAATTCTTTTTGCCTCATTAGATCGAATTTTTGTGGCTAGGTACCCAGGCATTGATTAGCGTCGACAAGATCTTGCAACTCGCTACCCTGCTTTGCTAGACACAAAGGCCAGCCACACGAGGGATGTTCAAGCCCCAGCACGCGATTCTGGTGCTTGTCAATGGGATTCTGCCGATGCACTGTGCATGTTTCACATTGCGAGCACACTCAGCCGGTCTTACCAGCGACCGCCATCAAATCCTTTTTCTCTGCTTTGCTTTTCGACCGAGTAGTTGCCAGGCCGTTTTGGCTTCTCGAAGGCACAGGAAACGAGACTAATTAGATGTCCGACTTTTTTCACAAGCCATCAAAGTTGTCTTACTAGCCACTGAAGCATGGGAGAAGAGATCGATGATATTCTTCAACACCATGACCTCTCTTCTGAAGTCACTAGTGGAATTTATGTCACAGTATCTCTCGATGACTTGATTCTCTGATGGAACTTAAATTTGTACGCTGTTTGACTGACCCGGGGGCTTTGTTTGTCATAACCGTGGTCCTTGCGGCTCAGAAAAAAATTATTCACCATAATTGTCATGCAGTCTTGCCTTTCATGACAGTATGGCGACGACATAGTCCATCGGGCGTGCACGAAACTTTCCCGATGTTCCGTATTGCGTTCCAATTTATGATTCATCTGGTAAATTGATTCAACAAAATTTCCTCGCAAATTCCATCACTTTGGCCGCCAGATACACATTATTATGAGGCATGTTGCCTTAGTTCTTGTTGGTCGCTCCAACTGCACGCACTGCCGTTTCTTGTCTCCACGATCACTTCTTGGACTGAAGACTTATCTCAGCCGGAGGCAAGTGGTCGGAGACTCAAGGGAATTTCTCTCCTGAATTTTCCTTCGCAAGCGGTAAGCCATGTAGTTTTTCTTTCACGAAACTAGGGGCCGAGTCCACTCAATTACCATAGCTTTACTAACCACTGCCAGATCTCCAACCATATCTAATACCAGATAATTTCTCAACGAGATCCATTTCCAATATGTCTGTTGAAGCTTTGACTTTGGAAAGCTACTTATTGCAATTGAAATTTGTCCCTTAATCACCGCAAGACAGTGGACAGCACCACTACTGCCCAGGGCGAGTCTGATAACATACCCATAGCAACTTCGTGTCATGTTGCTGCTCGACTCTTGTATGTAAATACTCATGCTGACAATTACATCTACTGACACGGAGATATCTGCCAGAGACCGCTACGTTGGACGAGCTTTAGGCGTCGCCCATGAAATGCAGACTGCCTCTATATATCTCTTGTGTAGGCAGCTCGGTTTGGCCGCCTTAGCCCCTAGCACTGTGTCAATTATCGTGGCTAAGGCTTCTTACGATCAGAGGGCCGCAGGGACTACCGGCTGCTTCTGGACGTCAGACCATCGAGGGTGGTCTCCTCTGACAGAAGGTCCATCCGCTACACAGGGAGTGTCCCTTTTGAGCTACATGACCTAACAAGGAAGTGATCCTTCTGTTTAGAGCCCTGTCATGGCCTTCTCCCACGTCAGCTTGGTTGGATTTACTGAGAGTCACCAGTGCTGAGTAATATCACCACGCTCATCCGCAGGTTCCATTCGACCTCGGCTGTCGGGGCGTGGGCACGGGCAAGGTGACGCTGCTCGAGGCGATGCTGGGGCTCCGCGGCTCGCGGCGCTCCCGCAGCACCCGGTCTTTCTCAGGGGCACGAGCGTGCGAGTGAACTTTTCATCGGTGCCCAGGTGATAATACCCCCCACGTACAGCACCGACACCAGGGCCAGGGTAGCGACGACGAGAGCATCATCGCGGTGCTGTTCCAGCTGAATAATTCGAACGTCGTGAGCAGGATGGCGGGTTGGTGGCCGGGCTGTTATCGTAGCGCCAGCGCCAGATGCTGTACCCAGCGCGCGCGACGACCACGGGCAAAGAAGTTCAACTGATTGACGAGGTGACCAGTTACGTCGACGAGAGGTCGGAAAGTAAGATCCATTCGTTAGTCCTTCCTGCCCCTCTGGCGCTGCTCACGAATTCCTTGTCTTGTCGCCCCTAGGGCCATGCTCACTGGAGGTCAACACTAACATATATGGTCATCACAGAAGCGGCCGACCAGGCAGGTCATCCGCGAGCAGGTTGCCGAATGCACCGTCATTGCTTTCGTCCGCGCCGCCGTTGCTGACTTTGACCGTGTTGCTGTCATAGGCGGTGGTCGGCTGCTGACGTGGGATAGCTCGCGGGTTCTGCTGGCGCTGGACAGTAGGTCTGAGAGGCTGTGGGATATTCAGTTGCGTTGATAGGTATTATAATCCACCCGAGATGCTTACGAAGTGATCATAGAGAAACGAAGACAACCGAAATAGTGTTGGTTATCACTAGGTATGAGTGGAAGAGCTTCCGGATCGGATTAGACACGGATATGTTCGAGCGGGCCGGGCAGCAGTGGGGTCCTCAATCAGTGCGTCACGTCAAAGTCCAGCCGTCGCTAGCACTCAAACATTGATAGCAGTATCAGAATTGGAAGGGCAGGTGTGCGGTAGATTGCTTCAACACTATCTTCAATCCTTTTGAAACGGCCTGGCTGCTCCCAGTCGGTCTGTCGCAGTTGCCATGAACCGTGCTGGGTGGACGGATGCGCCGTTTCACAATGCAGGGTGCCGCGAGAAAGCTTTCCTGAAACCAGACGATCGATCTATGTTTGAGATAGGCTGCATACAGCACCTGCGAAGCTTGATTGATGCTATGTTCATCATCTGAACAAGTCGGACGGCACATAGGCGATCGGCCCCAGGATTTACACCTTGAGATCCACCTGAGGAGAATCACCCGTATGAAAACGCCTTAGGTCAACGTGCACTCAGGGCGTGTGAGAAATACGTCATTGTTTCTTCACGAGCGCTGCCTCATTTTGCGTACATTTTGCGTACATTTTGCGTACATTTTGCGTACATTTTGCAGTCTAGAGCCAGAACCTGTGCTATGTGAGACTGAAGCCTGGAAGCGTTGGTGGGTGAGTGCGTGGACTGGAGTAAGTCCCGTTCTAGTATCGTGATTTTAGACTATATGCCCGAGAGCATCTAGTAGAGGGTTCATTTTGACGAAACGCCGTTTAGAAGCACTTGGAGAACGTTGAAGGCAGGGCGCAGTTTGGCATCGCAGTAGCCTCGCAATCAATAGTGGTGGAATCGTCCTTGGAATAAGGAAAAGACTTGTGCCGGCTATCATGTACCACGTGGGGTAGAATCAAGTACCGTAGCCCGTGCAGAGCGACTGTGAGCAACGGTCTGGCGCGCACGCGGAGAGCTGCGGCCAGTTCAAGCCACTTGCCGTTTGACAGCTGCCGGGCACTTCCGCTCCTCCATCAAAATCGCACCACGAAGGATGCGGCTGAGGCTTCAACGCATATCGATGTCACCCAGGGCCAGCATAATGAGTGATGCTTCTGGTAGAGTTGCGGGGACTGGGCTGCTGGTCGTCAGCCAAGTGGCATGCTGATGTGCAGTGGGCCTCGGCAACACGGTCTCACGAGGTCGCTTGAGCATTTCCGTGCGGGAACGAGGGACGAGGACAAGGTTATTAAAGTGTTCTTTTTTGTTCTTGGATTGACTGGCTGGAAAGTCTGTGCGGCCGACGCGTCGTATCAGTGCCCCGGGCCCGGGTCGAGAACAAAAACTGACTGGCTGCTCGTGATCTTCAGGGGTCTCTGTGACGCTATCCCTCCATCAAGCAACCTACAAGGCCCGGACCGGCGCTTTCAAGGCTGTCCGGCCCTGCATCTGGCCAATTGGGTGACTGAGGGGGGGGGAGGGCTTCCGTGAGCTTGTGCTTCTTCCGCCTCATGCCGTGGCGGCGACACAGCTGCGTCTCCCGGGTGGAATTGTCTCTGGGCTACAGCGCAGCCTGAATAGGTAGGGCTTGCCGACGTTGTGTATGTCTCAAAAAGCCGCGGTTTGCCCAACCTCATTCAGCCCTTGGATATCCCACAGCCAGCAGGGCCATTGGGTTTCAAGGGCCGCGAGGAACAAGAAGAACAAGAGCGTGGGTGTGACACCCAAAGTATTCGAGACAGGTACTCTGTTGCCGACCGGCCTTGGAAGCCTTTATTAGCCTCATGGCACTGCAACGCAACCTTTGCGAGCAACACACCCTGGATTCACCGGGAGGCTTTCACGGAATGGAGGCTCCGAGGCACCTCTGCCTGGCTGGTGCGGAGTGCTGAAAGTCGTCCCAGCAAGCGACGACGATTTGATGAGAGGCAGGATGAACTCTCATGGGCTGGCTGGCGAGGCGAGGTGTGAAGAGGTTGTTGAGATTCCGCCGTCCCGCCTTGCCTCGCCTTGCCTCGCCTTACCTCGCCTCGGAAATGCGGATGACAGCACAGTGCAGGCTCTCTATTTTCGGTTGCAGGCGGGGTTATGGAATTCGGTAATGCTGGGCATACTGCAAGGAAATTTTCAAGAGGGAACGGCGCAATGCAGATGTCCGGTGGAGCCCCAGCCGTAGCCGTTGCGGGACGGATCAGGTACAGTACATGGATGACACACTGTCCAGCCTGTCTGGTGTGTTTGGGTTTGGTGCGGGCAAGAGAGAAATAATTCTAGCGACCAGTCAAACTAGGTTGAGGCCATCCGCGCAGGCCGTGGTATCCTTGGGGCATTGCAAGGGAGGTCTGCTGGTCTGGTGCGTCATGGGGCCAGCGGCAGTTTGTGTGTTCAGTGAGTGTGTTGTGTGTGTGTGAGTGTGTGCGCGCGCCCAGGCCAAAATGCAGTAATGGTCTAGCACCTACCACAGTAGGTAATAAATGGTCTGTCCTAGCAAACGGGCCGCATGCTGCTGCTGTGATGCAAGCGTGGATTTGGAGAAGGGAGAGAGGGAAAAAAAAAAAGTTTAGGCCTGGGAGACAGACAGTGCAGAAGATTCAGTTTGCCCGTAGCAATGAAATGGATGGATGCATCGCATCGCCTTTAATTATTTTTTGAATTGCTGCTCATGCCTTCATACGCACACATACATGCACTGCACACACACACAGAGGCAATACAGGCAATACATGCACTCAGGAGCACACAAGCGCACACTTTTATTCATTGAACCTCTATATTCATTCCATGCAGTGAATGACTCTCGCGGGAAGCCCTGCTTTAGATTTTGGCGATTGCTAGTCTAACTGGGCGGGGGCGCGCTTCGGCCGCAGACTCAAAAATTTTCAAAAATTCCCAGGGCTCCTCCTCACTTTTCACAAAGATTACCTACTCTCTGCCTACCTACCTCACCTCACCTCTGCCTCTGCCTCTCTTACCTCTCTACCCTCTCCCTACCTAACCGTTCCCACCCCTTCCACTCCGAGAGTGTGGTCCTGTCCATTTCCTTGCGCAAGGCCTCGTTCTTCGTCCCAGAGGGAGAGGCGTCGTCGGCATTAGCAGCAGCAGCACCAGCAGCAGCAGTCGCATCAGCATCCCTCAGGCATCGCTTCGCAGCATCCTTCTCGGCCAAAGCAGCAGCAGCTCGTGCCCACCCGTCTGTCCGTCGTCTCAGTCAGCCCGGCTCAGCACCTCCCACAACCTGCCTGCCTGGCCCAATCCTCTGGATTTCGGGCCTCTACCTGTCTGTTCGACCCAACACCTCGACAAACAATCTCTGCTGTTCCCGACATTTCTTGTCTGTGTCGTCGTTCTTGAAATTCTCTGTTCTGGCCCTGGGCTCCCGTGTGCCCCGCGCCCCGCGAGATCAAACAGAACCTAGAGCAGGTTCGGTACAGATTTTCCCTCCCAGCCTGCCTCAATTCAGCCGGGTTTTTTTTTCTCTTACTCCTCGGAGCTCACCACATTCATACCCAGAGCCACTTTGTTGCGCAGTCCCCCCAACGCCGACCTACCTACTACACCTTCCGAGACACCTCGAGACACCTACACACCTGCGAGGACCACCTTTCGTTCGCTTCCTCCAGGTTTCGCGGCCGAGGGTATATCCCGAGCTTCCCTACCGCGCAACCTTCTCTCGTGTTGTGTTCCTCGTTTGAGGCGCGCCTACGTGCGTGGGACACATTAAACTCCTACCACCCAACACCATAGGCTGGGCTGCAACAGTGCAAATCTGCTGTTGCAGGCCATCCACCCCGAGTGCCTACTGTGAATCAATTCACACTACCGAGTCACTTCGAAACGGGCAAGATGTCGGCTGCCACAGCCTTCTCGTACGCGCAAGCCGCGAAGGGCCGCAATGCCGCCCAGCCAGATGCTCAGTCCACTGCGAGCCCTGCGCCCGTCGACCCGGTCAAGGACGACAGCAGCTCTGTGACCACGGCTGCAGATGCCTCAGCAAAGACTTTCTCGACTACGTCTGAGGTCTCCGAGTCTGTCAAGAGCTCCGAGGTGGACCTCGAGTCTGTCGCCTCGAAAGCCCACTCAGAGGTCGTCAACGCCGTCGATTCCGACGGCTCGGCTGCTTCCGCCAAGTCCGAATCCACGCTCTTGGCTCGCCAAGATGAGGCATCCAAGACGAGTTCGCAGGGCACAGCAAGCGACAAGAACTCCCGCACGTCCAACCGCTCCAACGAACCTTCAGATTCAAGGAAAGCGCGTAAGGGCAAGAAGGGCAAAAATTCAGACAAGGATGCCGAGGGCGATCAAGTACAGCAGGAGCAGGAGAAAGAGGTCGTCCCTGTGAAGCTCACCGAGGCTCTGCCCCCGGCAGTGAACGTATGGCAGGTGCGGGCCGCTGCTGCGAAGGCAAGTAAGCCTAGTGGGACTACATCCCCAGCAGGCACCGACGCATCGAACAAAGCCGTCCCTCAAGACTCGAGCAAGAGTTCCAGCAGTGCTGAGGGTGTCGACACCAAAGACTCCGAGACCGTTCGGCCCGGAAAGCCTGCTGAGGCATCACGTCCGTCCAACGACCAAGGACCCCGTCGGAATCCACGAGGGAGCAGGGCAAACGATCAGGCCACGAATGGCAACGTTCCGCCAGTTCAGGATACTTCCCTTTGGCCAACGCCAGACACTGCTGCCGCTGAAGACAGCAAGCGCAAGGTTTCGTCCGACTCAGATGCGCCCTCCAAGGACAAGCAGGAGGAAGGCGCGCAGACCAAGTCTGCCCGACCGAAGTACGTCCAGAAGCTGGAGATCAACCACACTGTTAAGTGGGAAACCCAACTGCAACCACGCAATGTGAGCAAAGGCCGCGGTGGTGGGCAAGGCGGCCGCAACTCTGTCGGCCGAGGCGGTCACGCTTCGAGCGCGAGCGTTTCTGGTGATAAGTTGCAAGCCGCCACCGAGGCGCAGGTAGCCACCACTGCAAGCGACCCTCAAGGAAAGCCGAGGGAGGATGCTCAACCACGCACCAACTCTCTACCATTCGAGAAGAAGAAGTTCTCCGCTGAGGCCCGGGATGCCCGCAAGACATCATCTTCGGCTGAGCGACGCGCCGGTGCTTCCGGCGACTACCACTCCACATCCAAGGGAGAAGCATCAAAGGCCTCGAAGGGCGAATTCGGGCAGGGTTTCGGTGCACAGCAGGGCGGCTCCCGCGGTGAGGGTGCAGAATCCGGAAGAAAGGAGGGAGGCTTCGCCGGCCACAAGGACGCAAGACCTAGGAGAGGCGCACATGGCAACGGGCGAGGTGGGCATAACGGAAGTCAGTCATATTCTCAACCGTTCCAAGGGAATGGGCATGGTGCTCGGTCAAGCACATACAACCCCCCTGCCTTCACCAACGGGTATTCTTATGGAGGCCCTGGCTCAGGCCGAGCTGGCCGTGGTCGTCCTGCGTCAATCAATGGTTACAAGGGTCCGTCCAACGGGGCAGCCAAGTTGCCGATGCAGCCTCTCAACACCGACTTCGGTCCTTATCCTCCCTACGGCCAGGCTGCTCCCTTCTCTGCCTTCCCTGGGGCCTACCCACCTGACTACAACATCCTCGTCCACACCACACTGAAGTCGCAGATCGAATACTACTTCTCTGTCACCAATTTGCCCAAAGATGTGTTCTTGAGGGAGAACATGGACTCCCAGGGATTTGTGCCGCTTGAGGTCATTGCCGAGTTCAGCAGAGTCCGCCAAATCTCGCAGCAGAACCTAAGCTACGTCCGAGAAGCATGCATGGACTCCGATGATATTGAATTCGTGGTGGGTGATGGCAAGACCGAGCTCTTGCGGCGTCGTGAAGGTTGGGAGAAGTACGTTCTTCCCGAGGCAAACAGGAGGGAGCACGCTCGCAATCCCGGCCCTACCACCTTTCAACACAAGTCAAGGCACAGTATGCACATGAGCACGCCAACCTATCAGCAGGGCTCCGTGCCCTACCCCTACTCGGCAATGTCGCCACCGGCCTTCGGAGCACCGTTTCACGGCGAGATGTACCCGGGCTTTTTGAACGGATCAGCCTACCACCAAGGGGTCAACGGCGGACCAGTGAATGGACAACCTCGTGATGATTCCCAGCTGAATGCTGCTGTGCCCGAGTTCGCACCTGGAAACGATGTCACATTCAACGGCTTCAACGCTGCACACCAACCACAAGCCGATTGGGCAGATGAGGCTCTGCAAGCAGCCACAACCTTTACGGATGAGCAGGTAGCCAAGCTGCATGTTGTTCTTCCGGGACAGTCCAAGAAGTCCCAGGATGCTGGAAAGCTGCCCAACGGAGACACCCCCGATGGCACTGAGGACAGCAAGGGCAAGGGTGCTGAGACCAATGGAGTCCATGTTGGCCCAGATGGATCCAATACGTTAGTACCTGAGCGCGAGTCAAAGACGGAGTCACAATCCGCTGACCAGTTGTAAACAGGCCTGAGCTAGGTCCGGTCACTGGTGAAGCCGCTTCAAATTCTCCTGCGTACTACCGTTTTGATGGTTCACTTGCGCAAACTTCTGGTGATAAGATCACCGAGAAGTATGTGGATGTACGAGCGAGAGGACTGGAACTGCGTCAATCTGCAACCCCGGGAGATGTTCCGGATGACATGAAGAGACTATACAAGTTCTGGGCAATTTTCTTGGCGCAAAACTTCAACCCCAGCATGTACAGGGATTTCCGCCAGCTTGCCCTCGCAGACGCAACATCAGAAGCTCCTAGCAAGATTGGCCTGGGGTACCTGCTCCAGTTCTACACCAGCGTGCTGCTCAAGAGCGGCGAAACGGCCATCTGGATGCCCGAGCATCCAATCTACAAGGTGCTGGAATTGGACTTCCATAGCTCACAGGCATTTACAGGCTTGGTTGCCAGTGCTGAGCCCCAAGTCTAAAGCATGCTTGCGAAAAAGCGCATTCGGCTTGGTCTTGGGTTGTCGTGGTATTCCACATCTCAAGTCTCTTGCTGTTGGCATAAAAAAAACAATGAAGCGGATCGCTGATTCTACTGGAGATATCTTTGACACTGTCATAGCCTTGAGGCCTGCGAGTAAAGGTCTCAGGCTGGTGCAACAGTCGCTTTATTCACGAGTCTCACAGGAAGAACTGCACGAGGGCATCTGCTGTTGAGGGACTGTTGGTTTCTTTGGCAATGCAATCTTGTGAAAGGGTGTCTCCCTTCAAATACCAACCCTTTCACTGGCTATCATCTACCGACTTATGTTGACGGAGGTTCAGTTTGATCAATATATCAAGTACTGAGCAGCTTTTACCGTCATGATACCCGCTGGGCAAGGCCTTCTCTTTGAGGCTGTCTTACAAGAAGCAGCACGTTCTCAAGGGATCGGAACTGAACGTCTATGACTTTGCAGCCCATGCTGTCGTGGGCGCGGGCTTGCAGCTTTCGAGTTCTCAACATTCACACGATAATATTTGCAAGAGATTATGTACGACAATATTCTTGGTCTACGAGGAGGACCATTGCAATTTTGCAACCCCCTGCATGAGCGATTTTCAAAGGAAACAGGACTTTATGATTGTTACGGGCCTCTTCATGAGAGGCAAGCTTTGGTCAACCTACTGGCATTGCATTCAGGTCCTCTGACTAGGACTGTGGAAGACCCAAAATCATTTTTCCCTGTGGCAGTTGCTTTACTTGAAAAAGACAAAAAAACAAAAACAAAAACCAGTCTGCCAAGAAAAGTTGAAGCATCCACGAAGACAAAAGTTGCGCCAGGAAAAGATCACTCCTGTTCTGTCTTTTTACTCAAATCCGATTTGGATGTCTGGTGGCAATGGGGAACGAGAAGTGGAGTGGAGTGGAGTGGCTAGGCTAGCAAGTTAAATCGAGAAGTCCATTTGACATGGTCTGATGAGGTGGCAGTTCAAGAAAATTGGACAGGCCTTGGGGATGGACGGATGGGCCTGGGTCTCTCTCTGTGTTTTGAAGCCATGATGAGCTTGTTAGATCTCCCTACTTTTCTTCGTTTGTTTCTGTTCTTCAGGTGTCCGGAATGGAAAGACAAAAAAGATTTATTCTTATGCTTTTTGCTCGTTGTTTTCAATGAATGACTTTGGCTGTATGAGTAAGGGACACACAAGGGCAAACAAATATCACAAGGGCACAGGGAGGACCTCTGGTGGAGAGACGTGGAGGCAACAACCCCCCTCAAGCCAATCTTGAGCATCACTGTACATAATTTGTTGAATCCCGAGGGCAAAAGCGACCTGATTTTCACAAGTTCAATCTTGACAAGTAGTGGCTGGCTTCTTGAATTGTTTTTTTATGGTTTACTTTCTCAACTCTACGCAGTAGGAGTTTCGGCTAGGACAAATCCAGATGAGAAGTTGAAAAATACCAAGTGACGCATTTCTCAGCATCTTGCACATTAAGACCCAGAATCAACATCCCAACTGCGCCAACTCCGAGCCGGGCATGGATGGACATTCAAGAGAGCTGGGTACATACCGTGAAATCTGATTGAATGCTGATGGTTACATTACTCTATCCATGTGTCTAGCACATTACTCTTCCTCCCAGGGTTTACACGACACACAGGACAAAAGCGCTGTATACTATTGCTCAAACACTTCGGATATAGAACACGGCAGGGTGGACATGGGAGAGCAAGGAGGGGCACAGCACTACGTCACCGTGGGGCCAGAGTGCTCTCTGGTGGTTGGGCAGCCAGCCGTGGGCGTGGCTGGGCCCTCCGTCTTCGAGCACACCAGATGCGATGCTATGCGATACGGTGCATCAAGTGTGGTGGTACTCTTGCAGCAGACGTGCGTTGATGTGTGATGGGCCGAGACCACGAAACGGTCAGCCCGACGCCTGCGCCACTTGATCTTGCTGTCGTCGAACCCGCCACCGTCCGACCTAGCCGGCTTGCCAGTCTGTTGGTGTGCAAAATACCCGGGCTGATTGCTCAGGTCGCCTTTCTCACAGAGCAGGCTGGGCTGGGCTGGGCAATAGGAGTCTATGGGCTGCATGAGGGGAGGCCTCGCCTCTGTCTCGTCATCTTCGTACAACAGCACCATGCTCTGCTCGGTGTGATTCGAGATATGGGGGAGTGGTTGCCCGTGTGCGATACAAACTCTTCGCGGGCGTTTGCTGTGCCACACGGCCTCTATGGCAGGACTGTGGAGGGAGGGACCGAGGGAGGGTGGAAGGTGGGAGAAACAACTCAAGCTTGGCCTCCAAGGGTCATCCTTCGATGACGGTGGCCGTTCCCGCGGTCTCATTGCTCGAGGCTGCTGCCCCACTACGAGGAGGGCAGGGCAGAGGGCGAGGGCTGTGGCGGCTTTGCAAACCCGGCTTGTCCTGCTGTCCTGCTTTCTCAACCAAGAATGCTAATGCTGCCTGACGAGACTGCCCGGTCCTTTCCAAGCCAGCCTGAGGGATCCAACCCTGTATTTCGGGTGGTTGTTGTGGACTGACTGAGTGACATCTTGATATGAATCTGCCAGGGACCGTTCAACTTGACTGAGCCACGAACAAATGTGATTACAACTGCATGTATCATCATTTCCAAGTTGAAGAAGAAGAAAAAAAGAAATTGTTGAGGAAGCATACTACGACAAGCTCAGCTTCTTGTTCTGTCTTGGATCACGCATACGTTACCAGTATCTTATTTTAGGTGCAGCGGCCATATTTGTCGTCCACCGGCCACCATTTCTGCCGAATCCCCCTCCCCTCACTCACCTCGCCTCGCCCCTCCTCTGCTGCTCACTGCTCAGCTGAATCCAACACAACCCAACCCTGCCCTGCATTATTCATTTCCTGGGCTTGACACCTCATCCCGTCTTCCTTTCCCACTACAACCTACGCCCGAAGGGAACAAAATCGACTAGACCCTAGGCCTGTTTATCGGCAGCCTCTTTGCATCACGCTCTGCCATAACAAAACACACAAACTTACATACACACACACATACATCCTCACAGCCTGACCAACTCATCGGCTGGCCACTGACGTCACCCTGTCCTGCCTGTCACTGAGAGAGTCAGCCATGTCGGGCTACGACTACGACCCTCCCCGCCGGCAGCGAAGCACCCGGGAGCAGCAGTACTATCGCGACGACAGATATGCTGAACCTCAAGACCCCTACCTGAGGGTTCAGTCCACTCGCGATCTTGTGCCAAGGGGCCGAGAAGATAGCGATCTGTCGGTGGAGGAGATCCGCAGAGACTTCCCTCCACCCGGGTATGGCGGGCGCGACGTCCGGAGGGCTCGGTCTGCAGAGCCTTACGACTATGACGATGATGTGCGCTCGGTCTATACCCGCAGGAGCCGCGATGACTACTATGACCGCGACTACGATCGCCGCCCACGGAAGAAGGCTGAGAGTGTCTACATCGAGGAGGAGGAGATGAAGCGCAAGCGTATCCTGAGCCAGCAGGAGAAGATCATCGCCGCCGTCGCTGGCGCTGCAGTTGCTCTCGGTGGCAAGGAAGTTTACGACCGCCGCGAGGCAGACCAAGACGGCACTGACGTCCATCGCAACTTGATCTCCTCGGCAGCCTTGGGCGCTGCCGGCGCTTTCGCTGCTTACCAGGGCGCCGACTTCTACAACAAGCGCGCCGACAAGAACGAGAAGAAGTCTACCCACATCGTCCACAAGGGACGTGACGGCAAAGTCACCGAATACTACTCCGACGATGAGGAGGAAAAGCACAAGAAAGGCCACAAGAACTTCCTGGAGGCCGCCCTCGGAGCTGCTGGCCTTGGCACAGCCCTCAAGGCTCTCACCGGCGGTGGTGGCCATGACGAGAAGCATGGAGACCGAGACCGAGACCGAGATAGGGACTCGAGGTCCGACACCAGGAGCCGCCGCGGGAGCCGCGAAAGATCTCCCTCCAAGGGCGGCCCTGGCAGCAAGATTCAAAAAGCTGCCATGGCATCCCTCATCGCCGGAGCCACCGAAGCTTTCCGCGTCTCCAAGGAGCCTGGCGCGTGGAAGGGCGAGAAGGCCAAACGAGTCCTCACAGCTGCTGCTGGTGCCGCGACTATCGATGCTGCGCAGAAGCCCGGAAAGGATGGCAGCAAGCTTGGCCTGGCCGAATCCGTCATCGGTGGTCTTATTGGCAACCGCATGATCAACGGATCCAAGAAAGAGATCATCGAAGACAAGGCCACGGGTCGGAGCCGATCACGCTCTCGTGCCAGGTCTGAAAGCAGCAAGGGAGGCGGCGGCGGCGGCGGTATGGGCCTCGCCGCGCTGGCCACTGCTGGTCTGGGTGCTATTGGTGCCAAGAAGGCTGTCGACAATATCCGTGACGAGCGATCGCGCTCCCGTCGCCGGGACGACTCTCGCGACTCCTACGACAGCCGAGACGAGTCTCCCAGGAGACGCACCCGTAGCCGTAGCCGCAGTGTCGTCGACAAGGCGCGCAAGGGCTTGGCAAGGATTGGTTTGGGTAAGGGCGAGGATGATAGCGAATACGGCTCCCCTCGAGGTTCACGCCGAGGGGGCCGCTACGATGATGAATATGATTCTCGGGATGGACGCTATCGCGATGATTATGATGATGATCGATCTTACCGGGCTCGCAGCCGGTCAAGAGGAGGGGCTCCGTCCCGAAGTCGGGCGTCCTCTCGAGGATCGGTATCCAGCTCGGATCTGGGGGACTCGGATGAGGATGAAAAGAGGGCAAAGAAGATGCGAGGTAAGCAAATCATCACCACTGGCCTGGCGGCCGTGGCCACCATTCATGCAGCACACAACGTGTACCAGAGCATGGAGAAGCGAAATGCACGGCACAAGGCGGTCAAGGAGGGTCGTCTCAGCCCGGAGGAAGCCCGTAAACTCAAGTCAAAGGCGCTGCTGCAAGACGCTGCGTCGGTTGGTATTGCCGCGTTGGGTCTCAAGGGAGCTGTGTCCGAGCTCAAGGAAGCCCGAGAGATGAGCCACGAAGTGACGGAATGGAAGCACCAGAAAGAAGAGCGACATCAGCGCCGAATGCAGCGTTTGGCGCGCCAGTCGAAGCAGCAGAAGCAGATCGGATACTCCAGCGACGACGAATATGACGACTACGACGACCGGGCCACACAGTACAGCGGAAGATCCAGGGCTGACAGATATTCTTCGTCAGTTCCTCCACCACGGGTCGGCAGGTATGACGACGGACCCCATTACTCTGATGGGAATCCTTACTCTGCCCTGCCTGCACCTCCTGCTGGCTACAGCAGCAGAAGATGAGCAATCAGGCGCGCGATGCAACAAGTACGGATGCCTCTACCACACCTTCTCCATTCTGCTTGTGCCCGCTTCTCCATCTGCACTTCCCCAGACCAGCTCGGCTCATTTTGCACAACACAACATCCGCATGTACGAGTCTGTCTGGCTGGCACCACATACCTGGCACATCTCTCAACAAACAATATACCCTTACGACCTGTTATGATGATCAAAAGTTTTGGAACATGTTTACCGAGCGAAGAGGCGTTACGATTATATGGGACATGTTCATGCTGGGTCCAAGAGATATCAAGTGCTTTCACGCTGGGCTTCCGTTGACTCGACGACTTTACTCCTTGCCGCTGCAGTGCGATGGTAGCCATGGCTTGACCATCAAGCCTAAAACTCCTGCTGCTTTCTCCCTTGTTTATGATGTCCACACCACACCAACAAACACATTATTTATTTATACACGGCACCTACACCACAGAGATCTCCCGTGCATTTGGAGGAAACAGATAGATTTCCAGGCATTTGCTCCAGCCCCCTTCTGCTCAGCACTAATTCATTTGTTTTCCTTCTGCATCAAACGTTCCAATGCAAATTACTGATTGTCTCCCCATTCGTGATAGATCGGCACCATCGCCGCTAAGAAAAGATGCTCCCTCCCGCGTGGTGTGGAGAGTCAAGGATGTCTGAGGAGTTCGGGGGTTCTAGGCCCAGCAAGTTGTTTCTCCCTCGTGTGAGCCTTGTGTAACCATTCCTTCGGGTTCGGCCACACGAGCGGATCAGCCGGGAGACCAACGAGTGGATCAAGAGCCGCACCCGCAATTACAACCACAAGGCAAACGAGACAACACGCACGCCCGAAGCGAGTGGCTGACTGTGATGTGACGATCACCTGCAGCCCAGGTACCCACAGATCGGACGATCGGACGTTTTATTTTTCTGGCCCTCGCAGGAACGACAATGCGAACGGGCCCCAAGGGACGGTGCACGAAATTTGGCCGGGGGTCTGTGGGAGGGAAATGGTGCCGACGGGGGTCTCAAAAATGGTGATTTAAAAGATCCTCCCAGAAGGCGAATGGCTGGGAGACACGTCTGCTAGTTTCGATGCCGCATATTTTTGGGGGGTTTGATATGGACTGGGCTCGGGAGGGAGGGGGGCATATGGAATGGCTAGCCTACGCGAAGAACGAGATGACGACGACAATCTTGATGACCCTGTGTTTTTTTCGCTCTCTTTTGGCTTTTATTTCCTTACCTCACGATATCAAGAAAGCTTTATAGCAGTCAAATGCACGACCTTATGACATCTATCCAGGATGGAGCAGTACCTGAATTGTCTTTTTTGCCACCGTCTTCTCACGCGTTCGTAGAGGTTTAGTGTTCGTTTGATGTCCCGGCCGTGCCATGTCAGGATATGGGAACATCCGGGCATTGACAGGTACCAGACGTGCCAGCCAATCTGCCAGTGCGGGCTACAGTAGTCCAAGGTGACAACGCGCCGGCGGCGAGTCTACTGATTGGGGTAGCTAAGATTGTCGAGCGGTGTGAAGGGCTAAGGGGGACAAGTGCGAGACAGGTGACCATTTGCTGCCCAGCGAGGAGAGGGGGTTAAGTCCATGCGCGGAGGAAAACTCCACGGCCTAGACTAATTAGCTAGCTACAGCATACCAACGACTATCTATGCAATGCACTTGGGGGTCTGCTGCCAACGCCGCGGCCTCGACATAGCGAGGTTTCGTGGGGATATGGGAAATATGTGTTGCTGCTCTCTCCCCCTCCTCGGGAACGAAGGGAATCCACATCGGCTGGAGCTCCTTCGCGTGCGCGCGCGGGATCCAACCCGTCGTCCCAGCAGGCGGAACGGCGGGAGTTCCCAGCTTGGCGTGGCGGTCACGCTCATGACATCACCGTGCAGGGAAGGGCGAGACTGGGCCGGTGCCCCATTCACTTCGCAGTGGCACTTGGACTAGAAATTCGGGCCGACGGGCTGGGGTAGCGAGTGGTGGTTGTGGTGATTTGCTCGCCGGGTTTCGCGCTCAGACAGGCCAGTTGCTTGCCTAGGAACTGGATGCTGCTAATGTCAAAGCACTCCATGACCTCTGGAATGGTAGCTTCTACCAGAAAGGCTTCCTGGCCTGGAGTACACGTAGAGGATGACTCCAGGACTACTAATCGAGTACATATCCAAACTTGCGACAATGCTCGCTTTGTTACACCGTTGACGTGACGGCCAGAGAGCACTCAAATACAGTCGAAGTGAAAGAATTCAGGTTGGATGAAGATGCATTGGTTTTTGATCCACATTAATAGAACGTCCACTCTCCTCAAGCTTAGTTCTGCTTCCACGCCTGTGCCATAGCCATCAAATCCGAGAGGTCTGCCGGCTGCTGCTCGTCCACGGGGAATACGTAGTCGATGTACTCCTCCATCTCGCCGTCCTCGTTCTTCCTCGTCTTCCTGACCTTGCGCGGCATCTGCTTCTCCACCTTCCCGACGTCCTCCGGCGAGCCCTGCTCCCTCTCGAACGCGAGCCAGGCGTTTAGGAGCGTCACCCGCTCCGCCTTCCTGTCCCGCATGCTCTTGAGCGCCCGCTCGAACACCTTGCGCGTGCGGCCCTTGGCCTCCTCCGACACGCCCTCCTCATCCTGCGCCTCCTCGCCTTCGTTATCGTCCGGCGCCCCGAGCTCGAACTGCGCGTAGCTGATCCACACCTTCGGGTGATCCGCCTTCTCGAGCAGCCGCTCGTACAGCGCCCGCGCCCGCTCGAACTCGCCCTCCTCCTCTTCGAAGTCGATGTACTTTTTCCACACCATCTCCGGCATGTCCAGTACTGGTTGGTCGATGCCCAGCTCGAAGATGGCACGCGCTCGTTCCAGGTCGCCCAGGGCTCGCTCCAGCTGCGCCCAGTCGATCCACGTTTGGCAGTTGGATGGGTTGTACGAGACGTGCTTCTCGTATAATGCCCGGCACCGCATGAACTCGTAGAGCTTTTGCTCCAGCGCGACATATCCCTTGAACAACGAGTCCTTGGGACACATGCCGATCGCCCGCCCGAGCGTCTTGCGCGCCAGTGTGAGATTGCCCTGCCGGATCTCAAACTGCGCTTTCAGCAGCCAGACCTTGGCGAATGTGAACTTTTTGTGCGGTATCAGGTTCAGGCATGCGTCGTACACCTGTCGGGCGCGCTCGATATCCTTGGCCTCCATCTCCTCATATATGGCGTAGAAGATCCACAAGTAGATGTAGCGCCTCCATAATCGCTTCTCCTGCGCTGGTGGGACTTGGGCGACTGCCTTTTCGTAAACTTCTCGTACCCTGTCGACGTTGCCTGATGTCTGTTCTAGATTTGCGTAATCAATCCACGAGTCGTAGTTTTTCGCGTTTTCCTTCACTTGCTCCTCGTAATATCTCCTTCTCTTGGATAGAATGACGTCCTCAACGCCGTCCTTGTCACCGAATTGCTTCTCAAATACGGTGTACTCCGCATGCAGCTTCATCGACCTTGACCGTGGTAGGTTGTCCAAGGCGAACTTGAAGATGGCCCTTGCCCGGTCATACTCCTTGAGTTTTGCTTCGTACCTCGCAAATGCGATGAATAGTCTCTCATCCACAAACTCATCCCCTAAGGACTCGATTGCTGTCTGGAAAACCTCCCGCACCAGGTCACTCGTTCCGAACTCCTCTTCGAACTTGGCCCATTTCAGGAAGTTCCTTGGCTCGGGATGAACCATGACGAATCGCTGAAGGATGTTCCGCGCATTGTCGAACTCCTGGTAACGCCTCTCAAAGTGGATGTAGGCACTCCAGGCCCGCTCGTCCGGTTGCCATGTCATCCACCTCTCGAAGACCTGCCGACATGCCGGTATGTCGCCCAGCCCCTCTTGGACGAAGACGTACTTGTACCACATCTTTTCCACGCGGGGCAGCAGCGTGACCGCACGGTCAAGCAAGTTCCGCGCATGCTGAATGTTGCGCTCCTTGATCTCGAAATCAATGTACCGCATCCATAGCGCCGGGTTCGTAGGGAGCACATCCAGGGCACGCTCAAAGACTGACCGCGCGCGTGCAAACTCCTTGTACTGGATCTCAAAGTCGGTATACTGGGTCCAGTTCTTGAGAGACTGGCTGTTGCGGCGGATGTAGTCCTCATACTCGCGACGTTTGCGGCCCTGGAACTCCTTCAGCTCCTCGAGATCCGCGAAACGCTGCTCTGGCTTGTCGAGCCCACCTTCTTGCCTGTCAACAGCTTCACGGAGGAGCTGCTCTGCGCTGATCTGGATGGGCGCAGCTCCCTTGTTTTTTACACGGGGCGGACCGCGTGAGGACTCCATCTTCGACGACGTAGGGCCAGATGACAGCGACTGAGACGGGCTGACGAAACCTGCCAGACTCTGAATGAGACAGCGTCGAAAGCTTGGAGTGGCCCAGATGTTATGGGCTCAAGATCACAATGTGATGGGCCAGGCGTGATATGTGAGGTTGCTCAGGTACTTGAATCGTTTATTTTCATTGCCACTAGACACGGTTAAGCTTGCCTAGTAGCTGCATACGCGCTAAGGCTGTGGAGCGCGCACGGGCCACTCACTTTTTCCATACGTCTTCCTGTTGCCTCGACAAAGAGCTTCTGATATCGACATTCCCTCTATCTGGCGCACCTCTCCCTTTCACAAGCATACAGTCAGACCACGAGCCGTTTCCAGCCGCCACCGCGCATGACGACCACAGACGAAAAGACAGACTGATAGACGGACAGACAAGATGTCGACGCTCGTGGACGAGCTGCTCCAGGACTTCGAGGACTCAGGCTCCGAGGCTGGCGACGCGCCTAACGAGGACAATTTCCTCGGAGCTGTCGATGACGATGTCGCCAAACAGGCGCATAGAAATGGCGACATGGACTTGGACGACGAAGCCGACGAGGCAGATGAGGAGATGAATGGCGTCGACACTAGCAAACAGGTCCCAGAGGACCCCGAGGAAGCCAAGGCCAGGGTCGAAAAGATGCAGCTGAAGGATGTCAACGACGTGCGGCATGTTGCCGGTCTCATGAAGACCTTGGAACCTGTTCTTGAGGTTAGTAACCCGCCCTTGAAACCTTCCCCTCCCTGTGTTACTTGTTCAAGACATCGTGAAGTGTTTACATCCTTATCCCTGAACATTAGCCCTGACTATTTGCGTCCGACCCTGCAGAGAATCGCATATTTCCAAGCGCAACCACCAGAGGCGCGAGATGCTAGCATTGGCAACATCGAGGACCACCCCGAGTACAACCTCTTAACCGAATCGAATCAACTATCCACGTCTATCGACAGCGAGATTGTCCTCGTACACAAATACATCCGCGATCACTACTCCGTACGGTTTCCCGAACTCGAGACGCTGATTACGAATCCTCTCGAATATGCCAAGGTCGTTGCAATTCTGGGCAATGGCCCTCTGGATTCGGACAACGTCAAGACATTGGAAACGTCCAAGAACAACATTCTTAACTCTACGTTGAAAGAGGTACTTGATGGCCCGTCTCTCATGATCGTGACATTGGAGGCAACGAGAACGAACGGTCAAGATATGTCGGAGGCCGAACTTAGCCGGGTGATGAGGGCTTGCAAGATGGTTGTCGACCTGGATAAGGCGAAGAGGACCCTTACGGAATATGTGCAATCACGCATGAACATATTCGCGCCAAACCTCACTGCTCTCGTGGAGTCTTTGACGGCGGCACAGCTCTTGAACGGAGCCGGAGGGTTGACCGGATTGGCCAAGACACCCGCGTGCAATATCTCGGCCTGGGGATCCAAAAAGCAACAAAACAGCGGCATGGCTACAAATGTCGCGGTCCGCCAGCAGGGCTTTCTTTACCACTCTCCGATCATCCGCGGTGTACCGAGCGACATGAAGAAGCAGGCCATGCGAATAGTGTCTGCGAAGGTTGTCCTTGCCGCCAGGGTAGATTGCGCACACTCCAGCCCGGACGGTTCGATTGGCGAAGATTTCAAACAATCCTGTCTGGAGCGGCTCGACAAACTGCAAGAAAAGCCGCTGAGCAAGGGCCAGCGCGCGTTGCCTGTGCCAGATGACAAGCCGAGCCGTAAGCGAGGAGGGCGACGCGCACGGAAGGCCAAGGAGGCCACGGCCATGACCGAATTGCGTAAGGCGCAAAACCGGGTGGCCTTCGGAAAGGAGGAGAAGGAAGCAGGCTACGGTGCAGGAGACTCTACCGTGGGCATGGGCATGATCGGGCAAACAGACACTGGCCGGGTGCGTGGTACACAGATCGACGCGCGCACCCGCGCGAAGCTCAGCGCGAAGAACAAGGGCTGGGGCGGCCTCGCGAGCTCGGTCACGGGTGGTGCGGCATCATCACTCAAAGGTTTCGGCCAGACAGCCGGTGGCCTCGATCTCCGTGGCAGCGGATTGCGGACATCTGGCGTTGGGACTACAGTGGGCGGTGGCGGAACCATGTCATCTCTCAACTTCACGCCGGCGCAGGGCCTGGAGCTGGTAGACCCAAAGGTGCAGGCGGAGTTGAAGAGGAAACGGCAGGCCGAGGAAGATCGTTGGTTCAAGGGCGGTACATTCACACAGGTTGGCGGCGACAGCAGCAAGACGAGCAGCGACGGTGTTTTCAAAAAGCCAGCCTTGCCGCCTTCGAAGCGCGTTGACACTGGTGCGACGAAGAAGTGAGAGGCACCGGAATAGACATTCCGGCAGTAGGCGTCGTGTTTGACGCCCAAGCAGCCGACGCGCCACCAGCACGGGCGAATAGAAGAGGAAGCGCAGCTAGCTAGCTACCGCGCTGGCTCCCGCGCTGGCTCCAGTCGGCATCTGAGGCCACCAAATAGGGTTTACATGATACGAGCTCACAACCAGTAGGCTATTAGTGCGTTGGGGAAAAGCATCGCAGAACCATGCAATAGCCCATCAACCAATACAGCTCGCACGGATCCAAAACATCGGCGTGAGACTTGGCCAACACGCCCTTCGTGAGAAAACTTCTGGTGGGATAACCTTGGAGGGCCTAATTTACGGGTTTTGGGATACTCTCGTATACTATATGTCGGATAGCCTATAGGTATCAGGAGAACAGGTGCCGTTCTTACAACGTGTGTAGGATGGGCGCTCCAAGAGCACTTCAGATGTAGCCGTCCACAATAACAATCTGAGACACTAAGCTTGTTGAATCGTCCCCAAAACCTGCCACCCCGCTTTGGAAAGCTTGCTACCCAAAGCTTGCCGGCGTAGTTCTCGCTAGAGCTCTCGCTAGAGCTTGTGCTCGGCTTCTCTCTCATTGACTTGTGCGCCATCCTGGGGGCTGCAGTAATTCAATTCTTCGTCCCTTCTTCCCTGGGATACCGGAACGGCGGCCGAGAGAGACAAAAAAAAATTAAGTGGTCCACTGGAGGCCCTCGGCAGGTTTTCAATTGGCACAACGAATGGCAAACAGGTTGTAATGATGATCTTCTGAAATATCGATGACAGGAATGTGGCGAAATGAGTGTGCAAGACATGCGTGCTGCATCCCCCGACTCGATCCCTGGGACGGAAGGGCATGAGACCCTGGGTTCAACCCCGCTACTGCAACGCCAGTACGGCTGTGGCATGGCCTCCCTCTGATGATGGGAAATCTTGTTTTGAGGAAGGCCGAGGATGGGGATTTCTTCAGAATCCCATGTTTTGCCCCCGTTTAGACAGGTTGATCGCAGCACTGGCTGGGCTGTTTGTCTCGCTCTTCGTGTGTCGGCTCTCATTCGCCTGTCTCCGCGGGGCGATGCAGCGAGCGCTCTAGATGTTTGTCACAGGCTGTTTGCCCCAAACCCACATGTGGTTCTACCTGTGCATACTGAACTTACATGACTGATTTGACTATGATGGCATCATGAGTTTATCTGTCTGTCATAACGTGGCCGCGTATGCATAGATAACGCGGCTTATCAGACAGACCCACTTATTTTCAATCCTTCAAATCACTTGGGACACCGGGAAACCTGTTTGTCTCAGGTCTCAGGGTCCATGGGCCCTGCATGGAGTGAAGGCGCGTGGTCTGCGCCGGTCTGGCCAGAGTCAATACTGCTAGCCTGGATTCAACGCATGTGCTGTATATGCATGCTGATGTGTGGGTGTTGCGATGTGTGTGCCGCGTCGAAAGACCTCTCCGCACGGACCAGGCGCAAGCGTTCCATAGCTGAGAACTTGGTTGGGGTAGGTAGAGAATACTTGGCGGTACTAAGTCATCGTGAAGTCAACAGCCGGTCTACATATTGCAGTATAGGTCCCTTGGCCGACTGGGCTGTCGTATGTCCCCAGCAGGAGATCGTATCTCTTCCAAGGCGCAGGGCTCTTGCCGACCACTCGCATGGCGGTGGCCAAGGCTGATTTGGTGATGAAACCCAGTGACCTGTTGTCGTGGTACCATTACTCCGTACTTGTTTCGACTTGAGATGTCAGGGTTGGTGATTAGTCTCGTCACTGTTGATCGAGCAGTCGTTGTGCTCTGACCAAGGGATCGGGTCCTGTCGGCCTGTCTGCCTATGTGATAACCCCTCTTGTGGGGTGACCTACTCCCGAGATATCCGGAGTGTTCGCGAGTATCCTGCCCTCCAGGCCGAATCGGGGCTTGTGCTCCCTTGGCTTGGTGCTCGACTCCTTCATGTGCCCGTCATGTCGGTCTTGGGCTGCATGTTGGGTTGGGTTGGGTTATGCCATCCCATCAGTCTGCATTGGCGATGGCTTCGTTGTGGTTGGGCCTCGACAACCTCAGCTTCGAAGAGTGACGATGAGCGTCAAGTCCTGGCTTGGCACCGAACCTTAATTGCTTAGGGGACGGTCTGGACCGACCGCACACGAACACAGATGCACGGTACCCCAGGATCTCCAAGACTAGCTTGATGCCTTTGTCAAATCCGAGCTGAGCTGTCTGGGTGAAGGTCAAGGCAGTAAGTAGACTGAGTCTTGATTTCCTCGCGAGGGCAAACCACGTCAGGAAGTCAACCTCACCAGAGGAGGAGTTTCCTGCAGGTGCTGTGGATGCGGGCAGATGCTGCCCTGGTACGTAATATGGACCCAGAGTAGGCAGGCAGGTACCTGGGCACCTGTGCACATGTGCACCTGTGCAGCACCTGGGGCACGCAGTAGAAAGAGTGATGCTGGGCAAGCTGCCTTACGTCACTGCTTTTTTTTTTCCAACCGTGCTCGACCCTTGATGACCTATTATTAATTGTATCTGCAGGCACAGATGAAGTCCCGAGGCCATGCGTTGATTATGCCATGAAAAGGGAAGTTGTGACAGAAGCGGACAACAGGCGCCCAAGCCAGACGGGATCGAAAATCGAAAACAATGGGTGGACTCGGAGCAATTGCTCCTCATGTTGCTGAGGCTTGATTGAGGTAGGAATGGGAGAGATCTCGATCTGAGGAAGCCACGCGCACAGGCAGGCCTGGCAGGCAGGCTACCCCTCCCAGACAGGAAGGACCCCTACATCCTGAATGGATCCCAGGACTGCACTTTTAGGGGTCCACCACCGCCCCCTGCACCCTCCACATTTTCGCACCCGGATCAGACATCCATGTGCCTGCCCTACTGCCCGCGCTGCCTACCCTGCTACCCCTGCTACCCTGCGCCCGCACTCCTGGGCAATTCTTACCCAGCGAGCCTAGCCAGGCTGGGCCAGGTCCCAGGCAGTCCAGGCCGTCACGGCCGTCCGACATCCTGACAAAGTGACAGGACTGCCAGACTGCCATGCCAGCAGGCCAGACAGCCCCGACTGTGGGACTCGCCAGCTCGCGCCAGCTCGCGCGACACCTTTTCTGATTCAATTTCCCTCGACCCCTTGGCCAGACGACGCACTCGCCCTGTCGCATCCTGCAGTGCGTCACAGTGACGTCCCTTGTCCGCGCCCGAAAAAGGGTCCTGTCCCCGAGCCCCTCACAAAATATTAGTCGCAGCCGACTGTTACCGTGTGTAGATGCCGCATCGTACAACAACACCATCACCATCGTGAGAAAGGTGAAGGGACGACTACTCACATGCATACCTTGTGCCTGGGTTGCAAGTTGCCGTCCGCACATGCGACACAGCAGCCATGTCCATGCAGCACACCGCCGGCCGCCCAGCGAAAGGGTCTCCGGCCAGAGAGGATTGCAGGAATGGAGCTCCAACGTCAGCTGTCCCTGAGCCTGGGTAACAACAATGCAAGGTCAGGCCTTGGGGTCCCCCTCCTAGCTCGCGTAGCTCCACCCCAGACCAGGCCCCGTACGTGTTCGGGGTGGGCCCTGTCTCGGTGCCAGCGGAAAGCCGATTCTCACCTGAACTCTCGATCACTCTCCCAAATCTTACTTGCAATCCCGGGACCCTGAAAACACAGCGCACACAGCAGTACCACCTCCATCAAGACTCAAAGTACTCCCCGGCCAGGAGTAGCGCGCTGAATTCTCACTGCACCAGCTGGACCTGCCCACCGCCTCAGGGACCACACCCATGGGCCATGTCACTGCTTGCTTCTTGGAAGCTCGCGGAACTATTCCAGGAAACCCCCCCAGTCGAAACCTACAGCTGGCCGAATGCCGTGTGGATCCAGTTAGGCTGCCCCGAAGCGCTGGGAACACTTCCGACACTGTCACCGAACATGGCCGCTAATTCTTTAGCTTCCATCACCCAGGGCTCTAGGCTCTGGTCTCTGGTCTCTTCATTCTATTTCCAAGGCAGAGCGTCATGCAAAGTGTGCTTCTGTAACAGGCGGAGAGTCTACGGCCCAGGTCTTTGCGAGGGCAGAAGGCTGTCCAACAGAGGATAGGTGTTTGGCGACCTTTACCTGGAGCGTGGCCAAGGTGCCGTCGTGTTCCAGTGGCTATTCTCGTTATGGCGCAAAGACCTCGATCTAGTATGCATAGGCTTGCGCACGACTGGACGGTAGCACGGTCGGCATGATCGCGAGATACGTGAGATACCGATCCGGATCTTCAATCATATCTGACGGGCCGCGGTCCAGCAAGCAATACGATGTAGCGCCGCAATATCTTTGCTAACCAAGATGAGCTCGTGTCCTCATTGCTAATGCTCATCGAACGCAGAGCGCTCGTGTTTTCACTCGATGCTGATCCCAGGATACGCCCCGGGCGCGCCTTGCTGATCTTTCATCTTTGACGGATTCCAGTAGAAACCCTACTTTCAATGATGGGAAATTTGCGAATGCGCATGCCAAAAGAGGGGTGCTTCGGAGAGGGGAAAGCAACGGATTACACTTTTTGCACGACATAGGTGTTCCCTGTTCGGGACGACATCATTCGGCAACGAGTTGCTTCCCGCCAGAGCTAAACGCCTTCCCACGAGAGTCTGTTACGGGATGGCACAATGATCCTGCCAGCCTGCGGCATGGTACGCATCGACGTTGGATTCCGGATGACCCTCTTGTCATCCATCAGTCGACATTTTCTTGCCGTGAGTCGAGTTGTCGAGCGAGCTGGGCTTGAGTGGAGCCCATAGCCAGGGACTTTGATGCAGGTCACGCTACTTGCCCCCGTGTACCGGAATTGTGGGCACCTCTTGTCGCTTTTAGCTGTCCATGTTGGCGGGGTGGAGGATCGCGGCTCAATTTTCGAGAAAGACCGATTATTGGCTGGCAGCTTTTTCCTACTTTTTTGTCAACTCTGGGTCTCAAAGTACTTACTCGCACGCCCGGCCGAGCGACGCGACAGGCTAGGCGTCCATCGCTGAAACGGGTAGCACGGCAAAAATCTGCCACTGCCCTCGTCGCCCAACGATGAGGCTGTCACGCAAAGATCGATCGCCGATCGCGATGCCAGATTCAGTCCCATGCGCTGGAGACAACTCAGTGTCGGACACCGGGTTTTCACCGCAACGGTCGTGGTAAGAACAGACCGCATGTCGACAAGTAGCCCTAAATACCTGCATCTGTAACCGCCACTCAGACCGAGTCACGGATGTGGTGAGGATGCAAAGAGTATCCCACAAGGTTCCTAAGGTAGGCAATGAGACAATCTCCTTTGGGATATTTCCTCACCTTTGCGGATGTCTTTGTAATTGCAGCCCTATTTAGGTGCCTGTTCTCGACCAGGTGCAGAGCCGTTTAGGGCCGGTCCCTGATCATCCTGAGCGACCCTGCGAACCCTGCCGAAAAAAAAGATTGTTCTGCCATGCGGCACAGCCAGGTGCCAATGCCGGAGAACACCAGCCAGTGATCAAGACGCTGTTCCCGACCCTGAGCCCTGAATGGAAGCAAGCCATGGATAGCATCATGGCTCACCGGGTCTTCCCTAATTGAATGAGCAACATGTAGTAGAGCAACTCGGAGCATGATGAATGCCTCTGGCCCCCGGAAAATACATTCGCGGCCATTTCCGTGTTTGCGGGAGTGAGCCAGCCAGCCAGCCCTGCCGGCGCGGCTGCGACGGAGGTCCAATTAGCCCCGGGCGCTACTCGACGTCATTGTTCCCAAATTCTCACAGCACAATGAGCCCCCGAGCCCCCAAGCCCCCATGCAGGAAGATTCAGGGTGCTGTTGGAGCCCCTGATAAACGAGGCCCACGAAGTCAACATCCGGGCAGCTCGCAAGATGGCCGAGGTTGACCGGTTGCGAGAGCGGGAAGATCTTCCCCAGGAGTCTTGGATCCGCCTGAGCGATCAAGGCTCATAGGCTATTGGGCCCAGAAGTGGAGGCCAAACCCCAGGCTGCATCCCGCACTGCTGATGGGGACGCAGCCGTTTTGTTGCCGGCAATCAGCACGAGTAGAGTTGACTCATGGATCGTACCAGGCGAACATTCCCGTCATCGAGCAATCATTCATACTTTGCCGTGCGATTATCAGGGCTGGCAGGATATCCCGGGGAGAAATAATTCCAGGTGACAGGCCTCGCAGAGATTATGTGTCAGTAGCGACTCGAGGATGAAGTTGTGATCAGCATGCTTGGTGCTCAGCCGCATGCCCGTCCACACTGGCACATTGAGTTCAGGCATCGGGCCGCCACAACAAATGCAAGATGAGAGCCGGACAGAGTGCTCCGTAAACCATGTTCAGTGAACAAGATTTTGAACGATATGAAGCCGTCGAATCATGGCCAGAATAAGGGAGACCTAGCAGGTTCACGGGCTCGTTTCCCAGATTCCCGATGTCACTCGGCTGGAGCGCTGCAAGCCGCCCAAGAATGAGAGGAATCACCTGGATCCGGCCCAAGGGCTTCCTGTTCCACGAGGCTCCGGATTAGCCTCTATCGCAACCTACAGTGGGATAACCTACAAACAGCAGCAATGGAAACCGGCTTCTGTGGATTGCCCATACGCGTTATCCCACTGCGGATGTGATAAATTTTACTGGTCACTAACCATCCCACTTGTTGTGCTCTATCATCACTCGGGAATTCTCTTCTCAGTGTAACACCTCCTGTCACCAAACCCTGCCCGGCAATGCGGTCAAGGTACTTTGGGGCGAGCTCCTGAAAGTACCATACGGGTGGGCAGTCCTCAGGGCCCATAGCAAGGGACCGGCAGGGATAACCCTTTGTGGCCTCTGAGCCCCTCGCAGAGCCTGCGCCAAGATAGGGCACCCTTGTCTCTCCGTGCCTGGGCAAGGGGGTATGACGAGAGAGCGAAATCTCCATCTGATTTCCTGGTTTTTCCCACTGAACTCATCACTTCTCGATTTTGGAGACAGACCCTCTGACTTTGCGGGCAGACTATCGCATGGACTCACACTGAGCAGAGACCCCATGCAGTCGAGCCTGAACCTTAAAAGCGATCAGGGATCCGGGGCGCGGCCTGGTACCTATGGGTGTCTGTGTCCACCCACATCGCCTTTCAAAAAGGAACACTGCGCGTCCATTCCACCTATTTACTCTTTCCCCCCTCCCTACACCTCATGGTACATCAACCCGATCTACCTCTCTTTTGGACTCGCAATTTATAACGCACTTTTCCTCCGTCTACGGTGCGTTGACTATATATTTACTTCACGAGACGAGTTAGTTGTAGTCGAACCGGACCAACTAACATCTCACAGCCGGCTGAACTCGTCTTACCTACAGCCAGACCCTTCTATCATACACCATGTCACCCACTCATCGGAACGCGTCGGGACGCCTCATCTCCATTTTGCAGGACTCGAACGAGACGGACTATGAGTCTCACATTGCGCAAAAATCAGAATTCCAGTCGCAAGGGCCTCAATTCGGCTCTTTCGTACTCTCGCACAATATGCGAAGTCACAGCTCATACGCCCCGGCCACCCACAGGGACAGTGTGCTTTCTCACCCAAGCACACCAGACCTGATGCGGTCCGACTCGTACGACTCTCAAACGAGCAATGATCCCGCCAGCCCCGTGACTCCCGGCAGCACTTATCAGGAGCAACTGTTCTCACGGAATTGGTCGCAAAACCCCGCGGGCATGTCTGGCTCAGATACCTTCTTTACTGCATCTAAAGCTCAGACTGCTTCGGGTCCTGCTTACCGCGGCGAAGCTCGCCCGGTCCTTCCCCCAATCTCATCCTTCACCAGCCTGCCCAGCCCGCGTACAGCAACAAGCCCGACTGCACCATACCCATATGACAACATGCTTCGCCACCATTCGTCGCCGAGTCTTGACGAGCACCGCTACCGCCGCGGTGTTCATGAGGACTACCCGGCGTCTGTGCTCGAAGCTGCACCTGATGCTACCGTGCAAAGAAACGTCGAGCCCTTCAACGACTACAGCCACCAGGCGCCTTCCCCTTCATCAGTGGAACAGGATCGCGCCATGGACATCGACGAAGAGGATGAGCCTATCGAGAGCACTTCCCCGGGCAAGAAGGGATCCAAGGGCAAGACCTGCACCTCACCAAAGCGTTACCCATGCAAGTTCAGGGAGACCTACAGCTGTTACAAGACTTTCACCACATCCGGCCATGCCTCGCGCCATGCGAAGATCCACACTGCCGAGAAGACCGTGCCATGCTCTTGGCCGGGCTGCAACAGGAGATTCACGCGCTCCGACAACATGAAGCAGCACCTCGAGACGCACAAGAAGGACAAGCCAAGAGCCTCTGCCAGACAGACTCGTCGGCCCTCCCTCGCCGCGATCCGACGTCAGTCTTCTTCGAGCAGGAGCAGTGTCAGCAGATTCTCACTCCCTCGCGACACACCACCTCTGATGTCCCCGAGCGTCGCTCCCACTCTGATGTCTCCGGGCTTGTCCGCGCCCGCCGAGAGCTGGGTCAGGCCCGCTGCCTCGAGGACACCGAGCAGCGGCCTTGACGCCCTCGCCATGGTTGCGGCAGATGAGAGCCGCGCCGAGCAGGAAGCTGCCGCTTACTACCATAATTACCAACAACGGCCCCTGCAGCACTAGCGTGCTCCAACACTGCCCAGAGGCATAGCTACTGGCCACCCACAGCCACAGGGCTTGTGACGATATGTCCATTGTACATTTGGCCTTGACAGTACATTTTTTATTGTTTTCCCCTCATCTTGGACGGTCAGGTTGGGGATGCGGATATATATACCCAACGCGAATCCTTTTTCTTTTTCTAATCGGCACGGCGCAATTTGGTTCATGGGAAATAGAAACGGCTGCACGTACACGCATAGCAACCAGGCGTTCGAAATATTTGCTTTTACATACACGCATACGCGGGATTAGCGCCCACCATGAGGCGACGAATGGTCCGAATTCAAAAGTGGTCAAAACTGAAAGGCGCAACAGACTGGTGGGCTGTCATGGAATTCCCCACGCCGAGCGCGGATATGATATCACCACAGTTTTCTCTTTTGTGTACATATACGGCGGACAGACGAGCGGTCCGAATGGTCCACGGTTGTTGGTTTTTCTATGTACGGACCCCAATGATACCATGGGAGGGATCCTGGACGGAAAGGGCTTTGCGAAACCGCACGTACACGACTGCGCGGAGTAATGCAGTTGCGTTCCATATCAATGGACGAAGTAGGAAATGGGGGCGAGGACGATGCTAAGCCGAAAATGACCAGGAAGAGGCGCACTCGCTTGAACGCGCATTGGTTGTACGAGTTCCGCGTCGCTTGGAAACAAGGCGTGCGCATCCAATACTTTGCTCAATGAGCTTGGTCGAGAAATATGAACAGTCGAGTCCGAATCTGAGAAAATATCCAATGAACTGTGACACATGCTTTGAGTGACTGAGTGACAAAATTGACCTGTGTATTCCTTGCCGAAATATGTATCGGAATTAGTACCTACTTGATCGCATAGAATAAGAGACACCATCTAGTAACACCCGTTGCTTGTATAGGCCTCTGGAAATGATGTGTAGGCTATCCACAAATGTCATCGCCCAGGAGGTTACAACAACCAACGAAAGAAATCACAATACAGTGTGTCCTCCAGGGAGAATCGAATGCACTTATATACGCGATAATGTTCGAGGCCTCATGACCTATATATTTCCATGTTGAGTCCCGATCAAATTGTACGAAACTGAACAGCCCATAGGCCAGCCAGGTCGTCGTCAACACCCGCGGTGCTCATTCACAGCGTCAGAGCCTCCATCGCAATCTCAGCGGCCTTCAGCGATCCCCATCACACCGATCCACCTTATACATGCCCTCATGCATCTCTTGGGGCTGCTTCTAAAGTTGTCGATGCTGCGTACGGGGCCAATTCATTCACCACTGTTTTTCTTTTCAGCATCCATACCCAGCCACGCCAGCTTCTTCGCATCAGTGAAATGATCTGCCCTCTGTTCGCCTGTCACTGAATGCAATGGCAGAGACAAAAAATCCAGGGACGTGAAATTTACCAAAATTGCCTAAACGGTTGCTATATTTAAAATCTTGCTCAGAAACAACCTCTATCTATTAATTTACCAATTCCCACCAACACGAGTAGCACAGCTCCTTTCCAGTGATAAGAATTGCCTGAGGGGAAGGTCTGATGAAGAAGACTTCTATTTAAGTGGAATGTTCCATATTCAGAAGATGGGAACTTCAAGACTTTCCTCACTGTCATTCAAAAACTTCTTGCATTCCTTTTTCCAGTGGCCTCCTGAGATTGATAATCATCTGATCGGCTCATCTCAGTTTCGCTTCCGTCTTCAAGGAGCTGTGAAGCTGGAGTTGAGGCTGAGGCAACGATTCTTTTGTCCCACGCCCCCTCCCCTTCTTCCTCCTGTCGCTGTGTTTTCTTGTTTTTTATGGATCTTGATAGTCTGAGCAGGAGAAGTTGCTCTGTCAATCTCATGATCAATTTAAAGGACGACATCTCTCTCGTCAGCGTTTTATGTTGGGGAAGAAATCTTTCTGGAGAAATCGAGTTGAAAACTCTCTGGGAGTCTTGTTCAATATCTACCTGTGTAATTCACTCGCAGACATTGTTTCTCCTGGTGCTATGTTTTTGCAATAATAGGTTCTCTACCTAAATCTAAGTAGATAGAGGCTGGTATTCCGGCTGACAGTAGTGCAGCCTTTGGTTATCCTATATTGCTGTCACTTGTTCTGTTTGGTATCATCCGATCTCCAGGCTCTCATCTCATCCACCTCCCCACGAGCCCTGGTAGGAGAGAATGCTCCTCATGACCACTTGACGCCAAAAATATCTTTCAGACGGAAGTCTGAAGGGCGCGGGTTGGCCGAAAGGTCTTTCATGGTGCCTGGCAGGATCTTCTTAGTCTTGAGTAAGAATGACCAAGGGCAGGGCGACCTGGTCTCATAACGAGGACGCTGGAACTCGTTCTTATGAAACCATGCAGACTGCGTTGCCGAGGCTCTCATACGGCCTACGAACCTGGCCAGGGACCATTGCCGCATGCTAGACACAAGCACATTCGACCCTCCCAGTCCTCCCTGTAGGGCCAGACTGAGAAGCGTAAAGAAACACAGTGCAAGAGAGTCCAATGAAATGGCTGTGTCTCTGGTGGTATCCGTCGATGATCCCGACATGATGCATGTGTTATTTAGATTGAACAGGGGGAAAAGGCTGAGGAAGGACACCAAAATCCATTGCTACCCATGCTCCCAAAAGCCAAGTCCGGGTATCAAACTCCTTGCTTACATTGCCCGTAGTGCATGTCTGAGGATTGCCATCCAAAGACTTAATGATGATCATTGCCCCCTTCGCTGACCGAGCAAGCAGCACATAGTAATAAGAAAGCTAGGCTTGAATTTGTCGGCTCTAGGATGCCCCGTCGTCACTCCTTGGCTCAAGCACCGTTGGCATGTTCGGTAAGCTCCTAGCAGACTCTGTTGCATCGAGCTCATACGCCACTTGGCCCGTTCGTATAGCGGGTAGAGGGAGCTCGATATGGTTTGGCGGGAACGGCAGCCCTCGCAGTGCTCCGTCCGCAATGTGGCAAAAGGTCCACTGGTCGGCGAAGCGACGGTAGTCTAGCTTCTCAGTCAGCCTCTGTGGGACTTGTTCCAGGAAACAATCACTGTGAAAGCAAGCAAGAAGGGGGGGGGGGCAACCTACCGATTTCCCGCGTGAAGCGGACGCCAAGCCAACGTATATCGAGTGGCAGGGTCGTCGTAGACACCTGGCTCGTGTCTGAACCTCGTTCTGCCGACCGTGACTTGCTTCGCCACGACGACGGCGACGAGATGGAGAAGCTCCTCGCGCGAACCGCGTTGGGCGCGCTTCCGCGCCTGCCTACCGCACTCAGCCGGTACTCCCGATGTTTGTCGTCGCGGTTCCGGAGCTCCCCTTGGAAGTCGATGACCTGGTATTCCCGATATCGTCGTTCGCGTCGGTTAGACGGCTTGTCCGAATAGAAGGTAAGGCAGTGGTGCAAGGAGAGACGGTCCCTCCAAAGTTTGACTCTCTGTATTGTGGCCAGGCCTCGTACGGCTCCTGACAGGGAATCCGTCCTGCCGTGCGTGTCTGAGAATACGACATCAACGTCGAAATAGTCGACAAGGTCTTGCCTCCTTAGGTCGCCCTGGAATCGCATTGAGCCTTCGATCGAAGTGAACTCATATATGACCTCGACGACTTCGTCATGCACTACCGTACCATCGGCCGTAGTGTATCGTATCCTGTATGGCTCTCGGAATGTGACCAGCAGCTCCGACTCCGCTGGGTCAGAAAAGGGCCGGTGTTGGCCATGTAGTGTGACGGGTTGCGCCTGTGTAGGGAGGCCCAATGGGACTACTATGAGTTTCAGCGGATGTTCACTTGACACGGACTTCTGCCCTAGTACGCACGAAATTGTTCTAAGGTCTCGCCTTGATAACTGCTCTGCCAGACAACTCGGCGAGTATCCCCCTCTATTACCTCCCACGGTCCAAGGTACACTGTGCGCTCGTGCGGTGTGCGCTCGAAAAGGGTAATAGTAGCTTGGTAGCCCGGCGGTCCAAGGTCCAAGGGGCGCAATGGAGTGACCGGGATCGACGGCTCATATGTGACGGCGGAGACGGAGGAGCTCGTCGGGGTCTGCGTAAGATGTGAGTGTGTGCGGCTGAGGGACGGTACGGCCAGAGAGGAAGAGACGTAGGACGACGATGAGGACCCGGATAGCATCGATCGACTGGAGGAGGAGGCCATGACTGGGAGTATCAATCCCCGGGCGTCTTGAAGCCCAGCTGCCTTTGAGCTTCGCCAATGGCAAAACTAAGGTAAAGTATCGTCCGTAGCGAAGGGCATGCTATTGGTTCCATGAATTTACTGCAGCTTGGCCCCAGCAGACTTTCGAGGCCCCAGAGTTGCTCGCGGCGGCGATGCCGGCTTGGACGTAATCCTTCACTGCACGACGCTGCAAGATATATGGGAGGTGGCTCTGGGCAGAGGCTGGCCGCAAAAGACTTGGCAGACCGGGAGGCTGCCGTAGAGCAAGGGAATAGCGGATGAACCTGGAAAGACTGACGACAACTACATGCCAATGAGCTACAGTCCGGCAGGGGAGTAATGCTCGGAAGAGCCAAGGCTTCGCGGGGAGAGGACAGCCGTGGAGAACCCAAAGAGGCCTCGAGCAGGTCGAGCAGTGATTAAGTTTGCAACAGGAAAAGCATCTCCGTCATGGCCGAGCTCGATGGTCAGCCGTTGTGCTGTGTGATTCGTTTCAGGCCGGGACCATCGCAGCTGCAGGCGCAGGTGAGGAAGAGCATCGAGCTGTTTATCTTATCGGACAATTGATTTGCATTGCTCGTTGCTGCTTGCTCCTTGTCCTGCTCTGCTCCCTGCTCCAGGTCGCTTCTCACTCCTCACTGGCCGTCGCATCCTCCATCAGGCCCAGGGCAGGGTGGTGAGGGTTGCCGAGTGTACTCCGCGCAGGGCATGCAGGCTGGCAAGACAGTAGAGTTCAAGGAAAGCGGGGGCATCGCGGGACGCCATTGGTGTTCTCGGTGGTCGGGGACGTTCAGGGGCCCCCGACACGGCTGTGGAGCATGGCGGGATGCAGCAAATAGAGCCGGGCACAGGAGCACATGCCAGAATCCGACGACGGGATTGCACCGTTGCAGAGCGGCCGGGCTAAGCCGTTACGGGCGGGCTGCATGCGATGGTATGACTGGCGCAGCCTCGCCCATCCTCCTCCTCCTCCCATTTTGACACTCCCACGCCATCCGATGACTGGTGGTCTGTCTGAGGAATTTTGATGGCCTCGATTGTTGGGCCCCTGATGCCAAACGCTGCTCGCTGGGCGCATAGTCAATTGGTTCGCCGGCGATCACGGGAGCCGGAACACACAACGGTCGAGACAGTGAGCGGTCTTAATATAGAATGTTGATGAAACAGAACCAATACCGCTGGCACGATCCAAGCAGCCCAAGAAGTGACATCCAGTCCAGTAGGGACGGCTCAATGCGCAGCAGGCTAAGCTGTGTGACACCCCAGAACCAGGCTGCTGGGTACCTAGCGCGGCACGAAACATCAGGCTGCCAAGCTGATAGCCGTGCTGCATGGAGGGCCGAAGGTGGGAGATTGATGATGCAGGTGGAGGTTCAGGTCCAGATGCAGATTCAGATGCAGAAACAGAAACATATCGCCAGTTGTCTGATCTGTTCCCGTCCGGTCGAAGACTGCCCGCCTCTATTTTTAATCCCACCGTGCGGAAGAGAAACAGCCGAAGCCCCCAAAACCGGGGCTCTCCCGGGGGATGGGGCTCTATTATTATCATCATCATCTCTCGTCATGATGGAGAAACAATGGTCTCCTCCGCGGTTCGGGCGTCCCCCGGAATTTGTGTTTTGTGACAGTTCGGCTGGGACCGATTCGACGGGATTCCGATGGATCGACGAGCCATTGACGATGGAGAGTGGGCAATTGACCATTGACAACGGATCATATGCCATGTACCATGTACCCTGTAGAGTAGACTACATTACATAGTACAGTGGACTGACTTGACTGGCTGTCGGTGACGAATGATTGAGCTGCGTCGTCGAGGGCTCGTCTTTCTGTGCCACCTGCCCACGTGGGGTGATGCTCATGCCAGGACAGACAGAGGCAGTAGGCAGACTGGGCGATAGAAAAGCAAATAGGTTCCTGGTGGTGTGCCCAGCCCTGCCAGAAGCATGCCCCGATGTGTGCGTACATAGTCTAGTATGTGTAGATTATGTTGCGTGACGGACGCCACAGGCAGAGAGAGAAGGGTGCGTGAGGTCGGCCGTGGATGTGATAGGCAGGTGGTGACGGGGCACGTCTGTCGTGCCAAGGTGACCGGGGCGAGAGTGTCCCCTTGGTGTCCCCTTGCAGGCTACTGTTTTAACAGACTGCAATGTAAAGTGATGGTGGGCACCTGGCACCCTGCCCTGCACTCTTGAGGGGCCTTAGTATTCTGCCGTCCTGTGCAGCGACTGGCTGGGCCTGGCTCAATTAAACTTCTTCCTCGGGTTTGTACGTTTCGACCAGCCCGACCCCGTCCACAATCACACCCTCTTTCCTCCCGCTGATCGTCCTGATCGTCTGTTTGACGGGTTCTTGATCCAGATCCAGGACCAGGTCGAGATCCAGCTACGACTACGACTTCACCTACAACTACAGCTACAGCAAAAACAGCTACTGCTCCACCATCTCCACAATTCATCCAATCGGGCTTCTGGCATGGCTTAATCCAGCCTCGGCCTCGCAGCCTCGCAACTCTCAGACCTGATACGATACACTCACCAAAATTATCATTGCCCAACAACACGCTCTCTGACAGTCTCTGTTGGCTGTTTCTTCTAATTATTGGCTACCAAAGACCGTTGATCATCTCTCCCCCAAGTCCTGATTGCCGCTCTACAAAATGCCCGCCTGAACACACTCGATAGATACCCCTGGTAGCCCTTGTAGTCTCATTAATCTCGTACACACTTTGTTGAGATGCTCTAGAGTCAACCGAATCTGGATAAGATGCCACGCAACATGTACCCAGACGATGCCGAGAAGAAGAACCGTGGTTTCCTGGGCTTCGACAGTTCTGCCCTGCCCCCGAGGGACCGCCAGGTGAGCCTCGATGCCGACACAGCCTCGTGCCTGTGCCTATGCGTGTACCTACAGCTCAGATAACCAACACATTCTTTCAGGACCGTCGTCAGCTACGCTATGAGCTGGACTTGAATTCATGGAACCTGAGAATATGGGGTGTTGCTGCTTCCGGGTTTCTCACTGATTCGTAAGTCTGACTCGACTGATGCTACCACATGGACACCATCATCCCCACGTGCACAGCGAACATGAAGTTTTGACAGAAACACAGATATAATCTATTCGCGAGCAACGTCATCCTCACATCCATCACATTCGTCTACTTCCCCGATCAAAGGTGGCCTGGCCTCGTCATAAACCTCTTCACCCTCTTCGGCTCGGTTTGTGGTCAGATACTCTTTGGGTATCTGGCCGATCGGTATGGACGGACCAGACTCTATGGCATTGAGCTTGTCCTCGTCATTGTCTCAACAATAGGAGTTGCCACGAGTAGCTATGGCTATGGCGACATGTCATTCCTGGCCTTGTTCACTTGGGTCAGTTGGCCATCTAACCCCCCCCCCCCCTCAACGCTGACGGACATTTAACTGACAACTCGGCACAGTGGCGGTTTGTCATGGGCGTTGGAATCGGAGCAGAGTATCCTCTCAGTGCTGTCATCACTTCAGAGTGGTCTAGCACCTCGTCCCGAGCAAACATGATCTCCTCCGTGTTCATGATGCAGCCTGTAGGCCAGGCACTCGCTCAGCTCGTCGGCCTTTGGGTGGTCATTGGCCAGAACAACAAGTACGACTTACAAGGCATGCAGTGTGGGATCAACGACAAGTACGAGCACGAGTGCAAGCAGATCGTGGACGGCATCTGGAGGATCGTCATTGGGTCCGGCTGCGTCCCGGCTCTCCTCGCCATCATCTTCAGGTTCTTCCTATACGATTGTGGTCTGTACAGCCTGGAGGTCAAGGCAAAACCGGGGACTGCTTTTCGCGACACACAAAGGGTATATGGTGCTCCTCCTCCTGCTGTGAACGTTGACAGCCCGTACTCCCCCGGTGGCTTTCAAGCACAGCCCTTCCAATTCATGCCGGTCCAATTTTCCAAGGAGGATCTATACAATTACTTCATCACGGATGGAAACTGGTACTACCTGCTAGGCACCAGTGCAACATGGTTCTTCTTGGATGGTAAGTGCTTGCTCGACTCCCCTCGTTACGTTCCCGGGATTTGTCAATGGAGTCACCAGATACACCCCACGATACGCAATATCTTTTTCGAGTTGTGCCTAAAATTGAGTCTCCAAGAGAGAGCAAAAAGCTTGGAGGATGCTGACGTAGTATTTTGCAGTCAGCTTCTACGGCTTTTCCCTCGATAAGGGCAGCACACTCGCGGACCTCTGGGCAACGAGCCTCAAGCCTGCCGTCACACCTGACCTGGCTTGCTGGAACTCAACTCTCCCGGGTGGCAATTCCACACTTCCACTGTGGAACGAGTACGGCATACCGGCATGGCAGACAGACTATGCCAAACCCTGCTCGACTATATATGACACACTGCTGGACCAGGCCAAGCAGTACCTCCTTACCGTATCTATCGCATCAATTGCCGGCACTGCGTGCTATACCTTCGCAGCGAATCGTCTTCACCGCAGAAACTTTCTGACAATGTCATTTCTCTTGCTGATGGTCCTTTTTCTCATCACCGGAGGGGTTGTAAGTGATGCCCCTATGAATGATATACAGAGACTGCTCCAATTGATCTTGAGCCTGCTTGAAAATGACTAATTCGAAGGATCATAGTACTATGGTGTCGCTCACACGCCCTCTGCCCCAGCGACGGTCGTCTGCGTCGCGATCTGTCATTTCTTTTTCAATTTCGGTGAGCAATCTCCCTGCTACGAATCGTCACTCCCTAAGCTTTATATGTCCACTAACACACGACAGGCGCAAACACCCTGACTTTCATCATACCCGCTGAGATCTTCCCAACCTCGTATCGCTGCACCTGCCACGGGATATCCGCGGCAGCAGGCAAGATCGGCAGCATGGTGGCCGTGCTGGTCGTCTACGGCATCAACTCGGGCTACAAGTCGCCCACGCGGCAGGGCCTCATCTTCCTGCTCTTCTCCGTCTTCATGGCCGCGGGCGCCATCTACTCCTGGGCCTACCTGCCCGACATCCAGCGGCGCGTGGTCGACCGCGAGAGCGGCAAGACCTTGAGGCTCGAGAACAAGAACCTCGAGGACCTCGGCGAGGGGAGGGAGCGCGCCAGGAGGGACGGCGAGGTCGTCACCGTTAGCGAGAAGCTGAAGGAGCTGAGGAGGCGGGGGCGCGGGGCGGATGACTCGCCGGAATCGGGCGGGCAGGAAGTCCGGGGACAGGATATCGGGATGCGATGAGATCAAGTTTGTACAATCAAGCCTGACTGAGGCAATGGGTTTGCCAAATACAGGACTGGAAAATTATAGACTTCTGTGAAAGGCTATGGACAACTGTCCCTGTTTCATTCAAAATGAGAACGCCTTCTCTATCATGCAAATGCCCATTTGAATCATTTTGGCTGGTATACACATATTGGTCCACCTCATCTCGCCGTCCCAGCATCGCTCTCCCCACTAACGCTCGCGCTCGCGCTCGCGTCCGACGAGTCCCCACGTGGGCTTCCACCATTTCCACTGCCGATACTGCCGGTCTTACTAGACGCTCCCGACCCAGAACCTGAATCGTTGAGCATCTTCCTCTGAGGGACCTCCAGCCGCGCGACAAGCGAGCCGCCAATGCCTTCCTCGCCCTCTCTATTTCCGGTTGCGATCCTGACGTTGGCCATTTCCAGCGCCTCGCGGAGCGTATCACCCGTCTCATCCAGCGCGGCCAGGAATCGCGCCAGTTCTTTGCATAGCTCCCAGTCTTCCTCTCTCATCGCCCTGCTCAGCAGCCTGACGCTCTGCTCTGATGCAGAGGACAACTCGTCAAATGTGTGTAAGATGAGCAAATACCCACCAGCGGTCTTGAGACTCCCGCGCTGAAGGCTCTCCTCGAAAAGCTCTTGCGGCGGTGGCAGATAATCAAATAATGTGCGCCAGGAGCGGACCTCAGTCTTGCGGGTGCACTGCACTACAATGTCCAGATACTCCTTGAAGGACGACAGCAGCGACAGGACGCGAGGAAGGATTGCGCTCTCGGGAGGGGGCGAGGGCGACATGTCCACTTCGTCATCGAGGACGTGGTGGAGGAGGACCTCGAGCGCGTGGGCAAAGTACTCCAGGTGTTGGTATTGTTGAGCGAGGTAAAGGGCTGCCAGGGACTTTCCAGCGACGAGGTGGTACCGGAGGATTTCGGGCAGGAAAAGGTTTGTCTGTCTTGTTGTTAGTGGAGAAGGTAAGTTGGGTCTGTGCGAGACTTACCCGTATCGCGAAGCGGAAGAATGAAAAGTTGATGTCTCTCCTCTGGACCAGATCTGGCTCGACACCGAGAATGATGGCTTTCTCGAGCAGAACGGATAATGGATAGAAGTCGACGGATATGGCCACAGCTGGAGGGACCTCGCGGTGGTTGTCGCCCGCTATCGCATTCAAAACTTTTTGCATATCTGACCAGGTCTTCAGATCCCCACCATCGAACATCCAAAGAGAGTTGAACAGGTCCTCGTTCTCGGCCTCTGCTGGGATATTGGTGCGAGGAGGACCAATTGGACTTAGAAAAGGTTGGTCTTTCATGGACACGTAGTACTCAACGTTCTGCGCGATGACTCGCATATCGTATTTGAGCTGGCCTTCGTCATTTAGGGACGGTCGCAGCAACACAAGCTTGCCGTCCACCAAAAACAGCACTGAAGCAACGGCAACATCCTGTGATGGGTCGCCTTCGACGAGTTGATTTTCTGGTAGAATCCAGCTCAGGCCCCGTACTCTGGCAGGTGACCTGACAATACCGTGGAAGGCAATCTGGCCAACTTGCACGAGCCTAACAGAGTTTCCGAAAGGCGCGAAAATGAAGTGGTAGAGGAGGTTGTCATAGGTATAAACCAGTAATGAGTCCTCTCCAGAAGGCGTAAGAAGGACGACTGGTGCGGGCATGGAGTGGACGTAGACGATAGACGCGTTGTCGAGATCCTTCTCTCTCGAGAAAAGACGTAATTCGTAAGACTTTTGGACCTCTACAGCAGCCACCAAGACGTTTTGGTACCAGCACATGCCGCCTCTGACTTGAAACTCGTTCTCCATTTCCGTATTGGAGAAAGTCTTCCATCGGCCGCTGTTGACGCTGTAGTGAGCAAGGCCACGACGGCCAGCAACAGCCAAATAGCGCCCATCTGAAGAGATGACCGTACATCGTATTGGCCACTGGTTCAATAGATAGTTTGCGGGTATCCTGGCCGTGTGCCAGAGGAAAGGCTCCGCTGAGATGGTGCTCATATCTGGGAGATCATATCCCCTGTAGATCATGACGCTTGACGTGCTCTGCAGGACCGTTCGGAAAATATTTGAGGAGCTGTAGCATCCTGTGACAGCGCTTCTCGCCATTTCCAGCAGCCAGAGTGCCTCATGTTGTTGTCCGACCAGCAGGATCTCTGAGCCGCCCCCGAGCCACGAAGCATCTTTGATGCCTGAGATCCAGTGCTCATCGTGGCTGGACACGAGATGCTGATCGACCCCAAAACTGCTGCTCAAGGGCTTCCCGTACACACTCCACGTTGCCCACCCCTTCTCGTAGCCTGCGAACAGACAGTAGCCGTCAGGAGAGTAGCTCAACGTAGTCAATGAGCCGGAGTGAGATTCCGATACCGACAGTCTGTGAATGTGGGACGAAGGGACGTTGCCGGAGTAATCTCTGACCGTATAGACCCTAATGGCCCCATCTTCGCATCCGAGTGCTATGAGCGAGAACCGCGCATTTATGACAGCATGTGTTCCACGGTCGAACTTTTCTTGCGGCGTGTGAAAGCAGTGCCCCTTGAAGAGCCGCTTCGGGTCCATCTCCCCAGTCTCCGGGTTGGGCTGGCCCTTGGGCGTGCGCTGGACGGCGTACGCCTTCCCGTCGCTTGTGATCCAGGTCGACAGGTTCATCGACCTGTCATTGGTCATCTCGGTGACAGTGACTTTCTTCCCGAGCCAGGCCATCTTGCTCAGAAGCTCGGTACTCGTCTGGCTACCTGAGCTGTCTGGACTCCACCGAATGCATTGTACCGCCGCTGGCTTTTGCGTGGCCACAACCACTTCGTCGTCGAGCGCAAGGGCGCTTACTATGCCAGCGTCCACCTTGATGACCATACGGAATCGCACACTGATATCGCGCACGCCCTGGCCTTCACCCGCACCCCAGAGTATCTGATCGGGAGCGTGGTGCCCCGGTCCACCCCAGTGGCTTTGGCGCCGTCGCTGGACATTGGTATGACTCGTAAAGTAGGGCTTATAGACTCGCGACTCGGAATCTGTGGCTAGCGAATATGTAATGAGGAAGCCTCGACTGGTTCGCACGACGAAGATGGCAGAGTCAGGCCTGAGCAGGAGGTCGAGGTTGGTGCCGTAGGAATCGAGGGAAGTCTCGGATCGCACAACAACAGCAAGTATCACTGTGGGCTAGAGAGAAAGTCAGTTTTATCAGTTGGCACTCGAGGGCTGAATCTGTGTCCGCATCGCACCTTGGCCTGCCAAATGGTCATGGAAGTCGCAGTGATGACGGCGAAAAGGTGACCGGTGCGCGCAACCCGCAACGCGAGGATCGGCTCCTTGAGCGGAATTGACGCGGGAACAGGAGCTGCGCCATTGCTGGTCGAGGCCTCCGAGGCAGAGTCGAGCAACTCATGCTCTACGGAGTTGATGCCAGGAGTCTGAGGCGTTATGGGGGTGATGGGAGTGGGAGGGACGATGTCGTAGCTCGAGGCTGAGTCGGAGGTCAGGAGGGAAGCCTTGTCAGCCTTGTCTGTGGTGTCCTCAGAGGGAGCTGGAGGAGGCTGGAGGCCATCATGAGATACGACGAGGTTGAAAGTGGCAGTCTGGCTGCTGCTGGTGGCATAAACTCGAGGTGTGCCAACGGGCCAGTACATGGCTGGCTGTTGGGAGCCAAGAGGCAGGATGTGTCTTCATTCGTGCCAGTCCAATGGCTGCTGTATGGGGCGCACGAGTGATGGGAATCCACTGACAGCAGTTAGCTCATCTTGATTGGTGTCTCTGTGTGTGAGGTGGTAGGTCTAAGCCCAAGAGAGCGGAGAGGTTGTGATTGACATGTGGTGGGTGATGGCTCTGGCTCAGCAAGGCTTCCTTTTGTTCGTGACGACAGGTTGGGATCAGCTCAGTGGAGCTGACAGCCCTGCTCCCGCCTGCAGGCCTCTGGATGGCGGGGCCAATGGGAACCCTCAAGGGCTCTGAGCCTCTGAAGCTTACCTCCAAGTTTGGCACTAGCTCAAGACCAGCATTTTGAGCTTCGATGTGTAGATGTCTTGACACCTGTGCTGTGAATGTTGAAATTCTGGCTTATCTGGGTAGTTTTACTCCCAGAATTCACAACAATCTGAGGAAACTGTGATATGTTTGTGGACGTTGAAGACGGGTTCTTAATCTCTTTCAGGCTTCCATGACAGTGGCCATATGTGAGGACTTGGTTCCTGGGTAGCCTCTCCCCTGTTTCTCCCCTGCTCTTCAACACCAAGCTTGTCCATCTCCTCCCCATTGCGGTCGCAAGTCGAGAATCTCAGCCAAGACTCGTTGTGAGACTCGTTGAAGCTCTCATAGTTTCATTCCAGTCAGCTGAGGGGGCATCTTCAAGCTCGACCCCTTTTTCGGTTCGTTAACCCAAGCAAGCTGTCAAGCCGTCCCTGGAACTGCGCATTGTGACTGACGACTCTTCTGATAGCCAAATCAATACCCTTTGTTCCGGTGTCTTTCCACCGCAACTTGCAGCCGCGATGGCCCCTCTGAAAGCGAGGAGTAGTGTTGTTAAGCAAAACTTTGCGAGTCACTTCAGCCAGCAGAGAGCTCAGGCATATTCCGACACAACATCATCAAGGGGTGCTTCATCTCACAAGTACGTTCTCTACCAGCCTTGGTCTACAATGACCCGCACCACCCCGGATAGGCTCACTTGATCACCAATTTGCGGAGGAAAACCAACATGACGGCCGAATTACTCACTGATACCAGCATCCGCTCCATCGGTTGGAATCCTCAAGGCAGTCTGATTGCCACCGGCGCTGCTGACAAGACACTACGAGTCTGTGAGTGCACCAGCCTCCACCCCTATGGAATCCTGACGGAAGATCTGACGAGAGTCGAAGGGAACCCAGAGAAGCCTAACGTTCGCTTCTCCACCGAACTGAAGGGCCACGCAGCCCCGATCGAGAAGGTCGCGTTCAACCCCGTCAAAGACGCTGAGCTCTGCTCCGTCAGCAACGACGGCGTCGTCAAGTTCTGGGATGTCCGTACCAAAGCTTGTGTCAACGAGGTTAAGGGCCTCGGCGAGGCGTTCACCCTGGCGTGGCACCCTGAGGGCGAGTCCCTGATCGTGGGCACAAAGGTGGGCAGAAAAATCCGGCCCACGTCCAGCACCTGGCACTTCCCCGTGCGCCTTTCCACACGTCTCAGCGGCTGACCAGACTGTCAGAGCGATAAAATCCACATCTTGTCCCCGACCCAGTCGACGCCCCTGGCCTCGCACCAGCAGTCGGTGCAGACAAACCAGATCTCCTTCTGCTGGAGCGGCAACAAGGTCTTCGTGTCGACCGGTGAGGGCAAGGTGCGCATCCTGTCCTACCCGGACCTCCAGCCCCTCATGCACTACAACTACGACCGGTCCAAGATCGACGGCACCGGTGCCACCGATGAGTACATGATGAAGGGCCACACGTCGTCCTGCCTGTCGGTCGAGCTGAGCCCCAACGCGCGGTACCTGGCCTCGGGCGGCACCGACTCCATGATCTGCCTCTGGGACACGCAGGACTGGATCTGCCAGCAATCTTTCACCGACATGGTTGGCCCTGTCAAGAGCCTGAGTGAGTTGACTCACATAATAGCCTCACTCGAATTCCTCGTGACATTTCATTGCGATTGGTGCTAATTTCTATCCTGTAGGCTTCACCTGGGACGGTTTCTACGTGGTTGGCGGCAGTGACGAGGGCACCGGAATTGAATGTTACCACTGCGAGTCCGGCGAGCGCGTCCACACCTTCAAGACGGCCAGCCCGTCACCCGTCGTATCTTGGGCCCCGACCCGCTATCATCTTGCGTATAGTGATCTAGGCCAACTCCGCATTATCGCAGCGGATGTACCGGACAGGAAATGAGAGAGGCATACTGTTCACATAGTGCCGTGGAGAACTGAGCTGTGTCACATGGTAAAGACATATCAATCATGCGCAGTTGGGGCCTGAAGATACCCTGGTAGGCAAGAAGTCACAATCGAAGACTTGATAATTCCTTAAAGGTGATGCAATTCTCCTTATGGATCGCACGCAGATCTCTCTACAGATCTGACGAATGTGGCCTTTTTTACAGTGACAGATGTCACGCCTAAATTCTCCCAACGCCCGTGAACGCTGTTTCATTTCCCATCCTTGGTATCTGAACCCCTTAACGCCTGAACAAATGCTTTTATGTGTCCTCTCGCCAAGGCCCTGGAACGCCTCAACTGCCCTTACTGTCTTCCACTACCTTCGTCCGTCTCAGTGTCCTCCTCAAACGTCTCATCGCCCTCCAAGAGGTCCTCATCTTCACTCTCATCTTCTTCTCCATCTAGACCCGGGAAGGAGTCATATGGTATGTAATCGCCGTCGACCCAATGTCTACTCTCGGGAAGCTGGTAAGGGTCGAAGGGAAAGTATGGCGTGAGCTGCAACCAGCTCTCATCATATGGGTTTTGGCTCGCCGTTTCTCGCAAGGCCTCCACGCTTGAGGAGACGTACGAAGAAAGGTAAATCCGCCGGTTGGCTTCGATCTTGTCGTGGACGTACATGAAGCCAAGGTGGCCAGCAAGATTGGCGAATTCTTGCACAATAGTTGGATGGCACACCCGTAGGGGGTTGAACCCAGACCAGATGTTCGCTCGGAGGATTGGGCGCAGCTCTTCCATCCACTCGAGATCTTGACCCAGGTAGGAGGCGGGATCCTCCGGGTCGACAAGATCAGGTTTGTCGACGACCAGATCACGCCACCGAAAGCAGAAAATGTACAGAAGACCTTGGAAGAGAGCGTAGTAGGGGGTGAATCGTCTCAGGTCTGGGCGCGCAGTGGCTTGATGTCTGTATCGGTATGAGTCGATGTGCTTAATGAGCACTGTGCATATTGTTCGCACAGACTCGGCGGGAACCCTCTTGCCGCGAGCGGCGAAACTGGCAAGATAAGCGGCAGCGTTCTGCCTTGTGATCATAGAATTCTGGTTGCCAAATGCTATGTCGAGCAGCACTCCAGCGAACCTATCTGTGAGTTCTTCGGACAGCTGGCTGAAATGAAAGATGAGGAACTGAGTATGCCGACTTGAGTATGTGGGAAGGATGATGTTGACGAATTCTGTGAGCATGTTCTCGAAGATATCTCTCGCGCCATCAGAGTCCGGCTCGGCGAAGATCGGCTGGTAGAGTTCGAAAAGGCTGTTCATAATGAAGTCCATCTTCTGAATGTGTTGGGCCGCTTTCAGAATCTTGCCGCTGAGCTCGTGGCGATCATCGCTCTCATCACTTGCAACGCTCTCGACGTCGCTCACATCGTCATTGTCGATCTCATCGGCTCTGGAAGCTTGAAGCTGCTGAACTACACCGGCAGCCATGTCATCGTCGACCTCGTCCAGATCAACTTGGATCTGCACATCGATCTAGAAAGCTGTAAGCAGGCAGCTTCGCAGTGTGAGGGACAGGAGGTATTGCTCACTTTGACAAGCCGATCCGTGATCAACTCCATGATCTCGGGTCCCATATCAGGTGCGTATTCCCGCAGACGTAGCAGATTCTGTACAAACGCCATGTGGATGTTCTTGGACTCGTCGGAGAAGGGAAACTCCTTGTTGACCAGGGACAAAAGCACACGTCTTGCCGCGGGGAACAGCTGCAGGACATGGCCGAGTGCGCGGTGGAGGCGTCGTCGCATCACATCACAGCTGACATCTGGGAAATAACCTGCCCTCCACTCAAATTCCCTAAAATGCCGAAACTTTTCCACGAGCATGCCAAGAACATTGCTGAGATAGATGGATTGACCGGTGACAAGGTTGGCCAGGAAGTCGGTATAGGCGGTCACGAAGTCGTCAGGCCGGCCAAGCCATGGTATGCTGAGGACCTCGTGGACAAGGCTTGAGCAGGATCTCCCGAGCTGGGGTGCGCACACCTTGAGAGCCTTGACGTAGTGTATCAGATCGGAGGGGTCGACCTCGTCCTCAACCTGACTCGAGTTGGGGGTCTGTTTTCGGCGGCGGTCGTTCTCGAATATTCCCTTGAGAGTGTCGTAACCTTCCTGATCGCCTATGCTGTGTTCCTTCAGAGCCTTCACCACTGCGAGCTTGACTTCTTCAGCCTTCTCCTTGGCCGCGGTCGGTGTCGCAGGTGCGATGCTCTGCACAGTGTTGGAGTTCATGTCGAAGACGACGGTCTTGCGACGCTTGGTTGGACTTTGTGGCTGGGCCTCCTCATCGTCGTCGTCTCTCATGCGGCGGCCCAAGGTTGTCAGGCTTGTGCGCAGGATACTCTTCAAGGCCGAGCTTTTGGCAGTTGGTGGCGATGACCGCCGTTCTGTTCTTATGGGTGTGTGAGTGGCCATGTGGAAAAGTCCAACCACGCTGTCGGTGTGGCTGACGTCGAGACTGTCGAGGATGCCTAATGGATCTAGGATTCGGAGTTTAGGCGTGGAGCGAGGCGGAGACTAGGGGTTCTGGAGAGAGCTGGTTTGACATGATAGAACTGTCCAGGTGAATGGATAAGCTGCCTAGGGATTGTTCTGGTGAAAGCTGTGGTGTCTGAATGGCGACAATGTTGGCCACGAATTGATTCGTAGGGACGAAGGGCTGGAAGATGATGGTTTTTCCCCTCCAAGAAGGAAATTTAGCACGCGAGGGAGTGGAGGCGAAACTCCTACTCCACTCCACTCCCGCCGTGGACCCTAATGAGACTGAATGACCGCCTGCCTCCATTGGATTGGTCTCCATTGGTGCTTGATGTGGCCCGTGCGCCTTCAGATTCCACGACAGCGCGTTGGTACCACTTTGAGACTGTGAACTTAAACCTGCAGTGCTCTCACGCGTCTCACCTGCTTTACTTTTTTCACATACAACGCGAGTCGTCCTTGGTCGTCGACATCCAGACACAACACTGCATCAGTTGGACACACTTTCAATGCTGTATAAGATCCATCATAGGCAAGCCCTGTTTGTTGGGCAGTTCTCGACACCTTGTGCAGTTGGAATGAAGGCATTGGTTATGTCTTAGCCGTATTCAAGGACAATAAAATTCGTGGCTGGTTGGCGCTTGAGCACGCATACACGAACATAACTGTCTACACATATATAGTTGAGGGCTTCTGTCGTCCACGCCGTTCGTATGAAACGGACCTGAGCGACAACTATCGGATACATATCGCGCTGCTCTTCGACCAAAGAAAGCCTGGCCCCTGTCTGCAGCCATGGGGATGCCCTTGCTTCACCCCGCCAGAGGGTGCCATTCGAAGCAGTGGCCACGCCAGCCCTCACGGGTCCCATTACGCTTTTGCTTGCGTGCCTGGGAGCAAATCGCGTGCCCAAGCTAGATTTCCAAGAGATCTCGACGACATGATCATCCCTGCTACGGCCCGTCCTTCACGGGCTGAGCACAAGCGGATGGGTCCCAAGACGAGCAGGGTCGGCACTGCGGCCTCGAAGCATCAAGCTCTTGCCCTGTGAAGGGATGCCCACAGCCACCTGCGAGCAGAGCAACCTTGAAGTTTATTGTCGCCCTTGCTCGTGACACCAGCTAGCTATCTCGATGGATGGGGATTTGGTGCGCACAAGCCAATCGCCCTTCCTCTTGCTCTGACGTCCAAGTTGTTTGAATCGACAGGCAGCAGAGGCCTCAAGAGAGGCAACAGTGAATGGCCCTGAGGGCCCGCAATCCTACATGGTGGGCCAAGCGCAGGTCCTCTCAGGTGCCACGCAAACGCTGCGGCTGTGGGGTGACGATCGGCCCCTACAGGCTCCGTTGATTCGCAGGGGAGCCGACTGCCGGGTGGCGCTGCAGGCCTCGCAGCCAGCTAGTCATCTACCCCGAACAACCAAGATCCCGGCCAGAGGACCTCGGACTGCGAGAAACAAGCCTCAGCTGCGGATCCATTTTCACGAGTTTCGTCCTTGTTGCTGCGCTGCACTTCGTTGCCTCCGCCGGAGAATCAGACAAACACGGTGACGTCTAAATATGGAGCTTCGTAAGGTTCTGCCCGTCGATCAGAATGTGCCCTGCGCCGATTGCTGTGTTGTGGTGCTATATCTGCCGTGTTCCCAGCCCAGCCTCCCGTATATCGCGAATCTCGAGTGAGTTCTCGCGACCTGCTTTTCTCTTCGCCGTAAGTACGGAGTTGGCCCATCTCTTCTCAACTCCTTCTGCTTTGTCTATCTTTGCACTTTCATCAGCACAAAATGGCTGCTCCATCGGGCCCTCTATGGTTGGACGTGAACCAGTCTCCTTACAGCAACAATGGCAACGCTGTTGCCAGTGTTTTCTTCCTCGCCATCATCGCGGCGAGTCTCACTTGTTGCCTTGCCGTCTCATGGAAAACACAGCGATTCGTTCCATTCAGTCTCGTCCTCAGCATTACGTGCATTCTTGAAATAGTATCTTACGCATTACGATTACAAGAATGGTACATTGTCAGTTACACTACGAACTTCGGGTTGTCTGTCATAGCACCAGTCTTCCTTACCATTGGGTATGCGAGCTCCACAATTTGACGGCCGAATTTGTACTTCGGACTGACCACTTTAAACAGAATACACCTATGTGCTGCTCAGGTACTCCATGTGCTCGGAACAGAACATGCAGTCCTGTCGCCTAACGCCCATATGCGAGTTTTCATTTGGACCGATCTCCTCGCCGGGCTGCTGCAAGCCATCGGACTCGGCCTAACCTTCTCACGCGCCAAACAAGCCGGCCCATGGGGCATCACCTTGCCACCAGAGGCCGGCACAGGGCAAGATATCATGTACGCCGGTCTTCTCCTGCAGACCGTCTCGATGGCGGCCGCGCTGAGCCTTCTCGCCATCGCCTACGTCAAAGCCGGGAAAGCAGACCGCAAATATGGGTACACGACGTTCCACAGGGATGGACCCGGATACGTGCCTCTCACACCTCGCTTCAAGACCTTCCTAGTTGTCCTGCCGCTCGCAGGGGTGTGCATCCTCGTGAGGTGCGCGTACCGGTCCGCGGCAGCGTGGGGCGGGATCGGGAGCCCGATCGCGAGGGACCAGATCCTGTGGCTCGTCGCCGAGGGCGTGATGCTGACCGAGGCAATCGCCTCGCTGGCGGCTTTCCACCCGGCAATATGGCTCGACGACGGCATTAGCAGCAGGGCGTACGGCGACGACGCCGAGCACGATGGGGCGAGGACATCCAAGCTGAGCAAGAGGCTGACTGTCGGGACCTTCGCGACGGGCATGACCGACATGGAGCATCAACACGGGAACGTCCGGGACTCGCGACAAGACCTGGCCGAGGTCAGCCAGGTCATCTTCTCATCGGCGCTGATCGCCCCGTCGGATGCCTCGTCGGACGCCTCGCACTCGCGGCGCGGCTCGGCGGGCGAGCACGGCCACGAGCACTTCAGGGACGCGGGACATCTGAGCGGCTCGCCGTATGACCCACACCTGCCCGCGAGGCGGTACTCGGAGGACATAACGGCCGAGTCGCGGTGCTTGTCGCCCCTGGAGGCCGAGGAGGAGGCGGACCGGGTGTCGATTATACCAGAGCCGCCGAGGAAGTCCAGCAAGAGGATCTCGCGGGCGCTGGAGATGGCCCGACTGCAGCAGCAGCAGCGGGACCTGGAGGACGACGATGACAATGACCGCATGGAGGTCGCGTCGGTCGTGCTGCCGCCGAGGAAGCCCAGCAAGAGGGAGACCATCCACGACGGCAGGGAGGATGATTTGGAGGATGTTGCGCTCACTTCGACTTATTCTCAGTCACTTTACTCACAATAAGCATTCACTATCATGGAAACGGGCTGGGGGTTAAGGAGGGACCGGCAGAGACAGGGATTTTTATTATTGCATACATGATACCCGGAGTTTTGGTTGGCATTTAAGGTTGGCATTCATCTGAGCCGGGCAAGGTTGCCAAATACATGCGGGGGCATACATGCCCATTCCCCCACCGGTATTGTTTAATGTGTCACAATTATGTATGAATATGAATGTACACACAGAATCATCAATAGTATGAAGGCAATGTGACTGTCATTAAGTCTCCGTGTATACCTTCAGTAGTCAAGACGCTGTCGTGGAGTGGGATTTCCGCAGCCCTAGTTCTCCGATATGGGGGATTCCTTTCGATGGTAGTGTACAAAAATATAGACGGAGAAATAGCCTTCCATCCTTTATCCAATATTCGCCATACCAACAACCCGTGCATGAATTGTTATTCGATAACAATCGCTGGGGTACGTATCATGATGTCCCACCTGCCCCTTTTAAGGAGAGACCGAGCATCGCTGCGGTCAACAAAAAAGCAAATCGACCGCCTTCCATGCGCTTGTCCCAAAGATCACTGCAGTCAGAACCCCATCTGACGCGCCGTTCAAACCGTGCAAATGTGCAAAAAGTCCAAACTCCTCATCCATCACGCAAGGTTTCGGCACGCTCAAGGTTGTGCATCCCATCCCATATCCATTGTCTCCATCGGTCCCATTTGTAGCATCGTCCTTAAGACGCCTTCAGAGACAGGTGTCATCCCCGTCGTGCCGGACGTGAACTGTTCCCAGTTGAAGTCGCTCGTATTTGAGCCTGCAGCGCCGCCACCTGGGGTCTTCCCAGGCGTTTCTGGCATCGTAAATTGCTGATTCGGTGTGAGTCCTGTCGCAAAATCGCCGCCGGGCATATTTTGGAAGAAAGCATCTATGCTGCCGCTCTGTAGCTGATCTTGATGCGTTCGCGAGTTGTGATTGTTGTTTATATTAGTGGATGACGATGCAGGACTGGCCTCGAACGAGTTCCTGCCTGACCGGCTGCTCGTAGCTGCCGTGAAGCTGTTGCTGCTGCCATTTGGCCGGTCGGATGTAGATGTGGTAGAGTTCGGTGTCGGTCTGTCAGATCCAAGTCCTGCGTCTGGTGATGCCGACGTGTCACCAGAACCTCCCTCGTTGCCGAAACCTCGAAGCATCCCAGACCCAAAGGCTGGAGCGTTTCCGGCTCGCAGTCGATCCATATACGCCATGGCGCCCGTGTTTGGCCATCGACCGCCCACGCCGGAGAAATTCGAGGCATTCACCTGGTTGCTGGAACGGTTCGGGTCCATATTAATAGTCTCGGGACCACTTGCTGGGTCGTTGCTGTTCTCGTTGGATTTCATGTAATGACAATCACTTTGCGCAAGAATCCCGTGGCCGTCGCCCCCGTCGTCACATTTTGCGCCTGGTGGTGTTTTACCGGGCCAAGGGTAGCCTCCGTCTTGCTAAATGAGAACACTGCTATCAGTATACTTGTCTCGATATATAGAAAATGGTCCAGACTCACGCCCAAGGTGCTTCGTGGAAAGGCTGCTCTCAGCTTGGGAATGCGCGCGCCGAGAGCTTCCAAGTCGACATCAAGCTGGACAAGGAAAGATTCGGTCAAGGGATTCCGCCTCTTGAGCGCTCCCATTGCTGCAAGGAGGAAACGCAGTGAATCGACAGTTTGACTGTCATCAGGGCGACTTTTCAAGTACTGCACAAAGACTCGTGCGGCGACGTAGAGGCAGAAGGAGGTGAATGGGTTGACCTGGCAAGGGTTAGCATGGTGGACGAAGACTGCGCCTTCGTTGAACACTCACGGTTGAGAGGTCTATGTGTGAGATAGTCCTCATGGTACTCGCGATTTCGTTTGCTGCAGTGATGCAGCGGACCTTGCTCTCGGCACTGACCGAGGCTGGCAATCTGTTTTTATCCGCCTTGAAGATGGCGGCTTGGTGGAGGCAAATGGTCGATGTATGTATGCACATGTTTGTGAAGATAACGTTCGGGTTCGTTAGACCCGCGGGCAGTTTGAGATGGGCTGGAAGACAAAGGGATGTGTTGAGGAGAATGTTGTCCAGATTTCGGTGTCGTTTCCAGAATTCGCCATTCAAGTCGTGGTCCCGGTCATCGACATCTGGCCGGTGGAGATGGAGGAGATTGCGACCGAACAAGCAAGCCATCAGGACGACACCACCCATTGTGGAAATGCTACCGGCTCCGGCCGGGGTCATTGAGTCTGCGAGAGTCTGTGTTTGCTCCGGCCGGCTCATGTTGTAGGCGTCGTCTGAAGCAGGCATGTTGCTCATGATGTCCTTCTCATCGATGGTCATCGGCCACCCTGTGCCGATACTGGCGTACCTGTCTTCAGTGAAGGCCATCCAGAAGGTCCGCCTTCTTTCCTCTCTCTCGGTCCAGTCCCGGGGTGGCGGTATGCATTGCTTCACATCCAACCCGGCACCGTCCAGACGGTGGAGTCCCATCATCTGACAGAGTCGAACAGCGGCACCAGTACTCATCCAGGCTCTGGGGAAATACATCATCTTGAACTCATACTCAGCAAGCAAGACGTGAGTTTGGGCATGAGCAACCGAGATCAGATGTTCACCAAACCCTTTGACGTAATCTGCCTCCACATACTTCCTAGCTCGCTGGTAGAAGAGGTCTCTCAGGTCGGCGAACTTGTCCGCTACTGAGCACGCGAGCGTCCATATCGCATATCTGAGACACACCGGTGGGCGCTGGTTTGGCGCTCTGCAACCATATCAGCCAAGTTTGTTCGAAATATGAGCACGGTTTGATATGAATAATGAAACTCACAAGTTCATAGCTGCGAGGTAACGATACTTGTGTATCATGGGCATGGAGGGGTGAACTTTCTCAAAGTATATCTGATGGCTGCGCATTTCGATTTGTCAGTTTTTTCTCATCACACAACAGATATCTAACGGAGCAAGAGGCTGTCTCACAATTCGTCAATTGACTCCTGAGGAGGAAGAGGTTCTTCCAAGCCTAGACCTATCATCTCCCACGTGAAGCTGTTCTGTATCGGTATGGCATTGAAGTCGAAGGTGTCGCCAGCCTGCGGAGGCTGGGGCGAGTTGTCTCCGTTGAAGTTCCACTGGTCCATATCACCGCCGGCGGCAAGGCTGATAGAAGGATCATTGACGGTGAGGTTGGCAGGTGTGGAAAGGCCTTCGTTGACCTTGGGATCGGAATTGACTGGGGCGGAAGGCGTAACCTGCACAACTGGCTTGGGGGCAGCGGGTGGATCTTGCGTCTTCAGTAGAGTCTCGACTTGTTCTGTAGCCCCAATTGCCTGTCAGCGATTGCTTATTCAAGAGTCGCCTTGCCGTTGTAAGAAGGGTGGGAGCAGACGCACTCAAACGCTCTTCCAGAGCCTTGACATATCCACGCTTGGGGCCACTCTTCCGGCGGACCTCGTCGTAAGCACAGTCGTGGCCCAACCTCGTACATGTGCTACAGCGCGGGCGGTTGCCGTCGCACCTGAGCTTCCTCTTCCTACATATCATACAAGCCAGGCGTTTGGGCTTGGGGACATCGGCGTTGTTTGGGGGATGGGGGGCCGAGGAGCTTGTGCCCGCTTGACCGCTCGTGTCCACCTGGACAACGAGAGTGTCCTCTGCGTCCTCGACGCCATTCATGGCCGTGTCTGTGTCCGGCGATGTGGACATTGTGACCGTGCCACGGATCGGCCCGTGGGCATGCGAAGAGAGTGTGGGCGTGCCGCAGCGTCGGATCGCGTTCGGAGCAGGGCAGCGGCAGATGCGCTGGGTGGATTAGGTTGTGTTTCGTCAGGCCTGGACGACCTTGTGAGAGGGACGTCGTGGAGACCAGATCGGGGTCGTGGGTTATGTTGTCGGTCGTCGGTAGGGACCCGTCTGGGGTCTGGGAGAGGTGGCTAGTGCGTGTGATGGAGTGAGGACTAACGGGGCGGGGAGGGCGGACGTTGAGGGGCCGGCGAGCTGGAACAGGGTCGGTGATGATCTAATGTGCAATTATCGGTGGGTGAGGCGAAGGGAAAACAGCAAAGCATGCACACAGGGGCACACGATTGCGCAGAATGGTAATTGACGGTGGGGAATAGACGAAAAGTTAAGCCAGGTCAAGCCAGGTCAAGCCAGGTCAAGCCAGGTCAAGCCAGGTCAAGCCAGGTCAAGTCATGTCAAGTAAAGTCAGATCTGTACTATGTAGGAAGAAGACAGGGACTCTACATTAGCCAGCCGTGCCTCCTCTCCAATCCGTCTGTCCATCCCTTTCAGCTGCAAGACTGAGTGAGGTGTACGTGTGAACGAGCCAGGAAGAGAGCGCGTGCGTCTGTCTGTCTGCACAAGCACAAGCACAAGCACAAGCAACAAGCGGGATGCGTCCCGAGGTGGGCTGCCTTGGGGTCCCTCCCACTCCCACTTCCCCTACCAGTCCTTTCCAGATGCAGATGATGTATGTTTGCTGGTGCTCAGTGCACGCAGATTGCGCTGGTGCGCAAAAAGGTTCCTTCGCTCGTAAAACGGTAGGCGCAGTCTATCTAATCTGGCGGTCTCATCCTTGTTACCAGGCCCGTGGGTCATGGGGGGACGGGACTCGACGGTGCGACACCGTTACAATCCGAATGCGACTCAGAAGATCGGCGGGCCCAAGGCTGCGTACTCAGTACCTACCGGTAAGGCTTAATACTACCAGGTGTCTATGTATCGACAACCTTGATTAATAATGCAGCCAAATGCCCCGAGCTTCTCTAGCCTTCCACAGTATCTACTGTGGTACTGGCCCGTCGTGCCCGTCTAAGTGCAACGCAACAGTCGTCGCACGTCCGTTGTCAACCTGCTGCAACGAACACCACATGGCACTGATGGCTTGACAGACATGAAGCAGACTTCCCAGCCATGGACAGCACCAACAACCGTGGATGCCCACCATCTCAGGAACGCCATGTCCATGAGGACACATCGCAGTTGCTGACTGGACCCTGGGTCCGAATCCTGACAGCTCTGGGCCCAACGCTTCCATCATCCTCTTCAAGGTTGCCGTTTGATGACGCGCTCATCTCTCATCTCACTCGAAGCTGTCTATCTGCCTGTCAAGCCCCAGCCCAAAGCCATCCATCCCATCCTACCCACGGAATGCCACGCTAGACTGTCATGCATCTCTAGGGTCGAGGGCCTCTCTGTCAAACCACGCAGGGGCCCATCTGATGGTCCTGGCCGTAGTGCCTCTGTGCCCAGCTTTTGCATGGTCCAGAGAAATTTCACGGACAGACGAGCCGAACGCCCTCTTGCATGCACAGCCTCGAATCAAATTGAATCCGCCGTCGACCATGGGCCTTGGGCTATTCCTTCTCTCGCTTACACGCGTGGCCACGCCGGCATTTGTAGTGCATCTCGGCCGGTTTTTCGTCCGTCTTACTCTTATCAGCCTCTCACCGCCTCCCAGTCCTGTTTTGGACCGGCCAAAGCTTGGCGTCACGCCGACTGTTTTGCTGCCGAAGCTTGTCGCTTGCTGCACTCCCCTTGTCCAGTGACCATCATCACGGTCCCGCCTCCACTCCACCGGGGCCGAGTCAACGGCGCTCCGGTCTTGGGGTCGCCGGAGGAGTCGGGGTCTTGAGGCGAATTCACCCCACGGTTCCAGTCCCGAGGAAGAAACCAACCTTTGATTACTCACACGGCGACGGTTTGGGTGTCCCAAAAATCTGACAGAATGCATGGAGTCGACAGACCCTGGCTCTGCCTCTCTCGGCATATCAAAGCCCACCAGACAGTTGAAATATGGTTGCAATATGGCCAAGGCGTGTTACCGGACATAGATGGCTCACTCGTCGGAGCGCTCCGTCTAGGCGGCCGCAGCTGCGCGCCCTCGTAGTGATTGGTCGCGCATGTAGTTGCACGCTCACGCACCGCTGAATAACCTGATTACTTCTTTTGTCCTGGTCGCTGTCCCGATGCGGCATAACCACATGAGATCAAGGCTGGAGGTGACACCTCGTCGAACCTCGACCCAGCTTCACCACCACCTCGTGCATAGAGACGCTGTTCCTCTGCCTGTAACCGGCGCAAAAATCTGCTTTCGCTGCAAGGATTTCGCCGCCGCCGCTTGTCCAGGTCTTATTCAGCTCGATGGAGCACCAATGTGCGGCGAGGGGCGGGAATGAGGGCGACGTATATGAGGATGGCGGTCTGGCTGTTGAGTGCCGTCCTGGTTGAAGCAAATCAACCACTTCTCTTTCCGTCAAATCCGAGCATAATCTTCGCTTCTCGAGTAGAAAGTTTTGAAAATAATGGAGGCGTATACCGAAGACCGGCCATCTTTCACGTCTTTCTGGAGGAAAACGAAGGACGAGTCCACGGCACGCGAGCTCACGTTCGTCCAGAGTGACCCTAGCCAGCCAGGTTGTAAAGGTGCGTGGAATTCTTTTTGTTCATGAGTGCTGCTGTTGCGCTTCTTATAATTCCCAAGTTTCTGCCCTGCTGTAACCCGCCAGACGGGGCCAAGAACCTGGAAAAGCCTGCTGCGTGACACATTGTCTTGATTTGGCGACGAAGATTTGTCAACGCTACGCTCGGAATGGCCAGCAGTCAAAGCCAGGGCGTGGAACTTGGGAATCTGCATGCGACTTACTTGCGCCCCGTGCTATGTCTTGGGTACCCGTCGCTACATCGACCAACCTAAAGCCACTCACCCAAACTTCTGTTCTCCATAGACAAGGTTCAGACAGTCAACCAGACCCAGCTAACACATGCAGTCCCGGCACCGGAGCAGGGCCCGGCACCAGGGCACGCATCAAAGGACAAGCGGAGAGTGCAGGTTCGGAAAGCGCAGGTGGCGCACCGCCAGCGCAAAGCAAAATACGTCGAGCAGCTCGAGGCGGACATCGCTGGCATGCGAGACAAGATCTCCACCGCTGAGAGTGAACGGCAGACGCTACGGGACGAGAACGAAGCCATCCGTGCCCATCTCTCTGCAGCAGCAGCAGCAGCAGCCTCGACTTACAGCCAGGCCTCAGCCCCGTCAATACAACTCTCGTATATGCCGTCATACTTGGACAGCAGTTTCCAGTATCAAGACTCAAATCTCGGCACCAGCGTTGGCATGGGCTCTTTGAACGCGATGGATTTGAACATGGATGGTGCTCTGGGTACATTAACTCCATTCTACACGAGCGAACACTCTCCCTTCGCAAGCTCAGGCGTTGGATCTTCTCTGAGCGGCTCGCCTCAATATCTGGCTAGGAGTGGAGGCAGCTCTCCATACCCCTACTTGCCTTGATACGTAAGCGGCCGTTCAGGAACCAACTTGTTCCTTGAACGAGTATGCTGTAACTACATGGGGTCTTCCGAGGCGTGACCCAGACGCTCTTTCTCAAGGCTGAGAGGCTTCGGGATGGGATCGAAGCAAAAGTCGGCGTTGTTTTCAAGATACCAAAGATTTATCGGAGCTAAGAGTATGATTACGGTTGGAACGAGACAAGTTGGCGGTCTTGTGGTGCCCCAGCCGATTCACTGGCCGCGGAGCCCGACCCAGATCTTGACTCCCAGCCTGGGAATACACCAGGTGGAGACCTAGAAGAAGTATGTTTATATATACCGGTCACTTTACAGCGGAGGCATACAGGCAAGCGATGATTCCCATAAATGCGATTAAATTAAAAATATATGTTGAGGCTTTTCTCGAGACAACTTGCTCTCATCAAGTCTTCACCCAATTCACCCACTCACACCGACAGCCCCCGGTGCCGCCGTCCACACCGCCCCAGCTGAGGTCGCCGTTGGGCAGCCGAGGGTTGACCACCTCGCCGCCGAAGCCGACATCGTTGGTAAACAAGGTGGCGTCGGTCGTGTTGACGTGCTGGTCAGGCTCGACGCCGTACGCGAACGTCGCCTTGAGATCGACGCTGCCGCCGTGCGTGTCCTCGCCGACGGTCACGGGGTAGGGGAACGTCCCCGGCATGGCGGTGGAGTCGACGCCGGCCGCGGGGCCCGACCCGCCCACCAGGCGCGCGGCGGCCCCCTTGCGCGTCCAGATCTTGACCACGAACCGCGTCTGCGTCCACGTCGCCAGGTACTTGGCGTTGCTCTCGCGCGAGCCGCCGTTCGCGTCCGAGGCGGCCGACCCGGTCTCGTTGCCGTCCACCGACGTCACGTAGATGGTCTTGTTGAAGTACGTGTAGAAGCCGTAGTGCTCGGTCGGCAGGCCGCGGTCGAACAGGCGCAGCGGCTGCTGCAAGGGGTACGGCCGCAGCTGGGCCGGCGCGCCTGTGCCGTCCGCGTTCAGCAGCGGCGGCGGCAGGAACTCTGTCAGGCTGTCCGAGCTGTCCGACCCCGAGCCGATGCCGTTGCCTATCCCTCGCTTCGCCGCCGACGCATCGGTCTCGGACGTCAGCATGTTGGGCCCCGCGGTGCCGCTCGTGTTGGTGAAGAAGCTTATGTAGAACGGGGTCGGCTCGCCGGCTTTGTCGTCTGAGACGATCCCGTCCGTGGTGTTTCCCAGGAACCACATCTCCTGGAAGGACGGGGGGTTTGGCCTGGGCGCGATGCCGGTGTCGTACAGAGTGGTAGTTGCACGCTTCCCCAGAGACGAGCTGTCCTTTGTTGCTGCATTGTTCGTGCTGGGATTGCTGAGATCGCCGCCCTGGACGTTGTTGATGGCGCTCGTGCTGGTGGCTGAGGCTGAGCTGGTAGCACTCGTCTTGGAGGTAGTGGAGGCCGTGGGCTGGGTCGGGGTTGGGGGTGTGCCATTGGGGATATCCCATAGTTGACGGGTGTTGTTGTCGTATTGAATCTGGAAGATGAATTCAGGCTGATCGGCATCATGTGGCTCGTTCGCAGCCTGCTGCTCAGGAGGCAGCGAGCAACTCCACAGAGTCGATGGCGCAGCGCAGCCGTCGACTACTTGTGAGTTATCAGGGGCCACAATTGTCGACAGACCCGTGGGAATGGGCGGGAAGTTGGTCAGGTTGAGCCATACGTTGTCAATCTCAGAGCCGCCAGTGGTGCCTCCAGTTGTCGTGTTACTAGCAGCTGCTGAATGGACTACCCGACGAGAGAGCACAACACCCAGGACAACACCGAGAACGGTCAGCAGCAGGATCGCGAGGCAGATAGCGCCGATCCAGATTCTCCTGCGCTGACGGCCCTCGCGACCCGAGCGGCCGTAGCAGCCCTCCTCGGGAATGCATCCACGGCCCTTCCAGAACCCTCCGGCTTTTCGAGCGACGTAATCTTCCTTTTCGTGCCTACGCCTTGTCCGCTCAATCTTTGCGGCAGGGGAGCTGCCGTAATTGGCGAGAAATTGGTCGCCAGTTACGTAGGTGCCTGCTGCTCTGTCAGGCAACGGAGGACCTGTAGCGACTGCTGGCGTCAGTGGCACCTCGGACATTTTGATACCTCCTTGCGAGGTCATCGTCCCATCAAGGCCGGGGCTGCCAGGTTGTGGCGATGGTGGGTAGGCGTTGGCGAGCTCATGTCCGGGAGGAAACACGGCACGGAATCTGACTGGATGAGGCTGCTTGTTGGAGGGTGTTCGCTCGTAGGGCGGTGGCAGCTCCGTCTCAGCGTCGTCCTCCTCCATAATCACCCGAGCTTTCTCGGATCGGGGTTCGCCCTCATGATCTGAAGTGTGAGCGGATCTCGCGGAAGATGATGATGATGCGATTGTTGGAGTTGGAACGCGGATAATGGGAACAGGGGATGGAGGTGGTCGCAGTTTTGACGAGGATGCCGATGCGCTGTACGCAGGGTGGTTTTCAAGATGAGCAACCTCGATCGTCTTCTTCTCATCTTGGCCTTTCCACCACTCATCCCCGGCTGGACTTGCAGCATCCTTGTCGGTCTTTGATGTTGGACTGAAGCGTTCGCGAAACGGCGTGGTGAGATGATCCCACCAGCCAGATCGCGCACTGGTTGGGACTGGGGATATTTTTGAGGTGGCAGACGCCGGAGTTTTATGGCCATCCTCCTCGAACAAGGTCACTGGGGTGAAATCGTCGTCGTCGTCCTCGGGGTCATTCTTCGAGAGTCTGGCCTTGGCTGGATTCTTCAAGGACGAGGGCAGTGCTGGCACAGGAGGTACACCGGACTGGCCTGGCGTGACAGCAGTAGCCTGTGAATACACGCTTGAGATGGAATGGAGATGGCGTCCCGGGGAGAGGCTAGCCTCAGTATCGGGAGACCAAGCCGACTTTGGTTGTTGGTTATAGAAGGGATTTGTCGAAGGCATATTCAGAGGTAGTCTATCCATGGGAGTGGCAACCACGGCGGTCTGGGGACTAATGTCCCTCTCAGCGGCGTCATCCTCGGGCAATGATATGCCGATGACTATCTTGCTGCTGTTAGGAGTGCTTTGTGGTGTGAATTTTGAGATTGATGCGGCAGATGGGCTGTTCTTCAGCCAAGCCCAGTTTCCCATCGACGCTGATGAGGGCGATCCTTCCAGGGCCCTCAAAGCACTGGCATCAGCGAACTTGCCTTCCGTCGCCTTACTGGAGTAGGGGCCAGACACAGGCTTCACGAGCTGAGCAACATGATGAGGTCCTTTACGGAACCTACTCATGTCGGTGACCACCTTGATGCCTGCCTTCGCATTTTGGTCCTTTTGACGCTTGCGGGACTTGAGTCTCTGTATCCTTGGGGTGGAGTACCTAGATTTTGACGACCGCGATGCCGTCTGGCCGTGTGATTTCGATGAAGGCGAGGAACCAGATGCTGCCAATTGGGTGAAAGAGTCATTTCCTACAGGGGTGGATTGTTCATCGTCTGTCCACTCTTCCCAATCGTCCCGCTGGTGTCCCCGCTGAGGTTGTGTAGTAGCCATGCCATTGTGCATGGATCTGGTGTCCTCCATCTCGGGAATGGTAGTGCAGTGAGTATGTGTCCGGATCTATTGTGAAAAGAAAGGAATGTCTCTTCAAGAGTTTAATATGCTTGAGCTGGTTGCCGCTATATGGTAGTGTACAGGGTATCGTGCCTGTCGATACGGAAGAGAAGAGCGGGCGCTGAGGTGTAGCAGACAGAAAATGAGTTTCAGGTCGAGTCCACGGGACGGAAAGGTAGGTACCCGAGGAATTAATTCGATTAGATAGGTGCTTGGAAGGGGTATGTGTGTGGTGTTGACTTGGAGGGGTGTCAAGGCGGCTGATGAAGAATGGAACGTGACAAGGAGAACAATGGCAACAGCCCAGCCAGTCGGTCAGAACAATGAAAAGACCATGATGCGGGAGCAACACACAATGAGTTGGACTCAAAGAACAAAGACGGAGAATAATGAGAAGTCAAACTGATCAATTCATAGCAGGCTCAGATGATGATGGCGTGGGCAGGGCAGCGCGGACTCAACCAGGCGAGTGAGTGGTGGGCGGAGGGAGTCGACGCCGTCTGCCCACTGCCCTGGCAGCAAGTGGGCCCCAGGACTGCATGTTTGACTACCACGCAGATCTGACTGGCCTGACTGGCGCGGACAGGCTCTCGATGAAATCTCGCCAGTTTACCTGCAGCAGTTCAAGACAGGGTTCGACTGCACATGACGGCGCTTAATGGATGTTGGGTGCACTGGCGAGATTTTGTCCGTGCTGTTGATTTGTATGGGGTCTGGAGTTTTGCAGCGGTAAGCGCTGGGACTCAGAGGGCGTGGCTCCACTAAAAGTCTTGGGGTGTAAGATGATTGGGCAAGTGCTGCGCAGGGTCTCTGGAGAAGCGCCGTCCCTCGCCAATCGGTCTGGCCCGGGAGGACCATCTGGCGCGCAGCCATGCCCCTGCAGAAGAGCCCCTGCATATTCGATCCGGGTTCAGCCTGCTTTGGTGATCGACGTCGCGATGCTAAGATTGCGTGTCTGCGTGTCTGCGTGTCTGCGTGTCTGCCGTCTGCACAACAACCACCACCACCAACACACCACCATCGCGTCAACAAGGTTGCGAGGCAGCCAACCTTGCAGCTCCGAGACAGGGGTGCGACGCTCATAGTTGCTTGTGCTTCAACAGGACATGCGAATGGATTGGTGCGTCTATGATATTATCGCACTGACTTTGCCTCGACCAATTCGTATGTGTTGTCCACAATTGCTAAGCGGGATATGAGCCTCTCTCGCGTGGTTCTGGGCCGATACATGTTGAGAAGGAAGCCAAGTCTGGGCTGTACCACGTCGATTTGGGAACCTGCCAATTCGGAAAGCTTGTCATACAGGCAGGAGCTGGCAGAGAACCGCCTTCGAATGTTCTTGACGGATAGGATCTAGGCAGGGCGAGCGTGATTAACACACGCTCTTATTCATGCTGTTCTCTGCATGAATGACCACGTGTTTCTCAAAGCAGTCTACCGCGCACTGGAGCTCCGATTGAGCGCATGCCAGGTATGGAGACAACCAGCGTCAAGCTGAGGAAGCGAGAATCAAATGCTGGGCCTCGCGTCTAAAGAGGCGCTTGAATCTGACGGGGCTGGGCTCGATTCATGAACCCCTGGCCTGGGTCCGCTTTGGTCCACAGGCACAACTCCAGTCAATTCTCTGCAGGAGGTAGTATCAACCTTGCGAATATTCAACTATAAGTGGCGCAATTCCTGGGTGGGTGTCTGGGTGAAAGAGAGTATGTGTAAGGCGATGGTGCTGCACGATGTAAGTGTAAGTGCCCCACTCCCTCCGGCGGCGGACGAGGGTGGGTAAAAGCTAGACTGGTAGACCTGCTTCATTCATGCTTCGGGTAGAGAAGTGTATAATGTGTTCGACTTTGAGTTCAAGTCAACTGTACACGGACTGACTTCCAGGTTCTCCATATAGTCCTCTCTTGATTTGCTTTATCAAGTTCGAATAGCACCAGCACCCTGTATACCGCGAAAAGGGGAGAGAGCATGCAACAGACAGAAATGCGTGCTTGAAAAATTGAGGCATTGGAATGAATTTCGCACAGATGGTTGCATGAACTCCGGAATGTAGATTACGGGACCCTCCATTAACATTGTGTGCGTGTGCAAGGATGGACAGCTTAAAGGTGAATACTGCGGCGCATTTTGTTCTTTATAAGCTACCTGACCAATGACTCAACCCGTCACGCCAGCTGTACACAGAACCAAGTAGGACACAGTTCCGAAATCTTGGTCTGCCGTTGAAATAGATCCTTGCCATTCCGACGCCTGGCACGTGCCTGACTCCGCGGTCGTTCCCAAGGGAGAGAGATCGGCAGGGAGCCCCAGAAGCTTGCATTGCTTGGCGCAAGCCTGGTGGAGGCAAGATCCAGACCGTGCAGGACGTCAAGATTCCGATTCTGCGCTGGCTTTCCGCTGGCATAAGGAATCACCGTACGGTGCTGCTTTCGCGGGCAAAGCAGATATGTGAACTTTGGATGCATGGTCACCATATCTCGAACTTACCAGTCACAAGATACCGTGTTTTGACTCCTCAGGAAAGATGATCTGGCTAGAATCGCTGAATTCGAGAACCTGTTATCACATTATAGGTCTCCTGGAATGAAGGGAAGAATGACGACTGCCGCTGCTGCTGAGCCTCACGCCTCAGGGCGCGGGTGAGGTATAAGCTGGGAGACCGCAGTCGGAGAAGCCCGAGCTTAATGAGCAGATGATTTCAGAAGATTTCATAGATTTAAGCACATGTTCTTGTTATTTGATCGTCCAGCGGCTTCCTTTCACCGCGGAGTGGGCGCCTGTAGTGCTTGCCGCTCAAATGCATTGTCGCCCCAAGGGATAATTGCCTTGCGCACCTTGTTACTCTAGCTGCTTTTTCTGGGCGGCTCACAGCAGTGGGCCGCCATCGAGGAGAATTCGTATCTTGAGCTCACGTGATGTCTATAACAAGACAGACAGACCGGCCTGGCCGCAGGATGGAAGACGAAGCATGGGCTGAGCGGGTGAGATGCCCTCCCTTGCCAAGCCTCTTGTCGCCTCTATTGGCCGAGTTCGGGTGGGATATATGTCGCCATAGCTAATCGATCAAGAAGAACATTTGAGTTGGAATGGTTTGCAAGATAAGAATGCCCGTATTGTTAGCATGGATAGAACTGCCGTTCAAGAGTTCTTGTGGCGCTGACATGCTCAGTCATCGCTCTTGTTGCTGTCGGAGGATGTGGTAGTGCTGATGAAGTGGTCAACTGCCAAGCCAAGCCGGATAGAGATACGATGGTGCTTAGTGAGATGAAGTCCGTGTTCAATCCAAACAAGCTGTCCCGTCGCCTTCTTTCGCCCGCCACCCACTTTCCCTTGGGTGGAACTAGGCGCCTACGGGAATGAGCGCTTTAGAAAGCAGATCACAGGCTTGAAGCGTTTCCAGTGCATCTCTGTTTTCCAACCTGTATCCAGGTAGAAGGGGTGGGGGGTTTAGAATCAGCCTTCGCATCTTGCAGGTAGCATCGGATTGTTCGTCTGATGTATCTTGGTGACGGCCTCTTGGACCCCTGAGATTGCAGCGTGCTGTCATTTAAAGTTATGGGTCGAAGGCTGCACGGCCATTCCCCTTCCAGCCGAGTCAGTGCTCTTGTGCAATCTGTAATCTGTAATCTGCAATCTTTAATCTGCATTCATCTCACCAAACCAATGCTGCCCTTCCTTCTGGCAGTTGAGCGGAAAATAACACCCACTCTGCCGTCCCCTTCTCCCCGTCACCTTGCTCAGTCGCGTCAAAAACCTTCACCTCTTGCATCTGCGCACACAAGCTCTCACCTTGGGCTGCATGTTAATCAATCGACCCAGCGCCAGGAGCACCCATCGCTCGTGTCTGTCCGCGTTCGTCCCATCGCCTCCAGACCCTGAGGGCACCACATTTTCGTACCCTGCACCCCACCCAGGAACCACCCGTGGGCCCGAGCCCGTCACAGTGACAGCTTTCCCCTGGCACAGGGCGACAACTCTTGTCGATCGCTCTGCAGCTCGATATCCCGTACTTGGACCAAGACACTCTGTCGTGTCCACGCTGCTCCTCGTTCGTCCGCTCAACGCGCCAACCCGATAGGGCACTGCAACGTTTTCCATCTAGTGAGACCTGTCGGCTGTGCTCCCACCATCAAATCATCGACTCGACTCGAATAGGAGGCTAGACTAGACACCAAGCGGATTGCAACCCCACGCCTGCCCGCCCAACCTGTCGCATCCTTGCCGGAACACCGCATAGGCAACTCCAACCTCCCTACCCACCTCTCAACCCCTTGGCTTTTTCGGCTAACCAGGAGGCGAGCCTGCCCTCTGGTTGCTGCCACCTACACCGTCAAACTGGCTCCCCCAAGATCTTCCGCTACATCTTCCTCGGCTGAGGACAGACCGAAACCCTCCCATCACCGAAGACGCTCATCTGCCTCGAGTGGCCTAAGGATAAACTTGGGGGGCGAAACCGCCTCGTCGTCTGGGTCGCTTGGCGTCCATCGGCAGAAGCAGCCCAGCCAGCTCTCCCCGATCCCAGGTATGTGTTGTACTCCGTGTCACAATCCCATCTCTTGTCGCAAGCACCCGCCATCCTGCGCCCGTGACAGACAGCTAACCCCCTTGCTCTCCATGACACAGGCACCCCCGGCTTCCAAATGTCCCTCTCACGAAGTCCGTCCCCCCTCCCTGCGGGTGGATGGAGCAGCCCCGGCCTCGACATCAACACGAGCGGTCGATCCAGTCCTTCGGCCGCCTTCCCAGGCTCCAATGGAAACCAGGTCGTCTGGGAGTCTGCGCGTGTGAAGAATATGGGCAATGGCGGGTACCCGTCGTTCGCGACCCAGAACCAGGGCTTCTTCACTCGGCACATGCGGCGCATATCGAACAGCCTACCTCAATTCAACACGAGCACACACTATGCTGAAAAGGAGAAATTGCAGAAGGGCAAATGGGCGCCAGCTCAGTCAGTCCCATTATACGGCAGAATAAGGAATGTGCTGGCGCGCATGGGCCGAAAGTCGAAGCTACGGATACTCCTCGTCTTGCTACTACTTCTCGCGGTGTTCATATTCTACCAATCTCGTACGTCTGTTTGGAGGCTGCGGAGTCTGCTATGCATGCTAACGTATACCAGCTTTATTATACCATTGGCGCCGGACTGCATGGCTTGGTGGCGGAGAAAAATACGTTATAATCCTGGCCGCCAACGTCGGTGGAGGTGTCATGGAATGGAAAGGTGCGCGAGAGTGGGCGATCGAGCGAGACAGCATGCGCAACAAGAAGAAATACGTCGCGAGGTGGGGTTACGAGCTGGAGGTCGTCGACATGAGCACCAAAAAGCGTTACGCTCACGAGTGGCGAGAAAGTTGGGAGAAGGTCGACTTTGTGAGGAATGCATTCATAAAATACCCAAAAGCAGAGTGGTAAGTTCATCACCACACATACTTCAATCTTAGGCTAACAAGTCCGCAGGGTGTGGTGGCTCGATCTCAACACTTATATCATGGAACCCTCATACTCTCTACAGAGTCACATGTTCGACCAGCTGCAGAAAAACGTCTACCGCGATATCAACGAGTACAACCCTCTGAACATCACGCATCCCTTGAACGACACCTACCTCGACGATGAATTGCGCAGCCCGGATGGTGATGGGGATATCAACTCGGTCAACTTCATCCTCACCCAAGACTGCGCTGGGTTCAATCTCGGCTCTTTCTTCGTGCGTCGTGGCGCGTGGACTGACCGACTGCTCGATGTTTGGTGGGATCCAGTAGCTTACGAGCAAAAGCACATGGAGTGGGCCCACAAAGAACAGGATGCCTTGGAGCAACTATACCGAAGCCAGGGGTGGATCCGAGCCCACACGGGCTTCACTCCGCAGAGAAAGATCAACAGCTTCCCCCCGGGTGCATGCTCCGAGAATGGCAACAACACGCGTGTTCACTACGACCAGAACGATCGCGACTTTGTCGTCAACATGGCTGGCTGCGAGTGGGGAAGAGATTGCTGGGGCGAGATGTACAACTACCGCGAGCTCAGCTACTGGCTGAACCGTAACCCATGGGAGCGGTTCAAAGAGGACCTTATTGCCCCTATTATCTACAAGATCACTGGCAAGAAGGTCAAGCTTTGAGCGCTATACATCTCACGGCGCACTGGTAAACGGTCGCCAATCGTGCAATCTAATACCTAATCACCTTTTCCATTTCAGTCAAACTGATCCGGCTTCAACTATCCGCCAGCCACATTCTTCAAGACAATTCGGTGACAGGCAGCACTCGTGCTGCGGTGGCTCAACGGTTGCAAGGACGACATGCCCCCCACCCTGCCTCTTCTTGGATCCACAGCATCCGCATCTGTCTTGCTTACAGCGCCATGTATTACTATACCCCATCTCGTGCTACGGCGGCCGAGCCGAGATCCAGACATCAACATGACTTCCTACTTTACTTTCCTCACGATGACGATTCCAGGGTTACGAGAAACACTGGTGGGGAACAGGGCTACATTTCTGCATATGCATCTCATCAGGAGTACAATGATCAGTTGGAAAGAGGCAGCAGGGGACGGAAATCTCCGCTGTTCTTGTCGAAGACTTATGACTAGTTCAGATTTTGCGGGACGCACGCGTCCATTTTAGACAGGACCCGGGATTTTGAGATGGCAACGGATGTGGCCACGTCGCCATTGCGACGAGATACCTGACCAGGGATGAATTGATTCTTTGAAATGCAACGCTCAGGCTCTTATTGTGACTCGATCGTCATTGCTCTTCTTCGGATGCGATGATCGTGTGCTCGCTCGCTCGCTCGTGGATCAGCAGCTCGTGGCAGCGCCAACTGATAGGTCTGTAACGTCTTGCCTTCTCTTGTTTCATTTTCCAACTCCAGGTGTGTCCCTGAAGCACTTCCTTAACCCAAATGTTTTCTGCGCTCGTGTTGTCGTAGAACTTCACTGATACATGTGTAAGGGAGCGGATAAGCGGCAAATGAGCTATAGCGCCGCTTCATATCGCTAAATCCTTCGCACAGTCGTCTTCACCAAGTACCACATGCGTACCTGTATTTCCTTGCGGCAGCGAAGGGATGACATATTTGCAGCACACTAAGACAGCACTATGGTCTGACATGCCGATTTGGGGTGTTTGGTCTCACTTTGGTCTCGATGGAGCGTGTTCTCCACGTAGCTCAGACTTGGATGCTGGAGACATGAATTATCACAGGCTAGGATTTGAGGAACTCTCGGGTGGTCCTCATTCGCGTCCATGTTCGTCAGCATGAAGTCATCCCATTAGAATTTTCTTTGGTCTCTCGTCCCATGGCATGCGGCTCAAACAAGCTTTGTGGCGTGGAACTTGGTCGAGCTTGTACTCTTGTACGTCGCACCCGTGGGTGATCCAGTGTACAGCAGGGAATTAGCAGAAGAAGTGCAAACCCCCTTTCTCTGCTAGAAAAAAAAGCCTGCTGGCCACTATCATTACGTCCACATACCAGACTTGAATGACAATTTACAGGACGTTGAGCACGAAGATAGCGTTTTGTCACGGGCCGAACTAAATCGCCGGTAATTCTATATTGGCTGCTAGGGAATTTCTCATGGGTTATTAAAAAAGATATAGGAGCTATAGACAGTATCCACAGGGAGTTGTCTCTCAACCCGTAGGACGTGAGAAGGTTGTTCCACAAGAGTTTATCCCGTAGGAGGCCATCCCAGAAGAGAATGTCCTAAATGTCTGAATTTTGAGCATCCTTCGGTGGATCCCAGCGCATGATCTCCCAGTCCGAATCCTGGTCTGGGCGCCACGTCCATTTCCCGACGCTACGGAACCCAAGGCTGTGGTAGAGCGAGACTCCTGCAGGAGTTGCGGACAGATGGACGGGCAGGCCTTCTTTCCCTGCTCGCTCCAGCCCCCATTGCAATAGGGACCGGGCAATCCCTCTGCGTTGGTACTTTGGATCCACTCCGAGGTCCAAGATTCCCCAGTACTCGTCTGGCTTGTGATAGCCGTCTTCGTTCCATCGTTGCGACTCATCGCTGCTACACATTTCAGCCATGGCCTTGGCGTGTGATGAGTCGATCATGGGGTTAATGAAGTCGCGGAAGGAGTCAAGCACATCTAGGCCAAGGATACGCTCCTTGATTCCTATCCTTGACATCAGTACACATAACATGAAACCACAGAGCTTACCAAAGACGTCTTGAGAGCCATTGTTTTGTGCTTCTTTTCAACCAGACCACTCACTTGATATCAAAGAGCTTTTCTTCTCGGATTCATTTTGACTCCTTACACTTTCGCGGTACCAGATGCAAAAGGCCGTGATTTCTGAAGTGCCGTCCCAGCCTTCATCACCAGGCTCGAGAACAGCAACTATCGGGAAAGCAGTCTGGTCGTCTAGGCAGTGCTTGATAATATCTGATTTCACCTTCAAATATCTAGCCGGGTATTCGCCTCGCTTTGGGTACAGGTATGCGTCTTGCGGGTCATCCATGTACGCAGCCACGGCAGCCGAAGCAACGCCAGGGATGTCGACCTTGGTCGCTGGTCGCAGTAAAATGTTGGCCACGATCTTGTGAAAAGAAGAGAGAGAATTGCCAAAAGACTTCAACGTTGAATAACCCAAGGGTAAGTGTCTTCTGTTTCTACCTTTTCAGGTCTTGTATGATAGCAAGTGAGTCAGTACCTGAAATTGACCACGTACCCATGTAATCCTAAAACCCTATTTAATTCTATAAGAACAGCCTTGCACTCTCGAGATTTTTCAACCCATGAAGGAAGAAGTCGCTGCATTGAGGTACCATTGAGTTTTTCAAGTCCAAATTGTATTAAGAAAAACTGAAGGGCGGCTGAAAGTGACTCCCATGCAGCAAGCACCGAGGCCTACGCCATGCTGATCTCGAGCTATGGCCCCCGAAACTGCGGGAGGAAGCGTTGGTGATAACAGTGGGTAGGGCCCACTGCGGCTCAGCAGTTCAGCGGCTCTGCAACCACACATCGCCCAAAGTGAGAAAGCCTCCATACAACTATAAAGAGATCTAGGGTGTCTAGAAGACTTCAGCGTTGAGTTCGGAGAACCAACAGATAGACAGACACCTACTAAAACAATAACGACAACTTCTGAAATGAGCAGGAGATCGAAAGATTGCCTGTTAGCGGATTCTATATGTTTTCGAGTGCTCCAATGTAGGATTACATTTAAACTCATGTCCTTCAACGGCTGAACGGTCTACCCGCGGCATTGACGGGCTTACATTGGGGTCTCCAGCCCCACGAAGCGCTGCAGCTCTACCGTTGCACGCAATTAGACACAAACCCGGATCAAGTATAGATCCACTCTCAGTGGCTACACAGTAAGGTGAGTTCAGCGTGGTAGAGACAATTTAGAGCTTATCCGGGTCTCGCAGCATATCGGCAACCTCTCATGTGACAGCGCAAAAGCCCATGTAGGGCTGGCGTTGAGACTATTTATTCAGCTGCTCGGGTCCGACGCACGGCTTCGGAGGCTGATCCTCCATCAATGGTGCAGACCTCCGGATCAGGATGCTTACTATGGCGTCCCAGCAGATCACCTACTAAGCGGCAAGACCACAAATAGATGACCTGCAGGCCTCTCTCCGTCGGGCCTTTGTCCTTCAGGTCAAGCCAAGAGGCTAAAGGCCACAAGCCCGCGGACGATGGTACGCCGAGACACCTTAAAGGCGGCACACGATCGAGGCCGGTCACCAAGGTGAGTACAGGTTTGTCGTCCTGATTCACACATACGCTTGAAGGCATTCCTCAACGACGTCTCGTGAATGTCCATTCTCTTCTGTTGCGCGCTGTCCGTGTCCGTGCTTGGCTCGTCGGACCGGCCGTCACCGTATCGACGACACCCCTGAGACGCTTGGCAGCTTGGGATCTGGCTAGACCCGCTGCGGGTCTCCGGTTTCATCGTATATTCTCTGTGAATTAGCTGTTCACTCGCCATTTTGACCATAGACAATGCTCGCGTGGTGCTTGTCACGATGTTCAGCACCCGCAGCACAAGGCTGTTGATATTGGCGCTCCTCATTACCGTCGCCTTTCTCTACGTCGGCTGGGAGCGGCCGTTGGCATGGGGTGGCTTACCTGACTTCGCGAGTGATCCGACAACTGGAGAGGTGGCGGATGGGAAGGCAAATGCGCTGCCATCCAGTGGTGATGCTCTTCGTCCACCCGCGTCTTCCATTCCGGACCAGAAGGAACCAGAGTCCTCGGGCCAGGATGCACCGAAACCAAGCAATGACTATGGTGGCGATGGGGAGGAGGAGGCTGGCGATGACTACGATTTCCAACGCCCGACGAGCCCTGGAGATATTCCGCCCCCGGCCCCAGCTAATCCCGGGAAAGTTGACGAAGGAGCTCCAGAACCGACGGTGGACTGTCCTGTGAGTTTTGAGAGCTATATGCTTAGCCAACCAGGGCCCAAGTCCACAGGCAGTCGTCAATTTCCACTAGTCCGTCCGCCTCTAGAATGTCGAACTTTTGTGGTCCCAGAATTGGAAGAATATATAACGAAGATGGAGGCGGTGATCAAGGATCCAGATCTGTACCGACTGTTCCAGAACAGCTTCCCGAACACACTTGACACCATGGTCAAGTGGCATGGCTACGCCCAAGAGGACGGAAATGATACGACGGAGGAGCTGAGCTATATCAGTAAGTATCCCACGAGCGTATCCCTTCTATCCCAGGAAACCACGATGCTGGCAATATCTTGTACGAGAGGCATCGTCCATCGGCTTCTTTTGAGATATCATTGCCCTTGCTGAAGGGCTTTCACGTCTCCCTTTATTCATCTCCATGCCAGGGACTACTTTACTGACACACTTGTAGTTACTGGAGATATCGATGCTATGTGGTTGCGTGACAGCGCAAGCCAGCTGTACTCATATCTGCACTTCCTCTCACCGGAAGCCTCTTCAGTCAATGGCAACATCAAGAGCCTGAACTCACTCTGGAGGGGTCTGATCAATTCACACGCTCGCTACATAATCATCTCTCCATACTGTCACTCCTTCCAGCCGCCTCCCGAGTCTGGGATCCCACCTACCGTGAACGGCGCCTACCACAACAACAACCCCCAGCCGGGCTACAACCCGTCTGAGGTCTTCGACTGCAAGTGGGAGCTCGACAGCCTGGCCTCCTTCCTCCAGGTCAGCTCCGGCTATTACGAGCGCACCAAGGACCTAGCCTTCTTTGGGCGGTACCGTTGGGTGGACGCCGTCAAGGCAGCCGTCGACGCTGCGGCCGCCATGAGGGTGGGGACATACGACGAGGAGGGCCGGGTGTTACCTTCGGCGTGGAGCTTCACGGGCTGGACGAACAGGGGCTCGGAGACGCTCACCAACGACGGGCTGGGGAACCCGAGCAAGACGAACGGCATGGTGCGGACGGCGTTCCGCCCCAGCGACGACGCGACGATCTTCCAATTCCTAGTGCCAGCCAACATGATGTTTGCGAAGTACCTGGAGGAGGCCTCCGTCATCATGGAGGGGCTCGCGGCCAGCGGCGCCTCAATCCCGGGGATGGACGAGGAGCAGACAGCGCTGGCGGCGAACCTGACCACGGAGATGCGCGAGCTGGCCCTGGGGATCCGCCGCGGCATCGACCGCGATGCGGTCGTCGAGCACCGCGACTTCGGCGAGATCTTCGCGTACGAGTGCGACGGCTTCGGTGGTGTCAACCTCATGGACGATGCCAACATCCCCAGCCTGCTGGCGATGCCGCTGTTCGGGTACGCGCAGTCGCGGTTCGAGCTGCCCGAAGGCGTGGCGCGGCGGGACTACGCGAAGATCTACCAGAACACGAGGCGTTTCGCGCTGTCGCTTGCTAATCCCTACTATGCCAAGGGCCCTATGATATCTGCCGTCGGAGGCCCGCACCTGGGTCCTGGGAAGGCGTGGCCTATGGCTGCACTGGTGGCTGGCATGACAGCCTTTGACGAGGACACTGGGCTTGTCGGGGCCAAGGGGAAGGGAGGCGTGGAGGAGGTGGTTGTGGAGCAGCTGGGCATGGTTCTCAACTCGACGTCTGGCATGGGCGTTGTCCACGAGAGTGTAAACTCGTGGAATGGAAATGCCTTCACGCGCGCGTGGTTCGGCTGGGCAAATGGCTTGATGGGCGAGCTGATCATTAGGATTGAAGAGTGGGAGAGGAAGGCTAATGAGTTGAGCGGGGAAGGATTGCTGGGTAGGAGTTGGCAGTAGCTTCATGGGATCGGAGCCGCTTTTTAGGCATAGCATTGGGGGCCTGTACATAAAAAGATAGGGGACATGCTCAAATTCTTAGATTTCATGGGCACATGCTCTGAAGTTACAACAGGTTCGAAATTCAAAAGCCATCAAATAGCATTCTTGTCACAGGTGCCAGATGCAAAGTCAAGTCCTTGATGAACCAACATGATCAGTTCGCCTGAAGTTATGCCACACATGTCCCCATGAACTTTTTCACTTGGACCATGAGAGACAAGCTCGCTTTCCAGAAGAGAAGAGTGTATCACTGAGACTGGGTGGGTCGATCTCCATGTCTGTTCCTGCTAATGAAGACTCAGGAGCTAAATCCAACCAGTTCACAAAGCCGTTTGTGTCACTTAATTTTCAAATACACAGGGCATCGAAATTGTCAGGAATCCCTGGGGATTGGTATATTTCATGTAATGCATCGCACTATGTACCGTCATCCTGAGGCTCACAACCTTCCCTAGTCAGAAGACGAAAGCTCAAGATGAAAAAAGAGCCATATCTAAAGAAATGCCCATCCATGCAAACAAGTGGTATCAAAATGGCATCTTGCCCAATGTTGTAGAATCAGAAGAAGAAAAGAAGTAACCCCCGACATCCCCCTCATCCTTATGTCCATTCACGCCAGGTAAACGACGGCAGGTGAGCACCTACGGCCTTCGACCACTTTCCTTAGGCGTGGTACTCGCGTGGCATGAAGCGCATGCCTCTCTTCGCATAAGCCGTGGGAGCACCTCCGAAGCCTGTTGTTGTTGGGGTGGGGGTTCCTGTGCTGCCGGACTTTGAGTAGACTTTGATCGAGTTGAAGAGCCCTGTTGATGGTCAGCTGCTGGATTAGGCCCTGGGAGATGATGAGAGAACTTACAGTATGCGTCTACGAACGCGTTGGGGTCTTGAGCCGCGTATTCCTCGCAGGTGGCTGCCTTCGCAGCGCACTCGGCATCCTCGGACCATTTGAGGCCAGCCCATTGACCACACTGCAAGTCTAGTGTTAGCTAAGTGGCCAGGGAATTTCGTAAGTAGGGATGGAAAGAAACTCACGAAATCAGTATTGATGGTAATCCAGTGCTCTTTGAAGGTGTTTTCGATGTTGCAAGTGCTTCCTCCCACGAAGCTGGCCAGGGGAGTTCCGAACGTGGTAGGGTCAATAGTCGAGTTCGAGGACGTGATCCTGTTCTGCATCGTGCTGTTCCTGGGGAAGAACCACACCGAGATGGCCTCGTTATCCCAGAGCATGGCATAAACGCCACCGCCTTGAGCATTCAAGCCTTTGCCAAAGTTGCTGGTGCTGTTGGTCGTTTGGGGGCAGCCAGTCCCACCACTGCCGGCGTTGCAGTCTCCAGTCTCGCTCAGTTCCGTGCCATCAACAGTGTTCCCCTTGGTCATGGTGCAACCAGCGGCTGTGTGGAGAGTCACTTGGTTGGACTGCTGGCTGTTGACGCCTTCAATGATGTCGATCTCGCCCTTGTTCGGCCAGTCCGCATTATAGGTCCACAGAGCAGGCCAGGTGCCGCATCCCTACGTGCGGGTCAGTATCTGTTGGTACCAGAATTAATGGTTTTTGGGAGGTACTTACGACTGGCATGTGCACAACATCTGCCACGAGGAGCATTTGGGTGTAGGTCTTCTTGCTGTTAATGCGCGTACTGGCACGTCCATTCGCAGGGTCCACGGTCTTGTGGTCGCTGCCCACGTAGATCATGTCTTTGTGGAAGCCCGCCAGTCCCTGGGAGGCAGCATTGATTCTGTTTTGGTACTGGACGAAGCCATTGGTTGGGTCAGCCTCAGAGAAGAAGTCGAAATTGTCGAAAAAGTTGGCTTGGTCGTAATTGTCAGTCAGGGTGTAAGTCGCTCCTGCCACCAGCTGGATGGCAGCAAGCAGAGTGAAACTGATCTTCGCGAAAGAAGGCATCTTGTCGAAAGATATGTACAATGTCGAAAATGAGAAGGTTCGAAATGATCGCCCGAGACCGAAGAAATCGAGACTTGAGGTGAAAAACTCTCGAATTTGAGGCTGGCTCTTTGTATGACTGCTTGCCTGTCGAAAAAGAGACCCTGACGCAGAAGCAATTCTGAATCAAGTAACAGGGTGAATCAGACCAGGGCTAGAGTTTGGGTGACGAGGTCCGAAGGGGGACAAATCAGTCTCGAGGACTCTTATGTGACCAAGTTGGATCTTAAGTATGAAATGACTGTAGAATTTGAAGAATAAGGCTATTGTTGGGCCTGCAACGAATAGCTCTCTACCTTCAACAATGGAAACCGGGGTCAAGCACAGTAAAGAAGGGAACCTCGACCAATCAAGGTCAGAGCCGTGTTGAAGGAGTGACGGCGGAGAAAAGGGAGGGAAAAGTTGAGAGATCAGATGGAACCAGCCACGCGGTCCAAGACGATCAGTGATGCCTGGGTGAGAGTCTCGACCTTGCGAGAAACGCCCATGTGCCTCAGACGGGAATGTGGTGTTAAATAGCCTGCACAAGTAAAGTCGCGCAGAGGAAAAGTGGATACGGCTGGCTTGCATGGAGCTTACATGGCCCAGATGCCATCCACAAGTTTCCAGTCTCAGCCAGATTGCGCTGTCGCCTAGATTGGCGAGTAACAGGCACGAAGGGACCAACGGACAAGGCAGAGACGGGCGTCAAGCGATGTTACCCACTTGTCTTCCCCCCACCCCTGCATCTGGTGGTGCGGCTCCCCGGCAGATCAGCGCGCCATCCCTTGTCACCTTGTCGCCCTGTCACTTGTCACTCTGTCTCCCCCTTCCCACTTGTCCACATGTGGGCGTCTCTAGATCAGGATGGAGAATGAGAGGAGAAGGGATGATTCACAGTGGGGTCCTACGCAGTGCCCTGATGAGACATGTGTGTGCGGTGAGCTGCTTGACGGAAGGTGAGCCAGCCACTCGGAATGTCCAAACAGAGGGAGGGAGGTGATTTTGTGTACAGCTTGCAGGGATCCCACACGTCGGTCTGTAAGTAGAGACGAAGAGAGCTGGTCCCCGCAAGAAAGTTCCTCACAGATTATCCCATAACGGACAGGAAATTATCCCACAGGAGGTTTTCCCAATGGAAGGGGTGCTACGTGCCTGGTCAAATCGTGCCCGAACATGGGGTCCCTGTGAGCGGTATACTGTATACGTGTAATGGGCTGCGTTTGTGGGAGCGGCTGGGGTGCCGAATGGACCGGACGAGTTGCATGAGAAACATTTGAGACAGGGTTCAAAGCCAAGCACTGACTCTATTCCCTTTGGGATGATCGACAGTAAAACAGCGACAGGGGCTGGCGATACGTGAGACCTGCCTAACAAGCGTGTGTGACCGAGACCAACTAGCGCATACGGGGTCGTCTATCTGGCTCGGCCGGAGTTTTGACTGTATGAACATCTGAACACCACCACCACGAGCGAAACTTACAATGTCCGGAGGTAACAGCCCGGCCCAGGTGGGAAAGAAACGGATGTTGCGATGTGCAAAGAAGCTCTGCCTAGGCTACTAGGCACCGCAGAACCGTGAGGCCGGCCATGTTGGGACTGACCGAGTCAAAATCCCTTCAGAGGCCAGTTGTGCCAAGTTGATGGTTGGCCAGAAAGGCCTGCAGTGTTGGGCAGACATCCGATCACAGGAGAATGGACTGCTCCATTAAACAGGCTGAAGTGGGACACAGGTCCAGTGGGGTGAGTGGGTGAGAGGGTGAGTGAGCAAGTGCGTGAGTGAGAGGGCAAACCTGGTGAGGTGGAGGTGAGGTTGAAAGAGACAGGGAGGTCAGGTCGCGTTTGGAAAAGGTTGGCGGCTCGGCCCCTCTGGGCGGCTGATTGGATGGGGCTGGTTGCTTCTCCCTCCGCACGCCAGGCACGTCAACCGCATTGGCTGGACCAGGGCTAGGGGTATGCTTGTAAGTCCCGCATGTACCACTGTATAAGCGACCCCAGCATCCGTGCACCAGACCGCCGTTGGTCAACTGATCTGCTGGACGCACATGTTGGTGAAACAAGAGAGCCTCCGATGTTTCGAAACATCCGCCTGCCTCCTCTTTGACGCTGATCCTCTTCCCTCAAAGTCGGAATCACAGAGAAGCAAGGCAGCTGGAGTTGTTTCTCGACCTTGGTCCTTTCAAAAATCCCAGGTAGGATAGCCGGGATAAATAAGCAAACCAAGAGAGCCCCTGTTGTGACTGTCGTGGCCGGTGGGCATGATTGTGCCCCTCAGTGGAACCCCTACCCACGACCCAAACTGCAGCATCAACTGGCAACCAACGGATCCGAGCATCTGTAAGCGCTTGCGAGACTATTCGAAATGTGAATAATCCATAATCAATTCGTCTTCTTCTAGGATTCTCCATATGAAATACAGATAGTCTAGTTAGTTAGGAGTAGTAAACAAAGCTTTTATCTAGAAATGTTGGGAGACATCAATTGATTGAACTATAAAAGCTCTGTGGCTAAGCACTCTAGGCTTTTCTCAGCTGCTTATCTCTAATAGTCAGTGATGTTGGTGAAGTAGGATTGGATGGGACACTGGACGAGAAGCATTTTTGAGAGACTTGCTCTATGTTTCCATTTCACGATAACAGCCAGTTGAATGGAGACCAGCAAAAGATTTTCTTCAATCACGGCTCGAGTCGCTGTCGACTCATGCCACTCGTGAAATGGGCTCTGGCCCTCTCGTGGCTCTGTCAGGCCATAAGTGTTGGACTAGAAGACATCTAAGACCTACTTGTATCTTCCAGAGCCTTTCGGGCGCCCTGTAACACTTCGGTACATCAGCTAAGAAAAAAGCTCAACTCAACCGAGTCTGAATCCGATCATTGAATTTGAGCTGGACGGGGCGGTCCTCACTTTGACTCCCGTTTTTTGTTGTCAGTTAAATCACAATTACAATTACTTCCTGATTTTCTGATTTTTTGGAGGTCCGCGAGCGCGAGCATGTCCAAGGGATTAGGCCACTAAACAAGTGCTGCTAGAGGGCCTGCCATCCCGCCCACTCTGTTCAGCGCAGACACCAAATTCAGTGCTTGGTTGAGAGAACTATGGCAGCCGAAAAGCAATCGATTTGCTTTACCATACGTTGCCCTTAGTCTGGCGTCCCCTCTCCTGCTCGATCTTCTTAACATTGATGTCGCGCCAGATGAAGACGACGACCGCCAGCAGCGGGATGAAGCAACCACCAGCAATGACCATCTTCCTCTGGACGTCACTGTACGCTTCGATAATAGCATCTCTGATAGGGCTACCCATCGGGTAGCTGAGCTGCGTCGGCAGGCTACCGTAGATGGCCGACGACAGATTCTTGCTGTCGTCGGGCAGGAACTGCTCGAGCTTCTGCGGCAGGACATTGGTCCAGATTGCGCCCGCGATGGCGAAGCCGATGGCGGCACCGATCGAGCCGAACATCCCGTATATGGCGTACACGACGGCGATCTCCTGGTGCGACACGGCGGAGAAGACGGCGATGTGGGAGGTCATGGCGAGGATGCCGCCAGCGGCACCATTGAAGATCTGGCACATGGCCAGGTAGCCGACGTACGCTCCGGGCACTCGGAAGTGCGTGAGAAGTCCAGTCCCTAGGGCGATCAATGGGAGACCGGAAAACACTGCGATGTGCTTGAACCGTCCGAATTTGGCGATGGCCACACCCACGAAAGGCGAGAGGAACGATGACATGAGCGAGTAGGAGTTCAGAATATAGCCTGAATTTGCGATGCTGAGGCCGTGGACAACTTGCAGGTAGGAAGAGTAGTATGTATCCCAGCAGCTGGTTTCCATCATCAGTACCTGGAACCGGGCAGAGCCCTGCTGTGATAAAACACATGGTGGAAGGGAAGTACTTACTATATCGAGATGAACATTACTCCATAGGTCATTGAGGCACCTAAGATGGTCCTGTCCTTGAGGAACACGAAGGGCAAATACGACACCCGTGCAAAATACTTCTCCCAGACAGCGAACAGAACCAGGGACACTACTCCGAAGATTATCATGCAGATAGGGCCGGCATCAGCCCAGCCTTTGGGGAATGATTTTGCAAGACTGAAGGGCAGGAGGATCAAGGCAAAGCCAGCCATGGTTAAAAGCATGCCCACAACTATGTTATCATAGAGTCAGTCTTCGGATCCAAGAATGCAATGGATTCAATTGTAGAAAAGTGCTGAGACGAACCATCAAATTCCCAAAAGTAGAACTGGAAGGACTGCCAGAATGTCCTCCCGCTGTCCTTCTTGACCAGGATGCCCATTTTCTTCGCCTTTCTCTCCTCGAGGACGAATATGACAAACATCGGGATCGAAAAGCCGGCCAGGATGATGGCGAAGGATCCAAACGCCCATCGGAAGTTGACATTGTTGTAAAACAGCTCGGCGATCTTGGGGCCCGCGAAGGTCGTGGCGATGGTCGGGGTTGTGTTGATGCCAACCATGATCATCCGGTTTTTGAGCGATGTCATATCCGCGATTATGATGTCGAGCGTGTACATAAAGCCAATGTGACCGACCCAGAAGATGGTCTGCGCCGCAGCGTACGTCTCCACGTTCTGGCACGTCGCCTTCATGATCATACCGATGATGATCAATAGCAACATGATGGCGAAACCCTGAGCGCGGCCCCAGATGTCAATGATCTTGGCAATGGTGAGCTTGGACACTCCGCCCACGATGGTGGAGACGACGCTGGTGGTGGCGAGCAGGCCGTGGCTTCTGAAGGCAGACGTCACGTAGGGCACCAGCTCGGACTGGACGGACTGTAGCAGCATGTCGACGAAGGAGACGAGGTAGATCCTAGAGTTGAAGGAATAAGCTTGAGCCCTTCTTTGTGTTGGGTTTCCCGTGGAATGAATTACATGGCAAAGATGACCCAGAGCATCTTTCTGGACCACACGGATGCGGTCGCTTCTATTTTCCTAACACCCGCCTGCTTGCCCTCATCGTCGGAATCTGGCTTGTCTTCGGAGGGATCGTGGTCATCGTCCACAGGGGCGACCTTCTCGGCATCGTGTTCCGGCTCGGCCCGAGTTTGAGCGACGTGCTCAGGCACTTTTTGAGCCTTCATATTGTCGTCGAGCATGGACGTTGCTTGTCGAAACTCTCACACGCAATTTCACACACGTAGTTCAAGCAAATACCGTGCCCTCGAGAAGGACGGCAACAGAAGTGGAGAAGGAGGTTACACGAACTCTCCGTTGAGTCTTCCCGGGTTCCCTCCAGGCGTCACAAGATCTATATATCTGCTTCGGTCCTGCACACATCACTGCGAGAGTCTGCAAGCCAAGCCATTCGGCCCGCCCAGTACTTTTCCTACCGCGAGTGAACTGACCTCGCCTGGCAGGCGCCGCGTCACTTCCAGCGATTCCAAGGCTTGGCTCATGAGGAAAAATTCTTCTTTTCAATAAGACTAGCATTCAAATCCTTCATCATGAATTGATACAGGCAGCGAAATAAAGCATGTCAGTGTTACGAGACATCTTCTCGAGAAGCTCACCCAGGTAGGAAGAGAAAAGCCGTGAGGCCGAGTCCACCAGCGCCGATATCGCCACCGTGATTGGGCAACCACTGCCATGGCTCTCACCACCAGCGATTATCAGACCATCTGATAAGACAACGGATGAGGATCTGAATGGGCCCGTAGGCCGGCCATTACGTACCGAGGTGGGGGTGTCCAGTGCCAGCGGCGAGGTCCCGAGTTAATCTTGACCTTAATCGGTATACTCGGCCGGGTCGTCGACGGGCAAAGGCCAAAGGAAGGTAAATCTCGGGTCCATTACTCTCTCGCTTAACTGGCCAAGCTTCATGGTTTCCAATCCTTCTGGAAGCTTTGGAATCGGGTACTCTTGCGGAGTTATCCACCTATCATGAACACTCAACATATGAATCGATCGTCTCGTGACATCCAGACCGCAGGTGAGCAAGTTCTGGAGCATTGCCGAGCTCCATTTAGTCTTTCTTGCATCTGTGGGAGTAGTGGGAAGGGCCACCTTTGCGGATGCTTGAAGCGTCTAGATTAAATGATCAATCTCAAAATCCCAAGCACTTCTCACCCAGTGACAGAAGTGGGCTCCGACCTCCTGGCACCGGAACGCTTGTTTTAAGTTGGGGAGGGGGACTGTGACATGTCTTTCCGGCAGCTGAAGGCCTCATTTCACGCATTGGAGATATTTAAGGGACACAGGACAATCGCGGTGGTAAACTTGGGAAAATCTCACTAAAATTCATACCTTTTGACTGGTATGAAATGACTGGTTTCATATAAGAAACTAATTTCAATAAACAGATGAGAAAAAGAGAATTACGGCAGATTTACTCTGAACAAATAGAACTTAATAGGATGATAAAATTCCATATTCCATTAAACTATTTATTATATTTTCTCGACAGTGGAGGGTTAGATTTCCTGCGTTGAAATTTGCCTGCCGCTGTGTTGTCCTGTGTGTATATATCTGTGTGTAAAGCGAAAATCCTAAAATTAGGTATAACTTGACGAGTACTTGGCACTAGAACAGCTTCCTATGGGATCACATTTTATATGGTAGTCTCCTGATAGATGCTCCCTAATGTGTTAAACTGGTATATAGTAGTTTTGTCTGATAACTTCTAATAGGATCACCTCCTGAGGTATATCCTTCTATTTGATAACTTGCTGTCCAACAACTTATTGGCTGTGGGATACCACATCCTGTGGAATATTTCACAATATTGCATTTACCCAAGTAGGTGTTGTCCGTCCTTCTGAGACATTTCAGCGTCCTCTTGAGAATCGAGCCCATCTTTAAGATCCTTTAGCGAATTCGTTCGTGGCAATAATGTCGCGATTCGCTATGCATACGTAGCAAGTAGTGTATTAACATCTGTCTGTGTAATTCGCTGGCAAGGTGCCAAATCTAATGCTATGCGCCCACAATAAAAGCCAACCTGAACGCCGGGCTAGTCTTGACATTCCAATGCCTCATACATACCCAGGCAGCAATATATCCAAAGGGCTTGTATGTGTGCCCGTCGCCAAATACGGCATGCCTCGTGAGCTCGTTACTCCGTCGTTAACTCTTCGCTGCTGCTGCCAGTCCCGCTCTCACCAGCCACTTCCCTCCCACCCTCGATGCCGGCAGATGCCTCGTCGTTGAGCCCTGTGTCCTCCCCTGTCTTCCGATCGTCTACCCACTGCTCGACATCTTCACATCCCTTGGGCACCCGGCACCTCGCCCGTTCGTTCTCAGGGCATGTCCGCCAGAGCGTCTCTCTAACCTCCTGAAACACTTCCTCCTCGGCATCCATCGCCCATATGACGTCTAGATGCTCGTACTCCGGGATCACCTTGCTGTGCACTAGGCGCGCGTGAGGCTCGCGGCCCCGCTCGAAGCGACGCAGGAGCTTATTCCCGTCCACCAGGTTGTCGCGGCCGCAGACCCACAGTGCCATCGGTGGGCTCTGCGAGTTGTACCACGCAGAAGATCCTTTCGGCCTTCGGTGGTGGTGGCGGGCTCGGTGGGTCGGTGAACGTGGTTCGTTTGTGTGGACCTCAGGGGGCACGGTGGCAACTGGGTTCTGAGACTCGTCCTCGTCCTCAAGCTCTTCGGCGCGCCATTCTTCCTTTGTGGCGAGAATGCATTTCTGTGCAGTGATATTAGTCTGGAAACGGTGCGTGGAGGAAGCAGGGCCACCACAAGCGAGGGGACCATTGACTTACATGCTTCGCAAAACACTCGCGCCCTAACCACCATCTCATCGATTCTGCACTGACGTAGACAGGAGCAAACTGAAAGAATCTGTTCCTGAGGCCCCGGTCCCACCTGGTGTCCGTCCAGTCGAACAGGAATGAGAAAACCTTGTAGCCCAGCCACCCGTATATCCTCCCAGGCAACATCCCATGCATGGTCAGCATAAATGGTATAAAAGCATGAATACCAAACATCATCCGGAACATGGCCGGAGTGATGACACGCATAAATTTGAAATACATCTTCCCAATCAACGGGCCCGCGTAGGCAGCTGGCGCCAGGGCGCAGAACACAGAAAGCTTCTCCCCGAGCTCCGGCCTCTGCTCCTTCGCCAAGGCGACGAAGGTCTCGGTTGTGCCCTGGGAGTGGGCTATTAGACCGATCTTTGAGAAACCAGTCTCGAATAGCACACGAGATGTTAGCGCAGGCAAGTCGAAGACGCCCATCTGCCGGATATTCCAGCACCACATTCGCGGGTCGGAGTAGTCCAGCAGCACGTGCTTCGGCTTAAACCCGCAGCGGTTGTTGCCGAGCCAGACGTCGTATCCGGACTTGCACAGCCAGAAGGCGAGCGACTGGTCGTCGTTCACGCAGTACGCCCCGGCTGACTGCAGCAGGCCGTGGATGAGCAATACTGGGTATTTCCGCGGCGCGTCAGCGTTTTTCAATGCCCTGGTTCGCCGCCTCTCCCCCGTGAAGGGATCGGGACCCCGCGGTAGGCGCTCCTTGGCATCTAGCTCCTCATATTCGCGAGGGTCATAGACGTGCCACAGATCGATAATGAATCCGTCCTCGGTCTGTACCTCGAATTCCTCAACATCAAGGCCGACCCGTCGCGCGTAATAGCCCACATCGCACTTGATCGGGTCAGGGCCACCCTCCGTGGGAAGATAACCCTCGTCATCGAGCGTGTCGTTATCGGTCAAACGTCGCTCTTGATTCGAGGCGCGACGCTTCCACTTTCGCTCCTCCTCTCTCCTGGCGTCCCGTTGACGGATTTCCTCCTCGTAAAACGGCCGGGCTTTATCCGGATTCTGAAACGTGAGTCTCAGCAAGGTGTTCTTGACGACGAGCGGGATGGTGGTAAAGAGTGAACCTAGTACGATAACTCCCAGGAACGACAGGCTCAAGAAGAAGGAGGAAACTCGGAAAGCCGCGCAATGGATATTTCGTAGTATCGACGAGGGCCCGTATAGCGGCAGCGGGGGAAAGAGCGGGTTGGTGTGCGAGGGCGGCATGGCTCGACGCAAGGAGCCCTCAGACGACTTTTGCACCGAATTCCCATTGCGCACGGAGGGGACTTTGACTACTTTGTGCGGCTCGCTGGGGTCGTGGGAGCCGTGGGTTTGAAGAGTCTCGTCTGTACTGCCCCGCGTGATTGCGGGCTGATCATGCTCCAGTTCCTCCTTCAGGATGTTCAGTTTGTGCGCCTCTTCCAGTGGGACCCCTGGCAACCGGTGTCCATCGGTCGTGGCAACGACGGGGTCTCGAGGCGTGACGAAGAGGGCCTCGGCGGCGACATCCTTTGAGTCGTCCTCCTCTGGGTGCTTATGCGATAGTTTCTGTGCTTGCTTCGCGAATTCGACGGCGGAATGGACTAACGGCGTCGAGCTCGAGCCGCTCGCATCGTTCCCTGTCATCGCTGTCGGTCGAGCTTGCGATCGGTTTCAAGCAAGACAGAGAGGAGAGGGGACGAAAAGCAGCCACGGGGACGCGAGAACGGGGAAGGCAGTACAATGAAAGCGTGTAGAGTGCTGGCAGACGGGAAAGACGTCATGAGATATACAAAAGACTATTATTCTCTCTAGTTCAGGAACGGAACTGGTGTACCCGATAGCGGGCGTCTAAGGCGATGGTCTAGATGCGCAATAAGAAGAACGAAACCCCCTGACTACAGAGGACTAGAGGGACGAGGGCCACTCATTTCCCGGGGGCGCCTATCGCGGATCAGCGAGGGACTGTTGAAAGGAAACAAGAGTCATTGAAATGGCGCGAGGTCAGCGCTCGAGAAGAGCGCGGGCTTGTGCTATGTGATAGAAATAATATGGAGAGAAATGTACGGTGCTGCAATGGTTGGCCCATAGTGAGAGATTTCGCCCCTGCGTCATCATGCAGGGGGCGTCGAAATTTTGCAGCCCGCTCGACTCGCTCTCGCTAGTCATCTCAAGCATGTGAAGATCAAACCACCATGGCTGCGGTGTGTGTTGTGTCACGAGACAGGACAGAAAAGAGCAGAATGTCCACCGCCCCTTCAAGATGTCGGCAAAGAAGATATGCTGGGCTTGGACTCGCTGTCGTTGCGACGCGGACTTCAACGTTCTGCTGCCATTTGCAGATGCCAGACAGGACGGACAATCGAAGAGGGTTGCTGCTGCACGATGCAAAGTATCCGGCACAAAGGAGACGAGTATATTGCAGACGGGACGGATGGCGCCGACAGCTAGATCATAGATCACTTACATATGCCAGGTGGTTGAGTTTGGTCTCCATAGATTTCGATATGGGGTATGACTTGAGATAGAGTTTCCAGATGCAACTCTACACACAGACATTTTGCCGGCTGCGTCTGTCGGCGCGCGTTGGAGTCGGGTGGGCAAGGGTTGGGTTCGAGTTGGCCGGCTGCGCATTCTGCAGCCCGCTTGCCGAGGTTCTCCAGCACAATCGGCAGGGGTCCACCCAACGTCCCTCTACGCCGAACAATTGATTCCGGGACGACTTGATGCATGCCTTTCTACATGCAGCACGTTCATCTGGTGTTGAAGACCTCTAAGCCGTCTGCCGAATCAAAGACAAAGTCCAATGCGCCGTGCGATAGCCTGCTCCCTGCCCACCTCCTGTCCTCATCGTCGAGCATCAAGATCATGAGCTCCCAATAAGCAAGCTCCATAGCTGTGCGCGCGGGGCCGCCGTCCATCGTTTCCCGACTCAAGTCTCTTGACATACTGCAGCTGCAACTTCCTCGGCCTCTACTCCTTCGTCCTCCTCTATCTTATAATACCTGGCTGCCATGGCTTCGCTGCCACCAGTCGACCTGTCCCATTCCCATCGGAAGCGCAAGAGGAGGCGGAGGCACGACAAACCAGCCATTGCCGCACGCCTCGTTCTCGACGACCATGTCAAGGGCGACGTTGGGATATTGTCCGAAGACCTGTTTGCCGACCTCTTCCCCCACTTGAACTACGGTAGATCTTCATGACTTCCCTCGTTTTTCGATACTAGGATGCTAATGTGACTTCCGACTGCTACAGAACCCCGACATGACGAAGATGGCCCCCTTGTCCCCGACGTGCTCCACGTTGCTCTGGCCCCATGGGCACCCAATGCCTCTGCTGAGACCACGAACTGGACCATAGTTCCTGTGACCCAGTCTTCCGCCCTTGCACATTCGACCCTCCAGTTCTCTCCCTCCTCCCTGGCCCTCCAGAGCTTTGCGACCACCCTCCAACAAGTTGCACCATCCAAGCTGTCCAGCCACAGCCGAAGCGGAATTGAGATATTGGTTCTGGATGTGGTGGCCCTGTCACTGGATACTGTCTTCGTGAGCCTCGAGGGTGAGCTTGCTAAGAGGTTGGAAGACGGAGAGGGAACTTTCTTCCGAGACCATCCTGATGCTACCTCTGCCCATTTCAAAGGCAAGGGTACTGCAGCAGAATCGTCTCCGGATGGTCGCCTGAAGGCTGCTATACGCATTGCCCTGGGCACGTTGAAAGTTGTCCATGCTGGAGACCTGTTCCCACTGCCTCTGCCACCCCACGCCATCACCCATGTGCCCCCGAACCCGGGCAAGGTTACGCTTTGCGAGCCCGTCGCTCAAGGAATACTTTCCCCTTCGACCAAGATCGTCGTGTCCAGGGGCCGTACTCACTCCAAGGATAGCCGTACTCCTTCCGCCATGTCTTCCTCGCAGAAGCTCAATGGCGTCGCCGAGGATGACGACGACACTGCGAATGACCAGTTCTACTCAGCTGCGGAGGAGCGTTACAGGACGGGGGCCGAAACTCAGACCGAAGAATCTGATGTTATTACGGAGACTGAAGAGTCAGAGCTTTCTTTAGACGAGCACGATGATCTGTCAGACGATTCGATGGACGACTTAATATCCCTCCAGGCCCCGGCCTTGCCTGCAACGGCTGCCAGCGGTATGTCGACAATAGCTGCCGGCACGCCAATGACGCTGGGACGTGGACGGAAGACAAATGGTGTCAGCACGCCTGGCTCAGTCTTCTCGACCTTCACTGCCACTACTGCCAGACTCGATCGACCTCGTGGGCGCCTTTTCAAAGCACAGGGTCTCATGAAACCCATTCCCCCGGAGCTTCTGCATCCGAAAGTTGTCCCGGCGGACGATGAGGAGGCACGTGTATATGTCGACATCAGCAATTTGACAAGAATCGGCTGTTTCTCTGGCGACTGGGTGAGATTGGAACCTGCCCAGGAGCCACCTGCGAATGGCTTTGGTCAGTTTGGCCTCGGAAGCTTTGGTGATCTAGGTCAGGATGAGCCAGACTGGCGACCTGTCAGAGTTTTCGGACTGCCAGAAGGGTACTCGCAGCGACCTGTGACGAGAATTGCACACTCCAAAAATGAGGAAAGACGACCTTCCTTCTTTGAGTCGCAATTGCAAAGACCGTCAAGTCCTGCGGTATATGTTTCACCAGTCTTGCTGGCGAATCTTGACGCTCCACCCTATCTGCGCATAGCACCTTTGAAGAGGGGGTCACCAGTCTTAGCGAAAAACCCTTTGTCCAAGTTGACTGGCTCATCCCAGCCACCATACGCACGCGAGGTCACTTTGCGGCATGTTCGAACCCCCAAGTCGGTGGAGAGAGATGTGCAAGTAGCTGTCATGGCTGGCGTCAAGTGCTATTTCGAGAAGAAGACAAGGATAGTCAAGAGTGGCGACTTGATCGCATTTCCTATCGATACGCAGCTCGGAAGGACACTCCAGGACTCCGGCACGGATAATATCGCTGTTGATGACATCTTGTCTTTGGCGGCATCAAATTCAACAAATCGAAGACAGAGTCTCAAATTTGACGAGGTGGTCTGGTTCAAGGTCACCCATATCGTCTCTTCGAAACGGGAAGGCCACGAGGAAGAGCCTGAAGAGGATACATGGGGCTCCGTCGCATGTATTGATGTATCCATGACACTTTTGCGGCAAACAGGTTCAGTGACCAGCCGCATACCGGGTGTTAAGGACAGTACTTGGAGGTATTACCTCGGCCTGAGAAAGCCGCCAGATCGGGCTTTGCAGCATATGCCCCTGGCAATTATGGAACCAGAGCGCCCACAGGTCTCACCCATACGAAAACGTTTGCGTGAACTTCTATCCGCAGCGACTAGCCAGAGGGCGATACAACTAAAGATGCCACCATTGGCGATTTTGCTGGTCTCCACGCAGAGGAACATTGGGAAGGCCAGTGTTGCAGGCGATGCATGTCTCGACATTGGTCTTCACACTTTTGTGTTAGATGCGTATGATATCGTAAACGACGCAGGCTCAGGAGGCAGCGATGTGAAAACTGAAGGCTTCTTGAAGAGCCGAGCCGAGCGGGCCATGAGCTGCGGCCCTGAATCTTGCTGTCTACTGATCAGACACATAGAGGCTCTTACCGCTGACAGGATGGTGTCGTCAATGAAAGAGATCTTGGCCGATGCCAGGGTAGTCATCGCTACAACGACCGAAGTGGACAAGGTACCCGATGGCGTCAGAGGACTGTTTACCCACGAGCTCGAAATGAGAGCGCCAGACGAAGGCGAGCGAGAAGTAATATTGAGAAGCGTCATAGATGATCGAGGCATTTCTCTTGGCCCCGATGTCGACTTGGGCAGCGTCGCACTCAAGACCGCTGCTTTAGTCGCGGGTGATCTAGTCGATGTTGTCGACCGAGCCTTGATTGCCCAGAGGTCACGCCTCGAGAAGCTCACCTCCCAAGCGACGGATACAAACACCAAGCTGACCGTCCGCGACATACAAGTCGCCGGCGGCCCATCCTCACGCGGTCTCACACCAGCTGATTTCGACATCGCCGTGGAGGCTGCGCGCAAGAATTTTGCAGACGCCATTGGAGCACCCAAGATCCCGAACGTGACATGGGATGATGTTGGCGGTCTAGAAAACGTCAAAGATACCGTTTCGGAAACCATTCAATTGCCTCTCGAGAGGCCCGAGCTGTTCGCCAAAGGCATGAAGAAGCGCAGTGGCATCCTATTCTACGGACCGCCAGGCACGGGCAAGACGTTGCTTGCCAAGGCTATCGCAACTGAATACAGCCTCAACTTCTTCAGTGTAAAGGGTCCCGAGCTGCTGAATATGTACATCGGTGAGTCGGAAGCCAATGTCCGACGGGTTTTCCAGAGGGCAAGGGATGCCCGGCCGTGTGTAGTGTTCTTCGATGAGCTGGACTCCGTGGCGCCGAAAAGAGGTAACCAAGGAGACAGTGGTGGTGTCATGGACCGCATTGTGAGCCAGCTCCTGGCTGAATTGGATGGAATGTCGAGCGGCGAGGACAGTGCTGGAGGCGTGTTTGTCATCGGTGCCACCAACCGGCCGGATCTATTGGACTCGGCACTGCTGAGACCTGGTCGATTCGACAAGATGCTGTACTTAGGGGTGTCGGACACCCACGACAAGCAGCTGAGGATCTTGGAGGCACTGACGCGAAAGTAAGTGGAACCAAAGTTTCCCTCACCTGAACACAGAAACTGACTAGCGATCAACAGATTTACGCTCCATCCAACAGTCACCCTGCGCGCTGTCGCCGAGAAGCTCCCGTTTACCTACACAGGCGCAGACTTCTACGCGCTATGCAGCGACGCCATGCTCAAGGCTGTGACGAGACAGGCCGGCAAGGTGGACGCCAAGATCACAGCCCTCAACGCCGAGGCGGCGGCTGAGGGCAGGAAGCAAACCATCTCGACGGCCAACTTCTTCGACCACCACGCCACGCCGCAGGATGTCGCCGTGATGGTGACCGAGGAGGACTTCATGGACGCACACAGGGAGCTGATCCCCAGCGTGAGCGCGGGCGAGCTGGCACACTACGAGCGGGTCAGAGCCACTTTCGAGGGCGGCCGGGAGTCCAATGGTGGGGCGAACACGACTGCAGAAAAGCCAAAGCCTGCGCCGCTCGCCCTCGGGCAAAGGACGGTGTCGGCGTCCTCGCCGCGCAGTGCAAGAGGGAAGGCCAAGTCGATGGCTACTGGAAAGGGGAAGGGTAAAGCCGTCGCCACAGGCAGTGACGGCGAAGATGCCGAGTACGAGGATGACTATGGGGTCGAAGCCGAAGAGGATGAAGGAGGCGGGGCGAATGGCGTCAGCAAGAACAAGGGGAAGGGAAAGGCGGTTGCTGGGTTCCAAGACGGGACGGCCAGTGATGACGAGGGATTGTATGACTGAGTGTTTTTCGGTCCGGACTTGGTGACGAGGTTACTGGAAAAGTAAATATGGATATGATGACAATGTTTATATAGCTCAGAGAACTTAAACCTCCGTGCATGAATCCCCCATGGCCCCACTTTGTTTGATCATGTGCATTTGCGTGGAAGTAGAATGTGTCTACAACCATAGACCACCATCTCAGCTGAATCCTTGGTTTCTGTTCGAAATAATAGCACCTGTGGATTTTCCTCTCGATTGATGTAAGTTTCTATTGACGCAAAACATCTCTGTGTTCTCTAGCCCCATCGTAGACTCTGTGAGCCAGAGCAAGCAGAGTGGGAGTGAGTGATCGAGAGAGAGCCCATATAATTTAGCTATTGCTGCCCTGTCCAGCCGGCAATTAAAAGCAATCTGGGAAGGGTAGATGATTACTCTGACCACCTCATTATCCACCACTCTCTCAGTCAATACATAGGTACACCTAGTTTCCCCGGTTCAAAAGCGCATGCTTGCCCAGTCCCCTACTCCTTGCTACTGATTATCAACGCCAGTTGAACACAGCTGAATCAAGATTGTGCTGTAATTTTGTGCATTCTGATTGACCTGCAATGATCATGCCTTGCCCGCCTCCTCCTTCTTGGCGTCCGCTCCCTCGTCTGCCACAGCAGCCTCCTCGTCGTCCTCCCCAGGCTCCTCCTTGAGGGTCTCCCGGATTTCTATCGCCTCAATCTCTTCCTTGCTCACACTGGCCACCCTGGCGCCCGCGAACGTCTCCTCGCCTGACGAAGCCGGCGCCTTCCACGTGGCCGTCGTAGGGCTCTGGACCGATTGCAACGCCGCGCCTAGGCTCGCGTCCTCGCTGCTCTTCCACGCGCCGCTCGTGGGCGACTGCAGGCCTGCGCCGGTGGCGGCGGACGACGTGGATGCCGCAACGGACAGCTGTGACATCTCCTTCGTCGGCGGCTCTGCCGAACCTGACGCCTCCGCCGCCTCCGCCGCCTCCCCGCCCGCCTCGGCCTTCTTGCCGTGGACCTTCTCCCTCAGGGCCTCCAGCTTGGCCTTCTTGGCCTTCTGCGCGATCTCTTGGGCCTTTTGCGCCGCATCCTCCGCGACGCTCCGTGTGGCGGCCTTCACTGTGTTGTTCGACGAGTTCTTGAGGGCCTGGGCGATCTTGTTGGCGTTCTGCTCCGCGGGGCTCTTGACCCGCTCGGGCGGCGGCGGCGGGTTCAGCATGGCGGGCGGGTAGGGCGTCTTGTCTTCGGGCTGCTTGTACTTGGGCACGGGGGCGACGGCGCCCTTCTTGGGCTGCGTGAACTCGTCGTAGTAGATCTTGACGTGCTGCTTCAGCTCGCCGTACTCGTTCCACTCCTCGATCTCGACGATGTCCTACGTCGCAGAAACAAGAGCGTTAGCACGGGGCAACCCGCCCAAAGTAGTTCAGTCGGAGAAGGGGGCGGGGGGGCCCCAAAGAGGACGGGCAGACTTACGCCGAGCACGATGCCTGTCTGTACGAGCCCGGGCAGCCTCCGCGGCCGGCCTTCGGCGGCCTTGCCTGCGCGGCGGCCCCAGAGCATGCGCGCCTTCTCATCAGTAGCGACGTCGATGGCCTTGAAGGGCACGCGGTTGGCGCGCAGAATGGTCTCGAGGCGCGAGGTGGCTGTGATGATATGCCTGTTGCCGGCGGTCAAGGAGGTGTAGATGTACAGGGCTGGGTCGGTGCTGTAGTTCTTTGTTTTCTTGACCACCTTTTTGACTGGAGCCGGAGCCGGAGCTGGGGCATCGGCCGAGGCTTCCGCCGGCGTCTCAGTAGATGTTGATCCCTGTGCTGATTCCTGTGCCGGGGCTGGAGCTGGTGTTGAGTCTGGGACAGCCGAGCTGCTGCTTGCTGCTGCTTCCTCGGATGCCATGTTGGGTGGTCTGACGCTGTCTGCGGGGTGTATTGGAGGCGGATGGGTGGTGCTGAGGTGTTGCTGGTATCGGCTTTGTCGCTAGAAACGTGGCTCTTCGTTGGATGTTCCCAGAGTGGTCAATGTTGGAATGGGGGGCAGGGAGAGTGAAGCAGATGAACAAGGGTGAGATGGCACGGAGGGGCCACTTCAGAGAGCTATGGGCTCAGAGAGATCAGAGATGGCCAGCCTCAGCCTGAGTGTGTGGATCCTACGTTTCACCAAGGGGCCCGGCCAGTGGCTTTGGTCTCTGCCTGATAGACAGGTGCAATCTACAAATTCGCAGCTCTCTCGGCCTTTCCCATGCTTTCCCTGTGTCTGCAAGCTATTTTATTGTTGGAATGGCATATATTCCTCCTGCCATGAGGCTTGTCGATGCTGTCCTCTGATTGTCTTATCGATACAGTATGACGTACTCAGGGGTCCAAATTGTCAAACCTCGGTACGCTTGGGGTCATCTAACTACTTGCTAGTCTAATGCTTCACTGCGACACACTTGAGCCTCCTACCTAACGAAGCACTCAGATGGTTATCCAGGTACGCAATAATCAGCGATGTACTCATCAGCATGCGAGAAGGTCATCAAATGACGACGTCCTTCGGACCCGGCATGACCGATGTGCAGCCGTCCATGAGACATTTCGAACTCATCTGCATGAAAGCCAACATCGTAATCTGGCCTTGCACCTGGATCCGGGAAACGAACAACGTCTGGGTTTGTCTCGAGAGGCCCACGCAACACAAAGCCTAGCAGCAGCAGATCCTGCAAATTCGCTCAAGAGTTCTTGAATACGGGAGTGGATTCTTCCCATGTCTTGCTTGAGGCCTGTAACGACCTCTACTCCAACAAGACAATATTGTTCTCACATGTTCCGGCGCGATGAAGGCAATGCTGCCACACGTGTGGCACTTTGAGTCTGTGGTTGAAATGTACCCGGTCATCGCATGGAGTGCCGTCGAGTTGTGAAGGCATATAAGAACGGGTCGAAAAGCATTGAATGTATTCATATCTTGCTCACATCGTTCTGCGAACTTCTCGAATATCTAGATCAGCTTTTGAACTCAATATGTGCCTCCTCGTTCCTCCAAGTAAGGGCTCCAAGGGAGCTAAGAACGCGAAGTCAAAGGGCAGCCCACAGACCAAACCTGCCCAGGTCCCTACCGTACCAACATACAGCCGGATGCCTCAGCCCAAGCCCTGCGCCTTCACATCGCCGTCCACTGTGTTGCAAGCTGAGTATCTTGTCGAATACCTCAAGGACAGATACCCAGGCGAACTGAGCACCTGGGAACAGTATAGCCACCATCTTGATTTGCGCCAATTGGATGAACACATCCATGCGCAATTTGACCAGGCGAGATCTGCAACCGAAGTTGTCAACAAGGATGTCAAGGAAATCCAGGAGCGCCTAGACAAGATGGGAGAGACCTTGAAGGGAACAGATGAGACTGCCAAAACTGCGAGAGAGTTGGGAGAAGAGGCGAAGAAGAGACGGGATGCGAAGGTGGACGAACAGAGGCAGATGAAAGAAGAGGCGGCACAGAGAGAGCTTGAGCGCTTGAAGGGGCTGGTAGCCAAGCAGGAAAAGGAGAACGAGGAACGGAAGCAGAAGCAGGCCCAAAAGAAGGGGCTCGACGAAGCAGATCTTATGAAGATCCTCGATGAGCGCGACATGCGGCGAGAGTTGGAGAGACTGAAAACTCTCCAGGAAGGCGCAGTATCCAAGCATGGCAAAGACTGCCTCGGGGAGGTTGATCTGGTCAAGATTCTTGATCAACGTGATCACGACCGAGAGCATGCCAGACTTCAGGCACTCGAGAGCAAGAGACCCAAGGACATCAAGCAGGTGAGCCGATGGAATGACACGACAACTCGCTCCAGCGAGCGCAGCAAGAGTCACCATGAGTCAACTCCCTTTCTCGAGAGCGTCCATTCACCGATCACTAGTCAATGACCACTAACTCTCTTCTTTTAGGACGATGGAAAGTTGCAGGAAGTCCGATTCCGCGAGATCCTGAACGAGAATGAACAGCGAAAGGAATTTGAGAGGCTCAAGGCCTTCGAGGCGGAAGCTCTTAAGCACAACACCTATGGCCATCCGAGGCCAAGCGACACTGGAACCGCGAGTCTTGCGGATATCGAGCGAGTGATCGACAAGTTGTTGGAGAGTCACAACCTGAAGCAACGTCCTGAAGGGAGCCCTGAGACTCTGAGGACTGGACGGGAAAGGGACACATCGCCAGCACCCAGACCTAATCACGAGGCCGAGACCCAGCGCACCATCGATCAGATCCTGGAGATTCTCCTGCAACGCCAGCACATCGACAAGGCGACCGAGCTGTTGGAGCGCCTGCTGTATAAGACAGAGCACGACAGCCGCAGTGACAGCCACTGGATACTGACCGAAGTCCTTGGCTACGTGGATGAGTACCTCCTGCCTGAGCATCGTCACAGCGAGCACGTCCGGCCGGGGTTTTACCACCATCATGGCCACAGCGACATCAATTGCAGGTTTGGCTGTGAAGCACCAAGTACGCGTCTCCACCCCCACAACATCCGTAGCTCGCCTCCTGCCCAAGATCGCCAGCCTGGATCTGGCCCGTCAGGCCGCTGGCAGACAGGCCGCCCCCGACCTCGACCTGTGAGACCGACCGCGCGTTTCTGGGAGCCCGAGCCTCATTGCTGGCATGAAAGTCCACATTTCTGAGGTCTCACGCCATTTATAGAGTAAGGTAGAGTCCCTGCTCTGTGCATGTCGAGCTGGGCTCACAGCTGATCGCGTCGGCATCGCTGATCTCTTCCGGCTTGTCACGCGTGTGACCGGGGGTCGAATAGCCGAGTTGACGTGGATGAAGGGTCGATGTGCCTCGCCGAATTTTGTAATACAGCAGCGGTGTTTAGCCGGGGGCCTCGATTGCCTGGGGAGGGACGGAAAGTGGTGGACCTGACCGCTGTTTGAGACGGCCCATTTTGGGCAAAGAATCCGGCGTCGTCTTCAATGGTACTATATTCACATATAAAACGCCTCCTGGACTCAGATCTGGACTTGTAGGAATAGGAGTCGGTGGGGGCCAAGGTCCAGGGAAATTGGAATGGGGTTCCTCTTGCGCAGACACCACCGCCTGACCTCTGCGACCTGAGAATTATGGTCAAGCTCGGACAGAAGCTTAAACGCCTCTGTCAAGCTTTATCGGAGCCTTTGGGCCTGCTCATCTCCTTCAAATGGCGTCTTCCCTATCGGTTGGCGTGGGACGAAACTATGCGTGCAACATTGCCTTGGACGATAGACACGTCTTGTGCGACCTTCTGCTGGGAACTAATACGAAAAGGCATGCGGCTTGCCTGGCTTTCTGGTGCTGAAGAATGGTTCCATGCGTGCTTCTGTCCCGCCACTATCATTAGTCCCGAGGCTGGCTTGACTTGGCCCGGCCTATCGCCACGGCCAGTGGGGGTGCGTGGAGGTGCGTCTTGTCACCTCATTCAGAAGGCTTGACGGTTGTCTCCGGACTGAAGGTGCCACGGTGAAGGGTTGTCGCCCGCAGACATCAGACACGCTTTGGGCTCCCAAGCGCGCATGGTGACGAACTCTCGTGGGCATCAGAAGCAGACAGGCAGGACGGTCCTCATTGGACATTTATTGACGCATTGCTCGAGTCAATGTCGGCGTGTTTTTGGTCTGACTTTTCGCCATACCTCCTGGCGGCGGATCCTTGTCATCTGCACCCTCAGGGCTTGCAGATCTGTATATCGCGGGCCAATGATGGTGTTTTGTTCCTGAAAACAATGGACCTGTGCCGCATGGAGACCCCAGGACCCATCGCTGGTACCACGTTACCCTCCTCCCAATAAGGTAGTGGATTCCCTGATGCAGGGCTGGTATTGGCCAGAGCATCTCGAGTCCCACTTGCCTGACAACGTCAACCCGCTCGGGTGAAATTGCACGCTTCCTCCTGCGATGGCCCGGCTCACCTCCGTGCTGTAGCCGGTAACAGTGTAGAAATAGGAGGCGGACCTGCCCCGTCCTACCCACACTCACACACGCGTGGTCCCTGCTTTCCAATCCCACTTGGCCGCAATATCAACCACGACGTCTTTCTCCCTGCCTCGGCTGCACACGCTCTCACTCCTTCTTTCCCCAGCCAGCACTCCAGAAAACTCTCGCTCAGCTTGCTTCGCGCAGCCTTCCATTCGTTATCACTCACGACTCGACGTACGCCTCAGAAACGCACGACGACAAAGACCACTCATTCCCACCCAAAACTCCGAAATCTCTTGACAAGAAGCACCCACTTCCTTCAAATCACCAACAAGATCCCTCTCAAGATGCAGATCTCAAACATCCTCCTGACCGTCCTGGCCGCCGGCGCCTCAGTTGTCTCCGCCCAGGACTCAACCACCGTCCTGACCACCTCCCTGACGAAGAGCGTGACCCTCACCAAGGTCTCGGCGACCAGCTCCAGCAGCCTGATCTCGTCCGCCGTGGCCAACACGAGCGTGCCCGTCGCAACCCCGACCACGTCCACCTACTTCCCGCTGGGCAACTCGACCGCCTCTGGCTTCGCCTCTGGAACCGGCGTCCTGCACACTTCTACCAAGGCCTCTGCTACCGCCACTGAGTCCTCCGGCGAGAGCAGCAGCGCCACCGGCTCTGCTGCCGCGAGCTCCTCCAGCTCCGCCGCCGTCGCCGGCGTGCAGTCGCTGCAGGGCGGTCTGCTCCTGGGCGCCCTGGGAGCCATGGCCATGCTCGTTTAAAGCTGAGGTCTCTTTGGTACGCTGGCCAGCCAAAGGCCCAGCTCAACCATCGACTTAATTTTTCGCTTCAGCCTTCACGTCAGCCATGGGGTCAATGATAAGCGCTTTTTAATTTCTCGGGGGAACGAGACGATTTGGGGTTTCTTGGTCGGCGGGGGGAGAGGAACGACAAGACTTGTGATACCACGATGCATCATCTTTTTCTTTGCCTGTTTTATTTGTTTCACTCTATCTATCCTTCTTGTTGGATTCATCATCATCAGCTGGCCACTGGCTGGCGCGATCCTACCCTTTTTTCGTCGTAATTTGGACTATCATCACTCGCCATAGAACGCTGGAAAAGAGACAAGTTTTGGTCCCAAGAACCTGATCACCGCATAGGGAAGCAAGCGTTACGGAGATATAACGAGGGGCGGCAAGCAGTTCAAGGGCTTCATGTTGCATAGTTTCGTACCTTTCTCCACAGTGAGACCGAGCACACGGCGCTCGACACGAAATGAATGATCTGCTACTAAGGCTGTCTAACTTGCCTAACTCCACACGCTATTATTTCCCTTCATGCTTGAGACCAGTTCCCTGCCTTTTTCGCTTGGTACCGATGTGCGCCGTGCGCCGTGCGCCTCAGCCGGGGATCTGGCACGTCCGTATTATTTGCTATGCCTCAGGGTATATCATTTGCGTCACAGACTAGCAGGTCAGGATAGCGGACAGGGACCTCCTTGCTCAATATGTTGGTTAACTGAGATCCATTTGACTATTACTGTGGGTTCGATGTGACACGTTGGGCCGTTGGGAGGCGGAGTGACATGTGCGTGCTGCAATGAAATAGATGAGTTAGCATTGGTCGCTCCTGTTCCTTTACCACGGTTGTTTCTCCCCAGACACAACCTTTCTCCTTCCATTGTTGCCAGACTGATAAATTGATGGTTATTCGGCTGCCCTCTGTCCCTCCTTCCTTCCATCCAGATAGATCTACCGCTTTGCCTTCCACTCCCTCAAGTACTAGATGCGAATGGCTCAGTACTTGAGCACATTGAGAGGCGAGTTGACCACACCTCTTGATCCTCGCCACAAACGAAAGTCCCAAACACCAAAGCAGTGCCGTACCAAATCAGAATTTTGCTATGGAAGAAGGCCGGCCAACCAAAGGCCTCCTCACAAAGAAGACATTACGCCATTAACCCCTCGCTAGGGTTTCCGGAGCACTTGTTCAGTGGCTCTTCTCCCTTTCACCGATTTGTGTCAGGACGCCCAAGTGGTCGATATCTCCTATCAAATGCACCTTTCCATAAATGCCTCGATGCTATCCTCTGGAAGCCTGAGCGAGGCAGCTCTCCTTCCTCGTCCATCACGCCAGGCACCCCATCCATGCGTGAGCTCAGCCGCAAGACATATCTCTCGGCGGTCGATTAGGTGGGAGCTAATTCCCCCAAGGACCTCGACACTCGCTTGCCGTCTGACGCCCACGAATACATTTAACGGACTGCTTCTTCCCTAAAGATTGGTGCCCACTGTCGGGTGAGGACACTTGTTCGCCTTGCACAAATCGCACAGGTCTACACCAGAGGATGTTCTATATGGACAACCCAGGGAATGGTGGTCACACCACTTGTCGCTCATGCGATTTGTGGGTTGTTGGATTTCGTGCCTCATCTGGCCACGCTTAATTAACGTCGAGAAGTCGAGTGGTTGTTGCCGCCAGTAAGGCTCCTTGCTGAGGTGGACTTGTGCCTGGTTGAGGGTTGGTCAGTCCCAGAATATCTGTGCTTTATGTGACCACGATCTGCTGACTGGTTCAGGGAAAGAGTCTCATGAAAAGAGTGAAAGCTGAAGGCACGAACCTCTACCAAAATAACGAAGCTTTTGGGGAAAATATTGCGATTTATGGACGGCACAAGGCTGTTCAACGAGGAGACGTCCTCACCTATATCAGGGATTGACACCCCTGTCGTCGACTGAGCTTGGGCCCTTCAATCCATCCGACATCTTGTACCTGGCAGTGTGGGTGTCACTGATGGCGCAGGTGACCAGTGTGAGGACGGCAAATTTCCACATCCTGCAGACCACGGTACGACATGGGACAGCCTGAAACGTACGCATCCACGGCTCTTTGCCCCAACGGCTCGGTACGCGAATCCCAATTTGAGGGGCACTGGCGGCTCGTGGCGCTTTCTTGGAGAGATTGAGTACCGCGCCGCCCAACGAAGAAGGAGCAGCCGGCGGACAGCTCTCTTTTCGTCTGAACGATTCTAGAACCGCGGCGAAGTATGGGAGCGACCCGAGCAGCGACATGCCATTCTCAGCCGTGTAACCGAATACTCGGGCATCACAGCAGCTGACGATGCGTTGGAGCTGACACTTTGCACATCCACTCAAGATTCGTTCATGTGGCTTCGGCCTGGAAGAACCTCAACGGGGTGATCCATGCACAGGAAATCCTACACACGGCTCAACGCACATGCTCAGCTCAGCAGAGCCTGTCAATAGCATTGCCGAACGAAGCCGACCGGTTCTATTGAACTTTGGACGCAGTGCGGCGCGGTGCCGGGTTTCTCGACATTTCCTCTTCTGGATCGACCAGCATTGCAGATCCGTCGGCGGGTCTCACGGTCCTGCGCTCGTCTTAAAGTTACATACGAGACGGGATTAGTACACTATGAGCGTCGTTGATCAGATCCTACGGTGGCATCGAGATGAGTAGCGGTGAACCTTGTGCCAAGTAGGGCGCAAAGATAGAGGGCGACTCTCCGATTTGGCGGGGCCCCTTTCGCAGTCTGCATATCTGTGATTCTGCTATGCAGGAGGCAGGGAAGAGACGCGGCCAGATTCGAGTTTCTGGCGGGCATGATGGTGTGAGGGCCCCATAGGTGAGTTGACCGGTGAGTTCCAGTGTCTGGGATTTTCTTAAATGATGGTGGGAGGTAGAGAGCAATGCCAGCCGAGGTGTCCAAAGCGCCGGCATCTCCTGTTCCTGTCCCATGTCGCAACGGCCGCAACATAGACGCTGAGCGCCATGCCGAGACATGAATTAGGCTCGAGGATCTCCAAGTCGTCCCATTGCTCCATCCACTAAGACCAATAGGGTAGACTATAGGATTTTCACAGAGCTTTCGGGCCGTCCCTCTGTGCTACTAGCACAGGTCACTTACTGCTCGGCGGTTCAACGGTCGCAACAATGACACCTCTCTCGGGTTCAGGCCAATCCTTGGGAGTTGCGGCTCGCGTGACAGGATTCGGCCGGGTACTTGCGCAGAGACAACGTCGGGGAACACGAGCTGTCAGCCTTCGGGCCTCGAGGACGGAGGAAGCGGTTCATGTCTCATAAGAGGGAGGGATACCCTCTCCCGGTTCCACGGTACAGTCTACCCACCGCGGTGGAGACGACCGCCCTGCGTGTCAATGCTACGCTACAAGACTGTGATGCGTACCGCGCAATAGGCCCAAGCCCGAGGGAGGGACGTCGTGGATATCGTTCGTACAACAGGATGCACAAAGCACGTGGACTGTTAATGACGTGCAGGAAGAGACTTTTCTCTGCTGCCGCGTCTTGAGTGTGGCTAGCGTGGCCCATCAAGCGGCCTGGCCTGGCCTGGGTCGAGGACGACCACTAGTTACACTGCGCATAGGAGGACGTCGATAGACCTGTTGAGCGAGATGTGTGGCTGTTCTCTGCACGAATCAATCAGGAGACGCGGTATCCGCGCGCGAACTGGCGTGCGGTTCGGCAGGGGCTTTCATGGACTGATCGACACGTTAGATGGACATCAAACGTACAATATGGGAATCTTTGCCTCTCTCTCTCTCGCTTGAGGCCAGACCAGGCCTACTGAGTGGTTGTGACATTGAAACGGAACATTTCAGCGGAGAAGCAAACCCGTGAGGAAATTGAGGACTGACTCGAATAAAAGGCAAGTGTTAGTTAGGTTGCACGTTGATCAATCCGAGGGCCAGGCAAATGAATGGGCTGCAGCTCTTCGGAAATAACGGAAGGATGGGGGGGGGCTTCATTATTGTAGCCAAAGTATAAACACATGCGGGATGTGAAACAAAGTGTTTGGCGAACCACTATCTCTGGACTGAGGCCTCAGCTGCTGCAGGTGTGGCGATCCTGTGCGTAGGCGACGTAGGCGACCCCGGCAGGCGAGAACCCTTGGGCCTCGGGAGGCTGACCTGCATGCAATGCGGTGGATGCAGTGACGAATTGGCCTCCCTGCCCCCCTGGCAGCTTGGTCAGGGTCCAAGCAGCTGCTGACATCACTGCAACCTGACGGGTCCCAATCCTTCCTCCAGATCCAACCTATGGATTCTGGTCTCCGGATTCTACATGTAAGCCAGCCCAGCCCAACCACACAATGACCGCAGCAAAAGCGGCCAGGCGGGAGGCGGAGTCGGAGGCGCACCTGGTCGGCCTTTGTGCCAGGCCGGCTGGCCCATACTGCAACACGCAGGCCGCGCAAGGTTGGCTGGCTGGTTTGGCCTAGGTGCTCAGCTGAGGGGTGAACCTTGCCTCCCCAGGCCCTGGAATGGCGCGCTTTGAAGGGGGCGCAATCCGCACTCACTCATCATGCCCGCAATCTCGGCTGCTTCCTGTCGGCCGCCCGTGTGACTGGCTTGATTGACTGACTGACGTGACGGCCCTTCCTCTTATAACCCAGTCGCTCACAAACTGCCAGACCTAACCCCTCCTCCTCCTCCCCTGCTTATTTCGCTCTCCTCGGCACCTAATCGCCAAGCCATCGACCTCTTTCGCGATATCAACATAACATCATGTCTGCCAACGATTACTACTCTGGCGGTGGCGGCGGCGGACACCACCAGCAACAGCAGTACGGTGGCCAGGGCTACGGACAACAGGTATGCGACATTCCCAATCCCAGCTGTAGGCACGACACAGACATGACAGATCCTCACTGACACTCTCGGACACTCAGGGCTACGCCCCCTCCCACTCCCCCTACAACCAGGGCGGATACAACCCACCCCCTCAGCAAAGCTACAGCTCTGGCCCCCAGCACGGCGGCTACGGCGGAAGCCCCGCCCCATACCAGCAGCAGCCACAGCATCAGGGCTACGGCGGCGGCCAGCAATACCCTCCTCAGCAGCCACAGTACGCCCCACAGCACGGCCACCAGCAGCAGCAGCAGCAGTACGGCCACCAGTCCCAGGGCTCATACGGCGCCCCACCGGCCGCGCACGGCGGTGCCCCCTACGGCCAGCAGCACGGAGGAGGCGCCCCGGGCCAGCCCGGGCAGCAGGATGACCGCGGCCTGATGGGGACAGTGCTCGGGGCCGGCGCTGCCGGGTACGCGGCCCACTCGGCCGGAGGTGGCGGGCTTGCCTCGGTCGGAGCTGCGATCGCAGGTGCTATTGGCGGGAACATGCTTGAGAACAAGTTCGACAAGAAGAAGAAGGACAAGAAGGACAAAAAGCACAAGAAAGAGAAGAAGCACGGCCATCACAAGCGGAGGGGGAGCGGTAGCTCCTCGTCGAGCAGTGATTCTGACTAGGTTGTGTCATAGGGGCTGGGGCCCGTCTGGGGTGGCTTTCTGTATTGTCCTGGTGAGCTTGGATATTTTGTTCGGAAGTCTCAACTATTGCTCTGGAGGCATAAGCTTGCCATGGTGGTGGACCCGGAACCGTTGGCGGGTAGCCAGCTGTCATGGATGAGGGCTTCGCAAGAACCTAAGAACACAATGTGTCATGACTTTTGGTCTCCTCGAATTTGACCAATTTTAACCTGTCCGTTCATACCCTCCAAACTTGCAGTCCAACTGTGTCATGTGTCGTTGTCTCTGCCACGGAGTTATAAGGTGCTCCCGGCACTCCAGTCTTGGTTGCATTGCCCACAAAGCTCTTATCCGGCTCTGCCTGAGTTCCTGTCTAACAACTGGGTGCAGCAGGTGAGTGTTAACTAGTCTGCAAAATTCTGTGTAAAGTTCCATGTGGCTGGGTCTATTCCTACGGATATATTGCGCGGAGCAAGCTATCGTTCAATTCACCTCATGTCACATGCCCAATATGCGCATATACACAAGAGATGTGACAGAGTTGAGGGAGGTATGAAACGAGTCGTCATCTTATGGTTGTCTCATTCAGAACATTGCTAGCGGTAAGAAGAACTGACACCCCTAGCTACTTTCTTGTGAAATCCCCTGCGTGGTTGCAATAACACCGGTATTGAAGACAACCTCTGCGTTCTGTTCCTCTGCACTCAACGGGCCACAACAACAATGTCCCCATAGACGCCCCGACAACCCTTGGCCTATATAAATGTTAGTATGAGCTTTGCCTTAGATAGGATTTTGAGAAATATTTTGAAATCACTCACCACACATGACACGCAGTACTGATTATTCACATAGTGATATCTCTGACATCCGCAGCCACGATACATACACCAACAAGGGTACTTATGGAACCCGGGACCTTGAGGGGGGCCAGGCATCTTGACATAGGTAATTTTCGAGCCACCACCAGTTGATGACCCTCCAGATGCTCCAGAGTTGGACTGATTGTTAGACATGGTATGGGGTGCCAACGACGGTTGGTGGTAGTTGACTTCGTGGGGGTATCACATTTTCCAGATTTTTTTCAAGCTTCTTTGATTTTGTGTTGATGTTCATCTCTCAACAGACAGTCTGCTTCAAACTATTTGCCAATTTATACTTTTCAACATGAAGACAATCATAGATCTGATGCTGTCGTCTTGTACTAGTGATTGACATACGTGTTTCGTGTCGAGTGAGTCTCCAAGTGATTGCAATGCCGGGGCAAGACTGTTCGCGCGTACGAAGACGTCCTCTCTTCTCACAGTGCCTATCCGCGTGTACGTCTTCAGTGACTGGTGTATAGGAGTTGATATCGCTTTAGAGATTAAGTTTCGCGAGATTCGACTGCAAGGTTGTATTTCCACGGATGCTACACTTAAAATGCCTACTGAACGCGAAACACAATTCATCAATATTCTGCTGAGCTGACACTAATCCCCTTAGACTGCCCATTTCAACATGTCTGAATGTAGCCTTTTGCTGGTACTCAAGTAAAGATTGAAACTTACTCTTGTATCCATGTTAGCACTAGCACTGGACGTAAGTCTGGAAGTCTCTCTGCAATCGAAATCAATCTTGTCTCTCTCATAAACCTCGATAATACCACCGAAAGTCCTATTCAAGCGAATAATATCTGGTGAAGTTCAGTAACAAGGGTTTCCTTATTTGTTTAAGGAGTCCAGCTCTCCGCGAAAGACACAAAGTCAAATTGGGCGCAGCGGTCTGTTTGAATCAAGGCTTTATATTGAAATTATATACATGACAGGGGACACTCCACCGTAGGAGCTGGTGTCCACATGCACTCAAAACACAGCTTCACAGCCTAAATAATTACAATAAACATAATCTTGAGCGCTAATAGTGGTCCCGATCGTTCAAGGTAGTACTGGTACAAGTGGTTGTCATGGACGGTTGAATTGTCGAGTCTCCTTGCAGCGAGCCCCATACTCGGGCACGTGTTCGAGGCGGGGTCTGCAACATCATGTAAGTGTCTGTACAGCATCAAAGCGTCGCGGAAAGTAAAAAACCTCACCTGGTAAATGTGTTGATGATGCTCCCATCCTTGTTCCTCGGGGTCGATCCTCGACTGCTCAATGCTAGGGGCCATGTAGTAAGTTTCATCTTGTACCAGAGTCGATGCCTGTGTTGCTTGAGTGTCGAGGCCGGGATCACGGTTATTGCGTCTGATAAATGTCCGCAGACCCGACAGAGTAGGCGCCGGCACCTCAGGCAGACCTCGCGTGGAATTGTCGATATTTTTCTCCTTGTGCCTGCGCAGCAACCCCATCCGGTAGGCGGCTCGTGGATTTCGGCCTCCAGAACCGCCAGGTGCTGCCGGTGAATTATGGTTACTTTTGGTCTGGTGGACAAGGAGGTTGCGCACGACGGTGAGTGAGCCCATTATCACAGCGACCACAGTCTCCATGTACTGCCAGAAGAACACCCAGACCACATCAATGGAAACAGCTCCATGGACTTTGCTTGCTCGAATGATAGCTAGGCACACCATCACGAGAGAAAGGCATAAAAATATGCCGAGACTGATCTTCTGCGAAGTGCGCATCCGTGCGCGATAGAGGACGATAATGGGGATGCTCACGACTGGAATATGCTGTTAGTTATGATGCATAAATACGTTTAGGAGGCATGAAATGGTAACATACTCAGTATATCGGTGAGTGCGTCTAGGCCTGTTACGAGGCCAGTCATAGAGACATATAGTGTATTTTTGGTGGGTGACCAGCACTTTACTATTGTCAGGGGGATTTAGTACAGAACAAGACAGTCCAAGATTGCATACTTACTGGCATTTATTCCAAAATCAGAGCATAGAATAAAAGCCTCTGAGGTGAGGAACATCCACGTTATTATAGTAAAAATGACAATGCCCCAGTAATACTTCTGAATCCGTTCCACATTCCGTATTAGTTGTTTAAAGAAGGCAAGGAAAGAAAATTTGACCAAAAATGTGGTGGTCCAGGCTAGAAGTAGGAATATGTTTTCGTTGAGGGCCTGGCTCAAGAGTTGCTGTGTTTGCTTCTGGCTGAATTGGAAGAAAACAGCAGGATTTCTCTCCACGGCAGTAGCTAGATATATGCTATCAAGCAGGTAATATACCAAGGCCGTCACGGTGGTGAGAAAGGCGAACGCTGCAAACAAGAGGTAGTCGTCGAGTGCAAGATTTCGACGGGTCGTGAAGCGTATTACACCCCTAGCTAGGACCGAGAGTACTGCGATGCCGTAGAAAACACCAGCAGTCGCCTATTTATGTACAATTTGTCAGCTACTTCTGGCAAATAGAGAAGCCGCAGGAGTGCATTAAGGGAAATTGCCCACCCTAAATGCTGTCTTGGATATGCTGGCATATTGTGCGATAAGTGCCTCGAGTGACTTATTGGAGGAAGACATTGCATTGCTTGACGAAACTGACAGGACTCGAGTGCAGACCCTCTGGGCGTTAAATTGCGGCAAGACTAGTATGTATGCATGGGAGGATAGGTCGGCGACAGGACGACGGGCAGAGGTGCTCCCGTCGATCAAGTAGGCTGCAAGAGAGCACGCCAGGACAGGACTCGGTCATCTCGGCGCAACAATGTGAGAGTACCGGCCATAACCGATGAGGCGGCGAGTTGTGTGAGAATGCGGCCCCGACCCAAGGTGTGGGACTGCCTGACTGAGATAATCACAACATTGGCCATACCCTGCAACCATCACATGCAGGATTGATGACTGTGAGGTGTCGTGCACACCATTCCCACATGGCGATTTCGATAGTTTCCCACGCGCAGAACCACTATCGAATCCCCTCACGTTTATGTCATTGTTGCCCAGTCGGGATGTTTCGTGCAGTGTGGTCTTCCGAATTGGTATTTCCGGTCACAGTGGCTCGCGTGTCTCAACTCAATTGAACCACTTGTTCTGGAACCCACATAATCAAGTGATATATGGCTTACTCAGCCCTGCATTTTCCAAACTGAATGTCCTCCTTTGAAATCATGAGTCCATGCTGGGATTCGTGAAATCAGTCAGGCTTGCGCAACCATGAGCAGGTACTGCTTTGCAGACCGAAGGATGTGGTATTAGTAGCGTGCCGTTTTAAAGGGAATGAGCTGTGATACTCGCGATATACGAAGAAGCCTCGGGTACACTCGTGGGAATTCTCGATCGCTGGTCACACATGCTCCTTCACTTCGACTCTCTTAGAGAACATCTCTGATGCAAATTTCAAGTCTTTTTTGGGAACCATCTTGTCTTGATTCTGCGCTAATAACGTGCTCAAACTTGAAGGAAAACCAGATCCGAGGGAAAGTTGTGGCTTTCGGATGCTATTTGTGGCACCGGGGAAGCACAGACATTGGCCTGGATTAGTCGACAGCAAGCCCATCAGCCATCCCACGACACCTACAAGCCACGCTCACCGTAGGACAGCCACAGCCACTGTAAATTCGAGCGGGAGAGGAGGATCAAGAAGATATCTCGCTCTATTTGGGGAAGCATCGGGCAGACCGAGGCTGAACATCGGCAGCATCATATCACGAGAGGTTTTCTGGCGAAACAACTTACAAAATGTGGCGAACGAGCTCCTTGGGGCGGGGCGAGGTGGTGATGGGCTTGGTCTACCGATCCTGACCGATTGACTTGATCCAGATGTCAACCATCACGGATATTAAAAACAACATTGGAGTCGATTTAGGGAAAGTGGGCTTCTGTTTACAGTAACACAGTCAAGTGCGCTACGTGCAGGTCCGCAGGAATAGGATCGGGGACATGTGGTCAGGCCACAAATGGTCAAGAGGAACGCAAAAAGATTGCTGTTCTTTACAACTGTGCTGATGGGATTGGACTTCTACGTTTCACTTCCAGAGACTGAGAAGGTCTTGCTCTGCAACATAACAGTCATCTTGCATTCCCGTTGGGCCGGTATCCGTGAGGCTCTGCGCGGCATCGGGTCAAGCCTCCGCGAGCTATCTTGAGCTGCTGTGGCATGCTGTGCGGCAACGAAATGCACAGCGACATTATCGGGACGTAGATCTGGAGGAATTCTTCGTTGCGTACGCTCATCATTGCGAAAGACCTTCAGGATGGACCTACGAGACGTAATTAATTTAGCCAACCGTGGCTGGATGATTTGGTCTAGATCACCAAAATGGTTTCTCAGGGAAATGGGAGAATCCCAAGCAAAACGACCCAGAATTCATATTTGAATCTCAGGATTCTGGAAAGTGCTCCTGTTTGCTGCAGTGTGGCTTCAAGGTCAGCAGGCAGGGAGGCAGGATGAGGGTTGGTATCATTCTTCGGCTATCCAACCCTGCTTTCCGATCCTTGCAGCAGGAGTTTGCTCTTGGCCGCATATTAATGGAAAAATGATTGGTAGCCAGAGAAGTGACAGGTGTCTAGAAAGTGATATATGATCACTTCGCCCCACCCCTAGTTTGCTGCATGGCTTGAAGGGGGTGGCAGGGTATGTCGTACAAGCTGAATCGCCCTTATATTGAATTACTCTGCCCAAGCCGCCAACGAAGAGGGGAAGTGAGTGGCATGCGGCACAGGCAAAGGAACCCCGTGCGGAAAGCCCCGTTCCCAAAGGTGCACGATTCTCTCCCGGTGTAAAATAGCCCACAGAAGCGGACTGGACCGAAAGAACCGGACTAAAGCCTCTCTCCTAATGATTATTAATAACCAAGACAAGAGGAACAGATCAAAAAGATACACCTGCGCATGATGTCGAGCCTTGACGGAAGGAGTCCCGATCTTCACGCAAGCACAACTCGGGAAGAGGCAATACGAGATGATCTTGCCTAACTGACAAAATCTGACAACGGATTTCCGTCGCACAACTGGGATTATGGTGCAACATCGGTTAGGCTGCGGATTGACCAACGGCTTCGGGCAGCCTATCTGATAACGCCCTAGACGTGTCTAGAAGTGGTAACAGACCGACGCAAGCGAGATTCGGCTGTCATCACTGGGGCGAAAACACTTTTCACGGTGTCTTCTCGAGAGTGCAGTTTTCTACCCATTGTGGTGATGCAGACGTAGAATGTTTTTGCCTTGGATGCGGGTATATCCGTTGAGCATTCAGAGTATGTTCAATCTAAATGCACCCGGAACTCAACCGGTAGGCCGCAACACTTTCCTCAGCAGGGGGGCCACACTGGCCCCCAAAGGCTCGTTATCATGCGAGATACCACACGTGCAGCTTGCAAGCCCGATCGCTGCCTATGTAGTCCATCCTAGAAGATGCGGTCGATCATCTCGAGAGACACCGTGTTGTTCTTTTCTCATTTGCTCTGCTCCATTGACCACACTAGGGGAGAGGCAGGTCGTGTTGGTCAAGCGACACTTTGCAGCTTTGATACCTAGGTGGACACCTGAAGCCTTAAATTCCAACTTCTGAAAATGTACTTCTTTTTGATACTGGTTTGTGGAGAAGCTCCTACACACTCACCAACTAATTTCCTACCTGATGACTGAGTGCGTGGACTTTGTCTCGTTTTGAGCCATGCAAGGGGCTGGGTGTGGGATTGTGGCTGTCTGCAAACTGACAAATGAGATATGTGCATACATAGATACAATGTGTCTGAGTATTACATGATGTACCTAGGTACCAGAAAGCGATCCTGAAATACAGTCTAACTCCATATATCATGACTCCACCCAATCTTGGTTTAATAATGTGATGGAAATGGTGTGAGGCACAGAACCTGTTGGCATGGCTGGACTTGCATGTATTGGCTGACAACATAACTAAGCATTGCGACTTCAAGAACAAGTATTAGACTAACATCTTTACCCAAATGTCTAATCTAGTTCACGTGTGGTCTTCTTTTCTTTACCTTGCCTGCCCATAAGCCGAGTCTCTCCTGAAAACAAAACCCTAAACACTCGTTTCTTGTCTTTTTGTCCTTGGCAGGTGATCTCTTGGCTTTGAGATCATCTCGAATATGGCTTCTCAGATCATCATGGCCTCCAGCGTGCAGTCTGGACAGCCGCAGACGTTGTTATCCAACACAACTTCGTGGCAAGATGCTCTGGCGTGGCCGACTGTTACCGCGAGCTGGTCGACTTGGCAGTACATCGTGACATTTCTACTGGCACTGGTGATTTTCGATCAAGGTGAACTATACACAGAAATACAGAATGTGATGTTCAAGTACAGCTAACGCAGTACAGTAATGTACATCAAGCGAAAAGGACCCATCGCTGGGCCGGCGTTCAAAATCCCTCTCGTGGGCCCTTTTTTCCAAGCGATTGATCCGAAGTTCGATGGATATCTTGCCCAGTGGGCCAGTGGACCTCTCAGCTGCGTTTCAGTCTTCCACAAGTACGTACATTCAGCTACTCTATTGCCTTAAGGACTCTGCTTAACTCTCGTCCTACCAGGTTCGTCGTCCTCGTTTCCGAACGAGATCTAGCCCACAAGGTCTTCAAGTCGCCCTCGTACGCTGAGCCATGCCTAGTGCCGGTTGCAAAAGACCTTCTTGGCCACAAAGCATGGGTATTCCTTCAAGGGAAAGAGCATGCTGAATACCGGAGAGGATTGACGCCACTGTTCACAAACAGGGCCTTGGGCACCTACTTTACAGTCCAGGAAAGAGTCCTGGCCGACTACTTCGATGACTTCGTAGCCCTCAGCAAAGAGAATGAGGGACGACCAATGCCGTTCATGGCCAAATTTCGCGAGATCAACTGCGCCATGTCTTGTCGGACCTTTTTCGGCGATTATATATCCAAATCTGTGGTAAAGAAGATCGCCGACGACTTCTACCTTGCTACTGCAGCCATGGACCTCGTCCATGTTCCCCTGTCAATGTACATACCAGGTACCAAACAGTGGCGCGGGAAGCGCGTTTGCGATGCCGTCCACGTCGAGTTCGCCAAATGTGCGGCGGCCTGCAAGGCAAACATGGCCACCGGAGCGAAACCCACCTGCACCGTGGATTATTGGGTGCTCCACATGCTAGAGTCCAACAGATATCGTGAGAGAGTCGCCGCAGGGGAAACTAATGTGGAGAAGCCGTCGAATATGATTCGCGAATTCACTAACCAAGAGATCTCGGAGACTTTGTTTACTTTCCTCTTCGCATCTCAGGACGCAGGCAGCAGCGCCACAACATGGCTCTTCCAGATCCTTGCTCAGCGACCCGACGTCCTCGACCGATTGCGGCAGGAGAACCTGGACGCCCGAGGCGGTGACAAAAACAAGCCATTTGATCTCCCTATGCTGGAGTCACTGACCTACACCAATGCTGTTGTCAAGGAACTTCTCCGCCACAGGCCACCCGTCATTTTCGTCCCCTACCTTGCGACCAGAGACTTCCCTGTCACGTCCAATTACACCGTTCCCAAAGGTTCCATGATCATTCCGTCCTGTTACCCTGCTTTACACGATCCAGTGGACTATCCCAACCCCAACGAGTTTGATCCTGAGCGTTGGATTTCTGGTGATGCCGAGTCTAAAACCAAGAATTGGCTCGTGTTTGGTGCTGGACCCCATGATTGTCTCGCGCGAAGATACGGTAAGAAATCACTCCATATTTAGGTCTTCTGCTCTGCCAATCGGTGAGCTGTGTTAAGCACATGCAACAAGAGAAGCTCAATCTACTCCCTCAAGCCCCTTAGGCAAGAACCTATGACACTTATTGACGACAAGTAATTTAGTACCGCTCACTATGGCAGGCATGATTGGCAAGGCAGCATTGCAAATGGATTGGAAGCATCATGCTACCGAAAGGTCGGAGGAGATTAAAGTGTTTGCTACGCTTTTCCCCATGGCAAGTGTTCTGAAGTGGCCGGATGCATGTTGCTGTTTCGCTAACATTTCGAATAGGATGAATGTCCGCTGGTTTTCACAAAACGTGCTTGAGGGCGTTCTTCTCCGGCGTACTCACGAACAGGGTCGATGTTCACTAAGGTAGCATTTGAGATTTGTTGAAGCAACAGTACGCTTACCCATGTTCAATAGTAGACGGTGGATTTCGAAGTTGACGATTTTTAATCAAACGTTTTTGAGATTGGCGCGTAAATATTTCTACATTCTCAACTTTAGATAATAAATACTCTGATCTCGACGCCCTAACTCAACACAGGCGTATGATCTACGTTTGGTGACTTTGTTTCTCGCTGACATCCGGTGCACACTATCAATCAGAAATTCCCAAGGCGCAAATAGGCTCGACGTGTTGAATGAGTAGACATGTAATCAATGTCAACGCCACCGTTGGCGCGAGACAAGTGGCTCTTCAGATCTAGCTTCAGTGTCGTGGAAGGCTTAACGTCACTTCTACCTGGCTAGGTACCGGTATTGCTTAAATGTTGTACGGGGCAAGAAATTGCAACTATTTGCTAAACTAAACTACCGGCGCAACGGCGCGACTAACCAATCTAAGGCGTACTTTTTCGGGATTGCGCATATTCATCGTTACCTCCGGCTCACTGTCCTTCGTGTTTTCCCAGACCCTTGCACGAGTAGCCTCTGGCATCTCGCCTTCCAGGGGAATCGCTTCGACTCGCTGATACCGGAGTACGTATGACATGATAGCAACATACTCGACTTGGGAGAACTTTTTACCTGGACAGTTGCGGGCACCAGATGACCACGGGAAGAATGCTCCTTTATCGTCTGTCGGCTGACAGAACACCTCCGAGGAAGCCTGGTCGTTTTTGATCCATCGAGAAGGCTTGAACTCGCGGTAATCCGGACCCCAGTAGTCGGACATCAAGTGGCAGCCAATGACGTTTAAGTGGACGACCGTGTCGGGGGGGAAATGAACCTCTCGGCCGTCGATGCGCAAATCATGACCCTGCGACCCAAGGCTCTGTTTGTTGTGTTCCAGGACTGGAGGATAAAGACGAAGGACCTCGTGCTATGTCTGAATCAGCAAAATGAAGCTTGTGATACTCATTTTGATGGGCAGTGGGGAAATACCATGAGGGCCAAACAACGATTAAGGCGCGGAAAGTACTCAGCGTAGTCGATCCTTTCTGTATCAACAGGTATTTCTTGATACACCTGGTCCACCTCTGACTGAATCCATTCTTGCCATTCGGGATATGCGGCCAAAAGATGTAGCGTATAGTTCAACGTGTGAGCTGTGGTCTCGTGTCCAGCGACGCCATAACCAAACATGTTTCCGAAAATTTCGGTTTCCGTTAGTCCGAGGCCCTTTTCAACGGCAGAAGCCTCGGACTGCGCAATCATGGCGTTCAGAAAGATATTGTCCTTGACCTTCCCGGCACGGAAGTCCGCCCTTCTCTCTTCAACCATCTGCCGCATGAGCATTTTGAAATGCTTCGCTGCGATAAGATGTTCGCGAAAAGCTCTTGGAATTGGCAGTAGCCTCACGTACATCGGATCGAGGCTGTATAGCCAGTTCGGCATCAGTGACAAGATGCGCATGTCGGATAGAAGAATAGCCATCGTGTCACGATAGTCTGCCGAGTAATCCCCCGATGAATCTGGACGTTTGCCATGCTGCGATGTTGCAGGTGTGAATCGCCACGACTGGCCAAGCCCAGCAGTAGCCAACACGTTCAAAGCCACGGTCATTGTGTCTACACAAGATGTGTTGAATCCTTGCGCATGGCCTGTCCACCACTCGCATAATGCGGCAGCTTGTCGTAGTGACTCTGCCCATACAAGACCCATGTTCTGTTCATTGAAGGGGGGCACGGTGATACGGCGGTGGCGCTGCCAATCCGCTCCAGTGACGGACGAGACGCTCCCCTGGAGTAGATTCGGTATATATTTTTTGACTTCCGGATCCCTTTCGAACTCCTTCCTCCTGGCGTAGACTTGGTTGATCATATCGACATCTGCAGTGTACACCTGTGGATGCTGCAAGTTAGCTAGATGTGTCCGTTGACCGAACCATCCTAGGCGGCCGGATCTCTTTCTGATCGAAACACCGGCTATTGAGAGCCTGGGGCTATCAATTTTGACTTACGTCCAGCCTTTTCGGCGAGACCTGTACCCAGACCTTTCCAAGCTTCTGGTGCATCTTCTCATGGCCTTCCCAGAGCCAGCCTCTTGTCGTGAAGCCGGCCCAGGATCCCAGCCCAAACGGTGCTCCACGGATGATGGGGGCAATGTACTTCTGAGTTATGAGCCAGAAGGCGCTTCGTGTGTCTACAGGGCTGATGACAATTGGTAGACCCGTCTTCTTCGCAACACGATACAAGTCCGCGGTCGCGAGGATGCTACTGCCGACTTTATATAGGGCAGACCCCAGTAGCAGAACGAAGGTCCAAAGCAGCCACATGTTGAGTTAACAAGGAGACAAGTAGAGGTTTTCGCTGTGTCTAGCTGGATAAGAGCTTTCTTCGGAAAGGGATGTTGTGATATCAAAAAATAATGTTAGTAAATAGATGGGATGAACTGGACATACAAAACCATACCTCTGCAGAATGAATTGCTGAGTTTCGAAACTTATATATGATCCAGCCAGGCTGGGTCCGATTGTCTGCCCCCGAAGCCGAGACGGCGCCCTTGGTGAATGCATCAGTCAACTGTGACGGGGGTTTCGCCGTAGCGGCGCCCGTCGGGAACCCGTGAAGATTGAATTGGACTTTCTTTCATGCGACAACGACAACGAGAGTATTGCTTGGCGTGAGTACGATGTCGCAGTCTCAAAGCAATTTCCAGGGAGAGGATCTAGACAACCTGATGGGGCAATAGGTGGAGCAGCGAGTTGCTTGTAGCTTGCCCAATCAAATTCAGAAGCGACAACGAGCTACAGGCCCCTACCCCCTGTCCCGCTCCTAGGCTGACTGGCTTGGCACAAATAATACCTTGGACGTCCAAACTGGGCCCTGTTCATATTTGTCGTGCGAAAGTGTCAAATTCATTCGCAATTTCATTAAAGTTCGACCCAAGCAGGGCTGAGGCGGACATCCCTAGTTCGACAGACATCATGTCTGTGTCGCGATTTGCTTGAAACTGAAGGGGTCACATCTGGACACGAGGCTCGGGCAATCAGCCACACATGATACGCATGACATGGCTGGCAGTCTTCCTGCGAAGGTGTGTTTCTTGTACACTAGTGCACTCAGGGTACAAACACCTCGCTGTCGTTGTCGTCGTCGGTATCGTTGTCGCTGTCATTTGTCGACTTCATAAGCCACTAGGCGATGATAAATGGATATCACGGCGATTGGTTCCAGAGCCAGACCAGGCCGTGGTATCACCGGGGTGATGAGGCGCAGCTATGCCATTGTTTGGCCTTAGATTTTAGTGCTATCACCATGTCTGGTTTGTGTAGGTGTCTTTGTGTACGCTCTGATTCGTGTAACAGATCAAGCATAGGATGGGTGCAAGTTTCCCTTATGGGCGAGAATTAGGTAAGATCCGAAGCCGGCAAAGGATCAGACAGCAATTAGCACCTAAATTTGCCTGTGTCGTAAATAAATTGTTCCGTTATCTTGCCTTGAGATGCAAGACTGCCTTCGCAGAAATTTTGTTACATTTACGCCAGCCTGAGTGACCCCTGGTGACGGTCAAAGCTGCGATAGCTTCCACATCATGGACAGAAGCGTGCATTTACAGCAGATTGTGAGTGCCACGATGCCGTCTGACCCAAGAAGAAACGGAGATGGGAGTTCCGAAGACTCAGAGATCGTCGACTGGGACGGGCCAAGCGATCCTGAGAATCCGTTGAATTGGCCTCAGCCACGGAAACGAGTCAATCTCCTGCTCTTGTCAGTGTTGACGGTCATATCGTGAGTTTTTGCTTCTTCACCGTCAATTCTTACGCAGCTGATTATCTCAAGTCCTTTGGTAGGGAAATATGAGGAAAAGTAGTTGGCGAGAACCGACTGACCAAACCCACAGGGCTCGTCAATGTTTGCGCCAGGAGTCCCCAAAATCATGACCGAATTCAACAACGACTCATCCATCCTAGCTACATTCGTCGTGTCCATTTACTTTCTCGGGTTCGCGTTTGGGCCACTCGTCGTAGCGCCCATGAGCGAGGTATACGGGCGAGTGTATGTCTACCACGTGGGGAATATCGCCTTCACCAGCTTCAGTATAGCTGCGGCATGCAGCGTCAACATAGGCATGCTGATGGCTTTCCGCTTCTTGATGGGCCTAGTGGGTTGTGTGCCGACCACGATCGGCGTTGGAAGCATTGTTGACATGATTCCTCTCGAGAAGCGAGGGAGAGCAATATCCCTCTGGGCAGTCGGTCCGCTCCTCGGACCCTGCGTCGGACCGTTGGCTGGAGGATATCTCATTGAGGCGGCCGGGTGGCGGTGGGTCTACGGGCTCCTCGCAATAATGGTAGGAACATCTAAATTCCTCTTCTTAAACCTGCAGAGCTAACTGAGGAGGTAGGGCGGCATCTTCAGCATACTGGCGTTCTTGATCATGCGGGAAACCTATGCGCCAGTTCTCCTTGCACGCAAAGCCAGCCGTTTGCGCATCGAGAGCGGCAACTCTATGCTTCGTGGCAAATTTGAGACCAAGGGCAGCCAGCACATCAAAATGGCCCTGAAGAGACCCTTCAAGCTACTTCTCACGACTCCTTTGGTGATAATCGTTGCATTGTTTGTCGGCATCGTGTACGGCATTCTTTATCTGCTGATCTCAACTTTTTCTTTCGTATATCCAGACCAGTACCATTTTGACGAAGGCACCACTGGGCTCTCGTTTCTTCCCGCGGGATTGGGCATGCTGGTTGGGGTGCAGGCGTTCGGACATATTCATGATTACCTGGTCCGCCGTGCGCGGAAAGGCATGGGCCCGGATGATGAATATCGGCCCGAGGTAAAATTGAACCCGTGGTTGATCGTCCCGACCGGTCTTACCTTGCCTATTGGCCTCTTGATCTACGGGTGGACAGCGCAATATCGGATCCACTGGATTGTACCAATGTTAGGTGTTGTTGTCTTTTCAGCTGGACTGACTGGAACCACTGTAAGTCATGGGAAATCTACTGCATGGTCATAGACGCTGACAATGTCTGAGATGTCCATTCAAAATTATCAGGTCGACTCATATCCCAAATTCGCCGCGTCCGTGTCGGCTGCCACCATGCTTTTCCGATCTCTTCTCGGCGCTCTGATGCCTCTGGGAGGGTTAGACATGTATCAGAAGCTGGGCCTTGGTTGGGGTAACAGCCTTCTGGCATTCATTTGCCTAGTCTCTTCCCCAGTTCCGGTTCTGCTCTACTTTTATGGGCCCAGACTTCGGCAGAGATTCGACCCTGTACTTTAATATACACTGCTGCAACAACAGCTGATGGGCGCAACGCATCCACGGTCCTCAGCCTACCTCCAGAGTAGCACCACTGTCATGTCATCGATGCCTGCCAAGTCGTATCAACAATAGACTGTTTCATGTTTTGTGACACATAGAATTGAGACTCTGACCGCACAAGACATGAATGAGTGTTGACTTGAATCGACAAGCTCTCCTTTCCTTCTGCTCGCTCCATGGTTCACCTGTACGAGTCAATCCAAGAGAAAAAGAGACTTATGAGCAAGCTCTCGCAGGACCTGTACATAATCCACAATTAACGTTTGGGTTGACTTCGTTGGTCACTTTGATCTCTGGAGCACTTGTTTCTAAGAGCTGCGATGCAGCTTGGGTTGTTGGAAAATGTCAAATGTCGAGTGGTTACAAAATGCGGAAGCGAAGAATTTAAAAGTAATAATGAAAGACTCCATAGGAAAACAGTATTCTCATAGTAATGAAGTAGCTAAAGCACTAGTCTTGTTGCGATTTAAGAACAAAACAAGGCGGAACCAGATGCGATGATATATATGTGCATAAGTCATTGGAAGCGCTCTTCTCGAGAAGTTCCGTCCTCCATAACCAGACAACGGGGAGTGCGAATAGACTCCATACCCGGACAACGATTTGCTGCGACCTCACATGCGGAGAAGGGCATTGCTCCTGTGGAGGTAGTCATGATCTGACAGCCTCCGTGGTGTATACTTCAATGTGATCGCGGAGAGGAAAGCCGCGAAGAAGGAGAACGCGCCCAAGATAACAAAACCTCTTCCAAGGAAGGCGTTGCGCCGACCGACGATGGAGCTAGTAGATATGATGATGGACTTCGTGCCCTTGTTCAAATGGACAGGGAAATCTTGCATTTTGTCAGTCACCTCGCGCTAAACTGAGACTTGGAGTTCTGCATTCAACATACGGGACATGGCCTCAAGGCGATACCTCCCCCTCTCCATGACATCTTCGTCATTGCGCATCGCCAGCTTGGCAAATCTGGACCCTGCGGCTGTTCGCATCCAGACCATGAAGGACTCATCTTCGGCCGGGTTGAACAAGTTGCCCGAGTGATAGCCATTGGGGAAGCGTTCAGACCATGCCGGTGGGGGCACTATCTTGATGGTATCATTGGAATTAGTCTCAGGAGTGATATTGTAACGACTTGGCTGATACAGCAGCTTGTCAATCGAGGTGGAAATTCCTCTCGTGGTCATGTTGTAAGATCGTGTCTGGTTCGAGCTATCTGTCGAAGAAAGCCGCAGAGGAGCCACGAAGGTGTCGTTGAAGTATGAATTCGCGATCATTCCGCAGGGGTAGATAATGGACTCTTGTGTATTTTCTTCCGCCTCCAGAGTACCCAGTGGCGCGCAAGCTGAGCCCTTAATCGAGCCCAGGCTGCTAGGGCTACCTTTGAGTTGCTCCACGTGCCGAGATTTTATGTACTGGCGGTGGTTTTGATGAAAATTCGCGAGGCGGTAGTAGTAAAATACCGGCGGCTGCAGGTCCTCTGGAAGGAAGAATTCTATCGTGCAGAGGGTGTAGTTCTTTGTTACCCCGTCAAAGGTCAATGTCTGGTTGGATCGTTTCCACTGATCCACTGGCTGACCGGCTGATGACGCCTTGAAGTGCTTGGAGACATTCTCTGGTGGCATCACCTGAAGTTCGTCGTAAGAGTCGATCTCGTGGCATCGTGTGTAGTCAAGGCTGATTTCTCTGGTCTTTTAAATGGTCAGTCAAAGTCTCAAGATAAGATCTTTTCCTGCTGAGATACCGAGGACTGTTATCATCAACCCCTGTGTTGCTTGATACGTACTTGCTCGGAGGTGGCCAGCCACACAATGCCAACAACTATGAGGGCCAACCCGAGACATATAAAGGCTTTGATGCATATCTTCGGAGTCAACATGGGCCTGTTTTTTGTCAATGGGTCGCCATCTCGAACAGAGCTGGTAGGGCTTACTCCCACGCCTTCATGCGCTGTTGCCTAAATTCTGTATCTTTTGGCTTGCTTGACTTTTTGTCTGTCCGAGGCGACTTTTCTGTACGGTGACGAAGCATCATGGGTGTTTCTGCAACTTCGAGCTTCATGCAGTGAGATCTGTGTTTGGAAGGAAGAAACTGAAGGACAGTTGCCCACAAGGAATCAGTTCAAGAAAGGTTGGATGATGATCAGTCTCGAAGAATCAGCATTGCGCCTCGACCAGGGAAAGGGGACGATGTATTGCACGTCCGTACGAGAATCTAAATTAGGTGCAGGCGCGGGTGGCTTTACGGAGATTTCTGTGCAGTGCAGTGCAGGTGGGCTTCTTAGCTTCTGACACCGACCTTACGCCTCACCAACTAAAGCTTGTTGTGTGAATCCCCATCCCCATCCCTGGCACTGCACTGCATTCTTGGCACCAATTATGAATCATGTCAAAAAATAAGACAAGCTGAAACCTAATCAATACAGCGGAAGACGCGCACGGAACATGGACAGAAAGGAGCGAGTCAATGGAGCGCGGGGCGCAGCGTACGCAGTCTCCTTGCAAGCTGGGTACTCTGGCTGTGACAGCTCGTGGGCGGCTCAATAGATTGGCGGCATTGCGAGCTGATTCGCCCCAGGGCGCTCTCGGCGCGTCTGTCGATCAGGCAGACTCAGCAGCGCCGGGATAAGCTCCATGCCAAGATTATTATCTCGTTGTCGGATTCTCTTTCGATAACGCCAGGACCAGGTTGAGGCCAGAGCAACCCTGGCCCTGATTGATCAAGATCCTTGGCAGCCTTATGCAATGGACCAATGGGCTTACACGCTTTCAACAAGGTTGCATGCACTAAAGGTACTCGTATATATGTAATGCAGGTGGTTCGGCACATGTCCACTGATGATGTCTGGGTCACAAAGTCGTGCATCTTGATCCTGAGACCTCAGTATCATCCTCCATTTCCTATTTTCTGCTGTTCAACCTGGCCCTCCAGCTGTTCTGCCACCATCTTCAAATGCCACAGCAACCCCGCAAGGTGATTCGAAGCACAGCTTTCCCAGCCAAAAAGTCTCTTGTAGTCAAGAAGCTTGGAGAGATTTCCCCCCCAACCCGAGAATGTTCTTGCTGCGGAGGAATCCAGCGCCCACCTCCACACGCGGCCGCCAGATCCCGATTCAAGTAGGCCGCACACGGCCCTTGGAGGACGAACGCCGACACAAGCCTTACATCTCGAACCTGATTAAGACTTCCAAATACAATGCCTTCGACTTCCTTCCCCGCCAGCTTCTCTACCAGTTCTCACGCTTGGCCAACGCGTACATGCTGGTGATTTCCATTCTACAAGCCATACCGGGATTCAGCACAACCGGCAAATTTACGACTCTGATTCCATTGTTGATATTCTTGGGACTCGTCATCGCTAAGGAAGGATATTACGATTGGAAAAGACATCGCCAAGATGCAATTGAGAACAGGAGACAAGCTGTCGTCCTCCGCGACATCGATTCACTATCTCCAGGCTCTGCTGCTTCTGTCGAACAGCCTTGGGACGAGGATAACTCGACTGGGTCCCAATGGACGTACACGAGGTGGAGAGATCTGAAGGTCGGCGACATCATCTTGCTTTCAAGAGATGAGGATGTTCCGGCAGACGTCATAATCCTGCATGCCGATGGGGAGAATGGATTCGCCTACGTTGAGACGATGGCCTTGGACGGCGAGACCAGTCTGAAGCCTAAGCAAAGACCAGCAGGCCTGCCCGACTGCAGCACCATCAACAGAATAGCAACATGCCAGGCCACTCTACAAACTGAGGACCCCAATGCGGACCTTTATCGTTTTGACAGCAAATTGACAGCGGACGGCATAACACTGCCTCTGACACTGGATCAAGTCGTTTACCGAGGCAGCACAATCCGGAACACTTCACGGACTATCGGAATAGTCATCAACACTGGCGAAGAATGCAAAATCAGAATGAATGCCAAGAGAGAGACGAGTCCGAAGAAACCAGCTCTCGAGTCCGTCACAAACACCATCGTCATATTCCTAATGATGTATGTGCTCATCAGCTCGTCAGCCGCCACGGTAGCCTACGTTGTCTGGAAAGGCGCACAGGAGCGGTACGCTTGGTACCTATCCAATACAGCCATCCCTTTTGCCGATATTTTTGTGGGTTTCATCATTATGTTCAATAATGTCATTCCTCTGTCCCTCTACGTGGGTTTGGAAGCCATTAAACTGGGTCAAATGAGCCTCATTAGCGGGGACTTGGAGATGTACCATGATGAGACGGATTCTCCGGCTGGAGTAAATACCACGAACAATCTGGACGACCTCGGTCAAATCAACTACATCTTCAGCGACAAGACTGGAACCTTGACAGAAAACATCATGAAACTTCGAATGGTCAGCATTGGGGGGACAAGCTGGCTGCACAGTATGAACGCGGACAATGAGATGAATGGGTCTCCGGTCACTACATCTGACCTCTCGACTGAGGAAATGCTGGATTACGTTCGATCGCGCCCTGAAACACCACTTGCCGCCAAGATAAGGAGTTACATACTCGCAATGGCGCTGTGTCATACCTGTCTGCCAGAGCGGACAGAGGACGACCGAATGGAATTTCAAGCTGCATCTCCGGACGAGCTTGCGCTAGTCAGAGGCGCAAGAGACCTGGGATTCGTCGTCACCCACCGATCCTCACAATTTATAACAGTACAGATATCCCATACGGACGGAAATAGCTCTACTGCTGTGTATGAAATCTTGGACGTTATCGAGTTTAGCAGCAAGCGCAAGAGAATGTCCGTCATTGTCCGCTGTCCCGATGGAGGGCTTTGGCTCATCTGCAAGGGTGCAGATTCCATCATGCTGCCGCGACTCAAGACGGCCCCTGCAGATATAAGAGGAAGAAGTGATAGAATGGGAGCTGCACTTCAAAACGCACCAAAATCATCCTCTGGCTGGTCCGATGGACGGCCACGGCAGATGGATGGCAATGTTCAAGAAATCGAGGAAAGATCTCCGTCGTTGTACAGCCGTGCTTCACTTCCCGCCAGTGATTCATGGATTCCTCTGCGAGCGCGCCGTCTGCATCCCGATCATTCAAATAACAGTTCTTCTGATGAGCGACAGAGACGCTTCAGCTTCCTGGAGACCGCTGATGTCGCCAATGATGCGCAAGTGATTCGGGAATGCTTCACTCACATTGATCACTATGCTACCGAGGGACTACGTACTCTGGTATATATGGATAGGTTTCTCGATGCACATGAATATGAGAATTGGAAGAAGCTCTATCACGAGGCCGAAACAAGTCTGGAAAACCGCCAGCAGCGCATTGAGGAGGTCAGCGAGCTCCTAGAACAGAATCTCGACCTGGTCGGTGCGTGTGGCATAGAGGACAAGCTGCAAGACGGAGTCCCAGAGACCATTGAGAAGATGCGCCAGGCCGGCATCAAGGTCTGGATGCTGACCGGGGACAAGCGCGAGACTGCTATCAACATAGCCCACTCGACTCGCCTGTGTGGGCCTGATTCGACAATCCACGTACTGGATGTACACGAGGGAGACCTCGAGCTGCAAATCGCGAACATCACCGACACTGTCCAATATCGCGTGGACACGGTGTACTCGGACCCGTCCCGCTCGCATGCTGCTATTGTGGTCGACGGCGAGACTCTCACAGCCATCGAGGATCCATCCGCCGGGCATTTACGCCGCCTCTTCACCAATGCCGTGACTACTGTAGACTCGGTCATTTGCTGCCGGGCCTCACCGGCTCAAAAAGCCTTTCTCGTCAACATGATACGCAAAGGGCCCTCATCCGAGGAAAAGCCGGGCTTCTTCTCTTTTTCCTGGCTCAAGCCTCGTGCCAAGCGGCCAATAACTCTCGCCATCGGCGACGGCGCCAATGATCTGGCCATGATTTCATCCGCCAACGTCGGAGTCGGCATATCTGGCCGTGAGGGCCAGCAGGCAGCTCGCGTGGCCGACTTCAGCATATCTCAGTTCCGCTTCCTGTCTCGCCTGGTGCTAGTCCACGGGCGGTGGAACTATTACCGGACAACTCGCTTCATCCTAGCAACTTTTTGGAAGGAAGCCTTCTTCTACTTCCCTCAGGCCTTGTTTCAGGGACAGACCGGCGCGACTGGGACCAGCCTGTACGAGCCGGGCAGTCTCACATTCGTGAGCTTCTTCACGGCAGCGACTATACTGGTAATTGGGACCTGGGAGCAAGACCTGAAAGCCCGCACGCTCATGGTCATCCCAGAGCTGTTCAAGTACGGACAGAATGGAGAGGGTTTGAACACAGGGGTCTACCTGCGATGGGTCGGCAACGCCCTTCTTGCCGGGCTCATTGTTTACGCTGGGTGCTGGTCGGGATACGCCGGTTCTGAATTAATTGACGACGCAGGACTCTATGCACAGGGACTTCTGACCTTTGTCGTATGCACAATCTGGATCAACATTAAGCTTTTGTAAGGTAACCCTAAAGTGCAGGACTCCAGGCTGTTGCTAACAGATAGCAGGGTCGTCGAATTACACCACAAGACAAGAGTCGTTCTGTGGTCTATTCTCGGCAGCATAGCCGGCGTATGGGCCTACGCGCTCGTCGTTGCGGCGATATCTGGCCCGAGCGCGGGTCCCTACTCTGTCCGGGGCGGCCTGCTGGGAACGTTTGGGCGGGATCCTGCATGGTGGTCTTCTGCGATCTTGGTCCTGGGAGCGCTTATTCTGATGGAAATGGCATCCGGTGCGCTGCTGCAAAACCATGCTCTGCGAGCTTGGTTATTGCGATGCTGGTCGTCAAGCGTCAGCGCAAGCAAGAGGAGAGGAGGAGGCGTGCGCGAAGGGTTTGACGCTTGGGAGCCTCGGCTGTGGCAGGAGATGGAGAAGGACACGGGCGTCAAGCTTGCAGTGGACAGACTGTGGAGAGAAGAATGTGGCGATTTGAGAGACCAGAGGAGTGATGTCCAGGAAAACTAAGATGTCGCCCTCTCGACATGCCACGCCTCGAACCATTGCGAGCACCATCTACTCATGCCGTCGAGCTGGGTGAACGGGGACTTGTCGCGTGCACACATTTTGGGTAGCAAAAACGGTTGCTATGCAAATTATCGAACAGTTCAAGTCCGGCCACCATTTGATTGATAGCATCCTCAATACCACGGCCCATGCACCTAGGTACCTTCAGCCAAGCTGCGACATGGTCGTTAAGGCACATCCGGACTGCTAAGGCTCAGATATTCTTCTGCTCTCAGATAGTAGCCAGTCGGGCTGGGCAAACAAATAAATATAAGATATTTTCTGATATAATAGTTTCCCGTAGGGCATAACCTCCTGGGGGATAACCTCCTGTGGGATAACCTTCTGTGGGATAAATGGGATATGTTCCGGTTGGATAATCTTCTAAAGAAAAGAGGAATTAAGCCACAGAGGGGTCCGCTATGATGTGTTGCGACTTTTGAGAGTGGCGGTGTTATCCCAATAGTGTATCTGACTTCCTATGGCTCACTTCTGCCCCGCCAAATGTGACTCTAAAGCGAGTTGAATATAATGGCTGCTCCCTTCCACACTCCTAACAATGTTCAGTTGCAGCTAATACTATTTCCGGTGTTTTTTACTGCACAACATCCTGACAGTTGTGGCTTGCACACTATCCAGCCTCCTAGGACCCAGATCAGTAGTCTTGTCCGGACCCCAAACAGGATTTCTCCAACACTGACGGTTCACAAACTCTGTGAGCCCCTCACGACACCGACAACATCCCTGGACCACTTCCGCAGCGTGTGATCGCCGCACAGCCATACTCCGCTGGGGGAACACAGATTGCACCAACAGAAAGTATTTCTGTTAGGTAAAGAATATTCCCCTCATTCTTGAAAGAGCACGTGTGGCTGTAATGGGACGCAAGCCGCGGAGCCCATCCCTTGCAGCACAGGTATATTCGGGCCTTGCTTCGACGGGCCACCGTGCTGTAGCATCATGAGCTTTTGGGGTGACGAGAGAGACCTGTGTGCCGAGGAACGCTTGTGCTCGGAGGTTTCTAGGTCCTGCCCGGAAAAGACCGTCGAAGCGAGCACCACGCGTCCATCAACAAGTTACATCTGCCTCCAGCTCCTGACGTCAGACCAGATTAACTCTGTGTCAACGAAAGAAGGGACCAAGAGAATGCCTGGAGCATTGCGGCGGTTTTCATGTGTCCCTTGTATAAGATCAACATTATAAAACCGATCCGCGATGAATTTTGGGACAGATAGGCTCTGGGAGCCGAGATGAACCACTGCAGCTTGACATGACCGAAGTCTGGCTGTGAAGTCCCGCAGGACTCGCACTTCAAACGTCTGCTAGTCCCAGGGGTTCATCCTAGGTCATTGGATGAACATTTAATGCACTCCTTGTCAGTATCCCCAGAATCTCGGGGCAACTGCCACACCAAGGTTGAACCAAGTCTTCCCCGCATTTTGCGGACGGACAGACCCATGACCTATAACGGAGTTAATTGTGCCTAGACTAAGCTCATCCGACAACACCCAGTATGGCCAATGATCCGGCCCAAGCCAGAATGTTGGAATTCACCTCCGGCCGAGTACAGCAACCCTCGACCGCCTCAGCGCACAGGAGTCTCCGGCTGCGACCCCAAGGTCGCATTCACAATGGCGACAGACCGGGCCAAGCATTTGCATCAGCATCACAAGTCAGTCTGAAGCAACATAGGCCGAGGATGTATCTGGGAGGCAGGAGGTGTGCGATCATGACATGGCTCAGCTACGTCGAGCCCGTGGATATATATATGCGCCCTGGCTCCTCCGACCTCCGCCTCTTGTCGAATCTGGAAACAGTCTTTACAGCCTGAACAGCATCGATTGCTCTGAAAAAATACACCGGCCTTTGAATTCAATCATCACCAAGCACAAAACCTTGTCAAAATGCACTTCGCCTCTCTCTTCGTCTTCGCCACGGCCATCACGGCCCTGCCTTCTCTCGTCCGCCGTGATGCCGCAGAGACCCTTGCAAACCTCCAAAGCATCGACACGTCGACAAAGTCTCTGACAAGCACCATCACCTCCTGGGATGGATCCCTTCTTGGGGCTCTGGGCATCCAGTCTGCCGCCAACGCTGTCGGCGTACGTGCTCATCGTCGGGGCTCCGCGCACCGCATACCCACCTCCTATAGACATGAAGACTGACGAGCTCCACAGACTCAGATCGACAATGCCAACACCGCGGCCTCGGACGACGCCCAGGCCTCAAGCGCGGACTCGCAGACCATCGTCGCCTATGTGACCGGGACCCTCACCCCTGATATCCAGGCTTCTCTGACCGCGCTCGAAGCCCGGAAGGCCGATTTCGCTTCCCTTGGCATAACTTCCGTCGTCCTGTCCACCATCCAGAGCCTCCAGTCCAAGTCCGCAACCCTCGGCACAACGCTTGTGAACATTGCATCCGATGACCAGAAGGCCGCGGCGCAGAGCGCAGCGGATGCCATCAATGCGGACTTTGCTGCTGCCGTGACAGCCTTCTCTTCTTGATTATAATGTCACTGTGTGACGTTTTGCGGCTTGCCCCCCTAATTCAGGGTGGTGACTATCTGTTCAAAATGACATATTGTTGATTTGTCCAAGATGATATACGTACATACAAAACAAGTAGCTGGCAAGACAGGCAAAAATATGTAGCCAAGAAAAGGAGGACAAATACACTCATTTCGCTCCGCTGATCTTAGAATCTTGTGTGAAAGACATTGTTCGAAGCAAGCATCTGTGTTGACTGCCAGTGTGGCTACTGCAGCAAACTGTTATGGTGAGGAACGTTTCCTTGCCATAAGCGAGTTTTCAGGCATAGAACACAAGAAAATTAAGCCACAGGCTGCGAGTGGAAGAGCTTCGGAAGAAGGTCACGATGATCTGCCAAGTTCTAGGCTCGCTGGGTGGGCTGGCAGGACATGATCCACAGGGTCCTCCCGTCTTCACATGCACATGCCCCGGTACTCGACCCAGTAGTGTACCTGAATTGTGTGGATTGTGGGGAATATCCCTGCAGAATGCAACGTCTCGCTCCAAGAGCCCGGAGAAAGGATTGATAATGACTTTGCCTCCGGAGCTAGGACAAACCAAGGAAGACGGTGACGGCTACAGTTCAATTTCTGATGGCACATGATCCCGCGTAGTCTACTCAGGTATCCCAACAGTGTTGAGGTCTTAAGTACAATGGTTTAAATCGAAGTAATTTGTCTGGTCTGTTGAGTAATTGAGGGTGTGTGAAACGTTTCTAACACAACCATAATGACCAGGGTCTCCAGGAACCAACCCGGTCAGCAAGTTCTGAACATTTCCTCACTCATGCCCTGGGATTTTAGGGCAAGCAGCAAAGTTCTATGCCACTTTCAGACCATGGGGTATACTTTCAGGATTGATTGAATGAGTTGCCCGTTTTAACAAGACTCGAGGGTGTGCAAGTAACCCATGCAGACATTCATAGAAGGTGATGGTGAACCAAGGCCGATAATGAGCAATCTGAAAACCGTAAATGGACATTTTTGCTAACAATCTAAAAATTATGGACGAACGGCAAGTCTCTTAAACTCATAGCAGACAGTTTCCTCCGATTAATACTAGCTACTCGGTCCTCCCCAAATATAACCCCTAGCATCAGGGCCGTCCCCATATTCGCCTCCCCACCGAGTCTCAATGGATTTAAAAAACATCGCCATTAGAAGATCCGCACTTCCACCACTGCAACAATAACTGCTCCCTGGGTTGCAGTCGGGACAACATTGTGAGCAATGACCTCCCTTATCCCGACTCTGTTGCCCACTAGCACCTTTGTCAAACTTCATTTTGAAGGGGTTGAAGTCCACAGAACATGTAAGTTGGTCTAAGTACCGTAATTAATTATGACTGCGCGTCTTGTCTCAATATGTGTTCATCATGAAACTATGTGTGGAAACTGATAGGTAGAAGGCTTCGGAGACGAGGCGCTCCGGTTTGTAGACGCAAAAGATAGCTTCTCAGACTGACAGGGCGCAAGCGACAAGCCACTCCTGCACTCGAAGCTGTGGGCTACACACAGCCGGAGCTCTGACAAAGCCTGGTTGTGAAATACATGTTGATTGCTGGAAGAAATTCGGGGCGAGTGACTGCACATTGAATAAGGTGCTTGAGCTTTCCTTCCCTCCTTCTCGGTGTACCGAATGATTCAGCCCTATCTAATGACAAATCCGACCTTTCGATTCTCAAGTCGATGTGATTTCGGAATCGCTAGCTTCAAATCAGCGGTGTTTATGAGCCAGTAAACCGCATGATTTGTGGTCGCTTTCGTGACACAGCGGCGATGGTGACACACGATAGCTTACAGGCGTTGCCCAATGAGGTTTGGTTACATAGTCGGGATCACTCATCACATCGCCGAACCACGACAAATCCACAATTCTAAACCTGAGTTGATGAGATGAACTGCCGAAATAGGTACGAATATATAAGTCATCGAATTTCTTCCAGCAATCCCAAGAGACACTCAAAATTAAGAGCCAAGAAGACACATTCCTGACAACTTCATATTCCAAACTGCATCCTTGAACAAAATGACTTCCTCCTATCCAGGTAAAATTTCCAACTGGCTCGAGGCCAATCAAGCTTTCGTCAAAGACGTGTTCCCCTCGTTGCCTCAGCCATGGCACATGGCTCAGCGCCGGCTCCTTGCCAAACAAAGCGGGCAGACGACCTTGGTCTGTACGTCACACGCCCGTGAAACCCTCCCCTGCGACTCAAATATTGTCTAATCATCAAATTGACATGCTCCAGTGACCTGCCTCGACCCCCGGTGCGTGCCGGAAGCGTTCTTCGGCCCCGGGTTTGACGGCGGAGTGATTCGGAATGCCGGCGGCCGGGCTACGGACGATGCGATCCGTAGCCTGACCGCTTTGCGCGGGTTGGCGGGCCTTAAGAATGTCGTGGTCATTCATCACACTGGTAAGCAGCTTGTCTTCCTTGCTCTCTCCACCCTCCGGGCTACAATTGTCTTGAAGCTTACATAGGCGATGCAGACTGTGGCGTCATGCACTTGAAGCCGGATGAGATAATCGAAACAGTGGCAGTGGAAGGAGCAGAGGCAAAGCGCGCGGCCGAGAAGATCGACTACAAACTATTCTCCTTCGACGAGTTCGAGGAGTCTATCAAGGAGGATGTCCGCCTGCTGAGGAATGCAAAGTCTCTGGCTGGTGTGAATGTCTTTGGATTTAAATTGGATACTTTCACTGGGGAAATTGAGCCGGTCGAGGTTTGAGTTGGATTATTTCGGTTCGGACCACTGTCGAGATGCTCAAGGTCAATTTTCCGCATCAGGTACGGTTTGAACATGTGTCAGGCATCTTCGGCTGCTTGGGAACGTCTATCAAGCACTATCATTCATTCTCTACTCCTTGAATAAAAAAAGATTCTACTACTTGTGTAAGACAGGCCAGGTGTCTGTGCTTATTTTGTGAATTGTCGGTTCGATCCTGCGTGCTCGTTCCCGAGATATAAGGGTCGACTGAAGGCATGCCGACGCACATTGGATCACCATCAGAAGTTCCCGCTACTGCATACTCGCCCAATTAATGCTGCAGCTCGTACGTAGTAGATCTGGACATTTGCAGGACATCTTTCTTGACCGGTCCACCCTTCAAGCAGCCACCCAAATGCCAAGAAACCAATCCAGTGTGTTGACCCCAAGCCAGAGAGTCGCTGTCCTTGCAAACGCCATTCGCTTAAATATGTAGATTCTTCGGTCGCTGATTTGCTTTCCTGCACTCCAAATAGCACCATTGAGTCTGCCAGCTCATGCAGTGGGGGCCGTGGCTCAAGTGAAGGTGGTTAGCTTGGGCGCAAGCTGTAAGACCTCAGACGCAGAGGCGCCCAATACTAACTATTTCGCTGGCTTGACAGAACAGTGTTCAAAACTTGTCGGTCCCCCGGTTAACTTTTGTAATCAATCCCATCGATCTCGTTCATCTTCAGTCTCTCCCCATATACTAAGGTAGTCTTGGAGGTTGAAATCGTCATCCAAATCTTCGACCTGTTCACCATGTTCATCCCTTATGCACAGAATGATATCATTCGCAATCCGGAAAACAAGTCCTGGCTCCAAGATCGGCTTGTCGGCTGTCATCACGAACGTTCTGGGATACCATATTCGGTGAAAAAAGCTGTGGTGCAGTTCGGAGACAACTACAAAGTTCAGAGCGGCCCTGGTGCCTCTGCCATTAGCAGTGTGTCTGAACTTGCACCGGTCAAGCATCATGTGCCGTATGATAGGTGCGGATGAATGAACTTGAAACACTGAGAATCCCATCCCATACACATCCGCGCAGTCCTAATAGAGGCCAGGCTCACTGACAAAGCTCAACAGAATCTGCAAGGCACTCTACACAAACATGATAAAGAGAGGTACCGAAAGCGGCGAGGGAATGACACGAGAACAATCAATCCAGTATCTAGAATGGGTCCTGGATAAACTTCAATCCAGGGAAGGGTTTGAAGGGGGTGGAACGCTCAGCATCTATGATTTCGAGCCACCGATCCCGAGAAAGCCGGGCATGCGCGAAAAGTTTCGAGACGGGGCTGACCTGAGCCGCAAGGATTATGAACAGTGGGTGTCGTGGGCAGTGGGACTCATCTGTGACTGGCCAGAGAATCTCTTCTGCGGTGAATCTTCCGGAGACGGCAATGGAAAGAAGACGGATTGGCCGACCAGAAGTGCTACCTCGGATCGCGTACGGAAGGCAGCGGAGATCATGAGATATTTCATATATGGTTAGTACTACCATTCCACATTGTCTTCCAGATCCATGGATGCGATCTGGTAGCCTGCTTGCTAAGGGGTGCGTAACTAGACTTGTCTATCGGACCCTACCACATACACAATGAGCCCACAAACGAACTTTTCGCCACCAACCTGATTACAGACGAAACGTACGAGCCCGACCCATTGGGTGACGAAAGTTGGTTACCATACACTTATGAAGAACAGGAGGAGTATGCGGCCAAGTCGAGAGTCCCAATTGGGTCAGATATCATCGAGGACTCGCAGGATCTGCCCATCGACTTCACAGGATCTCAATAGATGGATGCATGTAACCTGTCGGACTGGATGGATGCACCGTTGTCGGTCTGTTCGAAAATGAACGTTCAGCAAACCACATGCAGCATCTGATCTATTGGTATTGCCAGGTACTGAACCTTTCCTAGGTCTCATTGTCTCTAAAAAAGATTTGAAGACTAAAAAAAATATTTCGTCTGCAAGTGATCAGGTTCATTTCATATCTTGTAAAGCCGCTCTGGACTGAGCGCACTATCCAATTTTTATATGCCTGGTTTTTCAAGATAAAAATAAAGCTTCAGTTTTCAACATATAATTATATGCTGACAGTAGTTTTAACATGCACATTTTGGTCGTGACTGAGTTAATGTATGCTGTTGGTATCGAAGAGAAAGTGCAGGCAGGTCACGACAGCGGTTGATAATACCCCATGTTGATCTCAGGAGCGGACGAAGCTCAATTGCTCAGTGAACCAAAAGTTTTGTTAATTTAAATTCAACTTGCTGGTTTGTCTGTATAATAAATTACATTATTTTCAACCAAATCAGTCTTCAAATTAGTGATAGATGTGAACTTATTCTCTTCATATGTGTTCCGTCGTCCATTCAGCAATCTGCATGAGGTGTGCTGTGTTGAGCTCGTAGTTGTGGAAATTGTCTCGCTTTCGGAACAAATCGGAGGTTGGATTCTGGCGGAATTTGCTTCAACACTTTGAGGCGTGAGTTAAGACAAACTGGTTGCATTCAACAGGAATGAGTCTTCTCAATTGCAATTTGTCACTGAATCCATATTGGTGCGACTCACAGGATTGCTGCGCCGCACTATTGAGGATGAGTACGGCAGCCCCACATTTGTGTACGGATTGGAAGTTCTGCAAAGTGAGACTGGCCGAATAAACAAGCCACGGCCCAAAACAAATATTTTAGGAAAGAAAAGTCTTGGCTCTATGCAATTAGTCAAGGCTGCATTTGGGGGTTGGTCCACTTATACCAGAGTGGTCGAGTTAAAGACGGCGTGATGCCTCGTACCTGGTGCCTAGCTGGGAGCGATCCGGCCGCCCCCATGGCCGCTCACGTTTGAAGGAGCCTCACGCCTCCTTCAATCATCCGCATCTGAACCTGACGGCCAGGTCCGTGTCAAGCCCGGCCCCCAGTGGTGGCTGCTAAGCAAAGGACAACGGGTCTGGTCCGGAGCAAGACTGAAAGCAAAGCCAATCACCTTGGGCCGCATCGAACCGGCATCAAACCCCACGGAGCGAAATGCGGCCTCGATCCAGATGGCTCAGATCTCACCGTCTCATCAGATCTCTGCCAAGATCTTATGGGATAATTCTGGCCAATGAGGCTCCTCGTATCGCAGGTGTCATGAGTGCCCTTGTTTGACTTGGTATGGCCGCGCCGTAAACACCAAAACAACATCTCACTGCCCCAGGTGGCGTACCTGGACGCCATCGTATCCCGCAGGATGCTCGCGGTCAAGGCAACTTGCGATGCTCACGAGCTTTCAAAGGCTATAAGAATGGCGTCGACTCTCCATCACACCACTCTCATACCACTCTCATCATCACAGCATTCATTTCTTACTCTACTCACTATACTCACTAATTTACACGCCTGGCGCGTTGCACTATTCTCTCACACTCACTTTCATTACCAGACTTTTCAGTCAACCACTATCTTTATCACACCACTTAGATTCGTCCGGTACGATCATCTAACCACATTCTCTCAAGATGCTGTCCTCCATCCAGATCCTCGCCATCCTGGCCGCCACCGCCTCCGCCCACATTGTCATCTCCGACCCCAAGCCCTTCGAGGGCTCCATCAACTCCCCCATCGGGGACTCAAACCCCTTCCCCTGCCAGGGCAAGACCAGCGGTCCTTCTAACTCCATGGAGCTGGGCTCGTCGCCAAACCTCGCCTTCATGGGTTCCACCGTGCACGCCGGTGGCTCGTGCCAGATCTCCCTGACCTACGACACCGCCCCCAGCGCCTCCTCTGCCTGGAAGGTCCTCACCTCCTTCGAGGGTGGCTGCCCCGCCCGTGGCCAGACCGGTAACCTGACGCCCGAGTCCGCCACCCTGGCGGTGCCCGACCAGTACAACTTCACCGTCCCCTCCGACATCCCCGCCGGCAAGGCCACGCTCGCCTGGACCTGGATGAACAAGAGCGGTGGCGTGCGCGAGTTCTACATGAACTGTGCTGCGGTTGAGCTCACCGGAACTGGTGGTGACCAGGCCAACTTCGAGAAGCTGCCCAACATGGCCGTTGCCAACGTCCCCAGCGTCAACAGCTGCACCACCACCGAGGGCAACGACTACACCTTTGAGAACCCCGGCAGCGACGTCCGCAAGGAGGGTGACGGTCCCTTCTCGCCCCTCAATGGATCCGGCTGCGAGGTTGGCGGTTCCTCCGGCACGAGCCCCGCTGGCGGTGCCGCCACCAGCGCTGCTGCTGCTGCCCGCGCCGTCCGCCGGGGTACCAACGGCAAGGTCGCTCGCGAGTTCTAAGTCACTGGCTCTTAGCAGGAGAGTCCCCTTTCAGTATACCCGCGGATTCCGGTGCGACAATTGCACAATCATAGATGGGAAAATGCTCGCGCAGAGCTCCTATTTCTAGGCATTTTAACCAATTGTGTCGGAGGCACGGGAAACAAATATATCAAGCGGCTGCTTTGACTATCACTTAGATTAGCTAGATGACAATTGAGATGCGCAGGCCACTGTGCAGGATAATACCAGGCATATTTCCCCCCAAAGCTTTTCAGAGCCTAAAAAGACCAAATTGTGATAAATTGCGCCAATGATCTTTGCTCAATGTCACAAGTGCTGTCATTTGTTACTGGTGTTTTCTCTAAACTTCTCAATAGGATATCAGTTGGAGATTGAGGCTGATTTGCCGGGGCCGCTGCAATGGGTCACCACCTCCCTCGTATTGTCGAAGTTCGGATGGACCTTCTAACGCCAAGCCATTTCAGGCGTTCCGAGATGGACGAAGTAGGCCCAAATGTAGATGACAAACGTCTCAGGTGGGAGAGGCTGCTGACGTTCCTGGGCGAATGGCACAGCGGAGAAGGATCGCGGCCGGGTCGCAGGCGTGGCCGTCAGACGCCTCGTGGCGATCTACGAACCACCTTCGTCCACTCTACCCCGCGCCATGTACAACTTCTGGGCCTTCTCGCTCATCCCCTTCATCTTCTGCCCCTCGAGACGCTCGAGTGAGTCCTCGATCAAGCCGATGTGGCCGCGCAGTGTCCCCTCCAGCCCGTCCATCCGAGCCTCGTGTTCTTCGTGCTCCTCGAGGTTCCTCATGTGCAGTGACTTCAAGTAAAATGTTGCTGCTCCTAGGGCAGACAGGTTGGCGAGGCCGAGGAGATTGGTCAGGGTTGAAGAACGGAGGAAAGACATGATGGCACGATTTTTCTTTTTTGTTTGGATAGGAAGTGAAGACTTGCTTCTAAGATGGTGCAAAAGGGGCTCCTCTACTGCGGTTGTTTTAACTACAGAGTTGGTTACAGGTATTATGCCCTCAGGCCCAGTTGCCCAACGTTGTGAGCTGATATCGGGAGCAAGGGCGGACTAAGCTGTTTAGCGCGCCCAGACCCTAGGCACAGTGGTGACGATGAGGTCAACGACCTCAGATGGAGGCGGGTCTCTGCGACTGCTTTGCTCCTTGCAAACAGCCACCAGGCACACTCGTCCGGTGTGCGGCCCGGAGCTGGAGCCGAATTGGAGTGCCTTGCTTCACTGCAGGCCTCGTCAATCTTGCTCAGTGACCCCCATCAAGGGCCCCGATTTCCTTGATTTCATCCCGGCCCCAGCTGACCGGTGAATAGCTCAGTTTTCGTAGCGCCTGGCTGGAGCAGAGGAGCTGTTGAGTTCCATTCCCTTGCTGCGCTCATCCAGCTTCTTCACCACCGCGCCCAGCACGACCTTCAGCAGGTCGTCTGTGGACAACGAACCCGGCTTCCCCGTCCACGTGGTGGTGTCGACGATGTCCCGCGTGTGAGCCTCCTTGTGCAGCTGGTCATCCAGGTACTCGAACATCTGCGCCGTCTCAAGCGTAGGCTTGCCGATCTGGAAGAGCTGAATGCCGACCTGGTGCTCCGGCACCCCCATCTCGTCCAGCTGCTTCGCGACGTGGACCAGCGGGGCCTTGATGTCATCGTCAAAGGCTCCGGCCGTGATGACAATCAGGTTCAGGGCCGCGCCCTCCTCGTCCTGCTTCAGCATGCCGTGGTACCAGTGGAACAGCTTCGTCAGGCGCGCGCCCATGTTGCACTTCCCGCCGGGCTTGACGCGCTCGAAGACGCCGGCCACCGTGTCGGCCGTGTTGCCGCCGATTTTGCGATAGCCAGACTTTCGGAACGACATGTTGGCCAGCAGGCCCTTTGGCCGGTGGTTCAGGAAGAACAGGTCTATCCCGTCCGGGTCATACTTGGCACATATGGGCGCGATGCGCTCCAGCAGGGCCTTGACGTCGGCCCAGTAGGGTCCCATCGCCGCCGAGTCGTCGACGAGGAAGATGGTGTCGAAGCATCGCAGGAATGCCAGCGTCTCTCCCAGGTCACCGATGTCGATGCCAGCCCCGGCCTCCGTGTCGGGCACGGATTGGGCCACCGGCCAAGAATCAGCGCGTTCCATCTTCAGCCGTGGGGTTGGTGGGTGTGGTTCTTGTTTCTTCTTCTTCTCACAGTTCCACAAAGTCTGAGGGCGTGGAAGATCTAGTGATCGGTACTGTGCTGAGATCGGAAATCACATATGAAGTCCAGGTGAACTCAGCTCACCAGATGCAGCAGACGTGGCTTTTGATTTTGTCGACGACAGCGGTGAGCCCGGTGGATCTGCACTGCCTGCACTGCCCTGCAGCCTGGAGATCGACCTCGCAGGCGCTAAGACGACCATTCGGATGGGCCGGCTTAGTGACATACATTATAGATCTGGTATATACTGTCAATTCTTGGCTAATATCTAATTCCTCCTGAAGGCTCATTTGCAATGCAGTCGCGCAGGAAAACGAATGAGCGCGTACGACCTCACCTTGTTGTCCAATTAAACGAAGCATGGGTCTCTACCAAGTCAATTATCTTTCTTTAGAATTTCCTGCCTTTTGGACCTATCAACGGATGTGTTGACTGACACAGAAGAATCTCGGAGGCACGCTCTGAGACTCTAATATCAAAGACCCCCCTGCAACGTGTCAGGTACAAGAGCGCCACCAAGAATTTCTTCTTGAACACCACCCTAAGCAGCCAAGTCGACATCTGGAAGCCCCTGAAATCAAATCTGACGGTCCCCTAACCCTTGCCCCTGATTTTAACTTCAGGGCCCCTGAGGACATTTTGTGGGCCACTCCACCTCGCAGGAGCCGCGTGTCACGGCCAATGGAAGCCATGAGAATTGTGGCCTCCTGCTGCATTCTTCGTCGGGGCGACAAGCGGTCAAAAGGTCGTCTGGACCACCCGCGTGAGTTGGTGGGCTCGTGCTATATACCCTTTAGTGTGTGCTCACAATGAGACTGTCTCAAGGTAACGTACCGTGCCTCGAAAACAGGCTGTCCGTCGAGATCTGCATCCACCTGACACTGGCGGCTCGCAGCATCCAAGACGTATCTTGATCTTCCGACATTTGGGGAGCCAGGCGAGTATAGCATCGTGATCTGCGCGGACGACGACGAGTATGCCGGAAGGACCAAGTTGCTACAAAAGGTTTCGATAAACCCCCCCTTATCCCACCCCCTTTCCCCAAGGAACCAATGCCGTGGCCGTTGAACTTAGCTTTGCTAACACACACTACCTAGTTCGTGCCCAGCGATGATCCCGGTAACGCCTCGGACAATGATGGGCGCTGCCGCAAGCTGATGGACATCTCTGGCGCCGCCACGGCGATCGAGCTCCTGGAGCTGGGCCCTCAGACAGACACGGCGATGCTCCGGTATCAGGTCGAGTACGCCGATGCCTTTGCATTTGTGTTCAGTCTCTACTCACCCAAGACGCTTGAGACTGCCCAGAAGCTGCATGACAAGGTCGCGGGTGCGGCGAGGAATCACCACAACATCATGACCATGTCCGATTATGAGCGGCCGGGGATGACGGTGCCCGTGTTCCTGATAGGAAACAGGGACGAGGACCTCGCCCCTCCGCAGGGTGAGTTGCAAGGCGATCCCGCTCCTGCGAAAGAGAGGCTTCCTGCTGACTTGCCGGATGCTTCGCGCCAGAATTAGAGGAGGGCGACTTCTCACCTACCGCGTTCAACGAGAATGCTGAGGCAGAGTTGAAGGCGGTGAGAGAGAAGGGGCGGGCCATGGCTCAGGAGTGGAAGTGTGCCTATTTCGAGGTCGACACGTCCAAGAGCGGAGAAGAACATGGTGTTGACGAGGCAATCACCGGGATTGGACACATCATCAAGGCAGAAGAGAGGCCGTCTACCTCCTCCACAGCATCATTCCGGACACCCATGAAACCGCCTAAGCAGTACAGGATACGACGCTTTATAGGGAGGATGAGCAGGTAAGCAACTTTCGGGCATAATTTTGATTTCTCCAGGGAAAACATCTGCCATATCTATGGTCTATTTCACTGCTTGCTTCAAAGCGCTCCGTCAGGCTGCAGATTTGAAGACAAGCAATGTGTATATGGTAGCCTTTGATCGCTAACCCTGAATGCTGTAGGATGACGAGCTTCAGTAATTGAGACGTTGAGGCCATCTACGAGGGCAGGAGCAGGGCTGGGGCTGGGTGAAATACAATTTTCTTGGTAAGTAATGGTACCAGAAAGCAGCAGCATCTGGTTGGTCAACTTAGAGGAGTTCCGGAGTGAGGTCAAGCATGTGTACACGGGGAAATCAGGCCAAGAAATACAAGGGCGGCGTATGTTTACCTGTTCTCATGTTCTCATAATCAAGCCAGGCGATTCTGTTCCGCTTCTGCTTAATCCTGCCTTTCTGCACGGATCACATACTTTGTCAGGTCCCAAGATGTGGACTGGTATTTTCGACTTCTGCCGAGACGTTTCTCTCTTTATTGTCCTGGTTTTGCGTGGCAGTCTATCATTGGAGATTGGCCAAGTCACAAATTGTTGGAGAACTGAGGTACGAACGTCCGTGGAATTCTGGATTGTCAGAAAGAGTGCAGCTCTTAGAATGAAATACGCATCTTTCCACTGTTATGGAGTTTGTTAGATGGGCAATGAAGCCGAGCGAGCAGGTCGCAACGGGCTTTGAACGCTTGCTGAGCAACCCGTTGAGTATCGATGTTGGTGAATCGAGATTTAGGAACTGCGAAGCACTCTGTTGGCTTGATGACTATTGTCCTTCCGAGGAAGGATCTCCAGAGACCGTTGTGATATACCTTCAAGATCCGGTAACCCACTTATATGTTGAGATGAGTCAGTCAGGCTATGGATGCACACTGTTCGGTGTCTCGAGAACGTAGTGTCAACTTGACAGTCTTGGGCAGCGAGTCAGACACTTCACTCAGCTTGTTCTGCTCAAGATCGATTGTAACGGGGACGGCATCAGCATCAAAGTGCTATAGAAATATGGATGCATATTTTGAGAGCCTCTCATAGTAGTTGGTGCCCGTGCACGTGTGAGGACATTCCCGGGACTGCCAGGCTTGGAATGTCCGGAACTGTCCCCTCGTTTGCGTTGAACGTTGCTACGATCACCCACTGGACTGAACTATTGTCTTCGGTGCTGTAGATGGGGACAGGAACGCATTCGACTGGGCAGACACAGTGCGTAGTGCGCAGACATGGCCTCTCCCCAATTTGGCAACGCCAGTCGAATGGGAGGCCTGGAAAATTGTCTGAGCCAGATTCTTGTCTGCGATCGTCTCGACAGAGCCAAAGTGATCTGTCCTTCCAATGTTCATCATGAAGCCTTGGAGACCTAGAGCATATGTCATCGAACTCGATGCAGAGTACCACAGGCTGGCTGGCACCCTCTCTACCCTTGACGTAGAAGGGGAAGCTAGCCATCTCATTTCTTATCACAACGCATTGCTGGTCAACAGGTTGGTATTTTTGGGTGAGAAAAGTGATGATGCCATCATCTCGGTTCCTTGGACCAGTTGTGCTTCAGTCCAGCCAACAGACATGTTGGCTGGTACACTAGAGAGTGTGGCATGGCGTAGAGCAGGACAAGCAAGAAAAGGGTAAGTTGACCAAGCCTGCAGCCCCGTGGAAGGCATATATTTGTATGTCCGAAAATCACATCATCAAGCGACTTACATTGTTATCAATGCGATGGAGCCCTAGGATAAGGCTGAAGTCCCTGGCTCCACTGATAAATGGTAGACGTTTGGTCCCTCGTTCACCGTGTTGCGGAGAAAATTGCGCCCCAAGACATCCGCAGGCAATCTTGACTAAGCTCACCAACGCCGACATCCCGAATACCGTACCAGCTTGGCAGCTCCCGGCAAGCTACCCCGCCATGGAATATACGTCACAGGCAACCTTCGCCGAAAGTTGCACGGCGCCAGTAAGGCACGGAGAGGGCGGGCAGGGGCGAGAAGCAGCAGCTCGAGGCCATTGGGTCGCTGGGAAAGCAAGACGGCATTAGCAGCCAGTGGCCGTTCGAAGGTGAGGTGGTGAGGTGAAGTTTACTGGTGCGGGGCCGGGGAGTGTCGAGGACTTACAAACTACCGTGCAGATACTGTAGATGGCATTAGGCTATGTGGTACGGAGCCCCACCCTCTCAGCGCGAACGGTGGTCATAGACCCGTGATCATGCCGACATCGTATCTTGGCCGGCCACTACTAAAGCAAAAGCCTACTCCTCCTTATAACCTTTGCTCTCCCTGTTTCGCCTTGTAGCAGTCTTCCCCCCCGTCACACAAACTAACTGTCCATCACACAACAAAATGCCTGCCGATACTGTTGGAAAGGTGAGCGACAACTGTCGCGAGGGCGCTCGCGGAGCTCTCTGACTACTTGGTGAAACGCATGCTAACAGTGCTTCCCTAGACAATCACCTGCAAGGTCGGTTTCCCCCGAGCAAAGCACGGAGACGTAGCTTCATAGGTACTGACAATTCACAGGCCGCCGTTGCCTGGGAAGCCGGCAAGGACCTCTCCATCGAAGACATCGAAGTCCTGCCCCCAAGAGCCCACGAAGTTCGAATTGAGATCTACTACACTGGTGTCTGCCACACAGATGCCTACACTCTTTCCGGCAAGGACCCCGAAGGAGCCTTCCCCATCGTCCTGGGTCATGAGGGCGCTGGTATCGTTGAGTCTGTGGGCGAGGGCGTCACTAACGTGAAGCCCGGTGACCATGTTGTTGCGCTCTAGTAAGCTTTCTCGACATTCCTCTGCCGCGTCTTTTCACCATCGCATACAATTTCTGGCCTCGACCCCGCCGGGGCCCCGGTTGCCAACTGGCGCCCGAGCTCCTTGGTTCGTTTGAGGCGGAAAGTGGGGACGCGGTCCTGGCCGGCCAGCTCGGGCAGTTTCGGCGTTCCACTTCGGCTTGGCAGCCTGCACCATCACTGATAACTCGGGGTTTTGGGCTAACGCGACGGGAAATAGCACGCCCGAGTGCAAGGAGTGCAAGTTCTGCAAGAGCGGGAAGACCAACCTGTGCGGCAAGATCCGAGCAACCCAGGGGAAGGGTGTCATGCCCGATGGCACGTCCCGGTTCAAGGCCAAGGGCAAGGAGCTGCTGCACTTCATGGGCACATCCACCTTCTCCCAATATACCGTCGTGGCCGACATCTCGGTTGTCGCCATTACCCAGGACAAGGCCCCAATGGACCGCACATGTCTGCTGGGCTGCGGTATCACCACCGGCTACGGCGCTGCAACCATCACGGCTGGCAAGGGCGGTGTTGAAAAGGGCGCCAATGTGGCCATCTTCGGTGCCGGCTGTGTCGGTCTCTCGGTCATTCAGGGTGCCGTGAAGAACGGGGCCTCCAAGATCATCGTGGTGGATGTGAACGATGCCAAGCAGGACTGGGCCAAGAAGTTCGGCGCCACCGACTTTGTGAACCCAACGAAGCTGAACGGCCAGACGATCCAGGACAAGCTGATCGAGCTGACGGACGGCGGTTGCGACTATACCTTTGACTGCACTGGTAACGTCGGTGTCATGGTAAGTTCAGTCCCTCATTGACCAGTGAAATCGAAAGTTCACAACTAACCGGTTCGTCATTAGCGCGCCGCTCTGGAGGCTTGCCACAAGGGCTGGGGTGAGAGCATCATCATTGGTGTCGCCGCCGCGGGCCAGGAGATCTCAACACGCCCCTTCCAGCTGGTCACCGGCCGTGTGTGGAAGGGTTGCGCCTTTGGCGGCGTCAAGGGCCGCAGCCAGCTCCCTGGCCTCGTCCAGGACTACCTCGACGGCAACCTGAAGGTCGACGAGTTCATCACCCACCGCCAGCCATTGTCCCACATCAACCAGGTAAGTGGCTGAGCACCACGCTGCGAAAAAAAAAGTATAAGTTAGTGAACCCGGACTGACAAATGCCCTGCGCAGGCCTTCAACGACATGAAAGCGGGCGACTGCATCCGTTGTGTCGTCAACATGAGGGAGTAGGGGGGTGTCTGTTTGATTGAGAAGTGTTGAGCATCGTCAAAAGTCTGAGTTGTGGGAGCGAGAGAGTTTGGGGGTTGTGGTAGGGGCGTTGTGGTGTAGACACGATTGTGCTAGGGTGATGTGTGTTGGTTGCTGAGTCGATCAAAAGAACACAAAAAGTTCAAAATGGAAATTGATACACCATGCAGTCGTGATCCTACTGATTGTGAGCTCAGGGTGTCTGTGCCATGTCAAGGTGGTCTGCGGTAGCCGTTATGTGTCGGCACGTCTGCTCCCCTGCGTGCAGGTGAACAGGCTCTCGGTTACATCCTCAGTATCTACGCCCATTTTGACTTTGGCATCTGTCCCTTTACTTTCCTTAACGTCTGACAGCCCTGACAGCCCTGAAATCCTCTCTTTTCCTTTTAAGCTCCCCGCTGCCATCTGCCTCCAATTAGGGCAGATGCGTAGTTCGCAAGATCCTATGGAATGCACAAAGTCTCCCCTCTCATATAGATGCCTCTGCGAATCCCACTTTTGAATTAAACCAATTGGGTACATTGACCGCACCTTATCGATAGTACAACTAAGCAGCCACTTGCGCGATGAGGCCGCCTTCTCGAATCTCAAGGCAAAATTACAAGTTTGCGCCTTGATATTCGCTACATTTCATGTATTGCCACCCGCACATATCGCTAAGGAAGCCTCGGACTTTAGAAAAGCCATTCTCGGAGATAACAGTGAGCAACTACCCAGTCAAATTCCAGGGTCTCGGTCTGCGCAACCCCTCGGCTTCGCCATTTCGAAGTTTTGAATCCCTTTTTTGCTTCTGGGTTGAAGGACCTGTGTCGTGAGCTGGTGTTCGGTGGACAAAAATGCCTCATCAAGGGACGTGAGAGACCGCGCCGAGCACCGTTTCTAAGTCAAGGTAGAAGTCGGTCGTATGCCCATGAACTCCAGTAGCTAAGCGACATAATTTGTGGGCGAAGGATTTGGAAGCTTGTTGAACAGGATTGGGAAAAAGGGATATGGTCCAGGTCAGATGTACTCTCCGGCAGGGAGGGGCATCCTTTTTTAGTATTTGCGGATTTTTCTTTCCATGGCAGCGTTGCGTGATTGGAAATCGAAACAGAGAGCCCCAAGCGTTGGCAAGTGAGCTTGTCGAGGCAGCGTTATAGAAGCTTCAATAGCTAGTAATAAGATCTTCCCTGACAAAGCTTGTACCATAGAAAGGCACAGACATCTAAGGGTTAGATTATAGTGAGCAGAATATATGACAGCTCTTCATCTTCACCCTGACCATGCCTATTGCCGCGCTGCTCATCATGTGGGCGGCGATGACCGGGCCATATGCATCACTTGGGATGCCACCAACGGTCGAGGATGTCCGAATGCGGACAGTAGATCACATTCACGGCACGCACGACTCATAACGAGTCCATTATTTCAGCTTCTTGGCGGGCTTAGCGACGGCGAGGCTGACGCGTCGGTGTGTCTATTGTCGACAAACGCTGCATCTACCGTCACATGCTGATGCTGGGCGTGGGGGGGAGGATGTGGAATTTGGAGGAGAGGCTGTCTGTTTGGTCGTGCTGCTCGTATGTCCACTTGCGCTCGGTCGGTCCCTACTGGCGGTTCCGAGCCCCGGAGTGGGCCGGGAGGCCTTAAATTCCTTGTTTGCCGTGGGGCCCATCGTCTCGCGTTCCCACGTCCTCGATGAAATGGTCCTCTTAGATCAAGCTTATTTTGTTGATGACCTCGAATGCTATGCAAGTTTGGCGGGTCAGATCACCTCTGCAGCTGGAAGCAAGTCGCACTTTGTCTGTCATGTAACGCTACGTTGCCGGCGGAGACTGTTGATCAAAGGGACTCACGGCCCCCATTGACGGACGCTTGACCAGGTTTAGAAACGCGCCGATCCACGGTCGCAGACGATCAGCTGGAAAGTATTTTTTTCAGGCCATGAAGGATGCCCTGGGATTGGCGGCGACGAGAGGAGTGCCAAGATCGGACCCTGCCAATGCGGTTCGCCAATGTGCCAATGCAGCAGCTTGTGCAGCAGGCATGGCTAACAAGCTTCCTTTGCCACCATCAAGCTTCTCCGCCGAGTCGGTCCGTCCAAACTTTGTGCATCCTCAGGCGGCCCAGCTGCCCAGCAGCTCCAACCGACCAGGCAGCTTGGTGGATACGGACGCAACAAGGGCTGCCAGGGCTGCCCAGGACACACCCACCAGGCACAGCTCTAGGAAGGTCGTCGGGATCTTCGGGGCTGGTTCTTGGAGTGGAAATATTTGCATCTACTACTGTAGACTAAACCGGTGTGCTAGCCCAAAGGCGAGTGACTGTCTGGTCGATCTCGGGCGAGGGTGGGCAGGCGAAGGGGGGAGGTACCTTGTTGGCGTGAGCATCTAATCTTATCAGATCCTCAGCGCCGGACTAGACTGAATGAACCGACCACTCGTGGCCTGGACCATGATCTGATAAATCCTCCCTCGCAGGCTCTGCGCGACGGCGTGGCCACCATCCCGTGTTCGGCCACCGTCCACACGTCCACTCATTGGACGAGGCCGCCTACATCACCGAATCTCATCCTAGCCACTTGCAGCGGGAGGTGGGGAGCGTTGCATGCTATGACCACCGTGACAACCACCGTGACTGGCCCTGACTGCGAAGCGTGGTAGCATACGGCACCATGGACCTTCCTGGTCTATCATTAGTCGGGGAAAAAATTCAAACGGTGTCTGCCCCGAGGTCGATGGGCTTGTGTGGGTGAGAGCAAGCGTGGAGCACGGTACAAGTATGGATCGTCCCTTTCAGCTCCCTACCCACTCTTTCTCTTCTGAAGTCACGACAGTTTTTCAGAATCCTCTTCTGTTTATTTTGTCGTGTCACATAGTCTTTGTATTTGTCCATTGCGTATTCTTTTTTTTATGGCCAGATTGACAACAGGCCTTTGAAGATCGAGGTGAGAAAAGAACCTTTCTGTACCCCATGTCCATGAATCGCATCTCCCGCTGCGATCACACCGCCCTATATCATGATGTACCTCATCCTAACCGTCCCGGTCCTGGGGCATGATTAGCTCATATATTAACATCCTCAGAACACAAAACGCAGCCCACGATGAGGTTCCTCGATAAGTTCAAGCTGCCTCACGACACGAACATCGTCGCAGCAACCGAGCAAGAGGGCTCACCAGCGGCCGATGTCAAAAAGGAGGACGATGTTGAGCAGCCCCGTGTCCCCGAGTCAGACACCAACTCAACCTCGAGGGTCAGCTTAGAGGAGCTCAACGAGAAGGAGGTACAGGCCAACCCCGACCAAGTCACCGCTGATGCTGCCCTCGGTGTGCAAAAGGCTGAGGCTGCCGCCCTCGTCTGGCCCAGATGGGCTCTGTACGCCACCTACGGCTGGATATGGCTGTGCTTCTTCATGCTGGCCCTCCAGCAGGGCACCACCACCATCTTCAACATGAACGCCTACGCGAACTTCATGTCCGCGCCCCAGATTGACACCGCCTACATCCTCTCCACCATCGTCGGCGGCGTCATCAAGCTCCCCATCGCCAAGCTGATCAACGTCTGGGGCCGTGCCGAGGGCTTCTTCTTCTTCGTCGTTGTCTATCTGATCGGCATGATCGTCATCTCCAAGAGCAAGGGCCCCGACGCCTACGCTGCTGGCTACGTTCTCTACTGGATCGGCTACGACGCCATCTACCTGATCATGGATGTCTTCGTCGCCGATACCTCCGGCCTCCGGAACCGTGCCTTCGCCTTCGCCTTTGTCGGCACGCCTTTTATCTGCACGGCCTTCACCGCGCCGCTGGTTGCCCAGAGTTTCGTGAACCATACTACCTGGCGGGTGGGCTACGGCGCCTTCGTCGTCATCATGTTCTTCGTTTTCACGCCTTTGGCTCTCGTCTTCAAGTTCTACTCGCTGAAGGCTGAGAAGCTGGGCTTGTTCAAACGCGAGAAGACTGGTCGGACCTTCGCTCAGTCCTTTGTTCACTACTGCCACGAGTTCGACATTGTTGGTTGTGTGATCCTCATGGCCGCTTTCATTCTCTTCCTGCTGCCCTTCTCCCTGGAACAGTACGGCTACGCGGGCTACCACTCGGCCAAGTTCATCGCAATGATTGTCGTTGGTGTCTGCTTGTTCCCCGTCTTCTACGTCTGGGAGCGGTACTTCGCTCGGTACCATTTCATCCGCTGGGAGCTATTCAGGAGCCGCACAGTGACCGGTGCCTGTTGCCTGGCCGCCATCCTGTACTTTAGCTTCTACTCGTGGGATCTGTACTACCAGAGCTTCGTCATGGTTGTTTACGACCTCGATCTTGCCACGGCCGGCTACATGGGTCAGATCTACAACGTCGGGTCCACATTCTGGGGTGTCATCTTCGGTATCTGGGTGCGACAGACCAGGCACTTCAAGTACACGGCGCTCTTCTTTGGACTGCCGCTGATGATGCTCGGAGCCGGCCTAATGATCCATTTCCGCGGCGCTGACCAGGGCATCGGCTACCTGGTCATGTGCCAGATCTTCATCGCCTTTTCCGGTGGCACACTCGTGATCAGCCAGGACATGGCCGTCATGGCGGCCTCGGACCGCGACGGCGTGCCCATGCTGCTCTCCCTGCTCGGCCTGACCTCGAGCATCGGGGGAGCCATCGGCTTCGCCGTCTCTGGTGCCATTTACGCCAACACCTTTCCCCAGGCTCTGCAGAATTATCTCCCCGACGAGGCCAAGTCGAACGCCACGGCCATCTACCTCGGCGGGTACCTCGAGCAGATGACCTATCCCGTCGGCAGCCCCATCCGCATCGGCATCGACTCTGCCTGGGGCTACTACCAGAGGCAGGGCTGTATCGCCGCCACTGCCGTCCTGGTTCTTGCCATCCCCTCCATTGCGGTCTGGAAGAACTACAACGTCGATAGGAAGCAGAACAAGGGTGTTCTGATTTGAGCGAGCCACCTCGGTTTCAATTAAAGGGGAGAGGGGAGCCTCCTCTGGGATTTCAAGGGCGAGGGGCAGGTGTAATACTGGGAGTACAATTGCTCTACAAGCTCAATTGTCAATAAAGCTGTGGCCAGGCCGCCATGCGAACAGTCCTTTGGAAACATGAATACGAACCATTTAATAGCTTCATGGAGCTTTCTTTCAAAATATACCCTTTTCAACCTTCCTTCACTTAGAGATCTAGCATTGAAATCACAGGTGTCCCATATCAATCTGATATTGAGCCTTCTTCGTGCATATTTTCAGGTGAGACAATCGTAGGACCATCGTGTGAAATGGACCTTCAACATTCTGTTGGCAGTCTAAGGCAGGGTCCTAATTAAATAATGATTGAGGATAATCCGTCTCATAAACTGCATTCGATGAGTACAGCTGACCCTTTAGCTCACACCAGGTCCCTAATAAGACAAAGAGCAGCGTTGTCACGGCCACCTCGTGCTTTCTTTTGCAGGATTCCAAGCCAGCGCCCTCGTTGGATCGATTTCACGATTCTGTATTTTACCAAGACCTTGCCTCCAAACATGGTCCCTGTATGTGTTCGTGATGAGAGACGCCGACTCGAAATGCCAACAGCTCCCGACCACTGCGTGGGGATCTTTCAAGTAGAATGTGTCTGAAGCTTCATGTAAGCCCGCCGTTCCCATACAAAGGGATGAGAAAATAATTGATGTCAAACCATGACGGCTTCAATCCTGTACCTCGTGGCATCCCAGCTGAAAACGTGTATTCTGCAAAGGATGCCTCCTCTTGAGACCCAGGTGTAGACATCCTTGGTCAACCACCACATCAGTGCGCTTTAGCTATATTGCCTTTTTTTTAAAGATGGTGTAGTCAACGTCAGGAAAGGTCCTAGTCTTAACTGCATTGTGTCTCTAGTTCCTCACCCTTCTATCCTTTTGCTTCCCGCGCAAGATAATCCGTTTCAATTTCACTACAGCTAACTTTTTTTTTTCTTCACCAGACAACGACTTAGACGCTTTCGTTCAAAGCTCATCATTAGCGCACCTTTCTCCTTATCATGGCCCACGAGCACTCCAAGGGTTTAATTTCTAACACATTTCTTCACTCGTTACACATCTGAATCGTCATGACACCAACAATGCAACAATTCGAGGACATCACAAAAGATATGGGCACAGAAGTGTTTGACTTGATCACATTATATAGAGTATCAAACCCTCATCCATCAACATTACCGACCTAAGAAGGAGGACCCCGAAGACCAATCCATCCCATAGCAACCGCCCTGCAACCTCAAAAGAGACGATCAAAAGAGGTTGTCGTCACACATCCGAAAACCCATCCTGCTCTTATCTCAAGAGCCCTTTAACCCTGGAAGTTGACCGACTGGCTGGTCTGGCCGGCCGACTTCTTGTCGGTGGCGATGTTGGTGTCGAGCTTCTTCTGCTCGGCGGCGATCTTGGCCGTGTTGTCACTGCCGCCCTGGGCCTGGGAGATGCCCAGGTCGAGGACCTCGAGCTTGAGCTTCAGGACCTTGTTCTTGATCTTGCCCACCTGGAGGGCGTCGGCGGCATCGCCGCTGGCGGCGGCGATGGCGTCGTTGAAGCCGCCCGTGTTGACCTCGGCGTCCTCGGCTGTCACCCGAGCCGCCTTGATGATGGCCGCATCAGCGGGGTCGACGTTGGCCAGGTCGTTCTCGTCGATCTGTGGGTCGAGTCTGTTAGCGGCTGTCCTGCGAGGTTATGTGGTCAGGTGGGTGGTGTGCTTACAGGGAACTTGGCCTGGACCTCTGCGAGTGCGTTTCCAGCAACTCCGTCGCTGACCTGGAAGTCGGCGTAGCTCTGCTTAGTCAGGACGGCGGCACGCTTGTGGTTGCCATCCTGGACGGTGGGCAGAGCCAGGGCCGAGGCGGCGAGGAAGAGAACGGCGGCCTTGATATACATGGTGGTTGTTTTGTTTGTTTGAAGGAAGGTGATTGTGTGCGAGACAGAGACGACTAACGAATGAATATCGAACAGACAAAATTAAACAGCACAGCTGTGTCGAAGAAGGAAGAAGGGATGAACGGTTGAGGGTTTGTTTGGATGAGTGAGTAATGGAACGGAATCTTTTGCCGTAGCACTGGATGAGACGAAGATCTTATAGTCGTTCGCGAAGCCTGTCAACCGCCGTCCACCAGAGTTTAAAGTCTTGGCGAGCTAGTTTCTCAAACTCTTGAGACTCTTCCGAGCTCGACACTGGGGTGTTCCAGGGGAGGGGGGAGGGCTGGGGCAGAGACGCTCCTCAGGAATCCTCCTATGCCTCCTGTCGAAAACATGGCCAAGACCTCTTAATCCACTCTGGCGAACCGACGATAATGCAGCCGGTTCGTTGCCGAACGCGAAAGGCACGAGGGAGCCTTACCAGTCCCAGACCGGTAATTGTGGTGCCACGGAATGCCCTAGTTCTCGTTGATCGAGCAGGCCCTCCTTGACGAGACACCCCCAGGATGCAGGCATTGGTAGGGATGCCGCCGGGCAAGGCAGAGCCAGCTGCATGGGATGCTATGAAGGGTCTGGCCCAAAGCATGGGCGCGGCGAACCCATGATGTTCGCAGATCGACGGTGGTACCACGGGTCCAATGAGGATCCGTTTCCCACAAGGCGGAATGCCCAGAAAAAGTCAAGACCTGACAAGCTCCGACAAGCTTAATTGATCTGCGGTCCCATCTTGGCCTTGTGGTCAGGGTAGTTGGCGGGAGATGGAAGTTCGGTACCGCAGATGGGACGAGGGCGGTGGCCCGAGGCGCGCTGCCTTGAGTTGGCCGGTCGTCTCAATGGTGTCGCACTTGATGTGTGATCTGAGCCAGGGTGCCAGGGTGGGCAAGGGTAGGCAAGGGTGGCAGTTGGCGCGCTGCGGTTTGGAGGGTGGAGTTTGGTGGCGGCTGCGACGTGTGAGGCTGTTCGCTTTTTCCACAACCCCTATCTCATCATCTCACCGATGCATGACCTTGATTTTGATCATGACATGCGCCGGCAAAGTCTGTTGGACTGCTCACAGCTGCCCTTCAAGATGCAATCACAGCTCTCAGAGACAGACACGGGATGGCTGTTGACGTCTTATTGGGATGAAGCAAGTCATCGGTCGTGGACAGGTTGACCCCTGTATCCAGTGGGCATGCCCCTGAATGTGGGTGCGTCAGGGCGTTAAGCTTGGGGTTAAGGTTGCAGGACACGGCCACTACAACTTGAGCCTCATCGATGGTTACAACCTCAGACGATATACAATCGGCTGACTAGATACTTTATTTTCCTCCAATCCGAACCTTGATTTTCGGCAGAGTATAACCTCTGTAATCATAAATAGTGTCACGGTAGGGACTCTCGACCTGTGGGTGGGAATGTAAAACCAAAAGACCGGCCAATCATCTTACACGCATCCGTCCCGCAACTGAGAGGCGACCAAGGCCTTGGGAGGGACAAGGCACCGTCCATATATAGATCATGGCTGGATAATATGGCTCACGCTACCACGGCAGGTGGTGCAAACGGGAATGGTTGATGCCGAGCATGTTTACTGTTCCTGCATCAACCAAACCAATCTGCCCTTCTCACCCCGCAGTTTTGGAGATCCTGCAGTACCAAGCACAGCAATCTAGGTACCCCTGTATCTTGACACACGGGATCAGCAACGTCATGTCGAGGGAGATAAGTCTTGCGCGGTGGAACATTGTTTGGACATTGAAAAGGTCTCCTCAGACGAGAAAATGAGGCCATCACAGCAGCCTTGTAAGGAAATCATCGATTGACAGTGTAGTCATTCCTCAATTGAAGCGTCTTGAACTCGACCTAGGATGCCTAGTGAAGCTTCCAGGATCATCCGCCGTTGGGGTATCGTGCCTATTGTGCCTATGCCGTAACTTACCGCACCGGCAACCCCGCCATCTGCTCAGCAATGCCGAGGTGTCGATCTCCAAGTTCATATCTCGTCCATTCCTGTGAATAACTTCATAACTTCGTAGCTTCAGCTCTGCTCACCGTAGTCCTCTCCCGTGCCAGAGCCATTACGCAACCAAAATGCCTCACAAGTCCCTCTACGCCGACGTCTCCATCCCCGAGACCGACATCTTCACCCTCCTGTTCTCCCGCCCCTCCAGGCCCTTCCCCGACACCAAGGAGCTCCTCACCGACGGTGAGCTGCCCTCCCGCTCCTACACACTTGCCCAGCTGCGCAACGCCGCCGCCGAATTCGGAAAGGGACTAAAAGCCCTCTGGCAGTGGAAGCGCGGCGATGTCCTCGCCTTCTATACCCCCAATGACGTCGACACTCCCGCCTTGACCTGTGGTGTGCTCTGGGCCGGCGGGTGCGCGTCGCCCGCCAACCCGCTCTACACCCTCGACGAGCTGACCTTCCAGCTGACCAACAGCGGCGCCAAGGCTCTCGTCACCCAGCTTCCATTCCTGGCCACCGCGAGGCAAGCCGCCGCCAGGGCCGGCATTCCCGAGGACAGGATCATCCTGCTGGGCCAGACCGGCGACCCTGAGGGCAAGTTCCGGCACTGGAGCAGCATCAGGCCTACAGCCTACTGTAGGCGCTATGCAAAGACCAAGGTGCGGCCCAGGAAGGACCTGGCCTTCCTTGTCTACAGCTCTGGGACGACGGGACTTCCCAAGGGCGTGTGTCTGACGCATTATAATGTCATATCCAACTTGCTGCAGATGGAACCGTTGGAAGGACTCCATCTGAAGCCGTACGGTGGCCCTGAGAACAGGGGTGATCGCCTGCTCGGTGTAATCCCCTTTTTCCACATATATGTACGTTCCTCCCTGGTTAACAGAAACTATATACTTGCATCAGGCCTGCGAGGCTAATAGAATACGACAGGGCCTGGTGAATAACGTTTTCATGAGCATGTATTCTGGATGGCAATTAGTAATCCTCTCTCGTTTCGACCTCGAGAGGGCCTGCCGGATCATTCAGGACTACAAGATCACATTTGCCTATATCCCTCCTCCAGTAGTCTTAGCCCTAAGCAAGGAAGCAGTGGTGGACAAGTATGATCTCACGTCCCTCAAGATACTTCATTGCGGCGCGGCACCCATCACCAGCGACTTGATCGAGATGGTCTGGAAGCGCCTCAAGGTGCCCGTGAAACAGGGCTACGGGCTATCCGAGGCGAGCCCCGTCTCCCATGTCCAACAGCCGGATGAGTGGGCCAAGTTCATGACATCTGTTGGGAAGCTGGTACCAAACATGGAGGCGAAAATTGTTGACACGGAGGGCAACGAGGTGGCACTCGGTGAGGTATGTGGCTTGAGGGCTCTCGCTCAAACTCACACAACCAAATATGCTAACACGAGTTGTGGTCACTCCAGCCAGGCGAGCTCTGGCTCAAAGGCCCCAATGTATTCGGAGGCTATCTGAACAACCGTGAGAAGACAAAAGATGCCTTCTCAACAGACGGCTGGCTCAAGACAGGCGACGTTTTCAAGATGGACAAGTACGGCAACTATTACTGTGTCGACCGCTTAAAAGAACTGATTAAATACAGTAAGGACATCTGCTTCCTGTACACACCAGCTTGGCAACAAATATCTGACAACTCACTTCTCAGAGGGCTTCCAGGTCGCGCCAGCCGAGCTAGAAGGCCTGGTAGTAGGCCACCCGGACGTCGCAGACGCGTGCGTCATTGGAATATACGATCCCGGCCAGGCCACAGAACTCCCTCGCGCCTATGTGACACTGAAGTCAGGCGTCACGCAGGACGGAGAAAAGGCCAAGGAGATCGCCGACTGGATGTCGGCCAAAGTGGCCCCTCACAAGAGGCTCCGCGGCGGCGTATACTTTATCGATGTCGTGCCCAAGTCTCCGAGCGGCAAGATTCTGAGGAGGGTGCTTCGGGATAAGATCAAGCAGGATGAGAGGCTGGCTGGTCCGAAATTGTAGGCCAGATCTTTCTGGATAGAACGGCTGGGTCACCCTCTCAAGTCGGAAAGACCACTGCGCTTCCACTTCTGTATTTAAGCCCTCAAGAAAGATGGTTCAATTCAGCTTGATAGAGTTGATAGATACTAGTTGGTACATATTTTTGTTATTGTACAGCAGTCAAGCCACATTTCTTTCTATAAATGGGTTTGAACCTATCTATTGTTCTACGGCGTTTTCCATCGCGGACGAAATCAGCTCCCATCACCACTTCAAGCCAATCTCTCGGCCTCCTCCAGCAGCTTTTCGACACTGAACCTGGAGTCTCCCTTACCGAACCACTCAAGCAGCTTCTTCCTCTCGTCAGCTCTCTCCTTGCTCAGCGCATCCGTCTTCTCGCCGTCCCACCCGCCGTAGAACCGCTGCAGGCACATGACCAGCCACCTGGCGTCCTCGGCCTTGACGCCGCGGTCGGCGACGACGGTGCCCTGCATGAGCACGACGGCCTTCTCGCCGACGAGGTCGAGGTGGTGCGTGACGGTGGTGTGGGGCACGGCGAACTCGCCGCGCGCCTTGTACTCGGCCAGTTGCGTGAACAGCACGGTGCTGGTGTGCGTGGCCGGGTCGAACGTCCACTGCAGGAAGTGGATCTCGGCCCCCTGCTCCGGGTGCGGCAGCGGCAGCACAAACTGCGGGTGCGCCCGCGCCGCCGCCTCCATCGCCTCGTACGTGTGCTGCGGGATCACCGCGCACAGCGCCTGCGGGCTGCTCGCGTGCCGCAGCCGCCAGATCGCCGTCAGCTCCGGCACCGGCAGCGTTCGCGCCTTGGGGAGGTCGAGGATCTGGTCGAGAGGCTTGACACCCGACTTGGATGGGTAGCTAGAGGGCTCTGCTGTCTGGTGCGCCGCGGCGGCCTCGGGAGTTATTGGGCCCCGCGGAGGAGGGGGAGGAGGAGGGTTGCCAGCGCTGGCTGCATTGGTAGGAGCTGGTGGCTGTTCCAAGGGGGGGATGCCTGGTGTTGTAGCATCTTTTTTCCGTATCTCGTGGATCTTGTCGGCATACGCCTTCTTCAAGTCTTGGATATCGGCATGGCCCTCTTGGCGGGCTTTCGCGTCGAGCTTGTCGCGGTACTTCTCGAGGACATTCCGGGATGCTTGGGTGGTCGCGAGGAATCTGACATCGTGGACCTGGGCCCAGCGGCGCTGGTTTGAGGCGCGCAGGGAGCGCAGTTGGCAGCCGAACAGATTTCGCAGCGCCGGGATTCGTGTAGAGGCCATTTCCGTGCCCAGATCAAATCGATTGAACCGTCGAGGGCGAAGTGAGGAGGATTGCTGCTCAAACCGTCCTTCAATTGCGCGGACTGACGTCAAACTTAATTGGTTACATAAGCACATTTTTGGACCCAGGCCGGCCCACGCGAAGCTCGATGATCCACTGTAGCTCCCTAAGCTCGACCAGCTACCAAGACAAACACAAAGCCGGCCACTGAAAGAACACCCGAGTTGTCCCCGGCACAGACTCTGAATGTGGGAGACGTTGTTGGCACGTCGCAGAGCCTGATGCGCTAGACGACCACAACAGCGCCAGGGAACCCAGAAGAATGGATGAAGGCGACGGTTTAGCATTGGTTCTCATTGCCGTGTCCAATATCCGTCGAACCTCTATTCTCACCTCCTGAGTGTGTTCAACACGGAGCCATGGCCACGAAGTGAGGCCCAGGGAGGTGTAAGAGATGTGATCTCCGTAGCTTGATGTGTAAAGACGATACGCTGGGCATATTTCACCCGCCTTCTTCGCCAATTCTCTCTGCGTACTTACTTGGCAAACAACCTTAACAAAGCCTCAGGCAGGATGCGGCTCATAGTCCTCCGGACGAGCAGCCGCTGAGGAGGTTTCATTTCACCGAAACCGTAGGCAACACCAGATCCCCGGGGCCGTCTGGCTCCTGCGATCCTCTGCAGGAGAGCAGAGAAAGCCTGGTCGGCACCGTCGCCCAGGATATTCCCACTGCTAGTGTCTACCTCCAAGAGCTCGCACCCCCAGCGGTCCGCCAGCATCTCAGCCTCCGCTCTCACGGACATTGAGGTGCTTCGGTCCTCAGCTCTCGGACTGGCAGACCCCTCCTTCCGATCGTCCTCCGGGCGGCGCAGGTTCTCGTCTATGTTACCAATGAGGACGACTGGGACAGAAACAGGTCCATTCTCACCACCGACCAGGCCCCGAGCCGCCGCCGCATGCATCATAGCATCTAACATCTCTTTGACCAGCTCCAGTGTCCCCAGAGATGACATGTTGAAGACGAGGAAGAAGCCATGTGCGTATTTAACATGGTACTCTAGCATCGACGCACTCCGATGCCAAGATGGAGGCGCATCCATCAGTTCGATGTCTGTGGTACCAGGAGGTTGGCTCGTCCGAATGCCCGACTCCGCCGAGGGCACTGAAGAAGCTTTTCCATTAGTGCGGCTTGCGGGAGTCAAGGTCAACCGGGTGGCGGCGACGATCCTGTTTCGGCCGGTATACCTGTCTTCGTCTCCGCTGACCAGGATGGCACATCTGTCGAGCCCCTGACTCGAAGGGAAGATGTAATGTGCATTTGGGGGTTGTGATCCAGGTTCTAATGTGCTTCCACGTTAGCCTTCTTGTCTCCTGCGTCTGAGATCACTGGGCTCTCCACTCACGCTTTAGATTTGATGGCATCTCCTCCAGCAGCCGTGGCTCTTTGGCAGGCTTGTGGCTGAGTGAGACGACGACGTGCTGCACGACGGGTTGCGATAAGGTGCCAAGCTTAACAAACTAGACCAAGTTGGCACAAATAGTGTACTTACTACACACCCGCAGGGCAGTAATGAGGTTGCTGCCCTGCGATGAATGAACCGCCTGCCAAGAACAGAATATGGTAGCTGCTGTGGGCTCGATCAAGTCAAATCACGACCGCTTCGGGGTGGCTGACACGGGCCTTCGAGGGGCCTCGGTCGAGGCCACTTCCTAACAGGGGCGCAGATATGCCCCTGGTCCTACTAACTCTAAGCAGCGGGGTTGTCCACGGAATCTGACAACATCACAAGGAGTCCGAGGCAACCTTTACACGAAAGCAGGCGTCACTCATCTCGTGGCGTATACTTCATTTTGAATTACTGTATATTATTTTATTTCTCTGTCCAAGAAACGAGTGTAGTAAAGACGTCTTCGGGTAGTAATGCCAGCTGATTCAGTATGGATAGATGTATAGTATACCGCACAGTCCCGGCATGGTTTTATCAGACATCCTTGCCCCTCTCCTCGGCAAATCGCAAGAACTCCTGGTCCGTCTGAAGCCTCGGGTAGCAGCTCTCCTCCAGCCCGAGAATGATCTCCAGGCCCTCATCCGGATTGCCCTTGGCCGTCCTCGTCGGCAACACAAAGAAGAAGCCCTCAAACTGCGGGTGCGGCCACCTCAGCGCCGCGGGCGTCCCGAAGCCGAAGTCGTGCACCTCGTACGACTTCATGGTGTGCCAGTCGAAGGCCATGCAGTCCAGCCCCAGCACCCAGTGCATGTCCAGCTCGACCCACCGCAGGTCAGGGCTCGAGCCCGCCCACCTGATCAGGTCGGACACGTACGACGGCGTCACCTGGTTCGTCGCGGCGCGCACGGTACGGGCGAGGATGGGCAGCGCTGAGCCCAGGTCGGACGAGAGGACGTCGGCGACGGTCAGCTCGGGGGACTGCGGCAGCGTGACGGCGACACCGATGTAGCTGTCGGGTATGGCGGGCTCGGTGCGCCCTCGCGCGTTGACGGCGTGGATCGCCTTGGACGGCGCTGACGGGTCGGGTTTAACGAGCGGCCCTTTGGCACGGACGATTGCGCGCCAGAGGATTGCGAGGAGTGCGTCGTACGTCGACACCCAGCTTGCGCCGTCCTTTCCATTGGGCGTTGGGGCGCTGGCAAGCGCCTTGAGCTCCTTCAACTTGCTCTTCGGGACGTGCCATATCCTTGTCTTCACTACTGGCATTTTGAAGTCTGCTGGTGGTGGCGCTGGAGGCCCTTCGCGGGCCTTATATGTAGGGAACTTGTCGCCGAGCTTGTTCAACTCATCTGGCGAGGCGACGGACTTTCCATTGGCGCTGAGAATAGTCCGGTCCGGCATAGTGGCTGTGTTGATGGTGCCGTTTGCCGTACCATTGGAAATGGCGTACGAGTTGCGCGACCAGCTTGTCATTATGTTCTCACAGCCCATCCCGTCGGAGACCTGGTGGGTGATGGCCAGTGCCAGGATGATACCTCCCTCGATGAAGGTGACTTGGAAGGCACAGACAGCTGGCCCGTCCGTCGAGACATCTTGACCTGGAACGGGAAACTTCCCAACCACCGCGGATGGGAGCACCTTACTTGCATCAAGGAGGTGGACGGGAAAGTCATGTTTTTCAAGGGTCGCAAACGACTCAATGTCGATCTTGCCATCCGGCCCAGGCTCTTTGATATCCAAGGCCACCGAGGAGGTTGGCGTTCGCTTCACAACAATTCTCTTGGCTTCATTGTCGAAGTGTAGCGAAGATACCAGGATTGGGTACTCAGCGAGGGTCCGGGAGAGACCTTGGGTCAAATTGTCGAGGATTTGTTGCTTATCTGCGTCGGGCCTCAGGGAAAAGACCTCTATCATATGCACGTAGAGCTTAGGCTCAATTGCATCCAGGTCTGCAAGTTGAACTATCTCATCCTGCTTATTGCCATGTGGCTGCACCCTGGTCTCTCTGATGGTAGCCATTAGGAGCGATCGAATCCTTTGCCTCCGGGTCGAAGCGGGCAGGGGAAGCCGACGAAGAAGGAAAAAAGGTGACGTATCACTGCGCAATTAGCGAATCATTTGGGCATGGCAAAGTCTTTATACGAATTCGTCTTCTGAGACCGATATGCCAGCTTGTGGGTCTTGAAAGAATCCTTAGATGGAGAAGCCGCGGTTGCTTCTCGTCTGTTTCGTCAGTGCTCGTCAGGAGAGGGTGGATATTTGGAGACCAAGTCCGCTGCTGACAGTCTTCCTTGTTGAAACTGGCTCCGCACAAAACTGTCTGCTACGGCTCTTTGACATCTGATTAGAGAGTCTTCTATCCCAGTGTGCCTGTTGGGTCAAGGATAAGCTAGGGGAACCTCCCCGTTGTGGATACAGGGAGGCCCGTTGGTGAAGAGAGCCACTGGAGTGGGTACTGGCGGGCCTACATGTGAACAGTCACAAAACACCAACAGCGTAAGAGAAACAATCGGGCCATAATTTTTCATCTTCAGTCAAGTCAACACGCCGGAACATTAGAGCCGGATGAAGTTCGCTCGTGCCCTAGACACGATAGGGCTGCTCCCTTTGCCCGTTTTCTCTTGGACAATTTGTAGTTTCCTTGAGCCTGTGTATGAGCCCGAGACAGGTTTGGGAGGCGTCGATTTGGTCAGGCACCCGCGAATGAGATGATCGAATTGAAAAACTTGATCCGAATAATGCCATTAGTGTCGCGAGCCTTGCCATCCGCCCGTGGCCCCTACCAGTGGACTACAAAATATGGAGCTTCCGATGTTCCTTGTCAAGCCAAATCCTCTGATAATGTACTGTAGGTATTCGTAGCACATGTGAAAGTGGCCTAATATCAGGAGAAGCTCGCCAAAGACGTTGTGTGTCGTACCAGGGGCATGATCCTTCACATTTACTCGCATATGAAGACCCATGTGCGGCATGGTTTCCACATGGTAAAATGACGTCTCCTACCAAAGTGCTATAAGTTCTTCTAGATCGCTCTCATCTATCTATCTTGACTAGCTTGTCAGCCCTAAAGTTAGGACTTGTTGATGCCATGGCGGGCTCCGTGGATCCTAGCGCGAGATCTGTCCAGCCTCAAGGCATAGCCTTGGCGATTGTTATTGTTTCGCCGATTTTCCTTTTCTTTTCCATCTTGGCAGTGGCTGGTCGCCTTTTCGTGAGGATCACTGAAAAGGTGACGTCTATAGATGATTACCTGCTGCTGGGAAGCCTGGTAAGTGATCGATTCTCTTATGATTTGCAGTTCTCTCGCGTACTGTTGCGTGTACAGAGCATTGGAACGTGGTCGTTGATCATGACCAACTTCTTATACACCTTCCATGTTTAAGTCATCCACAGGTCTTCGACGAATTCACTACAGACCCGAGTTCTAATCTCATGACAGGTTTTCTATATCCCAGACACAGCAATCGCTATTCATGCTGCTACTGTGGGAGTCGGCACCGTCAACGCTCGCCTCAATGCGTGGATGCAAGTCCAATCGATGAAATGGTATACAATTTGGATCTTAATATATGTCATTGGGTTGGCACTTCTCAAATCATCCATCTGTATGATGATATGGAGAATCGCTAGCGTTCGTCGCGCCATGCGTATCACTTTGATTTTCCTGCTCAGTCTCGTGTGGGCTTCTTTCTTCGTCACCTTCATCGGTGTGCTACTCTATTGCTCCCCTGTCGAAGCCAATTGGGAGACCCATCTTGTCCTAGAGGGCAAGGCACACTGCGGAAGTATAGCCGCCATGATCGGCTTGAGCCATACAGCCACCGTGACGACAATCATTACAGATATCGGGTGTGCAATGCTTCCCGGTGTGCTTCTTTGGAAGACACAGATGAAGTCTCAGGCCAAGCTTGAAGTTTTTGCTCTGATGTCTGTTGCATCTATGTGAGTCCATCACCCAATCTCTTTCTGCTTCCTTCTTATTCAAAATCCCTCTTCCTGGAAAAAGACCACCAAGGTCGAAAAGACTACATTTCAACACCCTGCTAACTTGTAATGCAATCTCAACAGGGCCTCTATCAGCACGATTGCACGTGCACCCTTCATTTCTCACTACGAGCAGCCGGAGGACAATCTTAAATGTACGTAGAGAATCGATAACCAAAACTGCCGGAACATCATCTAATAAGGATCCTTTAGATTACATCGGCTACATCGTCCTGTTCTCCAATGTAGAAACCGGAGTCGGCTGCGTCGCCTCATGCCTGCCTGCTATCCGGCGGCTCCTTATGCGCATCGCCAAGAAGGAGACCTCAGAGCACAAGAGCTCGAATGCGCAAGTAGATGATTCCGGAATCGTCACCATCGGTGGCGGTGGAGGCGGGTCCTCAAGCCGTGGCCGCAAGCAGAGGGGCAGGTTTTCCAACACCGCGGAGAGGGGTGGCAGCCTCACCACAGTTCAAGCCACCGGCGGTGCCAGAGCTGGCGAGTGGACGCAATTGAATGACGGCGATTCGGATGAGGTGCCGTTGTCGCCTTGGAAGAAACCAATGGAATCGAAGCCTACACAGGGTATCGGGATGGACTGTACTCACGATGTAGAGCTTGAGCCGGTGAAGATAAGCGTAGCTGGAACTGATCACAAGTTATAGACAGATACCCAAATCAAAACAAAAGAAATGCCTGTTTTGGGCATCTGTATTACATCAATTACAGCTTCTTTTTTTTCTCCGGTTGTTTCATATATCCGACTCTTTAGTCGTACTAATTACTTTCCAATAGAGTCACAGTTCGAATTTTGAGGCATGTATATCTTTTCAACACTTAGCTACGAAAATAAATTGGAGGCAATATTCCAAAGTGACGATCTGAGAGAATCATTTAAATCTCCTCCTCGCGTCATGACAAATCAAGCCTGGTTGGCCACAGTGACCCGAAAGTTGCAGATCGTCCATGATTTATCATGGAGCCTACCGTAGCCTTTTCAGCTTCTTGCAATGCTCCCAACTCCGAGTGCTCTTATGTGTTTGATTTCCGTGGGAGGAGTCTCACAGGACTGGGTGGCACTGCCGGCTGACCAAACCACGACCAAGAATTCGATCGTCAATTATTTCTTTCTGCTTGTGAGGGGTCATGTTTTCGTTAGCGGAGGGGCGTCTAATCCGATGCCCGGATACGACAGCGGCTTCTCAGGTTTCTTGGGGTCACGCCTTAGCCCTCCGCCACCCTTGAATACCACCGCAGGACCAAGACCCGTCCGTCGAATTCAGCAGGGCAGACATTTGAGTGGAGCAATGCCATCCAAAAAAGAAAATAAGCAAATTGAGAAATTGCTTGATTCAGGGGTTTACAAGCCGTGCCAAATAGTGACGCACAGGCTTGCGGGCGTGCTAGCAAAAAGGCCGCGTTGCACGCAACTGCCGTAGAGATCAAGTGAGGTGGCCTTTCGTGACAAGTCTGCAGCTTTGTGTGTCTGTCGATCGTCGAACTCGCAATTAGTACTATCCCTTACCAGAATTAGTCCTAACGGATCGAGCCGCAATGGTAGGAAGCTCCTCGTGGAAATGTCTGCTTCGGGGCACTAGAACATTACCCCCGATTTGGAGATTGACACCCCATGGGGAAAAGCAAGATCCCTGGGGAATACCCCAGATTCCAAGACCTCGGATCACCTGCAAGGCAGTGCCGGGCCTCGTCAAGGACCCTGGGAGGCGATGTTAAGTGCGGGGAATGAGAAGGCCACCTGGTCCGGTCGACGCTACTGCGTGGAACAGAGCAGGGTATTTCCATAAGATGGAGGGTGGGACGCGGTCTGGACTTTCTATTCCTGAGGAGCCTCCATTCTTATTTAGACTACAACCCCTCCTCCGGTTCACAAGAAACAGCCCGACTCATGATGACTTCATTGCTCATTGCGGCTGTTGTGGAATCGACGTTTGATTTGATTATAATACAGATTGGAACCCCGGGCCCAAGGGACCTCGAAGCCACCAAATAAAAACGCGAGAAGGTTCCGGTTCCTCCTTGTCACCTCCGTCCTGCTCCATAATATCAGTCATTCGCTTTGATCTAATGTTCAGATAAATCTATCGTCTTGTCTAAGGACTCCTAGGGACGCCAGTGCCCCCAGTGATCTGGGCCCGTTCTTCGACCTCACTCCTGGGTGCCCTTGAATTCCCAGCGCTGGGTGCCCTCGGCGAACGGGACTCCAAGCTCAAACAGCTTGACGACAACATTGCTGAAATCGTTGAAGAAAGCGTCGTTGTCCTTGGCGTACTTCTTCACGTACTCCATGAACTTCTTGTCCTGCACAAGCGCCATGTCGGCAGGAAGCATCATGATCGACTTGGTATCCTTGTCGACGAACTGACGCGGGCCGTCCCACTTCTTCTGCTCCCACTTGGTGTTGACCAGGAAGTTGTAGTAGTCGTTGGTCAGCACCGTGGGGGAGAAGGTCCAGGGCCCATCGAAGCCACTGCGGTCGGTGTGGCACCGTCCAAGGGCGTGTGCCCCGGAAAGAGCGACGATCTCCTGATCGTTGAAGCCCATCCGGTAGAAGATGGAACGGAGGTGGTCCTGCGTCTTGGAACCATCCGGCAGACGACCGTCGGGGGTGCAGGCTGCGATGTCCTTGTCAGAGCGACCAGGTCGGTAGGGAATCCTGGGGCCCAACATCTCTTGGATCGCAGTTACTCCACCTAGGATCCAGAGGTCGGAGTAGGTGATCCAGGGGAACTTGGCTGTAGATGACGGTTAGTGACTCTAAACAAGATACTGTTGGGAACTTAGGCAAGCTTACCCTTCACAGGCTCCAAAAAGTCTCTGGCGTGCTTCAGCCCGGCGTTCGCGCCGTGATCACCCTCAGGAGCGAACCTCATCGTGGCGCCGTTGCTGCCACCAGTCCCGGTCTCCTTATCATAGGTACCGCTCGCATGCCAGGCCAATCGCACGAGAACCGGTCCGTACGAGCCATCATCGTAGTTCTCGTTCTCTTCGAGCCTCGATGCTATCTCATTGTACACCTTCTGATAGTCCTCCTTGGTGGGATTGAAGACCTTGGGTGTGGCAGGGGCGCTGTTTTGGCTCCAGAAATAATATCCGGCACCGCCAGCTGCCGCGGCACCGGCGACCCAGAGCAGAGGGTTGGATGAAGACTTGGGGGGCTCGGAGGAGTAGAAGCGACGGCCGCTCTGGCGGAATGTGCGAGGAGCTACTGTTGCGAAGGTGCTCCGGGTTGTGGTTCGCATCGCCGTGCGGGCGAATTGGCGGGTTGTGGAAGCCATCTGTTTGGTTGTGAAGAGGAAGTTGTCAGCAATGGTAGTTGGCGATGGGGCCTGTTCGATGTCGTGAGGGCAAACAATTGTTGAACGGGCGAAAAGACAACTTACCTCGACCTGGTTAGATGGTACTTTGCGGTTGGTTTTAAACTCGACCAAGGCACAGGAATGAATTCAAACCTCCGAGACTTGGGGCAAGAAGGAAAGAGTCATAAACCAAAGGCCGAGGGTATTCCGGAGAAAATTAATCAGACAGCGTGTATGTATGCATCTACCTGACAGCCCCCCGGTTCTAACGGGTAGCGTGGAAAAGACGGATGGATGGCAAAAGCCACACCTCCTCCGTCTTGTCTCCCGCAAGGGCGAGCGTACGGTACCGTGTGTACTTCCCGTTCCAGGCCTGGATCTGCCCAGGAGAAGAAGGGTAAGACCTCGGGAAGTGACTGCCGGGACAGTAATTGAGCTGGCGTCATTGGCCACAGACCGTGTGTAAGACGTCGAGAGGGCCCACAGATACGGGTCCTGAGTCGGATCCCTGGTGGCCCAGTCCACCAAGAACCTTCTATAATTGCCATCGCGTGGTAAAAAAGTGGGTGCTCCCGAGGATGGGTCCCGTCCAAAACGTCAGACGGCAGGCCCCAGAGGTCGCGGAGTAACTTTGGAAATGATAGATAGCATTGCTGCTCCAATGCCACATACCTAGCAGTCTGCTAGACCCTACACGGAGGTAAGTGGGCGGGAAGTTAAGTCATACACCATTCAGCAGCTGCTTGCTCTCAATGGACGGTACTGTGTAAGCACATGTCTAACAAAACGGTGGCAAGGATTATGCCACCCATGTACCTGTGAACTCATTTATGTAACAAAGGCGTGTCACTTGACTACGTGTAGATTGCTGGCGCCGAGGAGACCCAGGCAAACCTTGGGCGACGCGGCATGGCGACGCGCCGATTTCGGGTCCCTGCTTTGTAATCGACATCTTCGGCTGCGCAAGTAATTCAATCAAACACACACTGGCACTTGGGCTTATCTTCTTGGCTAGGCAGCTAGGCAGGCATGCTTGGATGAGCGCCAGGTCCTCTAATGTTGTAATTTAGGTATTTGGAATTATTCACGTAAAACTTTTCATTGTCTGCGTCACTTAGCGGAGAGCAAATCCCGCTTGCACAGCTGTCCTTGCAACAAGCTTTGAGTGACTCAAGACGTCTGCATGTCGTAGACTTACATAGCATATACCTCTGGTAACCAGAGATTGCATTACTATTCCCCAAACTGCGACTGTTCAACTTGACCCAATCCATGTACGATTTCCTGTTTAGCACGAATTGGCTACCGGGTCACGCCGAAAAGACCCCAACTGGTTTGTGGCAAGACACCATGATCCAAATTGGGTTAAAATGTGCGCGCGGACAACAATCAGAAGCATGGCGTATATTATTTATTCATTCGACCATCTCCATCTTAGTGCAGCCCCGTGTTTCCCACTCGATAAGAATGATATTGCATAGTTAACCGACCTATACTTTGTCAAGAAAGTAAAAGTCCGTCCTACATCCAACTCAGCCCCAAGAGAATCCCTATTGTACAGGACAGAGCGCCGAGAATGCAGTAGCTCTCTTAGTCTTTTTGGTTTGGAAAGAAGAAAATCAACATGTTCGAAAGGGCGAAAAAGGGTATCGGACTTAGTGGAAAGTAGCAGTTCCTTGGGCCTTGGGGTCTGGTTCGACGTAAAGTTCGTAAAAGCTGAAGTACCGAGCCTCGGCCTTCTGCTGCGTGGCCTCATCAAGCTCGCCCAAGGGCACGCCGTTGTCCTTGGCCGCAAACTTGTCCTTAGAGATGGACAGTGGGCTGCGAGAGCGCTTCGTTAGTTTTGGGTTTCATGCTAAGGGTTGCAAAGGTCATTGGATGGACTCACCCAAACATCTCGCGGTCGACCAGAAGGAATTTCTTCATGGAATCCTTGCCGCCACGCTGCTGGAGGTAGTTCAGGTACTTTCCGCAGAGCTGCTTCTTTGTAGCCGCGGACATGCGACTCCGGGCTCGCATTTCGTCAATGACATGCTCGATGCGCTTGCCATGCTCGACTTCCAGCTCGGTGTTCGTTGGCTGCTCGAGCTCAAAGTCCAGCCACTTGCCCCAGAACTCCCGGCTGTCCGAGTACCACTGCACATTCGAGCGGAACACGGTCCGCGCCTCCTCGATCGACCCCTTCACCTTCCATAATAGCAAAGCCCACTCTGTGACAAGGGCAGCCTTGGTATAGAGATCAACTCCAGGTGAGTCAATTTGCGCCTTGTACACATCGATCGCCGCATCAAGGCCACTTTGTCGCCTCTGCAAGTTGGCCCATGAGATGATCGCCTCGACACAGTTTGGTATCTTCATGAGGACTGCCTCGTGGACGGCACGAGCAACATCGACACGGCCGCACGTTTCCTCGAAATAGGCAAACTGTAGTCTGATGCCAGGCCTGCTGATTGGCACGTACAGCGTCACTGCGCGGAGGAAAATGTTGCGGACTTCTTCATCCTTGTTGGGCTGAGCCTGCATCCATCGCGTATACCTGAGCCAGAACTCCTCGTAAAAGGCGCAAGTGACCAAGCACCTTTCGTACAAAGCGGTCACCCTGGTGAAATCGCCTTCGGCCTCCTCAAAGTCTAGGTACTTCCGCCAATTCGCAAGCTGAGAGTGATCCAGTTCCGTGACATGGAAGTACGGCCTCTTGATCTCCGACTCGTAGGTCCAACGCTTTGTCGTCTCCGACTGGGTTGTTTGAAATACGTCATAGAACATGGCATCGATCTTCGCCCTTATATCGCGCTCAATTTCGAGTTCCGACTTGACCACACCGAATGGGGCTGCTTCGGCGTCGACTTCGGCTCGGAAGCGAGTCAGAACCTCCGTCTCGACCACTTCTTCCAGGGGCCTGGAGTGCGAAAGAGTTCGGAATCGCTCGTAGTATCGCGCATATTGGTGCATGGGTACGTGGATAACACGTTTGAGGATCGCATAGATTTTGTCATGAGCCTCTTGCCGCTCTTCGTACTCGATATACTTGTCCCAGAATGGATGCGCCAGGAAGTCGAGTCCCACGTAGGTCGCAGCCCGCTCGAAGAGTCTATCACAGGTCAGTGGGCGAGGATCGGCCATGGGAAGGGGTAGGGCCAGGTAGGGAGGAATGGACAGGATTGCAAATACAAGAAGGGATTGATGTGGCAACAGTAAATCCTCCTCCCGACTAATCGAACAATAGCTCAACGTCTGTGCGACGGGGGAAGCGTGGGGGAAGTTCAGAGCGAATCATGATGATGATGTGTGGCTGTGAAAACAACAGTGCCTGGTAGATTCTGTGAGACGCGATCCCAGCGATAAGTGGTGGCTCTTGGTAATTCTCACCGGAGCCCGACGATACGGTCAATGTCATCTTATCTTGGTGGGATCCGCTGTTTCGCGACGACTCGCTGATTGGTGGACACGTCGATGGCTGGAAGGTTATGGGGAAGGAAAGCAGCCATTTGAACTTACTCTCTCACGAGATGCGCGACATGAGTGGTCTCCATCTTGAAGGAGCAATAATCGGTCCAGAGGTCGACCGAGTTGGTGATGCTCGCGCAGCCTCGCTCGTAGACCATCTCCGCAGACTCTGGGCCCGAAATGTTGAACTCGAGGTCGGCGTACTTCTTCCAGTACCCGAACAGGAGAGGGAACTTGATGAGGAATCGGTCGTACGCATCGCGCAATGTTGCTAGGGCCTGAGGGCTAGAATTTCTGTTGAGACCGCCTTCGAGGCTTTCGCACGCGCGCACCAATTTCTCCCAGGCCTCAAAGCTGTCGGGGTCAGCCTCCTAAGGGAATCATCATGGTTAGCGCGGCCAATGGAGGAGTGATCATTTCTGGACGGCTTGCGACTCACGACCTCGGCGTTGAGCTTTCGAATCTCGGCATTTTCCTCGTCGGAGCCTCCAAAACTTGTGAAATCACCCATTCTGACGTGGTGCTGTGGCGGAAGGCTAGGCTAGGCTGGAAGATGTGAATGCAGTGCTATCTGGCTTTGCCGATGACTCTGATCACTGCCATATGCCTTTGATAAGGCTGATGGATGCGCGGGGATTGTGCTGGCCGCAGGTTGTTGTTGATGGTTCCGGCCAGAGAAAAGGGGGTTGGGGGGGAGGCGGAATGCAGAAAGCAGAAAGCGGCAAGCTTGAAGAGCTGGGAAGATGCGCCTGCAAGTTGAGGAGTTTGCGCCGGGCGGCCCTTGTTCCTAGCTCGTTGTTACTCTACATCTCGCCAAGTCATTCCCACGCAGCCAGCCTGTTTGTGATTGGCTTGTATTTGCTTACCTAATAAGCCTAAAGACAATCGAAAACTCTACCAGCGGATTTTGGGGTCTGATTTCCCTTCTCCCCTCCTCTTTCTACAATCATGAGCTTGTGATGATTTACACAAAACAAACATGATAGGAAGAGGATGAACACCGCCAAAGGCGTGCATGATCTCACTTATCGTATAAAATCTGAAGCTCCTCTCTCCTCCCTTTTCTTTGATCCCCAGGTACATCCCATGCATGATGACCGACCCCCTTTAATCACGAGACATGTCAATTTTCTTATGAGTCTCAACACGGCCTAGATCACACACGAACTACGTCTTGTTGGCAAGAATGGAGTGCCAACTGACTCTCTTCAGTTCCTCGTCACAAGTAGAGAACTCGATTCCATCCAGAGTTGTGGTAACACTTTGCAGTTGTTGGACGGCAATATCGGTGCTTCAAACCAGACAAAGCACACCTAGCTTCATACAGCCCTCTGTGAACATGTTCTCGAAATCCCCTAGAAACGAATTTGCGCTGTCTACGTGCTCAGAAAGCGTACGGGATGGGAACAGCATTCTGTCTGCCCTAGTTCTAGCAATATAGCCAGCCTACTTGTTTGGGGCGAACAAAACAGGTATGTTGTCATGGATCTTTACGGTTTGTGCGTTTCCATTGCAATCATCCTCATCAAGCAATGAAGGCAACGTCCCCCCGGCCCCTAAGGGCACATATTCTCATAGCAAGATCTTGGTCGATGCCATGTTCGTGAACAGCACTTGTGTTTAGCAACTACCGTTGATGCTAGGGAGGGAAGACTTCTTGCAGATAATGTGGTGTGTACCTGAGAAATATGCATACTTGCGTACCTAGCCTTGTTGTCCATACTTTCCAAACACTCTTGAGTGTGGAAAAGCAATAGCAGGCTCAAAGTGGCCTGCTGTGACATGAAGTCGTCTTGAGCCGCATCTGCGGCCCCTCCATACTGCCCCTGTCCCTTCCAAGGCTCGGAAACGGGTTCCACAGGGCTGAACAGCGCTTAGTCCTGGCCTGGCGTCATCGCTGGGCCGAGCAAGCAGTTGGGCAGCCCTGACACCCGTGGACGAGTGGCGATTGGAGATTGACTGCCTGTAAGAAGCTCAGGGTCAGTGTGTGTGTGTTGTGCATGCGCATCTGTGGTCTGGATTTGCATCTTCGCTAGCGCCGCGCGTAGCTGACACCGTCGTTGCTTCGAGATTTCATGTCTACTAAGCCAGTGCAGCGCATGGCTGTCTCTCTTGCCTCCACCTGCCGAACCCAATTCGACCCCAAGCCACCCTCGCCGTGCCTCCGTTTGACCTCAGGCGCTCAGTCTGGCAGGACATGTGGCATCCCCCTGGCGTAACGTAACCTGTTCGTCTCGACGACCGGCAGTGTCCAGCTGAAGCGCCAGCATGGATCCCAACTCCGCTCTCTGGAGCGGCCAGGCGCCCTCCCCTGAGAAGTCGAGCCAGCTCCTAATCCGCGAATATCCTCACCGAGCCATTGCCATCGTCTCCAACGACCACGCCCTCATCTTCCGCCACAGTCCCACCACCAGCGAGTCCATCGCCAATGGCTCCCTCTCCTCTATTCCCTCTGCTCGGCCCCGCGCCGGCACAGGCGCCAGCGCGACCGACAGCTTTGCCTCCAAGTGCATGGTCGAGTTTACCCAAGTCAACAGGAACACCCTCAGCGACTACCGCCCCCTGACCCCGCGGCCGATATACGGGACTCTGGGGCTGATATCGGTCGGCCGCGATGTCTTCCTCTGTGTCATCACACACGCCTCTCGAGTATCGACATTGCGTCCCGGAGAGACCATCGAACGAATCTTGGCTGTCGAGTTCTACGGCCTCAATACCTCCGAGTACGACGATGTATTCTCCGCCATCGATCCCTACGAGCTTGAAATGTCGGACGCCGCTTCCACGTACGGCCAGCCACTCAATAGGAGAGAAGGTATCGAACATCCTTGCGTGGATGTACAGAAGCTTCTGAGCAATGGTAGCTTCTACTATAGCACCGACTTCGACCTGACGAACCGGCTTCAGGACAGGCCTGCGGACGCAAATACCTTCGACATTGACAACTTTGACGAGGGCTTCCTCTGGAATTCATACATGATTAGCCCTCTTGTGCAGTTCCGGTCGCGGCTGATGCCACATGAGAGGGAAACGCTCGACGCATCACGAATATTGACTTCGGCCATACGAGGGTTCTGTTTGACAATGAACATCCCTCAGTTAGCGGCGCCCTTGAAGCCCGCGAGGTCGGGCATGCCCTCCTATTTAACTATAATATCACGTCTTTCCTGCCGACGAGCTGGAACCCGGTTCAACTCGAGGGGCATCGATGACGACGGAAACGTGGCCAATTTTGTAGAGACGGAGACAATCTACTGGAGCCCTTCAGGTGTCCTATTCTCATACGCGCAGGTTCGCGGCTCTGTGCCCGTGTTCTGGGAGCAGGCTGCCGGGCTGCTGCCGGGACAGCAGAAAATCAGCATCACAAGATCGCCTGACGGCACCCAGCCGGCCTTCAATAAGCATTTTCAGGATCTCGAGCACAATTACGGCGCTGTCCACGTCGTTAACCTGCTGAGCGAGTCGAAGCCTGGCGAGGTCGAACTCAGCCAGCTCTACCGCAATGGCATACTACACTGCCCTTTGAGTCGTGCGGGTGAAAAGCATTCCGCGGAACATGCACTCCTGAGGGGGACGGAATACGACTTCCATGCTGAAACGAAAGGGCCGACGGGCTATGAGGCCGCTAGGGGAATACGCCGGTACATTGAGGATTCAGCAGAGGGGTTTGCTTACTATCTCGCGGAGGAGACAGATAGCCCTGGTGAGACCACGAATGGAATGGCCCACACCAACCGGCGCTATGTGGTTGTCCTCCAGCAGGAAGGCGTCTTCAGGACAAATTGCCTCGACTGCTTGGACCGCACGAACTTGATACAGACCCTAATATCACAAATGGCTGTTGAGTCATTTCTTGGTCATCGTGGAGAACGTGCTTCTTCAGACTTTTGGATGAGACACTCAAGCCTTTGGGCTGATAATGGCGATGCCCTATCACGCATTTATGCCGGCACTGGAGCTCTGAAGTCTTCCTTTACCCGTCACGGAAAAATGTCTTTGGCTGGAGCCATTGCAGACGCACGAAAGTCAGCGACCAGGTTATATATCAACAATTTCACTGACAAGCAAAGGCAAAACACTATTGATATGCTGCTCGGCAGGCTCGTGGGCCAGTCACCGGTCTCACTTTACGACCCCATCAACGACTACGTCAACGCAGAGCTCAACAAACGCAGTACACAATTCTCATCCACAGAGAACATCAGAATGTTAGTCGTGGTTGTTCTCATGCTTATGGTGATTTACTGACCTGCCACAGCTGGGTTGGCACATTCAACCTGAATGGACGTACTCACGGCATTGAAGAGGACCTATCTGCTTGGCTGTGTCCCGAAGAGATCGGCGATACACAACCTGAGATTGTTGTAGTCGGCTTTCAGGAGATCGTTGAACTGAGCCCTCAGCAAATTATGAACAGCGACCCTACTAGGAAGCAATTATGGGAGCAAGCTGTGCGGGCGACTCTGAACACCCGAGCTCAAGAAATCGGCGGCGAAAAATACGTTGTCCTACGAAGTGGACAGCTTGTAGGCGCAGCCTTGTGCATCTTCGTGAGGCAATCCGTCCTTTCCAACATCAAAAACGTCGAGGGCTCTGTGAAGAAGACAGGAATGTCCGGCATGGCTGGCAACAAGGGTGCGGTGGCTATCAGGCTAGACTATGCCAACACTCACATATGTTTCGTCACGGCGCACTTGGCGGCCGGCTTTGCCAACTATGATGAGAGGAATAAGGACTATGCCACGATTAGCAATGGATTGCGCTTCCAACGGAATAGGAGCATTGACGATCACGGTAAGACAGAACATTTCGGTAGGGATGGAGACTGCAGCGCTAACGAGCGCGAATAGATACTGTCATCTGGCTTGGTGATTTCAATTATCGGATCGGACTAGGCTGGGAGAGGGCCATGGAGCTTGTTCAAAAGCGAGACTTGGAGCGGCTATATGAAAATGACCAGCTTAACCTACAAATGGTGGCTGGTCTGTCATTTCCCTTCTACTCAGAAGCAAGGATCACATTCATGCCGACATACAAGTTCGACATTGGAACAGATACGTATGATTCCTCTGAGAAAGCCCGCATCCCGGCCTGGACAGACCGCATCCTGCGCAAGGGTCCCAACCTCCGGCAGCTGGCATACAATTGTGCGCCGCTCAGGTTCTCGGATCATCGGCCTGTCTATGCCCTCTTCGACTGTACCGTGAGTATTGTCGACGAATCGCAGCGAGACAAGATCAGTCGTGATGTCTACCTCCGGCGAAAGGCAGAGGTCGGGGATGCCACCGCAAATGTCAACACTGAGGACACAGAAGACGAAGATTTGATTGGCTACGACGCTATAGAACCTGGACTTCCTCCAGCCAGTTCTGATCGCCAAAAATGGTGGTTGGACAACGGGAAACTGGCGCAGTCCTCAATCACTCCTCCAAAAGGCATGGACGGATCGACCTCGACGATCCTCAACCCTAATCGACAACCCAACCCGTTTGTGCCGTCAGACGAGCCTGACTGGGTCACAGTCCCGCGAGCAGACTCCAGGCTATCGTCCTTTTCAAGCATATCTACATCGCCCTACGAACACATCAATCACTCGACTTTGCTAGCATCTTCTGTGTCAAGCACCCCGCCACAAAGAAAATTGCCCCCTCCGTACGACCCCTCAGCCCTGCCTGCCAGAGTGGGAAGACTGGCACTGAACGAGGAGCAACACCCACTACAATTCAAGAAGCTAGATACACCACCAGCACCACCACCGTCAAGAAAACCGTTGACGCAGACGCCATCCTTCCCTCCGCCGCCTAATCAGACTCCTATTCCTAGTATCAACAATCAAGCAAGAAAACAGCCTCCACTGCCGCCACCGCCCCGGTCAGCTTCCACGGTCTCTGCGTCGTCCCAGAAGACAGCCAAAGGCCCGCCGCCAGTCGCCAGGAAACCAGCACACCTGCTCTCGACCTCACCAACTGGGCCCGAGCCAGAAACCTCCCCCTCTACTGAGACCAAAGCCAAACCCATACCGCCTCGACGACCGTCAAGTAGTGTGCATAATGTGTCTCGCTCGGAAATACGTGACAGCCTGCATCGCACTGCGTCCGCGAGAGAGGTTTCTAACCGCAACCATGACCAACCGCCGATGCCTCCACCCCGCAGAGCGGGCACGTCTTCTGTAGCATCGGGCGGCCCTGGCTGGGCACCCCCTGGCGCAGTAGGCCTGGTCGGATTATCCAAGGAGGGCCGTCCTACAGTGCCGCCTAGGAAGCCGGTACCGGGCACGATCTCCCCGACCAGCTCATCAGGTCGATCAGCCCCTCTACCCGCGCCAAAGAAGCCTGCTTTGAGTGCCAGGAGTCCTGTAGTAGATTTGTTGGGTGATGACGGGGCCACCGTTGGAGGCTGGCAAGCCCTGAAGCCTTCTTAGTGGGGGTTGAAGGGCTGAGTGGGCATCAATGGCGCTCTGGGATGGTCAGAAAGACGGCTTCTCTCTTGAGTATGTGAGAAGCCACTAGGGTTCACTTCAACCACCAGCAGGCTTTTTCCCGTCAATCTGAGAGGCTCGGTGAGCTTTGTGTCTCAGGTGTTTTTTTCCGCGAGTGTAGACGCTGGCATCAATAGAATTAGATAATATGGCAACGGGTTCCTTGAACAGGAATATTATACAAGATCAAAGACAGATTCTACGGGCCAAAGGACTAAAGAGTCTGGGCTTCTCGAGTGGCTCTTGGACATTGGCGGCATTGCCTGCTATGACATAGGAGTGCAAGACATAGATCCACAAGAAAAGTCATGAATAGCAGCTTCGTGTCTCCACCCTGCCATCTGGCTTGCTTGATGTTGTCTGGGACTCAGATTGCAGACATGTATGGTCTAGGAACGGAAGTGTAGCTTCACCATCCCTGTTCCGCTGTTCCGCTGGACAGGGGTGCCCTGACGTCGCATTCTTATCTTATCAGAGACTTGATCTTGGAAGCCAAAAAAGTTTCCCAGATCACCGGGAATACAACCGCGTTTGCTCTTTTGGACATTTCAAAACATTCGTATCAATTGCGGTTCAACATGGCGCCTACAAGACCATCAAAGAGGGCAAAAGCCAAGAACCGAAGCCACTCCAAAAAATCCACAGCAGCACCCACGAAACCCGCAAAACAGCTGCTCGCCGAAGCGACCGCCCTCCTCGAACAAGGCGATGCGCCGGGCGCAATCACCACCGCGCGCCAGGCCCTCGACGCGGCCCTGGAGAATGACGACACGCGAGCATGCGCCGCACACATGCTGCTCGGCGAGATCAACGTCGAGATGGGCGAGATCGACGCCGCGCGGGCGCACTTCCTCGACGCCGCGAGGCTGGACGAGGACGGCGCGCTAGCGGAGGAGCTGGGCGGCGGGCCGGAGAAGTTCAACTGGCTGGCGCAGCTGTCGGAGGAGGGCGGCGCGGACTCGGTGCTCTGGTTCGAGAAGGCGGCGGCGTGCCTGCGGGCCCAGATACAGGCGCTCACGGAGGCGGCGGCCGAGGCGAGGAGGAAGGGCAGCGCGCACAGGACGGTCGAGGAGGAGATCGAGAAGGCGGCCACGGAGAAGAAACACAAGCTGTCTGAGACGCTGTGCGCTGTCGCCGAGGTGTACATGACGGATTTGTCGTGGGAGGACGACGCGGAGGCGCGGTGTGAGGCACTCATCACGGAAGCCACGATGCTGGCGCCCGAGTTGCCCGATGCGTGGCAGACGGTCGCGAACGTCAGGGTCAGCCAGAGCAGAAGAGAGGATGCCGTGGCAGCGCTGGAGAGAAGTATGGCGCTGTGGACGGATCTGGAGCCTGAGGACCCCGGAGTGCCTCCGTTCCCATCCAGAGTGGGGCTGACAAGATTATTGATTGAGTGCGACTTACAACAAAAGGCAGTGAAGGTCTGTGAGAGGCTAGTGTTGGACGACGACGGGAGTGTGGAGGCTTGGTATCTCGGTGGGATGGCACATTACACTCTGGGCGAGAAGGGCAAATTAGAGGCGGGCAATACGACAAACGGTGAAAATGGCGCAGAAGCCACGGAAAATTGGAAGAAGGAGTGGGTCAGAGCACGGCAGTGGCTGTCGCAATGTCTGCTACTGTTTGAGGCGCAGGAGTACGAGGACGAGAGGCTGGGAGAGCACGCAAAAGAGCTGCTTGCCACAGTGAATGCAGAAGTGGGCGATCTGCCGGATGAGGATGAGGACGAGGAAGATGGGGCCGGCTGGGAAGATGTTGACGAAGACGGTGACGATGACCACGAGATGGACCAGTCTTGAGCGTCGAATCCTTCTTAAGAGACACAAGGCAATGAACATCGACAAACAACACTTACAAAATCGCCCGGCTTGGAGCAGTGCTCAATAGACGCCATACTGCTCTGCTGGACTCCGAGAGCCCAGGTGTGAGGGAGTTTGGATCACCATTAGCTTGGAGGAGCTCTCCACCACGAGGACGACTTGGTCACTACATCCGGCTTACTGCTCCGATTCTGATTATCATCACATAAAGAACCTATAGCGACTGGCACAACAAACGCCGTAGCAAATACCAGCAATGAGTAAATTTCGTACAGTTCTCTATCGTGCCAAGTATTGTGCTGCTCTCCAGATGGGGAGGGTCTGCTGCAATGTAAGCTCGCTGAGTAGACTAGGACCGAGTACTTCGACTCATGGTGGCCTCGACTATATTGTGATGGCGGCCAGACTGACACCAAGAGAGCTGAGGATACTCAACGCACTGGAAGACTTTGAATCACCCATCAAGGTATAACGCCGACAATTCCATATCTATGCTGTGTCTTCTAAGATGGAGACGACGAGATTTTGAGCTTCGTTGAGCAGCTCAAGGCTGTGGAATTCTGAGAAGGGAAGGTCTACGAGGCTGAAGTGGAAGATGGTGTCGTTACTTCTGTTTGTTTGCTTGTCGTGTACCTGAAGATTGGAAACACACGGATATTGGGGGAAGACAAGTGTTGGATTAAACCTTTGAACGGCGCAAAAGCGATGCGATGATGCTGACCGAGATCTTTGGGTAGAACTGCGTGCCAAGAACACTGAAGTTGTAAAAGACTTGCCAAAAGTTCGGGGCCAGCCACGAATTGAACGCTGACCTCTCGAGACTCACTCGAGGGCATCGCCATCATCGCGTCGCTGCCCACAGTGCGAACCAGATCAGCAAAAGAATGCCAAAAAAAAATTAACGCCCTGCCAACTTAGGTGCTACAGCGCGGCCCTCTTTCGAGTTCTTAGCTACTTCTTTTCAGTGTTATTCCAACCTAGGGCGCAGGTGGGGTTGGCACTGTGTATGGAGGTCATTGGATTTATGCACAGTATCTTCAAGTTTTGTTGGGTGCGTGTGTACCGCTCGACCAACTCGCCCCTCGCTGTACTACCTCACTCGTTGAAGAATGGGAGATTCGGCCAGACTATAAGCTGGGATGAAGTCCAAGTAGCCCTCCTAGCGGTGGCACCCTGCCGCTGGATTCAAGGCCACCATGGGCCGTAGCCTCCCTCCAGCGCATGCTGCACACTGAATCCCATCCAGCACCCTTCAGGCATGTAAGATCGTGTAAGCAGCTGTCCTTGACAGCCCTGCCTAAGTCCATGCACGCCCTGGTCACGCATTTAAGAGCAACGAGTATGCAGACAGCCCGTCTTGGAGATACATGATAGCGACTGGAGCACCTCCTGTAATCCAAGCACCGTAAGGAATTGAAGAAAGCTCAGTACTCACTGAGCGTCTCATTCTCATCTCATGAAGCTGATACTTTGAGCTTCGCCAGATCCTCTGCGGTCGCATCATCGTCTCCGTCCTCAATCTCCTCACCCTTTGCGAGACCGCTCTCCCAGAGCTGCCTCCCTGACATCCTAGTAGGTTCTTTTATCCTAGCCTTCTTCATCTCGGCCAATCTGTCGTCTTCCTCCTTTTGCCTCTGCTCTTCCATCTCCTTCAAGAAGCCCTCCCTCCACTTGAGGAACGACTCCCTCGTCACTGCAGCTCCCTGGAACTTCTCATTTTCCTTCCGCTCTGCCTCCTGAGCCGCCTCCTCGTGCACCTTCGCCTCGGCCTCTCTCGCCCGTATGGCCACCTGCTCTGCTTCCTCCTTCAATGTCGTAACAAGTGTAAACACCATCGCCATACCGATGTTTTCCTCAATTACTGGCTCCAGACTCTTGAGAAGCTCATCCTTAGCCTCTGCAATGTTGAAGAAAGGGTGCTTGTTCTCGCCGTCGTCGGCGGAGAGGTCGAGGTACGGGGCTTTGTCCGGGTAATCCTCGGGATAGCGTACTGTGAGCGCAATCACCGGCTGCTCATTTTCTTCGTCGTCGGGGATGTCGAGCGTTATTGCTATTCGATACTCTGTCTCAGAAATGTCTAGGAGCCAAGGTCAGCGCATGCACTCGCGCGGGTGCGGATACATAAATGTCACCTGTGATTTCATCCGGGAAGATCGAATCCAGCACCTCGCGCTCTTCTATTTGCTCTTCACGGCCCATCTTGTGTGCTTTGCTTTGGGGGCGGACTAGCAGGATTGTCGCGCATCAAATTGTTTCCGCTTAGACTTTGTGAGGTTTGAGTTGAAGAGTTGAGGTTGACGTACGGTACATAGTGGGGTCTGACCTACCTTATCGAGGAGGAGCTCTTAGACGATAAGAGTACACCGCCCAAATTTATTGAACAGGGGTCTGGACGGCAGAATCCAATCTCTCTAGAAAATTTCCCTCCAGCCTAGGACAATCCAACTTTAGATTCCCATTCCGACCATCCACCAAAAGCACTCACATCGGCAAACAAACAATGGCCACTAAAAGCTCTAAAGCCGGCGACAAACGCAAGGCGGTCGAAGTACCCGAAAAGAAAGTCAAGAAGTCCGAAGGGAGGAAAGAAGGCCCTGATTCGACAAGGAAGCTTTTCAGGAACGAGGACGCCTCAGACGATAGCGATGATGACTTATCCGATGGCGAGGATGGCGGTGCTGAGCTTCCTGTGAAGAAGAAGTCCAAGCATGCCAAAGATTCAGCAAAATCTGAAAGCAGCGGAGTGACTGACAAAAAGCAGCATGAGCGAGGTCAGTCCTGGATTAGTGCTTTGACTTGAACCTTTCAGTACTGATTGATGCTTATTAGGCGGCGAGACCTCGAGAGAATCACACATCAAACAGAAGCAGCTTGCCAAGGAACGAAAGGCTGCCCGCCCTCTCGCCGAGGAGCTGCAGAGGACCAAGAAGATCTGGGAGCGACTACGACGGAAGTCTCACGTGCCGAAGGAAGAGAGAGAGAAATTGGTCGATGAACTGTTCGAGATCATCACGGGCCGTGTCAAGGACTTTGTACTGAAGCACGACGCTGTGCGTGCTGTTCAGACTGCGCTCAAATATGCGAAGACGGAACAGCGCAAAACGATTACGAAAGAGCTTCAGGGTACCTACGCCCAGCTGGCCGAGAGCAGATATGCCAAGTTCCTCATTGGCAAGATGTTGGTTCAGAACGACCCGGAGATCCGGGATATGATCATCCCTGAGTTCTATGGCAAGGTCAGGAAGCTTATCAACCACCCTGAAGCTGGCTGGATTCTCGATGATATCTACCGTGGTGTCGCATCCAAGGAACAAAAAGCGATCATCTTGCGGGAGTGGTATGGTCCTGAATTCTCTCTCTTCAGGAAGGATGGCGACAAGACAGAAACGGCGGAACTGTCCCAGATCCTGGAAGAGAATCCTGAGAAACGTGGCCCTATCATCAAGAATCTTATGGGTATGATCGATCAGCTTCTCCAAAAGAAGATGAACGGTTTCACCATGCTCCACGACGCCATGTTGCAGTGCTTCCTGAATCTGAAGGCTGGGAGTGAGGAGCAGACGGAATTTGTTCAGAAGATCAAGGACGACGAAACAGGAGACCTGCTGAAAAATATGGCTTTCACCAAATCCGGTTCAAGACTCGCCTGCCTCCTCCTAGCTAACGGAAACGCCAAAGACAGGAAACAGTATCTTAGGTTGTACAAGGATACCTTCGAAGCAATGGCCGGCGATCAGTTTGGGCACCGGGTTATACTCACAGCCTATGATGTGATAGACGACACTGTGCTCACGTCCAAGACAATTTTCCCCGAGGTTTTGGGCAAGAATGAGGAGAAACATAACGTCATCTTTGGAGCCAACGATCTCAATGCGAGGATCACCCTTCTCTATCCGTTCGAGGGCACCTCCAAGGCACTGTTTCCTCTTAGTCATCAGGCAGATCTGGACATTCTCAGAGAGATCCACGAGATTCGACAGTCCACCAGCAAAAAGGACTCCGAGGTACGGCGCAAGGAGTTGGTCACTGCAATGTCACCGGCTTTGTTGGAAGCCATCGCGACGTCCGCAAAAGATCTCATCTCGACCTCATTTGGCAGCCAGTTCGTGGCAGACGTGTTGCTAGGCGCAGTTGGAGACAAGACCTCGGCCTTGCAAGCAGTCGCTGAAGCAGCTGCAGGCGATCCGTCGGCATCAGAAGACACTGAAGGGATCTATTCTTCAGTGTACCAGCATCCGGCGCAGACGGCTTGGGCGGAAAGGATGTACAAGACGCTAATCCAAGGCGGGCGTTTTGATAAGGCAACCAAGAGTATCAAGTTGGTAGAGCCTCCTCTGGACTTCGCAAACGTACTGTACCCGGTCATCAAGGATCACATAGTGGCTTGGTCCACCGGACGAAGCGCCTTCGTTATTGTGGCACTCCTGGAATCGGAGAGTTTCTCTCAGAAGGAGAAAATCAGAAAGGTGCTCAAGAAGCACAAGGCGGAGCTCGAGAAGGCCGCAACCACTCCTGTAATCAAACCTGATGCGGGGAAAGATGCCGAGAGCCAAGGAGCAGGCAAGCAGAAGAAGGGTCGACAAGGGAAGAAGCCGCCATCAGCTGGTGGAAACTCAGGGTCAAGGATTTTGCTGGAGAAGCTTTGAAACTTTGAGCCTATAAAGCCAGAGAAGCACGCGCATACACAGGGGTAGTTGGCAGGCAATCATATACTGAAGCGGCCTCCATCTCAACTATAATGAGGACACGCATCGCATGAACGGGATCCGGCCGAGAGATGTGCGGGTTTTGACGAACCATGGGGCCGAGCTGCTGGATCGGTGCGGCTCGTCACACTGATTCGAAGACTGGCCCCGCGATGTAACCGTGACGGCAAGGCATTCCGAAAAAGGGATGGGGTGAGGCTGAAGGTAGGGGCATGGTTCACCCATGTTTGGTCCGATTAGATCAGATCTTGACAGCCCGCGGAGGGCGTCACAGGGACCGGGGCGTGAGCAAACAGCAGACTCAGGCCTGGGGAATGAAACTACGATATGCGTATCATCCACCCTGCATCGAACCGTGGAACTGGGGGCAGATCACGGATCCAATTGGTGCTCGGCTGAATACAACACTCGTGATAATACCCTTTTTGAGAGCGTCAGTCGCGAGCTAGTCTCCCTGTCACCGGCATGAGCCTAAACATGCTTCCAAAATGAGATCTCTAGTATAGGAACAGGGTTGCGCTCGTGACAGATCTACTTCATCTGCAGGTGACACGATTTGAGATGGTGACTGACGTGTAGGTCAAACTCAGTTCTGGGGGCTCGGAGGAGCTGCTCTCGAAACATGTGAGCTTCAGCAAATACCTAGCCGTCCCGAACCGAAGGGACCGACAAGACGTCTACCAAAATTGTACCCCAGTTGAATGTCGTCTGATCAAGGATGGACTGTCAAAAGATCACAGAAGAATCCGGCGCAGCACATCGATTTGCCGGCAGATATCCGCAGCATGGCGCCCAGGGACGACGAATAGCACCTCAAAGTGGACGCTTTTCTCTCATGTCCAACCAAGACCCTTCGTCTCTTCTATGAGGCAGCCAGGCTTTAGATTGATTTTCGTAATGACCCGTGGATGAACTTGTCTTGGATATTCCTCAATCGGGCGAGCGTCTGATATCTGAAGTTTCGTCACTTCCTGATTGGGACCGCGTCGCGATTCTCCATGACCGACTGTCATCGACACGCTTCTCTGGGAGATCTCTTACTTTGCCCCCTCTGCTCAACCCTATTCTTGACAGCAGCTTGGCTTGCCTTATAAGACTCTGACAGAATCACTCACCCTCACAGCTTCGCCGCCAAGAACACCACCTCGTCGTGACCAAGCAACACATGTCGACTATGGGTTCTTCCTTGCTTCCTCGTAGCTTGTCCACTCTGGACTCGGGGTGCGCAGCTGGCTATCGGTTCTACGCCTGCGCAGCAAATAGATTCGTGGGCTGTTGTTCTATCGACCCTTGCGGGTTATCGAATGCTTGCCCTTTGGGCAATAGGCCAGTGCTTTCGACATCGTCCAACAGGCCTGTGGTAACACCAGAGCCAACACCACGACCATACTCCACGAATGTCGCAATCTTCTCAAATCTGTCGACTTCCCGGACCGTTACTGTCGTCATACCCACGACACCTTTACCCTCGCCAACAACAACCACCGCTACCATTTCCACCATCTTCTCTTTACCACCCTCATCATTGCCCAGCTCCTCCTCGTCCTCCTCATCCTCCTCCAAGCAGTTCAATCCAGTCGGGCTCATAGTCGGTCTTACCGTCGGTTTCACAATTCTTGCCATCATGAGCGCCATCATGATTTACCTGGTTTGGCGCCGCCGACAGCCGAAGGATGTCACCGATGAAGAGCCTATCCTTCCGACCAGAAGCATGAGGACGACGGCGTTCTATTTCCCACAGAAGCAATCAAATTCCCTGATACTGGCATCGCCCAACATGGACAAGCCGATGCCACCAGCACCGACCTCCCCTCGCCCGTGGCGGGAGTCCTTCGCCGACGCAGGCCTGTCAAACCAATCCAGCGACGGGAGGACCACTAGAACCTCCAACATGGCAGCGCCAGCTCCTACAGTATGGAGGCACGCTCGCGGAGGCCTGCTGAGCCGCCCACGCGCGGACTCGGCGGAGGCCAGGGGCAAGGCTTCGAAGGAGCCCGCGCCAGCTGGGGGACAGGGCGCACGTCCGGCCAGCAGATCAGCTTCGCCCGTGGACTCGATCTTCGACGTCCCCCAGAGACGGACGACGTTGGAGCTGGACGCCTCGTGGGCGGTTTTCAGAGAGGGTCAGGCTGCGTTCCACGGGCTGTCTGCACCACCGCGCAGCCGTGACGGCTCACGGCCTGGCTCAAATAGCAATCAAGGGGGATGATCTGGCGATGGTTGGCACCTGTGGAGGATTAGCATGGGGGAACCGGCAGCCCCTAATCACACATTGTAGTGACTAATAGGCTGGGCGTCAAGCATTCTTTGGAGTTGGGGTCTGGCTGCAGGGCAAAAGGGTGGGATCAGGAAAGGGCGACGCCCAAATGGCTGCTTTGATGCTCCTCGTTGGGAACTGCAGACTCAAACGGGCGTTGGATTGGATACCAAGGAAGAGGAGCCGGATAGCCAAGATACCTAATCGAGCCATTGAGCCGCGTCTTCTCACAGATTTCCCGCCAAATGCAACGGTGATAGAACGAGACACCGAAGATCAGTATCCTGAATGGTGAGAGACAGTATACTTCGCGTGAATCCCGGGCTCAGTGGAGCAAGGTTAGTTACAGCGATAAGGGGTCCAAAGATGACAAGACACTGTTTCCAAACCATGCTGTGACTTTGGAGCAAGTGAGGGCAGCGGGGGATCATGGAGTCAATGGCTGCAGTTGCCATCAGCAAGTGTCCCAGTGCAAATGTCGCGATAAATTCTTTTTACGTGCTCTGGGGTGTCGGTCGAGGGTCCATTTTGGTCTTTTCCCGCCTCCGCCTCGTCTCGGGGTATAGAACATAACAAGAAGAGAAAGTTAAGGAGAAATATAACCGCAAATGACTTGATCTGCCCTCACCCTTGACGCCGGCCTATGCTTCAAATTCCTTGTTGTGTAAAAAGCAGAGCTTGCTGTCAATCAGTCTAGCTGCCCTTTTCCCCTTACCGTAACCGTTGTCTTTTTCAACCTTTGTCGTCCAAGTCACCACTCCCTCGGTCGCCTTTTGCTCGCGTCACCCTACCTTGCTGAATTCTGTCCAACAGCGGTTCTGTCTTACCTGCAAGCCCGCGGCTGGCCATACCGGGGCCTCGGCGCCCTCTCATACCGTAATCCACCCCCAACTAGCTCCGTAAGACCTGTGGCAAGCACTTCGCAAGTAAAGCCTCTTGATGGGCCCATTTGTCCAACTACCCCTGCAGCTTAGCCATCTGGTCAAGTAGGTCTTGGAGGACATCATCATCGATCTTGTTCGCGAGGGACGGGATCAAGGTCTTGGCCTCCTCAGCACTGTCGCAGCAAAGCGAACCTAGTAGTAAAGCGCATCAGCACACGTGTTCCCTCTCATCATAATCTCCCCTTGCCTCCGCAAATCAAGCCGGTCAGCCCATACCGATCTGCGCCCGCTCGAACTTGTTCAGGTTCTTGTGCGAGCTGAGCAGGCGCTCGACGGCCTCGACGTTCTCCTTCTGCTTGAAGCGGGCGAAGGCGTCGAGGTAGTCGACGGTCTGGGCCAGGATCTCGGTCTCCTGGAAGCCCTTGCGGTCGTTGCGACGCTTTGCGACCAGCGCGTTGATGACGAGCGACGCCTCGGACAGCGTGAGCGTGTCGACGTCTTGGAACTCGCCGAGGATGACGTTGGTGCTGACGTCCTCATCACCCGGTGGCAGGGGCTTGGGGCGCGATGTCTGGGGGCGACGCGGTCGAGGGTGCTGCTCCATGACGGCGGTAGACGCGCTGTTCGTCGGCGTGGGGAGGAAAGGGAGGTTGAGCTTGGTGATGGAGGTGGGAGGGCGTGCAGACCCCAGGTGCCCGAGAGGTGAGAGTAGACGTCACTCGGGACAGCAGTAACACAATGTCAATGCCAGCGCTGATGAAAGACAACTTGTACAGTATCGCCTGTTTGCTCAGCGTGGCCGCAATTGGCTTGTTGATGGCTGTCTTTCAATCGCAATCGGGATGGCAGCAGGTGGGAAAACGGGAATTTGAGGCTCTAGGCGGGAGGCCAATTTAGCGTGCTTTCAGTGAAGGCCACTGCAGGTACCTAGAGAGAAGTACCACGCTTGGAGTCTCACCCGCGGAAGTACCGTTTGATAAGCACTTGCTATGTCTCAATACTGCACTCCATCTCACCAACCATCTGTTTGTCCTCATACAAGTCCTTTCCAAGATATTTAAGTCTTTGAGTTCACCCTTTTTCTTCCTCCACATTCGCTTTTCAGGGATCAGATCAAGTCCCGCTTACAGGAGAGCATCCGCACACCCCTTTTATGAGCCAGCTGTCCAGAAGCTTCACTCACATGCTCGGGGTTGGCCGGGGACCCGTTTGCCCAATATGTGAGGATCTCAGAGATCAATCCCGCTCGCCCAACAACTGACAGTATACAGGACTGTCTTTGCTCTCATGATCATCAACAAGGCAGGTGGCCTCATCTTCAACCGGACGTTCCAAGAGGGCGGGCTCAACCAGCTCAGCTCAAACGACTATCTAGTCATAGCAGGAACGTTCCACGGGTACGAATGAGTTGATCCCCTGGATCGCAACGCGACGCAGTCATTGACCATGTGAGCGATAGTGTCCACGCCATCACAACCCGTCTCAACCCTGTCAAGCAGCCCGCGCCGCCTCCATCTGTAAATGGGATTCCCACTCGGCCGGAACCTGCATCTGGGCTCGAGGTCATGGAGACGGAGAACTTCCGCCTGCAGTGCTTCAACACCATGACTGGCACCAAGTTCCTCTTGTTCACTGACAACACGCAGGCGAATGTGGATGTGACCACGAGGCGGATCTACGAGCTGTACTCGGATTATGTCATGAAGAACCCCTTCTACCAGCTGGAGATGCCCATCCGGTGTGAGATGTTTGACAGGAAGCTGAATTCCTACATCAGAGAGATCAACAACCGGTAATTCACAGCAACATGTCAGGTTAGACAGTTGAAACTGCGAAGATATTGGGAGACGGCGTTGGTGGAGTCTATGATTTGCGGCAATACAGACGTTTTGGTAACAAGTCAAATCGAATTAGAATACCCCCTGAACAAATTAATTCTCATTCATGTCTACTCTTGTACATTGTGCCTTGTTGACACTTTGAGGCTGTTTTCAGGCAGAATTCATTTGCCAGCTCATCCGCTGATGTCTACGTCTTATGCCGGTCGGCTCATAATCTAGGCGCCTTTCCTCTAAGCAAGCCCAAGTCTGACAACAAAGGCAGATCAAGAGGTGTCCATCTTATCGCCACTCTTGTCTCCGTCCTTCTTGTCGTCTCTGGAACCCGAACCACTCCCGCTTCCACTCGGCTCGCCATTCTTGTCCAAAAGCGGCTTTGACGACTCGTCCTCCTCTTTCACCGAGTCCAACGATGCCTTTTGCGCCGCGTCAGCCTCCTCTCGTGCTTGCCTGTCCCTCCGGGCCTGTTCCTCCTCCATAGACATCCGCAGCGCGAGCGCCAGCTCAGGGTCGTTGTTGGGGTCGAAGCCGAATTCTCCAAAGTCACCGCCGCCCTCGCCGCTAGCTCCGGCGCCACCTGCCGCACCTTCCCCGTGCATTATAGGCGAGCTGACAAGTTGGTCACTGAGGAGACCGGTGCCTGCGGGGATGGTGACGAGGTGGGAGCCCTCGCCGGATTTTACATGCTCATTGAACTTGGCGAGCTTTTCGTGTGTCTCACTGCCCTCCATCTCGCCGAAAAGGACAAAGTCAACCGAGGTGTTGACCTTCTTGAGCTTCTTGGCCAGGGTCGTGAGGGTCTTCTCTGAGTCTTTGGTGGGCGAGCAGACGAAGGCGACGATGCGTTGCCGTTGGGTCTTGTTCTGTCGGTGCTTCAACGCGAGCTGTAATTCAATGCGGTCAGCTCAATCTTCTCGGGAGCCTCATTTGAGCTGTAGCGGGAACAAGGGTAGATAGCACATACACTTGCGACTTGAATACCAGTTGCTAGGTTGGCCTCCCCACCTATCTTCTTCTGCGTCCTGTGCAGGCCCTCGAGGATGCGGCCTTGCTCCGTGGTCAATGTGCTGAGCACCTCTGGGCCCTTGCCACCCATGCTCATAAGACCGACCGAGGACTCCGGGTTGCTCGTGGTGATGGACTGGAAGAGGATGTTGACGGCATCTCGTTGCGCACCAAATCGGTTGGGGGCATAGTCTCCGTTGCGACTGCTTTCGCTGTTGTCGACCACGATCATAACCGCTTCGAGGACCATCTTGACTGTGTGATGCGGCGTTGGGAACTACGCCGAGGTCTGGTCGTAAATGTAGTGAGTCTTTAGTTCGAGGTTGACTAGGCGACAAGATGTCTGCAAATGGGTTCAACAATCAACGATGGGTGACGCGGCGAGTGAAATGCACAAGGAGAGGCCAGAGGTCTGTGATGGGATGTGGTTCAGGGTAGGGAAGGAAGCTGGCCATCAATTCGTAAGTCGGGTTCAGCCTGTCTGGCGTCACAGGCGTCGGCAGGCAGCGAGGACCAAGCTCGAGGCCCACCTTTTCCCTTAGCGCATCAGCTCCCCTGTCTGTTCTGCATGGTGGGTTAAGCTGAAGCTCCACGCCTTTTGTTTACTTTGTTTCCTAATAGTGCAGCATCTCAACCCCAATCCGCAATTGTATCAACACTGCAAACATCCCGACCGCACCCGCATAACCTCGTTCCCGTTGTTTCAACAACGCCCATTCAGAGCCCGAGGGATTAAAAAAAATGACACCCACTCGACGCACGAAGGGTTCGTCGGGTGAGTCTGCGTCGGCCGCCGACCAGGTCGAGATCGCGCAGAGCGCGCCGGAACAGGGAATCGCGACCATACCAGGTAGCTCTTCTGCTGCTCAAGAGAGCCCGCGCAAGAAACAAAGAACAGGTATCTCAATGAACCAAAAACAGGCGCTCATTGACAACCTCCAACTCGAGAGTATGTAATCGCGTCCCAACATTCACCGCGCTCAGGGGATGATTCTAACGCGTCAATAGTCAGCGAACGCGCCCGGAAACTTCGCGCGCAGTACAACCTCCAGGCACAGGGCCTTCGGACAAGAATCGAGATTCGCGTCAATCGCATTCCCATGGCGTTGAGGAAATCAAAGATGGGAGACCTTGCAGACAAACATCAGAACGGTCAGCATCCTCAACTGTCGAGGCCAACCCCTTCCGCTTTCCCATCCTCTGTTTCCCGTCCACCTCCAGTCCCAGCAAAAGACCCCCCTGGATCTCGCCCAAGCTCGCAAACGACCTCTCACACTACCACCACAACTAAACGAGGACCTGGACGGCCGCCAAAGCGAACTAGGTACAGGAATTTCTCCTGATTGAGTATGAGTACGCGCGCTAACTTGCAAAGTGATCAAATATCGGGGGCTGGCAAGGAGAACGAAACCGAGTCCGCAGAGCTAGAGCAGCCCAAGAAGAGGACTCGTGCTCAACCGCCTCAAGGGGAGTCGACAAAGGCGTCTAGGGTGCTCTCCCCGGCATCATCAAATATTCGCACACTTCCTCGCACTACGCCTGGTGGTAAGGCGGCCATGACGCGGCCTGGCCTCAACACTGTGGCTGGCGCGTCCTCGCCTGTCAAGCAGCACAGCTCTTCCAACCTCTTTAGCAACCTCGCAGAGAAGGCCCGGTCAACACGCACAGCTGCCGCGGGGCGGAAGCAGACTGCGTCTACCTCCACTACTGCGAGTTCAGCTGGTGGATCGGCAAGAGGGAGGAAAGCGGCACAAGGAGCCGGTGCGACCACGAGTGCGACGGCGTCCAAGACTGCGCGGAGAGTTAGTGGCATCAGCGAGTCTAGTGAGAGCAGCACATCGACGGTTGTCAAGAAGGGTTCGGCACGGGCCGCTCAGGATGCGACGAAGGACACAGCGCCCGCACCGTCAACGAAGAGAACGGTTATGGGCACGATTAGGAGAGGCATGACTGGTACAGGAGCGACCAAGAAGGCGGCAGCTGCAAAGTCAACGAAGACGCCTGCTTCCGCAGCCACTGGTAGAGTTCTAAGGAATAGAAGTTGAACGCATCGAAGACTGGGTTGCGCCGGTGAGGGAGGGATGATACCACAAGGAATCACATTTTCTATAGGCGTGGGATAGCCAGGGACAGCGGGGTGTTTAGGACGGCGTTGAATCATTGGAATTGTTTGAGGCTTTTGCGACATTTGCCCACTTCACGGTTGCCGGTCTGTAGTCTCCTGCAAGAATCACACAAGGGCGTTACCGACTCAATGAGGGTGCCTATGTGTATGTGCGTGTTTGCGGACTCGTTGAATCTCGTTTTTTGGCTCGCGATTGGCCATACCCTGCTGCTGCTGCTGCTGCTGCTGCCGCCGCCGCCGCCTATGCAGCGCTCGCCGACTTCTTCTTCTTGTCATCGACAAACTCGATGTTGTCCTCGGGTATTTGCTTGTACTTCTCGTTCAAGAACTCCTCGATCTCGTCGCTCACGTCGCCCTGCACCACGATCTCCTCACCGCCCGACGGCGTCTTGGTCACGCTGGATCCGGTGGCAAATTTCTTGCCGAACTCCTTGGCGACCTTCTTGAGGTCCAGGTCGAAGGCCTCGAGCCCCGACACGGCCGTGACGTACTTGCGCTTGTTCCGCTCGATGCGCTTGATGGTGACCGTGCTCGCGGCGCGCTTGTCGGCCTGCTTCTGCTCGGCGGCCTCGGCCTTTGCCGTCTTCTTGAGGGCGTCTTTCTCGGCGCGCTTCTGGGCTTCGACCGAGAGGTCGGCTGTGGAGGCTGCTAGGGCTTCTGTGTGTTGGAAGCTGCGAGGTTAGGCTGCTGTCTGCTGTCGATAATGGTAGAAGTATGGGGTGCGGGTTGCTCGTACCGGGTGACCATATCGCCTCGTACAAGTCCTTGTGGTTCTTCTGAAGCCAGTCCTGGCACTTCTTTACTGTGCCTCCATATTCACAGTACTCTGGGGGGAGGGTGCAGACTGTTGCACATCGTGTTAGCCATGGGTGGGGGGGCCATATATGAAGGACGGACGCGAGGTGGTGGGCTGTTGACGTACCACCACAATATAATACTTTCAAAGCTTGTGGCTCAGCCGGTGCAGTCTCGGCGTCAGCCATAGCAACAGCAAACAGAGTTTGATTGAAGAGAAGACTCTTCTAAAGGCTGTGGGATTTAGAGGTCGTGTGCTGTGTTCTGGTGGGGAGCTTGTGCTGCGATGCAAGGCGACTTTACGGTGTTGATGATTGAGGGGTTGCTCTCTCTCATTTGCCCCACCATCACTGACTGAGAATGAGTGACAGAGCAAATGGCGGGGTGAGTGCCGCTTGCCGCTGCAGCCATGTGCGTCACTCGCTGCCCGCAAAGCGACCGGGTGAAGGTGGAAATAAGCTTAGGATCACTACTTCGCCTCCACACTTCGATGATCATCTCTGCCAGCTCTATTCCCTCTCTCAAGCCATGACCCTCTTGTTTCCTCGGCCCTATGCAACTGTCTAGTTCTCGTCTTCAAGCTATGATGGTCTGGAGAGTCTGTGTCACATTCCTGAACAAAATTGCATTTCAAATCTTTAGAATCCATAGAGTACAGGCCAGCTTATAGTTTTGCCATCTGTTACAGAATGAATCTGGAACCTAAATACTTTTAAGTATTACAACCAAAGGACTGCATTACCATTGACAGGCAATATAAGAATGAGTTTCGTTTATAAAGCCCAATCATATTAATGAATCCTAAATAGAAATCAGATTGAAAACATACAATAGATAATAATATTATACCTTATATTGAAAAGTTAATTTTTAAGCCTCTTTATCATATTTTACTATCTATCAAGTCCCCTGCTAAATCAAGGTCCAAATGGTATTTTGATGCAGTTCCTACCATCCACCCGAAAGATAGGATCCAGGGACAGTCTTCTCACTTCAACAATCACTGTTGGCCAGCAAGTCTTGCATCTTTCCTTTACAAATGCCTTCTAGCCAGGTCCTAGCAAGTACGCCACTCAAAGACAAGACCCTCTGTGACTCCATTTCTCAGCACTGGTTGAGGTACTAGCGGTCGGGTAATGCAGCCCTCATGTCACAGACTCAACCTTGAGGAACAGGTCAGGTCTTAGCAAAAAAACCCTTTAAAAAAACCCTTAAAAAAAAACCAGTCGAGAGGCTCAGAATTAAGGAGCATCATTGTCGGCTTCTGTTACTGTGCCTTGATCTCAAAACCCGTATCGATGTTCTACATGTAACTCAGACTTGCAGAAGACAATCGTCAATTCGGGCGTCTCAAAAGATGCGCCTCCGTATTGAGCACGTAGTCGTCTAGACTAACAACATCCGGGGGCGAGAAAATTAAGTAGAAATACTTAAGCGTCTCAGATGTCCAGAAGCTCTGTAGATGGCAGCCTGTCAGCTTATGTTCCCGCAGCCACTGTTTTCTCGAAACAAGCTTACTTCCATAGAGTCCATCTTATCCGTATCTCCGTGAGCCGTCACGTCAGAGATGGCCGAGTACGCAATTGGCGTCTCAGTCGCGTTGACAATGCTCTGGAACATTTCCCACGCTATATCGCGAAGCTCCTCCCGCCCTGTGACTCTGTACGCATAGAAAATGCTCTCGATAGCCTCGGGTCGCAGGACGTACCTCCTGTCACGGGCATGCTGGATTCCTTTGATGTTCAACGACTGATCGCCCTCCTCGTCCCAGAGCTTCTCGTCCCACTGACAGGGCTCCTTTGATGGACACGATAGCAGACCAAATATCTCGGGCATGAGACCCGTAGGAAACGCGCTATAGGCCCAGGCACACCCACGCGCAATTCGCATCCCGATCTCGACATGATCGTTTAAATCAAAGATCTTGCCCCCGAGAATGTACATGCCTCCCGCGAAACAAGCAAGATGCTGGGTTTCGGGGTTGCGTTGGACCTGGCCGTTTCCGGCTACTGTTGCGTCACCTGCGAAGAGGACATCCACTTGGTCCGGGAGCATGGGGCGGAAGATGATGTGTTGGGTAGCTGTGTCAATGGCTTTCCTGTACATGAGTTCGTACGAACGTTCCAAACCACCTGTCAGGATGTGCATTTTGGGGAGATACTCGTAAAGTGAGTCGGCGAGTGCGCCGAGGGTGAAGGTATCCCCGTTCGCTGCTTCGTGGCGGAAGTCCAGCGTGGTCGGCCACATTCCGGGCAGTCTTGTGTGGTCCTGACTGCGGACGAGGAACTGTCGCACTCGGTCGATAGCGTCATAATATTTGTCATTACCCGTGAGCTGGGCCAGTCTCGTAAATTCGAGGCTGAGGGATGAGGGCGAGGCGCTGGGGTCATTTGTGCCCGCAAGCAACCGACCATTCAATGCCTCCTCGAAGTTGAGCCAGAAACCTGGAAGGCGATTTGGTGTATCAAATCCCCTATCTAAAATTAGTGGCTTGGTTCAATTGGGTCGGGAGGACAATGTTTGGGAAGTTTAAATGGAGACTGCGTAGATTTAATTAGACGAACGATATTCCTAGGGCTCGTGGCAGCAGAGATCCAAGAGCACACGAGAGCGGCTATCGTTCGTTTTTAAAACAGCTGACAGTGACGGTAATTGCTGAGAGAAAACGCACATGTACAACATATCGCCGAGCTCCCGGGCCTTCTCGAGCAGCGCGAGCTCCCCGCTGAGATCGTGTGCACTGAGCAGGCCGCCGAGGTAACGAATGGTTGTCTCGAACATGTTTGCACTGGTTTGTTCGGTTTTAGCCCAGTCGAGCCGTGTTGCGGCCTCGGCAGCCTCATAGAAGTCCTCGTACAGACCGAAGATCCAAAGACTGTCAAGACTATCAACCAAAGTGGCAGCCCAACCTCTTACAAATCGTGTGAATTAGTCACGGCGGCTGGTACGAGGGCTTGAGTCTTGGGAGTAAATACCCGAAGGTGTTCTTGCCTCCACCTGACACAGGCTTCAACTCATCCCACAGCCAAGCCTCATGCTTGTATGCATTCCATGAGCGCAGGAAGGCTCGTTTGACCGCGTCCCTGCGGTCAGCATTGATCTTGCCTTGCTCTCTTGACGGATATTTAAATTCATATTGGACGCGAGGTAGTTTCTTCACGTTCCCTTCGGGCAGAGCGGTGATTTTGCCTGGCGGAAAGTGAAGGTTGGCCTCTGTCCAGTTGAAACTGGACGGGACAAACCGGACTCGCCTCGCTCGGTGGGACGAAGTCACGCCAAATGACTGGGGAAAGCCTCGAAATAGGATGAATATCACAACAACCAAAACCACAAGGTAGGTATGCCTCGAAAACCGGTGGCCGACCATGTTTGCTCACGATCATCTGCTGGCTTCAGTGCAAGTTGGGCTGCAGCAGGGCTTCAAATACTTTTCTCAGCGCTGATTGTAGTCGGAATTTAAGAGAATGGAAGTGGTATAATTCACTGTGTGTGTTACGCTGGCTGGCTGGTTGGTTGTTGGTGATTCATTTGTAAGGCCGTCTAGATGTAAAGCAGACACTCGGCTGGTCGGATGAGTGTGGTCACAATGCATTCACTGAGGGAGCTATCGTCAGGTCAGAGGACCCTATATCCTTTTCGGCCCCATAGGCAATTTTTCAGCCCCCATAATCGCCATTCTTTGATAGACTGAGCTTGGGGGCACATCATGCATTCTCTCTCTCACAGCCGCCCAGCTGCATCGTATATCATTGGAAGATATCCTCCGACCAGATGTCGAATTGATAAGTGGTGTGGTATGACGACCATGCATCGCATACTGTACAACCCAAAGGAATATTTGATTGGCGTACAATACATGAAATATCATGTAACCCAGTCTCTCAATTCAAATGATGACTGTGGAGGATGCTGCTGAGAAATTGGTCGCATATTGCAGACCGGTAGAGAATCTATTACCGAATTTGCAATGCCAAGGACTTATTTTGGATGCGCAAATGGATGCCTCCAATCTTGCAGTATGCCTCGTTTCTACAATATCCGCCGCACTCCCTCGAAGTTGCTTGCCCCTGTTTCTCTCATCACTTGTTCTTCAGCATTCCGAAAATCTCCCAGTTCAAGTAGGAAGGGATTAGAGCAAACCGAAGATGCTCTCACTCCAGCTGCTATGGCTAGTGTCACCCGTGGTCTTTTCTGTGTCCGCTGCAGATTGTAACTCTACGCCAATCTCTATACCCATCCAAGATTCTCAGGTCCTGCCCGAAATAGAAGGCTCATACATGACCGGCCTCCGTGCAAAGGTCGGCTCTCCAGCTCAAGATATCTTGCTGCTGCCATGGCCGTAGGTGTCTTTGTCCGTCACACGTCCTTGCTCATGCTGAGGTCCTACGTGCCGAAATAGCTTTCCCCCGTCTATACCTAGGGTCTGATGAGAAGCCAACAGGGAATTAAACAATACTTGGATATACGACTACGAACCGGACTGTGATCCCACCATCATCTGGAATGATCTGATTTGCCAAGTTCGCCGGGGCAACTACTTCTACGAGAACGATTCCAGCACCTTTGACAAGAAGACCAATATGGACGACGATGGCGGTGCTGCGCAAGAAGAAAATGATCTCATTGGACAAGAATTGGGTATACCTAATCTGCTGTCCCAGTCACTTCTTGGTACCGATACTTTCAATACAGGGTCAGCCCAGTTGACGAATTTTCCAATCGGCATTCCTCGATCACGATGGGACCATGGATACACAACCCTGCACGCTCTGGGCTTGGGCAGGAACTCGACGTTCCTGAACTACCTCGTAGAGACAGGGCAGATAGCCTCGCGTGTGTGGTCCATCTTCTGGGGCCGAATGTGGATAGCTGACTGGCTTGATGGGTCCGTCGTATTTGGAGGTTACGACTCAAACCTGGTGCTTGGCAATAATTATACTGATTACTTGAACTACGACAAAGATGACGGCTGCTTCACCGGCATGAAGGTGACTGTCACCGATATATTATTGAATAAGCGAAATGGACAGGATGTCAGCATTGCCCCTGCCTACTTCGCTCTGCCATGCTGCATTGTGCCTCAGCGGCAGCTGTTGATCGAAGCACCACCTGTTGTCCGAGAAAACTTTGATAGCGAGACTGGAATGAGCCTTTTAGGAGCTTCATACGGCCTTCACTGGTCCGCTGCCTCATACATGGCTACTGATGTGTAAGTACATAGATGCCCATCTCGATCTAACACTCTACCTATCTATTTAAGCAAGCGATTGATAATAGATCTCCACATTTCTAGATATGACGGCGACTTGACTATACGCTTATCCAGCGGGCTATCCATCCGCGTGCCTAACAACCAATTTCTGGTTCCATATGTCGAGATTGCCCGCAATGGTACGCGGGTCACCAACGACACCCGGATAGACTTCCTCCTCAACGGCATCGGGAAGAATAAGACTGCAACCTTGGGCCGGTACTTCCTCACCGCGGCCTACCTCATGGTCAATCACGATGCGAACACGTTCACCCTATGGCAGGCCAACCCATCCACGGGCAGCTCCAGCCTAGTACCTATCATCGAAGAGTCGACACACCAGTCTTGTGCTGGTAGTAGTGATGGTGGCGGTGTTACGACAAACACTCCTTCAAGTACCGCGACGCCCGACCAACCCTCGTCGATCTCAATTGGTACCATTGTAGGGGGTGTTGTTGGGGGTGTGGTTGGCTTGGCGGCCCTCGCCGTCGCTGTCTTCCTGATCGTTCGCCGCCGGAGAAAGAGGCTGTCTGCGCAGCCAGTGGAGCCAGTGGAACATCTGGACAACAACACCGATGAGCATCCAAAGCCCAATGTGTTGACCGAGATGCCACACGACAGCTTGCCACATGAAATTGAAGGACCTGATTTGCAACCCGACACGCATCAAGTATCAGGACTTCGACAATCGTCATTCGCAGCGAGAGGGCCAGTTTACGAGTTGGATGGTCATGGTCAAACTTCATAGATTTATAGATCTTTTTCCTATAGAAGTTGAGAAACCGTTACGACAAGGCCTGGATTTCGCTCAGCCAATATCACATCGTATAGGCTTGAAGGGTTCAGCAGTTCAAAATGTACCCAAAAAAATACTGATTTACAATCAAGCTCGTCCAAAGGGGGAGGGAGGGAGGGAGATGGGCAGGGACATTTACTAATAATTTTTATAACTTGATTCTATTAATGCAAACGATATTGTGGAATATTGTTGGCTGCCCTGGCCTAGAATGAATAGGCTGCCTGCGAAGAGTTCCTGGGGTCAGATGTGACTGTGTTCCACTCTTCTTCGGTAAATTCAGCCCGATGGGTCAAGAAAACTCCGCCCGGTCTGGGGGCCCGTCCAAAAGGAACTCATGTTCTCCGTTTGGTCAGCAATAGTTGCGATCCAAGCAGTCGGAATGAAATCAATCCGCTTCGTACGATCATGCAGGCACTGATTGAACGGATGAAGATCGCATTTTATCTTTCATGGCTCTTCTTCTATTCGCAACAATTGTTGGTATTTATGCAATGCAGCTTGGCTGAGCCAGGAATAACCATGGCCTCGCTTGATTCTTCCGCACGTTCACCGTGACTTCGAACACAGAGAAGGTCGATCTTATAGAGTGGCTTACAACATTCCTCAACGGGGAAATCATGGTTGGGTCTGTGAACGCGTCCACTGATGGGTGGGTATTGACTCGCGGAGGCAAATCTCCAGGTAGATAACGGGTCAGGGCAATAAGCTTCAAAACTTGAGACGTTGTGAACAAGAATGCAAACAATAAGATTGTAATGGTTCCGTAACATCATGAGAGCATGAGCTAGATGAGATCGGAAGCATAAGAGTCTGGTTACGTTCACTTGATCACAGCCTAAGTCCTTTTCCAGTTCCAATATTTGTACTCGGCTGGTTTTTGATCTTTTTTTTTTCTTTCCCCATGCCTCGGTTGTCCTCCTAACCCTATCAAGCACCACATCACATATCACATCCATGGTATCACGTATCGAATCCCTTGCCGGCGTGCGGACCCAGTCACGAGGATTTAAAATGGGACGTCCCGCCAAGATGTCAAATTCCAACACATCCCGTTCTCTCACGTTCATTCATTCATTCATTCAGTCAGTCAGTCAGCTCCACCACCTCGAACTCAGCAGGTTGCAAATCACTATCGCAGCGCATATCAGATTTCAGCCATGTCGGGAGCAATCGCATTCATCAGAGCCTTGAATCAGAAAATCCGAGCGAACAAGGTCGCGGATTATTTCTGCTCTACCCGTATGTTGAATTTCCAATTACTTCCAAACAGCGGACTGTTTATTCTTTGTTCCGTCTCCCTCTATCGTTGGGCTGTACTCACAAGGCGCAGACTTCTGGGGCCCAGCGTCCAACTTCGGGATTCCAATCGCGGCGATTATGGATACCTACAAGAGCCCCGACCTGTAAGATAGAACCCACGATACGAAACAAAACAAGACCGGCAACGAAGTCTCTTTCCGGTCGAGAGGGATCTGCGGTTTACTTGTGAGATTAATACCAATGTGTTTAGGATATCCGGTACCATGACAGGTGCTCTTACAACTTACGCCTTTACCTTCATGCGCTACTCCCTAGCCGTCACCCCCAAGAATTATCTCCTCTTTGCGTGCCACTTCTTGAACGCAGGAGCCCAGCTTACTCAGGGCTATCGGTGGACGCAGTATCATTATGGCAATGGCGGCAAGGAAAAGGTGGAGGAGATTTCAAGTACTACTGCTTAGAAGTACTGGCGCTGGACATTGAGGGTCAAGAAGAGAGGAAAGGTCGTAAGGGAGGCATAGGAGGGTGAGGGTGAGAGTTGCAGGTAAGAGGTAGGGAGGGTTTAGGAAAACTTACGGCTGTGACACAGATGTACGAAAGCGAGCATAGAATTCGGGATCACTAACACGGTATAGTGCAAAGCATAGAGCGCGGTAGGAGATTAGATGCCATGATCAGAAAGTAGTGTTTGAGACAGCGCCTTGACCGCTGCACTATAGCCACGGACTGTTTCCTTATTCAAAAGGTCAGAATCCCAGAAGGCGTTCTGGAATACAGTGAAGTCTTATATAGCTGTGCCGTCACAGTATTTATGACATAGATATTTAGACTCTGTATCAGAGAGCCTTAATTGGTTTGGTTTTTGAACACCTGGGGTTCTTGTTTTCTGCCAACCAGTCTGTTTCCGAAAGCCTGCAAACAGATAATACCTCGCCCTAACACTGCCTCTGCGACCACCATAATGACCACTTAAGAGAGAGACTTGAAATCTCGAGCACTTCGAAGAGCTGCTCGTCCGGCCTCTAACTGGGGCGGACAGGTGGCTCTCCTGTGGGCGTTCGTTTCGCAGTCTCACTGCCATTGCCGCTGCAAGCAAATCAGTCACCGAGTTCCATAGCTCCAATGTCGCCTCTGAGGCGTAAAACAGTTATGCTATTCAGGCCTCTCCTCTGAAACCTATTGTAAAGTCCACATAAAACGGGGTGCCTGAAGAAGTGCTCAAAGCGTCTATGGTCCTACATTTTATCGACAACATAACCATCCGTAACAGTCAATCTAGAAACATTGGTGACGAATTGCATGCTTTAACCGAGACTCAAACTTTCGACATTCCAGCTTTCACGTCAGAGATAAGTGTCATCTGCCAAGGTGACGCCGATCTATCGCCTGTCTTCCATATGGGTGGCTTTCTTGCACGAATTCTTCCTCAAAACGACATCGCCAGTGGCCAATTGCTCGACCAACAGCCCTGACCTACAGAATGAGACGGGAAATGTTGAGAGCCTCGATGCCTGGACCGGCATTCCATAGGCTCTAAGATACTCAATGCTCGTCACCTTGGAAGACGAGCAGATGGCCTTTGAGAGGAACATGATGCGGTTGTCCTATTACCGCATCTACGATGCTATTCACGAACTACAAGGAAGCAGCCGTGGGGAGATGACGTAGAGGCATAGGCATCACAAAAGCCAGTTTGACTGGATGAAGGAGTTAGTCGTCCCCGGAGAGAATGGATGTCTATCGTCGCGTAGTGAAGCCTGGTCGCGCGCAGGCAAAGACGCCAAGGAGATCCTCATCGGCCCAATGAACGCCTCTGAAGATCCCTCAACGCGCCTGGCCGTCCGTGTCGATAAGAAGCTCGCACAACTCGTGCGCGGAGGGATATCCCCTATAGCTCATGATGGAGGGCAAACCGCTAAATCAGTACCACGTGGACTGCCCCGGACTCAAGGACCGTATATTTCCAAGGTTGCCCGAATCTTGCCCATCAGCCGACAAGGAGCTGGCATACTAGAGATTTGCGCTGGCACCGGTCGTGAACACCGTCACAAAAAAGCTGGCAGTGGTTTTCAGCGTGGACCCTGACGACATGGACCCCGAGGTACCGCTGTCGCAATACTGCATTGACTCGTTGATGGCCATGGACTTGGGAATTTGACTTGCGAATCGCTCCAAGGCCTGTACTTCGGTCTCTGACATCATCCAGGGCTCCCCGTTGCCCAGCTTTTCCCTTGCCGCAGAATACAGTGGGTTGGTGAATTACCCGCCGAGGGCGTGATCAGTCTGGCTTTGCTTGCTGGGAAGTGGAGGTCAGATTTCGTGGTTTCAACAAGTCGATTACAGCAGGGATGTGGTCAAAATCTGCAGGGGGAAGAGAGCGTGTGAATATTTCTTGGCTTCCCACAATATTGCCAGACTAGGTGGGAGGGTTTGTCGTGATGAAGTAAAGAAAGATGAAGAGAAGAGTCGTCAATTGATCTAGCCCTAACCCTACTATCCCCAGTCAAGTTAAGTGATTGGAACTTGGCGAACGATGGCCTAGGGCAGTCACAATAGATCTCAATGCTGCTTGCCGCCACCCAGAAAAAGACCAGACACACTTCATGCCAGATCACACTCAGCAGCCGCCGAGCATGTGTCCACCGGAAGGCAGAGTAAACAATTGCATTGTCAAATCTCGAACAGCCCAGCCTAGCCCTCCACACCTTGCCCAGCTTGCCTGTCTCAGGTCTCTGCAATCTCCACCTGCCTGGCAAAGAGCGGTCACTTCAGTCACCCACCGTCACTGTCCGGATCGTCGCGCAACCCTGCTTGCCATTCTCTCTTTTTCTTTTTCATATTTGGTGGCGTCTAGCTCTGTCTCTGGATCTGGATCGCGTCTCTTCTGACCAAGAGACGGCCACGTTTGTCGGAAATGGCCCCCAAACTGCGTCTATTGCGGCATGGTTCTCCCGGATCGCATGGCCTTGCGCGACCTGCCTCTCTTCGAGCATGCGACGCGGCACAGCATGGCATGGAGTGGTCAGCCAATTTATGAGGCTTACAAGTATGCACAAAAAGACTTGGTACTGGGCCTGCAATGCAACGTGGGGGAGGTGAGCACCGTCTTACTGCACCACTACGCTATTTCCAGCGACCTGCGTTAGGTGACAATGGCGACGCAGCCTAAGCGCCCACGTTGGCGCGCTGCAAGGCGTTGCGGCCCACCATTGGCCGACTTCAATGCAGTCGCCCTTCCCAATGAGGTCGAAATTGGTCTTTTTGACTTGGCGCGCGCCAGCCAGTTGTTCGTCCTGTCTTCAATGGACCATCCTCCTGCGGGTCATGATTGGCCTGAAGCGAACCACTGCAACCCTCCCGTGTCTTGCTGTTGTCGTGGACAGCTGGGAAGACCCCATCATGCCCCCCCTCCATGCGAGTGTGTGCCCACAAGTGACGGGCTTCACGGGCCATGCTGCTTGTCTTTGCATGAGCCTGCACGCGAGTCTGGGGCGCAACCCGAGCAGGGGACGCGCAGGAGACGCGGAAGCACTGCCCATGCTCTCGCCCAATGTTAGGCTTTGTGGCCTGCCGAACAAGCAGGTGTAGTCACACCTCCATCGCCGTGCTGGCCGGGCTTGCCCAGAGTGACTGTCCTCTGCACGCCATTAGCCGCTCGGTCGAGGGACTGTGGGGTTTTCTGCGAGATCGTTGATGCCCGGCGCCTGCCAGACGACACGAGGTCGTCGTCTGATAAAACTGAATCCATAACCCCAGTCCTTCACGGACGGCCTCCTACTCTCCCATTTCCTTTCTACACGACGACTCAATCGAGTTTGCGAGTTTTCCAAGAGCTTCGCTGTGCGAGCCATCCTATCGTTTGCCTTTTATTTTCATCTCCTAGTCTGATTTCCCACTACGGTGCCGAGCGTCGTATAGTCTCGATCCTCCGGAGGATAGGCTTCTTTTTATATCCTATGATGACCGCATTTTGTACTACTGCAACTGCAACATAAAATTTCCTATAATGGCAGAACTGGTTATTCTCCCACAAAATGCTGACCACGAACCCACTCCGCAGGATCGGAGGCGGTCCCGTTCACTTAATACAATAATCGAGGAGGAGAACGAGGACAGAGTGTCGCCCATTCGATCACCATTTCTGAGGAGGAAGATTGCAAAGGACCAGACAGCAGACCAGGAAAGGCTTCAGGCATGGTTGGCTCCTCTCGATGCGATATCGAGTGAAGACTTGCCAACCCCGAGGGCATTCCCTACCCCAAGGGGCTTCCACTTCATGACCGCACCGACACTGCCATCCTCGCCCTCGTCGGCTTCGGCCTCTGGAGAGGAGGGCAGCTCCCAGGGCTTCTCATCCAGGCCCAACTCTTGGAACAGGCAGAGTGCTGTGACCGATGTGACCGAGTTCGACGATTTGTACGGTGTATCTGACGACGAGAGTGAGCCTGAGATCGAGTCGATGAGGGCGCCAAAGAAAAGGAAGTCAAAAGCTTCTTTGGTACCCCTGAGAGCAACATCCAATGAAGTCAGGAAGGCACTGCCACAACTGGTTATTCCAGGCGGACACCAGCTAAACAGCGTGAAGTGGTCGCCAAAGCGTCAAGAATTGAAGAAGACGCTTACATCGCCGATCCCACCGACACCCCCATCAGCCGTCGCCATGTCTCCAGCAATGTTGTCCTACATGCAGGCTCAGCACGCTCATCCAATTCCGACCATCTCAGCACCACCGTCGCTCGACGGCTCTTTAGATGGAAGCCTCACGTCCGAACAGCTGGCGACCATGTCGGCGCCTCCTACTCCAGTGATGGGAAACGAGGATTCTGAGGACAGTGGGGACTGGAACGGAATCCAGCTTCAACCTGGCGCCTTAGCAACTCTGCAGGCCTTGTCTGCCCCTGAGGCAGATGACGAATACCGGCATCAACACGAGCAAGCGATCGAGGTCTCTAGGGAGCCAATGGTAGAGTCTAGGCCAAACCGACCTCGTCTCATCACCGGGAATCTTCCGAGAGCAACGATCATGCTCTCGCCAGCTCAGCAGAGATCCCTCACTGGTCTGACAAAGCTAGATATACCCTCACCTGGAGGTTTCTTCTCGGGTCTTTCGCCGCGCACTCGAACGACATGGCACCTCGAAACCCCACCAGCAGACGATGTTGCACCGCCAACATCGACGACTGCTGAGCAATTCTACAGGGTTCCTTGGAATATGGCGATCGCTCCTCCGATGCCGCCTCCACCCAGACTGGACCAAACTGCCCGACCACTCCGCATAACCAGCGGCCACTTCTCGACCTCCCCTGTCGAGCAGGTCGTCGAGGTGCCGGAAGCCGTCGAGGAGGACATTCAAACAGCGAAGCGAGTCCAACAGGAGCCCGTCACTGCGAGGAGATTCCCGGCCTCAAACTTGCCATCTTTCCCCGAATGCGACGATGAAGTCCAATCACCAAAGTCGCCCCAGGAGGAAGACCACGTGAAAGAGATTGTGGTGGACTACGACCCGAGCTACGCCCGTAAACAGCAAGAGATCTCTGTCTCGCACCTCGACCGTACCGAGGTGTGGCTCCGGGCACAGTTCGCATATCTCAGAGGCACCGGCTTCGAGACCACGGAGCCCGAAGCGGAGACAGAGCCAGAGAAAGCAGCACTCAAGAAAGTGGACTCACAACAAACATCAGAGGACTCAGACAAGCTGCCAACAACTCCGCCCAAGGGATCCGTGTTGAAGCCAGCAATTGCTTCAGCCTCGCCAGCGGCCAAGAAGTCAGTCCGCTTTTCCTCTCGACTCACCATCGCACCCGCCGAGGGTGACATCCCAAGGAATCTCCCCTCCAAGCTCCTTCGGCAGGAGTCGGCCTTCTACCGGGCTTTCCAATCCATGACCGTCCGGTCCACCCGCGCCGACGTGTTCGTACACCGGCTCCCCCGCTTCGAGGCCTTGCAAGCCGCACGCATCTCGCTCCGCGAGCAGCACCGCGACCGTCTCTTGGGCAAGTACCAGCTCTCTGTGGTCCCCCAGTCCGCCAAGAAGCGCATGAGCGCCAACGTCGCCCGCGGCGACGACGAGGTGTTTGAGGACCCGGAGAAGATGCGCCTCGACAAGGAGGCCGAGGCTCTGAAGCAGATGGCCAACGCCAACTGGCACGTCGCCGCCACCAAGATGCTGAACGGCGGAAGACTGGTCTGCGCGCCGGTACACAAGCGCCTGGCAAGGCTCTCACTCGCGCCGCCCAAGGGGCGCGGTGGACCACGCAACCGCCTGCGTATCCTCGACATCGGCGGGCAGGCGGCCTGCGATTGGGCGTGGCACGCGGCGCTGCAGTACCCAAACGCCAAGGTCTACACCGTGACGACCAAGGCGATCCGCCAGCTGTCCAACTCCAACATCCGCGGGCCGCCCAACCACAGGCAGGTCGCGGTCAACAGCCTGAGCAGGCTGCCCTTCGCGGACGACCAGTTCGACGTCGTCTCGGCCCGGGAGCTGCACAACATCCTCCGCTCGTCGGACGTCCCCGACGCCGGGGAGGACGAGTGGGACCGGTGCCTCCGCGAGGTGATGCGCGTGCTCAAGCCGGGCGGCTATGTCGACTTCAGCGTCATGGACTCGGACATCGTCAACGCCGGCCCCCTGGGCCTCGCCAAGAGCGTCGAGTTCGGCTTCACGCTCAAGACGCTGGGCTACGACCCGGCGCCCACGAGGTCGTTCCTGCCCCGCCTCTCGCGCGCGGGCTTCGAGGGCGTTCGCCGCGGGTGGGCCGTCCTGCCGCTCGGGCCCAAGCCCGTCGCGAAGCCGGGCCCCATCCGGTACGGGCCCAACGGCCCGGAGCCCTCGCCGCCCGCCGGCGGCAAGACGGTGTGCCTGGACGCCATGGCGCCTGGGAGCCTGCCGGGGAGCACGGACGACGCGGCCGCGGTCGCGGGCATCGCGGGCACGTGGAGCTGGGAGCGCTGGATCCTGCGGTGCGAGATGGAGAAGGCCGCCGGCGAGATGCACAGCGGCTTCCAGCTCGCCGACACGGTGACGACGGACGGCGGGGCCATGAGGGAGGCGGGCAAGAGCCTCGAGGGCGTGCACGCGGTCGTTGAGGAGGGCAGGGCGTGTGGGGCGGGCCTGCGCTTGCTGAAGGGGTACGCGAGGAAGCCTGAGAGGTCTGTCACGCAGGAGGTGTTGGACGCCCTCGAGAGCCTCGATGTCACGGACTATTAATGGCTGGCAGTGTATGTCGCCTCAGACAGTCAAACATTGATCTTATGGTGTGACCTTCTCTTCTTTATTGTTCATTTTTCCTTTTCGAAGGGTTCTTTTTGTCGTTTCATAGCGTGTTGGGTGGGATGATGTGTACGATGGATGTTGAATGATACATGGCCTGGGCACGCAAGACTTTTCTTATACCTCAACAACGTCTTGTAGATTTTCCTTTTGTGTCTGGTAGGATGAGACTGGTCTCAGTCTGCTGTACTATATGCATCGTCGATTACACATGAGAAACGGTAGAAATATATGCGCTATGGATATGGACAGAGACAGCAGTGTACTTGTGACTCGTATCAGACTCTTGTGTTGCTTCTGAGAGGACGCCCTTCGCAATTATTCAGACGCACAACTTGACAACGAAGAGGATGTAAAGGCTATTTATTCTACTCAGCCTGTGACCAGCTTACTCTGCAAGAGTGAGACCACTCTCCATGGGGCAGGCATTCAAGTGCGAGAAGAAGCAGCTATTCAAAATTGGCAATGGTCAAGAGCTTGTCATTTTGACTGTTCATGGCCTCTCTATCGATTCATTGCCGAAAGCAACGTATTCATTATAAGCCCTATCTTTTGGGCACGTCATGGTATCAAGCTATCAATCGTATCACGGGCCTTTCTCCGGGCCTTTTGCGACCCCTTCCCCCTTGCTCCTAGTCCAGGACAATCGCGGCACCCTGAGAGCCAGCAGCGGGTTTCGGAGTGGCACCGACGGCCAAAGTCTTCAAGGCGTCACTCACTCTGGCCAACAGGTCCTCAATGCCGGTGCCTGCGCACTGAGCAACGGCCGACTTCCCCTGGCCCAGCCAGCCATCGCCCCTCGAGTCAAAGACTGGCTGCAGGGCCGTATCAAATTCGTCGCCGTCCTTCTTGGGTTCCCCAGAGCTCTGGGACCGTTCCACGCTCCACCACAGCTGCCCGCGCCGCTGCCTGCATCTAACGCTGAGGCACAGGTGGCGCGCAGGCTTGCCCGCCGCTGCGGGCATTTTCAAATGAATGCTAAACCAGTCGAGGGCGCGAGGCAGCACCTGGAGATCGGCCTTGTTGTTCGAGGCGATATCGACCCACGAGTCCTCCATCGCGTCGAGGGCCCGGTGGAGACGCAGCGACGTCTGCAGCCAGAACGGCAGCTGCTCGAATCCAACGGGCGAGTTCACAAGATTGTCGAGCATGTCCCGAACTCTTATGTGTGGGTTGCCCTTCTCGAGGGTAACGCTGACTTTCTCGCTTCTCGCAAGGTCCAATACGACCCGCCAAGGCGTGGGGGCCTGCCCGTCCCCAGACGGTTGTTCCGTGGTAGGGGGCCCGTAGGTGAAGACCACTTTGCGGAGAGTCACACTCTCGCACTTCACTGTGTCCGCACGACTGTTGATCGCAGCCACAAACTCCACTAGTCTATCTAGTGCCTTGAGACGCGTAGCAAGGGTATCTATAAACGACTTTCCGATCTCTGTCCTCAGATGTAGCCTGAAGTGCCCGTTCCTAGGGTGGTAAAAAACGTCATGATCGACGTGACCCCTGAGCAGCGAGAACTTGGATTTGTCTTTAACGACCACCCTGACATCGGCAGATACCGTGAAAAATCTGCTGGAGGCAGTCGCAGGGTTACGAACGCCTCGGAAGATAATCTGGACGAACTCTCCCGCCCAGGAGTCCCTTGGCTGCTGGCTCTTGCGCTCGCCACCCTGAGGTGGAAGAATAGCAGCAAATCTGACAAACAACGCAGGCATCCTAATTCGAGAGGACAAATAAGGATTATTTGCAAATTTGGCTGCGTACTGAATCCTGCTCCTTCGCAAAGTCGTTATATCACTGATTTGAGCAATCATGCCAGTGGTGAGAGTGGTGAGATCGGTGAAGAAGGGAACAGAGAATTTGGGGTTTGTGTTTGTAATCGGGATAAGGTTGAATGTCTTGATCCGAGCAGTCGATGTCTCGCCCATCACATTGTTCCGACCATTGAATTGGTTGCCCCGAGGTTTCGGTGAATCCACCTTGAGGTTGTTAGTCGCGTCGCCCATGCTAAAAGTTGTCAGTCAGCATACAGTCCTTTCGTACAGATGCAAAACATTCGAGCTTACACTTCTACGAGCCACCACGTGTCGCCGGCCAAGCTCAGACAAACAACAAGGTACCAAGTAGCAGCCCAGCCCTCCCGCCTAAGCCACAGCGCGTTGTGCGGCTCGCGGGAGGGGTGCAGCCGCCTGACCTCTTCTGAACTGACCGGCCTTCGGGACACACGCCAGCCCTGACCTTCGCCAAGTCGGATGAGTTCACCAAACTCGCGCTGCCACCTGATGTTTTCTATTTGCACAACACCATCCTCTACGAGATTTCTGGATCTCTGGTTGAGGTAAGCTTCGCCCCTGTAGATGAACGACTGCGCAGCGGGCTGCATGTTGAAGGATCCTGTGGTGGGATTTATCCGCACGGTTAGCGATTGCGAATGAGTCAACTGAACCACTAATGCCGACTCAGATGGATCCTCGTTGTTGATGCTCAGCGATAACGATGCTTGCCGTTTCTCAAAGCGAGGCTTTGAAAGAAGTCTGTCGTGAATTGACGACAGAATGTCCCCGATATGTTTCGCAACGATCTTCTTGAGGAGAGTTTCTGCGGATATGTCGTCGCTGTCGGCTGACACGTCCACATCGCGAACCTCTTTCCCGTCTTTAAACCACCGTAATTCGAGATAGCTGGTGGTATTCGATTTAGGTGGAGAGTTGGGCGTTGTCGTTCTTCCACTGTTGACGCCAATAATGATCCAACTCTTTGGGCCAGAGTTGGGACCGGTAGTGGGGAAACGATTTGTCCAGTATTGTACTGAGAGAGCCCGGTTCAATCGCTCCACCTTGAGGTTCTCGATCCAGCGTCCACGGCTGAGGTCCACGGCCTGTCTCCGTAGCTCGTTGATCTTGTGTGTCAAGGTGAGCTCGTGGAGGAGCTCATAACAGCCCCGTAAACCATCATTGGCAAGTGCTTCGTTCACCTTCATCTCTAGAAACACCCTCAATGCCTCTGTCAGATCTTGAGGCGCAGGCGAGAATGTAAATCGGAAGTCGATGAACCAGAACTGCTTTTCAAAGTCCTCATCTGCGATTGTGAGATCAACTTCAAACTCCCCATTGACTTTGAATGTGACGCGGCCCGAATCGATGGTGTAGTCTCTGAACTGATGAGGGATCTTGTCATGGTCCTCCAAATTTAGCCGGACGGACAGCAAGGTGTTTAGCTCATTGATCCATTTCATCTGCTCAGCCGCAGTCAAGGGAGGAGGCTCGATGTAACCGAACTGTGAATCATTAGCAAGGCAAACATCATTTGATGAGTAAAGTCAACATACCTCAGGAATCCAAGGCGCTTGACCTGTAGACAGGACTTGGAGCGCCGTTTTGAGATCAGGATCCGGTAATCGCGCCTGGTAGAGACCCCTCTTGATATGACCCATGAAGTCCAAGCCCTGGTCATATTTCCCTAGTTGCTCATTGATGTGAACATTAAGATCGATCAGCTTGCTGACCTGCCCAGCTTTCCTACTCCATTCCGAGATCACCAGAGCCTTGACCCATTTGCCATGCATGTCTTGTATGAAGTGCAGCAAGTTAGCCTTTTTGTTCTGGTTATCCTCCGAGTTGTCTTCCGCTGTGCCTGCGTTCCCATTCAAAGATCCCTGTGGTATGTGTATCTTGGCGAGCTCTTCGATTTTCGTTTGGAGGTCATTGTGCGATCTCTGCGCCAGTCGCTGTAAGAGGAATGGGATCCCGATGAAGTTTTGCGTGATGTGCGCGATCTCAGGCGGTAGGTTGTCCATCTTGGAGGCTTGCTCCGGCACGTTTGAGGCCGCTTGTGCTTGCTTTGGCGCATCCACATCCATCGGAGTATCGTATCCATTCGTCAACGGTGTGGCGCCTCCCTTTACCTTGTTTGGTGAAGGCTCGCGCTTCACTATGCCCGCGCCATTGATCCCATTCATCTTCGAATCTCTGTCATGGTCGGTACGCGCCCCGTTCTGCGTCCCGATCTCCATCTTGACAGCCTCCTTCCGAAGGGCGAGAATCTCATTCGGGAGATCTCACCCTGCCGTTTGCTGGGTCCCGAGCTCGTGTCTGATGAAAGTAGCGTCCGCACGTCGCGATGGGGAGGCCTGTAAAAGGTCGAAGGACGCCGGTCGCGGCGATGCGTTATGGCAGCCGGCCGCAGAGGCAGAGACGCAGGAAGGTCGCAAAGCACCGGCGCAAGTGAGATTCTCCACCGTACAGAGTCTGACAAGTGGGAGTCCCCAGGTGGAAAGCGCTCTTAGGCCTCCATTCGTTTGCCGTGCTCGTGGGATTCGCAGGGAAAGACGCTGGCGATCCGGCGCGGGCGCGAGTGCGAGTGCGAGAACGGGTGAGGCAACGCGCGCCTTTCTTCACTAAGGCGGTTCGATTGATTGCGGCGACAGGTCCTCAGGAGCCTGCAGGAGGAAGGAAGAAGGACCACGGAGAGAGAAAGGCAGCTTTTGGCTCGCAGTGAATGTCTTGAATCAAAACACGGGATGCGACAGGGTTTGGTAGCCACGGGGCAGGGACAAAGAGGTACCTGGTAAGTGGTATCGTGGTGATGAAAGCTGAGCGCAGGACCGAGGAACTGAACTGGTAAGGCGCCCGGCCCCCCAGCCGCCAGCAGACTAGCACCGTACCTTACCTCCTTCGTACCCAGGAGAAAAGCGGGGTCCACGTGACGTGACATCCCTCTCCTGGCAACAGGTAACTAGTACCTAGGTCCTGCACGTAACCTTGCCTGCAGGTAGGTAGCCAGGACAACAGCAAGCCAGCCATTCACCTGAGGAATTGTCCATTGTACTTTGTTGATCCTGTTGTTATTTTCCCATGCCTGGGATCCTATCCATTGACTTTTCATTTCAAGCTTGTGTACATACATTGAATTGAGGCTCATCGGAGGGGGCAAAAGTCACAATTAGAAGAGCTTCAACTATCACCTCTACAACTTGAGACCCCAGGTATCAAGTTCGACCCCCTTGTATTCTCGCTATCTAGGAACGCCCGTACACTTCGTCATTGTCCAGTCCTCTTACGCCGGCAGACCGTGTGACATTATTCTCTAGCTGTATCCATTTGTTAGCATACATACATCCCATTGCCGGCCGCCGGAAAGATGAGGCTTAACACTAACAACAGTAAATTAAATCAAGCACTTACAACTTGTTAGTAGGCTGCACAGCCGAGGTCGTCGGCCATTGGTAACCAGCAGCATCGCTGAACCTGTAGCCGTAAGAGGCCGTGAAGTCATCCAGAACACCCGGTCCGCGAGAGCCTGCCAGCCGAGTTAGTCACCAGTCTCACATTCAGGTACAAGCAGAGATAATATCTCACCATAGGGGTACTCCATAGGGATGATCTCCTTATTGTCGTCAAGGTAGTGCAGCAGAGGCGTGAAAATCCTCCAGCTGGCATCCAGCTCATCGTCACGGACGAAGTTGGAGTGGTCGCCCTTCAGGCAGTCGAGAATCAGTGACTCGTATGCCTCAGGGATCTTGAGGTCGGAGAACCGTCTGCGGTAGGTGAGGTCCAGCTCTGTGACAACAGTCTGCATGCTGAGGCCAGGCAGCTTGGAGTTCATCTTGATGTAGACACTCTCGTTGGGCTGAATGCGCATGACCAGCTCGTTCCTGGGAATGTCCTTAAAGATTCCAGAGGTAACGTCCTTGAACTGCACCCGGATCTCTGTCTTCTGCTCATTCAGGGCCTTTCCGGCCTTCATGATGAAGGGCACACCATCCCACCGCTCGTTCTTGATGTAGGCGACCAGTGCGCAGAAGGTTGGGCACCGAGAATCCTTCGGAACGGTGTCATCCTCCTTGTACGAGGGCTTGCTGCCGTCAAGGGACTTGCCGTATTGTCCAATGATGACATTCTTGGGCTCGATGGCGGGAATGGCACGGAGGACTCGCACCTTCTCGTCTCGGATATCCTCCGAGGAGAAGGAGATGGGACGCTCCATGGCCAGGAGGGTCAGGACCTGCAGAAGATGGTTCTGCATCACATCTCGGACAATGCCAAACTCGTCAAAGTATCCGCCCCGGCCTTCGGTGCCAAAGGGCTCCTTGAAAGTGATCTGGACGTTGTCGATGTGGTGGCGGTTCCAGGTGGCTCCGAGGAATGAGTTGCCAAATCGCAGGATCAGGATGTTTTTGACCATCTCCTTACCAAGGTAGTGGTCGATGCGGAAAAGCTCATCCTCCTTCCAGTCAGGCTCCAGAGACTTCTGCAGCTCTCGAGAGCTCGCAAGGTCCTTTCCGAACGGCTTCTCAACAATCACACGAGCAATACCCTTGGTCGGGTAGCAGCACCTTTTCAGATGTTGGGACACGATGGTGAACACGCTGGGTGGCAGGGCCATGTAGAACAGACGGTGTGCCTCCTTGCGTCCCTTCTCAATGTCTTCCAGGTGCTTGTTGAGTCCCAGGAATGAGTCGTCCTTGTCGTACTGGCCAGAAACATAGGTGCAGAGCTTGCAGAAATCTTCGAGCAGCTTCTCCATGTCCTTAGTAGGAGTCTTGATGTATGACTTGATCCTTCGCAGGTACTCCTCGTGGTCCATCTTGGTTCTGGCATAGCCGACAATCTTAATGTCCTTAGGCAGGAACTGGTTGCGGAACTTTAAAGAGGCATTATTAGCTCATGGAATGTCCCACCTGCTTGCTGGGACGAGGGGGGGATTTCTTACGAGACCGAACAGGGCGGGATACTGCAAACAATTAGCATGTGCAAAGCAACCGGGGAGGTCAATTGGCTCACAGTCTTCTTCTTTGCCAGGTCTCCGGAGGCTCCGAGGACGACAATGACCGTGTTGTCCTTGAGCTCCAAAGCCCTAATTTGAACCACGGATTAGTCTTGGAACAGCTATAGAACCATTTTTTCATGTATTCACAAGCTGTGTAGCCATCCGTAGGGCGAGGGCAAGACTGTGCGCGCGTCGAGGGAGCTCACGGAGCCCGGTTTGGCGACCGTGATGCAGCAGCCTCCCTCGAAACGGGCTATGGCGGGGGTGCGCGGGGTGGTGGTGGTCACTTACGACGCGGCGGAGTGCAACTCGGCGGACGCCATCTTGAGTTATGAGTACTTGCGCTGGTTCTTGGGGAAGGAGTGAAGGAGAGGAGTCGGGCAGTGACAGGTGGGCAAGTAGATTTGTAGAGGGGCGACCTGGGTGAGAGCAGGCCGGGCAGGACGGGACGACGTCAAAGTTGGAAAGACAAGAGGACCAGGCTCGCCATCGGGGTTTATTAATGGATTTAGTAGGGGACTGCAGGGGGGTGATGCGCAGACTTGGTGGGGGCAAGCTAGGTAGGTACCTAGGAGGAGAGCTTACTCAGGTCCGTCCGCATCGCCGCGGCATGGTCGCTGTCGCGGGGTATCCCCTCCCACGTCAGCTGGCCCGCTGCTATGTAATCCAGCAGGTGGGTGATTCCAGGGACGATTCGCTCCAAGCTGCAAACAATTTCTGCCGGAAAATGGGTGTAAAGAAGGGCTATAATCTGATAGGATGTATCTACATGTTGTGTGCACAACACTTACAAAGACAACCTGCTCTGTATGAGATACTTCTAGACGAGAAACAAAACTCGATTAGCAAATTCTTGGTTGAGTCCGAGGTGGATCTGCCCATGTATGCCCGCAGGTACCTAGGTATTACTAGCACACACTACTGTAGGTAGACATAACCTATCAATCCCAGCTACTCTTCACAGAAAGATACCACAGCAGACATGAAAGCTCTTCCTTGTCCGGGAGAGCATAACATCTTGGAGTTCACTTCACAAAGCTCGGCCATAACTCATGATCAAGCAGACAATGTGGTGGATGCTGTCGATCATCATGACGGCACAGGGCTTTTGGACGTGCACGGCAGACTATGTACAGACATAGCACATGCCTGGGTAGCTCCCAGGCCGTCCTGGGCTGGGTCCGGAAGGGCTCAGCGGATCCCTTGGGTGCCCATCTGTTTAGCCAGGCTTTGTTGAGGCTGGGCAAGTTGTCCGTCCATAGGTGGAAACCGTCTCGGGCCTCCGTTGTAGGATTTGTAACATGGACATCTGAAAATCGCTCAGGGATGCGAAACACGGCACTTCAAGCACACGAGTCTGGTCTGATAAAGGTGCAGCTTGGCTTGACATAGACAGCTTATTTATACCTCTCGACATCGACGCTCCCCAAACCCGTCTCATATATGTCAATTGACCGGGTATAGCTGGTAGGTGCTTCAGCTGCTCTCTAAGAACTTGTTGACCCTTCTGATGTTGCTCAATATTCTTATCAAGAGCACAGCAAGCAAGCCCGGGACGACAAACGACCAGTAGAACCTGGTTTGCAAATAAAGACAGAAATGTCCTGACAACATCATTCTGCACCTGCGTGTTCAGTTCCTGTCCTGTCAAACCTTGCGAGCTGCCAGCAGCTGCGGTGCAGCAATGGGGGTATGGGGGTGGTGGTGGTGGTGGTGGTCAAGATGGCACTTCGGTGTTAACCTATCGCAGATAGGTAGCTACAGCACAGCTTGACATTTCCGCGCCGGAGATCTCGGGACTTGGCAAGACTGGAGACAAAGCGACAGCGACCCCACTGTATGAGTACTACCGCACTGCCGCGCCTATCGCAGTTTTCCCCTGCCTGTCCTAAAGGAACCATGCACATGAGTTGAACTTGCCAGCAGAGAGGGGGAATATGGTGACCACTTGGAGAGGCTTTTGGGCTTTGGTGCATCCGAAGGTCGTGGCCGAGCTCGCAACGACCGGAAAAATTGGGCAATGTTTCAACAAGGGCCCGTCTCAACATCACCAAGTCCGATCGCGACTCCGATGTTAGGAGGCCGGTGTTAGATCTCTCGGACAGCGAGATGGGAGGATCCCGCAGAAACTATCGGCGAGGCAGCGAGGACATTGCATCATACGTGGGGCAGGAGATAAAGGGAAAAAAAGTCAAAGGATCTCCGCCTACCGCCGGCCAAGGTCTTCTGCAACCCGCTGGCCGCTGTGCCAGTGCCAGCATCCGTACTAGCCGCCACGGCGTGAATCCTAAGTAAACCCTCGTGACCTCGCACGTGCAGATAAGATTGGCGGTGCTGAGATTGTGAGAGTCTTGGCTGGAACAAAAGAGAAGTGGAGAGACTGGAGTGACTGGGCAGGCAAGACATTCTGACGGTCTGAACAGGCACAGGCCCAATCTGAGATACGAAAAGTGGGTCCGACGCGCGGAGACGGCTGTAAGTTTCTCCAGACACAATTTGCTAGTTTGCAGCCGGCCACCTAGGGCTCACCCCCCCAGGTCAATTACCAAAGGCCCCAGATCACGACTTCCCCCCCAAAGAGGCCCTCGTGTGTTGTTGTGAAGCCAGTCGGTCAATCACCCAAGTCAACGAACGCAGCACCCAGCTTTTTTCTTTTCCTTCCCTTTTCCCCAAGTGGCACGGAGATCGACAAGAGTCAAGATGCCTTCAGAAGCTGGTCACCGACGTGAGTTTTGCCCGACCCTCCTGGCTTTGAAGAGACGAGATAGCGGCGGCCATCGCCTTGCCGGTGTGCCTGGCGATGATCGCTGTCTCGCGACTACTCCATTTGGAAGTGCAGAAACTGACTTGTTGCGATCTTAGTTTACGTGAAGTAAGTTACACCGACGCGCGATTGTTTGCTCTGTCTCGCTTCCTTGGATCAAATGCAAATGTGGGGCTTGGATTGGAATCGAAAACTGCGACACTCCAAAAAGACTCCGGGACTTCGGGGAGGACGAAACTACACGGCGACGACGATTTTCCCGAGCACGATGACGATGCGCCTTGAACACGGATCCGTTCAGTACTGCTAGAGGATAATGGGACTGACAATGATGGAATCACAGGGGTCGTCACCTTTCCTACCAGCGTAACCGCCACACGACGCACCCCAAGACCAGTCTGATCAAGATCGAGGGTGTTGACGACACCAACGCTGCCAAGTATGTTCACGAGCCCCAGTGCCCACTGGCTAACCGGAGCTGACGGATGATACAGCTTCTACCTTGGCAAGAAGGTCGCATTCGTCTACAAGGCCCAGAAGGAGGTTCGCGGATCCAAGCTCCGCGTCATCTGGGGCAAGGTCACCCGCCCCCACGGTACATAAACCCCACGACCACGAGATTTATGCGGCTCCCCAGGAAACAAGGCTGACTTTGTCACTCAGGAAACTCCGGTGTCGTTCGCGCCAAGTTCACCCACCCCCTGCCTTCCCGATCTTTCGGTGCCTCGGTTCGCATCATGCTCTACCCTTCTTCGATATAAGGGACGGTTTAACGGACGGAGTTTGAGCGGAAATGGTTTCGATTGGCTGCATCACGGTCTGGCAGGGTTGATTTAACGCCCTGCTCTCTAGCATTCAAGAATCGATTGATGGATTACCGACCACAAGTGGATGAATATTCGCGGTGTTTCGAGTGCTTGGTCCGACACAAGAAAGGCTTCCGTGAGGACGATTAAAAAAAATGGCATAGGACAATAGGGGGGACCGCTGCAAAGCAGAGGAATGCTACAGGTCCACAGGACTCTTTTTCAGCAACTGAAACCAAACAACCGACTCCGCTTCGATACCCGAAATCAACGAGCTTCATGTGGTCGGCTGCGTTGGTGCTCTGCAGTGTTATGGACTTGACGGTCACGTAGGAAGCCCAATCTAATTACCCCCCGTACGATCCGCGCCGGGCAACGACTTTCAAGCACAATGGTCCAGCATGATATGTGAGGGAAGGGCTTGAACATGGCTCGGATCTCAGCTATCATGGCCCTGGATCAGCTATGTTTTCCTCCCGGGGAAATGCCCGAAATGCGTTGTAGAGCAGGAAGAGGTTGGCGTAGGCGATGCCATCCACTTGCCTTGACCGACCCTCGAGAACATTCTAGAAAACTTCCAGCACACACACCTAGGCATAACATGCAGGCAGACAGCACCTGCCAGCGTCAAAAGGGCCTGAGGAGGCTAATGCAAGGGGCCTGTTGTAGATTTTCGCACATATGATGTGAAACTAGTCGTATCGCGCACGAGGTGAAGCGGCTAAGGCGGCATGGAATCATACACCACCAGCCTTGGCCACAGCACCCTGAGGCTCTTGTACTGTCCTAGCTACCCAACGCAGCCATATACTCACTATGCATGCGTGGGCGGGTATCCAACTAGGTCCTCTCCGCTGGTCGCTCCTGTGGCTCGGCTTTGCGTATATGGCCCATGATTGCTGTTCTGGCTCCCTGTAGACTGCATCTCGGCAAGGCTTATGTAGTCACGAGTCCTATGACATTTGGAATCTCATGTGAGATGGTTGTCTTGTGAGATGGGCACGTATGCAAACTCCATGACTGTCTCTCTCCACAGTACATGCATCACTATGGATCTTACTGGGCGAGGCCGCTCTTACAGTCCTTCTGTTGGCCCGCATAAAAATGTCACGATTCTGCGCTGCAACTGAGAAGTACAATCAGCTGTGTCACCGCATCAATACAGCAATGTTTGGAGTCTTTTGTCTCTCGCAAAGCAAGTTTTTGATTTACAGAACTAGGGGGGAGTGTTCAACTCCCATTTGCCGGGTTCTCACCTAGACAGTCCTCTTTTCAAAATGCCAAATTGTTATCCTCTCCATTTCTTCTAATCTGTTGGAAGAGCTTTCCTCATTGACTACTGTCGACCGAGTGATCAACAGTGATATCCGTCGGTATACACACCTATGTGGTCATCTGTGTCCTGTGTGATTTCCTGTGCATATTCCTTGCCGACCTTTTTATGTTTTGCTCTTTTTTGGCATCATATCTCCCAACCTGGTACAGAGGCCTTTACTTCTCAAAGTCTTTGTTTTGAAAACTTCAAAAGAAAATCTCGCATAGATACTGATAGGGTTAGCTACGTACAATGAGATAGAGCACAAGACAGCGATTTCATGATGCTCTTACTAGAAGCCCCCAAAAGTTCAAAACGGGGGCGTCAAAAGTGTGATTGTTAAAGTTGATATATAGTGGATGCTGATTCACAAGATGAACGCAATATTATGTTTGAGCAAATGAAAGTCATGAGACTCATTTCGTGATACATATTTAA